GCTACAGGAGTGATTTGATACCTTTGCCCTTAGAACCATAGAATTGTAGAGTTGGAAGGGACCCCTAAGGGCTAGCTAGTCCAACCCCTGCAATGCAGGTTAACATGTTAAGGGGGGGAATGACGACACACACATCTTTCTAGCAAAGGGATCCATGTGCAGTCCATGCTTTTGAAGCTTGAAAACTGCACCTGTCATAGTGGAGGGAGAAGGTTTGTATCCTTCCTTTGATACTGTCCTAGAAAAAGACTGGTGGGTGCTGCTGACTCACTGGGAGGTTCCCCATGGCCATGACTGGAAGTTCTGTCAAAGCACTGAACGATCTCTTAAAAACAGGGAAGTGTGTCATTGACACAATTACTCCAAGAACTCTCCAATGCCAGTAGCAACCCAATCAACAACTTGGTTTTCTACAGACCCAAGGGTTGTGAAATGGCAGCAGGAGTGCCAACTTGGCTCCATGACCATGAGTGCCTGGGGCTGTGGGTGCCATGCAGCATGTATGGTCCCGGCACTGAAATTTGTGGGTGCCAAGCCCCTTCATGGGAGTTTTGTGGGTGCTTGGGCAAAAACCTATGAATGGCAGGAACACAGCATCTTGAGCAACGATGGAGAAAAACATGGTGGATCCAACCAAGCAGAGGCTAGAGTTCATTTTTAGAACCTACCCTATACCAGTAGTGGTAGAGAGAGGAAAAAAACCTTTAAAAAAATCACACTTCTGTGCCACTGTTGCATCTGCATAGATGAGTGGTGTGAGTAGAGATGTTGGAGAATTCATCAAAACTTGAAACAGGAGTGGAAATTGCTGCAACTTGCATGTTCAACAGAGGTCAGGAATGGAGATCACACAAGCAAGTGCGAGCAGTATTCACTATTATGGTTTTCTTCTAGGTCCACAAATGTTATGTAAACCCACCACTAATACACTATTATTGCATCTGTGACTTGTTACAGAACTTACCCGCAAATTATCACCAGCCAGAAGAGAGATCTGTGACCAGGATGCGTCATCTGGAAGAGCCCCATCTCAAAACATGCAAAACCTCAAAGAAGCCCCATGGAAAGCCTTAGCTGCTGCACACTCTCCAAGCCTCTAGATGGCACCTCCCTCACATCGCTCCATATTTACTTCTTAATATTGACCATCTTGTAAACAACCTCTGTACTTCACTCTGTCACAGTTACAGGTGGGGTTTTTTTTTTTTAAAAAAAAATCTCTTATTGTTCTGTATATCCTATGGACTTTTTACAGCTGCATTTTCAAAAATCAAACGTATTTTTTAAAAGCACAGTACTTCTTCTGTTGTTGAGACCAATAGATAGCACCATTGCATTATGAGCAAGCAAGCAAGAAAGCAAGCAAACAAGAAAAGAATATTATCTGTTTTTCTTTTCCCTTCAATCATTTCCTTTTCTTGGCCATTTTACCTCAACTACAGATCTGGGACTCATCTACACTGGTCATTCTCTTTGTCTTCATCTGCTGTGGCATAGTTTCATGGGATTTGCATCACGCTTATTCCAGAAAGCTAAGTCACACAACTGTGTGTGTGTGTGTGTTTACATTACCACCTTAGAGCAAAGTGGTTTCCTCTCCTCCCTGTGCATTTCACAGCTCTTTCACCCCTAGCCACCCGCATAGTTTCAATTGGTTTCTGTTTGTTTGTTTGTTTGTTTGTTTGTTTATTAATTTATTATTTATTTAATTTTATTTATACCCTGCCCTCCCAGGCCAAGACTGGGCTCAGGGCGGCTAACATCAAGTATAAAAACAATTGATTCAAATACAACTTAAAAACAGGATTAAAGTACAACTTAAAATGCAGCCTCATTTCAGTGGAAGCCCAGATCAAAAAACTGTTTGGGAGAAGAAAATGTCAAATCTTCACCAAGGCCAACTATCCAGACTGGTCCTACGTGGGCCAGAAAAAAGCCAGGGAAGTCCCCAAATAGGGGTTCCATCACAGAGGGAAAAGGAAAGAGGGGGAGGGGATCAGGCTGATTCCAAGCCAAAGGCCAGGCAGAACAACTCTGTCTTACAGGCCCTGCGGAAACAAATCAGATCCCGCAGGGCCCTGGTCTCATGAGACAGAGCGTTCCAGCAGGCCGGAGCCAGTGTTGAAAAGGCCCTGGCCCTGGTTGAGGTTTCTGTACATACCAGGGGGAATTAATGGGGGTAGGGATGTACAGGATGCATATGCATCTTGGAGAAGGTCGTGTGAACACAGATTAAAAACCCAGCACTGTATATGCAGTGAGTGCAGAGTAAATGGGGTGTGAACACAGCTTAAGAACATTGGAAGCACCTTCCATGGAGTCATGTCATGGATCCATCTAGCTCAGTATTGCCTACCCGAGGAGCAGGTTCACATTATCTACTTTATTTCTTACTATAATCCTAAAATCAACTACCGTAATTATTGTCTGGTGTAACACAGCAGCTCTTGCACATGCAGCACACACATGCACTCCCCAGACACATACAGACCACAGGCACACATGCATATTTCTCTCACACACTACATACACACATTCTTAATATTTGTAAACTTAATTGAATACCAAATGCCAAGGACTATAAGCCCAATGGTGCCAGTGGGAGCTTTCCCTCCATATCACTGGCTGCCATTTTGGAGGTGGTGGTTGTCTAGACTGCAGCTAGGGAGCAAAGAAGCAAACCTCCCCTTCCTGATGTGTTGTGATCTCAGTGAAAACCAGGACCCTGGTACCTGGTGTGATACATTTTTTTAAAAAAACAACAACCCAGAAATGGTTGCTAATTTGCAACTAAAGTAACATTTTGTTTGGCTTCAGTATAGGGTGATACAAAGTTTAAAATTGGTGCTAATCCCCCAAAAGCTGTCATTGAGACAATTTCTTTATTATTCATTGTTAAAGATAACAGTATTGGCTCATTGTCTTAATTTCTCCTTAGATTAAGGTGGTTGTTTTTGCGTAAGAAGTATTTAAACTTCCTGAAGACAAGAACATCCATTCATTAATCACCAAACGAAAAGCTGTCTTTGGCAACAAATTCAGGATATTACACTGAGTAGCAGAAACTGTAACGCGCAAGCTCCGCTCTTTTCAATGAGTGAAGCTATTGTCACATTTTGTATCATGCACATATCCTTGGCACCAGGGTTTTTCAGCCACAATCACTGGAACTCAGTTCTGGCACCTCTCAGGTGGGCGCCATTGGTATCTAAGAGAACAAGGGAAGCGTTCATGGTGAGTTCCAGCACCTCTTTTTCTAGAAAAATAGCACTGCTTGGCACGGAGTGATCTCAGGACAGGTGCCTGAAAGAACAAGAGCAACCTTCTAACTGAAGCTCCACATGCTTCTTTAAAAACCATTTACAGCATTGCTGGAAATAGATGCATCTTCCCCTGGCTTCAACTGGCATTTTGTTTTCACACTCTCTGACAATGCATCTCTTTGTTTTTGCTGGTACACAAGTACATATAGTCTTGGGACATTCACATGGTGATAAAGGTCTGCTTTTTCTGTGTCACCAGCCTAATAATAGCAAAGATAGTCTTCAAACCTATCTGCCTCCCATATAACTCATGAACCAATCATTGACACTTAAGCTCACAATCTCAAAACTGGAAGGAAGCGACAACTTGTGGCTGTTATTCAATGCACTGAAGTGAAATCACCATGAATCAACATATTTGAATGATTTTGGCATGACAAAGGAGCCTCACTGTGGGGGTTTCCTTGTTTTCCCACAGTTGGGCAATGCAAATTCTGGTGTTCATGAGTAGGCTCATTACCAGCTGCAATCCTTATATCTGACTTTTGCTATTAATTAACACAGGAGTGAAGGCTTTGGGTTAGGGTTACATTTTAGTGATACATTTTAACCTCTACTTTCTTGCATTGTGGCAAGTTCTGGATTTCAGATTTTCTTTATTTCTCTTAGTGGCCCATCTGCTGTCCTGAACCCCAGGCCTACCTGGCGGCAAGTCAGTATGTCAAGTCCTTAGTACAAGGTCAAGCCACGTGTCCAAAGTCCAAACCGAAGCACCATCTGGCAGAGATCCTGGAGCATCCAAGATGAGGTCCATCAACATGGGCAGTTGAGAAGACACAGCACCTCAACTCTGCTTCCCTTTTGCATGCTGATTGCAGCATCTGGGCTTGATGAGGCATGTGACCCTCACCTGTTCCAATCCTACTCCAGCTGAGGAATCACACCCCTCCTCCCAGAGCTAGCATGTCTCACCTGGCCAGAGCTAGAGAGCTGGGCTGTGGACCCTTGCCTGCCTCAGCCTCCTGGAGCTCCCCACCCGTTGCTCCCTATGCCTCAGAGCCCACCGTGTGAGGGTCATTATGGCTCTGGTGATGGGTCCTGCTGCTTTGGTTCCTGTGCACTTGACCCCCATCCCCTCATCATCCTCCGTCACCCCATGAGTACTTCCTACATCAACCTCTCCTTCCCCATCCCCAGCTTGCCCCAGTGTGTCCCAGTCCCAGCCACACCCCTCACTGGGGTCTTCTTCCTCTTCCCCATTGTCCTGCCAGTTTATGATATCTGCTCTCTGAGGCTTTTGATGTCAGATTGAGGTGGTTATGATTAATGTTATGTTTCCCCTGTCTTGTTATGCAGCTAAACATGTTTTAGTCATATTTTAATGTGTGTGTTTTGTAGTGAACCACCTTGTGATATTGAATGAAAATGGAACGATATATATTTTAAATAAAATAAAGAAAAAACCTCTCCCCTGGGGCTTTTTCAGTTCAGTAAATGTGGACAAGTTGGGGAGGCTGCGGAGACAGCACTGCAGAAATGCTACAGTGGAAAGAGAGAGAAAACCAGATACCACCCTCAGTTTTCTGTTCCCAACAATAAGGAAATTTCAACTTTTGAAGGAATTTTGATGTGACCTCAGAATGAGGAAGAAAAATAGAAGCCTATTTCCAAGAGGAAGAGAATTTCCGAGACAGAATAGTTGTTGGCACAGCCCTTGTGCTCATCACCACCTGATTGTAGCACGCCTTGATCACACACACATAGGGGAAATGCTCTTTTGATTTCACAATCACTCTTTTTGGGTGCGAGTAGCTATAAATGCCACAGGCAAAGTGAGCTGAGACAAATTCTGAGGAGCAACCACCAGCTTTCTTAAGAACAGGAGGGCTGTGCTGAATCTGTACTCATCATGGGCCGAGCATTCATTTTGGCGTGTAAGTTTGGCTTCAATAGCATGTGTATGTTGGATGTTGTTGTTTTGCTAGATTTCACTCATTAAGATATGCTACTGTGCAATGTGCTCTTATTAGGAATGGAGGAGAACTTTGATCCAGTTCATACTGAAAAAGTAAGCATATGTAATTTGCACTTCTCAAAACAATAGGTCAGGCATAGGCAAACTCGGCCCTCCAGATGTTTTGGGACTATAACTCCCATCATCCCTAGCTAACAGGACCAGTGGTCAGGGATGATGGGAGTTGTAGTCCCAAAACATCTGGAGGGCCGAGTTTGCCTATGCCTGCAATAGGTGTACCAAAACTCAGGCATCCTTCAAAATGTGCACCTATCTGAATTTTGCAATGCAGTTCTCCAGTAAAGTAGGTTGTACAAAGCATGCAAATTTTGGGGTAAAGTGTGCACATAAATGCATATATTTGTGAAAATAATTTTTAAAATGCATTATCCTTGGGGAAATTGCTTTGCAAGAGTTTGTATATTTGGAGAAATTTGTACTAAAATGCTGTTGAGTTTTCATAAGGACTTAAAATCACAAAAAGATTTTGATTGAATCTAAAAAGATTAAATTACAGGTCCTAAGTTTGCCTGTGCTGACTGATTTGGGCTTCAAGATTAGACCCCATTATTTGAATTATATTCTAAGGTAGTATTCCACAGCCGTAGACAACTTTCTGATGGTGTGGCAGAAGTTTTGTATTGAGTGAATTCTGAAAGAAAAGCAGATGGGGGAATGAGAGAGAGAGGATCTGAATTACTTTAAGAATAAACCACCAGTAGATTGTGTCAAAAAGGGGACTTTGGCTAATGGTGCAAAGGGTTAAGACACACACTGGTTGAAATTTCTCCTTCCTCCCAACTATTAAAGCTTGAGACCAGAAGCAGTGCCTTCTTTTGCTTCTAGTCATATGAGAAAAGGCAAAGACACCCTAACACTTCATTTTCTGTTTGGGAAAATATACCATCCATCACATTCTAACCTTTATCTGAATGACCTCAAAAACCTTCATAACATTCACCATCATTTTAGCTGTTGGTTATTGGGTTAGCAGGATGGATGAGAAACTCTTTCAATAGCACAGGAAATTAAATGTTATTGAAGAGGGGCAAGCTTGAGATTTATGGGTTACAGAACATGTAGTCAAAATGATATCATTTGTCTTTCATTTTGTATATTCTATTGAGGGATTAAATACCATTGGTACAGTATTTTATAATACATGGCTGGACCTATTGTAGAGGAACACATTATGATGTTCAGGCATGTGGTTATTTGATATTGGTGTTTTAATCATTAGGACAATTCAATTTGGTGTTTTAGTCTATAAACCATATTGAATTCATGTACGGAAAATGCTATTAGTGCTAATAATAATGCTATTAACAATTATCATAACAGAATCAACTTACTGGAAGGTTCCAAAGTATCCAGCTACCTGTCTAATATCTTCCATTTTCATTTTTCTCTAGGTTTTGCCATCTTGCTGGTTTTTCACTGCAGTAAGTAAGCCTTCCCAGAGTTGTTACTCGCTTAGAACAAGCCAAGTGAAAAGTGTTGGGCTTCGTTAAGACATTTCCTGCTTTAGAATAAGCTACCGCATGCTGTGCATGATGGAGCCAGTTAGACAGAGCCAGGTGTCAGCACCTAGCACAAACACCTGGCATTGCTCACCTGGGCATGATAGGTTGAACATACATATCATGCCAATCCTGGCCCAACAGCATTGGCTACCAAATAGTTTCCAGGCCCAATTTAAAGTGCTGGTTTTGACCTGTAAAGCCTTAAACAGCTCAGGGCCGCAATGCCTTAAAGACTCCTTCTCTCCACAATTATCATCTGAGACCCTTCTTTGTGTGTCCCTTCCGTCAGAAGACTGGAGGGTGGCAACATGAGAATGAGCCTTTTCCAAAGTGGCTCCCCCCTGGAATGGGCCTTTTCTGTAGTGGCTCCCTCTGCAGTGACTCACCTGGTGTCTTTGTCACATATCTTTAGGCACCAGGCAAAACATTCCTCTTCTCCCAGGCCTTGGGCTAATTAAACAATCTCTGGCTTTTTAAAGGGGTGCATTGTTTGCTACTATGGTGTGGATTTTTGTGTTTTTATATTGTAAACTGCCTTGTGATACTTGGCAGTAAAGAAATTTATTTATTTATTTAATAATAGGTTCAGTTTCAAACTTTGTCTCTCCCATATATGAAAGGCATATCTAAATTCTAAAACTATAAACAACTTGTTTATCTATTTCCTCTCCACTTCTCTACAAATATGGGTGGGCAAATATAGTAATGGAAAAAATCCAGCCATATTATTGATATGATGAGAACAAGGCTGTAACCTTAAGGTGTTATGTCGCCACACTGGACCTCTATCATCAGTAAGGCCAGGATGGGTGGATGTTTCTGTGGAAGCAAGTAGGGCAGATCTGACCTTGGAACTCCCTCACCAAGAGTGGGGTTCATTCTCAAACGAGAGAGAGAGAGAGAGAGAGAGAGAGAGAGAGAGAGAGAGAGAGATTGGGGTGGGGGAGATAGTTTGCATCAGTACAATCTCTCAGGAGCTGTAGGAATGCACAGTTAACAGAATATTACCTCAAGGTAAGTTATTTTGTCAACAATTCCAGATTTTTACACGCACTTTCATCTTTGCAGGCTCTGCTTTCAAACTGGTTTGCTATTTCACCAACTGGGCTCAGTACAGACAAGGTGAAGGGAAATTCCTCCCTCAGAACATTGATCCTAATCTGTGCACTCACCTCATTTATGCATTTGCGGGAATGTCAGAGAACAAGATCAAAACACTGGAATGGAACGATGAAACACTCTACAGGGATTTCCAGAATCTCAAACAAAAGTACGGAGAGGGCTGGGGAGGAAGGATGACTTTTTCTGAATTTCCTAGAACTAGGATCTAAACTTGTATGAGTGCTCCCATTTTCTGATAACAGGGAATTCTGGGCTTCAGAATTGTATAGAGTTTGGTTAATGAGATTTGAAGGTGGAAAATTGGTCAAGCCAACACCTTTATATAATGCTGTGTCATTCACTGTTTCTTAGGAAGAAGCTTCACTTCCCCATGGAGGTAAAAGGGGGTGAGACCTAGCTGAGTCTAAGAATCTAACTCTGTGATCTTAACCCCTTCATGTACTAACTATCCCTATGCTTGCTAGTAAGGTTTAAAAGCAATTTCCTATGCTCCATACCCTCAAACCCAAGTTGGGACTTCGAAAGAAAACTACATACAGTATGCATGATCTGTTTGTGTACACTGTTTTCCATGCAGCTGGGAAATATATGCAGAAAAGCTAGCTTCCATGAGCAGCACAAATGAACTTCACCGGGAATGATCAGAGATATTTGTAAACTCAGCTGTGCAAGACAAAAAAACCCTGAACTCTGTTCCTCTCTTCTCCTCCTATCTAGGAATCCAAGACTGAAGACACTTTTAGCTATTGGTGGATGGACATTTGGAAGTCAAAAGTAAGACTTGGGCATGGGGTTTCTAAAAGAGAAACTTCATCATGAGTAGGCAATATGTAATAAAGATGGGTGTTTGCTTCAGTCAAATCCTGAATGCAGAACTGAAATACTGTAGCTGCTTCAGAGAGATTTGGGAGAAGTCCACAGTGAAGTGAGGTCCCTATGAAGTGATTCAAATTGCACCAGGCATTTCCAAATTCCCAAATCAAGGTCCAGACCAAATATTGTGTTCTGTGCCGCTCTGTAGCATATCCCATTCCCTCCCCCTTCTCAATAATAATATGCATCATGAAAGTTTCCTGTTGGAATCCTAGAACCCCATCTTTCTATTTCATTCATTCATTTTTGCATTGCATTGCATTGACTAGATGCCCAATAATGTGTATGTTCTGGCGAGTGTGTAAGGAATTCCAAAATAAATAAAAATGACAGATAACTAAAATGCAAATGATAACAGCGCTAAAAGGAAGCTTAAAAAAAATATCAAAGTTTGTAGCAACGATGCATGTTTTCAGTTTCATTTGTTTTCATAAAGCAAACGAAGGTTAAAGTATCAGATTTAAAAGGAAGCATAAGGTGTGAAGTTCATTAGGTGAACGTTTATTAGTAGGTTGTTTCTTTAGTAGCCACCCATCATATTCTGGATGGTGGAAGCACTTAGAGAAGTGTCTTCATAAATGATCTCTGAGCATTTGCAGGTACATACAGGGAATGGTAGTCATACCAATACTGTAGCATCAAACTGTGGTGGGGTTTTAAAGGTCAAAATCAACACTTTGTGATTTGGGCTGGAAGATGATGTATTACCATAATACGCTCAGAGGCAGAGTCCCAGCCAGTACTTGCAGCAATTTTCCATCCTGCTCTCAGTTTCTAGACTGTATTTTAAAAGAGCCCCATTTCCAACGTGTTACACAGATACAGTAGCCAACATGGTGCCCTCCATCTATTATTGAACTACAACTTCCATTAGTCCCAGCCAGTGTGGTCAGTTATCAAAGATGATGGGAGTTGTACTCCAGCAATATCTGGACGAAGCACATTGGCTTCCTCTGAATTACAGTAATTTGAATAAGGCCTGAATAACAGAAACCAAAAATTCTACTCCATCCATGTAGGCTCATAGTTGGCACACCAGCCTAAGCTGCTATTTAAAGTTAAGTTGCCAATTTTCATGAAGGTATTTTTTTTTTAATTGGGTGGCAATGTTAAGATGCTTTTGGGAAAAAACCTGGAAGAAAGTAAACATGCCTCATTCCACCACCACCCCCTCTGTACTGAGGCAAATAGCTTCAGAATAATTTAAAGGTCACATGGCCATGAAATTGAAATACTGAGAACTATCCATATTAGTGCCAATCTTCCATCTCATGTTAACCACAGTGCTGAAAATGCCCACTGAAGCCAGTCCTTCAGATTCATCTAACAAAGGCATTACAGTTGGAACATTAACTCTGAGAAGCATATGTTCTCAGAATAATCACACACTGTGGTTTACCTCATTTCTCCCTACTCCCAAGTCCATTCTTTGGAGACAAATCAGGTCAGGGGCATGTGTTATGGAAGCAAAGCAAAAACAGATTGAACAATGAAGTTTCTCCCATGGCTTGATGGAATAAAAGGAAAGTCTGTTCCTGTGTTACGTATTCTATGGGGACACTGCCTGATTTGCCCCAAGGCTCCAGTTGTAGACCTGTACTTCATAAGATGGCATTGTTGGTTGGCAGCAGAAATACTGTAAGCACCAGTTATGCTTTTCCAAAATTAACAACTACCAATACACCAGAGTGTGTGTGCTTATGCAGCCAGTATGGTAGCCTTCACCATTCTGGTGCCTTCTGACTGTTTTGGACCACATCTTCCATGGCACTGGACTATCGCAGCCATGAACTGTAAGAAATAAATAGGCAAAGACTACAATTTGGTCTTAATGACTTGATTCTCTACCTATCATGGGTGCTGTAAAATTAGACATATATATTTTTTGCATTGGCAGGGGACTGTTAGGGGTGGAATCGAGACCTCCAGCATGTACTGCTGATCATTTAATGCCACACAAGCATCTTTGTGGCTTTGGGAGTGATGAGAGGTGCTACAAGAGCCAAGCATGAGCCCAGGTGATGGGTGATGTAAGCTCCAGTCGTGGAGGGGGGATGTCCAGATCTGTTGGCTCCTCAGGGTCACTGGTAGTACAGAGATCTGCTGTGGGCCCTGCTCTTCCTAATTTGCTTCTGAGGAGACTCTACGTTTGAGGTCTGAGCAGGACTGAACCAGGACACCAGAACATGGTGACCTTGCAGTGAAGCAAAACAGCAGCATGTTGGAAAACTAAAATCAAACAGTAAAAGCTTGTGGGTGGACAAAGTCTTCTTCAGCAACCATCTGAAAACTAAAAGACAAGGGTCCAGTGGATAACCAAAGGGAAGATATTTTGTATTTTTAGCACCATCACTGTCTCGGGTGCCAAACAAAACAGCCATGATGTGTATCTTTTTGACTTGAATTGCTTCCCTTCTAGGTTCTCTGCTATGGTAGCTACTCCTGACACACGTCAGACATTTATTAATTCTGTGATACAATTCGTGCGAAATTATGGTTTTGATGGCCTGGACCTAGATTGGGAATATCCTGGAGCCAGAGGCAGTCCTGCAGCTGATAAAATGCGTTTCACTTCCTTGGTTCAGGTACAGTAAAACTCAGCAAATCACCATCAACCAATTCTACTGTCTGGCTGCAGATTCCAGGGGCAACTTCTGTGCACAGCAGGCAATGAATTTAATAGGAATATCAGGGAGTGCTGCAAAGAGACAATATGAATTATTGTTTTCTCAGTGAACGCATGGAATCAAGTTACAAGATTCAGACTTGTGTCAAATCCCAGGCTGGGCCAAGGTGTTGTCCAGAGACCAACCCCTAGATTTGCCTTTGTCTCGGTTATGAAAGGGAAATTGACCAACCAGTCAAGATATCAGAACTGTGTATACAAATAGAGCCCTAGACCAGCAAAACTAAATTATGTGAAATGTGAAAGCTTGTGTAAATCACCAGACACATCTGGAGTGGTTTTTGAGACAATATGGAACAAGGGGCTTAAAGATAGGTTCTTGTGCCTCAAGTAGTGAGCTAATAGGTTGAACCTATAACATATAGGTAAGATAATGTATAAATATTCCATAAGCTAGCCCTACAGTATGGTCTGAAGGTACACGAAGCCACCACCTTGTTGCAACTAAACAGGTTTGGATCTGGTCATCTGCCTGAATGGGTAGCCACCTGGGAACTACATGTACTTTGCCTTGGGTTCCAGAACAGAAGAAAGGTATGGGATGTAAATGTAATCAAAGCATATGGAATTTTCAATTAGTTCTGAGGGAAAGTGATTGAATCAGTAGGTCTCTACCTACACTTCCGCTCTTTACTGGGAAACCTCTTCTGCTTTGATTCAATTTAGATTTCCCTTTTTATTGATTGATTTTAATTTGATTTATTGTATTTCTATGACGCTTTTCATTCAAATGAATCCCAAAGCGGCTTACAAACAATAAATTACAACATGATAAACCATAATAGAACATCACAAATATAGTATAAATCGTATAAAACAATTAACAAATCGTCAATGAAACAATTACAATCTATAAAACAACAGCTGAAAAATAAACCGAACATCACAATTGCAACAAAAGTCATATTGTATGATTAACAAATCAATACGGCATTTATAATCTATAAAACAATATTAACAACTTAACAAAATAGCAGCTGGGGAAAAAAGCTAAGCACTGTTAAGTTCATGCCCACTCTCATAACTCACAATCTTTCACTCTATTTGGTTCATTAAAATAAACATAAAATACAGTACACATAATATACATCAGCTCAACAAAATGCTATACTAGCTGGGGTCCTCATGTAGTGGGTGATGGAGGAGACAGTGGGGCTCTCAGGCCTACTGCCAGTGGCAAGGTAGATATTGACTCCAGGTAGCCTGCCCAGGTGCCGTTGATGAGGAACTCACCCACACCGTTCTCAGTAATAAGGAAATGTGAGAGGAGCCTGTCCCTGTTCCAGCTTCTTCAGCTGCATCTTGGCCAACCTGATGTCAGGGAAGGAGGAGGCTGCTGAGGGGAATGAGGGGGGTGGCTGGTTGAGTCCATCAGGCAGGAGGGAGAGGCCATGATTAACATGCTGAGAGCACCTCAGCAGGATCCTGGAGGCCTGGATGAGCTCGCATCCAATGACTCAGAGCTGTGTATCTGTCTTGGTGTCCATGCAAGGCATGAAGCAGAGTCATCGGCCAGCATGGGTGAAGCAGGAGATGTGGGGGTGGGCCAAGAAGCTAGAGAGTGTGGAAATGGGGATGTTTCCATCTCTTCCACATCCTTGATCTTTAAGAGAAGGACAAAAGCAAATTTAATTATTGTTCTACTCAACTATTTGCCTTAGGAAATGGTGAAAGAATTCCAGGCAGAAGCACAACGGACAGGAAAGGAAAGGCTGCTGCTGTCTGCTGCTGTGGCAGCTGGGAAGGAAACCATTGACAATGGCTATGAAGTGGACAAGATTTCCCAGTGAGTATGATGAGGCACTTATGAACCATGAAGGGAAATTAATGGTGGCAACTCACAGGCAGCTTGCATTTGATACTTGAGAACCAGTTTAGTCCAATAATTTCAAATCATGGTTGACAAATCATGCCAGTGGGCACATAATTGCCCGCAATGCATCCACTCAGGATTCTTATGCTAGAGATGGAATAAACATATTCGAATTCCCCTTGCAGGTCTCTGGACTTCATCAACCTGATGACATATGACTTTCATGGATCTTGGGAACGCGTTACAGGACATGTCAGCCCTCTGTACCCTGACACCGTAAGTGTTAAATATTTCCTAGCAAATTGTAGCCTCTCATTTTAATTGAAAGTAAAGAAAATGTCCAAAGGTACAAAGCAAACCCACTATTTCTTGGTCCTCTAGATCAGCCTTTACCAAGCTCCTCATCCTGTGAAAGGTTTCCAATATGGAACTGGGATAAAGTTCTTGGCTGAAATAATGTACAAAAACAGATCAAATACGTATTGAGATACAGTATATGAAATACATTGAGATACAATATATATTGTGATATAATGCATGCTTAAATGCCATTGTTATGGCTTTGTATTGTTTTAAAAATATTCATCATTGAATAATGTGGAAATGGGGTTGACTAAACTAATGAATGGATATATGAGAATTTGATACAGACTGGGAAAAGACTCATGTCTCCATCCATAGTCTATTGAGTCATGGCTGCTGGGAAACTACAGGTCTGTGGAGCAACCAGAGATCTGAACAGTAAAACTGGGCAACATGCATTGATATCATGCTTTCTATCTCATTGCCTCATCAAGGACAATGCTGTGAAGTACTGGATGGGCAAAGGAGCACCAGCTGAAAAGCTTGTCCTGGGAGTTCCTCTCTATGGACGAACCTTTACCCTTTCTTCCACACAAAATGGGGTTAATGCGCCAGCCTCAGGACCAGGGACAGCTGGCACTTTCACCAAAGAGGCTGGATTCTTGTCTTATTATGAGGTAGGAAAGATGCTTAAATATATATATTGTTAGGCTTGCCCCACTTCTCTAAGTGGTGAGACGTTCCAGGAGTAGAGTGCTTGCGAAAGTTTGTGTTTTGCAATACTGGGTTGTTGTGGGAGGTTTGTTTTATGTTTTACAAATACAGGTTGTGTATAGGTGGAGGCACTTAAATACTGCAGAAGAAAGCTGCCACATCAGATCTCCAGAGAGAGGGCATCCCTGATACCGCTAACTTCCAGAGCCCCCAAAACTCACCTCTATTTCGCTCTGCAAAAATGGCAACCCCTTTCTTCTTGCAGACCTACGTTATGTCATCCTCAGCTGAAGGAGCAACACATGCCCCTTCCCCAGTGTGGGCCTATATATAAAAAAAAACCTAGCTGTCCAACATTTTGTTGTCATGGGGACACATCTAGTGCTGTACTGAAAAATCCCATTCCTAATATTTTTGCAGGGCCATTTGCAGTGACTTTATTTCCAGTTACTTTCTTGTGGGTGAAATCAGTTAATTGCCATGTCTCCCTCTGCACTGTTGGGCTGGGCACTGGGATGGCAGAATCCAGAGGAAAGTGAGGAGAAATATAGGGGGGGTGAGGCTGGAACAGATGGAAGCCCTTCCATTCCCACCACATGGTCCCCTCTGGTTCCAGTGTGGCTCCAGACTTCCAGCTTCCTCCCCTCCTGAGCAAGTCTTAATAAAAATTCATTTTCTTATCTAGAATTAGGAGCATCTGCTACTGTGTTTTGATCATGGCAAACCCGCTGCCTTTACTTCCCCCCACCCCAATTAACTAATTTCCTCAAATTTATGGACACATACTTCCCTTTTCTGTTCTGCTTTTCATGCCACACACATCCTCAGATTTGTTGAGAAAGTTGTGGGCAAACTTCAGGACAGGGCTGAGAACACACAATCCAAGAAGGTTCAAAGTGGGGTTATTGGGTTGTTGTTTCTGTTTTTATTAGGTATTTAGTGGTTTTATATCTTGATTTCATTCTGTGAACTGCACTGAGACCCCCCGGTTATAGGGCGGTATACAGTGGTACCTTGGTTTGCAACCGCTTTGGATTGCAACCGTTTTGGATTACAACCATGTCAAACCTGGAAGTGTGTGTCCCTTTTTTTGGATTTAAACCAATGGGGGGGGGAGGCCCCATTGGCAAAAGTGCGCCTTGGGTTACAACCTGTTTTGGTTTACAACTGGACCTTCGGAACGGATTATGGTTGTAAACCAATGTACCACTGTATAAATTCCATAAATAACAATAACAATAATCATAATCATAATCTGCACTATACATTTAAAGCATCATGCCTCTTTAAACAATTGTGGCTTCCTCCCTGCCAAAGAATGATGGGAAATGCAGTTATTAAGGGGACTGAGAGTTGTTAGAAAACTCTTATTCCCCTCACAGAGCCACAGTTCTCAGAGTGGTTTAACAGTTAATTTCTTTTCCCAGGGGCTCTGGGAATTCTAGCTCTGTGAGGGGAATAGGGGTCTTCTAACAACACTTGGCAGCACTAACACTGTACTGTGGCTGGTGGAGACTCTTCAAGGTCCCCAGCAGAAGTCTTTCCCAACACCTGTCATGTGCATGTGGCCTACCACTGAGCTATGGTCCCTCCTCAGGTCAGCAATCATTCTCTGTCGTATAATATATTTCCAAAACTTCCTGGAGTAGCGTTAAAACCCCTATTTTGCTTTACTTATTTTAAGGGTAAGGCACCTGATACAGACAGCTTTAAGAACATAAGAGAAGCCTGCTGCATCAGGCCAATGGCTCATCTAGTCCAGCATCTTGTTTTCATAGTGGCCACCAAGATGCCTCTTTGAGACCTGCAAGCTGAGCACGAGCACAACAGCACTCTGGCCACCTGCAACTTCCAGCACCTACCTATTATTCAGAGGCACAATGCCTCTGACTGTGGAGGTGCAAGATAGCCATTGTGGCTAGTAGCCATTGGTAGACTTGTCCTCTATGAATTTGTCTCTCTGAAAGCCATCCAATTTGGTGGCCATCACTGGTTGGTGAGGGATCACGTTCCATAGTTTTACTATGTGCTTTGCAAAGAAGTGCTTTCTTTAATCTGTCCTAAATCTTTCACCATTCAGCTTCATTGAATCTCCATGAATTCTACTGCATGAGAAAGGAAGAGGAACTTTTCTGTATCCACTTTCTCTGTGCCATGCATAATTTTATAAACTTCTATCATGTCATCTTTTCTCTGAACTAGATGCCCCCAAATGCTGAAACCATTCCTCGTAAGAAGAAGCTTGCTCTATCTCCTAGGTCATTTTAACTGCCCTTCTTGCAATTGCAACAGGCTCTGATTTCTACACCTCTGTAATGGGGAAGTTGTCTGACCTCAAGTGTCTCAATTCAACCATGTGGTAACACAGCCATGCTCCAATCTATTTTGTTTCAGATCTGCAACTTTAATAAAGGTGCCACCACAGCAGTGATTCCAGGGGAGAATGCTCCCTATTCCTTTAAGGGAAATCAGTGGGTAGGATACGACAATGTGGACAGCATTAAAACTAAGGTAACAATTATACATATATTTGCTTTTATCTGTACAAAACATTTAGTGGAGATCAGTCAATGTTATGCTTCAAAATCATCACCTAGTAAACATGCTAGCAAGCTACATAATTACTAGATAATAAAGATACTAGGTTGTTTAAGGACCACTTTGCTATGTAGAATGCAATTTCCAATAGGAATTAAGGTGTCAGGGGCTGGACTGAGGAGGAATGGTGGGAGTTTCCCCCCACTTTTCCTGAGGGCAGGACAGTATTGATTTAGAACAGTGGTTTGCAGAGGGGCATAGTCCAGAGGGGGAAAGCTGGGAAATACTGGGTGAGGATCAACTAGAAGAGGAAACACCAAGAGAGAGACAGCTGGCAGATTCAGTGTCATTGGACAGCATTCCTGACCCACTTGTTCCCCCCCCTTTGCCTAAAACTAGAAGGGCTTTGAGAGTGGTAAAACAGAAAGCACAGCGGCAACAAACTCAGATTACCCAACATAGGAGTGACGTAGATTAATGGGGACAGAGGGGCTGAACCTTTACTGGGAGCATCGCCATTTCTAGAGAGATATGCATTACTTTGTCTTTCACTGTGATTATTAAAGAAACTAACTGGTAAGAACTCTCCTTTCATTTGATCTGTTTATTACTGCCACCAGGGGAGAGATCTGATTCCCCGAAGTCTGACATAAGCTGAGGTTTTCACTGCCTATAGTGATTAGGATGTTGGACCTGGGAGACCATGGTTCTAATTCCCACTCAGTGATAAGCCTTACTGGGTGACCCTGGGCCAGTCACCATCTCTCAGCCCAACCTTCCTCACAGTGCTGTTGTGAACATAAAATGTGGGAGAGGTAGAACCATGTACACCACTTTGAGTTTCTTGGAGGAAAGGTGGGATATAAATGTAATCAATCAATAAAAACACATGCAGTGGGTAGCTATGGTTCACCATGCTTTTCCAAGGACAAAATGCTTAATGTTGAACAATAGCAGCCAGTGATAGGGTGATGTTGCAGAGCTGCTCTCCCAATACTGACATCACTGCCGCTTACATGGGTAGGGTGGGGCAAGGCACTGGGCTGCATGGATGTCCCGATGGAAGTGCTGGATTGGCTCTAGCCATAAGCTGCAGTGATGCTAGTGTCTGGAGGTCAGCTCTGTCCCACCACTCCAGCAACTGCTCATATTGAAATTGTCAGTTGTCATGATGATTTACTTTTGTCTTGGACTTTACTGTTAAAGGCAGCATACTTACAGACCTCTGAATATTCTAATTTCCTTCTTAAATAGGAGCCATATTCATTGCCCTAGAACGGTTCTCACCATTATTATTACTCCCATAAGCCTTTGAATTCCTGTTTTCTGTTTCTCTCAGGTCAACTATCTGAAGCAAAAGAAGCTGGGAGGTGCCATGGTATGGGCCATGGATCTGGATGACTTCAGTGGTTCTTTCTGTGGCCAAGGAGCATACCCACTCCTCCAGACTCTGAAGAGAGAACTTGGCTCCACAGGTTAATCCTTTGTTATTATATTTGTTTTTCTTGAAATCCTCAGTCACAAGGCCTGTAGGGAACTAAATATTTACCCAACACTCTTACTTCATTCTGGCTTCCTGTTATATAGCAATAGGTAGTTGCACCCATGATATAAGAAGAAGAAAAAAGGTCTCTGTGAAAAGGGGAGTTTCTTGTCTCCCTTTAGGCCTCTGGCTGTGCTTAAATAAACTCGTTTAACCTAAAACAGCTCTCTTAGGCTGTGCATTTCTCCTCCTCTTCATGCAACACACCAGGGAATAAACAATCAAGGCTGTGTAAGCACATAAGAACCCAGTTGGGTCAGCCCAAAAGTCTACCTATTCCACTATCCTCTTTCCCACAGTGCCCAACCACATGCTTCTGAGAAGCACACAAGCAGAACGTGAGGCACTAGGTCTCTCCTACTGTCCCCCTCCCCCAGCAACTGTGGGATGCTGCCTCTGATCTTGGAGGCAGCATATTCTCCCCATGACTAGCAGCCCTAGCTTCCATAATTTCATCTAATCCCTACCTTGAAATCCATCTAATATGGTCAGCGCCATTTCTTGTGGAAGCAAGAAATCCCATTATTTAACCAGTTAACCGTTTCTGACTCTCCCACCCTTCATTGGGTGACTCCAGGTTCTAGTATTATGAAGGAAGGAGAAAAACATTTTCTCCACACCATGCCTTCTGTTTTATGAACATTTCCCACACACCACTTCTCTGCACCAAACAGCACTTTCCCTGGTTCCTTTTCTACTGATATTGAAAGGTTCTCTTTGTGTGTGACTAATTTCACCCCATCCCCATTAAATTTCAAGTTAGATTTCAGCACCATTTAATTTATTTCATTAATCTGGAACATCTGAAGACCACCTTTCCTTGATTGAGCAATCAAAGGCGTACCTCACACTGCAAGCTTAAATTTGCTACAGCATCCTAAAAGTCAATGTGCACAGAAGCCTTGCATGTGGTACCAGAAACAAGAAGTCAGAGGAAGAGGCAGAAGAGGCAGCTGCATTGCTGGAGCCTTTCATGAACGCCAGCTCCAGATATATACAGTATATATATATATATATTAAAAGGCTAAACTATCTATATTCTTCTTCTGGCAGGCCTGGCACCAAACCCCAAACCTCCAGTTCCTGCTGAACCTCCAAGACCTGATGCGCCACAACCTGATGTGCCACAACCTGATGTGCCACAACCTGATGCACCTACAGCAGACACCTTTTGCCTTGACAAGGAGGATGGGATCCATGCTGATTTGCAAGATGCCACAAAGTATTATATGTGCACCCACAAAAAGACTTTCAGCATGCCTTGCCCAACAGGGCTAACTTTTGACAACCAGTGCAAATGCTGCAATCATCCTCAATAAAGGGCTTCTAATATAGGCAAACCCCAAAGATGACATTCCGTTGTCTTCAGAGCTAAGTACTTCAGAGCTAAGTGCTTTGCTTTCCCTGTAAAACTGTCTATACTTCCAATATGTTCATCCGCATATTTCTCCAAGTCTTTAGCAAATAGGGTTATAGTATCTGCTTCTGCTTTGCACCAAAGAACAACACACAAGCCAGCAAGATATGAGTACTTCATAATAGTTTGCTTATACAATATGTAGCCACTTGCTCCCTAATTCTGATAATTTTAGCAAAAGAAAATAAACTCATTTCAACTAAAAGTAGTTAGAGGCTTGTTTTGTTGCATACCTAGCAGGCAACCAGCTCTGTGAATTCATTTTAATAATAACTGGTACTAAAACATGTATTTCAAAACATTATCTCTGTTTGGTTCATTTAAAAAAAAAAACCCACAAGGAACAAATTTAGGATCCAAAAGAGTGACATTTCTGCTTTTGCTTTAGTATCTAATAACTTTGCAATTCTTGGCTCAATGTATGACATGTGCATGCACACGAAAGCTTATACAAGAACAAACTTAGTTGGTCTATAAGGTGCTACTGGACAATTTTTTATTTTGTTTATTTTTATTTTGACTGCGTCAGACCAACACAACTACCTACCTGAATCTAGAAATTGGAAACTTACTTCTGATAGCTGTGCCCAGCATTTCTGCCAATAGATGGCACTCTACACTTCTCTAACAAATAATGTTCTATATTTTATCAGATGGTTGTTCCTTTTATCTGAGTAGCTCAAGACATGTTCTTGAATTTAAGCTTACAGCTATTTTGTATTTATTGTTTCCACTAGGGCTGAAATATACATGTGGCACAGAAGAACTGTGATTAGCCTCCTAAAGATGGTTTGATTTCATTTCTGAACCGAAATACAGCCTTGTGTCTGCTTTCATAGCTGCAGGGAAGAAAATATAGGTTTTCTTGAGGTGGCATTTCAGTTTTAAAATGCCTATAAATTAATCACAGTTAGGAGCATAGGAAGAAAAAAAGCTAGCCATCTTAAGTCTCTATAACTGAGATGAAAGGTTAGAAAACAATAGATTCTGTTTGAGTCACTGAGGTCTTCATGGACTCATGAACAGAGGGCAGGTTAGAAAGGAGTCATGATCAGAAGGCTGGCTGTCCTTTCTTGCCAAAGCCACAGTTCCAGCCACCTTCATCATCTCCAAGGATTTGTCTTTCTTGACAATGAACCATCCTTTGCAATGTTTACTTAGACATAAGACCATTCAATTCAATGGTGCTAGCTCCCTTGGATGTTTAAGATTGCAGCTATAATTTTGGGATTCTAAGCAATTGATTCTGATTTCATGTAAGCGATTTAGAGAAAATTTCCCAAATATCAGAGCTGTTGCAAGCGCTCAGCATCCATCATCAGTAAGAAGCAGTGAAGCATATACACATACAGTTTAAGTTGATTCAAATTTATTCTTTTACCACTGAGTTTACTGTGTGACTCTACTAAGACTATTGATATAGACTTCAAGACCTCTTGCTCCTTTATTTCCTTAACTAAAAGAAGCCACTATGAACTAATTATTGTCCTGGTCACTTAACCAAATTATTCTACTATTATTTTTATTTGATGGATTATTTGTTCATTCATAACTAACATCATTGGTTTTCTGGTTGTATTTATCCAGCATGGAGTGAGTATTAGGCCCTGTATTCCTCTTGTCTGATGTTGAAACTAAAATTACTTCATCTGCAACTACATCATAGGTCAAATCAGTTTCATTCAAAATGATCCCTAAATATGTATATAGGACCAATACTGACTCACTTTTTAAGCTGAGTTCATCTTAAATGTTCTGACCTAAAAAAATTTTTCCTCAATTGCTGCTAATATTCGCTGAATTACCGGTAGTTACAGAGTCTTAGAAAGCTGTGTATGAATTAGGAACAACATTTGCTATATCACTTTCGCTTCTGCAAAGAGCTTTCGTGCTAGGCTAGATTCTGCGTCAAAAAACAATGAAATGTAGACTCTCATACCAAATGTTAATCACTCTGGTACTTGAATTTGCAGAAGTAGGAAAATGTTTAATTACCCAGTAGAGCAGCTTCTCTCTGAGAATCTCTACAGTACTTTCAAGTCACTTAAAGGGAAAAGAGTAAATTGAGAGAAAACACAGTTCGGTACACAAATTTCCTTCCTTTCACAACATTTGATTCTCTTCCCTTACATCTCTTGGTGGCTGGATTAGATGTATGAGAAGGAAGGTTTTTAAACCCTTCCAGCTGTTGTTGGGCTCCATTTCCCATCAGCTTATTGGATTGCTGGGTTCTTCAAAGATATATCTGGCAATACTCTATCATCTATCAATCGATCATACGGCCTGCTATTAACGTCCACATTAATTCAATCAAAACAATATAATATCATTCCTATAACAAATAACTTATTTATCCTGTCATAAAAAAGGCCCCTAATTAATACTTTGATCCTAGCATGTACCTGCAAATACCTTTTAGGAAGTAATTGTTGTACCATATTGCTGGACTACTGTACAGTTCTGCTACGAATACCAGGAATGACAACAGCACAGGTTGGTCATATATACAGTACATGCCTAGCTCACACATCACAGCAAACAAAAATGGAGGATAGTCTTCAAAACTATTTGTTGTGCTCTTTTTTTGTGATGGGATCCAAGTGTGCCTGATCAGTGCTTTTGGTGTGTTAAGCTGATCAGCACCGGAAACCGGAAGGCTCTATAAATCAATGTGTGAGCCCCAGTTCACTTATTAGTGCTCAAATGCAAGTGTGGGTCTTCTTACACCTAGAGACACCCCTGCCACTGCACTCCCTCCGCCCAGCTTTGTCCTTCTTGAACTCCATGATGTTATGGGTTTGTGCCTGGATTTAGTAAAAGTTTGATTGAATAATGGTTTGATTAAACATTGCCAAACAGAGAATCCCCAGGATTTAGTTATGCTAACAAGCCAAGCCAGCTCAGGAGAGCTAGCTGGATGGTCCCCTAGCAGGGGACAAAGGCTGGTGATGCCCCATCAAGGAAACCACCAGAGGGCAAGACAGCCAGGCAAAGAGTAGTGGGACTCCTCCTATGCTGGGTGCTAGTGGGCAGAGGCAAAGGCCAGGTTTAGGGTTTCAGCTTTGAATGAAGAAGGCTGTGAGGAGGTCCTTGGAGTCAGTTAGCAGCAAGAAGGAGAAGGAGGGGCAAAACTCCATGTGAGCTGGAGCTGACAGGCTGGGACTAAGAAACACAGAGGGTGGCTTTTTGCTGTTCTTTGAATCCAATGCTGCCCTTAAGAGGGAAGCCAGGATGCTTTGCAATCCCTCCATCTAGGTGCAGGTTGTATATATGTAAAAAACAACAACAAAGCCATATATCATAAAGACATCACAGTCTTTGCTGTGCCTAATTTCTGAAGGAAACACAAAACTTGGGTAAGTACCTGGAACCCCTGGAATCTCTCATCGCTCGGAGATAGGGGTGGCATCTAACAATATGTTAGCCACAGACATTTGCAAAGGAGAAAGCTTCATGTGTACAGTTGTGTATGCAAAGGCTTCCACACAATTTGGAACCCATGACCTGAAAACCTTCATGCATGTAGCTAAACAATGTATAGCACACGTGTCCCCTTTGCTGATGTCCATGTCAACATGCAGGTGTCAGGGGCATGGTTGTGGGACTAGCTGGCACACTTTCCACCCATGCGTTGATGTGAACTGTAACAAATGAACAGGGCCGAGGTATTTTGGATAAACCTGGTCCTGTATCAAGATTTAAAATGTGCTAATCAAGCAGTCTGGAACAGATAGGAAAGGATATTAAACTTGTTTGGTTTGGTTTTCCCATTATGTCAGCTTCAACCAGCATGTCGTGAAAAATAAAAATTCCACAGTCCTGATTGCAACACTTCCTGGCTAGACAATTGCACAATCATTCCAGGAACAGAAATGAGGACATTTTCACTCAAGTGTGTGAAAGCCACACACTTGTTACATGCTTTCACTTCCTCTTCTAATTTTATTTTTTAAAGGTTGGGATCAGCGGTGTGGAAGCACAATTGTAAAGAAAGCAACGTTGTCATTGTGGTACAGCAGCCAGGATGGGTCAGGCTTCCGTGTGGGCTGGTGAGTTTGGCAATGTGATTGAAGGTTAGGATTGGAGACTATCCTGGGCTTTCTCCAGCTGGAGTTCCAAGGATTTGCTTTGGCAGGACAACAGTGACTGATTGCATGTTGTTGATGTTGCTAATTGGGTACAAGTTATGGAGAGGGTAACTGAATACTATTTTGAACGTTTATGGTTATGTACCTTTTAAAATTTCATGGGCAATACAGAAAAGCCTGTATCCCTGTGTGGGGAAATCCCATGTAGCTAACCATCTAAGCAAGTTTGCAATCCCTCTCTGCCTAGGGTAATCATGCTCATTGATTTGAGTAGTTTTATTAATCAAAGTGCATGACTTTGAACATTCAAGAATTTGAAAAGGGTAGTGATCATATGGTATTTATAGCAGGTCTAGTCTTGTCATAACATGACTTTCTCCTCTTGACTTTTTGCAGTAAGCATCACTGCGCTGATCTTTCTGCAGTCTGGTAAGTTATTTTTTCCTCTTTTCTTGGCTTTCAGAAATCACTCTGGGGTTGGAAATTCCTTGTGTCAGTCTCTACTAGGGTTCTAATATGCTCACATTCCCTCATTTCAATCATTCTACAAGGGTTGGTAATGAGGGAAGCTCTCCATGATGGGGCTTTGGCCACTGAACAGGTATCCCAGGATGTCTGAAAGTGCCCCAACACTTTCCCCCTCCCCTGGAAGGGTCTGAATCAATGTTTTATTTGTGATGTGTGCAAAATTACTAAATGGAGATAGAATTCCTGTCCTTGCCTTCAACCCAGAGTGTATGCAGTGGGGCAGGGAGAGGTTAGGAAGGAAGGAGCATATCTGTAAGCCCTACTCCTGATATAGATACAGGGTGTGTGAAGTGAGTCTACATATGTACCAACTGCCCGAGCAATTGGAGGTCCTGCATTTTGCCCTTTTGTGGCAGGTTCCCACATATTATTTGACTAAGGGTGTGTCCAGACTGTCATTAATTATGGGTAGGATCCAAGCACATACAGACAAATGCAAGTTGCACAATTAAAGTTGGTTTGGTGCACTGACTTCACCTCAAAAATGGACTCTCCGTGAAAGGGAAATTCCCAGAAGACTGTGAGATAACAATTGCTTGATGCAACATCATATAATATCCCTGCAAACAAATCAGTATGGATTCTCAGGGAAGAACTGACATCCTCTAACCTCCCCACAAACTTTATGCAAACAAATCAGGATCAGAGCCAGGTTTTGGGTGGTGTGACCAGGGCAGTGGCACAGCAGGAGGTGCCACAACAATGCTGCAGAATGGAGAGTGAGAGGTGGGGAGCACTGAATTTTAGCGTCACACAGGGTGCTGCTGAGATTTGAGAACCTAATGTCCAGGACTGTCAGGGTGAATGAAACGGTCATCTTGAAGTACGGCTGCTGGAGAATTCTGGTGGAAATGCCAGTGGAAATTGCTGGTGTTTGCTTGTTCATCCCATGTCCAGAACAGAATCGATCTAGTGAAAAGAATCAGTATTCACTGTAGTCTTCAGTCTGCAAACAATACATAATTGATCACTCCCCGCCCTAGTTTGTATTGCACTGCCTTTCCATTGAGTTGAATGGTATGGCTCAAAACAATGACAATGTAATTAACGATGTGAAATTCCACCACAGTGGACAGCAAGACAAATATTGTAAGTTTCGTCAGAAGAAGCCCAAGAACAGAGGAATGGAAGGAGCACTGCATGCGATGGACACAGGTGGCAGCAGAAAGCGATGCTTTCTTACATCTCTATCTGGAAGGGAACTAACTCCTTTTTTAAAAATTATCTCTCCTAATTATCTTAACCTAATTATCTCTCCTAATTATCTTAACAGTTTCTACCTCTAAGCTGGTTTGCTATTTCACCAGCTGGTCCCAGTACCGAGAAACTTCAGGGCGTTTTGTTGCTGATCAGATTGATCCAAATCTCTGCACCCACATCATTTATGCTTTCGCCAAAATAAGTGGCAACCAGCTCGAGCCCGGTGAATGGAATGATGCCACTACATATGGGACTCTCAATCAGCTTAAAAGGTGGGTAACATAAGAAGGCACATACAAAACATGAAACACAAAGGGGACCCTACCTCCACAGCATCCTCTATTGTTGACGCAGCCCACGCTGAGCCTAGCTGGGACTTCTCTTACAGGGAGTGAGTGGGTCTTGGGTCAAACTACATATGAAGATGTAACTTAACCTCATATGTATATTTTACAATAATAAATAGTCACCGGGGATGGTGATCAGAAACATGGTGTGTGCTTGGACATGGCTTGTTTAACCCTTCCCCTCCACCATGGTCCCAGTGATAATTAGCCCCTGATTTTGTATCTAAAATGAAGCTCTCATTGGAGCCAATGGAAACTTTCATCTTCAAAAATGAATGCTTTGGGACAGTTCTTGGTATAACCATGGCAGGGAGGTTATATCATATCCACCATGATTCCAATCCTAGTTGCCTCCCCAGCAGTAGCTAGTGTTCACTGTTTTCAGAAGGGTAAAACCCAAGTGTTATGTAGCATGCAGTGTGGACCCCCAGACTCTATCTCTTGCAAGACACCAAGTGCCTTGACTGTTTCCTCAGTGCAAGTCACTGCACTTTCCACCAGCAATGGAATCAATAATGCTGATAATTAAACCACTGTGAAATGAGAGGTCTCATTTACTTAACTAACTTCACAGGTTGATGGGTATTTGGGGTTCAAATATCACATTGTGTTGAGTTGTATTATTCTTTCTCAAACTTTTTTAAAGTAAAAGCCTTGAAGCAGTCTCTGGCAGGTTGTTTCTGAGCAGAAGAGGAGTGTATCAAGGGACACAACTTTACTCTAACCTCTCCAGCTGTTCATCAGCTGAAACAATTATTTAAAGTACTCATCACTGCTTTGGTAGCACTAAATGAGGGATGGTGAAAAATATGCTACTTCCAAGTGTATCAAATGCTCTGATTATTCCATACAGCCTATTACTCAGAATGCTTGGCCTACTGCCAGTCTCCCCTCCCCTTCTGCACAATCCAGAGAAAATTAATTAACTGTGCACATGTAACACTCTGGATGATGTTCTGTGCTATAAAAAACCCAAAGTTGACTTCTGCTTTGCTGAAATCATTTTTAAAAAATATCCTAATACTCTTTATTTTATTCACTCTTTTCTTCTTTAGAAATCGCAACTTGAAGACCCTTCTCTCTGTTGGTGGAGCTCTCATGGGACCTGAACCGTAAGTCTAGAGCTATCTGTTTACAGTCGTACCTTGGATCCCGAATGCCTTGCGAGTTGAACGTTTTGGATCCCGAATGCCGCAAACCCAGAAGTGAGCGTTCTGGTTTGCAAACGTTCTTTGGAACCCAAACATTGGACACGACTTCTGCGGCTTCCGATTGGCTGCAGGAGCTTCCTGCAGCCAATCGGAAGCCATGCCTTGGTTTCCAAACATTCTGGAAGTTGAACAGACTTTCGGAATGGATTCTGTTCAACTTCTGAGGTACCACTGAACTTAATTTTTGCTTATGCCAGTAAAAATCATAAGTGAAAAAAAGCCAAAGGTTTCTCTTCCAAAGTGGCCTGTCCTTTCAGTATAGCAAGTATACTTCCCAGAAGTGGGGTTGACACCTTGCTGTAAACTCTCTCTCTGAACATGTGTGGTGATGGTCAGAGCCTGGCTATTTCCACATTTCTCCCTGTCTAACTGTGAGACAGCCTAATGCTTCTTGACACCTCCAGTGGGAGGGTGAGCATGGGCAAACCCTGGTGTATAAAGTTGCACAGTGAACCATTCTTCTCTTGGATTTTAGATTACAATTCATCTCAGCAAGTGGGACCTGCAACAAAATGTGTATCTTCTTCCTTTAACAAGAGTGCTGCTTTCCAGTGCTCCAGTCAGTCAAGCCCTCCAATATATACTGTGAGCTGTAAAAGGACCAACACAGGCCAATTCACCTTCCCAATTTGCTTTCTTGTTTTCCTATAGTCATCACCAGGGCTGTCTTTAGCATAAGCACTACCGGGGTGCAAAGATCCTCCCAGCACCCCCAAATTAATTTTTATTGAGCTTTTTTTGAGGAGGAAGCCAAAGTTGCTGACCTTTTTTAAGGGGGGAAATCGCTCACCTGCAACAATGACGCAGCGGAATAAATTGCTTTTGTTTCCTGACTCGCTGGTGATATTTGATGCTATGGAGTAGCAGAGCAACGGGGGGGGGGGGAGAGAGAGAGAGAGAGAGAGAGAGACTTTCGCTCCTGTCAGGGAACTGCCATTGACTCAGAGGCGAGAAATAGAAGGGCAGTTGTGTTACAGGGAGCCTCCGAAAATCTTGTGAAGCAGTTCCTCTTCTGGGGAGGAGGAAAGCCCCACCTCCGGTGGGGAAGAGGTGCAAGGACCAGAGGATGCTGGTGGGAGCCTTAACACCACACCTGGGCAAGCTGGACAGGAGGGAAACACACCCTTGCCATCGTCCATCCTGCACAGTAGTCTGAGGCGCAGAGAGGGGCGGAGACGGTTGGGGGTAACAAAATTCTTATGTTGGGGGAGGTCCATAAAAAGACTACTCCCGGATTCTGCTAGCGATTGAGCCAGACATGAGCCTTGGGGCTCTTCACTGTAAATAGTGTGCACCAAAATAAAGCCTGTAAAACACAGCTCGGAGTCCTGCCTGGTTACTCTCAAACTGCAACAGCCACCTGACAGCTCCATTGCTTTTCACTGTCACCGATCGAGAGGGACCGGTCGGTATACAGTAGGTATACATTTGGCACACACCCCCCCAGAATTCAGCACTGGGTGCCCCGCACCCCTTGCACCACTGGGTAAAGATGGCCCTGGTCATCAACAAGTTTTTCCAACCCTTCTGTTGGCTCCCTTTTGTTTTCCAGTGGTCCATTTCTGTTGGCATGGTGTACTGAGTTTTTTTATTGGAGGGAGTGATACTTTCAGTATGAATACTTCTCTGCCCGTGGAAACTTTTTTCCAGTTATTGTGGAATACTTCAATCATCTACTGTAAAAAATAATAATAATGGCTTCATTTTATTTCTATGAAAAACACAAAGTAATCAAGAATCCCTCTACGTTTTTGTCTCCTGTCTGTAATAGCTTTAGAAGAATAACTGCATCTCCTGCCACACGCTCAGAATTTGTGATGTCTGTGTTGCAGTTGCTTCGGACAAATAACTTCGATGGCTTTGATCTTGCTTGGCCCTTAGCAGAACTGTCTGATAAAAGCCGTTTGACTAACCTGGTTAAGGTAAAGCAAAACACAAATCATCCTTATGCAAATACATTTAACAAAGAAATTGATTCAAAAGACAGTGATGGGAAGGAATTACAAATAATAACTTACGATTTCTGTTTTGACTATGTCTTTGTTTTGTTTTTGCTCCACCGCTTTCTGTGCAAAACCCTGCTCTTTACCACTGAATTGGCACAAACAGCAATCTACAGAAAAAAACTAAAAGCCATTTGCTTCAATTCAGCTGTAAAGATCAGGTTTTTCTGGGGAAAGATGTGGGGCAAAGGGAAAAAAGCACTTGGATACAGAATGGGAAAATGTGGACTGATGCCTTGAAAATGTAGGGTAGAAGATAACTGTGGATAAGTCCTCAGATGTCTGAAGAGTGGAAGGCCAGGAGAGAGATTTCTTTGTGGTAGCCCCCAAATTGTAAAACTCCCTCCCTACACAAGTGAATCTAACAGCATCATTATTCAGCTGAAAAGGCACCTCTTTGCTTTTGACAGGCAAAAAATATTTTTGTGACCTACTTGAAAACTAGGAATTAACCTGATTGGGGTGGTTGTGGGTGGGTGTGAATGGTTGGTTATTCTGTTTTAAGTTGTACTGCTCTATTTCTTACCCCTCCTTCACCATAACATCCCAGGGCAAGTTACAATAACAAAATTGCCCTGGGATGTTATGGTGAAGGAGGGGTAAGATTCATAGTAGTAGTTGCCGCTGCATTAATCCTCCGCATCACCCATTAGGATCTGTCTGTAGCATTTCGGAGGAGGGGTCAGAAAAGACTCTTACTGAGTGTTGCAATACCCGCTGGAAGAGAAGCCATTGACAAAGGTTATGATATTCAGACAATCTCAGAGTAAGTACCTTTTAAAAAAATTAATCTACATTAAACATTAAACAGCATACTGGGTGGGGCAATTACAGTGAGCAAGCAGTACATTTCTTTAGTTCCAGTTTAAATGGTTCAGGCAAGCAAACAGATGCTATAATGATGATTTAGGGCTTATTTGCACAACTTTCTTTGTGTACCCTGAGAAGGGTGGTATACAAATTTAATAAATAACAGTAATTTACTTTCATAAATAATATTTATTAAGTTTTCCAATTTAACAATCCAGTAAAAACTACATAAAAACATTCCAAATTATAATGCAACAAAACAGCCAAATAATCATGCCAAATTATAAATCTGAAGTTCAGGGAGTGATGATCTAATGTTGTTATTGCATTCCTTAATTAGTCAGATAATCCTGATAAACATTTCCAAATGTTGATCCTTTGTTTATTTTTAACATCCTCTGAGTTCGTTTAGACAAGCGGATTAGTCCTTTGTAATTCTGTGTCAAATATTGTCCTGTAATCCAACATTCTCATCCACTTTCACTTTCTGCATTTCTTACTGCATCACAGCCAAGACCGGAGGAGATGTTGCCTCTTCGCCATTAGCACCGGGCAGATATCTAAAATTCCCTCCTGTAATCTTTTCCCAGCTGCTAATGAGTTGATGTTTCCGTAAAAAACACCGTAGCTCCCATCGTAAATTCTTTTTATCATTCAATTAAAGGTCTTTGCCAGAATCATAGTCCAAATTTCACACAGTCAATTTTGTAGTTAAACCATAACAATAATGATAGCAAGATACTCTTTCAGTCCTGCTTCCTCATTTCAAACCGTACTTCGGGGGAGATTTGCCAAAAAAACCCAGCAAATGCAAAATATATCAAAAGGAAGTAATGGAGGCTCACCTTCCCAACATACCAATAGTTGCAACGAAAGTCCTTCTCCAGGTCGAATCCTTGGCACCCAGTGGCTGAATCAGTTAGCAGAGTACTTTATATTCCCTAGTTCAGAGCATGCCTGCTAATTAAGCCCGAATTTTATCTTAAAAAATAGGTGTCTGCTACTTATGGCAACAGCTTTGGAGAGTTGTCAAGAAGTGCAGTGCAATGCACCCAGCGCCCCCTGCCCCCCACATTAAATAACAGAAATTTAATATCCTCAACATAAAGTGCCTTTTTCAGTTGTAAGGTAGAGGTGAGACCAAAAAAATGTCAGCTCACAGTTTTGCTCCAAAATGGTAAGTAACTACAAATAGATTTCCATTCTGGAAGGCTAGTGTGGATGACATTTATTAAACCTAACAGAAACGGAAGATAACTGTAGTTATTCCCCAAGGGTCTCGAGTAACCATTTGTTCTTCTTTCTCTAGATATGTTGATTTCATTAACTTCATGACCTTTGATTTTCACGGCGCCTGGGAAAGTTTCACAGGCCATTTAAGCCCCCTTCAGAAGAGCACAGCTGACAGTGGATCTGCATCCTACTACAATGTTGTAAGTTGTCAGTCCAAGGACTCTGTTAAATATTTCAAAGGGCTTTTCCATAAGCTTTTTTTAAAAAAAATGCCACATGTTTTCTTCACTGTAGCAATAGTAAAGCTAGCCTGGTGGACAAGGTTCTGAACCAAATTGATTTAATGGCTGGCACAAGATAGATTCACCTCTACCCCCATTAAACAGATGATTAACTCAAGCAGATGGATAGGGGACAGATTTCCCAAATAAAACAGTCTGGTACTAAAACAGCCTGGTATTCAGGATCCTGCATTTTTCCAAGGCACATGCAACCCATAGATAATAGCATTGAGCAACAGATCTGCAACATGTCCTGAACAGGCAGGTCTAGGAATTAGAAAGTTGACCTGTTTAGCATGGGGAGAACCTCACTTGAAGAAAACATTTCATAGCTTAAGGAGTACTCCTTGATTCAGCATTGTCTTTGGAGGTCTAAATGACATCAGTGGCTCAAAGTGTCCTTTTCCAGCTATGTCTGGTAAGCCATGGTCATTTCTGGATCATAAGAGCCCTGACACAGTGATCTATGCTCTGGTAACCTCTTGGTAGATTACTGTAATATGGTCTTCATGGGGCTACCCTTGAAGATAGTTTGGAAGCTCCAGCTGAGGGGAAACACAGCTGCTAGAATCTTGAGTGGTTCAGTCAGGTCCTTCTTACCCTGTCAATTGGTGAAGTTTAAGATAGGGCCTGTTCTGTGATAACACTTTGGTTCTCCCTCAAAGTGTGGTTGGTGCCATCAATGCTTCCTTTTCAGCAGCAGCTAAAAACACACTTCTTCAGCCAAGTTTTTGCTGGGAATACTTTACTGGGTCACATAGAAACTGATCATGGTGCTGCATTACATTTTGGGCCAGGGATGGGCAGCAACATGAGGGCTGAGAGAATGTGTGGGCAGAGGAGGCAAGCGGGGAGGAGGAAGATCTAGGGGAAGGGGTCGGTGATGTGTGGGGAGCTGGAGGAGGTATTGGAAGCTGAAGAGCCTGTGATGGGTCCAGAGAGAGTGGTGCCTTTGGAATCGCCTCTATCCTTCCCCACCACTGTCTCCATACACAAGGAGGGACTTGAAGTGACAGGAGAAGCTGGAGCTGTCACTGAGGAGGAGCTATTGGGTGCTTGTGTTGGCCATGTCAGACAAGGGCATTTAAGAAATCAGGAAGAGGTGTGGCTATGTTGTTGCTCAAATGTCCAAGATGGAACACAGGTCTACAGAGATAGATTGCCTAGAGAGCTAGTTAGCGGGGAGTGGTATATCCCTTGCAACTTAGGAGCTGACATAACCGAGTGCTTTGCTGATAAATAAATAACATTCAAGTCAGTTGTCCTCATCATGGGTCTGGGTATGAGCAGGACGTATTGTCATTTTGTATATTTTATCTGAGTTGTTAATTGTTTTAATGGTGTGTTATGTTGTTAACCATGTTGGGACCATGAATGAAGGTTGGGATAGAAATTGAAATAATAAATAAAGAAGTTTAGAAATAACATTCAGTGTCCTACCTAATGTATGCAGTAACTAGACTTCTCTTCCTTCTTCAGGACTATGCTGTGAAGTATCTACGCAGCATAGGTGCCCCAGCTGAGAAGATCATCATGGGAATCCCCACTTATGGCCGGTCTTATACCCTTTCTACCAAGCTGACTGGAGTTGAAGCCCCAGTATCTGGTGCTGGGACACTAGGTCCTTTCACAAAAGAAGCGGGGATACTGGCCTATTATGAGGTAGGGAGGATTTCATTTAAGTTCCCATTTAGCCTATAGAAACCCCAATTCCCTTCTGTCTCATCAATCTCAAGGAGATGGATTCAAATCAGAATTAGGATGGGAAGAAGGCAGGAGAAATTTAACATGAAGTTATCTCATGCTCTGTCTTAGAAATGGTACATAATTAGATATGTGTGGCTCATAGACAACCCAGACATCACATAGGGGTGTGTGTGGAGAGAGAGAGAGAGAGAGAGAGAGAGAATGCACACACCACTATGTCATACAGTCGAAGCATTTCTTCACGCCCATACCCTCCGAGTGTCCTGATTTTCCAAGGACAGACGTGGAATTATGAAAGCCATCCTAGCTTCTGATTTGATCCCAGAATGTCCCTATTTTCCCCACCAGTGCTGCCACTGCTGAGCTTGAGGAGGAGCTAGCACTTGTCCTGAGCAGCAGTGGCAACGAGGGAGCATCCCGTTGCCTCTCCATGGCCTCTCCATGGCCGCCACTGCCTACCTCCTCCCTTGGGCAGCTCATAGCGGCTGCTGAAGAGCAGGTGAGGAGAAGAAGCTGCTGCTGCCCAGGCCCACCAAATGTGCTGGCTCTGAGGGGCAGGCAGAGCACAGGGCCGCCCTGGGCAGGAAAAAAGGGGAAGCGGAGCAGAGAGCAAAGAGTCTAGATTTTTTTAAGCTTTGTGCACCCACATTTAATCTTGTCCCTTTCTAAAATTTATTTATTGGTGTGTGTTTTTCTTTTTAAATCTACCAAAGCTAAATAAAAAAGGAATAAGGGGTTTTCTCAGGGCGTTAGCGTGTAAGATGTGTCCCGTTGGTATTGTGGTGGTGGCACTTGCCATTCTTCTGATAGGAAATGCTCTGTGGGGGCAGGACCAAAAAAGAGGGGTCAAGGAGAGTCAATTGGTGGGGGGGGTGAGCAATGTTCTTATTTTCATGAGGAATGTTGGAAGGCAGTGTTTTTTTTCTTTAAAAAATGTTTAGGGGTATTCTCATTTCCCTACTCATATTAAAATACTGCCCCTCAACAAGGCCAAACTTAGATTCACAAAATGTTTAGGGGTATGTGTACCCCCACAAAAAAGCACTGTTGGAGGGTATGCACTCCCAGTCCCAAAGCAATGGGAAAGCTAAAGTCCTCAATCTGAAATAAAGCATTTGCCCTAAAATCAAGTTTAACTGGCAAGAATTGGGAAAGTGGGGGAGTGATGTGTCCAAACTGTACCACTACCTGTGGAATCCCTTTATGGACCTCAAAGCAATGGTATGGGGGAGGGCTTTAAATCTATATCAGATTTTCTCTTCAAAAACATGTGTTGTAGTAAAACTTTAACCTACTTTTTATAGCTCACATATATATTGTTATAGCGTCGTGAGTGCTGTGGAAACGTTGTGGAGAGAGTAGTCAGAGGATAAATGGGAGGACTTTGGAGAACTAACGTGGGGGAAGGTCCTAGCAGGTTGGCAGGTGGAGATCTGGACACAAGGGAAGGGTCTAGTGGCCTATTAGAGGAGAGACCCAATTCTATGAGATCAGACTCCCCAAGCAATATGTCACCAGCTGTGGAGGTGACTCCAGCACCTTCCATTTTCGGTGAAAAGCCTTTCCATCATTGGCAGGCAAAAGAGAGATGTCAGGACAAAATGGTGGCTAGTCCTGTCCTGCAGTAATAGACAATCTGCTAACATCAGCATTCATATTTATGACTTTCAATTTATTCCTGTCAGATCTGTGGCTTTAATTCCGGTGCCAAGAAGGAATGGATTCAGGAACAAAAAGTCCCCTACTCCTATAAAGGGAACCAGTGGGTTGGATATGAAGATGTGGCAAGTGTTCAGATCAAGGTAAGTACTGGCAAATGTCTATTCCCTTTGTCCGTTAAGTTGCATGATCTACAGGCATTGGTAAGGAAAGTTATGAAATTGTGCGAGGATAGGTCCTCTTATTCTTAAAATAGGCCATAGTGGCTGAGCACCTGAATGTCATACAGAGAGATGCCACCACTCAATTTTATTTAGAGGGCAAATCTTGTTTCCATCAAAGATGTACATCAGGATAGGAGCTGGATGATCCCAGCTGCCTACACAGACCATATCTGCAAGGACTAGCAAATTAAGTGGCAAGAAGCAGAATAAAAGAAAAACTGTGACGGGCAGTACAGGTGTCCCCCACTTATGTATAATCAATTTGGTAACAATTCACTAATTCAATTCAAACCCAGAAATGGCAGGAGAGAGCTGGAGAGCACTTGTGGTTCATAAGGATACCCTTTCCAGAGCCCAAAGAGAATATCAGTGAGGGAGGAGGAAGCCCCAAACAGACTGGAGGCACAACAGGGATTTGTTTAGGCTGCTGAGCCTCCCCACCTAGCAGCTGATATATGGAGTAGTGCAGCAGCAGCCGCTTTTCCAGCCTCCAGCCAGCCCCCGAGTTTCAATTCTAGTTGTAGGTATTTTTGAATACAGTATTTTTGGTATGGGTGAAGAGAGAGCAGCAGAGAGGGTGTTTAAGGGCTATTTAGAGGGTACTCTCCACTTTACGAGATTTCATTTAAGCACACGGGGCTCTGGAACGTAACTCCTGCATAAAGGGGGGGCTGCCTGGACATGTTTTTTACAAAGATTTGACTATTGGCTTGGTTTCCATCTAATTTTCTATTTCACTGAGCAATGATACTCAAACGAGGTGGCAAGCCATTGGCTGTTAGATATGAGATTGTAGCTTGGATTGCTATACGGTTAAGCAATGTGCAGGCCTGCTCACAATTCTATTCTCTTATCAGGCTGCCAACATCAGAGAATACAGAGGCCCATAAAAAAAAAAATCCCAGCAAAATATCACTTTGCTGCTTTGCATGTATGAGCTGTCACAGAATACATGTGTGCACTTTGGGATCATATGGGAATTTGTTGCGCAATGTGCATGAATATGCTGTTAATGCACTGTGCCGTGAATGTGAATGCATGTGCATTTGACTGCCATGTGGAAATCCAGCCCTAACAGAAGACCTATAGAGGTGGCTGGTACCATCCTAGAAGATATGTTTGTCAAAGGTGTGCATGTGCAGTATGGTGGCCTTCTTGCTGCTTGACAGACAGATGTGTCTCTATTGAGGAAATGACAGCAGTAGCCTTTTTTACACATCTGGACCACAGCGTAGACTAAGACGCTTCCACAGCCCAGTTTTCACACCATGGTAAACCATAATTAATGGGTTGCTGTGGGTTGCTTTGTTCTTCTCTGCCTTGTGTATGGAGAACACAAAGTACTACAGACTGGTTTGGATGTAATGTTAAGAAAGGGGGTAATTTGTTTTTCCCCAAGCTAGCAAGATGGGAACAAAACAGCCGTGTTTGGTTCATGCATGGTAAGTCATGTTGTATGGCGTACCAGGATGTGCAAACTAAATCCATGTGTGGTATGCAAAAAAGTTCCATAAAATTTTACATTTGATATAGAATTTGTTTTTGTTTTTAAATTCTTTTTTCCCTTTCTTTCTTTTTTAATCTTCTTTAGGTTCAATACATGAAGGATAATCAGTTGGGAGGTATTATGGTTTGGACACTTGAGCAGGATGATTTTTCGGGTTCCTTCTGCAACCAGGGAAAATACCCTCTAGTTGGTGCTATTAAGAAAGAACTAGATAAAAAAGCTCCAGTTTTTGCAAGAGGATAATCTTGAATATCAGGAGAACTGTGAAGGCATGCTGGAGCTTATCTGTTTCTTCTAGACATGAATGCAGATGATCCATTTACTATGTGGGAAATGTCAGGAAGTTTATTTGGTTGTTAAATGCATGCTAAAGTGCTATAATGTAGACGGCCATAGCAAGTTTTCTATTATTTCTTGGTTAATGTTACTTCCTAATTTGCTGTACTGCTGTGAAGTGAAGACATCGTTTCTCCACATCCCACTCTGTGCTTCTGCAGTCTTTCATCACTATTGCCAAGTTCCTGGATGAAGGGCTATGAAGTTACTGGTTAAGTCTGTTCTTAGCTGTCTTAAAAATGAACTCACCGTTGTAATTGTGGCGCTTGCATTGGTTTCCAAATATATAAATAATGCATTCGATAAAACACTCTCCTGTCTTTTTTCAGGGAAAGCTTTCTTTTCTTATCCTGCAAAATAGTTATCTCGGAAATTGTGTTTGTGCGTGTATGTCTTGTAATGATGTGTTGGGTGAGGAGGTGTGGCATACAGATTCATAAAAACAGAGTTGGAAGGGACCCTGAGGATGTGGTCCAACCCCTTGCAATGCAGGAATATGCAGCTGTTCCTTATGGGGATCGAACCTGCAACTCTGGCATTATCAGAATGGCACTCTAACCAACTGAGCTATCAAAGTTGTGCCATTAATCTGGTTTAAAATATGTTCAATGTGTAAATGTAATTGCTTTTTTAAAAAAACACTCACAAACAAGCATTTTGCACACACAGGGTGGTATTCAACTAGTATTTACTCAGAGTAGATCCATTGAAATTAAGCAACCTGAGTCATATCTATTGATTTCAATGGATCTATTCTGAGTAAAATCTAGTTGAATGCCACCCATGGAGGCTGAAATTGTCTCTCAGGTCCTTTCCACAAAATCAAGCAAAATCATTTGCACAAAACTCCTGCAAGCCTTAATCTATTGCAAATGTGCCACATTTGCATTTAGGTAAGTGTGCATAGCATTGCAACCATGCCACACAGTGCTATGTTTGTTACCAAGAAGGACAACACCATAACAAGAGGACAACACCATACATTTCAGGCACATTTTACCCCAAAGAATCCTGGGAATTGTAGTTTATATTTCCCAGGATTCTTGGGCACAGGGTTGCTTTAGATGTGCTTTAAGATGTGCATGCAACCTCTCTCCCAAGTGTGTAATCTGGATGAGAGAATGTGTTGCTATCTTCAGTAATCAACTGCAGTCAAGCGCAGTTCTGTATCCAGAAGTTTGTTAAGGGTTTAAGCAATTATCATTATAATTTGTCCAATCCCATTCTTATTAAGTTGAGATCATATTTATGTCCTCTGTACAAGTTGGGGTTATTTCAGCACTAGGGCAATTACCAAAACTTGCCAAGGTCCTAAGCAACATTATATCTTATCTTAATTTTCCCCCAGTAAATGTTTTTATAGGAGAATTCCAAGGACAAATGCTTAATGTTACATTTGCTTTCTAAGGTGTGATTCCTTCAAAGGCCCTGGTCAATTCCATTTGCCCCTTTCTTTCAAAGCAGAGATGGGGAGCCTGTAGTCTTGCAGATGTTGCTGGATTGCAGCTCCCATCATCCCTAATCACTGGACATGCTGACTGGGGCTGATGTGAACTGGAAGTCAGCAACATCTGGAGGATCACAGGTCCCCCAGCCTGGTTTGAGGACCATCAAAAAAAGCTATTTGACTTGTTTCAATATGCATTAAGTCCGTTGTATAGAATGAAAGCATTTTTCAAAGCTGGCTGTAGATTTTTTTGCAGCTGGGTGTTTTTGGCAACTGTCCCTTGCTAAAGTATCTATTTCATTTAGCTATTTCAGCAGTCCAGGTATAAAGGATTTTTGTTTTTGTTTTTGTTTAGCTTTCTTTGGCCTTTGTTGCTGTTGTTAGCTTCAAAGCATTTTTTTAAAATGACAGATTCTGAAAGAAGCACCTGTGAAGTACTGTTTACAGCAGATGTTGTTTCTAGCAAAGATAATCAAGCACATGAGGAGCAATGACCTACAGCTTTGAGGCATTTTAAATGTGCTAGGTTTGCCCTGAATCAGAAACGTAGACCTAATTTGCAAGGCATGTAGTCAGCAATCATGTAGTTTAGCTTCTGATTAACTCTCCCATACTCTGCAAAATTGGTCCATGTTAGCAATTTTATGGGGTTCAAAGCAGTACAAATGTTCGTACATTCTGAGTGAAAGCAATGTAATTCAGGAAGCATTGCACTCACTTTGAACTGACTTCATTCAATTTCAGCGATGTAATTGTGTAGAAAAATCTGATTGGCTACATACACCCTTGTGCAAATTAATTGAAACAAAGCATGTTTTCTATCTTACTCGTAATCCTGTACTCAGAAAACCCACAAAAAGTCAGTTATTATTATAATAATAAAATTTTATTTATATCCCGCCCTCCCCAGCTAAAGCCGGGCTCAGAGTGGCTAACAACAGTAAAAATAGCACAGTTTACATAAAATCACAGTCAATTAATTGAAATACATTCTAAAATCAATTTGGTTGATCATTATGGTGTCAGAAGCCTGCAGCAATGAAAAGAATGATGCACTCGCCACAATATATTGAGGTTCTACGAAAGAGAGTTATTCCAGAGCTGGAAAAGATAATTCTGAGAGTACTGGGATATTGCAGCAGGACCTAGCCCCCTGCCATACATCGAAAGTGGTGAAGAAATTCATGACAGAGCAGCAAATACAGGTACTTGATTGGCCAGGGAATTCCCCAGACGTAAATCCCATTGAGAATTTGTGGGCTATATGCAAAAGTCTCCTCTGTGCTGCAGACTGTCCAACTATGGAGAATCTCATTCAGGTGCTGATTCAAGTGTGGTACAGGGATCCAAAAATCAACAGTGACTGTTTGAAACTAGTAGGCTCCATGCCAAACTGTGTTCAAATGCTGTTTCAAAATAGCGGAGGTCATATCCATTACTAATGTACATATATGTGAGTCTTGTACATGTATATGTGAGTTTTGTACAACAAACTATGAAATTCATTGTTTGTTTCAATTAATTTGCACAAGGGTGTAGTAACAGCAGGAAGAAGGATGAGTTGGGGTGGGGAGGGAGAATGACACAATGGCAGCAGATGGCCGTGAGCAGCATGCTCAGGGAGCATTTTTATCCCTCTCTCTGACAACTCCCATTATTTAAGCAACCTCTGATGGCAGGGGATGCAAGACATTATTCAAGCACTGCAGTAGAACATAGAAAGTTGCCTTATACTCAATCACACCATTGGCCCACTTGACTCAATATTGTCTGTATTGACTGGAAGTGGTCCTCCAAGATTTCAGATAGGAGTCTCTTCCAGCCAAGGATCAAACCTGACTGGGATTGAACTTGGGACCTTCTGCACGAAGAGCAGATGCTCTACCTCTGAGCTATGACCCTTCACAGCATCAGCTTAGCTACAAATTAGAGATCAGCAAATAAAATATGAGATGCAACACTAGTAAACACCCCATCACTGTCAATGTGAATGCAGCAGTACTAAGTCCTACCATTAAGCAGAATAACACACTAGCTCAGGCAGCTGATTTGGGGTGTTATGAAAGGGCAGTGGACTGATAGCTAATGCATTGTTTATTTGTATTTCTACTGCCAGGAAGAGGGAGAGGAAGTCATGAGATACCCTGTCTCAGGGGCCAAAATAACTGTATAGTGTGTTAAATGTGCCGAGACTTGTTAGGAGAACCTGTTTCTCTCACAGAGTGACAATTGCTAGAGTGGTTCTCCACGACAGGCACTGCACCATGAGGAGTGTTGGCTGCTAATTTAATAATGGCAAGAACTGAAGTAACATATAAATGGAAAGCATCAAATGGTTCTAAACACTGCAACCCTTGACACATTGGCTCAGATATAAGAACCCGTATTGGTTAAATGGGACTTACTCCCAGGTAAGGAAGTAGAGAATTGCAACCTTGATTTAAAAATAGACTAAGATAATTGAAACTACTCTGCATGTGCTGAAATTTATTCCCTTAGTTAGATTTGGGAGGAAAGAAGAAACAGGATTAGATTAAATGATATTGAAAGTTAGAATCTTTTTTTATCCGATTGTAATGTGTTATTAAATCAAAATATTCCACTTGGAAATCTCATGGCTTAGAGTTGATTTTGAGTAAGGAGAAAATGTATAAATGCTTATTTTAAATTTATATTCTAATTAAAATTGGGGAAAATATGTGTTACTGAGGATGATATGCTTTGGGCATGAATGGAATTTGTACATGCATGCCTATGCACAGCATAGTACTTTAATTCTTGGTGGCAGTTGATTAGAAACTGGCCTGAACCAATAATTAATTTGCTTCCCAAATAGCTGTTATCTCTCATGCCTCACTAAGGGCTCGTGGATTTGTTTCCAATGTCATTTCTCTGCAATTAAATGGTCCATTTTCAACACTGTAATTACATAAGCAAATCTTACTGATACATATGTTTGCCTTCCTTATCCAATACCCAATATCTTTGGTAAATTTTGAGTGGAAGGGTATAACATTGATTTAGGATCTGGGATGCAAAAATAACCTTCCTCTTTCAATGCATGCCTGCTTAATCCCAAACTTCAGAAGATTGGGATGAAAGATAATATTCCAAGGTGAAGAGGACGGTCGGTATAATAATTTACTTTAGTTGTGTCTACCAATGATTACATATTAACTTTCTATTTAATTTTGGGGAGTGGGGGCATCTGAAGTCACATGTGTTCAGAAGGAGGTGGGAACTGAATGTTTCTTATAAAAAGGAAACAGAAGATGAAACAACCTAGTACACAGGTATCAAAATGGGCAAACTACTCCTTCTGACTGGTGAGTAGGACAGGCTCAGCTTACCACTGAGCTGGCAAAAGTTTCCATCTCTCTGTCAATCTATCTCTTTTTGTTGTTCTCTGCCTTCATCAACACACTATTCTAGTCTGACCTAGCTTACTTGCAGGCAGTCTTTCTGTCCACGTACATCTATAGACTACCTAGCTATAGTAATTTGATGGCCATTCTAGAAAATGTTCATAAATTGACTAGAAACTGTGATGGTTTAGGAAAAAATAGGCCTCTTACTAAAAACATAAGAATAAAAACAAATTATAACAGATGTTTTTAGGCTGGATGACAAGAAATGCTTCCAACAGTAAGAACAGGCGTAGATTAGAATAAATTTTAGAATTCCTTGCTCTAGAGTTTTAAGAGACTGAGGGAAATTTCTCAGGATGTCTCTTAAGTCTCAATAATTTTGTTAACATGTGGAACTAGGGTAGGTGACCCACAATATCTTTTTACAGCAACAAATGAGTCAGGGTAAAGCTACACAGTATCTCAGCAACCACATATTCCCAATCCTGCATTTGATAACGTCAATGTGGAGGACACTTGAAGGAGACAGAGGTGGACTGGTGGGGCAGATTGCTGGGCTACAACTCCCATCATCCCTGACCATTGGCAATGATGGCTGAGACTGATGGGAGCTGCAGTCCAGCAACATCTGGAATTGTTCCCCATCGCTGCCTTATTTAGGAAACAGGATTTGGGGAGCCCCATGTTTTCCTCATAAATGTGAATTTCCACCCATTATATCTATGCCATTATGAAGAGGATCCCAGAATCCAAGTATTTATTTATCATACATCTAAGACAGGACCACAACATATAACAAACTGAATTGTCTGTCTCATCAAGCCAGTAACCATTGCTTGCAATATATCAGGACAAACCCATGGCTTGCTTCAAAAACTTCAGAGATCTACAGCAAAACCACCTGATGAGAACACCATTGACTTAAACAGGCTTAGGAGTAATGCTGTCTCTCAAAGGAACCATGGGTGAGAAAGCCTAGGGATCTATAACAAAGTATTCTCAATTGATCAGCACCCTTAACAAACTACGCTTTCCATGATTCTGTTGGGGGAAGCCATGACACTGATGCAGACAATGCAAGTTTGTAGTGTAGATCTGTTCACTGACTTGTAGTTGGGGTGAACTAAGAAATATACATGACTAGCTTCTGTGTTTGACTAACAATGGAACTTTTCTTTCATAGGTCTGGCTCTCCTGCTGCATGTGCAGCTGGGTAAGTTGTAGCAAATCTCATTTCATTTCATTTTATTCCATAAAAAGCAATAGCTAAAAGAAGCTTCTCCTCTAGTAAGCAATTTGAATGCACTGGTTGACTTTAACCTTTCAAACTGCAGGTGCATCTACCAATATTGTCTGCTACTTCACCAACTGGTGCCAGTATAGACCTGGTATTGCACGTTATATGCCCGAAGATCTTGACCCATGCCTATGTACTCATGTCATCTATGCTTTCGCGGGCATGGCAAACAACCAGATCCAGACCATCGAGTACAATGATGTGGCTCTCTACGGTGGCATCAATGGACTCAAAACCTAGTAAGATTCAGCTGTTTGACATACAACATTCAACACAAGGGGCAGAATCAAGAGAATTAATTTCCAGTGAAATAAATGGGGATTGAGTATTAAGTTTAAATCCCATGAACTTCCATGCAACTTTAGCTCCATGTTTTTCTATGGCTTTCGCCTAATTTTTGCATTTCCTATTCCATTTCAATAATATACCTGTCTTTCATATTAGCAAAAATCAGACATATATGATACAGAAGGTAAAAGAAAGTAATATATGGGTGTGTCTGCTCCTTTTTCCAGGCAACTTTCTGCCCACTTTCATAACAGAAGCACACTTTTACATTTTGCTTTCTGGTTTCTTGAAGCCCTGGACAGGCTCCCTCCTAAATTTGCTCCAAAACTCTCGCAACTCCCCAGATTCTGAGGGAGTATAGAGAGGAATGAGAAGCAAATGTCCAATTAGATCTCACCATCTGTTGCATTTTTATATTAACAATCGCCCTTTCTATGCAATTCTTAAAGGGTACAGGAATTCTCTTTGGATCTATCCCTGCTTGTAAAGTTTGTGTGGATATTTCAATTCTTTCTTTTTAAAGACAGCCCGCTTGTAACTGTTTTTCATATGGTTCCGAGTCTCTTTAATGACCTTCCAAATAATTTGTTTACAGCAATCCTGACCTGAAAACCTTGCTGTCTGTTGGAGGCTGGAACTTCGGTACCCAAAAGTGAGTTCCTCTAGGAGATCCCCTCCCATATTTAGCACTAGGATGATCAGGTGAAAAACAGGACAGGGCCCCTGTGCCTTTCATAGCTGACCAGAAGAGAGAACCTCCACAACTGCTGAAATTTCCTCTTCTACACAACTGGTGCAGGTGCCCTGTCCTCTGTTCCACCTGGACATATTGTTTAGCACCGTCTCCAAGCTTGCTCTACATTAGCTGTTCTATTTCCCTGGCCCATAAATTAGCACATCTGAGAACTGTTTTCCCTTCTTCCAGCTCCTTAACTAGTGCAGTATGGTTCTACATTAAAGAAGCCAAGGACCACTTTTACATGTACAAATCTAGTCACATGTATGTGGATGTGTGTGAGAGTTGTGTATTGTGAGGATGCTCCCTGTGTCTCTCTTTTTGTTTCCTGCTCCTTGTGTGCATCTGGAAGTAGATTCCATGTTTCTGCTTCCAAGTAGTCAGAAAAAGCAACTTCCAGGGGCAGGGGGCAACTTTCATCTCACAAGATACATACACACATCTCTGTACTGGATTAAATCCATAGATACACATTTTTACCACGAGAAGGGGTCTGGATATGCTGGGTACGCTACCAGGAACAACAGGAAAGTATCTTCAAGTCCAAACAATGAAGATTAATGTAAGCTGTTCCTCAGAAGGGAGGGAACTCCGGTTCACAGCCAGTGCAATTGGACTTGGACTGGAGACACTTGGGTTGAAATCCTTGCTCAGCTATGGAATTCACTGGGTGGCCTTGGGCAAGTCACTGTCACCCAGACTAACCTATCTTGCAGGGTTGTTGAGGAGATAAAATGGGATAACAGTTAATATCACACTTAACACCTTTGTATGCATGTGGGAAATTAACATGCCTTAAGAGATGTGAGGAATATTATCAGAAAAGAATAAATATTTGGATTTTAAGGTTAAGTGACTGAAGATATCTCCTTCCTATCTAAATCAGGGATAGCATTATGGAGCAGGAAATCAAAACCTCTAGTTTGGGGAGGGAAACCTATGACCCTCCAGCTACTTTTGGACTCCAAAACTCCCATGAACAACAGTCAGCACGGGCAATGGTCAGGGGTGACCAGAGGTGGAGACCAGCAACATCTGGAGGGCTGAAGGTTCCCCAGCCCTCCTGAAGTCTGTGGAATTCAGAACTTAACAATCTCAAAAGGCAATGCTGTTTGCAATAATCAAAGTATCTGGAAAGCACTAGGTTGGTGAAAGCTAGCTCAGACCATCAGCAGCAGATCTAATTAAGCTCTATGGTTTCAGATTTGTGGAGCTGATCATTCCAACCTTCCTCTTTGCAGGTTTTCTGACATGGTCTCCTCTGCTCAGAACCGCCAGACTTTCATTCAGTCTGCCATCTCCTTCCTGCGCAAGTACGGCTTTGATGGGTTGGATATTGACTGGGAGTACCCTGGCAACAGAGGCAGCCCCGCTGATACCCAACAACTTTTCACAGTCTTGCTCAAGGTTGGCTTCGACAATGTGCTCTCTCTGTATCTAGGTGACTAATATAGCAATGAAGGGAGGTTTGTTCTGGAATTTTACCCAGTGCTATTTGTCTAGGCAACGCAATCACTAAAACAGATATAATAACACCTCCATGTCTTTAGGGTAGGATACATTTTTTCTCATTCTTTCCTGGGCTGGATCTAGACACATCAAAAAAGTGTTTCAGGAAAATGAGTTGTGAACTTTATTATGGGAAATATAATGTAGCTGAGTACCCTGTTCGTGTTCCAATAATCTGCATCTCAGAAATATTAACAGCATTTGTGATGCTCATAGTTTGAGGCAAATGGTGGGTAGAGAGCTTCAGAAGTCGATATAGAGGGAAGTGAGACTGTGATTACAGTTTTTGATTAAATAACTGCATGAGTGGAATGACTTCTTCTTCTGCCCACTCCCCCCACCCTCTGTGCATGCCCAACACCATCCCCATCTCTACTCAGGAAAGTTAGACGGGGGACCCAGAACAGATCGGGGGGGGCATGCAGAAAGCGGAGAAAGTTCCATCAAGCAAGCGGAAGTCATTCTGCTTATGCAAGGAGCTACTTAGTGCTACGTTGAATACAACCCAATTTTCTTAGTTACCCTGTGCCTTACATTCTGGAACATCACTTCATTATGTCCGCAAAGCCAAGCATTTTAAACATTTTTTTAAAACCATGACCCTGAGATTAAGAGTCTCATGCTCTACCAACCAGACAATGAAGACTTTAAGAACTCAGATAAGGGTGTGTGTGTGTTCTTAAAAGAGTAGCTTAGTGCTGGAGCTACAAATTTTCTCTTAGGAGCAAATGTCTGCACTGCTGCTCCCTTTATCCCTCCTAGTGTGCTTACTCCAGAAGCAGGGGGGAGGTTGAAAAGGATAAAAATTATTTCCCCCTTGACCACCATTCCACTCATCCATACACACACAGGAGCAGGCACAGCAAGTCTGTAGTTTTTCCACCATCCCAACCTACCTCCTGGGGCACTTGCCCCCTCTTGCCCCCTACCCTCGATCCAGACCTGGAGTAGCTTGTGACAATTCACTTCTTCCAATAACAGGAAATGTATGAAGCTTTTGAACAGGAGGCTTCTCAAACCAACAAGCCCAGATTGTTGATCTCTGCAGCTGTGTCTGCTGGTGTGGGCACCATTGAGACTGCTTACCAGATCCCAGAGATGTCTAAGTAAGTTGCATGTGGATATCTTGGCTCATTGTAAGCTAGCATAGACAATACGGACGTAGCTGGCCCAATGGTTTCATTTGGTATAAGGCAGTTTCCTATGTTCCTAAGAGGAGACAGGCGTACACAGTGGAAAGACACTGGCATTGGGGTAGACTGGTCATTATGGCAATTGCACCATAGCTTAGGACTTCTGCTGCAGTGATCACCCACTATCGTAAAAGCTGAGAGCTTCTTGGGTTGGAGTGGGTGCTTCCTCACTTTGCCAAACACTAATAAAAAAAATCCAGAATATGATGGCTGGTTTCCTGGTCACATATCAGGCAAGCAGTGTTTATGTCTATGGCTCAGCACTTCAGTGAAATCTGAAATAACAAGAGCAGCAAAGATTAAACAGAGAGTACCTGCCTATCTCCATCTACTGTATCTGCCTGTGATCTTGCCTATACTTGTCAGTTCAGGAAAGAGGAAAGAATGTGACTTATGTGGCAGAGGACATGCACAAGCTAAATTATGTTTCAGCACGGAATTCTTTACATCCTTTAGCATAGTCTGAAGTAGATACATAACAGTTTATTAATGTGTGCATTGGAGCATATTACTGTGTTCACCAGTGACAAAAACAAACATTATCAGTAATGCTGAAGTGATTGATGAAAGTCTCTGTGTGGATCTTGTGTGTATTGCATCTATACCCTGCAAATCTCACAAATCTTGAGAGGCTGCCCCATGCTCAGTGATTGGGAACTTGGCAATATCTACATTGTATTAATATTAACAATTAAACTCTATTGCAGAAGCAAGACACTTTGCCTTCTTACTTATCAATGATTTGAATCATGAGACCAAACGAGATAGGGACCTGAGAATCACCAGAGATGGCTGAGGATATCATATAATAATGCCTCCGGGCTAGAATCCTAACCAACTGAAATCTGATACATTTTCGGGGTGAGGGGTACAAGACGACAGCATCAATGCATGCCAAATGGCCAGTTTTAAATTTGCATAAATTTAAATGAATTGTAATGTTGAATACACTGAAACTGATATATAGAAATGTGCAACAGCCATGATTCTTCCCTTTTCTCTGATAGAAGTGGCAGTGATTAGTTAGCAGAGTAAACACATATGAGGAAAGGGTCCAAAGTTTTCCTTAGAGGAAAATAAATTTCTGGACTGACATATTTGCCTATTTGCTTCCCTCACGTCCCTCCAAGGTACATGGATCTGATCAATGTAATGACTTATGACCTCAGAGGATCCTGGGAAGGTTTCACTGGTGAGAACAGCCCTCTGTACGCAGGCCCTGAAGACCAAGGCTCCTATATTTACTTCAATGTGGTAAGTGACTGAACAGAAATGAAGGGTTTCCTTTATCATCAATCATATCCTACATATTCAGCTGCTGAATATGTAGTTCAGAATTGTCCCATGATTTGCCTTCTGATTGCCTCCTCAATGTTCTTTCCACCAGGACTATGCTATGAACTACTGGAAGAAGAATGGTGCACCAGCTGAGAAGCTGATGGTGGGATTTGGAGCCTATGCTCGCACCTTCACCCTGAGCAACCCTTCTAACCATGGCCTGGATGCACCAACCTCTGGGCCAGGAAGAGGTGGGGCCTACACCCAAGCAGCTGGGACGCTGGCCTATTTTGAGGTAAAACTCTGGCACAGTTCTTGCAGCGATCCTGAACATTTGTTAGTTATCATGATGTCCTGCATTTTCTTTTCTTTTTTTAATTATAGCTTTTTATGTACTACTGATGCAGTTTTGCATCTGGACATTGCACTTGTGAGCCAATATAGTTATCCAGTTTATTTCTGTATAGTTTCATGTTCCTGTTTTTGAATGGGTGTTTATTTGTTGCTTTCTGTGCCAAGGAGCATAATGGCCAATTCTCGCATTCAGAAAGTGTGCTGTTTTTAAGCCAGCATCTGCTATCCTGGTGCCCTCCAGATGTTTTTGACTAAAACGCCCATCAGCCTGCTTTAAACTATGGCAATGTGCAAGCCACTCTTTGCACTGTTGGAGCTGACGTGGTTGGAAGGAATGAAATTTTGTGCATCTGCCTTCTTTCCCTAATAAAATTCTAAGGCCAACTATGATTTCCACATTTCTCTTCCCCTCACAGCTAACATACACTCATATGATTTCGGGAAATGGGTGTAAATAACCCAATATAGTTTAGCTAGCCTTGGGTAACTAGATCAAACATTTTCATTGGCTTAATCCAAGATATTGTCTCCGCAGGTCTGTACCTTCTTGAAGGAGGGTGCCACTGTTGTGTGGAATGCTCCCCAGGAAGTCCCTTATGCCTATAAAGGAAATCAGTGGATTGGCTATGATAACCCTAAGAGTTTTGGTATCAAGGTAAGCCTGTTTATTGTCTCCATATTCTGCCCTTATTCAGCACTCTTCTAAAATGGCCAGAGGCTCCTCATGGAAGGCATCTTGCCTTTCTTCTCCCACCTTCCCCATTCCTGTGGAGCGTGATGCCATCAAGCTTTCTTTGAAGAAACTGCAGGTTTAGACTGTGTTGAGTCTGAAAGGTCAGAGGAGAAGGATTTCTAGGGAGCTCAGGAGGAACAAGCTCCCCCCACCCTCCCTTTTAGAAGCCTAATGGGGGAGTGGTATCCATTATGTTCCACCTGTATATTTATGCTCTGCCTGTATATTTGTATAGAATATGAAAATATTACACATCTTAAGTCTCCCATGACCATATAGAAAGAAAACTGCACCCAAGTACACACACCCAGGAAAACTGGGGATAGTGGAACAATTATGTATTATTTCCCCCCTAAATAAAAACTTGATTAACTGAGTTTCATGCCTCTAACAGTGCAAATCCAAGTCTGCGTGTGTGTATATATATATATATATATATATATATATATATATATAAACTCAATATAGTTCAGCTGGATTTTTTTCTCCAAATATGGTTAGGATTTCAGACTATCTGTTTAGGATTTATGTAATTCCTTAACCTATTTCCTGTAACTGCAGCTTAAAAAGTTACAGACCACAACTCTGGAGTGTAGAGTCAAGCCGTTTATGCTCTCTCTCTATCTTAGCAACTCAAGGGAAAGATAGCTCTGGTTCTCATTTATTAGATAATGCTTAACCGTCTAACTCACAGGCTAAGTGGCTGTTGGAGAACAACTTCGGAGGAGCCATGGTCTGGGCTATTGACTTGGATGACTTCACTGGCACATTCTGCGGGGAAGGCAAATACCCCCTGATGAATGCCTTGAAATCTGGATTGGGAGTCACCACACCAAGTGAGTAGCATACTCCTGTTGGCAGGATAGAACAAAGTGCCTGGCATGCCCAGAAACCTTCATTTTGTCTGTATGTGAAATAGTGCTACTGACTCCTATTGTGTGTTCATCTCTGTCCTCTTTGGCTCATTTCTTTTGAGGCAGTATGGCTGGTCCAGTACTGAAAAAGCCACTGGGTGTGATGATAATTATCTGGATTTCAGTAGATGGGAGGCGGAATTTAACCCTTTCCTTTTCTGCTATGGTCCTTAGGAAAATCCCGCCTCTGAAGTCCTTACTTACTTTGGACGCCTTCCTCTCAATGCAAATATTAGCTGAATTTTCAGAATGGAGGGAAAGGTTACATTTCCCCCGCTACATGGGCTGCAGCCCCAGTCATTATCCTGCATACATTCTCTGCCGGTTATATTTTTGCAAAGATACGGTTAACGTCATGTCTAGTCTGGCCAGGGCTTCTTTTGCCACGCTCTGTTAAATTTAAAATTCTCCTTGAATGAGGTTTGTGTTTATGAGACTTTTGTTCCTCACTCCTAGTGCAGGCAATATTGAAAGATATTCCCAAAAGTCTGCCTCAGTTTAAGGCAGCCTTCTGTGTTCCTAAAGTTCTAATGCCATTCTCATCTTCCTTTCAGACTGTAAGGTGCCTGCAACAACCCTTGGCACTAATGCTAATCAGCCTGCCCAGGCTACAACAGCAGCCCCATCTGGTGGTGGAAGCTCTGGTGGAAGTGGAAGTGGAAGCTCTGGTGGCAGCGGGGGCAACTTCTGCAATGGAAAAGCCAGTGGCCTCTACCCAGATCCCACTGACAAGAATAGCTTCTACCATTGCGTGAATGGGAAGACCTACCAACAATATTGCCAGAGTGGCCTTGTATTTGATGCCAGCTGCTCCTGCTGCAACTGGGCATGAAGAGAACAGCCTCAGAGTAGTACATATACCTTCCACTGCAGTCAACAGCAAGGAAAGAATTCAGCATGATAAATAAAGATGCATTGCATTCAGATCATAGTCTGTGGTTTCTTCTGCACAAATTCAGTGTCTCTTTCCGTTGAATTGAGTACTTCAATTACATTTTCTTGCAGTGCTGTAAAAAAACCCACCACATATTAGATCAGTGGTTCTCAACCTGTGGGTCCCCCGATGTTGTTGGACTACAACTCCCATCATCCCTGAGCTCTGGCCTTGCTAGCTAGGGGTGATGGGAGTTGTAGTTCAACAACATCTGGGGACCCACAGGTTAAGAAAGGCTGTACTAGATCAAATGTGTGATTTATTTAATTTATTTGTTTGCTTTGAAAACATATTGATCATTTTTACCATCCTAAAAGTGTCCAATGAAACATGTAAGGAAACTGTCGACATAGGAATATAAAACATGCTGCAAGAGAAAATCATGACAACGATTACAATTCTGAGACAATGTACGAAGCTCTCATGTAAATATTTAGTTAGATATAGGAAGACAAATGTAGCAGCATAGTGTTCTTGTTGGAGTCTGAAGATCACCATTTTCCTACAATGAGGAAAAATCCTCTATTCACACACTCCACAAACTATAAAAGGTGCTACAGCATTCTTTGTTGATTTTGTTACAGCAGGCATAGTAAGCCTGTGTATATACAGTACTACATCTTTAAAGCACATTCTTTTCCTTAAAGAATTATGGGGAGTGCAGTTTACTCCTCAGAAAGCTACAACTCCCAGCAACCCTTAACAATCTACAATGCCCAGAATTCTTTGAGGGAAAGAATGTTATTCAAATGTGTTTTAAAGGCATAGTATGTACCCAGCTACCCCTATGGATGCTATTTCTGGGATTGTAGCAATCGGGTGACCAAATGCAATTAAATTGTTTATTCCCTCCAACTTCCCCCAACCCTCAATGCTTTTCTTGACTGCCACCACAACATATAAAGACCTCAATTAGCAGCAACCTTTAATGAATTCAGGCCTAGTGTGGCCATGTGTCCTGCTTTCCAGAGGGCAGACTTTTATTTGAAGGGCTGTCAGAGAGAGGACAAGCCTCTGTTTCAAAATATCCTCCATCTGAAGGGTCTTCCAACCCAAGTCTGGTCTAAAGCCCAAGAACAGTAAGAAGGGAGAGCAGGGGCCTTGAAGTCAGCACCTGGACAGTGGACTGAGCAGGGACCCAGGTCACCCAGTCATGTTCTTCTGCACTATACTGAGATGTACCTATACATACAAATCAACATTTGCCAGTTTTATGCAGATCTGTGTAATCTTCTGCCCTTTTTGTTGATAATGTATTTCCTCCTTTGGGGCAATGAGTGGAGTGCAGAGCAGTTGCCATCACCAACACACATGGAAACAACAAGAAAGAAAAGATCTACAAAAACTTTCCAAGTCCAACATGGAAACATTTCAAGCATTAGGAATGGAAGGATCTCTCCATTTCCCATTTCCCCCAATCTTTAATTTAGTCCTCCACTTTTCTGCAGAAATTTGTGGTTTAAAAAAAAAATCCTCAAGAAAATCGTTCAGCTTTTTTGTTCCACTTTCTCCTAGTAAACATGTAAACTTTGACTAATGCACACATTTTTGCAAGACTTTTCTCTTAATATAATGCTTTTTTGTATGTTACTTTCACTAAGAAATGCATTTTTATGCCCATTTCCCCCTAGTATGTGCACTCTTGGAAAATTGGTTGAATAACTGCAGCACAAAATTCAGCTAAGTGTGAATTTTGCAGGATGACAGTTTTTCAGTTTTCATATTGTTTTGGAAAGTGCAAATTCGTTAGGTTCATTTTTAAATGCAAGCACAATAGAATTTCACCCCCATCTCTACAACCAGTGCTTTTTTCTGGGGGGTACGCAGGGGTACGCATACCACTAAACCTTTTGTGAATCTAAGAGGAGAGAGAGAGAGAGAGAGAGAGAGAGAGAGAGAGAGAGAGAGAGATTGAGGGGCAGTATTTCAATATGAGTAGGAAAATGAGAGAACCCCTAAACATTTTTTTAGGGGAGAAAGCACTGCCTACAACTATATACATTCTTCCTCAAAGAAATTGTGGTTTTGGTTGTTAAAATGCCATCATCGTTGTCAACGGGCTTGATCACACAAATGTGGACACGTTAGACAGAAGGGTGTGGCAGTGTTATGCCCAACACAGTTGGGAACATGCACCCATGCTATTTTCCCTAATGGGCTACCAATGCTGGCCATTTCACATTCATTACCAAGGCTTTTGGGCAAAGAAAGCTCATGACCACAGCCAACCTGAGACATTCATGATGGGGCAACTGGTGCTCCTCAACTGCATGTCTCCTGCTTCTTAAGGATCTTCCCACTATCTTATCCTGCCCTGCTCACCCTCTCTTGACCCAGTGGCTGGCACTACAGCAGCTGTATGAAATAAACAGAATAGTATTTGATAACTGATACTTGACTCTATTAGACATTTTTTTGTGTAAATGTAGATAGTATTTGACTATTGACAGATTATTATGAGGCTTCACATTTGATTTCTACCAAAATCAAGACAAAGACATGCTGACAACTCTGAAACATTTGAATTTCTAGTGTTAAGGCAATTCTTCAGTAACAATCTGAATTTGAAACTCAACTCAAAAATATTATTTTTTATACCATATAATTTACAAATTGCAAAATGTTGACAAGGAAAACAGGAAACAAGCAAAACTGTTAGCTCAAGCCAGCATTCAATTCATTGGTATGCTTGGTTGTTAGTTTCACTGTGAAACCAGGCACACAGCATGGCTAGATCATTGCATAACCTCACCTTTTATGTTAATTCTTTCTTTCCTGTTATGGATCCTGAAACACAGCTGTTTTGCGCAAGTAGCTGAAATAATTTGCCATGCCTAAACTGTAGTGGGATATAGCATTCCAAGTAAATCTATCAGATACAACACTTACGTACTGTCACTATTTTGTGGGTGGGATTCAGTTGCATACTGGGTAAATTCAAGGAAAAGTTATTGGAAAGTGTGGTTATAATTATTGATTAATGTGATATCATATAATAACCTCCACAACAAAGCTGAATGAATGTTCAAGAAACAAATGTCATATGACCTCCTCACAAACTTTGTGTGAACAAGTCAATAAAAAGGTCACCTGAAAGTGACGCTTACTGAGTTCTGTAGTCCCTAGAATAGAGGAACTCCTGACTTCCTCAGCAGATCCTGTAATGCAACACTTGTTGACACCATATGTTCCTTTTTAAAAAATGACTTTTTCTCAATCACCACAATGGAGAAGAAGTTAGTGGTTCACTTAGGACAGGGGTAGGAAATCTGTGCTCTTCAGAAGTTCTTGGGCACCAACTCACCCAAAAAATGCTTTTGATAAAAGGCTTCATCAAACACTTCTGAGTAAGCTTAGCAGTTATGAAAGAAGAGGTCTTCTTGTGGACTGGTAACTGGTTAAGAAACAGGAAGGAGAGAGAAGGAATAAATGGACAATAGAGGGATAAATAGAGTGGAGTCCTCCAAGGGTCAGTATTTGGATCTATGCTTCTTAACTTGTTCGTAAATAATCTGGAGTTAGAGGTGAGCAGCGAGGAAGCCAAGATTGCTAATGTCAAATTGTTCAGCATGGTTAAAACAAAAAGAGATTGTGAAGAGCTCCAAAAGGATCTCCCCAGAGTACATAAGTGTAAAATGATGCACACTGTGACAAAAAAAAATCTTAATTTCATACACATACTCATGGGGTCTGAACTGGAGTTGACTGGTGAGGAAGGAGACCTTGGCATCATAATGGGTAGCTTGATGAAGATGTTTACCTAGTGTGTGACAGCTATGAAAAAGGTCAATACCATGTTAATTAATTTAGAGAAAAGTCATGTAAGTGGTGACATGATATAGGTGTATAAAATTATGCATGTAGAGAAAGTGGATAGAGTTTTTCTCCCTCTCTCAGAACATTAGAACTTGGGGTCATTCAATGAAGGTGAATGTTGGAAGATTTAGGTCAGACAAAAAAACCACAGGGACCTCTTTACACAGTACATAATTAAACTATAGAATTTGCTCCTACAAGAAGCAGTGATGGCCACCAATGTGAATGGCTTTAAAAGAGGGTAAGATAAATTCATGGAGGGTACAAGCCACACGGATTACATTCCACCTCTACTGTTGGAGGCAACATGTCTCTGAATACCAGTTGCTGGGAATCACAAGTGGAGTGTTGTTGCACTCGGATCCTGCTTATGGACATCTGACTGGCCACTGTGAGAACAGGATACTGGATTAGAAGGACCTTTGCCCTGATCCAGGAGATTCTTCTGCTCCCATACACTCCAGCCAGCATGATCAGTGTGGTGTAGTGGTTAAGAGCGGTGGACTCATAATCTGGTGAAGCGGGTTCGTGTCTCCGCTCCTCCACATGCAGCTGCTGGGTGACCTTGGGCTAGTCACACTTCTCTGAAGTCTCTCAGCCTCTCTCACCTCACAGAGTGTTTGTTGTGGAGGAGGGAGGGAAAGGAGAATGTTAGCCACTTTGAAACTCCTTCAGGTAGTGATAAAGTGGGAAATCAAATCCAAACTCCTCCTCTTCTTCTTCTTCTTCTTCTTCAATGGTGATAGGAGCTGTAAAAAGGTAAAGGTAAAGGGACCCATGACCATTAGGTCCAGTTGTGGCCGACTCTGGGGTTGTGGCGCTCATCTCGCTTTATTGGCCGAGGGAGCCAGCGTACAGCTTCCGGGTCATGTGGCCAGCATGACTAAGCCACTTCTGGCGAACCAAAGCAGCGCATGGAAATGCCGTTTACCTTCCCGCCAGAGCGGTACCTGTTGATCTACTTGCACTTTGACGTGCTTTCGAACTGTTAGATTGGCAGGAGCAGGGACCGAGCAACGGGAGCTCACTCCGTCGCGGGGATTCGAACTGCCGACCTTCTGATCGGCAAGTCCTAGGCTCTGTGGTTTAACCCACAGCGCCACTCACGTCCCTTATAGGAGCTGTAGTCCAGTATTATTTGGAGGGTCACAGGTTCTACTCCTGTGACACAGGAAAGCCTAACAAGACTTGAGAACCAGTTTTCTAACCATGGTTTTGTTAAACCTAGTCCAGGGAAGCAGAGAGTATTCCTGCTTGGGAGATCCTTGTAATTTCTCACTAATTAAGGAATCGTCAGTTGTCCATTTATATGCATGGTTGCAAACCTTTCTAGGCTTCTGGACACATCTAGATTCTTGAGCAAATGCTGGGGGAACCTTCTCCTCTAGTCACTTCTCTCCCCTTCACCCTAGATCGGCCCCCTCAAAGAGACAAAATACATGCACACAGTTCAGTTTTGCAAGGGAACAATCAGGTAACTGGGACAAACAGCTGGAAGTCGTCGGTAAACAGGTTATATAACTGTTTGTTCTCAATTTATAAGTGTAATCAAAAGCAAACTGGTACAGCAAATATAGAATCCTGACTTCTATATGTTATCATTCAGTTAAAGAGACTTAAACACTGTAATCTAATTCCACCAGGATCCCAATGGCACTGGTAAAATAAAAAATAGTGATAACCATGTTTTCTTAAGTTTGGTTTTTTAATTGTGCCTTTGTTCTAGTAGTGGAATTTGTTGCATGCCAATAATTTTAGATGAATGTCCCAATCACCTGATGCTTTGGTCACAAGGCACTGAACAGGTAGAAGGGCAAGTGTATGGTATAAAAGGAAGAGAGAAACAATGTTAAATCAGTACAGAGACCAAGATGGCCAAGTTGATGCTTCTTACCGGTAAGTACAAATCTGAAATTCATAAAATGGTGTAACTTTTCTCTGCTGGTGGAAGAAGCTCATTCTGTAATTCTCATTCTTTACTTTTCCATGCATATTCTATTATTTAAAAGAGAACAGCTTTTAATTAACTGAATGGATTTCAAAATAACTGAGCAAGTTTATTTTATTCTTGCTATTTTATAGCAAAGATTTCATTCACTACCATATTTCCTTACAAAACCAGAAGTGTTGCTTCCCTCCATTCCATAGTGTGGAGAGAAAGCTTTCTTTGTTCGGGATATTTGGAAATCAGGAATTCCCTCCATTGGAGAATAGCTCAGTGGAAAAGCACATGCTTTGCATGCAAAGAGTCTCTGGTTCAGTCCCTTGTGTCTCCAGATAAGGTTGGGGAAAATTCCTGGAGACCCAAGTATGTTCCCTGTAATACTGACAACTGAAAATCTTGCAGATTTTTATTCAGTTGTATCAACCCCTTCTTTTCCCACTATTAATTTCAGTTTTTGAAAATTCCTGCATAATACTTAGCAATGAAGTCCATGGATACCTTTGAGGTACAAATTATGGAAGAAAATGAATTATTCCTCCTCCAAGTAGCATGCACAGTGTAAATTATACCTCCATTACAATTCATTTGAAAATTCAAGCAGTTAAAGTGCTTCTATTTAAAATCGTGTTTGAATAACTATATAATGTAGCGGTCAATATAAGGCCTACAACAAAGTCTTTCATCAAAACAGAAATTGTTTGCCACTCTTCTCAATGTTAAATAGTGATACACTATGATTTCTAAACAACTCATAAAAGTTTATACATATTTAACTTACAAATTATTCCCTTTTTCTTTATAGGTCTGGTGCTCCTGCTGAATGCACAAATAGGTATGGAAAGCAGCTCTTTAAATTAATGTCTATGTGTCACCTAGTCGCTTCCTGTGTTGGAGTGACAGCCTGGGTGATGGGCCATTAAGGAAAACAAAGGAAAGGGGCTCTATGTGAGGCAGCAAATGGGTGGGCCCTTCCCTCAACTCATAGATAGTTAGAAGGACAAAGCCTGAGTTTAGAGTTGAGTTGCAGTGATGTGACCTAGAGGTAAAGCACCTCTTGAGAGCAATGTTTGATTTCCATTTGAATCCAAGGCTGTAATTTTGGGAGAAACAAGAGCTTCTGTGGGTGTTAATGCTGTGAACCCCTCCATCATAGGTGCAGGTTGCATATATGTGTAAATAAACCCAATATTATAAAAACACCACAGTCTCCACAGTGGCAGGCTGTGGTCTTTTCAGTGGAGCCCATAGCCTTTTGTGGTATTTTGCATTTCCCTAAACGTTGCAACACAGTTCCCAGCTTTCAAAACCATTAAAGGGGATTTTGAAATGCATATTTTGAAAGAAAATATGTTTAGAAAATTAGTGCATTTACATTACACTAAGCTGCATGTGTCTATCTCTAAGAATATTGCAGCAATCCCTCCTAAATATCACAGCAATGAATGCTCTTCTGCACCTACTATAATGACATGCCGAATCTGCAATATATACTAAGACCTGGCAGATATACATGTTTTATTATTGCTGAAGAAAATACGCACTTGTCTTTCTTCTCCTCACCCTTCAGTCTTGCTCAATTCCATTTAAACTTTTATTATAACCTGTCCTATTTGTCTTGATAGGTTCTGCCTATGTGCTATCATGCTACTTCACCAACTGGGGCCAATACAGACCAGGCCTTGGGAAATACAAGCCCGACAACATTGACCCTTGTCTGTGTACTCACCTGATCTATGCCTTTGCTGGGATGCGCAACAATGAGATTGCAACCATTGAATGGAATGACGTCACTCTTTATAAATCTTTCAATGGCTTGAAAAATCAGTGAGTATCCATGAATAATGGTCACCCGCCCTTCCCACATTCTGCTTCTGCCTTGTTTATATGAGGCTCAACTGGAACAGAAGGCACTATCATATGCCTTCCTGCCCAGAGGGATCCAATGGCCAGTGTTGTAACCTAGCTGAACCTAGCGCTACATAGAACAAAGAAGCAAGAAAGTTTGAGTACATGTGGAGCTACGATACTACAAGGTTGTCAGCTGATGTTGGGATGCAAACCAATAATAAAAAGTGACTCATTCTAGACTACTTGACAGATCGTCTGACATAAGAAAATGGGGTTCAAGATTATAAAAACAAACACAAAATAGATAGCAAGATGGCACCAACTCGGGACTCCTTGTTCCAGAAATAGGGTAGATTTAATCTCTGCAATCTCTTCCATGACAGGAATGGGGACCTGAAGACTCTTCTGGCAATTGGAGGCTGGAACTTTGGAACAGCACCGTAAGTTGAAGCAACGCTTGCATACTTCATCCTAGTAATAGAGAAAAGAATGCACATAATAAGTAGGTAATTATCTTCTACCCTCTTATGGCCACATTACAGATTCACTGCAATGGTTGCCACTCCTGAGACCCGCCAGACCTTCATCAACTCTGTCATCACTTTCTTGCGCCAGTACGAGTTTGATGGGCTGGACTTTGACTGGGAGTACCCTGGCTCTAGAGGCAGCACCCCTCAGGATAAGTCCCTCTTTACTTTATTGGTTAAGGTAAAACCACTGATTATGTTGTTCTTATTTCACCACCACCACCCAGAAAGGGAGAAGCCAGATTGGATAGTTTAGCATCAATTTATCTCTGCCTTTATTCTCCTAACCTAGGGTGGCTAAAACCAAATACTGTGGACCACAACACCCACTGCTCCTGACCGTTGACCATTGCTGGCTAAGCTGATGGGAGTTGTAGTCCACAATAAAGCGCACCATATTGCCTACTGCTGCCCTAAAGTCAAGGAAGGAAGTCACTCTCACCAGCAGAGATGAGTGGTCCCGTTGCCATAGCAGCATAACAATAATGCTACATAGGGCTACAACATTTATGCTGCTATCCTACACACAACCACTTGGGTGTAAGCCCTACAGAAGATGGTGGAGCCTGTTTCTAAGTTAGCATGTGTACGACTGTCCCATTACTCAGTTAATAGGTTTTATCAATCTTTTAAAACCTTGCTATCAATTAAAAATTGCCTCAGATTGATGGGGTCTTTATTTTTAATATCATTATCTACAAAAACCAAAACTGGTGAGCATCATTTTAGAAGAGACAGGCTTTCATCTATCTCACAGAGAAGTGAGCGCCTCTTCTAAAATGGTGCTTCCTGTGACAACACCTAAAACAGGAGTGGGGCAACTTGTGGTCCTCCAGTTGTTGTTTCACTACAGCTCCAATCAGCATAAGCTAGCATGGCCAGTGGTCAGGGATGGTGGTAGACCAACAACATCTGCAGGGCCACAGGTTCCTCACCTCTTAGTTTTTTCAAGAAATTTTTATTCATAGGCATTTTTTATAGTCTGAAATTGTCACTTTAATGATTTTGTTGACTAAAATTCATAGGATTGACTCAAAACCCGAACAGTAAGAAGAGTGTGGGGCTCTGTCAGAAAATTCACATTTACCTTACTGTTTGCTTTGTAGGAAATGTTGGAAGCCTTTGAGAAGGAAGCCAAACAAGTGAACAGACCCAGACTCATGGTCACTGCTGCTGTTGCTGCTGGTCTTTCCAATATTGAGTCAGGCTACCAGATTCCTGAGCTTGGCCAGTAAGTACAGTATTTTAGGTACTTTGTCTCTCTCTCTCTCTCTCTCTCTCTCTCTCTCTCTCTCTAAATTTAACTTCTGTCTTTTGTATATGCATAGGTGAAGATACCCTTACAATTAATGTTATTTTGAATCATCTGATGTGTGTCATATTGTTTATCAGTTGCACACTGTGCATTAAAGTGAAACCAAGCCAGTATGTCTCATTGGTAAAATCACTATGCCAGCGTCACTGTCATAGAGGCAGCTGCAGTATTAGCATACTGGCTGGTTTTAGGAGAACAGTGTACCTTACAGCCAGTCCTAGTACACAGAGTTACTTCAGGAGACAAGGCAGCCACAGATACTATTTCCTCTGTTGATTACTTTAATAAAGCACCAAAACATTGATAGTGCTATAGATATTCATCCTGAAGGACAAACCTAAGAAGGTTGGCTAAAAAAACCCAATGATCAAATATTCCAAAGTCAAAGTCACAATAATGATCTGTTTTGAAGAGCAAACTGTGCCTGTGATGGGCTTACACTATGGAACTGCATTTATGGGTCTAATTATACATCAAATGCTATCATATATAGTCAGAAAAAAGAATGGTGGTGCTACTGCATAGCAGAAAATGGGCTATGGTCTAGAGAGGTAATGTTTATGGAAGATGAGACTGCAAAAGCCTTAGAAGCATAGAGTTTATTCAACATATTACTAATAGTTGCAAAGAAGAAGAAGAAGAACTGGACACAGATACATTTAATCTCGTCACAGGTATCTGGACTATTTCCATGTGATGACCTATGACTTCCATGGCTCCTGGGAGAGATACACTGGAGAGAACAGCCCTCTGTACAGAGGTCCTGCAGACACTGGTGGAAACATCTACTTCAATGTTGTAAGTTGAAAGTAGGGCTGGGGGAGACATTTAAAGGTCAATCTGCCTAATTTGCACTTTTTGAAACAACATGTAAACTGAAACATAGCCATCCCTTGAAATTCACACTTTTCCAAATATTGCAATGCAATTCTTCAGGAAAATAATGTGTCAAAAGTACATATACTAGAATAAGATGTGCATTAAAAAATAATACGCTAGTGAACATAACATACAAAAAGGCATTGTATTAGGGAAAATTGCTTTGCAAAAAAAATGTGTATAAGGCAAAAGTGCTTGCTTTAATGAAAATCATACGCTGATACGGAAATGTGGAGAACCAAATTTAAGGGTGAAAAAATAAGAAACTGAGAGAGAAAACCTGCAACTGGCAGATTCACTCATCCCAAGCTGGAAGCCTATTTTTATAGGGTGCTTCAAAGCCTGCCAGGAACTAAACCTAAAAAAAATGAAGAAATTAACATTCCACTTTGCAAGCAGAGAGTAACACATGATTTGCCTTTGTAGGACTATGCCATGAACTACTGGAAGAAGAATGGTGCCCCAGCTGAGAAACTCATTGTTGGATTCCCAACTTATGGACACACCTTCATCCTCAGCGATCCATCCAACACAGCTGTTGGTGCTCCCACAACTGGCGCTGGGCCTGCTGGACCATACACAAGACAAGCTGGCTTCTGGGCTTACTATGAGGTTTGTTCACTTTTCCCACCACAATCCATTAAAACATTTATTTGCATCACACTATACAGATGAAGAATATAATTCTAAAGATAGGCCAATCAAATAAGAAATCCTACAAAGATGCTACAACTAAATTTTGGCCTAATAGCTTGGAAAATATGCTGTTTGCACAAAACCAGTGGTGCAAAAAATGTTTCTAAAGCTTAGTAGCCATTCCTCCATAGGGATCAAGGGACCATTTTTTGTATGGATATCACTAGCTAGGGCACCTGGGTTTTAGCATTTCTGCTCAAAATTATACTGAGATGAAGTAATGTGGCTAATGCACACTGGTTTTTGGGGTAGGCAGGAATTTCAGGTAAATGAGGACAAGATAATAACTTTTTTCACTGTGCAGCCAGCAAGATATTCTCAACTCTTGATACACATTGTGCCTCCTTTTTAAGCCATGGAGGAAATACTTTATGAAGCCTATGCAGATTTGTGCATTGATACTTTCAGTTCACTTCTCTGCACTATGCGCATAGCATTATGAGACAGCAACCAAGACAGTCCTGCAATGATTTGCAACGTGCCTTTTTTGTTTCCTCTGTTAGATCTGCACCTTCCTGAAGAATGGAGCCACTCAAGCTTGGGATGCTCCTCAAGATGTGCCTTATGCCTACAAGGGAAACGAGTGGCTGGGGTATGACAACATTAAGAGCTTCCAGATCAAGGTATGGTACCAGTCTCACAAAAGCATACATTCATTCTGGTGCATTAGAATGTCTTAGTAGGTTCATCAAGAGTTTCAAAATCAAGGTATGAGGACTATGGCTGATGTAATGCCACTAAGTACAGCTTTTCTATATAGTAGATTGACTTGGGCATCTTTCTTGGCATCTGACAGGCTGAGTGGTTGAAGAAGAACAACTTTGCAGGTGCTATGGTTTGGTCTCTTGACTTGGATGACTTCACTGGTACTTTCTGCAACCAAGGCAAATACCCCTTGATCACCACCCTGAAGAACGCTCTCGGACTGCAGAGTGCTAGTAAGTAGCAGCAGCAGCAGGAAAAGTTCTCAAAACGATTGTGAAAGCCAAAGTTCCAGCAAAAGTTCATAATGCTGAAAAACAAATCACTGTTACTTATTTTAGAACTAACCTCCAAACTGAGGTACCAAGATCAGTTAAGTCACTTTTAGGCTTGTTTAGAACATGCTCGATACGTTTCGATATCAATGGTAGCACTTAAAAAACAAAAACAAAATAGAGAATGAGAACAGTTGGATTTGGAAGGTTTCGAAGGGCAAAAAAATACAATGCATTATTAAAGGATGGGGGGGAAACAACCAAGAAGAATTCACCACACCTATAGAATCAGGGACCGATAAGACTCAGGGAGAAAGGGCTGCTGCAGTCCAGAGTGAAAGAGAAGGTATATTTTGGAGATCATATCACTGGCACTGAATGCAGAACCTATGTATTCATAAATTAAGAATGTTGGAAGCTGCCTTATGCTAGGACAGACTATCAGTCCATCTAGCTCAGTGTCATCTAGACCACAGATCTCAAGGGTCTTTCCCATCACCAGGTTCTGGACCCTTTAAACTAAAAATGCCAAAGGCTGAAGCAGGGACCTCCTGCATGCAAAGCATGTACTCTGCCACTGAGCTGTAGTTCCTGACCTACTCCACAGATAGCCAAGTACTTTAGATTTACAGCCACAGGGACCCTCAAGTTCTGGGAGGATTTGAGCTGGACTGTACAACTCATGACCCACCATCTGTGTATGAGGTTGAATTAACCTTCAGTACTTGCTACCTGTTTGGAAACAGAAAAAGACAAGTTCTCAAAAAACTGCCAGGCCACAGTTTATAGCTGGTGACCTGCATTCAGCCCAATGGATCACAAGTCGTACAGATCTAGAGTAGAATGAGAAATCAGAGGTCTTTTAAATAAGATTTTTAAAAGCCTTTTCCTTGTGCTCATGATTAATTGGTGCCCTCTAGATGTTTAGGATTAGAATTCCCATAATCCCTGACCATTAGCCAGGCTGGCTGGAGCTGATGGGAGTTTCAGATCAGGAGATCACCTTCTCTATTCACACTGATGTGGATCACACACTAGGGAGAAAGTACAAGGCAGGTTTTCTTTATGGAAAAAGCCAAACACATGTCATGTAGGCAGAATCCCTTAAATCAAGTTCAGAATGATGTAGAATTCACATTTTGAGCCAGTAGTGATTATTTGAGAGACGAATCAGCTGAGATGGCTTACCTTCTGCTTCTCTTCCAGGTTGCAAAGCCCCATCCAAGGCCATTGAGCCAATCCCACCAGCCCCCAGCGGTGGTGGAGGAAGCTCCGGTGGCAGCCCAAGCAGTGGATCTGGTGGCAGCCCAAGCAGTGGCTCCGGTGGCAGCCCCAGCACCGGAGGCAGTGGATTCTGTGCTAGCAGAGCCGGAGGCCTGTACCCAGACCCAACAGACAAGAACAGCTTTTACCACTGTGTGAACGGCAGGACTTTCCTGCAGCATTGCCAGACGGGTCTCGTCTTTGATGCCAGCTGCTCCTGCTGCAACTGGGCATGAACTGATCAGGTTTTTTAACTCCATAGCCTTCCCAATCTGACATTCCATGTAGCTGTAAAAGTGAAATAAAATTCAGCAAAACCTATGGCTCTTTCCTCTGTGTCAATTTACTTGCATGGCATGCAGGCTTTGCTATTCTTTTCACCTGCTTCTCCTGCTAGGGCTTGCCGATCAGAAGGTCAGCGGTTTGAATCCCTGTGACGAGGTGCGCTCGTAAAAGGCGTTTCCGTGCACTGCTCTGGTTCGCCAGAAGCGGCTTAATCATGCTGGCCACATGACCCAGAAGCTGTACGCCGGCTCCCTCAGCCAATAAAGCGAGATGAGTGCCGCAATCCCAGAGTCGTCTGCGACTGGACGTAATGGTCAGGGATACCTTTACCTTTAAAGTTACATAGGAAATGTAGCTCATAATCCAACGGGAGCTTCCTGTGATACTGGCTTCCTGGTTGACTGTTGAACCAGTACCCATAAAACTATGTTATCCGGCCTTTGCTTTTGGTTACTTGCAACATTGACCCATGTGGGTGGTGGCACCCATGTGGCCTCCATGACACTCACAGCCCGCCATCTAGGCCAGTATCATGTGGCCTGCAGAGGCTGCATGTACCTGACCCCCAACAGAGGGGGATCCAAAAACACGTGACCCCGCAATGCAAAACAACAACAACAAACCTTCAAAGAAATTTACCTTTCACATAAACTATCATTATCTACATTTTATACAAAAAGTATCGAAGCAACTTAAGAAGCACAAAAAGATAAAATCAACCAACAGTAAAAAATAATAATCTAACGAACAGTCCAGAATACAAAATCTCTAAAATGTTTGTCCAACAACACAATAGGACCAGTCCTACCCCATCCCACCAAAAGGTCAGAACCTAACTTAGCTGCCAAAGGGCTGGGTAAATAAAAAATGTCATAGCCTGGCACCCCAAAACTGACAATGAGATACCAGGCACCACTGAAAACAGGGGGAGGGGGCACTCATGCAATCCGTCATAAAGCAATGTTAAACTATAGCATAAATCAGTGTTTCCCAAACTTTTTTCCAATTGACCACTTGGAAATTAATACAAAGTTCGTAATATACTGGTAGGTGAATCAATATGAATTCATCTTCACGACCACATTATATTTTATAGCATCTAGATCTAACATTACACTTTGTAGCCATCTCAGAGGTATTGCTACCAGAGAAAATAATGGATGCAAAAGTAGAAAATGTGGTGTCAAAGTTAGAAAAGATAGTCCAGCCTTTCACTACAAGGCAAGCCTGTCTATCCAAAAGCCCCTACTGACCGACCATGAAATCCTAAAGCAGAGAGCAGATCCCTCTTAGAAAGATCTGCTTGGTCCCAGACAATTTATTTTATTGGACAAAGCTTTGTAGATATGCAAACTTTTGAGTTATGTAGATTCCCCACCTCAAATTTAACTGTGTTACACAAACTGGCATACTCAGTTCGCTCAAGATAGTTAAAACTGTAGGAGAGGGAAGCAACATCGACTTTAGACCTCCAAGCCAGACTGAAGACTTGGATGATGCCTTCCTAGAGCAGATTGCCAAACATTCAAAAAAGGAGAGATAAAGTAGTTATAGGAAACTTCAACTACCCAATATCTGTTGGAACTCAACTCTATCACGAATGTAAGGTCCAACAAATTCCTCCATTGCCTCTCTGACAATTTCATTTCCCATAAGGTGGAAGAAGCAACAAGAGGATCATCTGTCTTGGATCTGGTCCTCACCAACAGGGAGGAACTGATTCACAAAGTGGAAGTACTGGGAACCTTGGGAGGAAGTGATCATATCCAGGAGCATAGGAAGGGGGGGGCCACCCCAGGTGCCATCAAGGAGGGGGTGACAAATTATCAAGGAGCAATTACTGCCCTACTAGGGCAGCTCATAAGAAACTTTTTTTTTTTGAAAATGCCTGCTCCAAAGGTCTTATCTTACTACACTAGGAATTATATGGCTATATATGAAATTTCATGCATATCAGTTAATATCTTGACCCTCCTCCACAAAAATAGCTGTTTACTTGGCCGTTTTCCTATGTCATGAAGGCTGAATTTTCAATTCAGTGGAGCAGGGTCAAGATATTAACTGATATGCATGGAATTTCAGATATAGCTATATAATCCCAAGTTTAGTAAGATAAGACCTTTGGAGCAGGCATTTTCAAAAAAAAGTTTTTTATGAACTGCCCTACTGCCCTACCCTCCACTGGGTTTCCTGCCCCCAATTCCAGTCTCCGTTGTTGTGTCTTTATCTGTTGTGTGTCCTGGCTGAGGGGAAAAACAGAAGAAGGATGGCCATCGATCAGGGATGGTCTAGTTGAGATTCCTGCATTGCCCCAGGGGTTTGGCTAGATGACCCTCAGGGGTCCCTTCCAACTCTACAATTCTCTGGTGCAGGCTTGTGCAGAGTTTTAGGTACAAGTTGGATGCAAGGGGTACATAGGATTGCAGCCCATCTTATGCACCGTCGGCTCGGGAATAAGTCCCACTGATCATGATGAGATTAGATTGCTGCTGTGCAGTCCTGTTTTTTAAATAAATGTTTTTCTTTTCAGATAATACAGAGCATGGTGAAATCACAATAAATAAAACCTCACCTTCAGTAGTTTCAAGCACTACTACAGGTTCCACATAATATCTGTGCTGCATTGTTTACTGTGACAGCACCTGCACTTTGGAACTCCCCGCCTACTGCAACAAAGCACATGCCTTTGATAAACTCTTTTCGGGTACCTGCTAATAGCATTCTTCTTTAGACAAGCAAACCTAGATGCTTAGGAAGTTGAAGTAATTTTAATTTTAATATTTTAGCTTTTGTATGTTTTAAAGTAGGATTGTTAATTTTTCTTGATTTTACTGCTGTGGGGTTTTTTTGTTTTTTGTTTTGGTAAACTACTTTGCAGGTTTTTTAAAAATAAATTGTATTAAATAAATAAACAATAAATATAAATAAAATAACACAAGCCATAACACAATCAATCCTGTAGATTTAAGTATCTGTCCATAGTCGCCTACTTGTTATCAGAGGCCCAGAATCCACATTCCTTTGTAAGAAAATATGAAATAATGTAAAAACATTTTTGCAGCCAAAATAAAAATAAAAAATCAATGTGGGGGGGGGTAACAAAATTTTCTGCACCGGGTACCACCTGACCTTCTTATGCCTCTGATCATATCCTCTTGAGTTTCATGACACAGAGGCAAGAGAAAGCTGAGTGTTGCGTGCCCAGGCACCACACCACCACCCACCCAGTCTTTTAGAATACAGTACCCAGGCAAAAAACAGTACTTTGGGTCAAATAAGACCACAACTTTTACTGATTACAGGTGTAGGAGGTTTGGCATAAGCATGGGGTATAACCATTGACTTCGGGCCTGCCTACCAGAAGTAATTCGTTTTAGGGTGATCCTGAAAGCAAGAGAGAGGGAGATGGTTTGAACAACACAGGAAGCCAAACTATGGTTTACCAGAACCATACAGAGCCCCACATTGGGCAAAAGATTCCTGCATTGCAGGGGGTTAGACTAAATGATCCTTGTGGACCCTTCCAACTCTATAATTTTATATGTGGGCTCTCACAGAGGAGCTCATGTTCACTTTGCTATACCAGATTCTATTTTACACCTGTGCTGAGCTAAGTCAAAATTTAACTTACTGTGTCATTGGGAATCTAGGTGTCAGGCGTGGGGGATTCTCTCCTCCCCCAGTAGCATCAAGGATCAGGGAAGAAACCAGAAAGATCATATCTGTCATGCATGAGCCAGTCTCCAAGGGAAGTTTGCAGCCAGCTCCCAGTGAAGGAAGGAGCCAGGAAGAGAGAGGGTTAACTGCAAGACATGAGGATTATAGCTGAGAACCAACTTCCCCACCCTTAGGAATGCCAACTGATAGCAGAGTTGCGGATTCAGCCGGCAGTTTGCCAGTGTGCCAGTGAAGGGCAAACTGCAGAGACTAGAAACGAAAGCAGCTCAGAGAGCGGGAAAGACCATGGAAGTACACTCTCAGAGAATGAGGAAGGGGTGGGAGCTGACCCCCCCAGCCCAAGATCTAGGCGTATGGGGGGGTCTTCAAGACAGAATACGTCAGAAGAGGAAGTTCGGCTCTTTCTGATCTCGCCGGAAACACCCTCCTTAGAAGGGACATCTTTGATTTATGAATGGATGGCTGTGATTGCCGCTCCGGTGAACTCTGTTTTTTGCAATAAATCTTCCTTTTAATTAACTGCGCTCGTTTGTTATCAAGACTCCTGACAACATTTATGGTCTTTTTCAGTCATCGTGGTGCAAGACAAAGAATCCAGTCCTTAACTCTATAGTGACATTGCTCACTCTGAGCTCCTCCCCTTCTTTCCCCAGCAACAGTCCTTGGCTATGGGCCTCAGGAGGCAAATGGCGTTGAACCCTTTGCTCTTCAGTTCTAATTGAGCGGCGAGTATGCAGGGATGGTGGCTCTTCTATGCTTTCCGATGACGTCTCCGCTGGCAGGTCTCCCCCTCCCCCTCCTTCTCCTAACACCTCATAACTTGGCAGCTCTGAGTTCTACTGTAATTTAATCCTGTCTCCCTCTTCTCTTGAAACTACTGGAGGGGGGGTGATCCCCCCCACTCCCACTCCTCCTCCTCTGAGGGAAGCAGAGGAGAAGGAGGGGGCCAGCCCTCCTCTTCAGTCCCGTCCCTGACATTAGGTTTCTTCCTAACCATGAGCTGTTGCCAAGGTTTGTTCTTGACTGCAGCTCACAGTCAGCGATGAGAGAGATTAATCACAAGCCCAGTTGCAGAAAACAGCTCTTAGCATCCTTAGCCATTGGCCATGCACCCGGTGGGAGTTGTAGTCTGAAACGTCTGAAGGGCACCAGGTTGGGGAAATAAATAAATAAAAATTTAAAATTATCCAGTAGCACCTTAGAGACCAACTAAGTTTGTTCTGGGTATAAGCTTTCATGTACATGCACACTTCTTCGGACACGCTGAAACGGAAGTCACCAGACCCTTATATACAGTGGGAGGGTGGGGTGGATTTTTTCTCAGAAGGGTAGTAGGAGATGGGTGATTGACTCAATGGTATGGTAAACCTGTTGACGACTGTTAACAACTGCAATTAGTCCTACAGGAAAAAGCAAGGGATAGTATGCAGATGACCAAAAATAGCTTTAGCATATGTAATGAGACAAGAATCCAATATCTCTTGGATTTTCAGTTTAGTAATAAGTTGTAATTCAGCAACTTCTCTTTCAAGTTGGCAATAAACCCAGATGCCAACTTTGCTGCCACATACACCCAGACAACACCATCACTGGACCCAACAACATCAAACATGCCATCTCAGGCCTATTTAATTGTTCATCTTCTAACATTGTGTATGCCATCAAATGCCAGGAGTGCCCTTCAGCTCTCTATATTGGACAAACAGGCCAAACCCTACACCAAAGTAATCTCAAGACAGAGAAACCAGGAGGAGAACACTTCAGTCTCCCAGGACATTGAATACAGGATCTCAAAGCAGCTGTCTTACTACAAAAGAATTTCAGAAATAGACTTGAAAGAGAAGTTGCTGAATTATAACTTATTACCATACTGAACAGTGGAAGACAGGAGTGCCTGGCGTGCTCTGGTCCATGGGGTCACAAAGAGTCGGACACGACTAAACGACTAAACAACAACAACCATACTGAAAACTATGGAGAGACCTGGTCTGAATAGAAATATTGGATTCTTGTCTCATTACATATGCTAAAGCTATTCCTGGTCATCTGCATACTATCCATTGCTTTTTCTGTAGGACTAATTGCAGTCGTTAACAGTCATCAACAGGTTTACCATACCATTGAATCAATCACCCATCTCCTACTACCCTTCTGAGAAAACCCCCACCCCACCCTCCCACTATATATAAGGGTCTGGTGACTTCTGTTTCAGTGTATCCGAAGAAGCGTGCATGCACACAGAAGCTTATACCTTGAACAAACTTAGTTGGCCTCTAAGGTGCTACTGGACAATTTTTAAATTTTTTAATTTATTTTGACTGCGTCAGAGCAACACGGCTACCTACCTGTATCTAGAACCAGGTTGGGGAAGATTTTCATAGAGTACAGTCGACTCACAACTTACATTCATTTAACTTGCATCATCAGAGTTTTAAGCACTTGGTTGCCAGCCAGTTGACATGGCACAAATTAAACGCACGCAAGGCAAAGAGCTTAAAAGTTCTTTCCACAGTGGGCAAACCTGATGCAGAAAGAGCTTTAAGCTCTTTGCTTTGCTTAAGATGCTCTGGGAGGCTCTCTGCCTTGTGGGGGCAAGGCTTGCTTGGCACAATGGCTTCAAAAAGGTAGGGTTTCTTGCCTGGGGGCAGGTCCAGGGTCGGTTTGACTATGCACAATTTTGGCTTGAAGCACCATCCCCAGAACATAACCCTCACGTGCGTTGTGCATCAACTGTATAACAAAGAGATTTCATATTAAAGACGTAAAGCTTTAATCTTTAATATTCTTATTTAATAATCTTTAATAATCTTTAATATTCCAAATGCTAAAGAATTCTTAAAATGCAAAATGAAAGTCACCTATAAAGAGACATTGTTCACATTCACTACAGTGCTTTCACATGACCTTTCCCTAAAAAGAACTATGTTATCTGGGCTTTTTTTATTAAGTCAGCAAAAAATAATTGTAGTTTATGCGGACAATAAAAGAACTAAAATGAGTACAATAGGAATCGCAATAAGGAAAAATACTGGTGCTGCCCAGAGGTTAAAGGTCAGTAACATGACAAGGAGAAAAGGGACTAAGAACCGATATTTGGCTGAATTGAAGCACTGTGTAAACATTGGTATTTCACTGGTCACTTATGACTAGTACCGCATATATTTGTTTGTCTGTAATTTTAAAAAATCCTGGCCCACAGAACTGCAAGCACCATAGCAGCTGTGTACCTGCTCTCAGAAGCCATTGGGCCTCCAAAAGCTGGAGCCTCTGGTAACCTTCTAAGGGGTGTCACAAGTGCAAACTTGATAAAAGGGTTTCAAATGTAAGCTATGATGCTGGTTGATATCTCCAATAAAGGTTATTAATAAACGTCTTGTTGACATTTTGATAGTGGCTTTGGTGTAGCAGCACAGAACACTGTGCTTCAATGTCATGACATTGCACCAAATGAATACAGGACGTTGGATTGATTTCACTGGATGACTCTAAAGTTCAGGAATTTTAATTTCTTTCCAGGACTCCACATTCATAAATATTCTTAAATAAAAGACAGCAAATCCCTGAACACTTTCTGCATGTGTGTCAAATGATATTACAAGGAAATAACACTTAAAGATTCACATAAACCAAAATTAACTTTGGAATAATTTCCAGTAGCATATATGCAAGAAATAAAAGTAAAGATTTCTACGCAGATGACCTAGACTGGTTTTCTAACTTTCCAAATATCATCATACCAGTTTGTGTCTTTAAACTGATTGCTGTTAATTGCTAACTGAGATAAATTGGACTTAAGTATGATGAAGTCCTCTGGATCCCACCCAAATTTAGGATTTCAGTATGAGTGAACATAAATCCAAATATTTTATTACAACAGGGCCCCAGACTGATTATAGTAAAAACAAGTGCTTGAAATCCATCCACTAACTGTAAATGCCATTTCACTATTAACTTTTCCCTTAAAGAATTTGACCAGAGTCATTGTAGAAGTTTGTGTCCCTTAAGAGCAGAGGAACCAAGCTCTGAGTCTTTGTAGAGGCAAAGGCCAACTGATCACAAGAAAATCAGTGGCTGAATAGAGCAAGGACATCAAAACTGTGACTCCACAAAAGCTGGCAGTGCCAGCAAACCAGATAGATACGCAAAACCTTGTTGGGTCTCCCTGCCTTACAGTTCACTTTGAAATAATTTTATCTATCGTCATTCTCTCCACTAACATTCCACAGTCATATTCCTTGAAACACTGTTTACACAGCAAACCAAACACTGTTATAACAATCAGAAGCATTAATAGCCACTATCAACTCCATACAGATTAGAGCAAACATGTTCCCAAACAGGCTTTATGTCTATGAGGCTATTATTGTAGCTTTGTCATTTCCATAATGGCAGCAGGTTTACATAATCCGCTGTGGGAAAATAACGGCAGACTGCAGAGGTGAGATGGAAATATCTATTTATTAATCCATTAACTACCAATTAGCTTTGTCAAAAAGTCGATTTGGTTATCTTTTCTGATAAGGAGCCATGTGATTAAATAAGGATGTCGTCTATAAAAGGCAGTTGAGAATTATGGAAAAGTGGTACACAGATCAACCATGGCCAAGTTGATTCTCCTTACCGGTAAGTCTATAATGACCACTTTATGTCTATACATTGTGTTATTGAGTTTTATTCTTAAACACTGTAATGAATGGGCCAGTCTGAAATGTGACTGAGGCTGCAATCCTATCAAGAGTTAGTTGGGAGAAAGCTGCATTAATGAGACCTACTTCTGAGTAGGGATGGAGGGGAAATTCAATTTTGTTTGCAGTTTATTGACTACCTAGTCTGCATTTCTCAAACCAATATACAAACTGAAACATGGCTATGCTTCGAAATGCACTCTTCTCCAAATTTTGTGATGCAGTTTGCCAACCAAACAAAAATGCATATATTAAGGGGAAATGTGCATAAGACCACATATATTAGTGAAACTAACATCCAAAACTGCATATTAGGGGAAATTGCTTGTTTTTCCTTGGGAGGGAAAAATCTCAGAGCCATTATTAAATGCAAAACATTCTTGGGTTCATCATTTATTTGAATGCTTTTTATTTTTAAGTCCATATGACTGGGCTCTCTTACACACACATATCTACCTCAATGGCTTATTTCTTTACTCTTTATTTCCTTTGTAGGTCTGGCGCTTTTGCTGAATGCTCAGCTGGGTAAGTAATAAACAGGTAGAGGGAAAGCAATTGAGCTGTGTTGAGCATCTCCTATGCCACTAGTGGCACTTTCAGGAGCTTATTTTGGGAAATAAACAAAAATACACCAAATAAATAAAATGTTTAAAAAATGGATCTGCCTGTTCCTAAGGAATAGCATTAAGATAACGAGATAATTTCTGAGTTCAATTCATGCCCTCTCCCTTTACATGGTAATGTGCATTCCTTCATTTATTTCAAAACACCCTGTTGGGGGGTTTTGGGTGAGGAGTTCTTACTTATTCTTGTGAATGAGGCCCAAGACTCTGTCCCAAATCCTGGTCTGTAATTATTATTATTATCATTATACCCCGCCCATCTAGCTGGATTTCCCCAGCCACTCTGGGTTCATTGTGGAACATATCCTACTACTATCACAACTTTTCTCTTAACCATAGGCTCTGCCTACCAGCTGACATGCTACTTTACCAACTGGGCCCAGTACAGACCAGGCCTGGGAAAATTCAAACCTGACAACATTGACCCATGCCTGTGTACCCAGCTGATCTATGCATTTGCTGGCATGAAGAACAACGAGATCGCTACCATTGAGTGGAATGATGTGACCCTTTACCAATCTTTCAACGGGCTGAAAAACCAGTAAGTTGCCTGATGACAAGTTGGTTCTAGTTTATTTTCTTAAATTGCCTGCAGAGCATTTTCTGCAGAGTGCCTCTCTGAAAGCATCTGCATGATTGGTAGCAAATGCCTGATATTATACAGTATAAGGCAGGAAACCACAGGGCTTCTCTTGTGAAGTTGTTGCAGTAAGATATGACAAATCTAGAATGTATCAAGCAGCACAAGACCTGTTTCAGGTACAAACACATTTATATACAAATTCCAGTGAAAGTTGTTGTATATCTTTTTTTCCTTTTCTTTTTTGAAATGCAACTTTGTTATCTGAAAGACCCACATAGAGCAGTCCTGCGTGGAGTACATTGCAGTATTCTAAACGTGAGGTTAGCACAACGTGTACTATTGTAGTCAGGTAGCTATCCTGGTCTAGGAAATGCTGTATCTGGCAGACCAACCATAGCTGGGAATACGTCCTCCTACCCACTGAGGCCACTTGAGCCTCTAATCAAAATGATGGCTCTAGAAGCACCCCCCAGCTATGCACCTGTTCCTTCGGGAAGTGGAACTTCATTCAGAACAGGCCATCTACACAATTCCCAGACCCAGAAACCACCCACCATCAGTACCTCTATCTTATCAGGATTCATTCTTCGTTATGTTTATGTTAACATGCCAATAACACTGTCCTCCAAATCCCATACAGATGTCAAAAAGCATGGGAGACAGAGTAGAACTCTATGAACTAGACAACATATTAACAGAACTGATCTAGGAGTCAATGATATCAAATGCCACATAGAATCAATAGGGTTGCAATTCTCCTTGTCTATCACCTAATATAATCAGACAGGGTGGCCAAGGCTATTTCAGTGGAAACTAGACTGAAATGGGTCTAAATAATCAGCTTTCTTGAAAGCAGAATGATTTCTCACTGCTCCAGGAAAAAGGAGCAAAACAAACAAACAAACAAAAATGGTTATTTGAATAGCCTTATATGAGATGTGTCACAGTCAATATTTTATAGCACAATAGTGTCCCTTCTGCCCGAGGAAAAGTAATCATCAGGGGATGCTGAATTAAAAAAATACAGAACTGAACTTAATCTCTCTTACTCCTTTTTTCAAGGAATGGACAACTCAAGACTCTCCTGGCTATTGGAGGCTGGAACTTTGGAACAGCTCCGTAAGCACCATAACATTTTTCTTGGGACAATTCAGTGATGGGGTTTGACTCAAGGACTCAAAGTCTGAATTATCATAACCTTAATTTGAGATCTGAAAGGAATTGGCTCACAAGTCAACTGATGATACGGGAGGTTTTTATCTCCCCTGCAGATTGGATTTGGCTCACTTATTTGAACCATTTACAATTATTTGATTTTTGGTACCTGACTATGGAATCCCTGGTGTATAAATTTGGTGCACCATTTTCACAATTGTGACAGCTGCTTTGGGATGGATGGGTTGCAGTGTCTTGAGATTTGGGGTTGGATTGGGTAGTCCATTGCAACTTTTTATCAAGTCTTTTCTTGCTGAGTGGAGTGAGTGCTGGTTATAGTTATTTCCCCTAATTCTCCACTTCTCTGGTTCTTACTTAGATTCAATGCAATGGTTGCCACTTCCGCAACTCGTCAGACTTTCATCAACTCAGTCATCAAATTCCTGCGCCAGTATGAATTTGATGGGCTGGACTTTGACTGGGAGTACCCTGGCTCTCGAGGCAGCACTGCTCAGGATAAGGCCCTCTTTACTGTTCTGGTTAAGGTAAGCTAGAGATGGTGCTATGGGTAGGGCAGCTAATGGGAGGCAGAGCCAGGTCACTCTAGACGGAGTCAACGTACTCTGGTTTTCTCTCTATCCCCCTCCCTTGCAAAAGGTACTGTGGACAATTAAGCAATTCCTGTACACAAGCATGAGATATTTAAGTCACCTAGGAAGAAAGCTGGACACCTGGAAATTGTACATATCTAAGGGTAAAACTGCCCATCAAATACATAGATGTACCTGCAATTTTTCAGTTTTATATATACCAAGGAAGATGGACAGAAAAGACTCCCTGAATAAATTGAATGTTATGAATATGACTGCATGGGACACAGGACTGCTGCACTCTAGTTTCCTATTTTATGTTGCAGGAAAAATAAGAGTACTGACCCACCATGTCCTAGTGACTACCTACCTGCAGCCCCTCAGATGTTTCAGCTGCCACTTTGCTATTGACTCTCTCAATGTCTGTGCTTATCATATGAAACAGGGGTTTCCTCCTTAGAGTGGGAGGGTAATATACAGCATGATGCAGAAGTAATTGCTATAGCTCTTCTTCTCTTTCATAGGAAATGCGGGAAGCCTTTGAGCAGGAAGCCCAACAATCCAACAAGCCCAGGCTCATGGTCACTGCTGCTGTGGCTGGTGGACTTTCCAACATTGAGTCAGGCTATGAAATTCCTCAGCTGGGCCAGTAAGTATACTGTACTGCAGATGTACTTGAGCTACTGCTTAGAGGTGCCTGGCAGGTGCATACTGAGTGAGCAATGGATAAAGAGATATCACCCTTTTCTACCTCAATAAAGCAAAAGGGTAGCTGGGTAGGTCTGCTCTCTCTTCCTAAACTCCATCTTAACACAGATCTTTGCTTTGCTCTCCGCTTGATGAAGAGTTCTAGAGAACTCAAAAGCTTGCTCACTATTTTGTGACATTTTGGCTGACCCAATAAAGGTATTGCCCTACTTATGGATTTTGGGCTTTTTCTGCACAGAATTTAGAAGACCAGCTATAGATTATCCTTATCAATATCACAATTCTAATTGTCAACCTGGTAAGATAGCAAATTGGCCACAAATGAACCCATCTCTGAATACCTATGTACCTACCTTCCGAACAGGTACCTGGACTATTTCCATGTGATGACCTATGACTTCCATGGCTCCTGGGAGGGATACACTGGAGAGAACAGCCCTCTGTACAGAGGTCCTGCAGACACTGGCGGTAACATCTATTTCAATGTTGTAAGTATATTTCAGAAGCTTTGTCACTAATAGCTAAATCAGCTTTCCTCAACAAAGGAAATAAAGCTGACCCAAAATGTTCTGATTAGAGGGCAAGGGAACCAGAAACAAAGAGATTGGCTTTAAATAAGGAACTTCGCTCAAGGAAACTTCCAACTATGTCTTTGGAGACATTTTAGCACTGTGTTTTCCTTATAGGAATATGCCATGAACTATTGGAAGAACAACGGTGCCCCAGCTGAGAAGCTCATTGTTGGATTCCCAACTTATGGACATACCTTCATCCTTAGCAACCCATCCAACACAGCTGTTGGTGCTCCAACATCTGGGGCTGGACCTGCTGGACCATATACAAGACAAGCTGGCTTCTGGGCTTACTATGAGGTATGTGCCACAAAGTTATGTCCGTGAGAAATTAGGGGCAGATTTTGTTATCTCAACAAGATAGGGGATGAGATGAGGATTAAGCAAGCGTCTGTTTTGGAGATCATTGTACTCAGTCTGAAGGAAAAGGTATGTAGCATGGGGTGCTCCTAGATCTATCACAATTGCCTCCATGGCAAGAAATGTCTTAGGCCAGCTTCATCTAGTATGTCAGCTACAGCTATTCTTGGTCACAGTAACCCATGGGCTGAAAAACTCAAGACTGGATTTTTACTGTAATGTGTTGTAAGTGGGGCTGCCTTTGATGTTGGTTTGGAAGCTGCAATTAGGGGCTGCCTATTGCAAAAGAACTCCACTATGCTATATAAGCAAGTTAAAGGTGCCTACCTTGACATACATGGCCCTATACATCTCAGGACCTAGATACCTGGTGGAGCATCTTCTCCCAGAGACCCACCAATGAACTATGATCTATGGGGGAGGGCAAGAAAGATATAAAATAAAGTAAAACATCATGCAGTGAATGCCTGTCCTGAGCTTCCCTTTTTCTAGGGGATAAAAAGCTTATGGTTCAGCAGAGGCTAGGGTGGGAGGAACACTTAGAAAAGTCTCAACTTATTATGGGTCAATTGTTGGACCGTTTCTTAGCATGAAATAGTACTGCAAATAATTTTATTATTATTTTATAGTCATTTCATGAAATTAGCTATTGCTATTGTTATATGATTTCATGCAAGAATAAACTAGTTAACTGCTATGATAGCACAAGGTTACTGTTCTGGAATTATGCATTCCAAAAGTGTTAATAGCCAACTTCTCAAGCAACTATATTTTTAAAAATAGCAGAACACAGACAAAAAATATTTCATAACTCAAATCTACAAAAACAGCAGTACAAGATAAACTCAAATTAAATATAAGATTGCTGTAGGTTACTGGCAGTAACTGTGTTTATTTTTTAATTTATACAATGCTTATTGCAGCATTAGGTGCAAGAAGAACTGGGTCAAACAAACATTTCCAAATAACCCATAGTTTTTCTGTTTGAAGGCAACATATGAAATCTGAGTTCGTGCTAAAATTGTTTTAAATTTCTTTCCTGGGAGATAAAACCTGACTAGCTTTGTTCTTGACACTCTCCTTAATGTGCATTACAGATTCAAGCAATGGAGACATAAGATCAGAGGAATCTTCTGACAAAGATAAACAGCTTTAAAATCATGTTTAAAAACTAATAAGTCAGTTATAGCACAAAGCATCTCCTCCCCAAGCCCTGTGGCAAGCTATTTTTCAAGCATGTAAGCTGGTAATATTGTGTGTCTGCTCCCTTCCAGATCTGCACCTTCCTGAAGAATGGAGCCACTCAAGCTTGGGATGGTCCTCAAGATGTCCCTTATGCTTACAAAGGCAATGAATGGGTGGGCTATGACAACATCAAGAGCTTCCAGATCAAGGTATGGTATCCATCTCACAAAAGCATACATTCATTCTGGTGCATTAGAATGTCCTGGTAGGTTCAGGACTGGTTTTTTTGTTTCTTTCTTCAAAGGCTGAATGGCTGATGAAGAACAACTTTGGAGGTGCCATGGTTTGGGCCATTGACTTGGATGACTTCACTGGAACTTTCTGCAACCAAGGCAAATACCCCTTGATCACTGCCCTGAAGAATGCCCTTGGTCTTCAAAGCACCAGTAAGTACCAGCAACAAGACGCTTTCTCAAATTAACATTTGGATAAATGGCAATACAGTCATGTCTCAGTAATGCTAATAATAAAAAAACCACCACTTTTCTTAAAACACATACAAATGGTTCGAGCATGGAGCATCATGCACATCATAGGATACATTCTGGATTAAGATTAGAAAAATGAGAAACTAAGAGAACAGAAACTGGCAGATCCCCTAATTCAGCAGAGCATGGGAACTAAGGGGTTCAGCCAAAGGCTTCACAAAAAAGGTGAGCTTTGAAGGAGGTTTTGGAGGGAGATGGGAGAGGTGGCATCATGCAGTTTTCAAGCAAACAAGGCAGCAAGAGAGAAAAGACTAGAGCAATGACAAACAACAATACCTTCTGCTTTTGTGAAACTGATCTTGGAAACTATAGCCTAGCACAGAAGTCAAGTTTAGTAGTCATCGTACCCATTGTTTTTAGACCTTTTAGTAAAGGCATTTTTGTTCCACCAAGCTTTTACCATTTCAAGAGGTTCTGACTATAATTAAATTAAATAACGACTAATTAGGGACAAAGGAAGAATACTTACAATACTGATCCTGTCTTCTTCTTCTTTGGCTATCACTCGTAGCCGAGTAAGATTGTCTTCCATAAATACGGTTTTAACAATGAGTCCAAAAGTGACTGTGGAGGCCAATTCCACGTCCTTCCACAGTGGGGACATTGGTTTCCAGGTGGGAGTTGATCGCGATGTGGATTTTCCAAGTGTGCCTTCCTCTTAGCACGTTTCTCCCTTGCATCTTGAGTTTGAGTGTCTTCAAAGCCCATGACACCTTTGGTAAAGGCTGTTCTCCAACTGGAGCGCTCGCAGGCCAGTGTTTCCCAGTTGTCTGTGTTTATACTACTTTTTTTAGATTTGCCTTGAGACAGTCTTTAAACCTCTTTTGTTGACCACCAGCATTACGCTTTCCATTTTTAAGTTCGGAATAGAGTAGTTGCTTTGGAAGACAATAATCAGGCATCCGCATAACATGACCAGTCCAACGAAGTTGATGTTGAAGAATCATTGCTTCTGATCCTGTACTGATCCTGTACATCTAAGTGTGTGATGCTTTTTTTCTATTTCAGGCTGTACCGCTCCTGCCCAACCCAATCCTCCAATCACAGCTGCTCCTAGCGGTGGAGGAAGTGGCAGTGGAAGCTCTGGCAGTGGAAGTTCTGGCAGTGGCAGCAGTGGTGGTAGCGGTTTCTGTGCTGGCAAAGCCAATGGTCTGTACCCCGTGGCCAACAACAGAAATGCTTTCTGGCACTGTCTGAATGGAGTCACATATGAGCAGAATTGCCAGGCTGGCTTGGTCTTTGATACAAGCTGTGAATGCTGCAACTGGGCATAAAACCAGATTATCCAGCTCTTACCTAGGCTTTTCAATTTAAACTCATGGCAGAAAATTAAGAAATAAAAGCGTGCAAGTTAAACCCTAGTGTGTTCATCTCCTTCATTATAATGTTTTGGTATTACCTTGTTATTTCTTTAGGTAAAGGTAAAGGGACCCCTGACTGTTAGGTCCAGTCGTGGCCGACTCTGAGGTTGCGGCACTCATCTCACTTTACTGACCGAGGGAGCCAGCGTATAGCTTCCGGGTCATGTGGCCAGCATGACTAAGCTGCTTCTGTCGAACCAGAGCAGCGCACTGAAACGCTGTTTACCTTCCCGCTGGAGCAGTACCTATTTATCTACTTGCACTTTGATGTGCTTTTGAACTGCTAGGTTGACAGGAGCAGGGACCCAGCAACGGGAGCTCACCCCGTCACGGGGATTCAAACTGCCGACCTTCTGATCGACAAGTCCTAGGCTCTGTGGTTTAACCCACAGCGCCACCCGCGTCCCAGTTATTTCTTTAGATTTCATTATTAACAAACTGTTAATTTTGTGTTTAATGAAAAGGACACTTAAATATAATTAATACATTGCTTCAGCAGCATCCAAAGCATAGCCTGTCATTTGCCCAGTTTGGTGCCTTTGTGAACATCATGGCCAGCACAGAATTAAGCTGTGGAAAAACATTCTGCAGCAATTCTGCTTATATACAGTATATGCTCATCATCCTTTACACTTACCAACATGATCCAAGAGCAGAGGTCTGACAGTTGAGTCATCTTGGATGACACAGGGCATCTGAAGGGGAAACCTGCTTCTCCAGGAATGATGGAAACTGGAAACTGTGGTCATTCCCCAAAAGGGTGCAGCAATGGAGGAAATGTTTTGGCATCAATCTCCTGCTCAGCTGAGTATAAGATTGATTCAACTGGTAAGGCCCCTCAAACTCAAGTGAGGAACACTGTGCTGTAACTCATACTCTAGAACTGTAGTCTTCTACTTTTTCAGGCTCACCTATAACCCAGACATGCATTTGCGGAATCATTTATTTAATACCATATATTTGTCTGGTGGTAGCACTGCTGATAAGTCCCACATTAAAACACCTTGGGATGCAATATTGGGTCCAACCCACAACTGAAGATCAATGCTCTAGAAAACAGAGACTCCACATCATGCCAAATATGTCTCATGACTATAAAAGAAACAGCTTCTTCCATAGAGAAGTTGTGCCCTGATGACACTACCCCTCCACTGTTTTATAAAAATGATGCAGACCAGGGGTAGGCAACCTAAGGCCCGTGGCCCGGATGCAGCCCAATCGCCTTCTCAATCCGGCCCGCGGATGGTCCGGGAATCAGCATGTTTTTACATGAGTAGAATGTGTGCTTTTATTTAAAATGCATCTCTGGGTTATTTGTGGGGCATAGGAATTTGTTCATTTCCCTCCAAAAAATATAGTCCGGGCCACCACATGGTCTGAGGGACGGTGGACCGGCCCACGGCTGAAAAAGGTTGCTGATGTAGACTGTTATGTCATAATTAGACCAAAGCGATCCAAGGGTTACAGTTCTATAGTATGTATGATGTCAGGCTTGGCTGTCCCTGAAAAGAACCACAGTTCTGTTATTTGAGAGGGGGAAAGAGATCAGCTACTCTTATCTGTCCCTGTTAGTTTTATGCTCTACCATGCCACTGAAGTCAGGTTCAAATATATGGCCAGGTAAGCCAGTTTTTGTGGGGGATTGCTGGGTACATGCTGTTAGTTAGTATAATCTATTTAGAATTTATCATCTGTGTGAGTTCATACCACTTAATATTTCAGAGTTCATGCTCAAGCCCACCTATCTCAATGTGACATTCATCAAGTGCCAACAGTGTCCTAGGTGCTATACATAAAAGTTAAGCAGTCCCAAACAAAGGATCTGCAAGAGAATGGTGCAAAGATGAGTCAGGGATTGGCAAATGACTAGGAATAGTAGGACAAGGGAGAGTCAGCTGGCAGTTTTGTGGCAAGCAACATAATGGCAGGCTAGACTACAGTGGTACCTCAGCTTACAGATGCTTCAGGTTACAGACGCTTCAGGTTACAGACTCCACTTGATTAAGCTCTAGTTCAACAAGCATCATAACTTGTTTATTATACCTTTCTTCTATGGTGCATAAGGTGGTACTGCCCCCTCCATCACTGATTTGTTTTGACCAAGGAGAACAGGTTCGTTCTGGCTGCACCTCTCTACAACCTTGGGTCACTCGCTATTGTAGGACTACAACTCTCATCATTCCCACACAGCTTAGCCAATGCCCAGGGATGATAGGAGTCGTAGTCCTTCTACTTTTCAGCACTACTTCCCATGCTCCGGGGCTAAGCCCTGTAACTGAATGCAGGTCCGAGACTGGAGCCTCCTACCCTAAGATGAATCCTCCCTCATCACCACCATTGTTAAGAACAGCACGTGTGTATACTCTCTTTCTCCCTCTGCTCTCAAGTCAGAAGAAGAAGACTTGAGCCAAATGGGCCAATTTAGGAATTAAAAACGCACGCAAATGGGAGAAGAACTAGGGTGGCTACAATAAAATAAGCACTAGTTACACTTAGATAGATAGATAGATCATTTATTTGGAACACGTGATTGAACCTCCCCAGCGCCCTGCGGGTAAACACACGTGTGTGCTTTTCCTGGTCCTCTCTCCCTGCAGCGGCTTTTATCAATAGCTCGGATGAAATGACGTACTACCGCTCAGGTCTTCCGGGCGTTGCGAATAGATTCCACCTCGGTGTATTTCCATGGCAACAGGAAGGCTCGGCACACAAGAGGAGCGCCCTCAGCTTGGTCATGGGACAACGCCAGCTGACGTGGGAGCTCTCAGGTGAGGCGGGCACGGATTGGCCAGAACGAGTGTGAGGCGAGCAGGTCGCCCAGGTGCGCCAGGCGAGCTCACGTCTCCCTTGTCCCCCGTCCGGGGAATGGGCATCTGCTGAAAAGGGAGCTTTTGCTGAGCTGAAGCGGGAGCTTTCCCTGAGACAGTTGAGCCCACCCCTTTCTTTCGCCGTAGTTACACACCACATACATTGAAAGCGCATAATTTCCCTCAAACAATTCCGGGCACTGTAGTGTGTTTAGCGTTGTTGGGAAATGTAACTCTTGTGTGGGGTTACACAGAATTATTTGAATTCTACAGAACGTGCTTTCGAGTGTGTACACAACTTAAGCATATGGCCATTTAGAGTCCCCAAATGAGAAGTACACGCCAAGGGCAGCAGTAAACCATTAGTTTTTTTTAATCCTCTGGTGAGACTGTAAAACTTGCAGTTGTCTGCCCAGGAATCAGTTGCATGTTGCAAAGGATTCTGGGGCATGCTAGCAGACCATGCAGAACAATCTTCGTCATGAGTGGAGCCACAGCAAATTTTTCATGTTTAACTCTACGCAATGTAGGGTAGCAATCATAGAATCGTAGAGTTGAAAGGGACCCTGAGGATCATCTAGTCCAGCCCCCTGCATTGCAGGAATACGCCGTTGTCCCATACAGGGATCAAACCTGCAACCTTGGCATTATTAGCACTGTACTCTAACCAGCTGAGCTGTCCACCTCTTTTACACACTTTACTGGGAGTGAGTCCAGTGGAATTCAGTAGGACCCCAAGGTCAGAGTGGTTCTTGCTTTTATGTTTTAACATTTAACAATGAAGAGAGATCACACAAAAAATAATTATCAGTCCTGGAGCTGAAGAAGTCATTTCTGTTCACTTATCATTTCTGTTTATTTCCATCCCTACGTATAAAACATCCCATTTTAATTCTTATTGATTACTAGTTGTTCAAACATTTCCACCACTGTGTATGATAATGGAATTTCATTGTTCATTTGAAGTTTGATGTCCGCCATTGTTCCAATATGCTTTGACTGCAGTTAGCTCCCAGCCTGAATTCAGTACAGGGGGCATTTCAGGGGAAGTGCACATCTGCAGGGTCACCACCACTACCCTGGGGCTTCCCCAATCTTGCTGCCACATCCCCTCCCTAATGATGGCAGCATCGCTGCTAGCAGGACATTGTAGCTTCTGCTCCCCCTCACAAGTCACTGCTGATGACAGTACACTTGGCAGAAAAACACGCCATACCTTTATTTATTTTTGTATCCCATCATTTGTTGGTAGTAGCAGTACATGCTGCAAGTCGGATGGTATTCTTTCTAAACGACACTCATAACTATTCCTGGTTTTTGCAGCTGCACAGCAACGAAATTCATTTGGATCGTGTCAGGAGAGAAGAATATTCCCCGTTTTTTACCCTCCAGATCGGCTAGGCAATGAGAATGTGCCAATTAAAGGTGATCCTGATCGTGGACCTGGAGCTTATAACTATGCAGAGGTAAACTATACTGCCTTTGATTTGGCTGTATTTTCTCTTTATGTATCTTCACTTTGAAGTAAAGAAAGGAAATTTGGTACCTATACTCTTGGTGGAACTGCGTCTAAAAATGGGCTGCCCTTTGCATTGTCCCCCAATATTTTGTTCAAGTTGGCGCCTATGCCCCTATATCACAGGATTTTAAGGATGAAATGTTTCAGGAACTATGTACACTTCTCCTTGGAAGAAGGGTGATGTATGAATATAACAAATAGTAAAGTATATAAAATGTGTAGCATTGTAATAACCAAAGTGCTTTTTTTCTAAATAAAAATTAATAGAAGGACAACCTTCTATACCAATTGGCTCGCAGACCAGAGAGTACTAAAGGTTACACCATGGGAGCAAGAACAACCCCACGTTTTGGACTACTCAGTAAGGTAAAGACCGCTTTCAGTTGTTACTGTACTGTGTTTTATATAGTCTATTATACTTCCTCTGCAATAGTCCTGGAATAATTCCATTGATTTCAGTCAGGCCTCAGCATGTCTGTCCTGAAGTAAGCTGTTTATGGAATTAGATGTCAGCAGGTTTTTAAAAATGTCCTGAGCCATGCTCTTTAGGTGCTACAAGGCTCTGCTTTTGCCAGTTCTTAAACTGCAATCTTTATTTGTTACAAGTATTGTGCCACTAATGAAATCTTAATTGATAAATAGTATGAGTTGTAGCTGATTGAGCAATTAATTAAATATGATGAAAAAAGCAGTAATTCTTTGCTTTAAGTGATAAATAGAGATATTGCAGCAAGCATCCTCTTAGAAGAGGCATTCTCTGTTCTCCATCATGCAGGGTTCAAGGTGGCTGAACACATGCTTTGCATGCAGAATGAGGGCTGAGAGCAAAAGAACTCTAGCTCAGACCTTGGATAACCATTGCCAGTTAGAGTAGACAGTACTATGGACCAGTGCACTCACCAGTTCACTGACCCAAGATAGGGCAGCTTCAACGTCAGAAATTTAGTATTACCATTAAATTACAATACTTGCTGAACTTTCCTTTGCCCAGGAAAGGAAATTAGTGCTGCAGTCTTTGACACACATTAGTGAGTAAGACCCATTGAGTTCAGTAGGACTTATTCTGAATAGACCTGGTTAGGACTATGCTGTAAACCTCAATGAACTGAGTGGAATTTAATGAGTGTGTAACTCCACCTTTTTCCTGGATTGTCAAGTCAAAATGAATCTGTAGTGTGTGAATTACAGCATGGTTCACAACAGTGCAGGAGACCCTTTCACCTCCCTCTCCAAGATGGATCTCTGCCCTACTTCCTCTTTCTTCTTCTCAGGAATCCCTGCTTCCAAACTCACTGCTTCCTGCTCCCTCAAACACATAGTTACCCTGACAACCTTTGACATCTCTCTCCCCAGCCCAAAGGATCCTCCTATGGCCCATCAACACCTTTTTTATAATGCTAACAGGTCTGCTCTTCTTCCCCATGGCCAGCCAGGAGAATTTGCATAAGCCAGCCCAGGAATTCCCTGAATTCCCTGTCTGGCACCTTTCTGAACCTTAATATCCCAGTTAATCAAAATCCTAGTATTTATTCGTTTCTAGTGTTTAGCGGGACAACCCTCTCGCCAGTACTATAACAATATTTTAATAGAGGATTTGTCTTGTAACTTAATTTTATATGCTCCATTTATAGCATGTGACGCCTGATCCTACTGCATACCAGTCTATATGGATCAGAGACCACCACAGACGCCAGCCGACACATGTCTCTTTTTGCAGCAATATGCCACGATTTTCTGAGAAGCTTCTGGACAAAGACTTTTATCCTGGGTACCATTTTTCATTTCTTGAATTACAAAGCTTCCCCTTATGATGAGAGCAGCAAGGTCTTAACAAAAGCTCAAGCGGGTCCATGGATTATAGTCACCCAAACTGATAATGTAATGCAGAATCCTGACAAGATGGAGGTGCTTTTGGTGGGTGATTCCATGCCCTGAAATTGATGAGGTGGCTGTTCTAGATAGGGTTGCAATCCTCCTGAAACAGCAAGATCAGAGCTTTGGGTACTCCTTGGTCCAGCATTGTCAATTGAGGCCCAGGTGGCTTCAAAGGCAAAGAGTGGCTACTTCCAGCTCTAGCTGATTCACCATCTAATCCTGGACCAGAATAACCTGGCTTTAATCATGCTTTGATGCCCTCTATATTAGATGACTGTAATACACTCTACATGGGACTATACTTGTTTACTAACCAAACCAGGGTGGTCCAGCCCACAGCCCACAAGCTGCATGCAGTCCTTGGCAACAGTCAAGAAAAGCCATCTTAAAGCCTTAAAAAAAATTTTTTGCATCATGCGTTGTTAAACAAAAGTTCATACACTTGTTTGTGTACTGAATTTGTTTAGTAACTAAATATGTTAAATCTTTAAATCTTGTATTTAATTATATATATTTAATTAAATATATCAATTGTGTATATTAAATAATATTAAAAATATTGTGAACACTTTAATTTACAATATAGAAATTTAATTCAGTGTGTGGCCCATAGGTTCATAGGTAAAAGTACTCTTGCAGCCCACTTGGTATGGAAAGTTCGACTGCCCTGGTACAAAAGCTGCAGCTAATACAGACTCTATTTTACATTATTTTCATGAGACATCATTTCCTACATGGTTTTGTATGGGCACTGAGAGCCAAAGTTCATTTTTTAAAAACAAAAAGTAAAACCCTGAAATGTAAAATTACAGGGATCCCTAATCTCTTGCCTATTCTTAGTTGCTTTTTGCAATTTACCCAAATCACTGTTGAGATGTAGCTACAGTCTTCTTTAAAAATAACTCTTAAATTTACCAGTCTAGTATAACCATGATGGAATAAAGCACAATATATGAAGACATTATCTCAGTGTATTAATGTGGACTATGTAAAGTGCACAGCATAATGGACCATATTAGCTCATTGAAGAAATGATGCAAGGACTTTTCTCTCTAGACCTGGAACATATGACCCATATGGCATGCCACACAGGCATGTCACCTGGCCAGGGAAGTTTGGGGCTCCAGACTGGTCTTTAATACCAATGCCAGCGAAAAGAACGCTGAGAAGTGAGGTATGAAAATCAGATACAGTTTTCTAAATGATCATTGTGACTATTTGGGGATTAAGAATGTTAGAATCTCAGACAGACTTGATTTCAGCAAGGGAGAGACATTTTTTTCAGGGCTGTATCTACCACGAACTGGCTGGGTACAGAAGAGTGGTGGGAGGCACCAGCTGGGGAACCCCCAACAGAACCCCTAAAGGGTGAAGGCTCAGAACCAGCAGATTGGTGGTGGACAACAATGAGTGGTCTGAGGGAGAAGAGGGAGCAGAATGGGAGGAGTAGGTGCCAGGAGTTGATGAAGTAACAGGGTTTAGTGAGCAGGAAGAGGCTGTGGCAGGCAGCAGTACAGAATCAGAGGCAGAAGTGGAGGCTGAAGAGGCTGGGGGCCAAGAAGCAGAGATGAGGCAATCTGCTGAAGAAGCCAAGGGGTCTCTCTCCTGTTGTGACCAGCTCCCCGCCCCCTGCTCTCCTAGAACCCTCTGAGGTATAAAGAGGGCAGAGCAGAGACAAGGTGTTGGAGTCTCAGACTGCTTGGGAAGGACCCGGGAAGGAATATACTTAGAGATCTTTCAGAAGACAATAACATACATTTCTTTCTGTGGAATTCCTTTGTCTCACATGGTTTGTTTTCTGGACATGGAGCTATAGATAGAAATCTGCACTAAAACATTTGCTTCTTTATTGTGCTTATTGAGTTTTTGAACACTGAATATATTTTATATTTGTATTTGTTTTAGCTGCTTTCGGACAAAGAGTTTAGGAAGCACCGGAACCTAGTGGCCTACCTGAGCATATACTACAGTGATTAATTACTCTGGTTGGAGTCGTTCCTCTTCTGTGTACTTGGACTACTAATTTGCCTTTGTTTTTTTTGTTAAGGGAAATTTAGACTTTGTTAGTTGTTTGTTACTCTGATTCAGTTACCAGATTGCTTCATAAACAGCTGTCTTGTTATGCCTCTTACCTTCCTAGTTTTATTGCCTAGTTCAAAACTGTTGATTTTATGTGAAGAACTCATAACTGTGAAGCCAAAAAGTATCTTCAAATATAGGTATTTTGACTCTTGCTTGTTGACAACAGCTATTCCAGCCCTTCAGTTTTCCTTCCTTGCTGCATGTGCCAGTCCTCCCAGTTTGCAGTCAGTTAGGCTTGGGGAATTTGTAAGAGAAGCACAGATTGCCACTAACTCACTTTTATTTGTAGACCAACTTTGGAAAATCTTGCCAACATTTTGAGTTACGAGGTCACAGTGCCCACAAAAGCCATGTCAAATGTGAGTCGCTACTGCCTGCAGCAGCACATCCTGGTGAAATTCCCAGATCCAGAATCTCCTGTACCTTTTACTTCTTGGCTCTCCCCATGCTACTTGCACCACAAGAGGCCCTGGAAGCATGTGGCTCATTTATCTGCTGTTATTGTGTCTGATATGATGATAGGTGGTCTGGCATGTATTTCCAAGCACAACAGTGCCTGCTTTCTATCTCTGCATGTGGCTGTATGTGTAGTTTCATTTTTCTTTTATGCAATGTTCTCTTCTTTTGCATAATGCAGTTACAGAGGCTGAAATTTGAAGTAGGCAACAGGGGAGAGGTGATTCTTAATGCTGTTCACTCTTGCTGCTTTACCACTGAAAAGTGCACCCCCTACACAAAGAGACCCTCTGCTGGGGGAAAGAGAGGCTTGGTTCATACCAAGCAGCAAACCATGGTTTCCCTAGATGAACCTCAGGTTTGTGCAATCTCTCCTTCCTTCTCTACTTTCATGCCTGTGGAGAGGAGACCTTTATATTTTAAACTAACCAGTTTATTGAGATGTCCAAACTTGGATTAATAAAATGAGATCAGGAACCACAGTTCTAATTTTGCTAGTTTTCACTATTCAGAGTTTAAACAAACCACAGTTTCAAAAATTCTGGCATCATGAGGAACTATTGTTCCTTTAATTCAATTGTGGAAGCTTTTGATCTTCTCCTTGACTTGCATGAAAGAGGAGGGATGGGAAGGAGCATGTGAGCTTAAGACTCTTTAACTTGTTCTCAAAGTGAAAAACCATGGTTTCCTGTTATGTCTGAACTGAGGCACAGGTACTTTACTTAGGAACATATGTTTGCAATACGTTATAAACTTGTAATCATGGTATATGGATATTTCATTGTGAACAACTGTAGGCTCATCCATACAATCTGTTCCTTGATCTGTTATACAACATGGGAGGAAATACATACTTGATAAGAAACATGTTGATAGACTACTGCAGCTTTCTCACTCAGCATTGGTAGATAGTATATAGCTAGCCCACAACCTGCTATTTGTTGCTGTTCTTGTCTTATCTATGGCATCACGATAAAGTGGGTTATATCAAACACTGCACAAGCAGTGGCCCACTTGCACAGTGGGACTTCCTCTTCCTCTCCTTTACTCATCCCCCTCCCTAGCAGGTTCAGGGGGTGCTCTGAGAGAGAAAATGCCATTGCACAAACAAAACTCTGTTGCATGTGCAGAATGGCAGTGTTGGATATAACCCAATATATCTATATAACCCTCCCTATTTGTGGAACTTACAGTTTCCTTTGGGAACTCCTGATTTATCTAAACATTGTTTACACTTAACTGTTTCACGTGGGAGCCTTGTGATTCCAGTGGAGCCACATGCTGATATATCATTTCCTACAGTTCCTAAGTACGACTTCCCTTATACATCTTGCAAGCTAGAGGGTTCAGATTAGACAGTCCGTAAAACCATGTGCCTTACAGGAAAGAAGAAATATTTACAGTTGACAGAGAAACATTCAAACTGAAATAAGGCCATATGGTGCTTGATGTTCTACCACCCATCCAATCCCTTGCTTTTTATTATAATTAGTAGTGTATCATTAATAGCCAAATGTATTTGTTTTACTGCATAATAAAATTCAGAAAATTATTCTATGTGGTCATTGTGTATATTTTTCATTTTCAAGGGATTAGCATATCGCTCAAGTAGTATGAATTTCATTGGCAGTTAATCTGATACAGAATGTGTAACTCCATTCTGTCCAGCATCATAGGCTCTTTTTACTCCTTGCCAGAGAGTATAGAATATTCCTAGACAAATCTTTCCCCTTCAGGTTTTCATGACTTCATGTTGGTCGCACCACAGTTTACTGCAAGCCATCAGAGTATGGCCTAGTGTTGCCTTGGCTATACACAATTTTATCTGGAAGCAATAACCTGCAGACTAGAGTTCAAATCTGTCAGTTCCCATTTTCTGGGATACAATTCACCTGTTGCTAAAGAAAGCCACTATGTCTAGTACTCTGATGAAAGAGGTTTGCTAGCAGCAACACAGTTTGTCCTGCAGCAGCTCCTAGGTGTTTGCAAGTTGCTTAAACTTCTCAGGTAGATTTTGTAAGAAGCTTTATGCCAACTTTATATATGCAAATACCACTGACATCAGACCCGGGAGGCACTCCAGCACTTTGGAAAATGTTTCCCATCACCTGTTAAGGTCCATTTGTCACTTATTTCCTCTGCTCATTTTGCTCCCATCAATTTTTTCTTATCATTAGGAACTGCCCACTTGGTTTATACATTCACTGAGAAGACTTGCATGCCATTCCATCTCTTTATTTAGTGACTGTTGGTAGCCACAGGCTCAAGGCCAGTTACAACACTTGCAGCTCTCATCAAACACCAGACTTTCTCCGCAACTCTTGGAAACAGTATTGCCCCCAGAGCATTCATAGAATTTTGATTTGTCATCCGGATTGGCATAGATACCATCAGCTTTATCTTCACAGAAAATAAGAGGAGGTGGGACTGTTGGAGGGGGTGGAGCTACACAACCTAAGGGTGAAGAATATAATCAGAGAAGACACTTGAGAGAAGTTGTTTAATACATTGCAGTTGTACTAAAGAGCAAAGCCAGTCAGAGGGAACATCCCCACAGAGGTTTCAAAAGGGATTGGGTGTGCATTAAATTGCCCCCCTTTTACTAAAACATATTGGGAAGTGTCTTTGCACATCACATAATTTGTTTATCATTGGCTACTTGTTTCCTTGCACCTCCAAATTGCAGCATGGCGCTCTGTGCATGTGCGCACATGCATATACACGTCTTAGTGCAGAATTCTTCTCAATAAATTGACCTACCTGGAGTTTGTATGTCAAGGAGTGTCTTCAAATGTGATATCAGAGGATATGCCCCTGTATTGCAGAAAGTGCCTAGGAAATCATCAAGGTCAATGGCCCAAACCATGGCTCCTCCAAAGTTGTTTGCTTTCAAAAATTCAACCTGCGCAGAAAGCAAGTACAAGATATTCCCACCACATTTGATGTCAGTTGCATGCACTAACATAACATGAATTGTTGGGGTGCTGTTCTTTAGACTCATGGGGTTTGGGAAAGACAAACACTGGACTAGATCAATGCATCTAAGGGCTTGGCTACATTCCTAAAAGTCAATGTTAACTAAGTTGATTCAATGATGCCAGCAGCTGACTTGCACAAAAATATCCCAAGATCAGTTTCGGTAATACACACGCACATATGCACCAAGCATTGTTACAAAGCTCAAACATTGCACTGATAAATCTTGCAAGGTACTTTGAGTGTGGGTACAGATCAACCTGTTACACGCACTAGAAAAAAATAACATACCTTGTATTTGTAGCTGGTTAAATCATCAAACCCAACCCACTCATTCCCCAGGAAGGCATAAGGGACTTTCTGATCTTCAATCCAGACGGTTGTCGCTTCTGGTAAGAACGTACAAATCTGTCAAGGAACATTCATGTTAGCAAACAGCAGCAAACAACTGTATATACAAATCTCAATCAGGCTGACTCATCTGTCTGAATTAAACTGTTTACCAGTCTTATCTGTAGAGTTACAAGTATCCCTTGGGCTGGTACAGGCACTTGGTGTTTTATCAGTGAAATATATTCTATCCTTTGTGGTGCACTTCTGTGGCTAATGTAATATTCCTAGCAGCATTTCCTGTAATTATACCAAAGAGGAAAAACCATGTACCTGATAAATAATGATTATTTTTTTTAAGTGACTTTTCCCAAAAGGCCAGAAGCCTTCCTGCTGGGGATACTGGACATTGAAATTCCAAAGAAAGCTTCAATTGTATTTATGTATGTACCCATAGTGACAAGGAATCTTTATGCACAGAAGTGGAAGGAGGAAGGAATGCCCTCAAAGGAAGAACAGCTGGTGAAAATCATGGGTTGCACAGAGATGGCAAAACCGATGGCACTGATGAGAGAGACAAATTTAGAATCTTTTTAGGAGGACTGGAAACGTTTTCTAGTCTATGGCAAAAACTGATTTCCCATACGTGAAGTCCACAGCAGTTTTTGAAGTTCAAGAAAAAATATCAGAACATATTAAGGAACCTGTTAAAGAGGATGAAAATGGATGTGATGGAATTATAAAACACAATTGTATGTAATCTTGATTATAAGCAACCTGGATGGGTGAACAGCAAGACATTAGTACTGTAGAACAGGATTATAACTGCTGAGTGACAAAATGCACTTTGCTTAGAGATTTTTAAGTACTGCATGCTTTTAAACTTTGGTCCTTTTTAAATGTTTCATTTACCTCATAATGAGCCCAGAAACCAGCTTCCCTTGTGTAAGGTCCAATGGATCCGGCACCAGACGCGGGAGCGCCAACCGATGTGTCAGCTGTGGTAAGCCTAAAGGTACGGCCATAAGTAGGAAACCCCATCATAAGCTTCTGAGCAGGAACCCCATTTTCTAGCCAGTATTTCATGGCAAATTCCTTTCAATATGAACATAATAAATATAGGTATGAACTGACCATTTTTGTACCGGCTCTGAGCAAACAATAGTTTTGTTAGCATTTCCTTACGCAGTTGAAGTACACAAAATCGCCTTTATCTGCAGATCCCACATGCAGGGGGCTATTGTGACCTGTGAAGGTGTCCCATCCTCCATGGAAATCGTAGGTCATCACACTGATGAAATCTAGAACCCTTGTGCAAATAAAAAAAAAAAAAAGCAGAGCAATAACAACTTGCCTAATGGATCCATACGCTGAAATAAAGATCCTCTTGATACTGGTGGGCTGAAACCTGTTCTCTTTCACATTAGCTTTTGAAGATTGCGTGAAACCATACAAAAACTGTATGCATTTGAACAATATGGTGTACATCTGACTTGTAGTTTTCTAAACAGTTAGCTATATTATCCTCAGCTCCCGCTCCCCTTTTCTGCAAGGATATTTGTCCAGTTGTTAAATTCGCATCCAACCTTTCCAACAAATGAAGTTCAAGGTGACTACACTGTTCATTTTTATCACAGAACAAGCTAAAGAGGACATTGACTAGAAAGCTAAAGCTTAGTGTCATATGGGTCCAGCATTGCAATCCTATGCATATCTCTCTGTAAACTTAATAAAGTTAAACAGGACTTACTCCCAGGCAAGTGGGTATTGCAGCCACTTATATTGAACTAGACCTTTACTGGTCACTCAGAAAGATTTCAAAATGCTACATCTAAATTCCTGGATGTCAAACAACCAAGTTTAAATCTTTGGCAAGACTGCACAAATATATTGTCTCATATTGTTGACATGTATATATTTCTCTGTATGCACCTTTTCCTTAATATAATAAATAATTCCCTCCAAATGAATAATGAATTTTGCCTTGCTTTGTCCTATTTTCACAAGTCCCCGATTTAGCACATTGTCACTTACTTTCCTATCTCTGCAATTTCATATCCGGCATCAATGGTTGCTTTGCCAGCAGATACAGCTGCTGTGATCAACAGTCTGGGTTGCCCGCTCCTGGTGGCTTCACTTGAGAAAGCAGCCAGCATTTCCTTGAGAAGGGCATGGGTGAGTAAAGTTAACAGCTGCATTCAGTTCTAGCTAATTCATTGTGTGCAAGGTTTCAAAAATTGGTGGTATGCAACAACATCTTTTATTATTTTAATATGAAGAAATTCCACTTCTTTGGTATATGAACCAAAGTGCCATTATGTACATATAAGGAGGAATTTAGAAAGCTCAGCTGATTGTCATTTAAACAGCTAAATATGAAGAAATTTCAAATTATTTTAACATTCTTATAAACCTGGAAGAGGAGTGAAATATATTCCTTTTCCTAGGAAAAGATATTCTATTATGTGATTGTGTAATTGGCAGTGGCACCTCATTTCTAGCAACATTTAGTTGGAATTAGTGCTTTATTTCGACAAGCGTGTCTGTTGTTGATGAGAGCCATCCTGGCTGAGGATAACCCCCATCACATGAGAAAAGGTAATGTGTGACCAAGCAACCATATCAATCAGCATCTGCTTTGTGATTTCAAGATCTGAGGAAGTGCTGCCATTATTTACAAAATAATCGACTCATTCACATACTGTATTACATTTGTTTATGCAAAGAGAGCGAGGCACGATGTTCACAGGATGCTGGGCAAAGCTTCCTCACCTGGACTAAAAGAGTGAAACGATGCTTATCCTCAGCAGGGCTGCCCCGAGAACCTGGGTATTCAAAGTCCAGATCAATCCCATCAAACCCATACTGACGAAGGTACATAATCACTGAATCGATGAAAGTCTTGCGGTTATCAGCTGTAGCAACCATTGTGGTGAACCTAACAAAACCGGATTTGTTTTTAAGTTACTGAAAGTATGAGGATATACACTATGTGAACCACAAAATTAAGCAATGCTAGCTTGTTTCAGCTTATCTTACCACTTCCTTCCCCACAAAATGTTTCTACTGTACTTGTTTATCCCATACTTCCCTCTGACTCTTCAAAAAAAACCCCAACTCTCCTCCTTTAACTCCACAGTGGTCTTATCTTTCTATCCACCAGAGGTTCCTGAAAATCCTCCACATCCCTTTTATCCATTCATTGCCTCTTCCTCAGCAGGCCAGCAGCAGTAGCCACAAACTACCCCACCCCCATCTTGTTCATTATACATGTGAAAGAAAAGTTCTCACTTCTGGGTGCCGAAATTCCATCCTCCAATCGCCAAAAGGGTAACCATTTTCTCATTGCTAAGGAAGGGATTGGAAAAATTAGGAAATAAATTTATAATATGCAATTGTTGCTTTCCCCATCATCGTTTATTGTTTCGTGAACTGCCATTAAGCATGGTCTGAGGACCAAACTAGATACTGTGTTGATCATAGGACTGTGTGCTTGTTCTTTTTTTTTTTTAACTAAATAGCCATGAGGAGTGATCTGGGTTGGGGCCACAGAATCATGGGAAGGGACTTTGATCCATTGATATCGAGCAGCAGCCTTCCCACAACCCCTATTTCTGCCCTGGGAGGAAGGCTGTCACTGGTACTAAGAAGAGATTACCTCCCAGTGCAAACAATAGCCATGCAGACAGGTACATCAAGCCATTGTCCCCACAGCATTTCCAGATTGTTAATGTTGTGACAGCTTCTCTGCCCATGCTAGGATCTCTCTTGAGACTCTCTGGTTGGGACTCTCCTATACTAAATAATGTGCTTAATGTCACGTTAAGTTTTCCCTGAGTCCTGGAGAGGTGGCATGTTCTGGGACACAGATACAAGAAGGAACTGGCAGGCAAAAGGCATAGAACAGTCAGTTCAGTGAGTAGAGAGCATGTACTGTATGCAAAATAATAATAATAATCAGCCAGTGGCCATTCCAATGGAAGGATCTCAGGATGAGGAAGAGCCCACTGCCTGATAGCAGCTGCCAATCAGTGTGAATAGTGTTTGACAACAGAACTAATGCTCTCACACAGTATAAGTCAGTCTCATATTTTTGAGGGGAAGCATGTCAAGTGAAAGTAGATAAATAGGTACCACTCTGGCGGAAAGGTAAGCGGCGTTTCTGTGTGCTGCTCTGGTTTCGCCAGAAGTGGCTTAGTCATGCTGGCCACATGACCCAGAAAAACAGTCTGCGGACAAACGTCAGCTCTCTAGGCCAGTAAAGTGAGATGAGTGCCGCAACCCCAGAGTCATTCGCGACTGGACTTAACTGTCCGGAGTCCTTTACCTTTACCTTTTTTAAGCGGGTTTCAACAGTGATGGGTTGCCTGGACTAAGACTCCTGCAGATCTGAGATCCCTATATTAGACAATAGCACAGGATAGATTCTCTAGCACTAGGGAGACTCTGGGCTGTTGTAGCAGTGCCCAGAACTGACTTTTCTGCCCTTCTCTCTTCTGGCCATTGGCCTAGTGAGCAGAGGGTAGAGAGTACTTTGCAGCTCTGCAGCAGCTAATATTAACCTTCCAGGGTTTTGTTTAGTTTTTTTCCAAAAAACTGAATCAAACATTTACAACTAGGGGGCTTAGAAAATCAGATCAGGTCCAAACAAGCCTTATTATTTTGAGATTAACCAATCTGTGCTCATTCTTAGTAATTACCAAGTGCTTAAAGAATTTACTAACTATTCTTTTAGACCATTGAACTGTGGATAGAGGACGTCATCATTCCATTCATAGGGGGCGATCTTGTTATTGCTCATAGTAGCAAAGGCATAGATGACATGTGTGCACAGGCAGGGGTCCACATTTGCTGGTTTATATCTGGCAGGATCAGGCCTGTACTGGGACCAGTTCGTGAAATAACAGACCAGCTTGTAGGAAGATCCTGAGGTAAGAAAGAACATTGTGATGTGAATATCATAGGCAAGAACAACATAGAAATCAAAGCAACTGACTCCAAAACCGGCATACTTTATGTGTTAATGGAATGAGGTCAGCTCACGCAAAAGGAATTTTGCCCCTCTCCTCCCACCTCTTAAACCTGTTCTAAGTTTTCCTTCAGCCTTCCAGAGCAAAGTCCCATTGCACAAGCTGATCTCATTCTGCTCGTGCAACAACTTAGTTCAATCTGGCCCTGTGCGCTTACCTCTTGAAATATACTCAGAGTCGCAGAGTGATTTCATGCTCTTTATTCAGCTCATAGTGGTGAGGAGGAATGAATGAAAGTCCCCTCAAAGTATCTGCTTTATATACATTATTTACACAATGGGCTGCACATGATTGGCTAATTCTGGAATTCTACTGTAAGCCAATCAGGTTGTGGATTCACTTATATCTGGAGCATGATTGGGTGGTTCCTGCCAACCAATCATACTGCTGCATTGTTCTAGGACCAATCAGACTGCTGCATTCTGAATCCTATTGTTCTAGGACCAATCAGACTGCTGCAATTTGGATCCTATTGTTCTAGGACCAATCAGACTGCTGCAGTTTGGATCCTATTCAACTCAGTACATAACACCCCTCCCCTCTAAGTTCCAGTCCTGCCCGGGAGGTTGCATTCATAGTCCTCGAGGTACGCCGGCGGCCTATGTGTGCGTTGTGGCCTGTGGTATTCCCTGGTCCGGGGTTCAGGTTCTGGCTCGTGTTCCAAGGATGCTGGCTGTGATGGGCCTGTTTGGTCTGGCGCAACCGGCTCGCTCAGTCGTGGTTCTGGTTCCGGTGTCCTTTCGGCCTCGCGGGTCCTCTCTGTATTTACTGATTCTGCCTCTCCTGCTGGCCCCTCCTGCTCTATGGGCCTCACTGCCCCTCTGTTCCCTTGGGACTCCTCTGACCTTTCCTCCTCCTGGTTTTCTCCCGGGAATCGTCGCCGTATCTGGTCGCAGTGGCGGTGCTAGCATTGCGCCCCATCCGTTAGCACCTCGTACGACAAGGGGCCAGTGACCCTGGTGACTGTGGCGGGTACCCATGCTGGGCCTGCCCCAAAATTCTTTGCGTACACTGGGTCCTGGGCCTCGAAGGTCTGGGGGTTCCTGCCTTCCCCCACCACTACCTCATCCTGAGCTCTATCGGGGTGAAGGCGGTCCAATCTGATTGCAAAGCGCCGACCCATTAGTAGTTCAGCGGGGCTCCGGCCAGTCATTGAGCTGGGAGCTGTGCTGTGCTAGAAGGAATGTGGCAAGGCGGTACTCCCAATCCCCTTGCGTCATGCGGCGAAGGGTGTCCTTGGTGGTCCGCACCATGCGTTCTGCTTGACCATTGGTGGCAGGGTGGAATGGCGCCGAATGGATGTGGCGGATGGCGTTCTGAGCTGTGAAGGTTTGGAATTCTCCTGACGTAAATGCAGTCCCGTTGTCCGAGACGAGAGTGTCAGGGAGCCCGTGGGTTGCAAACAGCCTGCGTAGTACCCGGATGGCTGCGGATGTAGAAGTGGACGGTACCAGTGCGACTTCCAGCCATTTGGTGTAGGAGTCCACCACTATGAAGAATGTTTTCCCCTGAAAGGGGCCAGCGAAGTCCACATGCAGGCGTGACCATGGTGCTCGGGCGGACTCCCAGGACTGGACTGGGGCCCTTGGGGGATCTGGGCGGGATTCTTGGCAGGCCTGGCAGTGTTTGACCCAGGCCTCTATCTCTCCGTTGATCCATGGCCACCACACATAACTCCTGGCAAGGGCCTTCATTCTTACTACCCCTGGGTGTGTCTCGTGTAGGGCTGTGAGGACCCTTTTGTGGAGGGGCTGGGGAACAACGACCCTGCTTCCCCATAACAGGCACCCCTTGTGGGCCGACAGTTCATGTTTGCGGATTGTGTAGCCAGCGAATTCTGGCCCAGGGCTGCTGCTGGGCCATCCGCTCCACACCCAGTCCAGGACCCGGGAGATGACCCTAACTTTCTTGGAATGGTGTGCAACTTCTTGTGCCTGAATGGGGCAGTCAGGAAGCAGCTCCAGGCTCATAACCTCTTGTGCAGGTGCTGGATCGGGGCCTGTTTCCGGTAGTGGTAGCCTGCTGAGGGCGTCCGCATGGCCCATTGCTTTCCCCGGGCGGTGAATCAGTGCATACTGGTAGCTGGCAAGGAAAATTGACCACCTGAGGACGCGAGGAGACAGCACTTGGGGGGTCTGCTTTTGGGGGGCAAACAAGCCAAGCAACGGCTTGTGGTCAGTCACCACGGTGAAGGGCCGCCCGTACAAGAAATCATGGAATTTTTTTACTCCCTTCACGATTGCCAGCCCCTCCTTGTCTATTTGCGAGTAGTTCCGCTCGGTTGCGTTGAGTGTCTGGGAAAAGTATGCTACCGGTACCTCTCTTCCATACGGGAGTTGGTGTCCCAGGACAGCGCCAATACCATAGGGCGAGGCGTCGCATGCTAGCACCACCGGCAGCCTCTCGTCGAAGTGTGCCAAGACCGAGTTTGAGACAAGCAAGTCCTTGACTGCCTGGAATGCGGCCTCCTGGCGCTGGCCCCACCCCCAAGGGGCCCGCTTGTCCAGGAGTCTGTGTAGGGGCTCCGCTACCGCCGCCTTGTGGGGAAGGAAGGAATGGTAAAAGTTCAATAGTCCCAAGAAGGCCTGAAGTTCAGTCTTGCTCTTGGGCGCTGGGGCATCACAAATGGCCCGTACCTTGTCCCCAGTCGGGTGGACCCCTTCTGCATCCACCATAAATCCCAGAAAGTCCACCTGAGGCACTCCTAGTAGACATTTTTCCCGCTTCACCTTGAGACCCGCCGTCTGGAAACGGTGCAGAACGGTGCGGAGGCGGTCCTCAAACTCCTCTGGTGTGGGCCCGGCGATCAACACATCATCGAAGAAGGGGGTGACGCCAGGAATCCCTTTAAGGAGCGAGTCCATTAGATTCTGGAATATGCCTGGTGCCACACTGACACCGAATTGCAGCCGCTTTACCCTGAACGCTCCTCTGTGCGTCACAATCGTCTGTGCCTCTGCTGTGGCCTCATCTACTGGCAGCTGTTGATATGCTTGGGCCAAGTCCAGCTTGCCAAAATTTTCGACCCAGCCAGGGTGGCAAGGACATGGCTGACCACTGGCACTGGGTATGCATGGGCCGTGAGGGCCTTGTTTATGGTACATTTGTAGTCTGCGCAGATGCGGACCGAACCATTAGGCTTGACGGGTGTGACGATTGGGGTTTCCCAGGGGGCATTAGGCACCGGCTCCAGCACTCCTTGCTCCACGAGCCGGTCCAATTCCTCGTCTATACGGGGTTTCAGGGCGAACGGGACCCGGCGGGCCTTGAGCCTGACCGGTCGTACTGCGGGGTCAAGCTGTAGAGCAATGGGGGGGCCCGTATACTGTCCCAATTTCCCATCGAAAACCCCTGGAAATTCCTTGCATATGGCGTCCACGTCCACTTGTAAGGTAGTGTGGTTCACCCCAGTGATGGCTAGCCCCAGTGGTCCAAACCATGCCAATCCCAGTAAGCTAATGTAGGGGCCCTTGACCACAAGCAAGTCCAGTTGCCGCGTCCGCCCTCGGTATTGCACCCTGAAGGTCCCCACCCCCATTGTGGGGACCTTACGTTTCTGGAAGTCCCGGAGGGTGAATGGGGCCGGCCTGAGTTTGGGACCCCCAGTAGGACACAGTTTCCTTAAGGTCCTTGCCGAGATTATGGATAGAGTTGAACCCGTGTCAAGCTCCATGCGGCATGGGGCCCCCTCTATCTGTACCTCTACATAAATTTTCTCTACGTTGGGGTGGGGCAACTGGTATACCTGGAAGTCCGTGAGCTCCGTCGAGTTGCCTTGGTGTGTTGGGCCCCGGGACCTGGGGCTCTTGGATTGGTCATCTGATGCCTGGCGTCGGGTGGGCCGAGCTCGACACACCCGGGCGATGTGTCCCGATTTTCTGCACTGCCTGCACTCTGCGTTGCGGAAACGGCAGGTCCTCCTCTCGTGACTTTCCCCGCAGCTTGCGCAGTTCCCTCCTTCTCGTCGAGGCAGCTGTGGTATGTGGGCTGCTTGAGTGCGCTGCTGTACTCGGTGCACCTCCTCCCTGTCAGATCCTGAGTCGTCGGTGAGGTCTTCGTGGTGGACCCTCGGTTGGGATGGCAGGCTCGGCCGTGCCTCTTGCGTCGACCTCTTGGCAGCTTCCGTTGCCAGGGCCTCCTCCAGAGCGACCTGGAACGTTAGGTCCTTCTTAGCGTAGAGGCGTCGTTGCAGCTTCTCATCCTTCAGGCCACCGACGAGGCGGTCACGAAGCATGTTCTCCAGCTCTGAGAAGTTGCAGAACCGGGCGGCTTGGCGGAGAGAGGTCACAAACCCAGTTATGGTTTCCCCAGGGGCTTGCCGCTTTGCGTAGAAGGCATTTCGACGAGCCACCACTGAGGGCTGCGGCGAAAAGTGCCCCTTCAGCTGTTCCATTATTGTTTTGTATGGAACAGTAGCGACGTCTTCAGGTGCAAGGAGAGCCCGGGCGATTTCAAACGTCTCCTCTCCGCAGACGCTGAAGAATATCGCCCTCTTCTTGGCGTCTTCTTCGTCGGTGACCCCTTTGGCTTCTAGGAGGAAGGTGAAACGGGAGGCGTACGCTTCCCAGTCTCCAGATGCTGGGTTGAACGGCGAGAAGCTGCTGTCGGTTGCCATTCTGAGTTCCTTGTGTCCCGGAGCTGAAGCCTGGATACACGGTGCGAGGCAGCGGTGCGGCAGGTGGCGGTGCTGCGGTGCTGTGTGTGGCAGTCAGCTCAGCGGGATCCCACCTTCGTCGCCAGTGAAATATACTCAGAGTCGCAGAGTGATTTCATGCTCTTTATTCAGCTCATAGTGGTGAGGAGGAATGAATGAAAGTCCCCTCAAAGTATCTGCTTTATATACATTATTTACACAATGGGCTGCACATGATTGGCTAATTCTGGAATTCTACTGTAAGCCAATCAGGTTGTGGATTCACTTATATCTGGAGCATGATTGGGTGGTTCCTGCCAACCAATCATACTGCTGCATTGTTCTAGGACCAATCAGACTGCTGCATTCTGAATCCTATTGTTCTAGGACCAATCAGACTGCTGCAGTTTGGATCCTATTCAACTCAGTACATAACATCTCTTGATTTAGGAAACTCGTTGTGATTAAGATACATGCGCAATGCTCAATTAGAAAGTTATAGTCTCTAGCCCAGCCTTTGCTGGCGTTCTCCAGATGTTTTCGACTACAACTCCTATCACCCCCAGAATGAGGAACCATATATTTCCTTTACAGAAATCTGTGGATTTATATAATGCAAAGATATAGTCTCTCATTCTTAATGTTACATTCCTTTGTGCTGGTTGCTGCTACTCATAATCACACCCTTAGTATTGCAAGCTCCCAGATCAGGAGGGGGCAGAAATGAAAAGGGCAATATCAAACCTGAAAGCATCTCCCCCACCCTCAATTTGTCTCAGATATTCTATCTATTTTTGAGGAATAAATTTATGAGCAATAAAGAATTCTGCTTACCAAGCTGCAAGTTCAGCAAAATGGCCAGACCTACAAAAGATTAAAAAACAACAACACCATTACAGTATGCATAAAACCATCTGGCTCAGTTTGCTAAACACCTCATTTCCAGGGTTATTTGTCTCATAAGCAAGCCTGATGGTGTTCTCATTCCCAAGTCTAAGCTCAAAGTTCACCTCCCTTGTTTCTAGGAAGAAATGTCTCTTTATGTTTCTCAAGATGTAAAATTACACACAGGATCACTCACTTGCCCACAGCAGCATCTTCCCCATCTGTTTTTCAGAGGAAATGGCCCATCTGGGGAAATCCAGCACAGCCTTATAAACTGCTCACTTATCAGTATGGGAGCCACACACCTGCTAAAGGGGCATACATCTGGCAGCTAAAGTGCACAGGTGGCTGAAGAATAAATCCCGGGACAGAAAACAGATCTAACTTCAAGGATGGAAAAAGTGTTGACTTTATGAAAAATTACATTGTGTGTATGAAGAGAACCACAAAGGCCTATCTTTTTCTGATTTTTGACAGATTTGGATGTCAGCAAAGCCCTGATGTTGACAGCAAATGTCCCAATGATTTCAATGAATGTTCAATTATTCACTTAATTTTGAATTGTAGAAATCTTACAACTCAATTACATATGTGGTTAAGCTGAAAACAAATCCTAGTGTTGTCAGCCTCTGAGTGTGTAGGCAAAGGACAACAACAACAACAACAACAACAACCCACTCTTCACTCTAAGGTCCCAGCATTAAAACATAACATTAAAATGATATTTTCAGGAGAAATTTTTAAAGAAAATAACCCTGCAACCCAATGCAGAAATGTGGAAAGCGAGCTTAAGATCAGAAAACTAAGATAAAAGCAGAACGGACGGATTTGTCCATTCCTAGTCTGAACTTGCTCAAGTGTTGAGTAATCATATGTGAAGAGACTCTAGTAGCCTTTCTAGACAACTATTTATAGCATGCAAGGCACACGGCTCAACATGCAGATGTTAGATAAATAAGCAATGATATTTGTGTCCAAATGGGGCCAAAGTATTCCTGCACAATTTGCCATTCTTCATGCCCAACAAGCGCTTATCATTAAATGACAGCTTAAAAAACAAAAAACTCTAGGTGAACATTAGTTTGTGACTTGCAGCCATACACCATGCCAAAAATTTATGCAACTGGCCTTCAGTCCCCCACAAAAAGTCACTTTGAGATTATCTCTAAATCCCCAAGGCTGTTTCTGCAAGGCACACCTCCATGGCACTATATCAGTGCAAGATAAGACTCTTTACTAATGCTGGTCTTGAACTTCATGTTGAAAATAGGGGAATGTAATATAGCAGAGAAGTGGGAGCCTTAATTCAAAGTGGAGCTGAATAACAGCAACATAGCTAGGAGTTTCCTCTAGTTTTGCTACTGCAATCTAAAACCATTGCTGATGATGCTGGAAATGAGACTTTGAGAAGCCTCTAAACAACAATAATCAATGTAGTCAAACTGACAGAGCGGAGCTGTGAAAGCTAAAACGAACTTGCACAGAATTTCTTGTCCTCTAAGTACTATGGGGATGATTTACTAAGCCTTCAGGTCCTGCTTGCGAGCCTCCAGTTGAATCTGACCATTGTTGGAAACAGAACATAAGCTAAATCAGGAATGGAGAATCTGTAACCCTTTAGATGTTGTTGCACTCCAGCTCCCATGAACCCCGACCAGCATAGCCAATAGTCAGTGATGATAGGACTTACTGTCCAACAACTTGTCCCTGGAGTCCAGATCTTCTGCAGCACTCTCTATTCCAGCTTTTTCTTCTAGTTTCCATGTCTTTCTTCCTCCTCCTGCTCCCCAGCTTCACTTATAGACACTATTGTTACACACCACCCCTATTTCCCAGTGGTGCAAGATTCCAGGGGTTTCAGATGCTTACCCAGGGTTTTCTTTGGAAATGAGGCACAGTGAAGACTGTGGTGTCTTTATTATGTATGGCTTATTCACACATATATAAAACCTGAGCCTACAATGCAGGGGTTCAAAGCATTACACTCCAAGGGGGTCCTGTCTTTCCCATGGCTACAATCTCTTATTCAAAACAGGCAGCTCAACTTGAGTTCTGCCCTGCCCCCCCCCCCGTTTCCAACTTGCTGCATTTAACAGACTGACACTTTTCCCCCTTGATCACCCCACAGCCAACTTAAATCCTAAAACTTCCTCCTAACAAAAACTCTGACATTGTCTTCTAAGTAACGATCTCAAACCTCAAGGGCAAGTGTTCCCATTTTTCGTCTAGATTAGTGTCTTGCAAAGTCATAACACTATTCTAACTTTCTGTCTCTTAGCCAATCAGAAGGGCAGCAGAATTTAGTTGAATTTCTGGCTCCCATAGCAGTCCTTGATCTTTCTTGCAGGGAGTAGAGTTATACACTTTGGGGTTCATTAAAAAAAATAGAGGGAGTGATGATTAGATTTTTTTCTCAAAATAAATACAATTTCTTACATTTCAGGTTGGTTAAATAATAATCTCTCCTCGTTTAAGCACTGCTGTCTCTGCCTTTTAACTGAGCAAAAAGCCATCTGATCCTCTTTTAGACCTTGACAGCAAGACTCAGGTACTCACTAAGCAACAAACACCTTCCTGGAAACTAGAATTAGGTGAAGCTCCCTGTGTCTTTGATTTTTATAAACTTTCTCTTTTAAAGACAGGTAGAGACAAGTAGCTAAGGGAGAGGCACCTAGTTATGTTGGTCAGCTTTCCTTTTAGGTTATAAATATCAGATGCCTGAAAGAAATGTCTTAATTGTCATCACCATTGTGTCACAATTTAAAATGATTTAAAGTACAAGTAAATGCAATAATTTTTTTTATTAGATTGCACAGTGAAATAGAAAATCAAGGTTGCCTAAAAAGAGCATGTGCATTCCAATTCTGCATAAATCTCACGATATGCAAAATCTGATTAACAGTAAAGGATGAAAAACGAGACACGCAGCAGACTCAAACAGAAGTTTGTAATGGAAGATTCCACAACAGGTTGCTCAAGTCTGGATGATCACATGCTAATAGGCAGCGAATATCTTGAAGTATCTTTTTGCTTGCAAAGGTTCAAGGAGGTGAGAGATATAACATGGATCCATCTTTGTTCCACAACACGTTGCGTTCCTCTATTTGCTTGGTGTGATACTTCATGTTCTGTCATAGGAGAACAAATGCATGTCAGAAGCACATCAGATATTTGCAAGACTTCCTATTTATCAAGAGCATAGCAGAGCAAAAACAACCCTGAAACATTTAACCCTGTATTGCAACACTTCCTCAGACTCTAGACCAACTCAGACATGACACTGTGCATTCCATAGGCCTCTGCATGCTTGGTTGTTGTTTACTAAATAGCATCCATGGGGTGCATATAGTTTGGGGCCACATGAGAGTAACTCAAGTCCCATTGAGTTTAGTGGCCTTTACTTCCAGGTAAGTAGGCAATGCACAAGCTTTGCTTAACTTTCTATTTGATCTTTTGCTGCCCTTTCAAAGTGGGTTTCTCTTCTTGTCTCAATTTAATTTCAATTTTAGCACCTTTATTTGTTGTGTGGCTTGTATTCATGTTGTGAGCCACTTAGAAGACTACAGTTGAGAGATCATATACTGTGTGTGTGTGTGTGTGTGTGTGTGTGTGTATGTGTAATATTTAAAATGCTTTAATATTGCAGGGTTTATCACATGAATCCCCTTGAGACTATTCCAAACATTCAAATCTAAAAAGAGAGGTTAGAAAATAAGGGTTGAAACTCTGATGCAATTAGTATGCCTAATTCAAACTTCACTGGACATTAGATTGGTAGCTTAATGAAACATGCACCTTACAGCCTAATTTGTCATTACCTCAGTTTCCTAGGAGACCCTTAAGCTTATTCACAAGGACATTGGCTCCTTGGCCACAGAATTTGCCAGAGAAGTCATCCATCCCCAAAGTCCAAACCATGGCTCCTCCATAATTCTCCCTCTTCAGAAACTCAGCCTGCAAAGGAGAAGTTTAGGGAAAAACATTTGTAAATAATCCACAGACTAGTGCTTATGTACCCATTCCATAATAGTTGTCAGATAACATGCCTCTTCTACCATTTGCTAATAACAGGCAACTACAAATTCCTTCTGGACACTGCAGCACATTTACAATATACGTAAGGAAATTCTGGCTTTACACCAGGAATAACTTTCTGACAGTAAGAGTTGTTTAGCAGTGGATGGACTCCCTCAGTAGGTGGTAGACTCTCCTTCTGTGAAAGCTTTTAAGCAGCGATTGGATGGCCACCTGTCATATGTGCTTTAGTTGTGATTCCTGCACAGCAGGGGGTTGGACTAGGTGACACTTTATATACCACTTGATTTAAGAAGAAAAAACTAACAACCTCAAAGCAGTCTACAAAAAGATACAATTTACATTTAAGCATAGCATTCAAAGGAAATTGAACTAACATACAGTGGCTCAGTAACCCATTTTCTGTGAATCGAGAGTGTGCCACTCTGTGGTGACATAAATAAGACGCTCCTTCTTTCTGTGAGGTGACCACAGAGGGTGGCTAAAGAGCACTTGGAGCTGCTAACATTGATTTTGCATAGGGGAAGAAGCAGAATTTTATTTCTGCTTACTCCCAGGGTGAAATAAGAATGAGGCAGACAATTCTTAATATTGTACACTCCTTCTGCTTCCAAAATGTTGTGTGCCAGCCAACAGGATGGTACTCAACCAATGCTACTTATAAATAAAAGTGGGTATCAGCATGTTGTGGGGGATCCCAGGGTTTGCAGAATACAAAAAAAATATTTGAGTTGAACCCTAAAAAAATAATAATAAATGTTCAGAGGCCCCAGAATTCTAATTGTCTGTTAGAGAGGGAAGAATGGAGTTGAGGAACAGCACGGTGTAGCATGGGAAAAGAAGATTTTAAATAACATGGAGCCTTAAAGAACATGTGTACGCAGAGGTCCACCCATGCAACTGGACTTCCAGTTCCACTTCCTCTCCTCTCCCTGTGTGCCCTCAAAATCTGCTCCAGGGGATGCTGTAAACTTTTCATGTCAGGGGCCGCAAGGGATAGGAGAAGAGGGGAAGTTCCATTGCATGAGTCTGCTGCGCTAGTGGGGAAACGGCATTGGATACAGCCCATGACTCTGTGAGAATGTGACTGTAAATTTGGATAGCAGCTAGAGGGCCTAAAGGATTTTCATTCTCATAGGATGTAGCAATTATCACAAGGCAGTGACACACTTTAAACTGAAAACTCTTCTCGTCGTCATATCCAACCCAGTTTCCAGCTTTGAAAGCGTAAGGAACCTTCTGTTCTTCGATCCATCCCTTGGTAGCTCCCTTTAAAAATGGGCACACCTGTCAAAATGATAGAATCCCTGTTTAGATAAAGAGCAGAAACTCAAGGGGGTATGGACAAAAATAAAAACAAAGTCTATATTCCTAAAAGTTAATCATTCCAAGTTTCCCCCATCAGAATCATTGGTTATTTTATAGCTAGAAGAGTACAGTGTTTGGTGGTCTGCGGCTTTAATTTACTGTATACAGCAGCCAAATGAGACCTCCCACAGCCTCTCCCTCTGACCTTCAGGACTCTCCCCAGGGCACACGCCTCAATGGCCCTGCACCACACTCTCCATGAGTGCCTTTGCTTGGCTAGAATGTGCTCTTGGCATGTGATCACACCTTAAGCTTATCTGGATGGAGGCATAGAAACCTATGGATTTTGTGTGGCCGGAAGGTAAACTGCTTTGCTAAGTTAAGTCACATCCATCACTCTACCAATATTTGCCTGTGGCCCTTGGGCTAGACAAGACTCCCCACTCTAGTATATGGTAACCAAATTGTTCTGGTTTTCATTAAAAGTGTGAGCCTACACTTGTCAACTCAGAAGTACATCCCACTGCATTGAATAACAGGTGCTCCCTAGCAATGGATTGCAGCTCTACAAGCTGGTCCTATGCATTATTGACGGAACACTGAAGCCCCCATTCAGGCATTCCTCTAAATGCTTGTGGACTGAAAATGGAAAGCAGAGAGCAGAAATGCATACCCAAGGGCCATCCCAAATGTTCCCACAGGTGCTTAGACTCCTCCCCACCAGGAACCCTGATAAGGCAAGGAGCCCAAGCACAGTGAAGATGCCAAACACATTCTGCTGAAGGCACTTAAGAGTCAGCTTTCAGATCTTCCCTCTCAGTTCAGGAAGGTCTGAAACAGAAAAACATACATGGACACTTCTGTCCCTTCCCTGGTTTTAGTCCACATTTATTCAGGCAAAGGCCTGAACAGGGCTGTACCCATGGCATGGCTCCCAAATAAATATTCATGGGATTGCTGCCTAAGACTTTGGTTAGGCACCTTCCACAGAATCATCCCACTTTATCCTCACAAAAACCCTGTCAAAATAAGATGTGTTAAGAGAAAATGCTTTGCCCAAGCCCACCCTTTGAGCTTTACAGCTGTGGGAATTTGACTCTGCCTCCCCAACATGATCAGCTACATTATAGTAGCTCTCAATCGTCAATGTTCTGTAATAAAATGCCAAAGACCCATTTACCTCGTAATATGCCAAGATCCCAGAAGTTTTGGTGTACTGTCCAGGAGAACCTCCACCACTGGCTGGAGCACCAACGTCGGTTTGTGAACTAGCAAGTTTGAAAGACTGTCCATATGTTGGAAAGCCCATCATGAGTTTCTCAGCTGGTGCTCCATTGTCCTTCCAGTATTTCATGGCATATTCCTGAAGCACAGACAAATTATGCAGACTTCTGTCATTCTTTCCTCGGTGAGTTTACTTTTTAAAAAGACAAAAGTATTTGGGAGGAGCTGAGAGAAAGGGCAGGCAGAGAGGGGCTGCTTAACCCTTTCCCGCTTTGGATCAACCTCCTCAAGCTGCTTTGTCATCTGTGGGAAGTCAGGGTCTCCGTGTCTTCAAAAATATTTGTAAATGAAAAAGAAGCTTGGGGAAGGTGATTTTTGAGCTGAAAATCACTCAGATATAGTCTGCCTTTGAATTTTCTTTTTTTAAAAGAGGAATTCTTCATGCAACTACACAAAACATGTATTTTGAGCCTCATCATCAATCACTCACCCACCCATGTTTGCTAGGTTGGCCATGTGTCCCACTGGACAGAGAAGAGTCCACTCTTTGAGGAAGTCCTCTTTTTAAAGAGTTGTCCAGTCCAGGCCTGGTTTAAAGATAAGGAATCATGCAAAGGGAGAGCAGGGGCCTTGAAGTCACCCAGTAACAGCTCCTAGACAGCAGACTGAGCTAGCACACAGGTCACTTGGTACCATCTTCCCCACTATGGTAAATTGTTTTCTATTTCTATTTGAATTTATAGGCATTGGTTCTAAATTTGCATCTAGACATATAAATTAGGACATGAAAATCTGTTCAGGTCTTTTTCATGACACATCTCCTCCTTTCTGGTGGTGTACAAGTGGCCACCCTAATGCTTAGGCTTGATTCAGTTTTTACTGCATTGAGTGGGGGAAATTGTCACTGGAATTTAGCTATGAGTTTAAGATTGGGCTATGTGTTGTTTGTTCTTACACTGTTGAAGAAGGGCGTTGAGTCATAGGAAGGTGCACCTCTGTGCAGGGGGCTGTTGTGTCCTGTTTGAGGTGCCCAACTTCCATGGAAATCATAGGTCATCACGTTGATTAAATCAAGACTCCTGGATGCACACAGAAAGGAATGGCAAGATGAAGGAACAATTTCTTCAAACATTAAATAATCTATGATCCAACAGCCACACTGTTAGTGATAATAATAAGACAGTTATTTTGATTCACAGACAAATAATTTAAAAAACAACAACCTGTGATTACATAAGCATGATGTAGTAGCTCCTTTAAAAGCCCTCAGAAATATTTCCAGAGGCACTGTAGAATGAGGCCCAGATTTATTTATATAAAGCCTACAGCACAGTGTGGCTGCATAGACACAATTGTTAATAAATACCACCCTACAAAACACTCTTTATGAGAGCCTATAAAACCAGGACATCCAACCCCAGAGGAGGTTCAAAATTATTGAAGTGGACTGGGTCTTTGGGAGAGCCAGTGTAGTGTACTGTGTACAGGTTCAGCAGCAGCACAAATTTAATAAGTAATAATAATAGTAATAAAGCAGAAAGAGAAGGGAGGAAAAACAGAGGCTTTTCATTTGAACGGCTTTCTCCTGAGTTCTTTAGCAATTTGTCCTAGACCTAGAATTTGGAGCATTCAGAGCTGGTGTTCAACAGAGATTCTGACGCAGGGCATGTCGCTTAGCAGAAACCATCTGACTCACTTCCCCAGGGCAGCAACTTCATATCCAGCATCCATGGTGTTTTTGCTAGCAGATACCGCAGCAGAAAGCAACAGCCGTGGGCGTCCTGTTCTTTTGCCCTCTTCCTCAAAAGCAGCTATCAGTTCCTTCAGAGAGAAACAGCAGGAGCAGCTGGGTGTTGCTCATGTGCAACTGAACAGAACACATTTCAAAGAACAGCTGGCCATTTGCAGGCTGGAAAATTCCACCCATACAGATCATGATGAGAAATATCTTCGGATGAAGGATGGTATATAAACTTAATCAATAAATAAAGATAAATATCCACACACAAGTTGGGCATGCCTATTTATTTTTATTTATTTGATTGAATCTGAGCAATTCTTCTTCTTGATGGTTGAGTCTTCTTTGTCATATTTAGTAATTCACAGTGCTATCCTATACAAGTGTACTGAGAAGAAAATTCCATTAAGTTTAATAGTGCTTTCTCTCAGGTATGGTCACTTAGGCCCCATTGAATTTAATGGAACTTGCTTCTGAGTAGATACGCATAGCATTACACAATTTGTCACTGGGACTCAAACCGACCATTGTTCTTGATGCAGAAGAATAAATATATGGAGGCTGGTTGTGATTACAAAAGCACTCTATACATGCTCAGAGGTACTCATATGTTCTATCACTACAGTATACATTCCAGGAAATTAATTTTAAATACCATTTTAAAATAAAGTAACCCTGTTACAATCATTCACTGTTGTTTTTAAGAAAGGTTTTGACCATTTTTTGTCAAAGTAAGTATGATCCATGCTATCTCCCTAGGGGCTTCCAGCACCCTTTGCTGAAGCTGGGATGAACATCTATATTATTTTATTTTCATACCTGAGTCAAGATGGTGAAGCGATGCTTATCCTCTGCAGGGCTGCCTTTGGAACCTGGATATTCCCAATCAAGGTCCATACCATCAAACCCATGTTTGCGGAGAAAATCGATTGATGTGGTGGCAAATGTCTGCCGATTTGCTGGAGAGGATATCATGGAAGTGAACCTGGAAGAAATGTGTTATTTTTTGACAGCTGCCTTTTACAACTTGCATCACCCTATATTTCACTCTTATTTTTTTGCTGGGCATCATGAACAGCTGCTATAAAATGGAAGAGCTCTGATATCAGTAGGGACTAAGGATGGACCAATCTGTCGATACTGGTTCTCCAAGTTTCTCATTTTTAAAATCTTAAATTCGCTTCTATTTCTGCAACAATCCACAAAAATGAATAAATAAATTGAAACTCCTCATGAAGATTCTTCAATATTTTAGTGTGAATTTCTCATAATAAACATATTTTATATGCAGTTTTATACACATTTTTGCAAGAAATTTTCCCTAACCTAATGCAGTTTTGGATGTAATTTTCACCAATATAAGGCATTTTTATGCACATTTTAGGCTACTATGTGCATTGTTGGACACATAACCTGGGGAATCACACTGGAAAAATTGAAGAAGTATGAATTCTGAAGGTTTCAGTTTATATAATTTTCCAAAAAGTATGAATTTGGTTAGTCCGTTTGCCCCTTACGGCTTTGTGGGTGGGGCCCCAAGCCCGCTCCCGTGAACCGGCGAATGGCAGGCCGGATCATCTGCCTGCCACCAAATTGGCCACTGGCGGCAGGGGCTTTTGGGTGTTCTTCTGAGTGTGGGATCAACTGGTCATTGGTGGCACTTGGCCCCACCCCCAGGACAAGGATAAAAGACCGTCTGCCAGGCCATTCGGCTGGTAAGTTCATCTTTAAATATAAACTGAATCAAATTACTCCCCCACCATCAGTGAAGTGAGGCCAGTTTACATCACAGTGCCCTCCCACCCTTTCTACTAATTAGGATTAGTCCCCTTTTGCTCTCTTTGGGGGTTTGGCCAAATTTAGGGGGACTTTTCAACCATACCTCCCCAATGAAATGAAATGAAATGAGGGGAGTGAACTGATTCAACGAGGAGAAAGAGCTTGCATTTGTTGGTGGGGTGGGTTCTTCCTTTTCCCCCTCTTCTTTAATCCCTTTTTTAATATTAAAAAGACCCTCTTATTAAAATCATTACCTGCCATTACTGCATCTCTGGGAAGGAGGCTCGCACTGAATAATCGTGTACACAGAAACAAAAGACAGAAAATGTTCCTTGATCTTTGAAGGACAATCATTTCTCAAAAGAGGAAATGCTCTCCATGTCAGACTCAAGCTCTCCAAAATGCCTTAAGTCGGGTGTCCCAAATCACAAATTTCTTAGGAAGCTATATCTCATGAACACCCTCTGCTCTTTCTATGAGTATAAGAAGGAGAAGGGTCTTACTTCTGGTTGTCAAAGCTTCCCCCTCCAACAGCCAGCAATGTGAGCAGCTTATTATTCCTAGAAAGCAAGAAAAAGATATAGTGGAATTAACATTTCACAAATATTTTGTGACAATTAAAAAGGAATTTTACCCTCCCCACCTCAAAATATCCAAGACTTCCATCACCAGTTGCTCCTTATAACTGCAGAATTTCAGAACCAAACAGGTTTTGAAAGCTCCTCTAGGTCATTTTCAGGGGTGTGGGCAGAATCCCAAAAGTTATTCTGTCAGGGCCATTGGGGAAATTAAAGCAACTCCCAGGGACAGAGCCCAAAGTGAGACAGAACTTAAAAGCTTGCTGTTGTTCTTGAGATTACTGGCAGTGCCAAGCAAGGACACAGAAGGCTGGCCAAGCAGATGCTATTACAGTGAAAGGAACAAGCATGCAGCCCTTCATAACTGTCTTTTGCATTCCTGCAAGGCAGTCTTTCCCAACCTGGTGCTTCAAAAACCTGCAAAAGCTCTTTGATCAGAGATTAAGGCAGGGCAGAACAAAACGAATATGTGTCCTGATGACTATCATTCCACTCTCAAGTGTCTTCAGAAACATAGTTACAGAATCCTACTATGCAAAAAATTATCATCACAGGGAAACATCAGCCATCACTCCAACCAACCCCATCCCCCTGAATGTCAGGCATCTCCAAATTACTTTTTTCACATTACATAGCAAAAAGTACAGATTTACCACCATGTGTATGCTCCATAGGAGCCATAACCAATCCTAGCTCTTGGACAAGTATCTCTAGGAAACACATACTTTCAAACTCTTGTTTGGCACTTCCAACCTTTATATTTTTAGAGGAATATTTTAAAAGTCTTAGTTCTAAAGGAACACTTCCCCATGTTTGCAGATCTTAGAGGGAGACTCTTCTTATTGTCGTGCCTCCAAGGGGGAGACGCTATATGGTGACATAGGATGGGGACCTTTCTATGGTGGCACCTTAATTAAGAAATGCTCTCCCCCGAAAGCATGATTGGCAGAGACACTTTTATCTCTGTGAGGTAAAAACTTGCCGGTTTACCTGTGCTTTTGTGTGATATTGAGAACAATATTAATGTACTGTTTCTGCAATGAAGGAACCTGTGGGTGGTTTCCTTGAGAGTTTATGTACTGTAATTTTTAAGATGTGTTGTGTTCTTGCCTGCTCTTTCAACTACATATACTGGAATTGTGTTGGCTGTATTTTAACTTGTATTGTACCTTGCTCTGAAATCATGTGGTGAGGTGTGGGTTAAAAGTACCGTATTTTTCGCACCATAGGACGCACCGGACAATAGGACGCACTTTGTTTTAGAGGGGGGAGAACAAGGAAAAAAAATTCTCCCCCTCTCTGCCCAGCGCCCCTTCAGCGAAGTGGCAGGAGGCGCTGTGCAGAGCGGGCGCGAATTTTCCCCCTCTTGTTTTCCTGCTCTATAACAAGGTGCCGTTTAAGGTGCGCTCAGGCGGCTACCTTGGAGCCTGGAGAGCGAGAGGGTCGGTGTGCACTGACCCCTCTCGCTCTCCAGGCTTCAGGTCTTCTGACCTGCTCTTTGGGGCTGGCGGGGAAGCCCCCACCAGCCCCAAAGAGCAGGTCAGGGAGCAGCGGAAAGGCGCAGCGGAGAGGCTCCTGCCATAGCCGTGCGTCACCTCTACAGCCAGGAGAGGGTCGCGGGGCTATGGCTTCTTTAGCCCAGCGCACGCTCTCCCGGCTGGAGAGGTGATGCGCGGCTATGGCAGGAGCCTCTATAGCCGCGCGTCACCTCTCCAGCCGGGAGAGGGTCGCGGGGCTGCTTAGCCCGCGCAGCGCTCCGGCTGGAGAGGTGACGCGCGGCTATGGCAGGAGCCTCTATAGCCGCGCGTCACCTCTCCAGCCGGGAGAGGGTCGCGGGGTGCTTCTTTAGCCCCGTGCGCGCTCTCCCAGCTGGAGAGGTGACACGGGGCTTTAGAGGCTCCTGCCATAGCCGCGCGTCACCTCTCCAGCCGGGAGAGGGTCGCGGGGCTATGGCGTCTTCACTCCATAGGACGCACACACATTTTCCCTTCATTTTTGAAGGGGAAAAAGTGTGTCCTATAGAGCAAAAAATACGGTACTTTAATTAATTTATTAAACATATAATTCATGAAGGGACCCCATGAGACTCTTCCTTCTTTTGCTTCTACATCTGCTGCTATTGTCAGACAGTGTCTAGAAGCAGCCATTAAACAAACATCATGTGAATACATTCATTGTGAGAGCTGCTTGCCTTTGCTTTAAGGCATTAAGTTTCTTGTAGAGTTCCACGTCATTCCATTCTATAGTGGTAAGTCGGTTGTTGTCCATGCCAGCAAAAGCATAAATCACATGAGTACACAGATGTGGGTCTATATTATCTGGTGTGAACTTGGCTGGCGGGTCCCTGTACTGTTCCCAGTTAGTGACATAACACACAAGCTTGTAGGCAGAACCTGGAAAGAGAAGGCGAAAGGTTATATTTAGAAAAGATCATACTGCATGCAGTTTGTAATGCAGGGTCCTACGCAGTGAAGTCAGCACACAAGTAGAATGACTCCTGTTTGTGAAATGAAACCTCTCTCTCCTCCTTGCCCTTCTGAGTCTCCCATGTCTGCTCTAGCGGTTCTCCCTATTTTTTGGATTTTTGGGGAGGGTGTGAGCGGCACAACGGGGAGCAGAAGGGATAGGAGTTCCATTTCCCTCACACAATGACTTTGTAGAATTCAACCCATGCTGTTTTCTACAGTTTCCTTCAAATCCTCATCATGAGTTTGACCCTCTTGCAGGGCAGAACCACCAGCTCCACAGACACAAAACGAAAGCTATAGAGCCAGCAACTTTCCAGGTCTAGACATGTGGGAAGTGATTGTTGTGGAAACTTCCACCACCCCAGAAAACACAATAGAAGAGCTGATGCAAGTTTACTTGGCTAGGAGCAGCAGCTGTTGGAGAAGCCATCAAGGTGAGTTTCAACCTCAGTTACCCAGACTTGTATCAAGCCATTTCCTCATCACGTGTCTGTGTGCATAAGACAAACTGTTTTGAGCAGTTAAAAAAAAATCCTACATTAACTTGATTGGGCTCTTGATGAAAGAGTGGTACTCTAAATAAAGGAGCTTTGCAGGGCTTTAGCATTTTGAAATAAGGAGCCCCTTATATGGAGCTGTGATCTTACCCAACAATAAGTGTTCCTGCTTTGCCTCAACTGGGAGCAATGCACACATGCTATGCACACAGCAGATCTGTCAAATTTTTAGAACTAGTCCCTAGCAAACAAGCAGAAGGGAAGTTAGCCTTACCAAGCTGCAGATTCAGCAGAAGGATGAAACCTGCAAAGCAAAAGAAACAAGAATGTCCAACATTAGATGTGGGTGTTAAGAAGGCATTGTAATTCTTATCCATTCTACTCAAAATGTAGGCAGATGGCAAGCAGGTTTCCATGAAGCTTGGCAAAATATGCATTTGGGGAGGGGGGCAAACAAAACATGGCAATAAATGGGTTTGGCATTTGCCCAGAATGGGGTGGGGGCTATATGCAAATTGCATCAGATGAGGAGGCCATAATTAATAAGATCACAGGAGGCTGGGGGGATTTAATGCTGTCCTCCTTTGCTGCAGGTGGTGGGAAGTCTCTGGCCCAGCAGGAATCCTTATTTGGCCCCACTAGGCTGTTTTCTCCCAACCACATGAACCTGTTATCCATCTGAAGCCATATGTGACATCAGCTTTGGGGCGGATAAAGTTGTGGCTTCCTGCCAAACATGAGGTATGTATGAGATCCCTGTGTAAAGCCAAACATCCCAGAAAGCGTATAAATGCTATCTTGGTAGTCAAGATAACCCTGGGACTAATTGGTACCTGCTGTGAAATTGCTCTCACATATGTGTATCTGTTTCCTTTGATATGCTTATTTGCTGTCTGAGTGCTTGGCTGCTGGCCTAGGGAGATGGAAGTCAGGAGCTACCCATGCAACCTGGACCCTTGACACCTATTCCTTCACCTGTCAGATGGATGGATGGATGAGAGTTGGGAACAGGCCTTCAGGCAGGTGGGATTAATTGGACTACTGCACCAGAAGTCCAATTTCTGTAGAAGTAATACATAAATGCTTGGTCGGGCATGGACAGTCACGACATGCTTGCTACTTCAATGTCCATTCCAAGACGGAGCAGCAAGAATCTCTGCATTGCGTTGTAAGTCTCTCTGGCGCTTTTGTCATCCTTGTTTGGAATCCCTGCAATAAACCACTCACCCAGGCCCACTTTCATGCCTGTGGGACAGAACAGTGCCTATCAGCTGGTTGGCAGTGCCTGCAAATCCCTGTGTCTATGCTGATGTGGTTTGCATCCAGTGTTACACTGGCATCAAGTGATTGACAGGTGGGTACACCCACCTGTGAAAATAGTCCACAGCGGGTAGAGGAAGTCAAAATACAGCCCGCCCACCAGATCCAGTTACCCTTTATTCCAATCCTCATGCACCTGGCCTCCACATATTGATACACAGCGGCCTACATGCATGGACAGGAATTGTGTAAGTACAATTCAATTTTCTGGAGTACCAGCTTATTTTAGCCCCCAAAGAGAAAAGGATACAGGGCTCTGTATTTTTTCTCTCTTGGGAAGAAAGTAGTGTGGGGAGGTGTTGCCTGATAAAACTAAACCCTTGGAGAAAGAATTATGGAATTATATATAACAAGGAGCTCTTCCCCCACATCATTTACATGAAATTGTTTTATTTATTTATTAGTTATCATGAAACACAGATGCTAATACAACACTCACCTGCACACAGTAGTAGCTTCCCCATACTGACACTTGCACCTAGGCAAAAATGCAGGAAGAGGGATGGAGATACAGAAAAATTTATGGATCTGCCTTAATACAATATCTGCCCATGCTTAATAACACACCCCTGAGTGCTGTGTCTGTCTCTGTATGTGTGTGTGTGACTAGTATATATATGACTAGTTCTCCATCTACATAAAAAAGCTCTCTCACCTGGGCCAGGAGCAATCACCCTAGCTAATTACATGGAGGGTTATTATATGGATGCTGTAGCATATTTGAATGTATCTCATTGAATCTGCAGTTACCATTCTTCAAGTAGCTGGTTATGCTATATGGTATAGGGGGCATCCAACTAAATAGGTCTGCTAGCGCAAGGAAGGGTTGGGGAAATCCCCAGAACAGATTGTAGCATGCCAATATATTAATACAAAGGTTTTTTTAAATGTCAGTATCTTTAGTAGTTCCATATACATAGCAAAGTTTTAGTAATTCTTCAGTAAATAGGAACACAGAAATCTGCCTTACACTGTGTCAGGTCATTGGTCAATCTAGCTCCCGGTAACAGGCTTTCAGGCAAGAGTCTTTCCTAGTCCTACCAAGGATTGAACCTGGGACCTTTTGTATGCAAAGCATGTACTCTACCACTAATCTACAGCCCTTCCATAGTCCCATGGAGCACATGTGACCCCTGTAGTAATCAGCTACCCATTCTGCATTGGAGCTTTGATTAAGATAGCAGGACTACTGCCTGGCTAGTTTGTTAACATTAGCAAAGCACAATTTTTAAAACAGCAACAACAACCATAACAGCAAAAGTTATTTATATGGCACTTCAGAAAATTATGTACTGTACATGCTTTAAAAAGAGACAGGTTGCAACAATTTAAGCTTACAACAATTTAAAGATGCTACTTATAATGAAAACATTGCAACATAACAAGGAGAATACAGGGTATAAAACTCTAAGGAAGGTGGCAACCCAAGACAAACAGCTGAACCCTAGACCATGGGTAGGCAAACTAAGGCCCGGGGGCCAGATCTGGCCCAATCGCCTTCAAAATCCGGCCCGCGGATGGTCCGGGAATCAGCTTGATTTTACATGAGTAAAATGTGTGCTTTTGTTTAAAATGCATCTCTCAGTTATTTGTGGGGCATAGGAATTCGTTCTTTTTTTCCTTCAAAATATAGTCCGGCCCCCAACAAGGTCTGAGGGACAGTGGACCGGTCCCCTGCTGAAAAAGTTTGCTGACCCCTGCTCTAGACTGTAACAGCAAAACAACTCTAATGAGTCTAGGGCCCAGCCAGCCCAGCCAGCCCAGCCACTAGACAGGGTGAGGCCACTGCCTCAGGCAGAAGAAGCTCTCCAGGTACTGATTTCACAGCCTTCAGGGGTGAGATCTCACGCAAAATCAGGGCCAGCTTGCCCCAAAATGGCACCAATGGCAGCAGCGCTTTTCCGCCAGTGTTGAATGTGACAGAGTGGGAGGCAGCAGTGGCAGCAGCAGCAGGTATGGTGGTGGCGGTGGCGACAGGGCAGGGTAGCACTTTCCCTTTTGCCTCAAGCAGAAAAATGGAATGTTCCACCTCTGGTCTAGGCGGTTCTGTTGTGTATTGCAGTAATGGAAAACTTAGAAATTATATGACAGCATCATTCCATATGTTTTGCCAATACTCATTCAATAGTTCACACCCTTTAAGTAATTTGTATTTTCATAAATGTACCTTCCACCTATTCAGCATGAGATCCAACCCACATAACAAAGCCTAAACACCTACACAGAACTCCTTTTAATTTTAGATGGTTATTCATGCAACTACAGACCTGTCAAAATCCTGCAATTCAAAGAGCACGATTCTCTGTAGCATTCACTCTCTGCCTACTGCATGTCTCAGAAAGCACCTTTTTATACATTTTGCTTCCTCACTCTCCACGCCCTATATTCTTGATATTCTGAGGCAATACCTGAAAAGAAAAGGAAGTTATAAGACAGAAATGTTGTGATGAAACATGGTATGAAGTAACTGCCAAAAGAGATATTGATATCCCTCTCTGTCAGTTATGCAACTGGTCCAGGAAGAGACCTTTGATCCCACACAGGTATGTCCATTTCCACCACAACAATATTTACAAATAAATTAAGATTAATCTGTTTGCATCCATGACCTGAAATTGTTCAATGAGAGAGCGTTATTCAAATATATTCTAGCATTATCTCGTCCAGGGCTCTTCGGCTTTTTCACACTCAGGAGCACACAATATTAACTACAGCCTGAAACATGGAACCCATTTTTAATTTGTTAATCATATTTGTTCATCTTAATTTAATTTGCTAATTTGTTAATCTTCCCTGCCTAGAAGAGAGAATTTTGATTCATGCAGTTTGTATTGCAGAGCAGAGCAAAGCAAAGCAAAGAGGCTGAACGTTCCATCTTCCATAAAGCTTTCAAAGGTACAAGACACTGAGCCTCCTTCACATCTGCTTCTGAAAATAAGTGACACATAGAAATGTGGAGAAGTGCTCTCTCTTGCTCTCTCTCTTTCACACATACACAAACACTGGCATAGCTCAGACTTCCAACATAAGTTGTTAAAAGGTAACAAGATCTTCAATACCTGATCGAGTATGAAAGAATCCTACTGCTTTGCAAGGAATCTCTACCTCTTCTCAAACTTTACCTCACAAAGCACCTTGTTTGACACAGTGTAGGATCTGCAGGAACACAATACAATAATGACAAGCAGCTGGTACTCAGAATGCAAATAAAGCAGCTGATGAATAGCAAGATAACCAATTTCTCCTCCTCATGAGCCCCAGAAGCACAGCTTTGTAAAGTTGCATTAGCCCTGGACTGGCCTGGTACACAGACCAAGTGAGACACCTCTTCTGGAGCTCTTACAATGAAATTCTTAGGGTTGAATTTAAAAAAAAACAACGTAAGGTAAGGTAAAGTTTTGAGAATGTTCTTTTTGAGCTCCTCCTGAGTTTCAACCTTCCCCTGGAGAAATTCTCCAAACTGGCACAAATACACACACATACCTCCAAATTTCACCATCCATGAATTTTGGGCGCAACTGTGAATCCAGTGTTACCACTGAGTAACATCATTTTAAAAGCACTAAAGCCTTGGCCCCTATTCCTTACAGTCCTCCTTTATCATCACATAGCCTCCTTCATAGCCAGTCCCCCTCTCACAGCACATAGATTCCCTCTAAAATGGATTTGCTTAAACCTTCAGTGAACACCCCAAACAGGTAGTGTTTTATGGCAGTGATTCTGACTTCAACATAAGTCCTGCTAAAAGAAAAGGAGTGCAACCGCCTAAAGCCCTTGGTTAGTGGCTGGAACCATTACCTTCAGCCTTGCCTCTGCAGCCAAAGGGCAACTGTTGTAGCAGACTTCTTTCAGGAAAGGAAGGCAGAGCAAGCTTCCAGAAGCTTAAGGTCCTTTAGACAATTGTTAAGTCAGGTCAATCTTCTGCATCCTGAGAGGTAGAGGGTACAATCCCTCAGGCATCCTTGTTCCTCTGGCTAATGACTTTGGCTACATTGTCTTTCCTTTTCCCACACCACCCACAGGACAACAGACAACTTGTGATGTCCTTGACCTTGTAACGATCTTATCACTTGTTCATTGTTCCATCCAAATATCCTGTATGCTGCCCAACATACAGTTTCCCACCTTGAAAGTTTGCCTCAGAAGCAAAAAAACAAATACACTGTTAATTCTCCTGTCTGTAGCAAAATGAGCTCAATTGTAACCCAAATATTAGCTCTTAATATTACCTTGTTAGCAGTAGTCATCTGAAATAATTGTAGGCGATTGAGCAGCTTTTATTGGAGTATTATGTCTGAGTAAACGAATATGTTCATATCAGACAAAGGGTCTTTCATGGGATCTGTGAGGGATCCTATGAAGGATTCATGGAGGACAAGTCTATCAATAGCTACTAGCCATGATGAAGGCCATACTCTGCCTTTCCCCCTTGCTCCCCCCTCACCCCCTTTAGTTGGCTCTGGGAGCCTCAGAAGAACCCCACGAATAAGGGGAGGGAGCAGAGGGGAGAACGATTCACCAGAAAAGCTGAAATGCTTGCCCTGAAAGAACATTGCTTAATGCAATGTCGATTTCCATTATACAGCAGCTGGATAATTGAAATATTACTGTTTTTCATCACTGAAATTTTAAAATCTTATTGACACAACAAGAATTTCCACAAAAATCTTTCCATTGGAAAATAAATCTGCTCTTCAGGGCCAGATCAAATGATAACTAAGATCAGGGCCAGCCCACCCATGAGGCAGACTGAAGCAGCTGCCTCAGGCAGTGGAAATGAAAGAGGCAGTGCCCCTGTGGGCAAATCAGTCCCTCCCCACCACCTCCACCACCAGTGAAGAAGCATTGCCAGCAGCAGCACCACTTTCCAGCAAGATCTCATGAGATCTTCTCCACTGCCGGGGGCACTGGTGAGAGTACCACCTCTACAGCTTCCCAGGTAAGGGTTGTGACATGGTGCCGCAGCATGGCAGCATGATCCTGTTTCCCCTCAGATGGTGAAATAGGACATGCTCCCCCGGTTTAGATGTATTAAAATCACACTTGCTTTTCCATTTGTTTCTGCCATCTCAAATGGGAAAGATTTGTGTTAATGGATCAGTGTCAAGAATCCTACTCTTTATATAGATGGATTCAAGGCTGTGGGTGGCTACAGGCTGCCCCCAAGGTATTCCAGCCACAAGTATGATGGCAGCCAGCTCATTCACAGATCAGGTTTCATGTGGATTTCCATTGCAATAACTGAGCTAAAAGTCACTCTCTGGTGGGAAATGGGCCTTGGTTGTGTCCGAAGGTTCAAGCCTCAAGCCTGTAATTATATTTTTCATAAGATGCCTGGAGGACGGAGCAACTTCCTATCTTCACTTAGTTTGACTTACTGTAAACCACCATACGCCTTCTCGTATTCAGTCTTGGATTCTTGAGTTCTGGAAAGTGATATGCACCCAGTATTTACTGTCTTGCGTGAGTTGTGAAACACCGAAGAGAAAGCACCTTTCCCATAGATCCTATGCAAAACCCTGCTGATGGAAGACAACTTATGGAAGCAGAGTATAATTAAGCCGAGTAGCTCAGTGGGAGACCACATGAGCTGATACAGAAGATCTCAGTAGCAGCCAGTATACCAGAGTACACTGAATAGGAGCGTACTTAATAGACAACAGATCTTATTCTGCCAAAGTTATGAGATGGATAGTGAGGCCATTTCTCCCTATTCAACCGGTTGAACTAGGCACTAGCAAACACTCTATGGTGGGTGATGTGGGTGGGAAGACACACTGAAACTCAATCTTAAATAGGGAAAGGCACATCAGAATAAGGCCTGCATCTGAACAATGCTGGAGGAGATCGCAAATTTGAGTAAGGAGAGCTAGAAAGGTGTCTGCCAGCAAGCAGCAAAGAGGCAATTAATGTTCTCATATTGTGGTTGTCTTACATAAGCTGTTGCTGCTTTAACTTTGACTTTTCACAATCCCAGGCATCTCTACTTGAAAAAAAGCATCAGCTAGTGTGTGATGGGGAAAACCTCTCCCTGAGACTCTGAAGAGCTACAGCCAATACTGAGCTATGTGGACAAGAAAACGGACCTAAAATAAGGCAATTTCCTTTGGTTCTAGTTGTTATGCTAAGGTTTGCTCTATCAAAATAGGATGCAAGTCACTACTTTAAAGCAGCAAATTGTTTCTAAACTGCCTTAGAAAATCAGTGACTCGCATCCTGTTTTGATGCATAGTATTAATAATGGTTCTTATTATTGTGTACTGGCTTTGAATTGATTGTGTACTGGAACCCCATGGCTGTTTCACAATTTTATTTAGGAGAAGAGGAGACTTCCACAGTAAGCCTGATCTTTGTTGTTTGTTTGGGGTAGTGTTCATATTATGGGTAGTCACAGCATTTGCAGCTGTCTTTGAAGACCAGGCCAGCTGCACAATTAAATTGAAAAGTCCGGTTTCCCGCACAAATGTAGAATTTTGACTTGTCTTTGGGGTCTGCATGGATGCCATCAACTTTCCCAACACAAAAAGTTTCATCTCCTGAATCCCCTGGCGTCGTGACGACAGGATCAACTGTGGGTGTAACTGAAGGATCAACCGTAGGTGTACTTGGAGGATCAACCAGAGGGCAGTTTGGCACAATGGGATCTGAAACAAAATTGAACAGCTAGTGTTAACAGTTGTGATATTCTCATTTATACACACAGAGACACTTTTCTCTTTCCCTGTTCTCCTCATCTCCCTCAGTTCCACTGCATGAGCATGGTGGATGCAACTGAGGGAGAAGACTACAGAGTCTTTCAGTTCCCTACCAAAGTCCATTCCCCAAGTCAAGGAAATGATAGCTCTCTCTCAGATATCAGAGTTTTCAGATATATCAAGCTGGTCAAACTGTAGGCTAAGAACCAGTAATGGGCCTCAGCACCACTGCCCATTTCCTGGATGTACCATAGGCTTTTGGTTGGACCAACAGCAACTGACCCCAACATGTGCAGTGCAGAGGTGTATGTGTGTGCAGGAGCTGGTTAGAGAACAAGGCTTTAACATGCTAAGATGGAGGCAGGGGGAAGGAAGAGAATAGAATAAAGGAAATGGGCAGAGTGGCTAGCCAAGTCTGAGGGAAGGAAAAGAGAAAATGGGAAGGAGGGAGGCAAAAGGGACAGATGGGCTGAGGGAGAAGAAAAGAAGGAACCATTTCTGAAGAGGAATTAGATATCAACAGAATATGATGTCGGTAATTGCCAACTGATTATGTCAAACTCTGTCTCCATCCTCCACCATTTGTGACTGGCTCTGCCTCGGCACCATCCTTTTGTGAATGCACATTTACAATGCATGTGGCCATAGTTCCCAGCCTTCTTGAGTGAGCTAGAAATTTTGAGAACCCCTGGTGTGGGTGAAAGAGAAGGCTTCTCAAGCACCAAACCAGCCAAGTAATAATATAGAGGCACTTCTGCTCCAACACAGTCGCCTAGGTTGTCATTATTGTAACTATTGGGAAAGGCCAGCAAGAGGGACACCAACAATTCAGGCTTGCTCAGAATATGTTATGCACTTTTCATTCCCATCTCAATACTAGAGAAGATGAAAAAGTTGCCCTCCATCACACTCTCTTACCATTTGTTTCAAGCAATCGCTTCAGCTCAGTTATTAAAGGATTTATTCCCTGATTACATTCAGTACCACGGAAGTCATCCAAGTCTATGGCCCAAACCATGGCGCCTCCAAACTTATGCTCTTTCAGATATTTGGCCTACAATTTTAAGAAATGTAAAAACTGACTATATATTCTGATTTGCCATCAAGTGTAAACAGATGCAATGGAATCACCCAAAAAAGGTAGACAGAAATAGATGATATAACAGTTAGTATATCATTACCCTCCATAGAATTAATTCATTAAAAAGAACTGTCTTTGACCCACCCATTAGACCTTCCAGGGTTTAGGGGCTTCTAAATTTAGAAAAGATAAGATTAAGGGTGAGGATAGAGAAATCATTCTGTATCAATTGTGCATGTGTTCATTCAAGTTTATTCCATCCCATTTCCACATTAATCTGTGATATATCTGCATACAACAAGTCCGTATGAACATTTGTATCTAAATATGTATTTTATCACAAAATATGGATTTAAAAACTTAAACTCATTTCTATCTTAAAATACTTTTTTTTTCATGCATCCAAATATGTTATTTGAGCCAAGAAGTTTATCACAACATTTGGAGAAGTGTGGAATCTGAGGGATAATTATGTTCTGGTCTGGCTTTAGTCCAGGCAGTACAAATTGGTTTGGTTCATTTAAAGTATGGACCAGACAAAAATCTCCTCCAACTACCATACAATGGTACAAATGTTTAACTTACTGCTCTCCCTGCAGTTAATTTAACAACAGGGAGACATGTTAGACATTTATAAAATTGTATGGCAAGGAAAAAGAGGGTAAAGTTCAATCATTCTCCCTTCAGTAACAAGTGTAATCATGTATGTCTCAACATCAGAAATAAATATTTTAGAGATAGAATTAGTAAATAAAGTTTTAAAACAAACAAAAAGACTTACTTTGTGTCTATAACTACAAATATCATCATATGTAACCCATACATTCCCCTTGTAGGCATATGGGACTTTTTGATCCTCCAGCCATCGTACTTCAGCATCCTTTAGGAAAGCGCACACCTATCAAAAACAGGAAATTAATGAGATTATCCAGACTTGCCTTGAAACAAATAAGCTATTGCTTTTTTGCTTTGAGTCAAAGGCCATCTAGTCTAAGCTCCTGCTGATACAGGAAATCCAATACTTTAGCATCCCTGATAGGTAGCTATCCACATAACTGAACAATGCCTGGCTGAAAATTAGGCAGCTTGATTTAGACTCACTGAGGACTTGACATGTACAGTCGTACCTTGGATCTCAAACGCCTTGGCTCCTGGACAAATCGGCTCCCAAACAATCAAAACCCAGAAGTGAGTGTTCTGGTTTTCAAACGTTCTTTTGGAAGCCGAACGTCCAATGGGGCTTCCACAGCTTCTGATTGGCTGCAGGAGCTTCCTACAGCCAATCAGAAGCCGCACTTTGGTTTCTGAACATTTTGGAAGTCGAACAGACTTCCGGAACGGTTTCCATTCGACTTCCAAGGCACGACTGTAATGCAGAAACGATGGTGGGCAAGTAAGTTTGTCTTTCAACTCTTCTGGTATCTCATGAAAGGACGAAGGAGGTTTGTGGACCTTTTCCCCCCAATGCAAGTATGAACTGCATCACAGTAACAGCAACAGTAAATATTCTCAGTAACAGCAACAAACCTCAACCTTTTATATGTGTAATTATAAAATTCATTATTACGAAGCGTCATGTTCTCAGGTTTCATACCTCAAAGTAAGCCCAATATCCAGCCTTCTCTGTATACGGCCCTGGGGGGCCAGCACCAGAGACTGAAGCACAGAGACCTGTGCTGCCACTATTACTGAGCGTGAAAGAACGCCCATAGGTGGGGAATCCCATGAGGAGTTTCTCAGCCGGGGCCCCTTGGTCCCTCCAATACTCCATCGCATACGCCTGCCAAAACACAAAGAGGTGCATCTTTTACAATATATTTTAATCTTACTAGATAGATAAGAAAGGGGCGTCAAGGGATCTTTACTCACGCAGTTGAAATAATCGACGTCACACCAGTCAGAACCTGAGTACAGGGGGCTGTTGCATCCAGTGGTACTATCCCAGTCACCGTGGAAGTCATACGTCATCACGCTGATGAAATCCATGAGTCTGATGCAAATCAGTAATCATCCGTTAGTAAGCGGTGGCTCACCAAGCACTGAATTCAACCACTGTGTCATTGCGGTTTGCTCTTGTGGGGAAATGAACTAAAATGCCACCAGTCAAATGGAGCATCATTTTGCACTTACTGAATCTGACTCCCATATACATAGACTTCCCCTTGCCCTTGTAAGATATGGAAAATATGCAGTTCAGTCCTATGGATCAGAAGTCCAACCTGGCTGACAGAAGGTTCTCTGATTCAATGCGAGGGGGGGTGTCACTTGACTGGAAAGGGTTTGTGAATTCCCTCTTTCCCCTCACACAGCCTACTATGTTGTTCCAAAAGATCTACCAACCCATTTGAGCAGATCTGAGGGAAGTGCAGAGAGAAGAGAAAATCTGGAAAAATTGTCTTCCTTTTTTCCATCAACAGAAACTTGTAGTAGGCCCAAGAGCCTTCCATCAGCAAAGGGTCACAACTGGATACAACCTATGGCTATGAGTGAGGGGGGAGCACAAACCATCCTACTCCCGTTTTTAATTACTTTTGTCTACTATTATTTTTGTTAAGAAAAGCAATTGCCAAAACATGTTTTTGCATTGTTACATGGTTACAATATAGACTGCGTTCTGAATAAAAAGTGTCCATTACTCTTGTAAATCAGTTAAAATTTATTCTTCCTTTATCCATTAATACATCCATCTCAGCAATCTCTCAGACTTTGAGGAGCCACTGCAATCCTAACAGCAACAGCCCAACACTCATCCACACCTAATGAATCACCCAGGATCTTTTACAAGGGTTATTAAAACCCTGATCTTAAAAAGACTGGTTTGGAAATCCCATTCATTTCAAGAGAATTGTCAGTCCTGGTAAATTTGAGGAGCTCATGTGCAGTGTCAAAAACCGACCCTAGTAATGTGTGTTTTTACAAAGGGTGCATTTATTGTGCCTTTTGTTTTACTGATACTCATAATAAATATGTTGTATTTAGGAAAGATGGCCATTATGATTTCAACCTGTTCCTGTATTTATAAAAGGAGAGGGTGTACTTTCTGCATACAATAACTGTGCAAGATCACATTGAACTAGACCCATGGTATCTTGAGAATTCTACTTACTGCCCTAGCTTAGCAATTTCATATCCAGCATCAATCGTTTCCACACCAGCAGACACTGCCGCTGTGATCAGTAGACTAGACGCCCCGCTTCTTGCAGCTTCCTGTGTAAAGGCATCCCGCATTTCCTATGATACAAGAATGGTGAGCAATGCTTATTCAACAGAATAAATGAATTTATTAATGTCTTGAGTAAAGCAGGTAAAATTGTCAAGAATATTTGCAACTGGTGTATTCAGGTGACTTTCCTACCTGAACCAGGGTGGTAAAGCGTTGCTTGTCTTCAGAAGGGCTTCCCCTAGAGCCTGGGTATTCAAAGTCTAGGTCAATTCCATCAAAACCATATTTACGGAGGTATGCAATCACTGAATTTATGAAGGTCTTGCGGTTTGCAGCTGTAGAAACCATGATGGTGAACCTGTGGAGAAGTCCACTCTTAAATAGGATTTCTTTTTTTCTGCTAGTGCAGACAAAAACAAACTTTAGGGCATAACACAGCAGAGTTAAGCACTCTTCATTAATTCTTTGTTCACAAATATCTGGGACTTAGAAGTGCTTCATATGAGCTGGAGCATGTGCTGAACATAATCATGCTGAACCACAACATTTCAATATTTTCCAAAACCCATTTTTGCCATCATCACTGTACTCATTATCATGCCTTATTACATTAATGCTTATTTCTCTGTTGAATACAAATTATAAATCTTGACAAAGAGCGTTTCTGATCTTTGAAATAATATCACACTTCAGTGCAATGCAAATCAGCTTGGCTTTACTCAATGCAGATTAGCAGGAGACAGGATCTGCAAAGTTTTACCTTGTGTGCATAAAAAATGGTTTGTTTATTAGATGCTGACAAAAGTCTTTGACCATGTACAGAGGGCCTCTCCACAACAGTACACCAATAAATAATATAGGCATTGTGACAAGAATTGGTGTTGAGCAATTAACACCTTCCAGCAACCAGCCTCACAATCATTCCTTTGGGCATGATCACTGGAAAACTGCAGAGTATTATTTTTTTAAAACCTACCATAAGTAGGGTTACATATTTCATCAGAATTCAATGAACCTAGCAGAACAAGGCATAATGTCCCATGAAGTGGAATCAGGCTATGTATGGTGTTATCAGAAACCTTCTCACCATCAGTGGCGCCAGCATAAAATGAATAGGAAAAGACTCACAATTCAGTGCCGAAGTTCCATCCTCCAATTGAGAGCAGTGTCACCAGTTCTGAATTCCTGTGAGAAAAGGCAGACACAGTACAAACAGCACAATTATTTTGCTGCTTTTAAACACCCCTCCCTCAACATGATTTTCTTCAATGATAAAGAAAAATGACAGTGTTTGCACTGCACCTTTGAACTATAAAATCTGGCTGTGCAGCCACACTGACACTGGTAGCCACTTGCTCACATCACCCTTTGCCATACAATGGAATTATGCAGCATGTGCAATGCAGCACTGATGACCCAATATCTGAAACCAGAAGGAATCCATGAGATCTCACCCTTGTTTGACACATTATGTCACTCCCATGAATGCAGGCACAACAGCAGATTCCTCTTCTACCAAAATGAGTTGCATGCAACATGTGAACAACAGAATTATAGAGTGAAGTAGTGAAAGAAATCCAAAATTTACTCTGCCACTACCTTCAGAGACAAGAATCAACAGCAACCAAATTCTTCTGTGCCACAGATGCAGGCACAAGGAGATATGTGTCTGTACTGGTGCTGTGCTGATAGTTTATTCTGTATTTATAGCTGTTGGAAAGTATGGGTAATATCCAGCTAAGTCATTACAGTGTGACATCAATGGACTTTATTTATGCCCATTGATTTAAATGAGTGGCTTCCAGCAAGGTAGTTCTATTAGCACATGAATTTCTGGCTGCACTTTGGAACTTCCACACCCTCTCCTTTGCCCATGCATGCCTCAAATGTGTTCTGTAGGTTCCCCCAACTCTCCAGAACTGATATGGGGAGGGAGCAAGGGGCATGTGGGGAAAAGAGAGGGAGGAGCAGCCAGAGGCCTAGCACTATTGAAACTACTTCATTGGATATCACTCAACTGGTCTTCTCTATCATTGTTTATCACCCTGTATTTATAAGCAGGATTCAGATAAGCTACCTTAACACAACTTCATAATTCTGACCTCTCTTTCAATGCTTGGATCCGAGGGAAGAGTTCTTCATCATTCCATTCATAAGGTGCTATCTCGTTGTTTTTCATAGTAACAAAGGCATAACACAAGTGGGTGCAAAGCTGTGGGTCGACATTTTCCGGGAAATACGTCATAGGGCTTGGCCTATACTGAGACCAGTTGGTGAAGTAGCACACAAGTTTATAAGCTGTGCCTGGATGGAGAAAAGAAAACCACAGTTAATTAGGCAGAAGAAACCTCTGCTTGTGGCTTAGTCATGTCACACATTCAATGACTGATTCAAGTCACACAGGGTTTGTTCTTACATGCATTTTCTTCAGCAATAATATGACTAAACTAAGGATTTTTAGATTTTACATATCAGTTGAGCTGGACTTCTGTACAGTGGTACCTCGGGTTAAGAACGTAATTCGTTCCAGAGGTCCGTTCTTAACCTGAAACTGTTTTTAACCTGAGGTACCACTTTAGCTAATGGGGCCTCCTGCTGCTGCTGCTGCTGCACCTCAGCCACACGATTTCTGTTCTCACCCTGAAGCAAAGTTCTTAACCCAAGGTACTATTTCTGGGTTAGCGGAGTCTGTAACCTGAAGCGTCTGTAACCTGAAGCGTCTGTAACCCGAGGTACCACTGTATTTTATACTGAGGTATTTCTCTCTCCCTCGTCTTCCAGTCCCTCTCCCTGTGACAACAACATGTCATTGCAACCTTGAGCTCAGTTATCCCCATGAGTGCCATGTACTCCCTTGTACCAGGAACAGTCTGTACTCTTGCTTGTTCCTAGTAAATCATTGTCCCTACTGTGCCCCTATTTCTGTATTTTAGAGAAATTGGGGGGAGGGGGCATCTTGTAAATGTTTCATTGGTGTGCCTTTATTTATCAGTGTTCAGTTCCTTCCATTAGTGGGAATCAGGTCTTGATGCATCTTCACATACATAATGCAGCCACATGGACACAAACAAATAAAATGAATAAGCTGCTTACCCAGCTGCAGGTGCAGCAAAATGGCCAGGCCTGCAAAAGAAAATGACAGAATAAGAATAATAGAAAAAGAGCAAGTGAGAAACACCATGAGCAGGGTTCCATTCCATTGTTAATGTTTTCCCAGTGTCCATAAAGCTACCCAGAGGCCAAAAGTGCATTATATCTAAGAATAAAAACCTATCCCATGGCCAACAGTAGGAGGACTTGAAGTTGTGATACATTCCCAGCTCTACTACAGTACTTACACTGGCCAGGCAACCTTCACTGAATCAGCTGCCAAGCTCCTTCTTGTGTCCCGCCTCCCCATGCCCCAATGCTAAGGGAGATGACAGAGAAACAGTTTGGCCTTTTGAATTTGGAGACTGTGTGTTTGATGAAGTGGAGATATCCCTGGAGTGCAATTGTTGTCTTTGAGGGGTTGGTGCAAGATGAGCAGCTTTCCTGTCGGCGCCACTATGAGCTGCTTATATATTTGTGAACGAATTGAATGCTATCAAAGCACTGATGCTTTCTGAGCCAAAGAAACCTAAACTCAGAAGTGCCTCTGAAATTCCCACTTGGGAAAGTGAGTTGCCAGTAATAAGACTTCCTGATCTCATATCGGGCCATCAAATGACCCTGACCACAAAGAAACTGTTCACCCACTGAATCTGCTCTTAAGCAAATGTTTTAGCAAAGTTTTTGTATTAATGCAAAACTTAATAGGGAAAAAAGTCATAATGCAAAGCTTTCCAGGGATGTTTTTTTAAAAAATTCTGGTTTCAACAGTTGGCAGGTCTTGAGAATGCAGGAGTGACTTACCAACCCACAGCAGAAATTTCCCCATCTTTCCTCCTGACTTCGAATGGAAGTCCAGATCAGGAGATGAGCAAGGCTTTATATGGAGGCTGAAATATCAGCTATCACTGTGGAACCCACACACCTGTGGTGCACCCACCAGATTGCATACTACCCAGACAAATAGAACAATCAATAAAATCTCATGTATTCAAGGGCAACAGCAACTTGAGCATCTGACTATCACTTCAAAAATCTCTACCCTGGCAAAGACCTAAAGAAAACCCATGTGATATAATGGTCAGACTAGGGAAACTGCCCTTGGAACAATCACTACCAGGGATGGGAGGGGTGTGTCCATTTTGGTTCTCTCAGATTCTCATTTTTCCAATCTTCAATTCAGTTCTCTACATTTCTGCAGCAATTTTTTATTTTATTTTTGTCCTGGTGAAAATTCTTCGGCATTTTAGTGTGAATTTTTCCTAATAAACACATTTTTGGATGAAGTTTATTGTTGCTAGCAAGTTCTCCTAATATAATGCATGCTTGTGTGTTATTTTCACTAAGATACAGTTGTACCTTGGAAGTCGAACAGAATCTATTCCAGAAGTCCCTTCGACTTCCAAAACATTCAAAAACCAAATCACTGCTTCTGCTTGGCTGCAGGAAGCTCCTGCAGCCAATCAGAAGCCACAGAAGCCCCATCAGAAGTTTGGGTTCCAAAAGAACATTCTCAAACCGGAACTACCACTTCCAGGTTTGCAGCATTCAGGAGTCAAAATGTCCGAGTTCCAGGGCATTCGGGATCCAAGGTATGATTGCATTCATTTTGATGCACACTTTTTCCAAATATATGCATTTTTGTAAACATTTTTTCATTGGAGAACTCCCTTGCAAAATTCGGGTAAGTGCGAATCTTGAAAGATGGTTGTGTTGTAGTTCGCATATTGTTTTGCAAATTTTATAGATTCTGTTTTAAATGTGAACTGAATTTCCATCCCCTGTTGCCTAACCCTACTTTATTCTCACAGGGTGCTGTGAGAATAAAATAGGCAAGAAACCCATCTATGTTCCCTGAGCTCCTTAGGGGGAGAGAAGGATATTCATGTAATAAAATAATAACAAATAAAACTGCAGGTGTCTTATCCTAGTGGGCCCAGCAAAAATGTGTGTCACCTGACAACAAATTCTCTTATTGTTTGCAATTATACCCCCATAACAAATTTGCATGACAAATACAGTCAGGCTCAGCTTTTGCATGCTTTTGATAAATGGTCCAGAACATGATGTCACTGGTTTCTGCTTTTATGCATATTCAGATATATTTTGTTGCAGCTCCTAGTCAAATGTTTGTGTTGATCCATCATACATCCAGGACTGCATCGGCAGTTTCCATAATCAATTTTGAATCAGCAAGTGATGCTCTCTCTCCATGTTGATGGCAGGCTGGAAATAAAACATAGCACTAATATTCAAAGTACCCAGGGTTTTAATACAGTGGCGAGGAACCTCTGGCCCTCCAGATGGTGTTGGACCATGATGTTGGAGTCCCAACCAGCATGGGGGGAAATCAGGGATGATAAGAGTTGTAGTTCAAGAACATCTGGAAGGCCACAGGTTCCACAGCCCTGGTTTAATTAGGTGGTTCCATTTTGATGATGCTATTTGCTGAGCCAGTCATAGAGCAATTCAGATGTTCAACATCTGAGTTTCTCAGGTTCGTTGATTTGGATAGGGTGATATAAGAGAAGTGTAATGACTCAGTACTTCTTCAGTATTCCTCCCTTTTGGCATCTTTCTGCTGAATGCCCCTTGAATAAAGATAAATATTGGCAAGAGTGGAGCAAACATTTGATCAATCAGAGCAAACTCTTTGAAATGTTCTAACTGGGCATGGTGTCAACTTAACCTTCAGAATGTGACAAGTAGCTTGACTGATTGAACTTCATCTAATAATGAAAGAAAGTCAAGGCTATTTATTCTTGCCTCACCAGCCACCTCCCTCTGTTTGTACTTAGCCTGCCATATCCACAGCAAAGCAGTTTCTATTGTTTTGAAAATACCCATTTGGCTTTCCTATTCAACGGCCTTGGTTTGCCTTCACGTATGCAAAGCCAAAGTTAGACTCTTCCACAGCAATTATTCAGAGGGAAATGTTTTTATACACTTATTATGAAGGTTACATTGCTCACATTTCTATTTCTGGTCAACTGAAGCGAACAACACAAAAGCCATAGCATAAGATAGGGAAAGTTGGAGAATATTTTGGATGAGACCAGAAAGTAATTTTGTTGAAGACCACATGATGATGACCATGGAGATTATGCTGGTCTAGTTGGAAGGATTAAAAAAAAAAAAGTACAATTTTATAGATGTGTAGAGTTGAGAGGCTACAAAAACAGCCGAATGAATAGAACCAACCAGGAACAGAGTTGTCACCTAATGAAGTTGGAAGACTTCCTCATTAGGTCCTTTTTTACAGAAGTTGCTATAGCTATCTTTTAATGAATGCTTTTGGGGCAAAGGATTGAACTGAATGAACCAACTCCATAGTACTTTTTACACTTACAGATTGGTAATGTAAAGAGCAATTCTGTGTGTGTTTACTAAAAGATAAGACCCACTTTATTCAATGGCACTTAAAGCTGTGTGCATAGGATTGAAGCCGAATGCTGAGATATATCCATTTATCCAGGGCTACCCAGTGAATTAATGGAAATGGTGCATGTGAACTTAGGGCTTGTAGTAGTGATGTAAACATAAGCCATTTTAATCACTCACTTTATGACGCCACACTTTATGGAAACTATGATGACACTGCTGCTTTCTGAAGCAAATAAACAAATTGTGGATAATATAATCATGCTCCTAGCCTGATTAAAGATGCAGACATGCCACCCACATGGTACATTTGCTGGAAAAAGCATCACTGAACACTGGTATACCTGAGCAATAATATGTGCTATGTGAAGTATGGACCCACCATATGGGCAGGCCGCAGGCCGGGTCTTCCTCTTATATAGCTGCTGGGATTGACAAGGCATCTGACCCTCACCTGAATCTCATCACTCTCCTGTAGCTGCCTTTGATTAGTTATCATTTAACTCTTGGGGGAAATAATTAGCATCACATGTCATGCGCATGGAAGTTGCCAAACCAATTAACCAACTAGAAGGATTACTGTTAGTAGCACCAGTTTTCCTATAACTTGATATTGCTGGATAGTTTTGATGAACTGCAAAAGCATTTTTAGTTTGCTTTCTGTTGCCACCTGCAGCCTGCCCAGGCCCATAGTTGTGTATAGGACGCAGATCTGAAAGGGCCACATAGGGTAAACAACCCAAAAGGTATGCTGAAGAGTTTGCTAAAACAGTCATTGTAGATACAGCTGTTAGTAACTCAGAGAAGGTTTGGGAACCTTCAAGCTTCCAAGAGGTCCAAAGTTTAACCTCAGAGGATGCTGAGCTGTGGTTACCGTATTTTTCACACCATAGGACGCACCAGACAATAGGACGCACTTTGTTTTAGAGGCAGGAGAACAAGAAAAAAAAAATCTCCCCCTCTCTGCCCAGCGCCCCTTCAGCGAAGTGGCAGGAGGCACTGTGCAGAGAGGGAGAGAACTTTCCCCCTCTTGTTTTCCCGCTCTAAAACAAGGTGCCGTTTAAGGTGCGTTCAGGCGGCTACCTTGGAAGCCTGGAGAGCGAGAGGGGTCAGTGCACACCGACCCCTCTCGCTCTCCAGGCTTCAGGTTCCTTCGACCTGCTCTTTGGGGCTGACGGGGAAGCCCACCACCAGCCCCAAAGAGCAGGTCAGGGAGCAGCGGAAAGGCGCAGCGGAGAGGCTCCTGCCATAGCCGTGCATCACCTCTCCAGCCAGGAGAGGGTTGCGGGGCTATGGCTTCTTTCGCCCCGCGCGTGCTCTCCCGGCTGGAGAGGTGACGCACGGCTATGGCAGGAGCCTCAATAGCCGTGCGTCACCTCTCCAGCCGGGAGAGGGTCACGGGGCTATGGCGTCTTCGCTCCATAGGACGCACACACATTTTCCCTTCATTTTTGAAGGGGAAAAAGTGTGTCCTATAGAGAGAAAAATACGGTAAATGCCATGAAGGCTGAACTTGATTCCTTAGAGAGGAACAAGACATGGGAAATAGTTCCAGGCCTGCCCAGGCCACAAAAGGTTTACAAAGTTCAGTTATTGCAAAAGTTTTTCACTGTTAATTTTATGCATTTTTTAAAATCACCATGGTATTTAACAATACAGTGGTACCTCGGGTTAAGAACTTAATTCATTCTGGAGGTCCGTTCTTAACCTGAAACTGTTCTTAACCTGAAGCATCACTTTAGCTAATGGGGCCTCCAGCTGCCGCCGCGCCGCCAAAGCACGATTTCTGTTCTCATCCTGAAGCAAAGTTCTTAACCCGTGGTAATATTTCTGGGTTAGCGGAGTCTGTAACCTGAAGCGTCTGTAACCCGAGGTACCACTGATATCTTAGTCATCATGCAGAAATTGTGCACATAGCTAATAAGCTGCTCCTCATTATCACAAGAGGTTTGCCCTTAACAATGCAGCCTTAAGAAGAAAATATGATACTTTCCCAAAAGGAATACATTATACCAGACAGGGAAGTAAAGTATAATGGTATGCCTGTAACCACTTGGCACTGATCATGTGTATCATCTGTAGCCAAATGGGAATCACACCTGTTTGCCCCACCCCATGTGCTTTCAGTGTACATTTCTGAAAGTGTGTGCACAGCTACAAATTTCATCCCTCTGCAGCATCCCCATGCCCTGCTGCACACGTGCTATTCAGAGGGTTGCTTGGCCCTCAGGAGTGACTTTAGAGGGCATAGGATAATGTAATGCAGAGAGGAAACCAAGAAAACTCCACTGCACAAATCAAGTTCCACTCATCTATCTATAGCCCATGTTAGTTTACAACACACTCAGTGGATGTTGTTGTTGCTGATTATGATGAGAGAGAGAGAGGTGATGGTTTGAGCTAGTGGACTAAGATTAACATTCCAAGACTGCCATCTACTGTAAACGCTGTTTAGCAGTGGCCCACCCAGTGTTGGTGAACACTTCAATTTCTTGATGTTGGGCACATTATTTATAAATTGTAGAGGTTCCTTTATGCTATGAACTGTTTTACATTTGCTTATATATGGCACAAATGAATACAGATTTACATATCTACGTGTGCAAATGTTCCACCGTATATGACAGGGATAAATTATCATTTGGAATCAACCGGACAAGTTTAAATAAATTCTACTTAGAGTAGACCCATTGGGGGAATTCAACATAGCTCTAAGGAGATTGTACCATTAGCGCAAACATCTCTGTTTGCCCATTGGAGCATTCTCCCAAACTGCTGTTCTAGGGATTTTCTGACCCTCCAGAGCAGACTTGGGGGCATGCAAGGGGAAGAGAGAGTTGGAAAAGCCCCTCTGTTCTAGTGGGAGTCATTTCACTGGCTTCTGCTAGTGGAACGGGGTAGTTGAATCCAGCCAATTGAAATGAAGGGACCTAAGTTAGTCAAACCCCTTAATACATCTACACTGAGTAGAACTAATGTTCACAACACATCCTATGCCTTCCCTCCAAAATGGGGTCCAAGGCAGCTTACAAAAGGCAATCAGCAGTTGAACAATGGGGCCTGGGCACCAAAGATACCCTTCTCCTGAAGTGTCGTCTGTTCTTGGGCCAGCCAGCCTTGGAAATGTCCATCTGCTGCCATCCTTGTTAAATTGTAGGAGAGGGATTAAAAATAATTTATTTGCCCGTGCTTCTGATTGAACTGTGGCATGATCTTCTACTGCTGCTTTGGAGTTTAATTGTGCCTCTTTGTTTGACTGCTGCCCTGCTATTTATATTTTATTTTTTGTAACTTTTGTATTTTTGTATTTTGTATTTTGTATTTTGTATTTAATGCAATTCAACATACACACCCCTCTTACATATGTGGTTTGGATTGAGACAGTGCTTTTTTTCTAAAAAAGAATGTTTAGGGGTACTCTCATTTTCATACTCATATTGAAATACTGCCCCTCGATGAGGCCAAACTTAGATTCCAGGAAGCAGGAACAGAAGGGTGAACTCTCGGCCATGTGGCTGTTTAAATGCCACAAACCATGCCCCCTAGCCAACCGGATTGGCCAGCTGTGGCCATGACACTACTGGGATTCCCCCGATGGTGCAGGAGACTAGCCACGCCCCCGCTGGATGCAGGAAGAGTCCGAGGCCTGACTGCAACCCAGCCCGCCTTGGAAGGTGACCAGCTTTCAAAAAATGTTTAGGGGTATGCGCACCCTGTGTCCCCCCAGAAAAAAGCAGTGAGTGGAGTCATTCCTTTGGTCGTTTCAGCCAGTGCAGCCAGCCTCCCACCAGCACAGACCTTGCCCACCCCACCCACTGCAGGCATGCAGGATGCTAGTCAGGGGTATCGCTGCCAGTACAGCCCCACAGAAGGCCCTGAAATGGGGTCTGCCCAAGCTATTCTCCCAACTGGTGGCGCCAGCAAAAAGCCTGTTCCAGACCCAATCTACCTCTCCCCACCACCACCTTCTGCTGAGTAACCAGATTGCAGATGCAGCGGTAACTCCACCGCTCCACAGAGCTTCATCAGTATTGCATGCCCATGTTGTGTTGTTAATTTATTCTGGATCTCAGCTAGAGTATTTTGGCAAGTTAAAAGGTGGGTTGTCATTTCTAAACAGAGTGATATTGTTATGAGTTTGTGGGTACCAGACTCCTCTAAATTCCTGGGTCCAGTAGGGGTTAGAATTTAATCAAAGCAATTGTTAATACAGTATATAAGATAGGCCAATTTTCTGAGCAGAAAAGCAACTGAGATTATGGGCCATTAGAAGGACAAAAGGAAGGTGCTAAGCCATAAAGAAAGCCGTTAAGACAGCAAAGGCTCTGTACTAGATGGCAAGTGGTTGGGAACCCTCCTGCTCAGAAGAACAAAAGAAAGCGTTTAGAGTTGGCTGGGATGTGACCTGGAGGGAAAAGGCTGCAGTCTGGTAAAGGCAGCAAGCTGGAGAGAGGGTTAGACCCATGGCTGGTGTCTATTTGAATCCAAGGCTGCAGCTATGGGAGAAACAAGACCCTCTTGTTTCTGTTAATGCTGTGGGGTTAATGTTGTGAACCCCTCCATCATAGGGGAGGTTAATGCTGTGAACCCCTGCATCGTAGGCTCAGGTTATGTAAATAAACACATATCCTAAAGACACCACAGTCTCCACTGTGCCTCACTTCCAAAAGGAAACATGGATCCTGGGTAAGCACACCTGGAACCTCTGGAATCTTGCATCACTCAAAGATTGGGATGACATGCAACACTATTAATTTGGGCAGAATCCAGCCTAAATTAAGATACTGTTCATTATTATTTGTTTGTTCTTCTGTGATGGAATGGGAGGCAGAATACATGGAATTCCTGGGCAGTTTCACATCTAAGCAATCACCACACTGAGACTGGACTGGGGAGGGATGCTTAGCATGCTGAAGGTTTAATCTTTGGCATCTCCAATTATTATTATTATTTATTGAATTTTATACTGCCCTTCATCCGAAGATCCGAGGGCAGTTCACAACAGAAAACTACAAAATGAGATCAGGTAGCAGGAATTGTGAAATACTATCTGCCTGGAAATCTAAAGAATCTCTGCCAGTCAGAGTAGACCATGCTGGGCTAGATAAAGAAAACTTCCTCTGTTGCTAGTATTAACTTTAACAAAATTGCTGCATCGTATGCCTTTGGATTATGCCCTCCCCATTTTCAAGTCCCTTTGGTGATTCCCTCCTATGCACAAGCCTATGTTGGGTGAACCACATTCAGCTCCATGACATCTTGCTCAGGGACATAAAAAGTCACATCTTCTTTAAATTTATCATGAATGAAAGTAAGGACACCCAGCCAATGTATTTTACCAAAAAGACATCAGCACAAACATACTTTAGCCATGCCTGGTAGATTTTATTTGTAGGCAAAGGGGTCTGCTGAGGACCACAAGGCTACATAATTTTAATCATCTCTCCTTGATAGAAACCACCTGTTAATATTTAAGGGTAGTTGCAGCACTTGCAGCTGTCATCGAAAACCAATCCAGCTGCACAGCTGAAACTGTAAGTCTGATGGTTAGCACATACATAGAATTTGGTCTTGTCTTCTGGGTCCGCATGGATACCATCCGGTTGGTTGGCACAAAAGTTACCAGGCACTGGGGGTCCCACAGTTGTTGTTGCAGGAGGAAGAGTAGGACCTGTATCTCCGTTAGTAGTAGTAGTAGTTGTGGAAGGGGTTGGAGTTACACCACCAGGGCAGTCTGGCACAATAGGCTCTAAAATTAACATTTAACAATGTGGTGAGAAAATCATATTCCTACTGAATCATACTAAAGGACTAAGCCACCCAGGGAAGGTGTGTTTATGCAAACAGGTCATATCAATTTAGATACAAATAAATAAATAAGAAAGTGCTCCCAGGCAAAGCTCATTGTGTGCGTATGTAAACCAAAGATGTCCAGTCTACTTGCCTTCTTGCAAATGCTATTCATTTCATTGAGGTACATGATCAACTAGGGGCTGACTTGCACTTCACTTGGGAGACAGGCTTAAGGCTTGGGAATTTGTGACTCCCATCAAACACAGAACCCTGTAAAGGAATTCTGTATGTTCATAATTATATGGGATCATATGATGGATATATCAAGGGGAATCCCCAACTTGGTGTTGCTTATTTCCACTGTTTTTTTACAGGCATGGTCCTCTTCTCACACTTTAGAAAATGGCTTCATGATTGATTGATTGATTGATTGATTGATTGATTCACAACATTTACCGGTATATGCTGCTTGATTGTAATAAAACCATTAATGAATTTAATTACAAATAAATAAAGTATTAAAATGATCAACAAATCTGGCGGTAGCGCACTTCTGCGCATGCGCAGATGGCAGAAGCTGCTTCCGGGCATGCACAAATCACAGCAAACCCAGTGTTTACTTCCAGGTTTGCCGTGGACGCAACTTGGAACGTCCATGAGACAAGGCGTATGTAAGTCGAGGTTCCACTGTATAGCATATATTCAACACAAAAAACAGCGACATTTTGTTATTGACAAAGGACAGCTGGACATATAAAGGGCCCCATTATCTTCAGTAGCTTAGGGCCTCATCAAACCTAAATCTGGCCCTGTGTGGAATCATTCTGAGGTTAAAATAATCCCAGGATATTATGTCCTAAGTATGAGAAGCCCAGGGAATGCAACATAAAGAAATAAAGGGAAACCTTGCTCCATTCCGCACTGCCAATGTGAGTGTCCTTGTGTGAGCAGCAGAGGCATAGCAATTGTGCTAAGATCCTGACATTGCTGCAGTGCAAGGTCACCAGTTATGACCATGTGCCAGAGACTGAATCCTTAAGCATTCACACTGTTTCTGGTGATTTAGGAGCAGTGTATAACCATTCCTAGTCTTGGAGCCATATTGGAAGCATTATTTAAACAGTAAGTCAAATATTCTATTTACTTAACCATGCCTATTTACTTAACAATAACATAACTGAGCAGGAATAATTTTTCCAAGTGTCCTAGATCATTGAACAAAGGAGTTATGGATGGAAACTTCAGTGGGAAACCGCTGAACTATAGTTTATCAGGCAATTCATTTCTGTCACTTGTAGCTTAAACTGAGATTAAGTTAATGCCAGGGTGTCATCACGATCACTGCTGCCTTGCTAATTTGTCACTGTCACTATCTTGCTTTCAGGTAATCAACACAGTCTGTTCTTTCTGCATTTCATTTTCCTCTTACCTCAGTCCTCTACATTCCCACCATCACGCTTTTTGTTTGTATATCTGTTTGCTACTTCATGCAACTCATGCCAACTGTATCCATCCCATGAACACTTCTGCCATAGGAAATTTGCTCATCTTTAAGATGCCACAAGATCCTAACATGGCTACCCTTCTGGAAACAGCTTACCATTTGATTCAAGAAGTCTCTTCAGCTCATTTATTAAAGGATATTTTCCTTCATTACAGAAAGTACCCAGAAAATCATCCAGATCAATTGCCCAAACCATGGCACCTCCAAAATTGTTCTCTTTCAGGTATTTGACCTGGCAAAAAACAAAACAAAAAGCTATTTAATAAAAAAATTCCACAGCATTTTTCCTTTTCATTTCATATCTGTTACTCAAACCACTTCTTATTTGGACAGCGATAATTCACATCTTTGCTAAATCCCATGTCAGTTCAAACATGCAGTCCACGTATGTCCTAATTTTAGGAAAATGGTAAAAAGAAAATGAAACACATTCATCTTACTTTGTATTTGTAGCTGCAAATGTCATCATATCCAACCCATTCATTACCCTTGTAGGTATATGGAACTTTCTGGTCATCAATCCATTCTTTTGTGGCAGTTTTTAAAAATGTGCAAATCTGTGAAAACATTACACACACAAAAATCATTCTGCAATTCTTAATACCAGAGGACATCATTGTGGGCTCAGCTTTGGCCCCCGTTTTGTGCTGATTCAGGCACCTAAAAACTAATAAGGGTTAGGGTTTCCTGAGAAGGATTTTCTCTCATATCAGAGCATCCCCTGACACATCTATCTCTGAATGGCCACATGTTTCTAAGGCCTTGATCTGAACCTCTGTGTAGAGTAAATCATTAATATTTCAAACTGGACCTCTAGAACAAATCTAAAAGGAGAGTGTGGACCTGGAGGATAAGAAAGCAAGCCACAGCTAAGCAACTATTATTGAGCACAAGAAATCACATTTGATAAGGTAAATGTCTGATACTGTTTAAAATGCTGGCATAAGCATGATAGCTATAGAGAGAAACATTTATGACAAAACTATTGTAGTCCGGTTCTCTAATTAGGTGTTTAAATAATCTAAGACTGAGTATAGCATGTGGGGAGTGGGGGGGCCTTCCAACAATGCCACTACTTGAGAACATGTGGCAGCACTGTGAGAACATGCAGTCCATTAGTTTATCAGTCTTAGTCCATGCCAACTGCGCTATGTGGTAGGCCTCTCATATTGCATGGGACGTTATTAGCGGTTTGCAGACCTGTTGCCATTAAGCAATGCTGCAAGAGCACAAGATGGACATGGAATGCTAAGTCTTTCAGCTCCAACTAAGGATACTTCCGCATTCACCCTTTTCTCTACAATTGCCATTTAATTAATTTTTTAATAAGATGCTGTTGTTCCAGGTTGTCCAACATACGCAGAGAAAGTGCTTATTAAAGCAAGCGGTCATTGAGTTGTTTTACAGCAGACAAACAGCCTTGCTTACTCCTAGGTCTCCAGGCTTCTTCCTCGTACTCACCTCTACAGGAAGCTCCTTCTTCAAGTACTCCCCCTTTGACCCAGGAACTAATCATATACACAGTCATATTGCATTTAGCCTGAATGAAAAGCTCGACAAGCGGAGCAGAGCTTGAAAGAGAGTTACGCAAGTGAGTTACCTCATAGTAGGCCCAGAAGCCTGCCTCGCGGGTGTAAGGGCCAGCAGAGCCAGCCCCAGAGACAGGTGCACAAACACCTGTATCTGATGTAGTAAGCCTGAAAGTGCGTCCATAGGTGGGGAATCCCATAAGGAGCTTTTGAGCTGGGACACCATTGTCCTTCCAGTATTGCATGGCATAATCCTGAGGAAAAGGGGAAGGGTGGAATTAGGACTCAGTACATTCATCTGTCTCATGGAAACACACAATAATAGCATTTCTAGGATTAGGAGGCTTTACTTACACAGTTGAAATACCTTAAATCACCCTGGTCTTTGGATCCCACATACAATGGGCTGTTGTGTCCTGTGCAGGTATCCCAACCTCCATGGAAGTCATATGTCATTACACTGATGAAATCTAAAAGTCTGGAATAAATCAAACGAAACCATTGCTATAGCTATTACATGGTTTCTTATAGACCACCATGTCTTAAGCAGTGAGCTGGAGACTACCAGTGGGCCTCAGACCACTTTTAGGTGGGCCTCAGTGCCACAGTACCTCCTCACTTACCCACCTTGTGCCCCTGCCCCCTTAGCTATGCTGTAGTTTTTGGCTGGGCCAGTGCCAACACCTGCAGCTCCTCACATAGTGGTCAGGAGACAGATGTTTGGGAGCAAGGAGGAAAAGGAGGTCTCCCTCCTCTGTGGGGAAAGGGCAAGAGGAGGCGCTGAAGACAGAAGACTAATATTTACAGAAAAATAAACTAGGAACAGAGAAGAGGATAAGAGAGGGAAGCTGCTCTAGGAGGAAGTCAATGTCAGAGGGGTAGAGAGGAAAGGTGAAAGAAACTGACAGTTTGGAGAGGAATGGGGTACAAGTGAAATGTGATAGAAGAGTGGGAGAAGAAATGGCAACACAAGAGTAATAAAAAATACTTTGAGCAGCATGTGGGCAAGCAGAAGGGAAAATATAAAATAACAAGCTGTCTTCACTCAGCACTTCTGGATTAGCAGATTCTGCCCGAAATGGGGACTCCAAGTCACAAAACCTCCAGAGCTGATGTCTGTACTTAGCTCAAAGAAGGCTGAACTATGGAATTCCTTGCCACAAGAAAATAATTGTGGAGAAGAATTTAGCAATTTCAAGAGAGTGATTAGATATCAGCAGAAAATGGTGTTGATAATTGCCATCTTACTAGGCCAAGCTCCACCACCAATATGTGACTGGCTCTGGCTCTGAGCCAAGGTTGGCCTTGGTAGTTTTCAGTTATCTCAAGTGATGCCCTGGGATAAAAAATATGAGAACCCCTGTCATGGAGTAATGACATAAGAAATGCTGGAAAATCCAATACCAGGCTATGGTATGACTCTATAATCTTCCTAGGTTTTCATCAGTGACAGTTAACTGCACAAAATGGAAATTCTACCACTGATTTAGGAGCAGAGTTGAAATCCTCATTTGAGCTTCCTGGTACTTACTGTCCTATTGCAGCAATTTCATATCCAGCATCAATGGTCCCTTTGCCAGCAGAAACTGCTGCTGTGATCAAAAGCCTTTTCCCGTTACATTTAGTGTTCTCAAAGGCAGCCAGCATTTCCTATGGAGAGATATTGAGAATCATTTCAAACCTTACTGTTCTTTCTCATGAGTATCTGTTACTCACACATTTCTATAGGAGACATTGAAACTGCCCCTTCCTAATGTTCCTCATAAACTCTTGCATGTTGTTGTTGTTTTTTAAAAAACCCTTATTCTAAATTTGTTAATAAGTTACATAAATTTATGGTTAATTCATCAGCCACTTTATTGGTATGTATGTCTGTTTTTTTAAATTGCCAAACAGCACTTTGATCTACACTACAGACATTTTGTAAATGTTAGAATATTCCACACTAATAGCTTGTTGCACATTAGTTGCTTTCATTCCACAACTCTTATCTAAAAGCATTTTCCCTGCAGTGAAAACATAATATTTTTGTAACAGGGGGTGGGGCGTGGGAATGGGTTTCTTTTCCCAAGACTTGCTTCCATTGCTTTTCTAAATTGTGAGTGAAACATAACAGTGCAAGAGCCATACCTATTGATTTATTTACTTTTTTGCACGATTACTGATGAGCAACACGACTACCCACCCAAACCAATTTTTGAACTTTTTTTAGAGCTGCTGTTATTTAAAATGACAGAGCCTTGTGGGACTTTTCTTCCTCCATCTATCTTCTCCTGTCACTATGTGAGCAGGACTGGGGAGGAAAGGCCTAGGGCCATTTGAGAACCCATCACAGGCCACAGCCAGCTCAGAGGTCAGAAGTTCCCCAGTCCTGCCTTAAAGATTAACAGACTAGTGTCCTGTGGTGCTACTCAACTCTCTTCCATTGTTTTCTGCAAGTGACCAACATGCCTACCCCCATTTAAGTCATTATTATTACTAAGTTATTGGTCATGGCCTGTTGCTTATATTTCAGCTGTTGCTGCTGCTATTCTTTTAAATCCTTGGAGGAAGAGTGTCACCTGCTGTTCAGTGTGCAGCTCTGGTGTAGCAGTGCTAATCTAACAATTGTGTTGTTTAAAGTGACAAAAGCCAGAAAGGCTACAAAATATTATGCCAAAAATATTTTGTCCCAATCATTTAAGCTTTCATGCAGTGCATAAATCTGGCGTAGTGAGGGATTTCCGGGGTGGCGCCATCGGCAATGGCGGACTCCCTCTGAACAGGAGGGACTAGCTCCGCGGGAAACGGGTCTTCTCCGCTACGGCGAAGCGGGGACCCTCTTAAAAATCACAGGCGGATGAAGCCTGTGACCATGGGACTCGTCGGGCACCTTTAGCACCCCCCCAACTCGCTAAGGAACCCACTAACGGGCTCCGAAGTGAAGAGGGGGAAGTGGCGCGGTGCTGTGAGTCAACTGCTATTTCTGTGGAGCGAAGCCGCATAGCCATTGCCGGAGAGCGCTGCCTTTTTCCTGGGACAATTTGGACTCTAAAATAAGCACCCATGAGTACTCAGACTTTGAATAACTGGACATCAAATAAGGACTTGTGAGCAGAAAGGAATTGGATTTTTAAAATCTATTTTAATTTGGTACGGAACGGGAAGGTCTAAACAGGAAGTCAGCCTTCCGTTCTTTTGTAGACAGAATAAAGCAAAGACAACGTAAACTAGAGCTTAGAAAATCGCTTTTAAAGGATTGGATTTCATCATTTAAAATTGTGGAACCCCCCTTCGACAGCAGGAGAAGGAGGGGGATCTTTTTCGGACTGTTTAAAGTGAGTTTAAAGTAAAGTAACTTTCCTCCGTCCTGATCCTGGAGCGGGGTGTCAGGACTGACGTTTGAAGTTCATTGACTAGAGACAAGCGTTTTTGACAGATAGCTAAAAGAAGAGAAACATAGCGATTCCACTGCTTCCCTTCGCATCTTTAAGCAACAAATATTGACAAAGTATCTCAGAAAGGGAAACTTTGTCGCAAGATCAAATAGAAGTTTTCCCCCTAGAGGGAGACTGTGAAACTGTAACCAACTCCAGGGAGCCGGCAGCTGTTACAGATTACAATCGTGGGAACAGGCATCTGACCTTGCAGGATGATGTATTCAGAAGCTTTGTTGTGTGCTTTCTATAAAACAAATGCCCTACTGGAACCGTTACATGAGAAGGTGAATTGGATGGCGACTTCGACTAGAAATTTTGAACAGGCAGTGGGAAATTTTGAACAGACAGTGGGAAAATATGTGGAGCCCACTCAGGAATTAAATCAGGAGTGTGTCCTGACAGAACAGGCCCAACAGGAATATGAGTTTTCGGATTTGACAAATGAACTTGGAAAAAGCCAGATTTGGAAAGAAAAAGTTTGGTTTGGCCTGGGAATGGGGGGCTGGATTGACCCCCCTATGCTGGGATGTTTGGACTTTTCAAATCTGGCAATGGGCCGTCAGATGTTTGGGATTGTGGGGGCTCTTAATTTTAATTCTGGAGGGTCTTTGAAACATGCTTTTAAATACCATATGGAATTCAGTGTTGAACACGGAAAAGGGGCTGATCTGTCGAGAAGGGTTAAAAATATTGTCAAGCTGGAGTTACCACGAGTAGGAGACAAGGGAAAATACAGTTACAAATATGAAGAAGAGCTGCGGAAGGGACATGGAAGAGACTTGAGGGCCTCGGATATAAGGCTGCCAGGTTAATGGGCTAGATCGACGGGATAATAAGGACTGACAAAACCCGGAACCAGGAGGAAAGGACGTTGGATGAAGTTTGTATCTCTTTTTTCTACCATTAGAACTGTTTTATAAAATTGATGAATGTCAGGAAAATGTTGGAATGAAATTACTTGGCTTTAGTAAAGATGTTTAAAGAATTATGAAAGAATATTATGGTTATGAGAAATTGGTAAGGATAAGATTTAAGTTTTAAGCTTTAAGGTTTATTTTATTATAGTAAGATAAGATTAAAAGAGTTTAGGGTAACGTAATGACAGAATATTATGAAATATGGAAAGGATTTGCTGGGATAATTAATAACTAGGATACAAAGAAAGGGAGGAGGAGGAGGTCAAAGAAAGAAGGTAATGACAGTTGAGGATTTGAAAATAATGAATTTGTTTTTAAATGTTTTTAATTGTTTGTGATGTATTTTTGTATTTTTTCTTTTGTCACTTTTTCTTATTTTTGAATTTGTATTCATATGGTTGGAAGGGGTTTGGTTTTTTTCTTTTTCTACCTTGTTATCTATTTTTATTTTGTATTTCCTACAGCTTTTATTTTATTTTGTAATACTTTGAAAATTTCAATAAAGATCTTATAAAAAATAAATAAATCTGGCGTAGTGAATAACTGCACATAAACTTTATGTACAACTGTAAGACATAAGGAAAGTGTGGTTTCAAAGGGGTTTTGGGAATCAAACATTACTGCTGATTTTCTGAAGCACAGATTGTGGGGGATTATCAAAACTAGTGTGTTGGTTTCTCACCCGAATCAGGATTGTGAAGCGTTGCTTGTCTTCGGGAGGACTTCCCCTCGATCCTGGGTATTCAAAGTCCAGGTCAATCCCATCAAACCCAAACTTACAAAGATATTCAATCACTGAATCAATGAAGATTTTACGATTGGTAGCTGAGGCAACCATTTCAGTGAACCTAGGAAGAGGGGATTCTTAGACAATTTCCCACATGCCTTTGCATACCATTTAGATATCATTCCCTTTTTAGTAAACAATATCCTGTTTAATGCATGTATGCTCTCTTTTGCAACTGATATCACACATACTCTCATAATTAGGAGTATGTATAAAACACAATCGCACAGTGAAAGATTAGTAGTGAATGCACAATTTACACCCTAAGAATTGCGGCAAACTTCTTCCTTTACTTAATGCATGCTGCTATGTACTTTATAAACTTTATCACAACCATGTTGGAGCCACTTCTCCAAGAATATCTCCCACACAGCTCATGTAATGTTTAAATGGCCCGACCACTGGTCAGGGGTCTGATCATATAGATCTTTTCCATGTAACCAGCATTCCTTCCTGGCAAAGCATTGATTCCTTGACTGGAGTCTGTGCAATCAGTCCCCACTCATAGGGTTGAGTCCTTTAAATGTTGCTCTAGTCATTCAGAAGCTGCCCATGGGCAAGCGGCTTGGGAAACATGTAAGAGGAACCCAATAGAAGTATGACAGTTGGACATTGCTTCATGCTCAGAAGCCAGAAGGAAGGGTAAGTAGGACAGGTCAGGCAGAGGGAGTTTCCAGTACCCTGGATAGCTCCTCTGGTTAGCCATATCAGATTATGTTGTGCAAATGAAAGAAATATATGCAAATATGTCCATTTTGTAATAATTTATACAGAATTCAGAATTACTGACATAGAACTAGATTATTGTAGCACAAAATTGTGATTTGTTGCTTTTGTGTTTTTATTTAGAACACAGCATAAACAGTTCTGCAGGTATCATGCCAATCATCATCACTTTTATTGACCCTATTCCTAGATAACAAGGTCACTGGAACCCCTCATCAAAAGCTGCTTTTACCCTGTTGGAGTGGTTTGTTATCACAACCCATACCTTATTCCTCAACCAGTGTCAGAATTTAATTTCAGATCATTGCTTGTCCATAGCTATCACTCTGGCCTGAACCTTATGTCTGCTTGCGTTTCAAATGCTCAACAGGAACACACTGTATGGGTTCAGAGTCTTAATACTGTCACAGTTTAGTATGTATGTGGAAAGGATACTCACTTCTGTGTGCCAAAATTCCAGCCTCCAATAGCTAGCAGTGTGACAAGATTGGGGTTGCTGTAAAATATGTCAGAGAATATCAGTCTAGAAACTTGCATGGTGATTCCAGAGTCAAAGGTGAAATGTTAAAGGAATGTTGAGATGCTGAACAAAAACCAAGGCACAAAGTAACTCATTATTATTATTATTATTATTATTATTATTATTATTATTTTATTTCAAGATCTCTTGCAACAATTTCTTGAAACTGAAACTTTAAAAAAGGATCCATGTTACGTGCTTGTACAAATAGACAGGGCTTCTTCAGATGACCTATTTGATTTTGATTTGCTTGCATAAAGCTTACATGGTAATTAGACTATAGGCCTCTCCAAATGTGTTTGTTATTGTGCATTCATGATTAATTGTGCTCACGTTTGCATCAAAACAGTTATATGTGATTCCGTCTTCAATACTATTTGTGCCTCCATACACGGAAAATCGTGCTTGGAAAATCACCCGTTTTCACATCATTCTGGAGAAAGAAAATACTGACCTGTTCTTAAGTGCTTGAAATTCAGGGAAGAGCCTGTCCTCGTCATTCCATTCATAAGGGGCAATCTTATGTTGATTCATAGTGGCAAAGGCATATATCAAATGAGTACAGAGATTTGGATCAATGTTGTTTGGGAAGTATTTGGCCGGCTCTGGCCTATACTGAGACCAGTTGGTGAAATAGCACACTAGTTTGTAGGCAGAACCTGAAAAGGGGTGAAACCAAGATGAGCAACATTTGCAGGGCTCATTTTCATTCTTGATGTCATTGTGCCTTATACAACTATGCTATAAAAACTATTCTAGATAGTAAAATAGCCACTCGCTGCAAATTAACTCTTGTTGGGCATCTCCCCCGTCCACCTCCCACTGCCCACACAGGGAAGGTGTCTGTAAAAGGGGACCTCCTTGTGCATTAGCTCTCCCTGCTCAGAGTTCCAAAACAGGGAGAGTTTGTGCATGTATACCAGGCTCTCCTTTACAGATATCCGTCTCCGCCCCCAGTATACACACACACACACACACACACACACACACACACACACACGGATTGGCAGAAGGGCTACTTTGTTTCAGAATTGGAGGGTTTTAAAGTTGGAAAGTTGGAAAAATACATGCACAGGGAGCCTTTATATTTTCCTCAATGGGTGGGAAAATAGCTAGGCACGACTATTTTCAAAGATGAACAGGTGGAAAGGTTAAGCATCCCCTTTTCCCATCATGTGTCTCATGCAAGACTGTACTGTGATTTTTTTAAAAAATGGACGAAATAATCACATATAGTTTGAAATAACTCCACCATCCTTCAGGGAAGTCTAGTCTCCTTCTCACTGATCCTACTGAGATTCCAAAGTTGTTTCCCTATGGCATCCTCATGCCAAAATATCTATAAACTGTACTTTTAAAGAGCTTTATCCCCTCCAGACACCTTAATGCTATAATAGTCATTTGTTACTTAAGCAGTCATATTCCCTGTGTGACCCCTTGTGGACTATAACAGCATAGTGAATATGGCTGGTTTAAACACTCTGCCTCACTAGGAAGCCGCCTTTACTTTAGTCTCATTAACCATATAGGGAAAGTTTCTCACCAAGCTGCAGCTGCAGCAGAACCGCCAAACCTGCAAAAGAAAAGTGAACGTGTTAGAAACAGATAACAATATTTTCATCGGTATGTAGAAATAGAGTTGAATCAAAATGGAGGGGCCATGCTTCACACAACACACCACCTGTGTGATGAACCAGCACCACCCTATACCCATTTTTAGGGTTAATTTTGGGATTCTGCCGCAAGGTGGAACAGAATTGTCCACCAAAAGCATTGCCATGATTTGGCTTCATGGCATCATCACATAGCTATATTTGATTGATTGAATGAATGATGACATGATAAAATAGTGTTATCTAAGTGTTTTCTAAGTAGATTCTGACTACCTGGGATCACCTCAGGAAGATGCCTCCTTTCAAAAATATTGGAGAAATCCCACTCTCAGTAGCTCCACATTTCCCCCATACATTTTACATTGGCACAAATTTGGCATAACTCTAATAAAAAGATTTCCAAAGCATGTGACAGCACTTTGAACATTATTGCTCACTCTCAGAAGACAACACTGTGAAACCTTTTCTAGAACACATTCACCCTATGGGTTTTAAGACCAACTCTGTAGGAAACCTCTGTCCTTCCTAACAATTGTAGTAGGAAGATTGAAAACTGAAAGGTATACTCACCAAAGCACAACAGACCCTTCCCCATCTTCCTGGTTTTTCCAACTGTGAGTGCCCAACTCCCAATGGTAAGATCTGCTTTATGTAGAGGGCAAAACCCCTCTTATCATTGTGGGACCCAGGCACCTGTAATGAGGGAGATAAGACTTCCAAAAAGTTCAGATGAAATATCACAGGTAGAAAATTTCATTTAGTCAAGGTCAACAACTGCTCAGAAGCCTTCACAAGGATAACATCTCCCAAAGTCCCCTAAAGATTGCAATGGCATTGAATAGCCCATGGAACAGCTACGTCACCAACTAGTTGCAATGAAAGTTGTGACAAATTCTAGCTCCTGATTCCCGACCACAATGAAATCCTAGGCATGTTTAATCAAAAGTAAGGCTGCGTACACATTACCAGCTTAAAACATAGCAAGGTTGTTCTTTTTCTCAATTTGGATTAAAGCTGATTTTGGAAGGGGCAGCTCATCAAAACTTAGAATTTCATATGAAACGACCAGATAGTTATGAATTGTGGCAGATATAACATGTGCCAGCATTGAGAATGTACTGGATGCAGCGTAAATGAGAATGTGTGCACAGCCTAAGTCTCATAAACTTCAGTGGGGCTTTCATTCAAGTAAGTATGCATAAGATTGCAGCCTAAGGCAACTTGCTAACAAAAGCTAGGTAGCAAACTAAAGGCTGCCATTCTCTACCCTAGAATGGAGTAATCTAGGGCTGCCATACGTCGGGGTTACAGGAAAATGGTGTCTGGGCATATCTTCAGAAAATATGCAAAATGTCTGGGGGAACCCAGACATATGGCAAGGTGAGGGTTAAGATTTTTAAAAAATCATTTTAAAATTCAAAAAAAGGCTGAAAACTTAGAGTTGGGGGGAACTTTGAGGGGGGAGAGCAAGCTCAACAACTTTGTCCAGATTTTCACTTTTGGGAATATGGCAATGGGACTTACTTTTGAAGAGACATGTACAGTATAGGATTGAGCTGTGAGTTACATAACTCAGCCAGTCACAAAAAACCTTGATCTCCTTGGCTGTTATCCACTGAACTGCGTTGCAACCATATTGATAAAAAGCAGAAAAGCCTACAGGGTATTGATAGGAGCAAATCAGCTGTCCTGGTTTCTGGTCTTGTTAAATTCCATGCCTGCCAGGTGTCAAAAGGGCCAGTGTGCCCTTCAGACCATGATGAATGGCCTATAAATCACCTGCGTGCTAATCACTAAAGTCAGCCAAGGCAGTTCACTCTGTCCCAAATCCACTCTGAATCTGCCAATTCTGCAGGGAGAAAGATCAGCTGTTTGGAAACAGATCTTGGCTATTTGGTTGCCAAGGAGGCCTGGTGTGTCCCTGATGACGCCTTAAAACAGGGCTGCCTTGGAAAAAGGAGCAGCCTTGGCAATCTCTGCATTGTAATAATTTTGTCACTGATGCACATGCTCCAGCTACATTTATTTACCATGAAATATCTCTATTTCTTGGTCTCTTGGTCTCCATTTTGTCTTTTAGAAAGATATGTGTTTTTAAAGTTGCCACTTTTCAGGTCCCAGCTGGTTCCTCAGAAGCACAGGAGAGACTGTAGCTCATATGTCTGAAGCTCCATCTAGAAAAGTGGCCACCAACCCATCTAGGCCCTGACTGACCTGGTCTTCTTCTTCTTCTTCTTCGGTGATCACTCGTAGCCGAGTAAGATTGTCTTCCATAAACACGGTTTTAACAATGAGTCCGTAGGTGACGTCCTTCCACAGTGGGGACATAGGTTTCTGGGCACTCGCAAGCCAGTGCTTCCCAGTTGTTGGTGTTTATACTACATTTTTAAAAATTTGCCTTGAGACAGTCTTTAAACCTCTTTTGTTGACCACCAGCATTACACTTTCCATTTTTAAGTTTGGAATAGAGTAGTTGCTTTGGAAGACAATAATCAGGCATCCGCACAACATGACCAGTCCAATGAAGTTGATGTTGAAGAATCATTGCTTCAGCACTGGTGATCTTTGCTTCTTCCAGTACACTGGAAGTTCCAGTTACACATTCCCAAATGATGTGTAAAAATTTTCAGAGACACTGTTGATGGAATCTTTCAAGGAGTTGGAGATGGTGTTTATAAGTGGTCCATGTTTCACAAGCATACAGTAAGGTTGTTAGTACAATAGCTTTGTAAACAAGCATTTTTGTTTCCCTGTGAATGTCCCAGTCCTCAAACACTCTGCACTTCAATCAGGAGAAAGCCACACTCTCAGAGCTCAGGCAATGCTGGATTTCAGCATCAATGTCGGCCCTTATGGAAAGATAACTGCCCAGGTAGGAGAAGTGATCAACATTTTCTAACGTTACACCATTGAGGTAGATTTGTGGTGCTGCAGAGGGGTTATTTGGTACTTGTTGGTGCAGCACTTTGGTTTTTTGGATGTTGGGCAATAGGCCAAGCATTTCATAAGCTTCTGCAAAGATATTTAGGAAGGTTTGGAGGTCATCCTCTGAGCATGCACACACTACGTTGTCATCAGCATACTGAAGCCCTGTGATGGAAGTTACGGTAACCTTACTCTTTGCTTTCAGCCTGCTCAGATTAAAGAGCTTTCCATTTGTTTGATATATGATTTCTACTCTGGTGGGGAGTTTACCTTCAACAAAGTGTAGGATCATGGCAATGAAAATAATGAATAGAGTTGGGGCAAGAACACAACCCTGTTTAACACCTGATCCCACTGTGAATGGTTCACTTTGAGAGCCATTGTTATCTGCAATTGTTGCTGTGACAATGCAGGCTTCCCCACCCTCCATCCCCACCCCACACACCCAAGATCACTTAAGTAATTATAGGGTGATTGTGATAATGAAAAATCCACCCTTAGTCAGGGAAAATCTTGAGTGAGGCTTTTGCGGTGTGCTCACCCTGCCTTATTCGCTGAATACTTCAGAGGCTCCTATTCTTAAATTTCTCCTCTTCTTAAAACAAGTTGTTATTCTTTAAATGGAGGCTGTCTTTGCCTGTCATGTCACATATTTAAAAGACAATTTTTAAGAATCCAGAGGGGGGACAAAGCACAGCTCAGGGTGGAGGAGACAACGACTGTGCACCGATTTGCCACATCTTGGCTACAGGACTGGTCCTTGATGTGATCATTCAGCATTGGTTACTGCTATGCCTGAAAGTAGTGGATATAAAAGCTCCAGGTTCAGTCCCTGACATCTCCAACTGGGCCTGGGAAAGACCCTTGCCTGAAACCCTGGAGAACCGCCTGTCCATATGGATAATAGTGTGTTAGACTAGATAGACTGATGCTGTGACTTGGTATTGTACAATACAACTTCTTATGTTCTTATTAGTCTAAGGACTGCAAAACTACTTTAACTCATTAGCAACTGTGGTGGAATCTACATAGAAAACTGTTCTGAAAATGCTTTTTAAAGCGTTTTTTTAAAATACATTGAATTTTCCTTAAGGCTCATAATCACCATCTAGTGTCACATTGTATATTGCACGTAAAACACACTTAACATGTTTTATTTGCAGTTGTATAGCTGAGTCTTGTATTAGGCATTCTGCCATAAAATTCTATTGCCAAGAAATGCAGTAAGATCATAGATTATGCTTGGTTTTGCAAGTGACAAGTTGTGCAGGCCTGATCTATGTTGATGCATTTGGGCTATAAGACCATTACAATGAATTAACTTTGGCATGTGAGAAAGAAGGGATAGTGGTACAAGACTCCAAGGTTTAAAAGGATGCCACTACATGAAAGTTTGAAATTGATTTAAAAGAACTAAGTTTGTGTTAAGTAGACTTCAAAGAACTGAATGCATATAATGTCCTGATGAATTTGTTCCATTGTCTAGATATTTTTAAGACTCTTTTTCATAATTGCATCCCCATCAGCAAATGCATAATTCATGGACAAAATACAAAAAGTAATATCTGGGCAGGGCTGAATGTTAGGGGGGGATACTTAGCTGCTATTGCTGAAACCAGCAGTTTTGCATCTCTCCTTGCTAGTAACAAGCAGTGAAAGATCTCACACTTTGTAATGTCATCACAGAGCATTCCTCTGGTTTACACATTCATACTTCATTTCTGCTAGTGAGAAGAAGGTCTTGTGACCCCAGCATCATTTATTAGAAACAGCTTTGCATAGCAACTGGAATGCCTTTGAGACCCTCAGCCGGTTCATAAGGTTTCTCTCACTTGTGTTGGCAGCCAGCAGACCATCGGCTAGCCAAGAGGGCAAATTCAGGCAAACAAACGCTGCAAGCCCCAGAGTCCTAATAGGGTTGTCCAGCAACCGGAGTAGAGAATGCATGATGCCTTGACAGCTCAACAGCAATGAAAATTTGCAGCTCTAACTGGGCTCCTCTTCTGTCCCCCCCCACCCCTTTAGCCACTCTCTTTCCAGCCTGCTAGAGGAAGCAGGGGTATCCACAGTTGCATCCCCTTCCTTGAGTTACATAACTGTGAAAGGCCCACATGCATTCTCTGAGTTGCAGTCTGACAACCATAGCCATACATTCAACATTTCTGGCTCTGACCAGAAATAAACAATACACAAAAAGTGCTGGCATGGCAATTTTGGGGTACAGGCTTTCAGGGGTGCTGGGGAAGAGGAGCAAAAAATCTTGCTGTAGCTAGAGATGGGGGGAGAACAGTGGGTCTCAAAATTCAATTATGCCATGTGCATTCCCAATATCTGATGTGTCCCCCCCCTTCCCTTCCATTCAACATTATAATTGTGGCCCCCCCTGCAGCACCCCCTCTCTGCACCCAGTGCAACCAAACCAGTCGCACTCCCTTAAATCCACCTCTAGGGATTCAGTCCATCTCTCAGTTTAGTGAGAACAGACCTGATCTGAATTTCCCAAAAGAATCTGTGATTCAAAACCTCCTTTGATATTCACACTGCTCCACCAAAAAAAAAAGTGTACAGAAGTGCACAGGTTAGGGAAAGTATGCACAAAATGCATAAATTAGTGAAAATAACATACATGAATTGAATCATGTATGGACTTCGTTCACTTTAAATTCTCCTCCATCACTAGCTGTACATTCATGTGAGGAGACAGCCGTGTTGTGGTCTCCACAGTGTCTTGCTTTGACCTGGGGTGGGGTTGCACTCAGGCCTCACACTCTACCTATGCACAGTGGGGGGCGTGGTGATGCCGCCTGCATTACAGGGAGTCCCTGGCTGCGTCACGGCCCCAGCCAACCAATCTGGTTGACCGGGGGTGTGTGGCTTGGGCTATTTAAACAGCCATGTGGCCAGGGGGTTCTCCCTTCTTGCCTACTTGGGCTTCGGATCTCCCACCTTCCCACCCTATTTCCATGCGTTCACCATCTTGGCCTTGCTATGGACCATGGTTGGTTGCCTGTTGAGGGGGCCAGGTAGAAATTTTCCCACTTGGCAAATTGGCACCAGCCATGTGGTTTTCGCCTGCCTTGTAGCAATCGTCACAACTTTGTAAGGTTTGGTGGTTAGGCATTGGGAAAACCTGGTTTATGGGAGGGGAGGTTGTGGCTTTCACCTGCCCCTCTTCTTTAAGGTCTTCCGTTAAAGGGATCTGGGTGTGTGGATCTTGTCCGAAGCCTGGGTATGAGCTAGGGCCATGCCACGACCCCATCAGGGACCCTGGGGGAGCTTGCAGTTGATGTACATCAACAGGGCTCCCCCTATTGGTGGTTGACCCTTTCTAGACTACCTGCATGGCAGGCAGGAGTCAGATATAGAGTGGACACTCAGGTTGCGAACGTGATCCATGCGGGAGGCACGTTCGCAACCCGCAGCATTCACAACCTGCAGAGCCGTGTGCGCACACTCGGGTCACGATTTGGTCTGCTGCGCATGCGCAAAGCGTGATTTAGTGATTCTGCACATGCGCGAGCGCCAAAATCTGGAAGTAACCTGTTCTGGTACTTCCGGGTTCGGCGTGGTGCGCAACCCAAAAACGCACAACCTGAAGTGTCTGTAACCCTAGGTATGACTGTAGTCAGTTCTAGTCCAGTGCCTAAGCCAATACCACTCACATCTGTAACCAATAAAGTTGTGGCCTTATTTAGCCAAATTTTAACCCAAATTTTGGTGTCCGTGTGAGTTATTATCCAGAAATGGGGGGTGGGGAGCTCGGGGCCTTGACGTGCAATGGCAGCACACTCCTGCACTCACTATGGCCCCACAAAAAGGTTCCCATTGGGCATTTGGGAGCACAGCACCACCATTGGGAATGGCTGGGCAGAAGAAAAGAGAGAGGTCCTCCAGGAAAGGAAGCCTGGTCAGGAGGTGTAAAGGCAGAGCAAGCTATAACCTCTCCTTCAGCAGAGACTCAGGCACAAAGGATTAAAGGAAAAGCAAAGATGCATAAATCCTCAAGATGCAAAGGAAAAGCAAAGATGCAAAGATGCAGGGTCCTCAGAGAGCTGGAAACAAGGTAAAGGATAGGTAGCTGCTGCACACAGAAGGAACCCCTAGGATGCAAAGGGTTCTTGTGTCTCTGTGGAGTCAAGGATCCACCAGAGGGAAGGGCCTGTGTTGGGGATCTGAGGATCCCTTGCGGGAGGGGATAAATTAGGCAAATAGTAACGTCCATGTCTGACAATGAATTATTGTACAATGCCTGAGAATCCCTGGATGAACGGCAGTTTAGAAATATTCCTAATAAATACATTGTAAAATAAATACTTTTGCTGCCAGCTCTCCGAAGTTCCAACTTACATCCTTCCACCCAACTCCTCTCGTTAAAAGATGGTCTGAAAAAAGTATTATTCGGGGATCTAATGTGAAGGTGAATGTTCTTGGTGGCCAGAAACCATTCACATGCAGAGAAAGTGTGCCAGTCAAATACACACATACAGTTTCAAGTGTTGTGAAATGTTTGCACTGAATTTCTCTCCGTATACAATAGTTATGTTGGTGCACCTAAAATTGGGCAAAATCGGCCAGTTTCCTCCCACTGCCTCCCAAAAGAATAAACAAAACATCAAAGCACCAAGATCCATGAATAAATTTTATTGCTCCATGTGAAGGGAAAGGGAGGTGCTACAGGCACTGTAAGAAGAGGTTGTTGTTGTTAGCACCTTGCATCTGAGAGTCCTTAATTCAATGGCCAGTTGCAACACTTACAACTTTCATCAAAGACCAGGCCAGCTGCACAAGACATGGGGAATGTTGCAGTTCCAGCACAAATGTAGAATTTATTGGGATCGACTGGATTAACATACAAGCCATCAGCTTTGTTTGCACAAAATTCTGTTCCAGGAGGAGTGGTGGGAGCATCTGGATCAGGTGTGGTTGTAGGCCCCGGAGTAGTAATAGGTTCAGGAGTGGTTGATGGTATTATGGTGCTTCCTGGGTCACCACAAACTGAAAGAAACATGCAAAATCAGGAATCAGACATTTGCTTTCATCCACCAATAACGTCTTCCTAGAACCATTATAGTCTACGAGTATAAAAACCACCTGCTTTAGGAAGGAGGAATGGGAGTGAGCTGCACTTTCCGTAACAGGAAATATTGTTACTCTCACTTAATGCAGGTGACTGGGTGTCAGAGCATTATATAACATGTTTGTATAAAATATCATGGAGGCAAAGCTTATTATCCTGTATAAATTATTTTCTAATAAAATTCAGAAACTCTGTATACAATGAGATTCATTTTGCTAACTATTATTTTAAGCCATGCAACAGCAGCTGGGCATTCAAAATAATGCATGCTCTAAAAGGAGCTTCTCATTCAGCTAGCTTGGTACTTTAAAACTAAACTAGAAATGGAAAAGCCATCTTCCTCAAAATGAAGTGCTATGTTGTGTAGGATTTGGTGTGATGGTCCATAGAAACAAATGCGACATGAAGTGACTGTGCCTTTTCCCCCCATACATCCTGGTGAAAGTCAACACAGTTGACTTTTAAGGAATGCATGCACTGCAAAAAGTTCATCTGCTTCTTTCTTCATTTAAATTGCACACACTAAGACATCATGTGGCGAGATGAGCTTTTAAACACCATGTGCTGGTTCCAAAACATTTGCCACTGGGCGGTTTGGACAATGAATGTGCATCTTTCCCATTACTAAAACATAGCTCGAAGAGTCAGGTGTGGAATCTAAATAACTGTTTGGCTTTTGATAACTTCCCTACCTCCAATGATCCTTTGGTACCATCTTACCTTTGCCTGAAAGTAGGTTCTTCAGCTCATTTATGAGAGGGTAAGGTCCTTCACCACAGAATGAGCCACTGAAGTCATCCAGGTCAATAGCCCACACCATGCCACCACCAAATTTGTTGTCCTTCACAAACTGGGTCTATAAACAAAAAGGATAATGCTTTATGACAAGCTCTGCTCCCAAGCAAGCAGTGAAAATTGTTGAGAAAAACCCACTAATTCAACACCAGTATGATAGCAGGAAAACTACCGAACAGGCTACTCGACAAAATTACATCAGCCATTAATCTAGTCTTGATGTTTGTATCCTGAATGTTTGTGGGTTGGTCTACGTAGCCAACCAAGGCCACATTCACACTGCACCTTTAAAGCGCTATGATACCCCTTTAAACAGTCATGGCTTCCCACAAAGAGAAGCTGTAGTTTATTAATGGTGCTGAGCATTGTTTGGAGACCCTTCTTCCCCTCCCAAAGCTCCAATCTCTTTTCACAGGGAACTCTGGGAATTGTAATTCTGTGAGAGGAACAGGGGTCTCCTAACAACTCTCCATGCCCTTAACAAACTACAGTTCCCAGAATTCCTTGGGAGAAGCCATAACTGTTTAAAGTGGTATCACAGGGCTGTAAATGGATGAATTCCCATAATCCCTGGCCACGTGACATGCTGGTTGATGGGAGTCTAACCCACAATGGCTATTCCTGGTCTGCAATATGCAACTCCATTCTTCACTGCTGATGCCCTCTAAACATTCTGCCAGTCATGTGTAAACAGCTTCCTTTCCCCACGGCTGGGAGAACATTTAAAGGACCCAACCATATGGGGGTATAAATGTTTTTCTAGGCAATCAGCACCCACAGCACAATGTAGATTCCATGGGAAAGACACATGCAATAAAACCCTACCCACGTGGTTGAGTCATTTTATGTTATGGTTTTATTGTGTATTTCAGTTTATGATATAAATAAATCATTATACTTCAATTCAGCACTCTGAATAAACAAATAGTTGAGAAAACATTTTCCAGCTCCTAAATGGCTGGGACAACATCTAACGGTCACTTAGATCTGTAAATGAGAAATGGCAATTCGTGTGTTCAAATTATGCAACACAGGCATTCAGTACAGCACTGTGGGTAATAAGAAGGCATAAAATAAAAGGTCATAGTCAACAAAGGCAGCCTTACTTTGCATCCATAGCTTTTTTTGTTGTCAAATCCAACCCACTCAGAACCTTTGTAAGCATAGGGAACACACTGGTCTTCAATCCATTTAACTGTAGCATCCCTTATAAAGGTACAGATCTGCAAGCACAGTATGGTATTAATAGATTAATGGATTTGAATCAGATTAATCTGGTGGAACATGAAATTAAAGTCACAACAGAGAAGTTATTTGGTTTTAAATGATCTAATTCATGGAAACCACAGAAACAGAACTTTCTGTCCCAGTTAAGAGAGGAACACAGCAGACGTCCCTGTTGACTTTTGGAGATGGAGGACTACAGCATCCTAGAGCTCCTAAGATGCCCTTACAGGAACAATATGACTGCACCATAAAAGATGCTTTGCAGACTAAGCAGCTATTATAACAGTGGAGGTTTGAATTCCCCTACAGATTTGTTGTGTGGGTAAAACTACTCTGATATATGCAGATACCAAAATATTAGAAATTCAGCAAATAACCTCACACAACCATAATAACAGCTGCTAAGAAAAATTGTAATTTATCCAAATCCAGAAGGCAAGTAGAAAGACAGCATGATATTTATTTTGGGCCAAACTTGTAGCGTAATATTGTCAAAATATTCCAGTGTGTTAGGTTCAAGATTTTGAAGGCACTTGTATATAAAATAATTTTGGCTCATTTGGTTTATATATTATGAAAAAAACATGAGAATGGCAGCAAACCATGCACAGTGCAGTCCTAAAGTATAGTTATGATACAGCTTAATTCTTAGTAAGTGGGCATAAGATTGTAACTGTATTAGAGTGCAATTCTATATTCAGAAGCATGCTCCACTGAATTCAATAGGACTTATTCTCAGCCAGGTAAGCATACATAGGACTGTAACCTAAAAGGCATCGTGCCCTAGGACTTCTTACCTCATAGTAAGCCCAGAAACCAGCCTCACGGGTGTATGGTCCAGAAGAGCCAGCCCCAGAAGCAGGAGCGCCCACTGATGTATCACTGGTAGTAAGCCTAAAGGTACGTCCATAGGTGGGAAATCCCATCATAAGCTTCCCAGCAGGAACACCATTGTCTCTCCAGTATTTCATGGCAAACTCCTGCGAATATGACAGTGTGAATTAACCTCACAATTGTTGTTTACCAACACTGTTACCGGGAAATTGGAATGGGGGTGAGAGACCTCCCCGCCCCACACAGCAACATCTACAACATCTACAATCTACAAAGGCACTGCATCTGCAAGGGAAGCTCAGCTCAATTTGCAGGAGCCTGCGACTCGCCTCTGAGCCCCAGGTCTCCAACAAAGGAAAACAGGGGAAGCGTCAGTACTAAATGTAGCAATTCACTTGATAAATGTATCTACGTACTGGCTCAATGGGAAGACTTTAGAAATTCATAAGAAATCACTCGTATCAATCTTCTCAGTTCCAATGGCATTTAGGACCCAGGAAAGTGAGGTATAAGGGGAGGGGTGTATGAGCCAACCATAATCCCCAAGAGATGTACAGTCATGTTTGCAGGGCCTTCCCAAGGAGTCCTGACCGGTGATATCCTGCCCCAAGAGCGCCAGACAGATAACCATCTCAATCACAATGCCTACCCACCCCATAGTGGGATGAAGCCCGGACAAGACAAAGGGGTGTATTTGACTTGACTTGGCAACCAGGGAACTGTAAATACTTTCCTTTGTCCTGTGATGGAGTAAGTGTGAAAGACTATATTTGAGTGACATGGGCATGCCTGGATCTCACAATCTACCGAAGACCACACCTTTTCTGTGACATATCCATGATGTCTTGATGATGCATCCTGAGATGTATTATGGGAAACTTTGGGAAACTTTAAAATACTGGTGTAACCATTTTTCGGGGCTTCTGGCTGCTTCGTCTTTGTGGTAGTGGGAAGTCTTGTTGCAACAATAAAGATCAGGCCTACAGGCCACTGTTTTGCTTCTATCTCCTGGCTAAAGTCTCATGTTTGTGACACCTGACCTGAACCTATGGGAGTCAAAGTTAGGCAATTGTGGGGTGCTCCAAGGACTCCATGTTACAACACAAAGCAACCTGCTAAAGAAAATAAACCATGCTTTATATTCTTACACAGTTGAAATATCTGAAGTCTCCAATATCAGCTGAACCAACGTACAGTGGGCTGTTGTGCCCTGTAAAGGTGTCCCAGCCACCATGGAAGTCATAGGTCATCACGCTAATAAAATCCAGATGTCTGAAATGAAAAGTGCGGTTTAAATTAGGCTGATTCAAACAACCAAGTCTAGGTAGGTTTTGTTATGTGGAGGTTCCGCACCCGCCACAGAGTGAAATAAACTTTTCACATCAGCATATTTTTGCAATAAAAATGTTTTTCTGGTGCATTCAGAAGCTTATCAACCTCACCTGCAAGGGACCATGGGTCTGAGAGACCATCAGTCAGAATGTGGGGTAAAAAGCAAGTCAAAATTCAGTCAAGGCCAAACTCTTTGTGATGCTTATGTCTTTTCTGGCCTTGCCCAGAGGCTGCTGAGGTGGGGGACCATGCTTCTAACTGTAAAAAGCCCCCCTTCTGCACTTGCTATTCACAATGGAAGGAAAGCTCTCCCATTGACATCAAGGATGAAGGAGGGCGATTCTGATTGGGATTATGGTGGTTGCAAATTGTTAAAATTCCCCCCCTGCCTTCACTTCATGGTCTTGATCTGGCGGGGGCGGGGGGCAGTATGCCTTAAAAAAATCAGCCATGTGAGGCCAAACAATGCAACAAGTCTCGCAGGACGTTTGGCCTTTGGTACTCATTTCCAGTTGGCAGTCTCAGCTCTGGCAACATGTGAAGCAATAATTGGCAAGGGAGTACACCTCTGTATGTAGCTTCCTTTAGCATCGAGTGATAAGGTTTACAGGCCACAGGACTGGAATTCCAAGCAGGCTTGATCAATTAAGCATTACTATAATTGCATTTCACAAAGCTCTTTTTTTCCCCTCTCCACTTACTTTCCTATTTCTGCAATTTCATATCCAGCATCAATGGTCGGTTTACCAGCAGAGACAGCTGCTGTCACCAACAACCTGTTGTTCCCAGTCTCTTTGGCCTCTTTGTCAAAAGCTGCTACCATTTCCTAAAGGAAGAGAATGCACTATTATCCCAGCCTTTTGTTACGAAACTGTCCTATTTCTACAGGTCTCTACACACCTCTTTTGAGCAGCAAAGCTTTCTTCCCCAACTGCGAAGCCTGACCAGCCGGGTTGCTGAACCTACTGATCTCATACCTGGATCAGGATAGTGAAACGATGCTTGTCCTCAGGGGGGCTACCCCTAGAACCTGGATATTCGAAGTCCAGATCAATCCCATCAAAGCCAAATTTGCGAAGGTATGCTATAACCGAGTTTATGAAAGTTTTGCGGTTGGCTGAGGTGGAAACCATGGTAGTGAATCTGGGGGAAACAAAAGCAACAGCAGAGTCTGGCAGCACCTTCTTAAAAGAGCATTCCTAGGCAAGAGTATAGCCTACCTTCATCCAATTTACCAAGGCACAGTTCTGCACCTCTGTTTTTCTTGCATCTGTTGCTAGTATCTTTCCTTTTGTTTTGTTTTTTGGTTTGTTGTTCGTTTTTTCCCTGTCAGCCAATCCAACTGCACATTGCTTTACAGACTATTTTTTTCTGTTCTTCAGCTTTGTTTTCTTGCTTTCTTTGCTTTATGCAGTTGAGATACTTCCATTAACAGCCTCAGTCCTACCCTCAGTTATATGACATTTAGCTTTACATAAATCTGTGTTTGGGTTTGTTCCCCCCCCCCCCCGCACTACATCATGGTCTGCAGCACCTTGCAAGAGAGGGTGGAAGGCCAAACTTTCCTTATTTCTTCATGTTACCTGAAAGTGGAGAGTGGGGAAGGAGAGGCCAGAATGCATCTGAGGAAAGAATGGACTAACCTCTCCCATGGATATCCCCAGTCTGGGCTGGTCAACATATGCAGTAAAAGAAGGGGAAAAGAGCCCTCAGGTGGTAAAATGGGCTGTACCATTTCAGTCTGGAGTGGAGGGTTGCTTTCAAATTTTTAGTGCACTTTGTGTTAAGAGTTTTCTTCAAGTACAAAGGTCTCTCATGTATTTTTAATATGGAAAGGAACATTTTAAAAATGGCATTATTGATCTGCAGCCTGAAATGGTACAGTCCACTATACGCTTCAGGACTGTACCACCTCAATTTACTACCAATACAGACCAGGCATCTGCCTCCATTCCTGCCTTCCATCTCCTAAAGAAGGAATAAGAAAGCAGCAAACCGTGAATGTAAATATACAGCTGTCTATAGCTGGGTACACATTATACCTTTAAAGAACACTCTTTCCCTCAAAGAACTCTGGGTACCATAATTTGTTAAGGGTGGCTGGGAATTGTCACTCCATGAGATGTAAACCACAGTGCCCAGAAATCTTTGAGGGAAAGAATTTGTTTCAAATGTGCTTTAAGTGTATGATGTACAGTATATACAGTTGTGGGCACTGTCACATCTAAGAAGGAAGTGACTGAATTAGGCACGTCAGAGAATAGCTCTCCCTTCTCCTTGCATTTGCCATTCTCAGTCTCTTACTCTCCTGTTACAAAAAGTACAGAGAGGTCAAACAGACCTGGAATCTTGAGGGAGGGCATCCCAGATGGCACTGCTTAGCTTACAGGAGTCTGATTCCACTCACAGTCTGTCAGTTGTCAAATACTATTATGTTCAACAGTTGTATGCTGATTACCACTCATGTTTCCAAAGTTATAGAGAAAACTTACTTCTGTGTACCAAAGTTCCACCCTCCAATAGCCAGCAATGTCACCAAGGCAGAATTTCTGTGAAAATGAAATATATAAACAAAAACTGAAAACAGATTTGATGTAGAAAATCTATAGATATTGTTCTTGTAAAAACTAAGCTGCTCACTATTTATATCTTCTGCCTGCCAAAAATTTCCCGCTGACTTCTACTTAATGCTTATATAAAGTCAAGTTTAGATTATGGAACAAGTTCTTTCTTTATGAGGCCTACTGCTACCAATGTATCATTATCACCAGGTCAGACGGTACATCTGCAATATCTGTATCAGTTTATGCTAGAGAAATGTCTGGTGGACCCCAGCTTCTGTATCAGCTCCTAGAACATCTCTGAAGCATCTTACAAAAAGTTAAGCACCTCTTTTACCACATCACAGTTACATCTTAATGTTGTTTCTAAGAAAAAGCTGACCTCTGCTTCAGCGCTTGGAACTCTGGGAAGAGCCTGTCCTCATCATTCCACTCATAAGGGGCAATCTTATTGTCATTCATAGTTGCAAACGCATACATGAGGTGAGTGCAAAGATGTGGGTCCACGTTGTTTGGAAAGTACTTGGCTGGTTCAGGGCGGTACTGAGCCCAATTGGTGAAATAGCACACAACTTTGCAGGAATGGCCTGGTGAGAAAATGGAGATGGGGCCATTGTTGACACAAAGTCATGTTCAGAGTTCATTCAGTCATTATCCTCTAAGAGCATGTCTGGATGGAGGATTTTTAAGCGGCAGACATAACAATTATGCAATCTTTCCTAGCTCGAAAGACAGTCCAGGGGCTAGAAGGAATGGGGACTACAGCACAAAATCCCAGAGCTAGTTTGTCACACAACTTTGAGATATCATTCCCCAAGCCTACCATTTCCAATTTAAAGCTATAGTTCAGTGATGGGGAACCAATATTGTTTCTGAGATAATACATGAACCCAAACACAGCTATCCTTCAAAGTTCGCATTTATCCAAGTTTTTTGATGCAGTTCTCCAATCAAATGATGCTTACTGGGGTTGCCATATTTCAGTGTTGAGCTTTTTTCAGTTCTGCCCAAAGTTGTTGAGCTTTTTTGCCAAAATCACTGTTTTTGAGTATTTTTATTTTTTTTCAAATTTCTGTCTGGACACTGTTGCCGACTGCAGTATTCAAGATAGGGAAACCCTATGTTTACAAAACTGCATATATGTTGGGAAAGATATATAAAAATGAATCAACCAGATAATGGTTGATAATCATGCATAAAATGAAGATATGCATAAAAATGAAGGTATTAATAAAAATAAATTAGTTAAAAATGCATTATATTAGGGGAAATGACTTGTAAAAATGTGTCTATGAACTGTCTATTAAAAATGTATTTATTAGGAGAAATTTGTATGAAAATGCTGGTGAATTTTCATGAGGTGGTTTTTTTTATTGCAAATTGCTGCAAAATGTAGGGAACTGAATTTAAGATAGGAAAAATGAGAAGCAAAGAGAACCTTCCTTTCCCTACTTATGGTCAACCTTTCGGAGAGTGGAGCCAGAAACCAAAGTGTGCAGGACAAGTGGCAAATGTTGGCAGAATATTATGCCAGAACATCACCTAGACAACTAAAATACAGATATCATATTAAATACATTTTGAGTGTTTATGTCTCTCCATTTATACATGTTTCACACATGTACACACGCGCGCCCGCACGCACACATACACACACACACACACATGCACAAATAAAATTGTGGACATATTTTATCACATCTTGACAATCACTTGCTAGGCCACCAGAAGCCATCTTAAAAATTGTTGCAGCCCATGAGCTGCTCCATCCCTACATCTTCCTACACCGCTAACTGTAACTTTTGTCCACAGCAAACTCACCACCCTCATCAGGATTTTCACTTGGCTTAGGAGTTGTTTCATCAGGAACCTGAGTAGTGGTTTCTTCAGGAGGTGGTGTTACGTCATCAGGAAGAGTAGTAGTTTCATCAGGAGGTATGGTGGGAGGATCAACAGTTGGAACATCACCACAGCCTAACAATAAGAAGTGCAGATGTTCAGAAAGGTATGTGGAAACTGTGAGTGCATTTAATACGTATTTTGACTTATGTGGCTTCTTTGACAATTCTGAATTTGTTCAGTATTTTAAGCTGTCAGTAATATCTTATTGCTCTACTGGCTTTTGAGAAATACATTTAAGCTCCTGTTTTGATGGGAAATGGCATTTAATCTTTAAAAACTAATTACTCCAAGATTCACCTGAGACCTCTGATCTAGGTTCACATCAACAGGCATACTGGTGTACATCACTGGATGGGCAAGTGATAGGTTACATTTTCATTGCTAAAAGAGACCAATGTAGCTTGCTGTTCCATAAGAACGAAACCAAAATCCACAACTGACCAATACTTTGGAACAACCAAAAGATCACAAAACAATGAGCAAAATTTCTACTTCTTCTGAACTCTTCATCAGGCTGCTGAGGGGGCATGATGCTGAAAGCTACAAAATCTGCACTTGGTCACAAGATAGAGGGCAGGAGGCAACAGCAAACTTAATTTGTATAGACTAAGGACCTACAAATTGGTACCAGGTAGGAATTTGTTGCCAGATTAGCTGACAACCCAGGAAAGTCCCTGACTTTGTCCCCAGTGAGCCTCAACTGAGCATAGCCAGGTACAAATCAAATGACATGGGGGAGAACTTCATCCATTCACACTCTGCATTGAAGTCTCTTTGTTACATGCTAGGGAATCAGATTTGCTGGCATTCTTCCTATTGGCTCCATACATACATACCCACCCACCCAAGGAAGGAATGTCACACTGTTGTAAATAGGGCCACTTTGTATTTGGAGAGCCCGTGGAGGATCCTGCTTCACACACAGTGGAGCACAAGATGGTGCTACATTTAGATGCCTTACCTCCTGCAAGGAGACTCTTCAGTTTGTTTATTAATGGGTAGGCTCCTTCACCACAGAATCCACCACTGAAGTCGTCCAAATCAATTGCCCATACCATGGCACCCCCAAATTTATTATCCTTCACAAACTGGGCCTGCAAGAGAATCATCATCATCATGACATTCCCATGATGCCATTTTCACATCAGGAAGAAGCTTCAGTTGCATCGGGCCTCTTCTTATGCTATTCATATTATCATCTGACTTGTATTTCATTTAGTTGCTTTTTAAAACATTCATGCCCCACCCTTAAAAAGACCACTCAGGGCAGTTTTCAGCATACAACATTACAATTTCACAAAACAATATGGAATAATGCACACACAGAAATGGTATCTGCTTGTACATGGAACTCCTTGGTTTCCTACACAGTGAATCTTTAGAAGGGGAAGCCTTGCATGGAAGAAGTCACTTACATTACAACATGCAAATTGTGATAGCACGAAACGTGACAGAATACACAAAGTTGAGAATGCTGATAAGGATGTCTGTGACAAACCAAATGTAAGGGGGAAAGCTGTATGCAAAAAGCGTTCTTACTTTGTACTCATAACTCTTGGCATTGTCAAAGCCAACCCATTCGTTCCCTTTGGAGGCATACGGCACCTTCTGGTCTTCAATCCAATTAACCGTGGCATCTCTTATGAATGTGCAGATCTGCCAAAATGTTATGATATTAGCAAGAGGACAAAATGAAGAAGTAGAATGGTCATGTCAAGAAAACAATGACACTCATTGTGCTTAGAAATTATCACATGGTGAGAGGCTTAGGATCATACCTGCAGCTGCTCCTGCCTGTCACTTGCAGAAGATGGCTCCTTTGTGAATTTACTTGTATCTTTTAAATGTACTCAATTCAATTTGATTAGCCTCCAACTATAATAAATTTGCATAGGAACCTACGCTTGTACCCAAATATGCATAGGCTTCTCTACACATGCAATCTGAACCTTCCATTTGGGCAGTTTATGGATTGTTTTTAGGGTACCTGTCTTTCCTGGGCAATCATTTCAACTGTGTGGGGAGTGGCCAATGGGCTGGCCACCCATTCATAAGAACCCAGGAAGCTGCTTTATGTGCCCTTCTGGGATAGCTCAGTTGACAGAGCATGAGACTCTTAAGCTCAGGGTCGTGGGTTCAAGCCCCACCTTGTGCAAAAGATTCCTGCATTCCAGGGGGTTGGACTAAACAACCCTTGTGGTCCTTTCTAATTCTACAATTCTATTATTCTAAGTCCCACCATTCATCTATCTAGCTCAGTACCGTCTACACCAATTGGCAGCGGCAGCTCCGGGAATACAAACAGGGGGGTCTTTCTGTAGCCCTATCTGGCGATGCCAGGGATTGAATCTGGGACAATCTGCATGCAAAGCAGATTCTCTACCACTGAGCTACAGCCTTTTGTCATGAACATGCACTAATACTTACCCAGAATGAATGCATTCGTGCATGGAGTTGATGGCAGGCATTAATACTCATTCAATGAAGATATAGGATATAGGACATAATATACAATTTGAGGACTGGGGGAAATTGTGGAAAATAAATTTGAAATTTACAGATTGTTCTCTTTTGAAAGAAAACTATATGAAAATGATGTATAGATGATGGCGGGCATTAATACTCATTCAATGAAGAAATAACCTGAATTTTCCTCAAATCATTACCTCATAGTAGGCCCAGAACCCAGCTTCTCTAGTATAAGGTCCAGAAGAGCCAGCCCCAGAGGCAGGAGCACCCACAGATGTATCACTAGTAGTAAGCCTGAAAGTGCGTCCATAGGTGGGAAATCCCATGAGAAGCTTGTTAGCTGGAACACCGTTGTCTCTCCAGTATTTCATTGCAAACTCCTGTTTTGGAAAAAAAAGAATATGATATGGAGGGGGTTGTGGGATTTAATATCTGTCTTATTCTATGGGAGTTGGTCAAATCTATTCTCCATCTCCTTACACAGTTGAAATACTTTAAGTCACCCTGGTCTTTGGATCCCACATGCAATGGACTGTTGTGGCCTGTGAAGGTGTCCCAGCCGCCATGGAAGTCATATGTCATCACACTGATGAAATCCAGGAGCCTGGAGGAAGTTGCACAAGAAGCAGAGTTAACAGGAGATACACTCCGCTAGGAGCATATCTAAGAGAAGCCAGAGAAGGGGGCTATTATGAAGAAAATGCATGTTTTCATTTACTTACTTTCCTATTGTGGCTATTTCGTACCCAGCATCAATGGTTCCTTTCCCTGCAGACACAGCTGCTGTGATTAGCAGTCTGGGGCGACCTGTGCTGGCAGCCTCAGCTGTAAAGGCCTCCAACATTTCCTAAAGAGGGAGGAGGAACTATTAGTGAATACCTATTAGCAGAGCAAGAGCAAACACGTGTCATTTTTTTCTGGAACTAGGCAGCTGTGGTCATTTTAATTTCCTACAATGCATTGCATCAATGTGGGGCACTGATGCAAATTAAAATGACAGTGCCCAAACAGTAGGATGCCTAGGCACCCTAAACGTGGAGTCAGACATGCCTATTAGAAGGTCATTTGTCTTTCTGACCATGAGGTTAAATGACCATTCTAAAACTGACAATGGTATCAGAGATCTCTTTTTTTAAAAAAAATAATATTTATTCCAGATTTAAAGTTCCAAAAAGGAAAAAGAAAAACCATACAAAATACAAAGAAAACTTTAGCCATAACATAACAAAGCAAGAAATAAACAAGTAAAAAAGAACAATAAGATAGAATAAAAAAGAGAACTTAACAAAAAATATAAAAATACATTGAGTTAAAATAAAACAAAAACAGATTAAACCTTTACATAGCCTTTTCCCTTTACTTATTTCCATGACCTCCTCTCACCTCCCAGTTTTGTATTCTAGTTCAGATCGTGTTTCCAGCAAATCCTTCTAACCTTATTTTCATTTACGTATTTTAAAAATTAAAATAATGTGATTAGACCTCCTCTAATTCATCAATTTCATCAAGTCATTTTTGCTTAGTCCATTATATCATATCTACCAGAACGACCTAATATTCTTTTTCCAACCTCTTTCTAACATTCTTTTATATTGCAGTACTTTTGAAGATATATTTTGAATTTTTTCCAATCTTCTTCCATCGACCCTTCTCCCTGGTCTCGAATTCTGCCGGTCATCTCAGCCAGTTCCATGTAGCCCATCACTTTCATCTGCCATTCTTCTCGGGTGGGCAATTCTTGTGTCTTCCAGTACTTCCCGATGAGTATTCTTGCTGCTGTTGTAGCATACATAAAGAAAGTTCTATCCTCCCTTCGCACCAATTGGCCGACCATGCCCAGAAGAAAGGCCTCTGGTTTCTTCAGAAAGGTATATTTAAATACCTTTTTCAGTTCATTATATATCATTTCCCAGAAAGCCTGGTATCAGAGATCTCAGTCAAGAGTACCAATTTATCAGGGATTCTCTCAGTAACTAAGTCAGAAAGCTGAGCTAGTCCAGCGTCTTGCCTTTCATCTCAAGAGATCCATCTGAAAGGCCAGAGCCTAAGTTTATAATCTGGTCTGCCTCATACTGATCTAACTTTATATCTGTGCCATTTAGCAGCAAAGGACTTTTAAGTTCCTCTTCACATGTTCAGCAATTGCCAGATTCTAATGTACATTTTTTCCCCTTTGTGATAGTGAGAGGAAAACATTTTAGCTCTGAAAATGGTAACAATATATCCCAAACATTAATCTGTTTTTAATCTGCAAAGATCAGCAACATGCTGATTAACACAATCCCGAAAAATGCTGGGTTTCTGTTATTTCCAAGACAGGGTTGGATAAGCAACTTTAGGGGGAACCTTGTATATAAGTTGAGGTTCTTGGTATATAGCCCATTTAGGGGCAGAAACAACTCAACAGCATATATCATCCATTCTATTTATGAGATTTCTATGTTTGTTAAAAGCTTTCGGTAGGCTAAGCTAGCTATGGAAGTATACTAGATCTGTGAGAGAATGCTGGGCTGGTACCTCACCTGAATCAAGATGGTAAACCGTTGCTTATCCTCAGGGGGGCTGCCTCTAGAGCCCGGGTATTCAAAGTCCAAGTCAATCCCATCAAAATTAAATTTGCGGAGATATGCTATCACTGAATCAATGAAGGTCTTTCGGTTGGCAGCTGTGGCGACCATTGTGGTGAATCTAAAAGGAACAGATCTCATTCTTAGTATTGCATTTTTACTGTGGTACTAAGGAAAACTTACTTTAAGGTAAAAATGCCTCCCTTAGAGAATGTATGAACACTTGCAAGAACATGTTCGCAAATAAATTAATACTTAGCTCTAGCCCTGCCTTTTCATACAGACTACTTAATTTCCCTTTATTGCTGTGAAGTTTCAGAATTTCTAACATCTGCTAGAGCTTAGTGTGGTTTCTAACCATCTGGTTGCTTCATAATTTGAACTCTTTGTCAGTGTAGAGGTAAATAAACAAAAGCCATTCTCACTTCTGAGTGCCGAAATTCCACCCTCCGATAGCCAACAGCTGAACCAGTTCGGAATTCCTAAAAGGCACAGAATATATTAATATATTAAAGTGAATAGAGAAGCTTTTTTTACAGATATAGGTTTATACACTCAAGACAGTATTATACACAACAGTACAGCACCATTCCCTGTGCAATTATGTATTTATGCAGCACATGCATCAATCGGATGAATCTAACCTAAAGGAGTTGCATTTAGGCCCCACTGAAACCAACTAACCCTTCACACACTTATTTCAATAGGACCTAAGTGTGTTTAACTTAAGTTGGATCCAACCCAATGCTTATTTCTTTATCACATTTGTATCTTCCCTTTCTTACAAGAAGCCCAAAGCAGCTTACATGGAATTATCCTATTTTATTCTACTAACAACAGTGTTGGTCAAGCTAAAATGTGGGGATTTGCCCAAGACCAATTGGTAAGTAACATGGACTGAGTGGATATTTAAACCCAAACCAACTTCCATGTGCTATTCACTTCACCAGAGTGTGCAAAATTATTGCATAGATTGGAGAAAGAGGGCAAGGAGGTTGTTTTCCTCTTCTCTCATAATACTAGAACCAAAGAATCTAAGTGTTGGGAGACACAAGATGGACAAAAGGAAATCCTCCTTCACACAGTTGCTACTTCAAGATACAGTGATGGCCACCAACCCAGAGACCTTTAAATTCATGATGAATAAGGCTAGTCACAGTGTTTCATTGCTGCCTCCAGGATCAGTGGCAGTATGTCTCTAAATACTAGTTGATGGGGAACACAAGTGGAGAGAATGCTATTGTGCTCATGTCCTTTCCATGGGCATCTGGTTGGTCAATGTGAGGACAGAATGTATACTTTTGACCTGCTCTAGAGGGGCTTGTGTTCATTCACTCTACCATGGACTGTTAATGCCCTTCAGTAAAACTCTTCAAACTTCTAGTTAGTATATTAGTATTAGCGTGCGAAGAACCATTTTAGTATGAATTCACATCCATTCTCTAGTTCAGGCATAGGCAAACTCCGGCCCTCCAGCTGTTTGGGACTACAATTCCCATCATCCCTAGCTAACAGGACCAGTGGTCAGGGATGATGGGAATTGTAGTCTCAAACATCTGGAGGGCAGGAGTTTGCCTATTCCTGCTCTAGTTGATGCAATCAGAGTTAAGGAATTGTGGGCCTAATATTATATATCAATTGCAGTGCACAGCAAATATTATATTGCAGCTGGAATCAAAGTTCCTAAATATTAGCTAGTGATGGCACAGCAAAAGCTGCTGTAATGCACAGCAGCAAGCGAAGACTGAAACAGCTGGCATCACCACATTAGCTGAAATGTGCCATGTGAAGGGACACCGTTCAGAAGAATTTCTATCACCCTGGCACATAAATTGACAGTTATGTGGCCCTAAACAGACATCCACATGTGAAATGTTGCTCTGTGGTTTTGCGTTGCTGCTTACTTTTGTTTCAGTGCGGTAAACTCTGGGAAGAGCCTGTCTTCATCATTCCATTCATAAGGGGCAATCTTATTTTCATTCATTGTAGCGAAAGCATAGATCAGGTGGGTGCAGAGTTGTGGGTCCACATTGTTTGGGAAGTATTTGGCTGGCTCTGGCCTATACTGAGCCCAGTTGGTGAAATAGCATACAAGTTTGCATGCCGAGCCTGATCGGAAGAGACGAAACAATGAAGCAGCTCTTTAAAATACTCATTACATCTCATTTTTTAATTAAAATCCCTTCCCAACCATATAGTTATATGCCAGGTAAGCATGCAAGGACTGTGGAGCAAGCAAAAACAAAACCCTTATGGGACAAACTTTTGGAAAGATGGGATGTGGCTATTTTAATTTGTACCATTTTGCCAAAAATCTTTGTCACACAGGTAAATTTTGCATGAAGCAAGATGATAAATTGTGGGGTGAGGGGGAAGACTTTGAGTATATATATACAACCAGGAGTGCCAACTTGAATAAAATATGGCAGGGGCACTGGCTAATTTGAGTTAATTAGCAGTTCTGATTATTTGTAAATATTTCTTTCACATGGAATTCCCAGGATTCTTGATGGCTTACCATATAAATTATCCCTTTTTTACCTTTGAAATGACTCTAAAGTAATGAGACATGTCTACCTGGGATGGCTAAGGTAGAAGGAAAGTAAACCTGAGCTTCTCAAGTCCAAAATTCAGCACCATGCTGGGTAGAGTATGTTTTATCGCTTTTTAAAATTATTATTAATATTCTGTTGGGAGCCTCCCAGAGTGGCTGGGGAAACCCAGCCAGATGGGCAGGGTATTATTTATTTATTTGTTTATTATTTGCATCTTCTGCACACACACATGCACACAAACACACTGCTCATCCCTAGTAAAGGAATGGAATATGTACTTACTGATTTGCAGCTGCAGCAAAACAGCCAAACCTGCAAAGAACAGAGAAGAGAGTCCAAAGTAATGGAAAAATTGCGCTATGTAGCTTAACAAAGCACCATTCTTGGTGTCTGTGAAATGAAACCCCACCTTACAAACCTTAAGAGAGGCAGTCTACAAAATATTATAAATGACTCACCGACCCACAGCAGCACCTTCCCCATCTTGCTTTCACATGAAGGAGCGCCAGGTGAAGCTCTGAGCAGCACTTTATAGGGGGGCAAGGCCTTCTTATCGCCGTGGAACCTGCACACCTGGACTCTTGAGAAGGTAGGATCACAGCAAAACAAGTCTACTGAACTTTTAAAAAATAGTAATTAATCATAATGAAGTCAGTAAGAAGAAACTCCTAATGCTTTGGATTCAGACTTGGTGGGGATTAAGCCATACTGTGTTATTTTATCTATCTAGATTCATAATGTGGTAACGTGGGTATTGCCTTGCTTGCTACATTTTTTTTATGAAAAACACAACCAGGTTGAAGTATTCTGCAGATGATGTTTTATGTATGCAGTCCACACCCCCTTCCCACCAACATCCCCCCATGGACTAGATAAGGGGTTTTTTTTTTGTTTTTTTTGTGCCTTTCAAAGCTGTTTCGCACCCTGCCCAGCTGCTCACACCTGCAGATTCCGTTTGTTCCTGCTTGTCTCCACGCCAGGGGGCACTGACAGAATGTCTTTTCCTCTGTGCCATGGTGTTCACACTTTGACTGAAGAACTCCAGTCAGTGTGAAGCTGGTTTGAGAAACAATGTATCCTGTTGTACCGTATAACGAAGTATAGAATACATACCCATTTTGGTTAATGCCTTGTGAACACACACTAAAAAGCAGAGCTGGAAACAGTGAGTGTACATTAAATGGAAATGTGACTGCAGCCTTACGTTTGCTGAAGCATTTTATCACTGTCCGCTATAATTTATTAGTCAACTTGAGTCAGCCAACATCCACTCTCCATGGCCATGTATCTAGCATACTTACCTGTATGACATAGACTGAATGAAAACAAGATTTGGAGCTGGGTACCATCAGAATATTGCTGACACCAAACTCCAAACCAACCTCTCGTTTTCTCGCCAGGCACTTTGCTGTTGAGCATTTCCTCTGCAACACACTTCAGAATTGCAAAGTAACCCCCCCATCCCCTTCTCTGGCTGGAACCAGCCACCATATTACAGAGCTATTAATTCATTACAGTACTTTTCTTTGAATCAGTGGATTCATGAGCAATTATTCCAAGCTTCAGAAACCACAGCTTGTCTTTTGAGTAAGACTAGCAAGGGACGCGGGTGGCGCTGTGGTCTAAACCACAGAGCCTAGGGCTTGCCAATCAGAAAGTCAGCGGTTTGAATCCCCACGACGGGGTGGGCCCCCGTTGCTCGGTCCCTGCTCCTGCCAACCTAGCAGTTCAAAAGCACGCCAAAGTGCAAGTAGATAAATAGGTACTGCTGCAGCGGGAAGGTTAACAGCATTTCCGTGTGCGGTTCTGGTTCGCCAGAAGCAGCTTAGTCATGCTGGCCACATGACCCGGAAGCTGTCTGCGGTCAAACGCTGGCTTCCTCAGCCAGTAAAGCAAGATGAGTGCCACAACCCCAGAGTCGTCTGTGACTGGACTTAACAGTCAGGGGTCCCTTTACCTTTACTAGCTATGACATGGCGGGTGGGTCCCCATTTGTGGAATGCCTGCTAATATTGAGGGGTAAAACATTCCTGTTTAGCAAGAAATTTGATGGCTAAAATAAACTGTTCCAAGAAATCCTTGAAATCAGCTGTGAGGATATTTGGCTTTAAATTTGCTATTGCATTGTTTTGCTGTTCTGTTGTTTGACACCTTGGGCTCCAATGGGAGAAAGACAGAACTTTAAATAAAGAATGATGGTGGTGATGATGAAAATGCCAGTAAAGTCCATTTTCTTTCTGCTTCTCAAAATCAAGTGTTACGTTGACTATTGAGATATGAGGGGAACCAACAAAATGGTTACATAAACGCAGGCTTATCAGCCTTGAAGCTACTAGTACTCTCTATCTTAGTTGGTCAAGGTCCCAAGGTCTCAAAGTGATTAACCTTAACCTAGAAGTCAACAGCGCCAATAGAAATGGGTGCAGTGAGCTCCACCTTCTCAAACCCTGGGATCACACCTCCTGCTACCAAGAGGTACATGCAGACAAATGTGATTACATTATTTCTATGGCACCATTTCGTTTTGGGCTTACAAGCAAAATCTGCCATCGCTCCTTCTTTCATCTCAAATTAAGTCAGTCATGACTAGCAACATATTTCAATAGGTCTACTACTTTCAGTGTCAGTAATTTGGGACAACCTAAAACCAGTCACATTTAATTTTTTTGCAAGAATTAATCTGTTTTGCGTTTAATCTTTAATTGCCTCTATTTGAAGCAAAATATTAGCTAGATAGCCAACATTATTTGATTTTGTATTAGACACCCACTTTGTATTGCCATTGTTAAAGACAAGTTCTGGAGCTTGTTATTCTGCAACTCAACTAAGAATCTCTTTCCTACTGGACCATTTCATTGGCTTTAACCTATTATGTCCTCTCCCTACTCTTTGAAGGAAATGCTGCTTTAAAATGCTACACTGATGCTTTTGGGGGGGGGAGCAGGACAGAATGTGAAAAAGTACTGACATAAGTCGAGGGCTCAAATATAGATGCTGCTACACAGGAGAAGTTTAAAAGCTAGTGGTGGATTCCTCAATGCTATGGAGAGGTAGCAGATGTCAATGAGATTCAAGGAGAATGAACAATCAGTTCCCATGCAAGACCAGTCATATAAAACAAAGGACTCAGTTTGGCTTATGCAGGCACCATTTTATTATGAACTGAAAAAATAAACTATTTTCACTATTTGTGTATATCTGGCTAACATTTTAAATCGCCCAAAAACCTAACCAGTGACCAAAAATATATAAATGTATAAATATACAACTGTCTTTATTTACATTTGTACATACAAGTATATCAGCAGATTTGACAGTGAAAGCGTTTTTTGGCAAATGAAAATGGGTAACAAGTTCCCCCCCCCCCCAAGATCTCCATGGACAGAATAATTTGATATGTGAAGGACTTGTTTTTCCTTTCCTTTCCTTTCCTTTCCTTTCCTTTCCTTTCCTTTCCTTTCCTTTCCCTTTTTTTTCTCTTTTGGAATGGCAGGGAAAAGCAATGCAGCTTATCTTCTAGACTCTGTGGTCCTCAATAGAAAGACTGACAGCACCAACAGACAGCAAGTGTTGCACTCGCCAAAATCTCTGAATCCATTTAGGCTCAGAAGCTACACTGAATAGATGAATAGCTGATCATCTGGGGCAACTCTACACATTTAAAGGGCACCATGACTTTCTAATGTCTCTTAATGAGCTAGAAGAGCAGTGAATTATCTGGCAAATCAGCAGAGGAATAGGTGAAGAGGAATCTAAAGGATTTTGTTACCAGCTAACTCAACTGGGTAGATGAAGAGATAGTGCTATTAAACTAGTATTTTCCACAGGTATGAGAAATGCAGAGCAGATGTATACAGAGATTTAGAGAGCAGCTGCTGTAATTTGCACTTGCACTAGAGAGGTGCTACAAACAAATCATAACAGGATATTAACTGAACTCCGGGCATTTCCAAATGGGCCCATTGTGAAGCTACAAAGCTACAGCACAATTCTGATTTTACATGGCATAATTTGCAGTTCATGTTCAGCATCACATTTTGGAAGCCCTTCTTATTAGTGTTGCTGTGGTTAAAGTGGATTGATGCTAATTTGAATTGTTACTCACCAAACAGAATAGTAAAGTTATCACCAGAGACCAACCAGCACAAACCAACTACCACAAACCAATTAAGACTATCTTCCAAACAACTGCTATAGCTAACCAGGAGTGCATCCAAACAACTGTTTCAAATCGTGTTTTGGAGGTTAGTGCTAACCACAGTCTACCTGACTGAGACGTCATGTCAAACTATGGCTAGAGGAAACAAAGAAATAGAGGGAGTTGGCACCTAAGGGGGTAGGACTGAGAGTAAGAGCTACAGCATATTCTCAACTCTCCAAACCATAGCTTGGACAATCAGGACGTGACATCTGAACGAGGTTTCTTTAGGCAATCTCACTGTTCTTTATTTCCTTCCAGAAGCAGGTGATGTAAAACTAAATTCCCGAAAGGTAATCAGAAACTTTGAAGAAGAAAAAGCAAGCTGTGGTCTTTTTCTTTTTTCCTTTTAAATCAAGTATTTTAGGAAAGTGTACTGATAGGCATATAATACAAATAGCAAGGGACACTTGAAGATGGAGTCAGGGAGTGATGCAGAATCTACTGCTACATCCCAGGCCTTGCTGGCACATGCTGGCCAGGGTGGAAGGTGCTGGGGGAAGAGAGTAGTTTCTCGCTTCTCTCTGCTGATGGGAGACTGAAGTACAGGCAACCATGCACATTCCTAACACACACACACACACACCCAGCCATCAACATCAAGCAGGGTGGACAACTTATAATTGCATTCTGGGTGGCATCTTTTTCCCTGTCTCCTATCACAGACAGAAATACAGCCTTTGTCAACGTTACTTGGATACAAGAAGAAGGTAGAAAAACTGCTGCTGTATTGCCAAGGAGAATATAAATCTAAGACTTTGAGCCAATGTGCAGGCAATATGATTCTAAACAAAGAGCTCTCTCATCCAGGTGAAAACAAGATCCGCAATCAACATGCACTTGTAAAAAGTGAGTTGTCTTGTGCTGTCAAGCATTGCAGATCTGCTGGGATCTTTCTCTTCTTGCTCTGCCACCATCAAATTTCTCTGCTCAGCTCTCCCAACAATTCAAACCAGAGATAAGATCAGACCAAACCCTCATCTCCAAGCACACAGAAATTGTGTTGTTCTGAACAGCCTCGTCTTTTGCAAAGGAACAACAGTGAATATCCAGCTGATGCCCTTGGCTACCCCTCATCCAAACATGTCATATTTAGCAAGGTGATGTGGCATGAATCCCAGGATGAGTAGCACATATGAAAGGCAAGCAGAGACGAGAGATGATTCTCCTTCTGAAGTTCCAGGAGACCTGGCAAAATGTGAGGAAGCATTTCCTGTTAATCTGTCTGCAGTCCTCAAAAAAAGAAGGTACACTTGAGGATGGCAAGAGATGCTGTAAGTACTGCAAGCTGCAGCATGCTGTTCCCTGGAAGAGACAGATAGATTTCCATGTTTCTAGGTGAGCATTTCAGACTTCACCTTAAGTTATATAACAAACTGTTGGGGAGAAAAGGACCTGAACCAGAGAGGCTGCTTTTCCATTTGGCCCTCAACCAGCAGCATCTTTCTGCCTTTCCCATGCCACATCTCAGCAGTTGCAAGGACCACAGGAGGTCCAAAAGCTTCCTCCTATCCCACCCATCATCTTGCTACAGATCACTTCTTCCTGCGGATTTTGGGCTTCTTCACTGGGCGAAGGTAGGGATTGTCTATCAAGTTCTCATCTCCATTCCGGCTGCCAGAAAGCGAGGTGTTGTGCTGCAGTACCGATGCATTCTCCTTCTCAGCTCCCGGGTCATCCTGGCAGGTAAGACAAGATGTGAACAATGTCAGGGTCTCAGCTGGCAAATCAGCACACCCAAGAACAAGCAAGGCAGAAAGCAACAAGGACATGCAGGAGACAAACCAGCGAGCGATCAATGCTGGCATGTAGAAGAGTTGGGTGCCCTCTGCTGGGAGGCAACAAAAATGTGTTATGGAATTCAAAATGAATTTTCCTAAACTTTGAAGATTCAGGCGTTATCCTGAACAAGGGATCACAGCAAGGGTTCGGGGCAAGGGGATACATGCACCAGCCCACTATATTTATCCCATCCACATTCTGTTCCTACCACCGACGACGAGCAACTGAATTGGGGTGAGGCATTGGCCTAATTGCTCCAGCAACAAGGACATGGCTCCTCTTCTCCCCATACCATCCCTTGCAAAGTTTCACAGCCTTCTATGGATGCGAACATTTGCTGAGAAGCGAGTGCATTTCACAGGAGAAGCCCACACTTGCCTTCTGCCCCAAGCATATTCTGCAGCCAGAACTATGTACATAAAATGTATTTGCCCAACAAATTCCACTTGCAACATCTCGTTTGCACTTAAGTGACCATTTAATACAGTGTTTCCAGGAATCTGGAGCCAACGTCACGCTGAATCGAACCAAGTCTCTAGGCTCTACCGTGCTCACGTGCAAGGGGAGGTTCTCTGTGTCTGTCTGATCATCTTGTTCAGATGAATCCGTCTCCTCCATCTGCTGCATCTCCAATTCAGAAGGAAGCAGAGCTGTCAGGTAGGGTATTGAAAAAGGCCTGGCGGCTATCACTAGGGATAAAGAAGGAAGAAGACATGATCTCAGATACTGAGATCCATCTCTCAGGTGTCCGGCCTAAAAGGTTGGAAGTGAGAGAAAACTCAAAGAAAGGCATGGACTATTGAGATTTATTTCCTTCTATGCAAGCTTTCAAGGTCAAGGAAAAAGTTATACCGTAAACCTGTCACCGCCAGCAGCCTACAAGTAAAGATGTCACCATCTGTGGTAGCTATGTAGAAGTTTTTGGCAAAGTTACAACAATGTCATACTTCATATTTGTAATTTGCCTTATTGCAAATGCAGCTCATTTGAGGAGGGTTCATTTACAATATAGGACAGCCCAAAGGCCAATCTGGTGCCCGTGAGAAGTTTTGGACCACAATGTCCCTGCTGGCCCTCCAAAACATCTGGAGGGGGCTAGGTGGATGAAGGCTGCGCTAGACACACAGCATCTTACTTGAAACAATGTGCCCTGCCACTGGATTGATTGTCTTACAAGGGAAGGTGCTGACATCATCCTTGAAAAGACTTTGTGTCTCTCCTGTCTTTGCCATGAAGCGTGTCAGAGCTCTTTCAACATCCCGTCTCTGAGAAGCAGCCTTTTCCCGAAGGATCTGATAATCCGACACAGGCTCCCGGTACGTCTGTAAGGCAAAGAGAGGGAGGCGACAATGACTATACACAGACTTCGAATCTGTATTGCTTAGAGTCACTGGGGGCAATCCAGCTACTCCTGTGCAGTTAAGTTCACATCTATCCAGTAGACAACCAAATCTTCTTATTTAGGACCATTTTCAGAAATAACGGAAAAGGAATAGCTCAGTGGACTTAAAACACTGGTCATCCCCAGAGGCTGAAAGTGTCTCACAACAACTTGTCTACCATCTCTGGTCAGTTTTTTTAAGCAAGGCAGGCCTACTTACTGGTGTCTTGATGTAAGTGTGAGGATCCGGAAACTCTGGGAAGTGACCAGGAATATGGGATGGGTGAGGCTTGTTCTGTCCGGCCGTCAGGGCTTTTGGAGTCATGGGCTGATTTGTTACAGGTGCTGCAATTGGAAAGAGGATTTCGGTCATGGCAGCCTCTGCCTCAGTGGTATCAGCCCAGTTTCAGAGGGAGGCAATCTCTGTTCAACTTAGCGCAACCGATATAACAAATCTATTTAGGCCAGAGCTGGGCAAACTTTTTTCTGCCTATGCCTGCACTCCTCAGGCAGGAATGGGGAACTTCAGATCTCCAAGTTTGTACAGGAGGCTCTTGGGACTCAGTCCAGGCTAGGCACACTCTCCTCAAACCACACCCCTCACTGGCTCAGCTCTGCACTCTCCTCAAGTGCTTTTGCCTGGCTGGATTGTGTCCTTGAGCTGCAAGAATGCCTCTTGCTTGCCTGGATGGAATATGGAGAGATGTGTGAAGTGTTTCTGTATGTAGAAACCTCTGGCATCTGTGTGCCTGGAATGCAGCCTACTGAACAAAGGTAAGAGTGACATCAATTGCTTCCCTCACTTTTGGTCTCTGGCCCTTAAAGCCTTAAACATTTCACTGACACCAAATATGTGTGCTTATAGCACTGCAGCCAAAATTTCACTTCAGTCACTGGAACTCTGTTTCAGTATATATTTACCTACAGATATGGCGTAACTAAAAAATATTAAGACTCTGCAAAAGTAGAAAGAAGCCTTAAGTTATTTTGTTCTCATTCAAGGCCCAAGTCACATGCAACACATTTATTTAGAATCAAGTTCCTCATAATTCAACAGAGCCTACTCCCCAGCTAAGTGTGCTTAAAACTGCCACCTTAGATGTGCTTCTTAAGAAATATTTAATGAAATAATGATCATGCAATAGCTTCAGCAGCCATGCAACATACAATTGGCAGAATACTAAATAAAGCTGAGTTTCAGTTTGTTATAAAAGCCAACAAGAACATCTTAAAGGGATCCACAGAGCCTAAATTGAAAAATAGTGAACTGCTTCTCCAACTGAATGTGTCTGTTGCAGAAACCACGCCTTTCCCTCCTGAGAATATGACACAGGAAAAAGATACTGGTCCAATGCAATTCCAAAGCAACAGAGCACATGTCCCAATTACTGGGCCAAAGTTCCTTTTATAAAGTTAAGTATGAATGAAATAAAATGCATGCAAGAGCTCACATACGGGCAGTGATCACCATCCGCTGGGACCGTTTGGCGTATGCAGGGAGCGTTTCCACATTAAAGCCTGAAACAGAAGAAAGCAAAGAAGCCTAAAACAAAAGAAAGGAAAAGTCATTCTAGCAAGCCAATCCACCACTCATCCACCACTGAAGCCCTGGCACTATGGCTACACTATGTGGGGAGGGAAGTATTAATTAATTCACCAGCATTTGCTCTCCCTTCTCTGATTCTAGAGGGATCCAGACAGAATAGCAGATAGGTTTACTTGAATATATATTCAAATGAATGAATGAGTGCCTAAAACACCGAATGGGCCGAATGGAGGTACACCATCCACAGTAAGGAGGAAGATGAGGTGGTGGATGGATTGAACTTTCCTCTGTACAAAGAGGTGATATGGAGCTTCAATAGCAGGAAAAGGGGTTGGGCAGTAGGACTCTGGGCAGGAAAAGGAGTTGGGCAGTAGGACTCTGGCATCCTTCCCAAAGATTCCCAAAGGATGGCAACCCATCTTTCATGCTCAATGGATCACGCATCCAATCAATGGTACATCCACTGTAATAGCAGTATCTGCTCAATGACTACACTTACACAATCCCTTCTGACCTTTCCGCAACTGCCATGCCTGTACCATGTAATCCTAACACTCACCCATTTCAACTAAGGTGACGACAATATCTGAAAGGGTCGGCTGAGTCCTCGCAGTATGTTCACAGAAAGATTTGGCACTCCTCCCAATTTCTGAAATGTCTGGCAAAGCAAAAATCACCACAGAACTGAGAGTCAAGATATATCATCACATGCTCACTTTAGCACTATTCTGAATTTAGAGAAGCTGAATCTCTAGAGACCATTGTCCATCCATAGCATTTAGATTGCAGAGGAAGTGGGGGGAATAGAAACCTAGTATTCTACTGTGGAGTGCTCAGCATTTTTTAGAAAATGAATCCTTTCCCTCCAAGAAAATAGTAAGGAATATATAAAACAAGAATTGGTAATGGTGTGTGTGTCATATTCTTCCTCAACCTCGGCCCTCCAAATGTTTTGAGACTATAATTCACACCATCCCTGACCACTGGTCCTGCTTAGCTAGGGTTCATGGGAGTTGTAGGCCAAAAACATCTGGAGGGCCGAAGTTGAGGAAGCCTGTTCTAGTTTTTAAGAACAAGAGTAAGGGAGAAGGTCAAGATATTTGATGCCATTTGCTACTTGCCACCACCAAACAAACAAGAATGTGAAAAAAATACATGAAACTTGGACACCTACATGAAAGCAAAGCAACACCATGCGTTCCTATTCCAAGCCGCTTATGTTTCCCAGTGGTCTGTCAGGCAAATCAAGATCACAGTTCTCCTACTTTGTTAAATAATGTCAAGCAATCGCCAAAGGGCTTCAGTTGCTCAAAACAGAGTTTTGGCAGTGAAACTGGTATGCAGGGTCATGCTGTCTACTTGATGGCAAGCACATCAAATGGCAGCTCCAAAATTGTTGCAGCGCCACACAGAAGGTGAAAGTGCTGCCAAACATCTCCCTTTCAAACTGCTCCTGAAGAAGCAGAGCCCCCATTTTAGTCAGCTCCTCCTGCAGAAATTGCAAATGCCTGTGTCTGTTATTGTCATTAGTGGGGAGGGTTAAAGCTAATGTGCCTAATACTAGCAGTGGAGGTTTCTCAGTATTACACAGTTGGGGATACTCACAGCTCTGGAGCATCTCTGTCATGGTCTCCACAGCAGCCTTCTCAGAGCTCTCAAACCCAGCCTCTGTCAGCAATGAACTAACCACCACTTGAAGGGTCCTCCTTCGAGCCAAATAGTAGTTATCTGCCGGGGTTGAAGAGTGTTTGCCACCTGATCGCTGCTGGAACCAAACCCAACCAAGGAGGATGTGATTAGTAAAGGGAGCACATAAATAAGGAGCATGCGGAAGTTGTCAACAACACCACTTAGGGTGGAATTCAACACTGTGCTATTATAAATGTTCCATTTGCACAAGTGTATCAGCTTGCAAATGGAATGATCCTCCCTCCACTGTTCTGGGGGCTCTCCTGACTGCTTCCCAAGCCAATTTCAGGAGCACGGGGGGGGGGGAGAGCGAAGGCCCAATGTGCAAGTAGAAGCCCTTGCACTTCCACTAACAGTGTTCATTATGTAAATCCCACTTTCAGTTACTGCTAAACATGTCTTAAATGGGTCCTTCTCCCAAAGTCCAACATGTGCTCTCATGTCCCACTTCTGACAGTGCTCTCTCTACTTTCCAAGTGTACAAAATTAGCAAGGAATTAGCCTCATGCTTACTCATGGGAACAGGTGTGCAAAAGCAACATCCCTGATTTCTCCAGTTAAAGAGGATCTCAAGCAGCAGCTTTCAGAATTGCCTTTCCCTTCCGCCAGCGACCCCCGCCTTGGGTAGATGTGTTGAGTCAGAGGGACATAGTACTGGGCAGGCAAGGTGAAGAAATGGCATGGTTCAGTATTAGGCAGCTTCCGGAAAGGCGGAAGAAGATAGGGGGGAACGCGTGTTCAGACGTGACCTCAAGATTTGTGCACAGTTCTCGTGATCTTAGAAAGCGGTGTTTTTGCACGCATGTTTTGGGTGGCCACCTGCTTGCAACGTTATCTGGCTTTCTGCAAGCGCATAATCGCAGAAGAGGGAATGGAAAGGCGCTGCCCCCCGAAACCCAGAGCGGTCTGAAAGTGCAATGGCGCCCCGCAAATCAAGAGGCGCCCGCCTTCCACCCAGCACCTCCCCCTTCCTCGGTGTCCTGACGCCGCCCCGCGCTGTCATGAGAGCCTGCGGCGGGCACCTGGTGACCACAAAGCGGGCCCGCAGGTGGGTCGTGCCCTCCCCCCCAAAAGGGCTCCGGAGCCCCAGCCTTACCGTGCCCGAGCTACTAGAGCCGCCGGTCCCCGTGTCCGCCATCTTGGCTCCATGGGAGGATGCGCGCATGCGCCTCTACGAACAGCATGGTGGGAGTTGTAGTTCGCGGTGAGGCGGCACGGTGGCGCTCCCCTCAGGTACTACTATTGATCGATAGGGTTAAGGGCTGGTCCAGCAGGCGTCCCCGCAGGTAGCGGTTATAGTTGCCCTGTCGAAGTTGGCCAGAGAAATTGGGGAGGGGGGCACAGGCAAGAAGGGCCGCAGGCAGCTGTAAACAACTCAAGCAGCGAAACGTTTCTGAGACGGTGAAGCAAAAGTGATCCTGAATAGGCATGACAACGAAGAGGGGGTTTTGTGGTTTTTTTGCATCCATAAAAAATTTTTTGGGTTTTGCCTCAGATGCCTGCAGTGTTTTCCTCCTCACGTGGCCCAGTGCCCGCGCTTCAGAGGTGTCGTAAACAATAATTTACTTAGGAGACCACTGTAAGTAGATGAAAACATTAGCAGGATTTTAATTTCACTTGTAATGTGACAAATATTATGGATAATATGGACGGATATAAAATATAGAGTACGGAATGATATGCAGTTGAAAATGTTGACAATAGGACCCATAGAGGGGATGGAGGGGAAGTCTCGAGATTCAGAGAATTCTCAATACACGGGTATGTAGTTGGTATCGTTATCAATTTATATCTGTAAAATCAAATAAAAATGTTTTTTTTTAAAAAAAAAAAGGGGGGTTGTGAACGTAGGTGGAAGGGGGCAGAGAAATCTAAAATGTGCGGCCTGGGTTTTTTTTTGTGCAACTCAGGATAACATTAGACAGTAGTGAAGTAAACCTGCTAGTGCTGAAGGAGGCTCAGAACTTCACTGTATTCTTCTCTGCAACAAACTAATGCAGCTACTCCTGTATAAGTTATCACTCTTAATATTGTAGGCATGGTTGGGTTTAGGAGCCATGCACACAGCACAGCAGAAGAGGTAAAGTGCACAAAAACAGTTATGAGTTGGGGGAGGAGAATGGAACGGAGTATCCCATGAGGGATCATGTCTGGCTTGGTGGAACTCTGATCAGGGCCGATACAGATTGCAACATTTTGTTGCAGGTCCTGCCTGCTAATGGCTATTAGCCAATATAGCTAAATGGAATGCCCAGGTTCAAAGGGTGTATATGATGAAGTATCTGTTGCAAGAGGTGCTGTGAGGAGGCAAATGTCAGGAGAGGGCTACTGCTTTCATAGTATAGTTTTCCCCAAATCATCTTCTTTGCCACTGTGGGATACAAATGTACTGTGTTCACTTGCGTTTTTATAATTTTTTATTTACTGAGAGCCTGAAGCAAAAATTTTAGGAGACAATAAAGATGCAATTAATCTCTTCTGTAGTGTCTAGACTAATTTGGTTCATGAGTGATAATGTCATTGTTGGTGCCCTTTCTACACATTTTGAGGGAACTTCTATAGACACTGCTGAGCTAGATTTACCAATACAGTGGCACCTCTGGTTATGTACCTAATTCGTTCCAGAGGTCCGTTCTTAACCTGAAACCATTCTTAACCTGAGGTACCACTTTAGCTAATGGGGCCTCCTGCTGCCGCTGCGCCACTGCCACACGATTTCTGTTCTCATCCTGACGTAAAGTTCTTAACCCAAGGTACTACTTCTGGGTTAGCGGAGTTTGTAACCTGAAGAGTTTATAACCCGAGGTATCACTGTAGTCTAAGGCGGCATAAGGAATCGTTCTATGTTCGGGAACACAGAAATGTAGGTTCCCAAATGCAGGAAGGAGAGCAAGGTTACTGAATGTGTGGAAGAAAGCCCTCCACATGTATAGCTGTCTGAGCAGGGGTCTTTTCAGCACTGCAGTGAATGTTTGTATATCATCCTGCCACTACACTGCTGCCTACCTCTCATGACTATTAAAATGTCTGACTGGGGTTGAGCACCTTTATAGGGTGATCCAAGGCAAAGGTGGACATGGTTCCTGTACTTTTAATAGTTGCACAGAACAGAGAATTTTGGTATGTGCGGCTTTTAACATTGGGATTAAATAGTAGCTGCACTTCCAGAAGTTTTCTTTTCTTCACATCTTTATGCATGAAAACATCAGTTTAAAGAACTGAGCAGAAGGACTCACAGGTGACAGCAGAAAGGGAAGAATCATAACTTGGTGGAGAGAAAATGCTTTGCATGCAAAAGGTCCCAGGCTCAAAACCTGGCATCTGTAGTAGGGCTGGGAAAGATTCCTGCCTGAAACTCATAATAGCTGCTTCCAGTCAGTGTCAGCGATACCAAGCTGGATGGATCAGTAGCCTGACCTGAAATTTCCTGTGTCTCTTTTAGTGCTATTCCCTGACATGTGTATTGGTGCAACAGTTAAAATGCTGTTGCACCAGAGCCACCTCAGCTCCCAGCTTCCAGCGTGCCAGGCAAAAGGCTCACTCACATAATTTTGACATAAGTGGCAGTGGCTACTTATATATAAATGTAAGCAGCAAGAGTTTTCTTGGCAGGGATACTGGAGTGGCTTGCCGGTTCCTGCTCCAGGTGGATCACATTTGGTCAAAACTCTCCACTATGACCTGTCCATCTTGGGTGGCGCTGCACGGCATAGCTCATAGCTTCTCCGAGTTATTCAAGCCCCTTCGCCACAGCAAGGCAGTGATCCATGAAGGGATGGACGAGATGGTTGGACAGTGTTCTCGAAGCTACAAACATGAGTCTGACCAAACTGCGGGAGGCAGTGGAAGACAGGAGTGCCTGGCGTGCTCTGGTCCATGGGGTCACGAAGAGTCAGACACAACTAAACGACTAAACAGCAACAAGCACCAAGAACAGTCAGTCTCTCCCATAGGCCCTTAGGCTTGTACAGTTGGACATCTCTAAACCACTTGCCAATAAGAGGATGCATGTTCAGGAGCAATGACGCAAGCAACTGTTTGAATTCTTGAGCTGATCATCCAAACTTATTCAACAAAAACAACAACGTTGTGGTGTCCATCCATCCATTTACCTCTTTTGCTGCATTGTCTCCAATATCCATTGCTCCTAAGCTGTCAGACTGCATGGGTGGCTCTCAAACCACCATTTGTGAGTTTCTGCAGCGGCTGTGTATAATATTTAAAACATTAGTATATAAATAGCTTCCACCTCTTGGTTAGATCTCCCAAACACTGGGAATGTTGTGGTGTTGTTTAGTTTTTGAGCATTAATTTTCCTGCTTGGTCCCCCCTCCCCTTCAGCTTCACTTTCTCTTCAAAGGTGGTGATGTTTTGATCAAAACTCCACTGAGCATCAAAACTCATGTGTTTTACAGACTGTGCAACAGGAAACCCACCTCCTACAACCCCTCTGCTCTCCCCACTTCCTGTTCAAGTACAATGCATGTGGCAGAGAAAAGGCGTCACCGAAATGCAGAAATGTAAACAACTGTCAGAACTCAGAAAATTAAAGGTCTTATACTGTGTTGATTTAAAGCGCAACACCGATTCCAGCCAACACTGATTTCCTGGTAGTGATGGAAGCCAAGAGGATGACCATGAAAATATAAATTGGAACTTAGGAAATGCTGGATTACTTTTTAAATATATGTACATCTGTATCAAAAGAGTTCTTGGTTGCCAGCTATGAGGTAGGAAGTGATTCCATTTCTTTAAATGTAAATAGCAAAAAAAAAAGAATTCATGTCCTAAGGGCTTGCTAACGTTTTGCCTTCCAGATGCTATAAACAAGTTGGGGTGGTTAAAATAAGATGTTTTCATGCTGAAATCCAAAGGGATATATACAGTCATGTGGGTAATACTCAGGATCTGAAAGAGTAAATACAGATCTGACTACTGGTTGGTCTGAGATGATATGTTTTATTTTTTAAATCAACTGACTTTTAAACATACAGCAAAATGTGACTTTTAAAATAGGAATTTCTCATGCATTTATTGGCTTTACTGTTTGTGGTGTTTTGCTTTTCCTTCCACTGGTGTTGCTTTTTTGGCTTTCGTTATTCTATTATTCCTCCAATATTGGTGCTGTTTTATATTTTGCATCTTGGGTTCCTGGAGCCACATCCTGAGTTCAAAGTGTGTGATTGCATGGGTGCATCTGTGTCAGTCACGGTGTTTACCTGCAAACTTCATAAGCGACCATTTTGAAAAGTATGGTGTGCACACCCACATATATTTTGCATGCCAACTTAGACTGTGATTTATACTTACAGGCACCATCTCAAAGGCACGGTGCATATATGTTTATTGTGTTCTGCAATCAGTTCCTGAATATTGCTGATATCAAACCTGGCCAGTTGGTTGATGCCACACCAGATCAAACATATATATGTACACATCTAACATTGTTTTTAAAGAGGGGTTACTGTTGCATTGCTTAGAGATGGGTTTTGCTAAAAAGTTGTGGGAAATGTTGCAAAGAGGGGCTACAGTTCCATCTCTCATCTGATGTTGTCAAACGAATTTAAAAATAATAATCTGAATAACACTGTACCTCTCCTGCCCCAGGGAGATAGGTGTAATTTTCCTTTTTAATATTTGTACAGGGGTCTGGGAGAATCTTGAATCTCTAGTTCATCTGACTATTTGCATCTTTATTTCTCCTTCCTGTTGGAATCAATTGCCTTCTCATATAGATTATGCTGCTACACTCTCCTTTGTTTAGAAGCTTCTATAAATTTACCCCTTAATTTTGGCCAAGCCCTCCTGTCAGTGGCCTCTGCATTCAGTAATTGGCAACAACGTCCCTGTATGTTATCATATAAAAACTGTTTGAACTATTCCTTCTGCTTCCTGTCATAGTTTTGAATTTTGATTGTTAGACTGTAAACCTTAGATCAGGCATCCCCAACCTTCGGCCCTCCAGATGTTTTGGACTACAATTCCCATCATCCCTGACCACTGGTCCTGTTAGCTAGGGATCATGGGAGTTGTGGGCCAAAACATCTGGAGGGCCGCAGGTTAGGATGCCTGAGATGATGAATTGTTTATTTTTGGTAAAGCCAGTGTGGGGTAGTAGTTAGAATGTTGGACCCTGGGCCGATTAGCATGCCATCTGGGACAGGAAGTGAGGTTGAAATCCTATCTCCACTTGTTTGGGAGTATGCCCCATTCAACTTAATAGAATTTACTTCTGGGTAAACACATATAGGATTGCACTGTGTGACTCGTTCATTACTAATACCACAGCCAAGCTGAGTACTGATTAATGGAAGAAGCCACAAAGAGGAAGCTTCTAATTAAAAAACAGGACCCACGAAAAGTTTTGATAGCATGTTGCTTGTCTGTATTAGACAGCCTGGCACTGCCACTGTATTAAATGGGCTGGGGCTCTCTTGGGTGGAACTCCTCAGAGCAGGCCTGAAAAAAGTTGGAAGGGCAACAGAAAAGAATGATGGATTGCAACAGGCTGGCAACAGTGTCATCTGAATAAAAGGGAGTGAACAAAGGATGGCAGTTCCAGAATACAGTGGTACCTCGGGTTACATACGCTTCAGGTTACATACGCTTCAGGTTACAGACTCCGCTAACCCAGAAATAGTGCTTCAGGTTAAGAACTTTGCTTCAGGATGAGAACAGAAATCGTGCTCCAGCGGCGTGGCAGCAGCGGGAGGCCCTATTAGCTAAAGTGGTGCTTCAGGTTAAGAAGAGTTTCAGGTTAAGAACGGACCTCCAGAATGAATTAAGTACTTAACCCAAGGTACCACTGTATTGCAAATGGGTTACTGGCCTGTTTGCTTATCTTCTTCTTCGGCGATCACTCGTAGCCGAGTAAGATTGTCTTCCATGAACACAGTTTTAATAATGAGTCCGTGAGTGACTGTGGAGCCCAATTCTGGATCCACACGTCCTTCCACAGTGGGGACATTGGTTTCCAGGCGGGAGTTGATCACAGTGTGCATTTGCCAAGTGAGCTTTCCTCTTAGCATGTTTCTCCCTTGCATCCTGAGTTCGAGTGTCTTCCAAGCCCATGACACCTTTGGTAAAGGCTCTTCTCCAACTGGAGCACTCGCAGGCCAGTGTTTCCCAGCTGTCAGTGTGTATTTTACATTTTTTTAGATTTGCCTTGAGACAATCTTTAAACCTCTTTTGTTGACCACCAGCATTACGCTTTCCATTTTTAAGTTCGGATTGCTTACGTGCTCTCTGGGTGCCCCAAGACAGGTGTTTATATTGGGATGGGTACTGCTCATGCATATTATATTTTTGCAGCATCCATCAAAATGTCAGCCTGTATTTTTTCATTTAATCTGTATCTATCTTTTCTGTGGAAAATCCATTGAATTAAAAGGAATATGCTGCCAGTAACCCATTTGCAATACAGTGGTACCTCGGGTAAAGTACTTAATTAGTTCTGGAGGTCCGTACTTAACCTGAAACTGTTCTTAACCTGAAGCACCACTTTAGCTAATGGGGCCTCCTGCTGCTGCCGCGCTGCCGGAGCACGATTTCTGTTCTCAACCTGAAGCAAAGTTCTTAATCTGAAGCACTATTTCTGGGTTAGTGGAGTCTGTAACCTGAAGCGTATGTAACCTGAAGCGTATGTAACCCGAGGTACCACTGTATCCAGATGCCCCTGTCCGGAAGCACTGTCTTTCCCACTCTTTTAATATTTCTTTGCCACAAGGGGGCAGACTTCGACCAGTTAACTGTTCCTATTTCAACTCAGAAGGAAAGCTTACTGCCACTTGCAAGTAAAAATCTGATTTAATTTTATTATATTTCTATGCCACTTTTCATTGCAATGAATTCCAAAGCATCTTACAAACAATAAATAAGAATAACATGATTGAACAGGTAGCCATGTTGGTATCTGAAGAAGTGTGCATGCACACGAAAGCTCATACCAATAACAAAACTTAGTTGGTCTCTAAGGTGCTACTGGAAGGAATTTTTTATGATTTAACATAGTAGAACATCACACATAGAGCATAAATCCTATAGAATAATTAACAAATCATTGCAACCATTAATCTGTACAATCTATAAAACACTGTAAACAAAGCATAGCTCAGTCGGTAGAGCATGAGACTCTTAATCTCAGAGTCCTGGGTTTGATCCCCATGTTGAGCAAACAATTCACACATTGCACGGGGTTGGACTAGATGATCCTTCTGGTTCCTTCCAACACTATGATTCTATGATCACAATTAAAGCAAAAGTTACATTACATGATTAACAAATCAATGAATTATTTATAATATACAGTGGTACCGTGGGTTACATACACTTCAGGTTACATACGCTTCAGGTTACAGACTCCGCTAACCCAGAAATAGTGCTTCAGGTTAAGAACTTTGCTTCAGGATGAGAACAGAAATTGTGCTCCGGCGGCAGCAGGAGGCCCCATTAGCTAAAGTGGTGCTTCAGGTTAAGAACAGTTTCAGGTTAAGTACGGACCTCTGGAACGAATTAAGTACTTAACCCGAGGTACCACTATATAAAACAACATTAACAAAATAGCAACCAAAAGATAAACTAAGCACTGTTAAGTTCATACACATACTCTCCTCACCCCCATGATTCCTAACCTTTCACGCTATTCATTAAAATACACATTTTCATATGATGTCCATGGCAGCAACTCCCTTTTGATGGTTTCCTGGGCTGAAGATAGGGCAGTACAGGTGAACCAACCACCCCCTGACAGCAAGCAGTCTCTCTCTCCCCTCACAGTTTTTGTTAGACTGTGAGCTGGCAACTTATCCAAGACCACCATGCAGTCAAGCTGCATGAGAGAGCTGGTATTTGAATTTGCACTTCCCATATCCAAGCCCAACAATCCAGCAGCCTCTGCAACCTACACAGTGGCTCTCCTTTGACTTATGTGATTTTTAATAGCCACCTGGTGCTGATGTGTCACTTACCAGCAGAGCAAAGCAACTTTAGAGTAAATCTGCACCTGTTCTCTGAGCAACAGAACAAAATAGGGGACCTGTACAGTTAGCACTGAAAGACCATGCAGGGGTGGGGAACCTGTGGGCAGACATTGCTGGACTCCCACCAGGCCCACGCAGACTGGCCAACGATTTGAGATGATGGGAGTTGTAATCCAAGCACATTTGTAGAGCCACAGATTAGTTGTCACCTGGCAACAGCATTAACATTCTACCTTTTTATGGTATTCAAACCTCATAAAGCTTCCTAGGCTGACTAATTTCTTTTTTCTCAGTGACCAGAGACCAGACAGCACCCCACATACTGCTGTTCACACCATTCTGCATTTCTGCCTTGGGAGCCGGGGGGGGGGTGAGGGTAAAGATGATGTAACCTTTTCCCCAGCCATGCTCTCTAGTCTAGTGAATATGCTAAAGTCTCAGCATCTGGACACACCTGGTGTGCAGTTTTCTCAGGACAGATGCTTTTTTTCTCCTTGGGCTGTTTTCCTTATTCCTTGACTCAGCACTTCTGTGAACTTGGCTAGGACCCTTCAGCTTATAGTCAGAGACAGACATTTGATCCTGCTAATGGCTTCTGAAGTCTGAGACATTTTATGTGTTTTGCCACCAAACTCTCTGAGATGTGTTGGGAGTAAAAGTACACAGTCATATTCCTGGTAAATTAGAAAAACGCAGCTTAGTTTCTGAGTCACAGCCCCATGTCTAATCAAACAAGCATGTGGACCCACAGCTTTGACAGAAAGCCCCAAGCCTGGACTGCCGAGAACCACTAGAGATTTTTAGTAATTGTATCACGTCTGATGGGTGACTCAGAAGATTTGGTTGCCCTGTCTTTTCCCTCTCTCTTCTTCTGCCAAGAACTTTGGGATTTGGAGGTTACAATGAATGAAATCATCTGGTTGGGAAGAGGTTCTGGTTCTTTTATCTTCTTTTACTTGATGAGATGGCAAAATAATGGCTGCAGTAATGTGCGAACTAGCGTTGCAGAATATATTTGGAAGGCAAAAGAGCTGAATGGGTGACCTCCGTGTATCAAGGGGAAATAATATTGTTGATGATTAAACAGTGTACACTTGTGTGCAATCCACACTAATGCAGACTGGACCTTGATGTCTAATTAAGGCTGATACAGCAAAAACAGCTTTGGTGAATTCACTGAATCCACACCGGGTATTCCAGAAGGGCAGGGGTGCAAAACCATTGCACAACTCCACATGTTGTTTAATCACAGCTCCCATCATCCCTGGCCATTAGCCATCCTGGTTGGGGCTGAAGGGAGATGGAGTCCAACAAGATCAGGAGAGCCACAGGTTCCTCATCCCTTCAGGAAAGTATGCAGTCAACAACCATAGATGTGGCAAGTATTAAGGCTCTTTACATTATCAGATTAAAATGCATCTAGATCGTGGGTTTTTTTCAATTTAGATCAAAGCTGGTTGGGGGAAATGCATCAAAAATAGTATTTAATTTTTAAAAAACTAGGATGGATACAGGATATGTGTGGATTATGGCTAACACCATGTACACCGCTTCCCAAACCAGCAGTAGGAATGGACTGGATATGCAGTAACTGGAAGTATGTACAGAGCTGTAGATTCTTGAGTCCATATCATCTGGTCCTCCTCAGACTTACAATGCCTATGATCTGAAGTGTAAATATGATACTGTGGTACCTCGGTTTATGAACTTAATCTGCTCCAGAAGTCCGTTCTTAAACCAAAGCCATTCTTAAACCAAGGTGCGCTTTCCCTAATGACGCCTCCCGCCGCCGGTGCCCTTCCACCATTCAGCTTCTGTTTGTAAATCGAGGTAAAGTTCGCTAACCGGAACACTACTTCTGGTTTTTGCAGAGTTCATATACCGAAGAGTTTGTAAACAGGGCTGTTCTTAAACCGAGGCACCACTGTACTGGAAACCTCAGCATCATTAAAATGCATAGCACTTTAGCTGGCTACTGAAAAAACACGAGTTGAGCACAGGAGATCTGATTTACTGGCAACTAAAAGACTCAAGCTTGGAAAGGGAAATTAGCAACCCAGATTAGATAGAATAAAAGTCTAAGAAACCTTCATTGAAACTGTACATGGATACCCCAGACCAGAGAAGCCCCATGTCTCCACTGTGCTACCCTGTGGATCCCATCCTGTGCCCACAAGTAATGGCGTATTTGCAACTGATGAGCACTTACAAAGACAAGCGAATACAATCCTTCTGTATGGTGTATCCCATTATAGCAAACTGTGCATGCACAAACTCAAAGAATACATTAGGCATTGTTTTCTAAATGCAAAGAAGCAACTACATTTAAGCTAGAGTTCTGAAAGGCGGGAAGGATGGTAACCTCTGCATAATCATGGTTTAGGTGAGAGCCAGAGAGCCTAGCTGGCTACACTGCAATCCTCTGTTGTATGCATTTCTGAAAGCTTTGCAAAGAGAAAGGTGTTGCAAGGTTACACCAATGACAGCTTTGCTCCCTGCGACCTGCATTGACATCTATCTCTTTTCCCCAAAAGGGGCCGCTTATCTTCGCACTTTACCACATTAGGGTTTCTCACAATAATCTTCGACAAAGCAACTACAAAGCCTTCAGGAAACCACAGGAAGGGTGGTGAATTGCAGGGTGTGTGTTCTGAGTTGTGTAGGGGGAGGGTGTTCTTCCCAGTTGGCACATCATGAGGTTCTTCTACTTATACACTAAAAGAGTGGAGATTTTGTGAAGTTTAATTCCTTACACACTAGTTGTTTAGTCTGAAATGGGTGTCCTTTGTTCACTTGGTTTTTACAGATAACCCGGATGATGTCATTGTTGAAAACAAGTTAAATTTCAGTATAGTTGAGGGTTTAGGGGACTAGTACCCCTTTAATTAGTAGCTTCTACTTTGTCCCTTTATTATAAAGTGGTTAATTAGTTGTTTCCTGTTCACTCACCTGTGGTCACTCCATTCATAAATTGCCTTTAATTAGTTCAGTTCTTGAAGGTTATATGTGTTTAGAAGAGGGGGGGGGTCTTTGCAGCCAAACCATTTCCCCCCTTTTTTTTCAATTAGAGCAATTTTTGCAATGGCAATATAAAATATAACATAAGTTAATGAGTTAAGTATTTTGGTTCCAAATAGGAAACCTGTAATAAACCCCCCCAATCCCACAGGGTACTTGGGGGACCCTCTAGATGTATGTCTCCTGAGGGAGACTGCTGGCCCAGTTTATAGCAGATCTGCTCATTGTTCATCTGCAATATTTAGTTAGATTGCAGATGAACAATGAGCAGATCTGCTATAAACTGGGCCAGACCAGAACCAGTGCAAAAGAGGTTGTTGTGGGACAGCTGTCTGGTGATATTGGGCCAGAAAATTTGTGTATAAGAGAAAATTTGCATCCTTGGCCAGGACCAGACTTCATGGGGTCCTTGAAACAATGCTGCCAGTGCCACACTCCTCCCCTCTTTCTGGCCAACAGATTTATGAAATGCAGACTTGGACTCTCATTCCAAAGTGGCACCACTGCCCATGCACTGCTAAAACATCACCCCTTGGCCAGGTGAAAGAGTGCTGAGTGGCAGCACATCTGTAGTGGCCAGTGAGGGGCCCATCTGATCTCCTAGGGACATTGGCCAATGCCTGACTTGGTCTTCCATTGGAACTGGACCTGTTGTTGGCTGTGCTGCTGTGCTTCTGCAACGTTTTGAGGGGCTCTGCAACATGTGCACCGTTGGCTCCTTTGAAGTAAGGAGACAGAAGCAGAGCATCGAATGTGCTATTTTAAAACATGGCTTTGGAAATGGGTTTGATGTTTAAACACCCACATCTTAAGGTGAATGTTTTAAAATGTGCGTTTCTTGCTTCTCTTCATGTTTGCTGCATATGGGACAAGGAGCCTTGCGCTGAGTCGGAACAATTGCCCGCCTACTCTGCCTGGCAACATGTCTTCTTTTCCAGCCTTGCTTCCTGTGACCCTTCCACAGGAGATGGTGGAGCTTTTGTCATGAAATGCATGTGTTTTTCTACTCATAAATACCCTCTTCTTTGTAACAAAGCCCTGAAGCGGGGTGAGAAAGTCTCAACAAACAAGGGTTGTTAGATGGCCCACAACAGGCTACTGGAGGCATCCCAGTCCATAGGACAGAGCTTCTTGGGAGTTAAAAATTGTGGTTCTCTTGAGCCTTCTGTGACTTGGCTGCAAAACCCTCTGTGTATATACCATACCCTTAAAGCACATTTGAAGTGATGCATGACTTCCCCCTCAAAGAATCTTGGGGAATGTAGTTAGTTAGGGGGTTGAATTGTAGCTCTATAAGAGCTATATATAAGAGCTATATATATAAGAGCTATAAACTACAGTTCCCAGCATTCTTTGGTGTAAGCCATGTCCTTTAAATGTATGGCATATACGCAGCCAGATGCTCTGAATAAACATGGGCAAGGGGCCTGGCAGCGCTTTGTCTGTCTCACTTCCCCAAAATGCAGAATGAGGTCAGAAGCATTTGCAAATGGAGGGAAAGTATTCAGTATAGTTAAGTACAACAAAGATACATGTGGAGGTGGGCTGGAAGGGAGAGCCAAGAATAAATGCAACCGAAAGATATCTGCTTATTTGCTGGGTGGGAAAGGTTGTCATACATAGACAGCAGGGAAAGGATGCAGGGAGACAAGTAATGGGCAAAGATAGGGAACCATCAGCCACATCTGTTGGGGACACACCACTGGTTCTGTGCAGCTGATCTCCCACCCTTTTTGGAGCTGTACAGTTAGCTGAGAGAGACCGAAAAATAGTTGCCGATAAAGCCTCACGAAGCCTTGCTGTCAAGACACCCTGTGGGACATCCCTGGGGATCTGCACCAGCTGGGAGACACTGATAGGCTTCACTGCCTGCTGTCTGTTCACCCTCACTACTCTGGGGACAGCCGACATATATAATCTCCCTTCCTTCCCCCTTCCCTCCTTCGCATTGCCTGCTCTTCCTCTCTGGGTCTATATTTGTCTCCTTAGACCCTGTCAGCTGGTCCCTGTAGACTTGTCTGCAGACTTGTCTCTGCTCTGCTGAATTTGCCTGGCTACCCCCAGCTCCGCTGCCTATTGTTGTTTTTTAACTGACCCCTTTCGGTAGGTGCTCCAAAAAGCCAGTAGCTTGTGCAGAGAAGTATTCTCAGAAGCGTCATACCGCTGTTTATTAAATAAAAAGCAATGCTGCCATTAAAGCTAGGCAAAAGCATTTCCTCCTAACAACTGGAGAAGTAAGAAGGAGGCATGGGAGTAGGTGATTAAAACATATTCTCTCTGAGTGTCATAAACATTCTGGAGTAACTTCAAGCATGGAGGGTTTGCTGCAGAATACCAAAAAGGGGGCCCTCCTTCTTGGTTTAAATTCTGTGTGTGAGTTCTCCGACAAGCCTGGCACTTCCCTGAAGCAATATTCTGCATATGTGAGCTCCTCAGTGCTATTCTTCTAGAAAAATAGGTGCTGGAATTCACCATGTACACCTCCCTCATTCTCTTAGAATGGCAATGGTGCCCACCTGAGAGGTGCCAGAACTGTGTTCCAGTGAGTTCTGGCTGGGGAAAAAAGCCCTGGGGGCTCCTCTGGATGGTTTGTTTATTTGGCATTCATTCTTATTTGCATGCCCAAAGTTTACAAGGTGGTTAGACCAAGTCCCCTCTTTATTGAGCTGGCGGTCTGACTGGTTTACAGGGCAGTTACACAGCAACAAGCATCCATCCTGATTTGCCTGCAGGATGTCTTCCCGTTCGTCATTCATTCAGTCCATCACTTTTCAGTGCATTTCCCTGTCACTTGCCTAATCGCAAAAAATACCTGGTTTTTAAAAAGTGGATTTGTTGTGCTACAGCAACAGCGTGTTTTAATCCGCTCTAGGTACTGTATGTAGTCCTAAAGTTCTGGCATGCACTTGAACCCTTCCTTCCAAAACTCACACCACAGACAGAACTTCATATCGCCTCATTTCACCAGGCTATTTAAAGAGCCACCTGCACCTATACGGACCTGTCTCTGATCATGGGCATGCCATTGTGACCTGTCAGATTGGTGAGCAGGGTTTTTCAGTGGTGGCTACATATTTGTGGAATTCCCTCCCCAAGTACACATGACCCCTATTTTATTGGCTTTTAAATGGACCTGGAAGGTGTTTATATTTCAAATTGTTTTTAATTACTATGTGTGGGGCTCTGAATTGTTTTAAACTGCTTTTTTAAAACACTAGAAGGTGATGGTGGTAATTATTGTTAATATTACTATTTTTATTATTAGTCTGAATTAATTAGCCATATGGTACATTTTGTAGTATTTGTTTTATGTTTTATATTGGTGTGAGCTTCTTTGGGTGGGTGGGGGCCTTGCCTATATAAATCCTGAAATAAATAGAGAAATACTGCTTCCTCATGGAGCCAGATGCATCATCAAATTCAGAGAAAGCAAGTGATGTACATGCATGTGCGAACAAGCCCTCTGGTACTGCCCCTCTGAAAGCGTTTTTTCTCCAGTTAAAGTACTGCTGTTAGGATCACACAATTGCATGGGTATGGGTAGAAGTTGAGGTGTATGACATCAACAATGTCACAGGTGCTGTCCAATAAGAGCCTGCAGTGCTTATGCAATGCATTCCAGAGAGCACTTCAAATCCTAGTGACCAGTGCTAGATGGAGAAGGAATCACATTTCCCTGCTAACAATATATTTGCAGCTTTCTGGAAAAATGTCCCTCACATAGAACTCCTTCCTTAAGAGAAAACATCTTGACTTTCTTGAGTAACTGATGAGCCATACATTTTTTAATCTATAAACCTATCCTCTGGAAAGGTTAGAAAAACAAGAAATTATCAAGCTAAACAAGAGCTTCAAACAGTAAATTTAAATTCAATGGGGGCAAATATAAAGCATTATCTGGGGAATGAGGTCTGGGGTGGATAAATAATGCATCCCTGCCAAAACAGATTAAGATTATAGTGGATAACATATTGAATGCTAATACACCTTGAGATGCTGTGGCTCAGGAGTCCTATGAGACCTTTATTTTTTTACGTACATATTTATGTGGTACTCTTTAAAAGGGTTTGCAGAGCAGGTAACAACTACACATTATCAGTTTAAAACAGCAAATTATCACATTAAAACCTATAACATTAGCAGCAGTAGGAGTTGTTTAAAGAGCTTGAAATTCACACTAGTAAGTTAAAAATGTACATCAGAACACCTTAAATGGCCAGAGCAAATAAAAAGGTCTTTACCTGGCACTAAAAAGATGACAAACTTGAATCCAGGTCTTTTGGAGGGGAGGGCATTCCAAAGACAGGAAAGACTATGCAAAAGAGGTAATTGCTCTCAAAAATGCCAGTTAAGAAGATTTATTACAGCTCAACATATTTTGGAACACAAAAGGAGCAATATGCAAATAATTAAAAATATAGAAGTATTCTAAATACAATTGTATATATTTTTGTTTGTATTACTATTATCATTCTTCATTAATTCATGAATTTTTTTTACGTGTGTCTCAAGGTAGTTTTTAAGTGAATACAAAGAACAACCAAAGATAGGTTGAAAAACAATTCAAATTACTGCCTAAGGCAGGTGTGAATAAGGAAATAGTTGACTTATATAATTTTAACTTTTTGTAGATTGCTTCTGAAGAAAGAATTTGCATTCCAAAACATGTTGATCTGTAAGATAAATCTTCTTAGTTGGCACTTTCCAGAACAGTTGTCTTATATTTTGCATTCTGTCTGGTTTCTGTGCTGCTTTCCCAGCTTTTTGCATTCAGAAGACCAGGCAACACCATGTATCTTGGATCATGACTTGTCTTACTTCAGAAGGCTGGTGGATCCAAAGAGCTCTTAGGGTCTTGGCTATTTAGATTGTAATAACATGGGCATTGTTTTGAGTTCCCCATGGTTTTGGCAGAATGGCCATAGCTCTATCATAGAGCACCTCTTTTCATGCAGAATGTCCCAGGCTCAATCACCAGTGGCTCATCTTGTCCAGCATTCTATTCTCACACTGGCCAACCAGATGCTAATGGGAAGGTTGAAAGCAGGATCTGAGCACAACAGCGCTCTCCTCCCTTGAAGACCCTCCAGGTGTCTCTATTTTCCGATGGCCTTCCCAGATTTACAGAAGCTGTCCCAGTTTCTGATTTGATACCAGAATGTCCTGATTTTCCTTAGGACATCCCTATTTTAATCAGAGAAATGTTGGGGGGTATGCACTTGTAATTCCCAGTAACTAGCATTCAGAGGCATACTACCTCTGACATGGGCAGCAGAACACTGCCATTATGGCTAGTAGCCATTGAAAGCCTTATCCTCCATGAATTTGTCTGATCCTCTCTTTGAAGCCATCCAAGTTGGTGACCATCACAACTTCTTGTTAAAGTGAATTCCAGAATTTGACTATGCAATATTAAATATTTGCCCATATTTGGGGAAAGCACCTGTTCCACAGTCCATATTTAAATGGGATTGGCTATTTTGTCCACCCTCCATTTTCTCTGCTCTGGCAACACATATCCTCCAACATTTCTTCAATGAAAATAGGGACGTCCCATTCCATAACGATGATTTTACTATTTATACACCACACAACTTGTCTGGAGCAACCCTGTAAGATATTCCAACATATATGAAAAACATAATAAAACATTAAACATTTAAAAAACCTTCCCTATACAGGATTGCCTTCTGATGGCTTGGGGGTTGGATAATTCCATACCCTCCAACATTTCTCCAATGAAAATAGAGACATCCTAAGGAAAAACAGGACATTCTGGGATCAAATCAGAAACCGGGATGGCTTCTCTAAATCAGGGACGTCCCTACAAAATGGGGTCATCTGGCAACAGATGTCTAAGATAGCTTCCACCTGTAAAAAAACAGGCAAGGGGCCATCTTTTTTGCAGGGGGTGAGCAGGTTGCAAGAGGCTGCAGTTCATGCTTCACCTGTGAACAACTGTCACTGCTCACAGGCCTGGTTTCTTTTCCTCTTTGATAGGAGCAGGGTCTTCTCATCTGGCACTGACAGTTGATTGGGTTTGATGATATAATCATAAACAAAAATTCACATTGGGGGAAAGAACCAAACACCTGTTCCATTTGAGACAATGGGCTTACTTCTGATGAAGCGAATGCCGGTGAATACCCAAGAAAAACCACAGCTGACACAGGGGATGGAAATTAGCCACCCATAGTCTTTCAGAGGTGGGAAGTCAGAAGGCGGGAACCCCTGCAGATAAATTGGTGTTGCAGGTGGAGCCATGGCACAGGTGGCCTATACTAAGGACGGTGAAAGCATCTGCCAGAAGGAAGACAAAGGGCCAAACTACAGAGTTTCATGCAAAATGATTCCCAACAGTATTACTGGTCGGGTGGTACAGGTGGGCAGTTGTAACATGATGGCAGTGACATATCTCCTGTGATGCTGTCACAAACATGGGGAAGGGCAGTACTGTGGCAGAGCTGTTAGAAAGTCCCAGGTTCAGACTTCAGGAAGGACTGCGAAAAACTACTACCCAAAACTCCCTATCAAATGCTGAACTAGGTGGGCCTATGGTCTGACTCAAAATTAAGGCCTATATTCCCATCAGGCAAAGAAACTCGTAGCCAGGTTTCTCCATCATCCTTACTCTTCCAGGTTCATTGCCACCATTTTCTAGCATCCCTCTTTCACCTCTTTCAACTCCTAGCCTGGCTGTGCATGAAACCAGACTGGAAATGCAGTTGGATTAAAAGAGCCTTTCGTAACCTGATGCCCACCTGGACTACAATTCCCATCAGTTGTGTTCACTGGGGCTGAGACTGGATAGCAGTCCAAAATATCTGGAAGGCATCAGATTTGGAAAGGCTGACCTCAGAGCGGTGATACAAGATGACAGAAGCAGATGTTCTGAAAAGTCTTTTTTGGGAACATAGTGACTATGCTGAAAGTTTGGGATATAAATTTTAAAAGTAAGTAATATGCTTGTTTGAAAACGCCTTGAAATATCCCAGACTTTCAACACAGTCACAATGTTCCCAAGGTATCTAACAGTATGGATATAAGTCAAAATTTAACATAAAAAGACAAAATATAGAAAACTAAAGTTACAGCTAAAACAGTAACAGACCATTCAGCTTTTTAAAAAAAATCAAAACTATCTCCAGTTTCATTCTCATATATATATATATATATTATTAACAGCCTTTAAAACTCTAGACTGGCCTCTAAACTATAGTACTATAGGTACCAAATGGTGCTCCCTTACAAAGTTATCCAAGTACAAGGGGCCACCCTCTCTTTATTCTCTCTCTCTCTCTGGTCACCACATGTCATATGTACTTCAGATGGCTGAGGTACCTGAAGAAAGGCCTCAGACCACAATTTCAGAGACAGGTGCAGTTGCATGGGAGAAGGCAGTCCAACAAGCATCTGGCCTCTAAAAACAGCACTTTGAATTAAGCTCAGCAACATGCTGGGAGCCAATGTACTTGTTTCAATAGAGGCCACATATGATTTCACTACATCTTGCCTGTATCAAGCAACTATGCTGATCCTGTTTCCCCTTCCGCTGCTGCTCCCGTTGTAGCAATGAATACTATATGGACTGAGTCTGCAGGAGTTAGATGCCCACTGGCAGTTACATGACATCAGCAGCATCCTGGGACATACTATTGCTACACCTCATACTATTTTAAAAGCTTGCTATTTTTCAGCACCAATCCATCAGGAGAACTCAGCTAGTCCTTGTAAAACAGATGTTGTTGGACTCCAACTCCCATCAGCCGTGGCCCGCTGTAGTCCAGTAACATCTGGAGGACCACAAGCTCCTCATTCTGTTTTTCATGTGAAGTAAACAAACAAACAAAGCATAAATCAGCTAGATCTACCATCATCCATCTGGAGTGGCCTTTTCTGTTTTTATTTGAATTTCCTTTGAACACTTTCCCCCCCTAGGCTGTGTACTCTTGTTCTGCAGCCTCAGAGTCTACACAAACCTTTTAAAGTGGGGGAAATGGCTACTGCCACATCATGTCCTTCTCAAGGTTGCTAAGCGGAGCCACACCATACATTAAAATGTATATTAAAAATTGTCCAGTAGCACCTTAGAGACCAATCAAGTTTGTTCTTGGTATAAGCTTTCGTGTGCATGCACACTTCTTCAGATACACTGAAACAGAAGTCACCAGACCCTTATATATAGTGGGAGGGTGGGGTGGGTTTTTTCCCAGGAGGGTAGTAGGAGATGCGTGATACTCAATGGGTATGGTAAACCTGTTGATGACTGTTAAAGACTGCAATTAGTCCTACAGGGAAAAGTCCTACAAGGGATAGTATGCAGATGATTAGCAAATGTAATGAGACAGGAATTCAATATCTCTATTAGACCAAGTCTGTCCATAGTTTTCAGTTTAGTGATAAGTTGTAATTCAGCAGTTAAAAGAACACCCAATGCAAAGAATCCTGGGAACTATAGTTTGTTAAAGATGCTCTGAATTGTAACTCTGTGAGGGGGAACTACAGTTCCCAGGATTTGTTGGGAGGAATCCTATGCTTTAAATGTGAGTTGAACGTGCTTTATATGCAAATAAAGCAGCTATCCCCACCCAAAAGCAAAGCCCTCTGTATCTACTTATGGGGACATTTAGTGCTACATTGTAGGAGTCTCAGATGCAGAGCGGAGCAGCCTCTTCTAAAGAGTTAACAGAGCTTGGAGAACATTTGCCAAGGTTTTGAAATCTGATTTTCTTTCTGCAATAGAAATTAATCAACTTCCTATCTGAGAGCAGAAGTAGAAGTTGTTGCAGGAGGGCAATGGGTAAGGTGCTTTGCATGCTGCATGTAACGTAGATAAGCAAAATCAGCTTTCATCAAAACCACTACCTTTAAGCTAAATGGGGAAAGGATCAGGGCCATGCCCATTACTGTTCTGCACAGATGGAGCACAACATTTTCTGGATTTGCTTTCCCAGTCCTTTGTCCACCCAGTCAGGACAGAGCTGTGCATAGTCTATTCCTTAGTCATTGCAGTGTTGTCATTCATTAAAAGAGCAAGAGTTACTTCAGCCTTCCTGCTCCAAAGTAGATTTGCTTACATATCCACAGCTAATGTCATAACAGTGTGGTGTTCAGTATACATTTGAGACATATTTCAAATCTTCTGTGCTGTGGTGGAGACTCCTATCTTGGTTTCACTTGCTCTTGCTTTTTAGTGTGGAACAGTAGGCATTTTCACATCAGCCTCTACCAGCCACATGGCTATGAAGATAATATTATAGTAAAGTGCTGCAGAAACCGTAGCTTCATGCATCTTGTGGCACTAAGGTGGCATCAGGATTTAGGACTGAAGCTGTGGTTTCATATGAATAAAGGCAAATGGAAAACTGAATGCCAAACCTTGCTTCTGAGCTGTTCTTTTGCTTTACCACAGTACAGTGGTGCCCCGCAAGACGAATGCCTCGCAAGACGGAAAACCCGCTAGACGAAAGGGTTTTCCGTTTTGGAGGTGCTTCGCAAAACGAATTTCCTATGTGCTTGCTTCGCAAGACGAAAATGTCTTGCGAGTTCCTGCGGGGTTTTTTTCCTCCCCCCCCCCCTTTTCCCAAGCCGCTAAACCGCTTATCAGCTGATGGCTAAGCCGCTTAACAGCTGATGGCTAAGCCACTTATCAGCTGATCGTTAAGCCGCTTATCAGCTGATCTTTAAGCCGCTTAACATCCGATCTTTAAGCCGCTTATCAGCTGATCTGCTAAGCCCGCTAAGCCGCTAATACTGTAGCGCTAATCTGCTAAATCGCTAATGGGCTTGCTTCGCAAGACGAAAAAATCCGCAAGACGAAGAGACTTGCGGAACGGATTCTTTTCGTCTTGCGAGGCACCACTGTACTTTCCCTGCTTATATCTTCAGTGAAGTGCCATCTTCCATGAAGAAATCATATGCAGTGGTGATATATATATGTAAAACACTGAATGGGCGAAAGTTACCCTGACATCCACAGGGGTCCTTCCCCTGCTGAAAGTAGACTTGAAAGAAGCATTTTGTTGTAACCATTGTAATGGGTCGTGGTGTGTGCATGGCTGCAATGTGTGCTTGGCCCCCACAATAGCTATCTGGTTTGCAAATTTGCCCACAGGCCCTAAAATGTTGGCAACTCCTGCTTATCGTCATATCAACCTTAGGAGCATCATAGTGATAATGCATGATGACCCTTCCCAAGAGCTGTCTCCTAAAGAGGAAGTACCGCATTCTCTGTGATAGGTAGAGGCATTTGGACATGGGGCCTTTCTCTTGGAAACACTTGCATAAACAAATAGTTCAAGGTGGAGACAATCCCTTATCTTAAAAAAAGAGCCTGTGGAATCCTGTCTCAGTATGATTCCACAGGGAAAAAGCCACATTAAAGGGTCTCCCACTACCCTCCAGCACTGAAGAAACTATTTGTGTGCACATGGAATCACTGTTAATACTCATTAGCCTTTAAGCATAAAAACTGATGAAGCCTTAAGCAATCCTAATTATTTTGTTTTATTTAAGGCATTTATGTACAGTATGTACCACCCTGCAAAATAGTTATTCCAAGGCATCCCCCGATTTGGGAGAAATTCCTTCTGTCTTCAGGATTTGCAAACTCCTGTCATTAACACCCTGACGCAAAGGGTGCTCTGCAGTATGTCCACGAATTTTGGGTTTCTAATGAAACAAAAAAATTTTGAATCTGCAAATAAAACTGGAAAGTTCCTGGCGTGGCAGTTGAGAAAAAGAAGAAAACAAAATCTTATTAATAAAATAAAAGTAGAAGAACAAATCTTGGAAGACCCTAATGAAATAAAAAAGAGCTTCCTTAAATTCTATGAAAACCTATATAAAAGAGAAGAAGAAGATGAAATAGAAATGGGAAAATATCTAGAAGAAAACAGAATCAACAGTATATCGGAAGAGGAAAGAAATTTATTAAATAAACCCATAAAAACAGAGGAAATTCAAGAGGCGATAAAGAGGATGAAACTGGGGAAAGCCCCAGGCCCAGATGGATTGTCAGCCAAGTATTATAAAGTCCTAGAAGAACTTATTACACCAGTGCTATGTGAAGTAATGAATGAGATTTTAAGAGAAGGAAGAACACCAGCGTCATGGAAAGAGGCATACATTACGCTGATACCGAAACCTGACTCGGATAGGCTAAATATTAAGAATTACAGACCGATTTCACTATTGAATAATGACTATAAGATCTATGCAGATATAATGGCGACTCGACTTTAAAATGCCTAGTTAATCTTATCCATACCGACCAGGCTGGTTTTTTACCCAATAGGCAAATAAAAGACAACATAAGACATACAATAAATATCATTGAGTACTTAGAATGCAAAAACGAAATCCCTGCAGCTTTACTGTTTATTGATGCCGAAAAGGCATTCGATAACGTATCCTGGCGTTTTCCTATAAAATGTTTGGAAATGACAGGGATAGAGGGCACATTCCTGGAAGGAATAAAAGCAATTTACTCACAACAAAGTGCTAAATTAATTATTAATAATAACTTAACAGAACCCTTTGAAATCTCGAAGGGTATTAGGCAGGGGTGCCCTCTGTCACCTCTTCTGTTTATTATGATGTTAGAGATAATTACAAATAAGATAAGAAAAACTTCAGAGATACGCGGAATAAAAATAGGAGTGAAAGAATACAAATTGAAAGCTTATGCTGACGACCTTATGTTGTCTTTGGAGGATCCAGAAGAGAGTGTCAGTAAGGTGTTAGATCTGTTAGAAGAATTCGGAAAACTATCCGGTTTTAAATTAAACAGAACAAAAACTAAAATGTTGATTAAAAATGTAGAAGAGAAGGTAAAAAACCACCTTGAATCTCAGACTGGAATTAAAATAACCAAAAAAGTAAAATACCTTGGAATCTGGTTAACGACAAAGAACATTAATTTGATGGAAGATAATTATACAACCGCATGGAAAGAAATAAGGAAGGACTTAGATACCTGGAATAGAATAAAGCTATCCTGGTCGGGGAGAATGGCAGCAATAAAAATGAGTCTATTACTGAAACTGCTATTCTTATTTCAGAATATACCAATAATCAGGGGAACATCAATATTCAAGGACTGGCAGAAAATACTTTCTAAATTCATCTGGCAAGGAAAAAGGCCGAGAATTAGATTCAAATTACTCACAGACCAAAGAGATAGAGGAGGATTTGCAGTCCCAAATTTAAAGTTATATTATGAAGCCTCATGCCTCTGTTGGGTCAAGGATTGGATTATTATAAAAATAAAGATCTGCTAGATTTAGAAGGATTTGATTTAAGATTCGGTTGGCACGCTTACCTATGGCGTAATAAGGGAAAGATCCATAAAGGATTTTCTAACCATATCTTCAGAGGGCCATTACTGGAGGTGTGGGAAAGAAATAAAAATTATTGGAACAGAATACCCCTTGGTGGCTTTCGCCAATCGATATCCTGACAATAAAAAAACAAATATCGAAGGAGAAAGATGGACCTACGAAGATTTATTAGTAAAAACAGAGACCGGTTGGAGGATTAGGCCATATGAAGAAATAAAGAACAAATTGACAGGTTGGATCCAATTTCATCAAATCAACCCTATCTGGACCGAGGATTAAAAAAATGGGATAAGTGAGAAAAAATCTAGATTCCAGATTGAAATATTAGAAAGTAAAACAAAACTCCTATCGAAAATGTATAGCCTGTTGCTCGAATGGGACACCAAAGATGAAGAAGTAAAGGAGGTAATGGTGAGATGGGCAATGGACTTTGGGTATAACATAGAGTTTGATAAATGGCAGGCACTATGGAATAAAGGTATGAGATTCTCGGCATGCACAACACTCAGGGAAAATATGTACAAAATGATGTACAGGTGGTACGTAACGCCCGTAAAACTGGAAAAAATATATAAAACTGGTGATAAATTATGCTAGAAGTGCAAGATTAAGGAGGGCGATTTTTATCATATGTGGTGGTTGTGCGAGCCTATTAGAAAATTTTGGGAATCTATTTACAATGAACTAAAAAAAAATCTTTAAATATACCTTTATAAAAAGACCTGAAGCCTTTTTGCTGGGGATAATTGGAGAGGACATCAAACACGAAGATCAATCCCTCTTTCAGTACGCGACAGTGGCCGCCAGAACTCTAATAGCGCAGAATTGGAAGACACCAAGAATCCCAACCATAAATGAATGGCAATCGAAACTACTCGACTATCTAGAATTGGCAAAAATGACACAGAAAATAAGAAATCAAAAAGACACAAAGTTTAATAAAGATTGGAATAAATTCATGGCATACATGGAAACAGAGGTAAAAAAAACTAAAAAACACAGTAGGTGTGATATAACACTTGTGATGTAAAGAATTTTTTTTGAGGAAAAGAAACTGCAGATAGAAAAATTTTATAACACATTCCAAAACCGAGATGAAGGGAAATCAGTCAGTGTTGTGTGTTATGTAGTTAATGTAGTTAATTTGTTGTTGTCTTATGTCAGGAGTATATATATATTTTATATATATATATATATTTTTCTTTATTTAGTTTTTTTGGTGTGAATGTGTTGTGTTTGTCTTCTTTGTTTGTATGGTGTTATAAAATAAAATTTATTAAAAAAAAAAAAAGAATTTCGGGCTTCATGCTGCACAGTTCCAGTAGTATATGGCCCCAAATGATGATTAGCAACACCCATAAAAATCACAATCAGGAAAAAAATGGAAGTGATTTAAAGTATTTGTTTTTAGGTTGCTGAGTCTTTCAAGTGTGCTTTACTTTTTTATTTCTCTAGTGTGAAGGCCAAAGAGAATTGCTGTCATGCCTAAAAAACTGTCATATCTAGAAGTACCGTATGTGTGTCAGGCAGGGACACACTATTACCTAGTACTGTACAGTAGATGCAGCAATGGAAAATACCAGGTGCCCGTCTACATCTGCTGTAGTTTCTTTTATGAAAGCCTACAGAATTTCCACTAGTCGGTTTGGGAACTGTTCTGGAGATTTTGATGGGGGCAGGAGGAAAGTTTCTTCAAAATGTACATACACTTGCTGAACTCTATGCTCCTCTTTTCATCAGAGATTTAACAGTGAAAGTCTGTGAACTCCTACTAAAAAGTAAGTACAGTCATACCTCGGGTTGAATGTGCTTCAGATTGAGTGCTTTCGGGTTGTGCTCCGCGGCAACCTGGAAGTAACGGAGTGCGTTACTTCCGGTTTTCGTCGCATGCGCAGACGCTCAAAATGACGTCACGTGCATGTGTGGAAGCGGCAAAACGCGACCTGCGCATGCACAGACGCGTCATCACGTCTTACGTTGTATTCAGAATGCGAACGGGGCTCCGGAACGGATCCCATTCGCATCCCGAGGTACCACTGTAAAGAGTTAAGGAATACCCTCCAACATTTCTCTGGTGAAAATAGGAACGTCCCATTCCATAATGATATTTTTACTATTTATACCCCACACATTTTATTGGGTTGCCCCAGCACTCTGGGCAGCTTCCAACATATATAAAACATTAAACATTAAAAAACCTTCCTTATACAGGATTGCCTTCTGACGGCTTAGGGGTTGGATAACTCCGTACCCTCCAACATTTCTCCAATGAAAATAGCAACATCCTAAGGAAAAGCGGGACATTCTGGATTCAATTCAGAAACCAGGATGGCTTCTCTAAATCAGGGATGTCCCTTGAAAATTGGGACACTTGGAGGGTCTGTTAGGGACGCACTTCCAGGTAAATAAGTATAGGATTACAGCCTTAATGTAACTAAAACTAAGCAAGCCTAATCCTAAGAATATTTAATTGGAAGCAAGGGAGTTTTTAACCCTTTATCCCATGCTATTTACTGAATCCATAACACACCCCAGCTGCAGTTGGGGGGGTAGAGTCTCAGTGGGTGTACCTCGTCTGCCCTGGGCTAATAGTAGTGTCATGAGAGGATTCAGATCAAGGAAAGGACAACCCCATTCTTTGCCGCTTCGTCCCTGTCAAATAGAAGCTCCCGCAGCTGCTTTGAAGTGAAGAAATATTGCACAAGATTCAATCACCTATTTGGCCCTTAGATTAAGGGAACGGCATGTAATGTTGAACCAATAAATATTTATCTGAATATAATTTACACATTAAATGAAAAACCTTTAAAAAGACTGAATGCATGCCCTGGAAATTCCTGAGCATGCTTTACTTTTAATCACTTCTGATCTTAGAATTATCAGGTAGACTATCAAAGTGTTGTGTTGATGAAGGATGCTTTGAAAGAATGATTTATTTATAAGACATGTGTTGTTTTATGATAAGTATTTTACCATACACAGATGAATAATGTTTTCACTCAAAATACATTGGGCACATGGAACAGTTATTATTAAAGGATCCTGTTTTTATTATATTTCATAATAAATTAGACTTCTGCATAGTTGGGTGCACCTAAGATTAGAAAGGTGGCCTGTATGATTATTAGCAGCCTGCTAGTACTAATAATCATGGAAGCCTAAGTGGCAGAGCAAAATGTGCTATTCTAGGGAGTGAGAGCTCTTCCCTGAGGAGATGAACTATCAACACCAATTTTATACAAAGGAGCAAAAGACTAAGCCAAAAGTGACCATCATACAAACCCTTTAACGTGATGGTTGAGGCAATGAAAAGCAGAACTATGTTCAGTTCACTGGGCTTGCCATTATTGTCAGCTTACTTCCTCCAGGGGTGCAAATGAAGAGGCAGAAAATAGATGTTCAACCTGCTTGGAAGCAATGGTGTGTTTCAAAAAAATCAAAACAAACTATATACAAATAGTTTTTTGTCTATTTAGATTTTACCTGCTAGTTTCCGCACAAGTTATTCCTCAAGTAAACAGGTGCTTGAGCGTGATATTTTTGGCTGCAAAAGAAATTTGTAAACTACTGATTTAGAGGCACAGAAAAAAGTCTGCATTTTTACGATTCAACTTGCAATGGACTTTAAGCTGTGTTTATTAAAGATCTGTTGTTGTTTTTAGCTAATCCAGAATCCAAAAGAACAATAGGCATGAACCCAGACAGATGACCATTTCTGACTTGAGCTGAGACCTAATGTTTGCGGGCATGTGGGGGGAGAGTTGTAGTTTTGAGGATGAAGAGGCCAGGTCCCAAACAGTCAACTTCTATTTTTTTCCCCTGCCATTCTGTCTTCATGAACTGTGCCTTTTTGGTACAGTTGGGATCCATTTTAAATTTAGAATTTCATTTAATGCTGAGCCATCTTGAGCCTCCCGCATACTCACAACCTTAAGAACACTTTCAGAGTCCCTGTTGATGTGTAGCTGATACATAACTGAGCAGTGGTGTGGAGTAGATCACATCCACAAGCCACACATCACCATCACAGCAGTGAATCCATAATGTTAGCCTCAAAAATGGTCTCCTTCCCTACAGTCCCTAAGAATGATTTATACATACATACATCACTGGAGTAAAAGCAACTGCTTAACAATGTCAGAATTTCCTTTACATAAGGAGATTTGACCTGATCCCTAGCCAAGCACAAGGAGTTTGGTAATGAAGGTAAACCAAGCAGGTTCCTTTTGATTTAAGTTTTGGCTTATTTTTTTTTCTGTTCTGTTTTTTAACATGCTGTCGCAACCCTAAGGCTCTGGGACAGACAAGACAGTGCTTCACACAGGACACATTTTAAATAAAATGAAATAAATTAAAAGGAACAAGACACAGAGCAGAACATCTTGTATTTGTCTGTTTCAAATAGCTTTTAGAATGATAAACATCCCTGGTTTCAAAAGTACTTCCCATAATTTTTCTATTTCCATGCACCCACCTGTCCTATCCCAGACAGAAGGTTTTGTTCTCTATTATACACTCCCTGATCTCTGAGCAGTGAGAGATTTCAGGAGTCCCAGCACATTCCTTGGAATGGAGGCCAGGGGAGACTATGGCACTGTTGTGATATGATAATCATTTACCCAAATATATATGCTAAGCATAAGGTGGAAGGTTTATAGCATTAGCACTCTCGTAGATCTTGCTCTCTCATTTAGTTTCTAGGGGGACTCCTCAATGCCATAACACTGGACCAGCAGAGCAAGCAAGTCACACTTTTGGGGCCTCATTCACACCTAACTTTTGCCCCACGCTTCCTAGGCACAGGTGTAGTGCGCCATGTCTGAGCACTTTTTTAAAAAAATGCTCGGTGCTGTCCCCACAAAAGCCCACTCTTTAAAAGCAATTCAGGTTTTCCCCAGATTGCCATTGCTCCAATTCAGCGGTAAAGCATGATTTTTTGCAGGGAGAGTGCTAGGGCAAAACCTACAACACTCAGACCCAGGGCTTTAAAGCACAGACCAGTGCCTAGCTTCAGCTCCAGCTCCAGGGTTGACTGTTGTGCTCCCTAAAGCATGGAGGCACCTTGCTGACACCATATCCAGGCCAAAGGGGTGGTGGTGGAGGAGACAGAGATGTCCCCTTCAGCTTAGCTTAGCTTCCAGAAATGTCTCCAGCTGTTTAATTTCTATGGCAACACTTTTGCACAAGAAGAGCCTGTTAGATCAAGTCTATCCAGTCCAGCATCCTGTTCTCACAGTGGCCAACCAGATGCCTGTGGGAAGCTCGCAGTCAGGACCCAAGCTCAACAGCACTTCTTCTCCAGTGGTTTCCAGCAACTGGTATTCAGAAGCATGCGGTCTTTGACAATGAAGTCAGAGCAAAGCTACTGTGGCTGGAAGTCATTGATAGCCTTTATCTCCATGAATTTGTCTAATCCTCTTTTAAAGCCTTCCAAGCTGTTGACCATCACTGCCTCCTGTGTGAAGAAGTACGTTCTTTTGTGTGTCCTGAATCTTCTAACATCCAACTTCATTGGAAAGTCCATGAGTTCTAGTTATGAGAAAGGGAGAAAACACTTTTCTCTATTCATTTTCTCTGTACAGTGGTACCTCGGGTTACAGATGCTTCGGGTTACGTGTTTTCAGGTTGTGGACCATGGGAAACCTGGAAGTACTGGAAAAGGTTACTTCTGGGTTTCGCCGTTTGCGCATGCACAGAAGTGCCAAATCGCGTCACGCGCGTGCGCAGACGCGGCATTGCAGGCTATGAACACTGCGGGTTATGGACATGCCTCCATCACAGATTACGTCCGCAACCTGAGGTTCCACTGTACCATGCCTAATTTTATACAGTTCTGTCATGGGCAGCTTCAAGACTCCTCCCTTCTTTTATCTTTAAACCAGGCTTGAATCTAGACTGGCCTTCAAATAAAGGACTATGGCCACCCCTACTATCCCCAAGATTGTCCTGGGGGGACCTAGGCTAGGGCTTGTTCACAATATACACTTATAAAAAGTTTGCCTGGACATTAACATAAACTGAGAAACCCACATTGGCTACAGCAATCATCTGGTTCACAAAATGGCTGTTCTGCACTGAATAAGCAGCATTTAGTAACAATGTGTTCAGGACGCTTGTATTAAGCTGCTCCTTGATCAATTGTGAGCAGCTGGGTTCAGTTCACACTGAGCTGAGATGGCATAGGATGTTTAGAGCAAACCACAAGTGTGATCAAACTCTACGCTTCTTCTCTGCTGCATGGGTTCCCTTTATTTAAAAGAAGAAGACAATCCAAACTACCACAGAGAAACTGTGACTTGAATAAAATTAGCTGAAATGTATGTTCTGTGTGATCATGTTTAGTTTTAATTCTGTTGGGGGGACTGTGTCTGCCATGGGATCTTTGACTCCACATACTCTATAAATAGGCACTTGCGCGCACACACACACACACACACACACACACACTACAGTGTTGGGTATTGTGGGTCTCAGACTCTGGGGAGCAGTTCCCTGCTTCCTGCATCACCACAGCAGCTGGTAGAAGAAGGAACTGCAAGTACTTCTATCTAACCTAAAGCTGAGTTTGGGATGCTGGAAGATGACTCAGCAGAACAGGGAAGCCATGTGACCTATATCACTTTCTAGATCTTCTCACCTCTTCAGTGTGAGGGCAATTCTTGTGGCTTGGTTCAGCAGATTGTTGAAATGTTCAGAAACAGACCTTTAGAAGCAAGGATGATAGCACAAGTGGGTTACACAGTTCTCAAAGCAGCCCCAGTTCAACAAAATAGTCAGCACATCTTGGAATTCCAAGTATTTGGACAAGAGGGTAAAAAAACAACAATCAGTTTAGGAATCATGGCTTGACAATCTGGTCAGTTGGACTTGGCCAGGATCTTTCCACAGGGTTAAATAATGCCCCAAATTAATTTTAGCTATGTCATTATATTCACACAAGTCCCTTTTTGGCCACAGTTATGCAATGTGGGTGGACAGAATTTACAAATAAAAGGAAACATAACTTTGAAGAGGTATCTGTAAAGTGAGGGCTAAAAGATGTGTGGTCCTCTTGAAAATAAAATAAAAATAAAAAGTTGTGATGAATTGGATTCTGAAAAGTTGGATTCAGAATAGAATAGCAAACATTAAAAACACTGATAAAGTTGATGGAGAATGTGAGGGGGGTGGAGTAGCAACAATGACAGAGTGAAAAAGATGCAAGACAATTGACCAAATTATTTACATGACATTGTGACAAGATTATTGATTATTGAATTAGACGCTTGGGACATGGAATGAGGTGACAAATGTATGAGTGGGTTCATACCTGGAACAGATAATCATACATATATCAATTGCAACCAGCAGCCCTTAAATCATTTGGTCAGACTTTGCATACCTTCACATATACTGTACAACATATTTTGTCCCTGAACACATAATTAACCTGTTGCAATTCATGGCCATAGGTTGCACACAACACAAGCTTCTGTATTTCTTCAGATTTATATTCTGCCTTTCTACATAGCACCCAAGGAGGCTAAGGACACTAATAAAAACTATCACTTTAAAATAAGGAGCAACAGAAAACAGAAAATGAAGTCAGGTAAAATAATAGCTAAAAACAACAGCCTGTGAAAGCTAAAATATATTTCATATTGGGAAACAGCAGAAAATATGGTGGCGGGTGTGGGTGGGTGGACTGTCCAGCTCGTAATAAATGGCTCATCTACAGCACAGCATACTGCAGCTGAACAATTCGGTGTTGACTTGCTTTGCAACACGGTGTGAATTGCTGTTTCGTCTGTTTATCTGTTCCTGTAACTGCTGCCAAACGAGAAGCAACCCCTGAGTTGGCACCTCCAAATTCCGCAGAAAGGACTAAGGGCCCCTCTGCATGACTCTAAAGGATTTCAGTTTTCCTGTTCTCATCTGTGCACTCAGACAAAGGCATTCAGCTCATCCAGATCACCCACTGTCTGCCAAACATAACCTGACAGCAGTTTGCTGGCCACAGCAAGTGGCAAAGAAGGCTATCTCAGAGTGGGGAAGGAATCTGCCTCTTCCCAGTATGGTTACTACACTTCCAGTTGTACATGCGCTACATTACCTAAGTAAGAATGTGGGAACTGTTATCAGGACATGCTGTTGCACACATTGTCTGTGCAACTCCATAGGGTAGCACAATGGTGACATTCCATGTTAACAGGATTTCTACATGATGCCCTCCAGAAGGACTACAGCCCCCAGCACCCCAGTCAGCATGGCCAAAAGTCAGGGAGTTGTAGTTCAGCAACCTATGGAGGAGATAGGTTAGCCTCCTGTGCCCTGTAGTCATCAGCATGAAGATCCTGGTGTATAGCAGCGACGTTACCCTTACTGCTATTTTGTGACCCTTTAATTGTATTTGATTATTAATATTTCAAAATGTTTCCAGTTCTGTTCTCCTGTGCTACGAGTACACATCCAGTTACATTTTTTTAGATGTAGAGCCAACAACTGTTCTCCGCCCGCACAACAAACCCATTCTTCTCCTCCTATCCCTTATGTGTGCAAGGTAATATATCACACTGTTGTAGCTGGATTGGGCCTTGCAGGAGTATCATGTGTGACAGATAAAATGTATTTGGTATGCAAAAAATGATACTTTGATACACAAATGTAGTGCAAGGAATGTGTTTGCAGGTGGTGGTACTGATAACAGCATTTATATGGCTCTTGATTACTGAGTTGTATGTGAAATATTTTGACAACATAAGCTGACATTATATTGTTTGAATACTGTAGTTTGGGGTGAGATGTTTGAATTGTGTAAACTGAACTGAAACATCTGAATTGTAATGCAACTAACTATTCCATGAGGTTTTACTATGCCTTTGTGCATTAGATGGCTATGTGTATTACACTACTTCAGCTGTGAGGCACACAGTTAACTTTTCAGTTACTTTCAGTATTACAGTATTAACACTGAAGTGAGACCCTGTCAGCATATAACACCTCTGATCAGACGTGCAGTTTGCTGGTTGGCAGTTTGCTGCTGGGCCAAGTTCAAGGTGTTAATACAGTGGACGCTCAGGTTGCGAACGTGATCTGTGCAAGAGGCACGTTCACAACCCACAGTGTCCGCAACCCGCAGCACCGCGTCTGCGCATGCGCGGGTTGCGATTTGGTGTCTCTGTGCATGCGCGAGTGCCGGAAGTAACCCATTCTGGTACTTCCAGGTTTCGGCGCATCCGTAACCCGAATACGCGCAACCCGAAGCGCCTGTAACCCGAGGTATGATGGTATATAAATCCCTTAACAGCTTGGAACCTTTGACTTATGAGATTGCCTTACCCCATGTATGACTACTCGACCACCTCGATCTGCAGAACTGGCCCTGTTACAGGTGCCACATAACACTTGTTCCGCATTTGTAAGAAATCAATATTTTAGTGTGGCATCACCCAAACTTTGGAACTCCCTGCTTATTGACACTGCATTATTTCCAGTGCCTGCTAAAACCATTTACAGTATGTATAGGCAACCCTATCCAGAAATGTAGAATCTTGACGTGTTTTAATCTGGTTTTTAGTCTCTCATTGATTTTATTTATTTATTTGTTGAATGTTTTAAATAGTTGTTTTTGACTGTTTTTACTGATAATTTTATTGTTTTCTTCTGTAAACTACTTTGATGTTTTGTTACAATCAAGAAGTATATAAATCTTGGGAAATCAACATAGAAAGTTATTAAGTTCCAAAAGCACAAACTGAACATTTCCCTTCTCACCCCACCACTATTCTGTATTCCTGATAGATTAAATCAAACAAATAAATGACATTTTGCCACCCTGGTTTTAAAAAGTAATGCCAATACTCTGGGCATGTGCAGTTTCAATACTTTAAACTCATTTGATCAAAGCATCATCATGGTTACTGGAAGAAAATGACGTTTACTTTTGGTGCTCTAATGCTAAACATATTTACAGTGGTACCTTGGTTTAAGAACAGATTAGTTTATCAACAACTTGGATTAAGAATGCTGCAAACCTGGAAGTAGGTGTTTTGGTTTGTGAACTTTGCCTTGGAAGCAGAACACGTTTCATATCCTGTTGAGTGTGTTCCATTTGTAAATTGAGTCCCCCACTGCTATGGGAAAGCATGCCTTGGTTTAAGAACGCTTTGGTTTAAGAACGGACTTCCAGAACGGATTAAGTTTGTAACCCAAGGTACCACCGTACTTGGGAATAGGTACCATTTTGTTGTAGAAAAGGCCAATATATATTTTAATGTAAAATAAAAGCACAATGAGCATTTCTAATCATATACATGGTACACTGGCCTGTCCCTTACCCTGGCTGTGTACATACACTACATTTAAAGCACATGAATAAAAAAATCCTGGGAGGTGGCAAATTCATCTCCAAGGAGCATACTTTAGCCATCACTCCCGCTGCAGCGGCAGCGGCAGCTGATGATGCATTCCTTGGAGGCCACATCTACTGCCCCGTGCCTAAGGCGGTTGCCTCACCTTGCCTCATGGGTAGGTTGGTGCTGCTTCTAGGTAATACCTTGGGAGGGCCCAGTCCTATATGCACCATTGCTATGCCTAGGGCTGCTTAAGAAATCCACAGCTGAGATGTTTGACTCTCGTCTCAAGAACTTGCAGTTAATAATGCAAATTCTAAACCATCTAGTGAGTCTCAGATTCTCCTAGCTTGGTTTTTACCAGAAGAATACAGTCTACTTTCAGTATGTGTGAATCTTTTCACAGAGAACTGCCACTATTAACTTGATCAGATGCCATGACTTGGTTTGCAGAAGCTGGTCATAAAGGTGTGTGCAGAGAGGTTAAAACCTTCTTTGCAAGCTGGGCCCTACTCAGGAGGCGTTATAAAGTAGAAAACCAGCTGTTGATGAAGCATTATCAGTCCCTGTCAACAGGCTGCTGGGTTTTTTTCCCCCTGTCTTCTTTTGAAACCAGATGGATTCTAAGAAACTGAGACAGTAAATGGTAGGCTGGGTAAGCAGTAGGACAAAAAAGCCCTTTTGCTTATCTTGAACTATTCTATGGCTGAAGGGTATTATGTCGAAGGGTTGCCTCAGATAATGCAGGAGCTGGGATGCCTTGATTAGTATGAGCAGAAGATAGCTTCTGAAAAGAACTTGTGCTTAAAGTTCAGAAAAGAAGTCCAAAGAAAGGAAAAGAAGATATCTGCTTAAGGCAATACCTGGCTTGCCAGTCATGTTAAACAAGGGATGGAGAACTTGTGGCCTTCCAGATGCTGTTGACTACAGCTCCTATCATCCTGCTCATCCTCTTATCAATTGCTTTGGCCACAGTTGATACTTTCTGGAGGGCCACATATTCCCCATCCCTGGGGCAAACCATCATTCATGTTTAACCCAGGTGTCATGATCTCATGCAATTTTGCACTGTGATCTAGGCCCTAAAAGCACTTTTGGGGGAACCATGAACTCGCATGGTCACGTGACATGCATCAGAGTGCAGCCCCGGAAGATGGTGCCTCATTTTTTGTTTGTTTTTGTTTTGTGACGTGATGGAGGGTATGATATAGCTAGTGCCTCATTCCATGCTTGCAGAGGCAAGGCAGAGCCTTATAAAGAACCAGCTGTACACAATTGTTAAGGCTGCAATCCTGCGCATGCTTACAGCAGGACTTACTGCCAAGTAAGGACAGATAGGCCTGCATCACCCATATTCTTTTGGAGGAGTGGGAGGGAAATGTCCCCTGTAGAAAACAACAAATATTCTGAAGTCCCCCTCCCCCTGTGTGTGCCATTTCCAGTTGTTATTCTCAGGCAGAAGAATTCACATTAGAAACGGAGGCTTGTGCCCAGCCACACCCTGTCAGTTTGCCGTTGCAGTTTCAGTAGCCATGTGGTAGAGGTCAACAGAGGTGACTACCACTGATTGCTATCTTTGGAGGCAGTCATGATTCCTTTCTGCTAGCCTTGCTGGCTTGTGTGGTTCCTCTTAGGCTATGAAAGCCTGAACTAAACTCTTCCTTTAAAAAAAGAATTAAAAGAAGTCAACACATAATCACGTTAATGATGACTAGGACTGAAACTTCTACCACAGTAACATTTTGTTTTGTAAAACATTTTAACTGAGTGACACTCTGCAGCTATGTTTCACCAGATCACCAACATTTTACAACCTTAAGCCATCCTGTGCTGTCCTTCACACAGGCATGAACAAACTGGCAATGTGGAGCCACAGTTCCACTGCTAGGTTTGACTGCCTTCGACTGCTGGGCTGTACATGTGACAAATTTTGAGTGTCTCACTTGCAGTGCTCCGACAGGTGACTGGTGCTGACAACAGTGACAGTCAAATTAATTTTAAACATTCTTCACATTTCAGCCTGTGAGTTAGTCCTAAGCATGCTGTAGGTGATGGACCTGAAAAGAAAAGGCAAGAGTGTAATGTAGCTAGCTGTGCAACTCTAAATATGTACACTGATTTCAGGCTCTGACAAAGACTAGTGGTGTGTGGGAGCATTGGTGCAATGTCAAAGCAAGTGGAAAAATGAGGCAGGCTTGCATTTGCTTTTCGGAAGAACTCTGCAAAGCTTCGGGTGTTTTTGTAGAGCAGGACAGGTTCTGATGTTCCCAAACTTTGTTTGATTAAAGTTGTGGCCGTTTGAATTCAGTTTAAGGTGCATTCAGACTCTTGTTTTGTTTAGAGCCTTTCCAGAAGATTGTCTAGAGCATGATTATGGTGGAATCATTATGTAAAATATATGCTTTTTGTGCTTTGGGATTTCTCTTGATCAAAGTATAGCTTGCTGGTGCCAAGGCTTATGAATCCAAGTCATGGGTGGTGGGCCATTTGTGTCTGCTTTTTGATTGATGATACTGCCCCATAACTTATCATAAATTGCACTGCCACAGGGCATTGCACTACCGCAAGATGAAGTAATGGTCACCGACTTGGATGGGCCTGTGGTCTTATCTGGTAGGGCTCTTCTTATGTTCTTATATTATGACATGAACATGAACTTTGTGGTAGGTAGTCTGATGTTGCACCATCTTTTGGCTGAATAGCAGGATAAAAATGCTGAGCAACACAAATGGTGAGCAACACAAGCCCTCAGCATGCCTGCACCGAACTATACACTTTCCTTATCACCACCCTCATCATTATTTCCGTAGAGCCACCGTAGTGTTGTATTTCCCCCCCCCCTCTCGTGCCTAGGTATGGTACTACTATGCTCATAATAAAACTCATTCTTTTCCCCTTGTTTTGTGTTGAAGGCCCCCCAAAAGCAAGGCTACCTAGAGGCAGCTTAAGATATTGGGTGCAGGAGTCAGAAAATCCAATGGTGCCCCCCTCCAGATGGTAAAAAACTAACAGAACTACCTAACCAGCAATCTGCTGCTATATAGTCAAAACTTGCCTCTTGTCATGAGCTTCCTCACTCTGCTTAGTAATAGGGCTATTCCTGTAGCCACTGTCACCTCTCCTGTGCTGCTCTATTGTTTCATCAATTTGTATTTGAAATGAGGAAAAAAAGCTAGCTCCTAATTTGGAGCCCTCAGCCAGCCTAATATTTTACTAGGGGGAAAAATGCAAAGAGCAGCATGATTATTCCTCTCCCTGCCCATCCCCCTGCCCCTCCATTTCATGGTGACTTCATACATGCAACTGTGTGATTTTTCAAACATGGCGTACTGTATAACTATCCGTAATGGACTGTGTCCAAAGCAGAAAGTGAATCATTGTGGGCTACAAATAAAGCTCAATGAACCAACACATTTCATGGGAAAGGAACAGAGCAGCCTGGAGGATAAATGCTTTCTAGAACTGGTTTGGTCCATAGGAATTTGACCCTGTGATTTTCCCCAAGGATACAATTGGGATTTCAGAGCATGAAGAACATCTCAGAAAATAAAGTTTTGTCTTCTGCTTCCATCTCCTTGCTTTTCATGGTAATCCACACACCTTGTGCAATCTCCAGCTGCTCAGTATTTAGCTGAAAACCAATGGGAACCCCAGAAATCCAAAACCTCAGTGCTCACCTGCCTCTAGTTCTCTTAGACCTCTGCTTTAGGTTTGCACCCTAATTCTGTGTTAAAGAGCTGCAAAGACTGGGGAACTGAAAACTTCTGGACAATGCCACCACCTTTTGGGGGGTGGGTGGATTTTGAGTTTTTTTCAATTTTGCTAATTCTATAGTACTGTTGCTACCCATTTTCGTTGCTAATTATCTAGTTCCTATACCATGAATAGCAGTCTTCAGGGAAGAGCTACTCTTCTCCCCAGCCTTCCCACTTATCTATGTAGCACCAGTTGTGTCTACATTTCCTAGGATAATCTGCCTACCCACCCATCTACTCTTCCTTTTCCTCACGAAGAGCACCTGCTCCTATCTTTGCTAATATTGCTCTCCAGAGGGGCGTATGTATTTTTCTGGTTTGTTTTTTTCAAAAGAGCATGTGTGTCTTTACCAACACCAATGCACATAGTTCATATTTTATTTTATTTTGATGAAAAGGTTCCTTGCCATTTACATAGAGCCCCTGGGAGTCATTATCCTTTCCCTGTAAAAATTCTTATTATACCTGCCACCTAGAGCTAATGCACAAACTTCCTCTATCCATTCATTTTCCCATAAAAAGCTTGCATCACCATCATTGCTGCAGAGAACAGTACATTTTAAGGAGAACAATATAAGACAAATATTAAATAAATTTATTGAAGAATGGGCAATAAGGTAGTAGAGGAACAGACAATTAATGAAGAGGAGCAAGATTATACATAGTCACCAAACTCCAGTAGTAGTCTCATCAACCACATTACATATTGGATGTCCAAACTAGGTGATACAAAATTATTTGTCTGTTCAAACTCAAATGGAGATGGAAGGTCAAAAGATTGCTACAACTTAAGCAATTTTTAAAAGCTGGGATCATATGTAAGGTTTAAAACCGGAATACAATGATGTCGATTCTCAGGAGCAGGTAAATGGTGTCAATAGGTTGTGGGAATCTTGCATTGAAGCACCTTATCATTGCAACTTTCATTGGAAATAAATTCCATGGAAGTCTGTGGGATTTCCTTCAGAATAAACATGTATAAGATTCAGCTGAAAAGCTCTATATGTAGAGAGGTAGCTGAAGCTACACTGGATTTGTATGCTCACACAAAATGTGTTCATCATATACAGTATATATAAGAAAATGGCATCATTAACTTCACATGTCCATTGGACTGTGTACATACCATACATTTAAAGCACATGACTTCCCCCAAATAATCCTGGGACATGTTGCTTATCAGCAGCCATAACAAACTACAGGTCCCAGGATTCTTTGGCAAAGTCATGTGTTTTAAATGTGCTTTAAATGTATACAGTAGTGTGTATGGAGTTTTCCCCCACCAGAAGTGCTCTTTTTGTGTTCTAAGTTCAATGTAGGCTTGAAAAGTTTTCTTGAAATCAGTATGACAGCAGACATTTCTAATCAATAGCATAGGAAATAGGTTAGCCTTTTGTGCAAGGGGTTTTTAAAAGTTCATCTGCTTATTTAAATGAAAACAGAAAGTACTACGAACAAATGTGTAACAGAAATAGTAAAAAATGGGAAACTGCATATGGAAAGTAGGTCAAGAACAAGTTCAGCTCAATTAGAATTAGTAATTATAAAAGATATATAAAATCTTATAAATTAGGAAAATGGTGTATACAAAAATCAAAAGCATTATGAGTGTGTAACTAAGACCACTGACTTATTATCATATTAATCCTTTGTGATGAGAAAGAAAAGAATTTGAGAAATGGATATTGGAGGAAGAACATAAGATATAAAAATTATGTATGATCATTTTTTAAATACAAACATTTGTTACAAATATTAAGCTTAAAATGGCATGAGTATGTGCAGTTTTTTCTTGATGAAGGATGGCAATTTTTATTTAGAAAAGGATCCTGCTTTCTGTAGCAATTAAGAGAAAACTGATACAAGATGGCTAAATGGAGGCATTTGACAACATGGAAAATTTATAAAATATATAAGGTTGAAAATAAATATTGAATATGTCAGGAGGCAAAGGGCAATTTTATGTGTGTGTGTGTGTGTGTGTGTGTGTGTGTGTGTATGGTACAAATGTATGAAAGAAACAAAGCTGGTGATAACTATAACTGAGTTTTTCCAGTTAAAAGTAGAATCCAAACTGTTGTTATGCTTATAGAATTATGTGAAAACTGTTATTTCATTGGAGATATAAGAACCAGTTGTATATATAAGCACAAATGCAATAATTTTGGAAGTGTAATCAAAAACATAGTAGAACAAAAGTAGGAAATGTTTGGATCAGTTTGAAATTGTTAAGCTTACAGGCTTTCAAAGTACACAAAAGAAAAAGACAGTGGTGTTAAATAGGCATTAACCTGTGATGCAGCATATAAGAAATGAACTTGGTATAAATGATATGGATGTAGCTTTGATAAAATTATATCATGAAAAGCTTGAATCTATTGGGCCAGTCCAAAGTGTTGGTAGAAATTTATTTTGTAAGCAGTGAACTATGTAATTTGTATGTTTTAATGTTTGTTTTATAATGGAATTCCGTTCATGCAACAGGACTCCACAGTCATCTCCACCAGGGTGCCTTCAGAATATGTTCTGGGGAATACCCAACACTCTGGAGCAGATTTTGAGGGAACACAGGCCGCTGTAGAAGGGAGGCGAGGATGGTGAAGTCCTATTATATGAGCAGAAGTTCACTCTGCTTTCACATGGACAGCATGGTACCTAGATGACCCTTGTGGTCCCTTCCAATTATACAATTCTATCATTCTATTATTCTAACCCTATATAATCTATTATCATGCTCTATTATGTATTTACAGAATTAAAATAATGTATTTCTTTAAATAAAATAAGGACTATAATCCACAGACTCCACAATCACTCAAAATCTTAGCTCAACAAAAAGGAAAGTTGATTCACCCCCGTATCAAAATCACTCATTTGCATCCATCCCTTTCAGAATCCAAAACTGCACTCTTTGTATCAGCATACATTTTCTGCTTCAGTTACAGCAACTGGGTCTGCATCCCTTGATTCCAGAAATCAGCCTCTTCAAGCGAGCTATCTCAGTCTGGGTCTTATGGATACCCATGAGACAGTGCTGGGGCTGCAGGCTCCTTTGAGATGTAGAATTACAAAATGAGACTGTTGACCCAAGACCATTAAACAATGAGATGGAGAAGAGAAAGGAAATAATGTTTTATCAAATGATACTATGGAGAATTTGGGGGTATCCAATAGCTTTTGAAGAGCCCTTCTGATGCTTTAGGTTCTCTACTTAAAAGATGGGCACCCACCCCCTCCAATATTCCACCATGTGAAAGTGTCTCAGCCATGTCCTTTGATCCGACTATATTGCCTAATCCCAATGTCTCCCTGGCAAATATTCCCACAGCCAAACCCTGATTCTCCTCTGTTTGAGATGAAGTAGGAAGCCCCACCATGAATATTTGTATATTGTGAAGACCACTCTCTAGAGACTTTGTTCTAGCATGAACCATAGATAATTTTTAAATACTTACTTCATAAGCTTAGCCTCAACACAAAGGAAAGGGAGCTGTATCGGCCGTGCCTCCCCCACCTGAAAAATCACTTTACTACAATAGCCACATTAGAAATCCCTATGTTTTACACAACCCAAATACTTGAGGTGTCCAGAGGGAGGGCGAAAAATTGCCCGTCTTTGTACGGCAGTGTGAGAAGGATGGAATGCTTCTCCCACATTTGATCTTGCTACAACACGGCACCACACACATATACACCATACACTCCATAGTCTGCAAGTGATTTTTGCGCACTTAAGGCCTATGCCCTCAGCCAAGGTCAGTTTCACCAATCCCTAGGTATGCTTCTGTGTATCTGCTATGTTGAACCCACTCCTTTGCAACCATACCTTTCAAGATCCAAAACTCTAATCTCTTTGTAACCATGTTTCTTTGTCCCAGTTCCAACATCCAGTCCACATCCCTTGATTCCAGAAATCAGCCTCTTCCAATAAGCTATCTCAATATAAACAGAGGAGTTTTGGGGACCCTGGAAACAGATACAATTCTCAAAGATGCTTCAGGATACAGTTGATCTGAAATTGTTGAGCTCCTCTCAGATGGAGGAGAAAATTGGGAATGTTTTACTGAATGATACTGTGGATAGTTTGGGTCATCCAATGGATTTTGAAGACCCGTATTAATGTTATATGTTCTCTACCTAAAAGATAGGCAAGCATACTCAAAATATTCCTATATGTGAAAGTGTATCTTTCTCTGATTCAGCCATTATACCCAGCAGACAACAGTTCTCTAGCAATTGTTCCTACACAAGCCCTCCCTCCCACCTTTGTATGGGATGAAGCAGGAAGCCCCATCAGGAAAATTTATATTTTGTGACTATCTGGGGCTGTAGCCAGTCTTCCAGCATGAATCATGGAGAATTGAGAAGAATAAGAAAATCTCCAAGAGTGAAAATGAACAAAAGGAGGACACGGGGCTGCAGAACCCCATTACCATCTTCAAAACAGGACAACTTCTGCAAGAACCATTTCTTGCTGGTCTGGAACAACCTTGTAGAGAACAAAGAAAGAAAGGATGCAAATCAAAAGCTGGGCACATCCAGAATCAGAAAAATGATGTCTGCTGTGCTATTTTGAGCTGAAGCCTGGGAAATGAAAACTCAGCCTGTCATGTGGGTTTTTCCCCCTCCGTTCACCTCTCTGGTTGAGATTCACACACTACTTTAAAAATGAGTGGGGCCACGGATGCCATGTTGCTGATTGCAGGGTTGGGTTTCATCTTTCACTTGATCATAGGCTGCACCCAGTCACCCACAGTATCTACAGCAGGATGTCACCAATCTAAAAAGCTGAAGCATGCAAAGAACAGTGTACAGGGAGAGCTGATTGTGTGAGGTTTTAACTGCTTTGGCACAAGCCATTACTTGTGCTGCTAGGCTTAGTGCAGAGGCCAGACTCTGGCAAGCAGTGAATCGTGGAGAAGCCTGTTCCACCCCTATTCCAATCTGTACTATTACAAAGTATGCTTGGCATGTTATGGATCCAATGGGTGCTGCATAGGGAGGAAGAGAACTGTCCTTTCCCAACCATTATACTATATCTAAGCAAGGTCCAGGGAAATTACTGTCTGGTGAGACCCGTTGACATCAGTGGTCCCCAAGCAGACTTTGTGAGTGGCAAGGATGGCAGTGCTGTGATCTGTGGTGGGCAGCTGCTTGTGGGGGCCCAGAATGGTGTAGCATTCTGGGAAAGAAAAGACTTTAGCAAAGAAGCAGTAAGGAGATGGTGAGCTTCGTGTGCTCGCTCTCAAAACAGGTGCCCGGGCCTCGCCACCTGCAAAAAGGGATGCGAGCCAAAATGGCCCTCCACTTTTGCGGTTTGCAAATTGGCCTGCCGGAAGGGAGAGCAATTTTTCTAAGTTCTACTACTTGCCAGTCGCAGGGGCTGATCTGGCACACCCCTTCTGTGCCTGAAAGCTCAGAGGCTGCAACACCTATAATTTCAGGTAGGCTACAGTTTCAGGTCATGAGATTCTCAGTGGATGCTGCCCTGTTGTTAATAGCTAATGGCCAGCAAAGGCATATTGGGGAGCCAAACACTATTGCACAATGCCATGTATAGGGTTGCCAAGTTAAAAATACCAGTTCAGTGAGTGGAACTTAACATGAGCAAGTGGGTGGAGCAGAGGTTGGGTTCTGGCAAGTTAGAAATGGAGGCCGCCCCTGCTGCTTGCTTCTTTTTTGAAGGCAAGGAGGGGCCTGGTGGGTCAAGGGGCAATCTGAAGAATCAGGCAAGGTACTGTATGTGGTGAATGTGGAGGCGGGGAATTTAATTCCCCTCAGTTTATTTAATAAAATACCTAGGTTATTTATCAGAATGCCAGATACTAAGCCAGATGCAAAAATAATAAACAGAAGATTGCTTGTCAACCCTTAATAGTGAATTAAAGTAAGAGCCAAGGGATGAAGCTGAAACAACTGTGCTTCTCTAGTTTTTTGACACCAACTTACAAAATGGCTGGATGTTCTCCACTTTAGAGAGAGGGATGGGGGTGGAGGAAGAAAACTGGACAACCTCTGAAGAATTTTTAAAATAGAAAATACATTTTTAAAAGACTAAAAGATGAAACAATAAAATAGTGGAAAATAAAAATGTAAAGCTTCACAAAATTGCATGAGAGCATTTGTTATCTCTTATCACTAAGTACATCACAAAAAATGTCAGTGACGATTGTGACACCTGTGCAGTCACTTGCCACAAAGGAATCATAGTAAGAATGGTTGCAGAATCTAGGGGAGAATCACATTCTCCCAGGCATAAAATACTGCAATTTGTTGTGGGGAAATACGATATCTCTGCAGATGAAATGCAACCTTTAGGACTACTGGAAAGAATAATTCTGGTCCCTAAGCGGAACCATACGGCAGATGGCAGTGCCTTGGACTGGCCTTAAGGGAGAGCCTGTTGTATTCCTGACGGTGTAGAAGTAATATCTAAAGCTTTATTTGGACCCCTGTGGTTAATGTTGGATTAGGGGATCAGCTGAACCTGTACTTGATTTTAGGTCAGCAGGGTGAAGAAACTAAACAGATAAGTGGGCACAAGAACAATCGCCACAGCTGTTGTTGCCATGTTGCTCTACTGTCACCCACCCGGACTGCCTCCAAAACCTGTGGGGAATGGCTAAAGAGGAAGGACATATATGTGCATTGCAGTCTCTAAAGCCGCTTCCAGACTTCCACTATTTTGCAGGTGGGATTCAATTGCATAGTAGCAAAGCCAGGTGGATTTAATTTGCAATTAAAGTGGATTTCAGGCTCTTGTACAACCCCTGCATTAGACTTTTTGCAATAAGGAAAGTGATGGGGAAATGGACTGGAAAGTGTGAGATAGCAACATCAAACAAACCAGAACGAACACTCCATAACCAAGGCATCTGGTAGTGTCCACAGCAGCATGTGGGTGGCCATCTGCCACAAATGCTTTAGCTAAGATTCCTGCATTGCAGAGGGTTGGACTAGATGACCTTTGGGGTCCCTTCCAACCAATTCTATGATTCTACGGTGTGAAATGATGTGCTGAAACAGATAAACATCCTCAATTCTTACTGCATTAGTGCTACGCAAAGCAGATCAAACAAGCCAGCATTATTTTTTTAAAAAATATAAGCGCCAACATTTTTGTACAAAAGAACTTGGCAATTGGCCCACAAGGAAAATAAAGCAACCAGGCATTTCCTTCCAGGCTATTTGGCAAACTTGAAGAAGATGTAAGCATTGTTCACAATGCATGAGAAATGCAAACATGTTGTGCTAAAAACTGTATGTAGGGAAAGGTAACCAAAACATCAGTGCAAAACATATTAACTTGAATATGAATACTGAATTGAAACCAGTAGCATTTACTACTGAATCAGAGAGCTGAGCTGTAGCACTACAAATGCAATTAAATTACTCAATTCATGTCAATTCCTCCTTTTTTCTTTTTTAATAGACAGAATCTAGACAATGTGATGCCTTGGAGAATAACAAGGTGGATTTACAGGAATATACTTAAAAATACACATTTGAGAGCTCTTTCCCTATTTGCATAAAACTTGCCACAGAGAACTCCCTAGAATTCACTATAAATAAGCTAAAGGGGCTTTCCACACCTCATTCAGCTTTTACAGTTTCTAGCTCAATTTGTCTACTTGCAACTGCTATAGTGTGTAGAATATGAATGGGCAGATCATGGACAACTAGTTGATTTCTGGTGGATAACTTAGGGTTCACTGGTTGCTGGGATACTTGCAAAGAATGCTGGATCAGCTAGATTTTGATCTGATCCTTTGCCACACTTCTTATGTTATTTAAGTGTTATCTAAGTGTGCAATTAGGAACATATAAACAAAGATTACTGTTATGTCTCAATTGAGAAGAGATGCTTTACAACAAATACAGCTATGCACAAATGGCCTCTTTAAATTCTCCAGAGAAGTGGGTGGTTGGTGGGGGGAGGAAACAACATTTCACTGAATTTCCAGGGAAAGGAGAAATTATCCAACAGGAGTAAGTAGCACTGTGTCAGCTACTATATTGGCTTGACAGCTTGGCCACCATTTTGCATTCCCCACAATATTCTGGACATACAGTAATGTCATTCTGGAACTGTGAGAGAAAGATGGTGGCCAGCACACACACACACGCGCACACACACACACACACACACAAAATGGTGGAGAATATGGGGGGGGGGGGGGAATCTGCCAAACATCTTCCTTTGTCTGGGTGTAGGGTAAGAAAAACAAACATCAGAAATTTTCTCAGAAAAATGTATTCTGAGAAATGTTGACACAGATACTAGTTTTTAAAAGGTAGACCCAGCAGGACTGAAGTCTGCCTGCTCTTGCTGCAGAGAAAACAAATAATAACCTATAGTTATGCTTTTCAAAAAGAGAGTCAGTTACATTTCTCAAGTTGTCTTTCTCACTCCAACAAATTGCTCTCACTGCAAATAAATATTGAGGATGGGGCATATTGATTGCTTCATCCGTACAACACCCCAAGCAAGATGTCACAATAGTGATGCAAGGATATTACATCACACCTCTGAAAGATCAGATGTACAATCTAGAGAAAGGAGTACACAGCCTTTTTTTTAAAAAAAAAAAAGGGAAGCAATATGTTCATAAAATAATACAGCATTGCTAGGGTGGTTGAGGGAATCTTACTGTGTTTGCTTCTTTTAAAAATAAGGTTAAATGTGCATTCTCACTTTTGAGGGATGCACTGAAGGAGCACTCACCCTCCAATAACAATGTAAAGCATTTTAAAATGCATTTTAAAAATGATAGTTGCTGTTTTATTCTTGTGCATTGCTTTGTGCAATCCCCTACATCCCTTGCGAAAGCAATATACAGTGGAACCTCGGGTTAAGAACTTAATTCGTTCTGGAGGTCTGTTCTTAACCTGAAACTGTTCTTAACCTGAATCACCACTTTAGCTAATGGGGCCTCCTGCTGCCGCCGCACCACTGCTGTGTGATTTCTGTTCTCATCCTGATGCAAAGTTCTTAACCCAAGGTACTATTTCAGGGTTAGCGGAGTCTGTAACTTGAAGCATCTGTAACCTGAAGCGTCTGTAACGCAAGGTACCACTGTAAATGTGTTTCGTTGTTTTAAAAAAATCATTTTATGTGTTCATTGGAGCCCTGTGTGCATGACTGCGTGTGCATTTCCTTTTTGCAGAGGAAAGCCAGCCACCTTTCTGAGTACCGGTACTTTTGTGAGTGAAGCTCACAGAATGATTGTGCCCCATCATTTTTTACTTTTTACTATTTTTTATGCCTTTCTGCTTTGGCAAAAATGTGAATAAATAAATAAATAAACTTACTTTTGAAAGCCACAACATGGCTGTGGGTGTTCATAGGGCAGACAGAACTGTGTCAGTGTAATGGGCAAGGTTTGGCTATTGTCTAAGAATCACTTGCCACTGATGACGTCTCAGGCATGGGCACAGACAAAGTAGGGGAACCCGCTGGATCAAGTTAAACAATAGAAATACTTAACTAACTGACCAATCATGTTGGTTCTGCCCCCCCCCCTGCAAAAAGTCCTGCCCCCTCTAACAAAAATTCTGGCTACACCCACAATCTCAAGTGCAATACAACCAGTGTCCATCATGATAATGCATGGAGCTGCATTCCATGTTGCAATTGCATTACAGCAGCTAAGCTTAGGGATGGATCTCATGTTCCAAGGTACCAAATATCCTGCTTTAAATGCTGAGAATATGCAATCTCCCTTGATGCAAAATGACTGCAGCCTGCCAGGCAAATCAATCACCTCTCTATCTACAGACTTAGGAGTGGCTTAAAATGTTCTGCATGCTATGGCGTAACATATCAAAGCAGCCATTCAGACGAAAAGTGAAAATCACCCACCAGAAGTGACCAAACCCTGTCCCCCAAGGCCATTTGCTTATATTTTTACATAGGTAACATCCTGTGGCCGTAGTGGTTGGTGTGATAGTGAGATGGCACTCACCTGACCCTCCTGAACCAGCTGAGCCAGCCAGCAGGGAGATCAGCGTGCTACAAATGTACCACCAGAGCTAATCCAGTGGATTGCAGCAAATGCCAAACACCAGCACTGGGAGTGCACTGGAGACAGAGTAAATGGTTGTGTGTACACAGCCAAAGGCTTCAATAACTAAATATAACAGGGGAAACATGATTTAAGACAAAACACTGGGGGGTGAGGTGGCAGCAAACGTAGGTTTAGCAAAAATGGGTTGTAGATGTTTTCTAGATGCACTGCAGTGAAAGATATGTGGCAATAATGCCCTCTGCTCCATCTTTATTTGGATCGAGATCAATTTAAGGGAAAGGAAGTTGGTCTCCGCTGAAGGCTGTCCTTCAGGTCAGTTTACCACCTTGCAGTCCTTTAAGCTTCTTGGAAGCCAGCCTGTTTGCAGCTCAAAGCAAGACAAGGGGATGAACAGAGCCTCCTCACCACTTATGGAGCTCATCCATACAACTGTTTAATATGGCTAGGAAGCTTCCTATACCTCCATTAATTCTCCATTGTCTATAAGATGTTCTTCTCCAAATCACTGCCTTTCCACATTTTCCACTCCCTCAACCTGGATTTTCTTTTACTCCATTTCAGAGTATTCCTGGTATGGGAATATCTGGACTGAGGGAACAGAACATGTGGGAAGGCAGAGGAGAACGTCATATGGACAACAGATAATTAATGGAGGTAAGGAAAGCTTACTAGCTACATTAAATAAGAATACAGTTGCGCACATGAATTCTTTGAGGGTGAGAACTAGCACATGTTCTTTGATTCATTCCCACCACGCTATATCCTAATCTTTTTTTTTAATTTCATGTAAGCTGCTTGGGGAGCCTTAAACAATTGTGTTGCAACTGTTCTCTGCTGTCTCCACCATTTTGGAGGGTGTGGAGGGAAGCTGGGGTTGTTTCATTCCTCCAATATTTTACTGCATCCATCAGGGTTTTTTGCCATTGGTAGAAACAGAGTTCCATGCAGTTATTTGCTGTAATCTGTGGTGGAGGCACAGTTGTTCTCTGCCATCACCCCTGCATGTTGGCCAATTTCTTTAAGATCGCAAACACCAGGGTCAGCCAAATACGTTTTGCTGCCTGAGGCAGAGCAGCAAATGGTGTCCCTTGTCCCCAAGGTGAGGTCAAATTATGTTGGCAGCTGAGGCAGAAAACCATGCAAGCCCTTTCCCCCACCCTTGGTATAAATAATAGTGGTAATAAATGTACTAACAAGATGCTGCCCTTCTAAGATACACTAAATCAGTTGCCTGAATCACTCTGCTTAGCCAGAACCATGGCTGGGGGCAGGGAAGGAAGGTGTGAGAGGCAAATTAGCAGAGGAAAGTAGTAGATGGGGGCACTGCTGCCAGCTGCAATTTATCCCCCTGTTGCTGTTTTGCAAAGAAGAATCAATTGACAGAGTTTCAAGACACCAGGTGGCGACAGAATGTGTAGTTACACCCTTAAGGTGCAACCCTGAATGTACTTGCTAGGACCTGAGTCACCTGTCTAAGCAAATATGTTTTAGGATCCATCTGTCACTAAGTTGAAAGCAACAGGAAAAAGTATGAGGAATTACTTTTTTATATATAACTAGGGTAGAAGACTTCTGCTTTTAATCATAAACTGGGAGTAAAACTTCCTGACCTCAGTTTTCAATAAAACGAGCATAGGCATAGCTATGTTAGCTTTCGCCTTCCGAGACAGCTAGGAAGTTCAGATCAGTCTTTTGTAGAGTCAGCTTCTTTTAGATGAGTGATCACCTGTGTCATCTCTTTGTGAAAATTTGTGGATTTACACAAATACAGACTGATGAGGAACGGTGATAAAGAAGACAGTAAGTAGATGGAGGGTTCAGAGTCTTAACAAGCTCCAGCCACACTAGCCTGCCTCAGTCGATAGAAATATTCATGGCATCAGCGCTGTCCCTAGGCATTTTGCTGTCTGAAGCAGAGCCCTAATTGGCACCCCTCCCCCTGCCGCCCCAAATCAAGGGCAAAGGATCCAAGGCTGGGCAAGATATTTTGGCACCGGGGGGGGGGGGAGATCCCACAAGCACACCCCCTTCCTTGGCAGTAAAAATACAATAAACTAAATAAGTAACAATTTGCCACCTTTTGATAATACTCAGAATCTGACTGCTCCACTCTCTCTAATGGAAGCGGGAGCCAGGAAGGGAGACATGTGACACAGTTCTTGCTAGTATGTACTACTGCAGACTTCAGGGGAAGGGGTTGCAAATTTAATAAACAAGTAAATAACAAACAGCACACAGAAAATTAGAATGCCAGGCAGAGAATTCCAACATAACCATCCTTAATAGCAGTTTATACAAGCCATATACAACTTACCCCCCATCCCTCCACCCTGCACTTGGATGCAGTTCCAGGAATTACTTGAGAAAAAACTGCATGCAACTTCCACATCACCAGATAGCTCAAATTACAGACAGTAAAATTTATTAATGAAGTGGAGGGTCCCACTCTGCATTAGTTATAGCTTGGGAAAATGTCATTTTATTTTCCTCCCCATCAAAATATTTATTTAACTGGAATGGGGTGTTGAGATGAATTGATCTCTATAAACCTTTTGTGATCCTGTGCCCAAAGCAGAAAATTATAAATAATATTACAAAACTACCTTTCTTTTTAAGAGTCATCTGGGGTATTTCCGACCCTAGTCTTCATAATATGATGATGATATGTGTGGGCTAGGTTTTCATGTTGATATATTAAGAAGTTTCATTATGATATTATTAATGATGTTTTAGTCATGCTTATAACAGGGAAGGATGAACAGAATGTGGACTCTGAGAACTTCATGAAGAGATGTCATGAGGCAGATTTCCTAATGGACATGGCTGTCATTTAAAGCCAGTGTCATTTAAACACAGAGAGCCAGTGTGGTGTCAGAGAGCCAGTGTGGTGTAGTGGTTAAGAGTGGTGGACTTGTAATCTGGTGAACCAGGTTCGATTCCCCGCTCCTCCACATGCAGCTGCTGGGTGACCTTGGGCTAGTCACAATTCTCTGAAGTCTCTCAGCCTCGCTCACCTCACAGTGTGTTTGTTGTGGGGGAGGAAGGGATAGGAGATTGTTAGCCGCTTTGAGACTCCTTAGGGTAGCGATAAAGCGGGATATCAAATCCAAACTCTTCTTCTTCTAAATTCCGAGATAGGGTTCAGAGTAGTCAACAGTCAAGAAAGCATTATTTCTTCTTGTTGATGTAATAGATGGAGTTTTACACCTATACTATAGAGCAAAGGTTTTCTTGCTTTGATCCAGGGACAACTGGTTGAACTACCTAGCTTGGGGGAGTTTTATTATAACCATCTGGCAGTGGGAAAGAAAACTGCTCCTTCTCAGTCATGGATGCCCCTAGCTCTCTCCCCACACCCCGACTTGATCTTAGCCAAAGGACAAATGTTGTGTTTATATATCGGTATGTCTGTACACAAAATGCTATGGCTGGAGGCGGATGCTGAAATGTCTGGCTATTTTTTTCTTTTTCAGTACAGACCGACTTTGTCACCAACGACTCATAGCCAATGCAGTTCTTCCTGCAGTATGTGTGGGACCACACAGCAGCATACCCTTAACGAGGGAGCGGGGATCCTTGTTCATTGCCAGGCTGTGTGTGTGTTGCTTAGTGCAGGCACACAGGAATGGAATCTGAAACTTCTCTTTTGCAGCACAAATAGCTGGAATTTATTCTGTAGACCAAAAAAAAAAAAAGCAAAGTAAAGTAGAGATCATTTTTCTAATCCAGATCATCAGTGAGGACTATGCTTGCAGAATAGGCCACTGTATTTGATACCTGAATGTTGAGAAGAAAGACCATTTTAACACTTGGGCTGTGTACACATTACCATCTTAAAATGCAGCTAGGCTGTTCTTTTTCTCAATATAGATCAAAGCTGGTCCGGGGTAAAGAGCATCAAAACGAGGTATTTAATAAGAAACAACAGGATAGATGTGAATTGTGCCTAGCGTCATGTGTTCACTGCTTCCCAAACCAGCAGTGGGGGTACACTGGACATAAATGGGAATGTGCTTAAACAGCCTTGTACTAATTCAAACCATGTTAGATAGTTAGGAGTCGCGTTGCTCACTGTTTGATTAGTTGCTGATATGCATGATACATCTGTGATTACCTTCCTCCACAAAGCAGGGTTTGATTGTGAAATTTCTTGCAACTTGTAGGCGTAGGGGCCTCTGGCAATAATGAATCATAGTTCTTTCTGCTATATTCTTCAGATACTCCATACATTCTTCAGATACTCCATACATTGTTTTTATTGTAGGGTGAATAACTTGGTTCTTTCTACAATTGGGGTTACATTTATTGGGATCTCCGTCTAACTGCTCAATTTTACAAAACAAAAAAGCCCACGGAACTGAACACCTCAGCATTTTGGGGTTCATCTCTGTGCAGCATTTAGACTGTGACAGAAGGGAAAAGATAATCCCATTTGGGGAAAAATCTCTAGTTTTGCCAGATCCCTAATTATTGTAAATCATCATAATTATACACATAAACAGGTTGATTTACATTAATTGTGCATTCTACTTAAGAGGCAGTCAGCATCCTCCTGACAGATTGCTAAAGCCGGCCACTTCAATTGCTTGAGATCTGTCACCCTTAGTTAAGCTGGCTATTATTCTTCCAACATCCACATACCAAAAAAATTTGATAATTCTCTGTGATTCATCAAAGAAAAACATAGCTATTATATTGGAAGCCCAGAAACCCCCAGTGCCATTTAAAAAAATCTACAAGAATTTCCTTTTCTGATTGCCAAGTTCTGCGCCAGGAAAGCCAGGAAGTTGTCCATCCTTAGTCAACAATGAACAAACTCTTGTTTCCCTAACATCCTCTCCCTTCCTTCCAAATAGCCATTCAATGGGCTTTTCAGGGTTGCTGCAGTCTATAATTTGCCATCTTGGCCTGATACTGTGGCTTTGGGTGCCCTGGTTTTGCCAAGTCATCATCTGGAGGGAACACTTGGTCTATTTTGCAACAACCTTATTTTTTCTCCTCCTTACTGTTCTCCTAAGTGCTGCTAGCTTTAGCTTCAGAATATTCCATGCTGAGTTGGAGCCAACCCTGGATAAAGCCAGGGATGACTGTGTTTAGTGTGTGGCCTGGCTCTTCAGTTTCAAAATACATGATCCAGAAAACCTAAGGAACGAGAATCCAGTGCTCTGGTTTCCCAATGTTTGGCAAAGAGTACAGGCTCTGCCTTTTTTCACTGAATATGTAGAACTTGATGCCTTTGTGCAAACCAAGCAATGTCGGCCAAAAAAGTGGAATGGTAGGTAACCATCGTTTAAATTCAGTTGACTGGCCTGCACTGGTGAACACAGATATTTGGCTCATGGATTCTTCAAATATTTAATGGCCACACAGACTGGAAGATTTTATGCAATCCAAGCATAAGCTATTAAAGATGGATTTATGAGTGTGATATCACCTTCTGAAATTCTTTTGACACAGCACTTGCTAACGGAGTATTTTTATTTGTTTGTCTTTGTGTTCATATTACTTTGAGTTTTCTTGATTATTATTCCATGCTTTTGTTACTTGTTAATTACTAAGCTTTCCAGAGAAGCTTCATGAGTAACGTTTTGTCATCAACACAGTAATCTCAATCTAGACCAGACTTTGACCAGCTGCCACCCCCCATCTCAGTTTTTAGCTCTGAACTTATCATTGAGAACTGCTATCAAATTTAAGACTAGTTATTATTTATATCCTTCTCAACTTGACCTGGAATACATATTATTGTTGCACCAAGAAATATGCAGGGGGCGGGGGAAGGCTTCACATGACAAATTATTCCCATTCTGGCCATAATATAGAGAACTGCTTATTGCACAAATCTCTCCCCACAAGCATCTCCATACTTTTGTCATCAACGGTCAATGAATTGGGGCAGGGGCAGAAAGACTAATAATGTGGTCCATGTGGTAAATATTTAAATGTGTTATGGCAGGATCCCTTGACAAAGGGAGATGGGTTTAACAGTTTGGCAATTTTTATTTATGCTTCATCCCTGCATATCTCCTTAAAAACTGTGAGAGTGACTTGAGAGACTGTATCCCCAAGTATCTTAGGCTATGCACACACTCCTATTTACTTGATATTAATTGTTGTTGTTGTTAATACCACGCCCATCTGACTGGGTTGCCCCAGCCACTTTGGACAGCTTCCAACAAATGTACTCCCACCGCTGGCTTTGGAAATGGTGTATATACACACTAGCTAGTCCATTTCTATCCTGCATCTATCCTGTTGTTTCTAATGAAACACTGTGTTTTGATGTGTTTCCCCCACAAACCAGCTTTGATTTGAATTGAGGAAAAATAATGACCTAGGTGTGTTTTAAGCAGGTAATGAGTCAACAGGCTGAGTTTCCAATGAAATACTTTCCTTTGTGACCATTAAATTCTCTGGAATTGCCATGCTTAGCCAACATAGAAGGGCATTGTTGACAGTGGCAGGGTGTGTGTGTGTGTGTGTGTGTGTGTGGATATATCAAACTATCTGAATAAGTCTTTGATTGCATAGCAAATGTTATTAGGTCCAGAAGATGCTGCCAGTTGGCTTTATTCAGTACAAAGGTGGTTAGTTCTGTCCTAGAAACCTTCTCTCTCTCTCCTACAGCTATTCATATGTTTAGTGCTCTAGTATTCAAGGTCTGTTCAGTCTTCTAAACCTGTCCTCTTCATTTTCAAGAAATACTTTGTCTAAGGAAGCAGGCTAATGCATGTGAAAGCTAGTGCCACAGTAAAGCAATTCATTACATTGCATATGAAAGGTAGTGCCACCATTGCATATGAAAGGTAGTGCCACAAACTATTTGTTTCTTAGAAGTGATTGTCCTCTAAGGCAGGCAAATCCTTTTGCTGCTACAATGGTTACTGTTCTGGAATTTGCCCCATAATCAGTGGGCCCCTCCTTAGTGGTAGAAATGAACAATGGGAGAGAAATAAAGAGCAATGTGTTAAGGATCTGTGCTGAGGACTGATGCTATTTAACATTTATAAATGATCTGGAGCTGGGGAAGCAGTCAAGTTTGCAGATGGTGAAAATCCAAGTAGACTGCGATCTACTTCAAAAGGATCTCTCCAATTTACATAATGGGCAACAAAATGGCAAATAATGAGAAGTTTCACTGTAATGTAGTGTATGCACATGGGGGAGCAACTTAAAATACAGTATAGGCTGATGGGATCAGAACAGGATGCGACTACTCAGGAAAAAGACCTTGGGACATAGTCAATGAAAACATCAACTCATTGGGCAGCAATTGTTAAAAAGGCAACTTTTGTGTTAGAGATGCTTAGGGAAAGGGTTGAGAATAAAATGCTTAGTATCATGCCATTTCAGAAAACTATAATATAATAACATAAGATTCTTTTCTGCTTTTGTTTCAAGAGATAGGTAACATGACTATATCTCTGGAAATTTAGAATCTTGTGTGCAGTACTGCACTGTGCAGAGATGGTTACTCTAACTAAAAAACAATTGTATTAGTGCTGAAAAGGTGCTTCATTAAAACTGTTGTAAGCAGCCACGTATAAGCAATGGAAAGCAGTGTCCCAAACATAAATGCAAATAAGTCATGTTTATTTCATCACACTTGCTTCTGAATGAACTAGCTTAGAATGAACTATGCCATGCTTCTTAGACTGTGTATTATTCTGTATCCAGTGGAATCCCACTACTGGTTTGCAAGCAATGCACACATGACATTAGCCACACTCCATGTCTATCCTGTGTTCATCTTGTTTCTTATGAAATACTGGCTATGTGCACACTAGCAGATTCAAGCACAGCAAGGTAATTTCCATCTGATGTGTTGCAAGTTACACATTTGCACATGCTGTACACACCACAGAGGAGCAGAGATGTCTCTGCCCGGTACGCCTTACCTGTTTAGTTTCCCTGCACCTACAAGCAAAAAAACACCACCACCCACCCTACAAACTCCTGTTCATCTCTGCACACACAATGACTGTCTCAAATGTTCACACTTCAGGTTAACTGCAGTGATTATGGATTATGTTTTCAAATTGGATAGAATCTGGTTTGAAGGGAAACACATCAAACTGCATTTGTCAAGAAACTACAGGATATGGGCTATAGGTAGCATAACATTTACATGACTTCAATACTAGCAGTGGGGGCTAGTGCAATGTGTACACATCCACTGTATTTTGATGCATTCCCCCCTCAAACCAGCTTCAATCTGAATTGAGAAAATGAAAGACTTGTGTTTTAAGCTAGTAATGAGTATATAGCCATAGTAAGGTTACCAGATTTTTTTCAATGAATCCGGGGACACTCTAAATAAATAAATAAATACTACACGTTTGGGACATTGATGCTGCAGTGATGGCGGTGGCAGAGGGGCGGCTGCCACCTTGACCTCAACCGCCACATTTCCCCTTCCTCTGAGGCTTCTATCTCCTTTCTCCATGAGCCTGGGCAGCCCCTGAGTTGTTGGTTCTTTGGTGGTGGTGGTGAAGTAGTGCGCGGTGGATCAGGCATGGAAGGCTTGAGGAGGGCCGAGAGCAGCGGCGGTGAGGCTCAGGCAGCGCGATGCCTCCCTTCCCATTGGAGCAGCCCCAATCCCATTCCTACTTGCGTGCAAGCAGGAGGGGTGGGGATCCCTCAGCTGAGAAGGGAGGATTCCCGTTGCCTAACTGAGAGATCCCTGCCCCCTCATCCTTGCACGCAAGATCTGATAGGCAGCGTGAAGCCTACTTTCACAGCTGAGATATCCCTGCCCCGCTCCTGCTTGCATGCAAGTAGGAGTTGGGAGGCTGCTCCGATAGGCAGCATGATGCCTCCCTTCACAGCTTAGTTCCTGGGGTCAGGGAAGGTGGAGGCAGCCCGGAAGCTGCATCTGAGAGCCCCTGCACCACCATCATATGGGGACTTCCAAGCAGCTCCTGAAGCCAGCCAGAGCCAACTGCTACGGGCTGCTGAGACTGCCCTGCTGCGTTTCCCGGGGACATTAGATGAAATCCGGGGACATTCCACGGATGGAATTTGTCCGAAGACTTATTCGCAAATCTGGGGACTGTCCCCGGGAAACGGAGACATCTGGTAACCCTAAGCCATAGTCCACTTACTTGGACACCACATACCTGTATAACCAGTGCTGGATTACCCAATAGGCAGACCCATTTTGTGCGTAGGGAACCAGCAAAGCAGGAGTGCAAATTTGTGTGTGTGTGTGCACCTGCACCTGCATGAGGAGATCAGATCCTGTCATATGCTGCAATAAATTTATGGGATTTTTAAACTTTCATTTCATTTCATTTCATTTTGTATTACATATGGGGGGGCGGGCACTGTAATATTTTCAGTGTTTAGGGCCCCTAAAGGTCATAATCTGCCCCTACATATCTCTGAAAACAAGATCCCCTTCCCTGCATAGATTCTGCTTTTTGTTTCCCTAAACCAGCAAATTGGCTACATTGCTGATATAGATGCCAGAGGCTATCACAGTATTTTCTGCTGTTGTTTTTGCTTTTTGCAGCTGCAAACATTTAGCCATTGCACCACTACCAATTTACAGCCTCTTTTTTTTCTCACAGCCTTGAAAAGAGGCAAAACAGCAGCTGCAGAATGCAATGGGAGTATTGCAAGATAGCATGGCAATGCGGAGCCTTTATCAGCTCCATTGAGAGATCTGGGATTCCACAGGGACGTAATCCTATTCGTGGGAACCCCGTCTTTGGAACCAACAGCGGGCGGCGGGGCTATTGCAGCCAGAGCCGTCCTCAAGGCCCTTCCTTGGAAACGGATGTTGCGCCTTGCCATTCTGCAGGACGGCGCTTCCTCCATTCATATGGCAAAGCGATGCGCAACAATGCCTGGCGGCATTCCTCTCCCTGCCAAGCGCGCACTGCGTGATCCCTAGGAATAGAATATGCCCCTGGCTTGTCAGGAGGAAGCCGGAGCGTAAGGAGCAAGAGGTCATGAAATGACAATGGAGAAGTGGGGGGGGGGGGGTTGCAGATCTGAAAGCCTCTGCTGCAAAGAACATTCTGGTAGGGGGAAAAGAAAGTTTGCAGGGGTGGAGTGGCAAGGAGGTCTCTCCTCCCCTATGATGGCAGCTGCCTCGCGTGGCCTGGAGGGAGGCATCAGTCAGCCTAGCAGACCAGACCTCCTCCTTCCACCTTCCCGAGGAGGAGGAGGATCCGGGCCCCGGCTCCGCCTCTCCGCAGCTCTCGCCGCCGCACATTCATTCGCCTCTCTGCAGCCGGGAGCCTGGAGGAGCCTAGCCAGGGGGAGGGGAGGCTGCTTTGCTGGGCTCGGTGCTGCCGCTGGGTGATCCAGCCTGCTCCCGGGCTGCGAGCGCGAGAGAGCCCTCCCCTCCCTCCCTCCGAGCTCCCCGCCTTGCAGCAGCCAGATTCCCCCACCGGCACTTCGGATCCCCTCCGCTCCTCCGTTCCTCCCATCCCCGGATCCGGACACATGGAACTGCTGTGCGTGGAGGGGGTGATCCGGGCCAAGCGGGATCCGCAGCTGCTAAGGGACCGCCGGGTCCTGCAGAACCTCCTGAGTCAGGAAGAGCGCTACAGCCCCCGGGTCTCCTATTTCCAGTGCGTGCAGAAGGAGATCCAGCCCTACATGCGGAAGATGTTGGCTTTTTGGATGTTGGAGGTCTGTGCCGGGATCCCGTTGCCCCCCCTCCCCCTCATGCCCTGCGTCGTCCCTTCCGCTCGCGGGATCAGATCCCGGCTCGCACGACACCCTTTCCCTTACTTCCCATTAAGGCCGGGTTTACTCTGGAGTAAGGCTCTCTGGGTTGCCCTGGGCGAGGACATCTAGGATCACAGCCCGATCCTGGGCGTACTTACTCTGGAGTAAATCTCGTGCAGTTCAATGGAACTGGCGCCCCTAGGTGAAGTGCGCGTTGGATTGAGGCCTTGCGATCGGCTGGATCCGGCGAGAGAGCCGGGGTGGGGGATTCAACCTCTTCTGAAAACCGGGTAGGGGGACGTTTTGGAGCAGTAGGTGAGGGGGATCGAAGACTTATTATAACCGGAACCGATGCGTCTTAAAACAGGCGGGTACGTGGGCCAGCTTGCCTGGGTTGGAGAGAGGCCGGTGGGTCGTGATGAGCGTGGATGGGAATGACTGAAGCAGAGCTCCAAGAGGCCTGTGTGTCCCCCTCCGGTTCTGTCTTTCGGTGCAGGGGCAGTTCAAAAGCACCCTGGCATGCACCTTTCCTCCGCAGTGTGCAACGTGACCTCTAGGGGTCGCCAGTCGCTCGCCCGGTTCGTGCGCAAGATCATGGGGTTGATTAATCTCCCCGCAGTTAAAATCTACAAATTGACAAAACGAGGGTCAGGATGAAGAGGCAGCGGCAAGGGAGGCTGCGAGTACAGGGTGACACAAATACTAAGATCATCTCCACCTTGGGGGGGGGGGGCTATTTTAAACGTATTGCATCAAAAGTAAAAGTTGGGTAAAGGTTTGCTCCGCATGTCAGGCAAATAAATGTTGTGGGTTAGTATCAGAAATGGAACTGGGGTAGGTTCGCTGCCTTAATTCAGGTTGCACTGCTTTGCAGCAGGCAGAAGTTCAACAGGCAAAGCTTTCCCAGACTTGGAAATGGAGAGAGCAGCACTTGTTGAAGAGCCTACGGGAGACAGGGCTGTTATGCTTGCCTTGCAGTTGGTTTCTTTAAGAGACAAGTGCTGTGTGGATGCACATATTTCCCCCCCCCCCCTTCTCCCTGCAAACAATTGCTCTTGAAAAGTATTCAGAATAAATTGTCATTTGTCCTCTGTGTCAGGAAGTTAATAAATTCAGGCTTGTAAAAAGTAGCTTTCCCAATTGCCTGTGGCAGGTAAGAGTGGCCTCCATAGAAAGTAATTGATTCCCTAAAGTACACTTTTTGGCTGTCCTTGTAGGCAGGTAGACTAATAAAGAGTTTTTGGTTTTTGAAGTATGACATTTTGTTGGTTTATTTGTAGGGCTGGGCTATTGTTTTTTTAATTTCATAGATATTTAAAACGGATGACTGAGGTTAATATCAAAATCTTAGAAAGTTTCTCCTTTATTGCACCCATTTTACAGAAGTGTAAATTGCTTCAGTGTCACTTAAAGAAAAATGATGAAGCAAAAATGGCAGCAGATCCATACAAAAAGTGCCTCATAGGATATAGGAAAACTGCCAGCAAAGAAAAATGGGCTTCTGCAAAAGGAGAAACCTCAGTGTTTCATTTACTAAGCTGACATAATTCAGTGTGGGCAGCGCCTTGGTAACAGTCTAGCCAGTGGTCGGAATAAGGGACTGGAAGTCAGAAGTTTTTTTGGTTTGCATTTGAGGAGAAAGGTCTTAGTTAATACAGTGCTGTCTTCATCTGATGGCTTCCTTTGGGCAAGCACCAGTCAAATCAATGGCACAAGTCTTAAGAGGTTGAAGGCTGGGCTCATATTGTTTTGCAGCCAGAGGAATTTGGGATAAGATGGGTCTGAATGGTTGGGCTCTTACTCATTGTGTGTGAGATGCTACCAGCATTTTCAAACCCCAATTCCTCACTCTATATTCAAAATCTGAAACATTTGGACTTCTGTACTCCATACATGAAACTTGAATATATGGAATCTGAGGGTGCTCATTGCCTCTGCTAGGTAAATGCTCCAGGGATTGTTCTGTTGTTGTTTTTATTAATGTTGTTAGTTCCCTTGACTTTGTTTGGTGGAAAGGTGGGGTTATGATTAATAAAAAGGGAGGCTTACTAAGTTGGTTTGTTAATATGCCTATTTTACAGAGCAGTAAATTGCCTCACTGTCTCTTCAAGAAAAATAAAGAGGTAAAATATAAATCAATAAATCAGAGTGCTACAACAGCATGGTTTAAGTAGTTAATATCATAAAATCACCGTATGACATGGATATTTTCTGTTAGAAAATGCTACAAATCCTTCTTTAAAGAACTGAAAATTACAGTACCTCAGTGTCTTGTATCAACTTTTATGTGTTTTTACAGGTTCCTATGGAGAAGGGAACTATTCCCATTTTACAGAAAATATAGTATGGCTCAGTGAAGTCACTAAGTTTGTCTTGCTTTCTCTTTGCACCTTAATAGCAACTATTTTTGAAACCTTCATACAGAGGCTACAGTGGATGGCTGTTTCATTTATAAACCCTCTTTTTTGTTGTTTTTGTCAGGTTTGTGAGGAACAGAAGTGCGAAGAAGAGGTTTTCCCCTTGGCCATGAATTACGTGGATCGTTACCTGTCCTGTGTCCCCACCCGCAAAAACCACTTGCAGCTTCTTGGGGCTGTGTGTATGCTCCTGGCCTCCAAGCTGCGAGAAACCATGCCTTTAACAGTGGAGAAACTCTGCATTTACACAGACAATTCCATCACCCCGCGTGAAGTTTTGGTAAGCTGTTTCTTCCTCTTCAGTTACAAGATTCCTTCTCCCTGTTTCCACAGGCCTACTTTCGCTGCCACTGAATCATGGATTGGCGCTCTAGTTGCTGTTTTCCATGCATCCTATATGTTTCCTTTCTCTTGCTACACCCAAGTAGACATGATGCTTTTCCATGCCTGTGGGAACCACAATTTTTCTATTCTTGATTACGTCCCCATCGTAATAACTCACCTGTTGATTATTTTGTATGCACAGTTCACCTGAGATTTCACTCATCCCATTTAACCAGGTTTGTTTGTTTGTTTGTTTGTTTGTTTTAAATAATCTTTATTACTTTTAAACCTTACAAAAAGGAGAAAAGAAAAGAAGAAAAAAAGGAAAAGCAAAAAAACCAAAAAAATACAGTACAATATATAATCAATACACAACACAACATTAACATTAACACATTAAACAAAACAAGAGCAGAAACAATTCAAAAAACACACATCATACCATCTCATATCCTCTCTTTCATTCCCTTGTTTCATCGACCTCCTCTCACCTCCCTTTTTGTATTTCATTTCTATTAATTATTTCAGCAAATCCTTTCCATCTTTCTCTATTTTCTGTCATGTGATTATCTTAACATATTTTAACCTTATTTTCCATTAATACTATAATACTTATTTATGCTTAATTCCTTAAAACATTTCTACTAAAGCCGTATAATTCCCTCCCAACATTTTTCTAACACTCATTAATTTTACATTATTTCCATATATAGATTTTAAACTTTTTCCAATATTCTTCCACCGTCTCTTCTCCCTGGTCTCGGATTCTGCCAGTCATTTCCGTCAATTCCATATAGTCCATCAACCTGGTGATCTTCTGTCCGAGGCTCTTAACTCTTTTCCAAGTCCATTTAACCAGGTTTGTTCCCAATGCACAATTTATATTGGAAAGAAGCCTGTGCCCCTCTCATATTCTCTTGCAATGAGCAAGGAATTGTGCAGGATGCAGTGTTTGAAGAGGACACACTAGCTAACCAATTCTATTTGGGACAGAACATGCTACTCTGAATCCAGTAACTGTTTGCACTGTCCCTTTGATGTTGGCTGCCCTGGAATGTTTGGGACAAACACTGAATTTTGCAGAGGTAGCAAAATCTGATTTACCGAACTGAACGGTCATTGTTGAAGTGCAGACATTATAGCAGCATTGCCATTGCCAGTAGCAGGTCTAGTTGTGAATCAGTAGCATGATGAACAGGCATAAATGTATCCTATGGAAAATGGTACTTCTTCAGTAGAGCTTCCATAAGTATGGGCAGGATGCTCTGTTCTCAAGGTATGGCCATATTCTCTGGAGATGATCTGATGGCAAATAGGTAAGTCATCAGTTGTTAGACTAAGGCTACAATTCTGTACCTACTTACCTGGATGTAAGCACCATTCAACTCAATGGGTCATACTTCTGAGAAGACATGCATGGGATTCTGCTGTGAGCGCGAATCTAAATTTTTAGCCAATGACGGGTGCACTGGTTAATAACCTGACAGTTCTTTCAAACTGCGGACTTCATATTAATGCAATGCATGTTCTGAAAATGTTAAAAAAGGAGTCCAAAGATTCTCTGCTGCTGAGTTTTCACTGGATCTTCTGACTGAACCTTTTGGATTGAATGTGGTGCTGGACTTCTAGAGACCAAAAGCCTCTATTGGGAGGCACGTTAAATTCAAGCATGAGTTGCAGTGTTACTTACAGCCCTATCTTATGCATGTTTGCTAAGAGGTAAGTCCTTCCTCCTGTGTACAGAAGGCCTTCCTCCCTAATAATTGCATTTAGGATTGAGAGCCTAATTAGGGGTGAAAGATTGGCTGGTTTGTCAGGGCAGTGAAGAGCTCTTAGCATTTAGAACAAATCCCCTTGGGAAAGGAAAGTTGTGTCTTCTCTTTGAGGGACTTCTGCAGGACTGTACTTCTTTAGGAGACTGCAATCCGTTGACATCAGCAGGATGGATTGATTTAAATCAGGGACATTTAAACCACCAAAGCAAAGGGACTAAACAACTGATTTAAACCAAATTTCCAACTTCCTAATTCATATATTTCCTGAACATATAAACATTCTACTTGGTTGCTTTTAAGCATTAAAACATAATCAGTTTGCCACTAAATAGGGCTTCTATACATAATACAGCATCTCTAGTCTTGCTTTTATAATCTTTAGGACAGCATTTTTCTGTTTAGCTTTATAAACATGTAAACAAAATCATTCACATAATACAAAATCTCTGGTTTCCCATTTTCCACTACAGAATTTATTTTAGGTATGATTTCTGTTTTGCTGTCCTTATGCACATGTAAGGAACCTAAGCAAAATTGTTTACTTGAAGACTACGTAACCAGGATTTTGCTTAAGCAAGGGCTGGAAATTATGCTTGAAAGGCTGGGGATAAATATTCACAATTTGCACAATAAAAAATATAATGCATGGCCCATTGGGTCATGCTTAAACTTTTGATTTCCAAAGTAGTGTTTTGTTCTTCTGTCATTCTTAATAGAGAAGTAGATTAACAATATTCTTGATAAAGTGTGGTGGATTTACTTTTAAAAGATGATGAGTGTAGCCTTTTAATGTGCTTGTTTGTATTACATTCAGATACCATTTTATATTGTGTGTGTTTTAGATGATACTTAATGTAACTGAAATCCAGGCAGAACAATCCTAAGCCTAAGTTGGAAATGTGGGGGGCCACCACATCCAAAGCTCTGCTGCTTCTGCTGACCAGGGCAAAAGGAGGCCGGTTGTATTTCATTTTTTGCTGTACCATCTCTAGATTGGCACAGTTGAGGGCCCCATGCCAGGCCCCTTTCATGAGAATGGAATTGCTTAGGATCCAGCCCTATCCCACCCCTGTAACGCTCAGTTTCAGGACCCTACCCTGGCTACCCCTAGCAGAGTAGCATTCAGTCTGCCATGTTTTGTGCAGCAGTGGCAGCTATATCCCAACCCACAGATTGTGGGGCTAGGCTTATGCAGTTAATTTTTTGTAATCTGATTTAAATATTTTAAAATCTGGCTTTATATATACATCCACTTTTTGACTGCAGTGCATGTCACTCAGTGTGCCAGATGTTCTTTCAGAAAGGTTGCCTATAGAGGCAAACATTGGTAATCACCACCTGGTTGGAATTTTCTGAAAGGAGGCTGAGATGATCTGTGAATGACCTTGTCTGACAAATTAGAATGTGTGGGTAGAGAAGAACAGAGATATGATGTCAGAGCAGTTAGGATTTTTCTTAATGCAGATGCAAGCAGGGGAATCCCCATGGCTTCCATGGGCCTTCCTTTTTAGTACAGGCTAGGTGGTTGCAGGTTTGCTTGTACAGAAAGCATTGCTGGGTTTTAATAGGCCGGGGCTAGTCATTGTAGTGCCCTCCAGATGTTTTGCCCCAGCCAGAAGGCTGATGAACAGGGATGATGGGTGTTGTAGTACAGAACATCTGGAGGGCACCATGCTGGCTACCGCTGTACTACGTGTTCACGGGGGTGGGGAGGTTCTGCCCCGTTAGTGTTCAAAAGTTTCTCTAGCAAGGTATCTAGGTCTGCTGTGAATTTAAATTTCATACTTGTCTGTACCTTTGGTCCTAATCTTGTAGGATGGGCCATGCAAGCAGTTCCTGTTCACTCATGAATGCCTCTAATTCATCTTGATATCTGATTGAATAATAATAATAATAATAATAATAAATATGCCACCCATCTGGCTGGGTTGCCCCAGCTACTCTGGGCTGTTAATACTCCTTTGAACCTGCAAAGATGGGGGATGTTGTAGAAGCAACAGATAGCTGAGTACAACCATTGCTACTAAGACAAAGATTCTGCTCATTGGGTACTATAGAGCAAGAAAATAGTTGTAAGAAGAATGAGAAGGTTCCTCTTGACTCAGCTTCCTCCCACTTCAGTTAGGAGTCCAGACTAGGCAGTGTTCTTAGGCCAAGTGTGTTGATCAGATATAAAGAAGCAGCTTTCAATGTTTTGAGACTGGCCACCTTTGCCCATTGGAAAACTATGCATTGTGGCCATATTTCTGGTTGTGAGCTACAGCTGCCTGTCTCCAGGAGTAAGAAGAAAAGGTGGGTTTCTCTATTTAAAGGCATCACACATGCTAGGAAGCGGATCTTTAACACAAGATGAACCCAGAGTCGCTGTACATTGCCTAGTGCAGAAACAAAATAGAAGATTTCTGTTATTAGAAGCCAGTGGGTGAACAACCAGGAGACCAGGTTGCGATGGTAATTTGTCCCTTGATCCCAGACCTGCACTTGAAACACTGGTCTTCAGGAAGGGACTCTCAGGTGACTGAGGGTCAGTGGCTCCCTTGGGGAACGCTTGGGTGGCATCTGCCCCTGGGACTGAGAGTGTTAATGCTTCACTTACACAACCGCAGAGATCTGCTACTTCCCTCCTGTGTGCTAATAATGTCCCGTGCTTCTCTACTTTCACAACGGGGCAGTGAGAGTGATCCAGGGATAGGAAGGAGAAAGCGTCTTCATCAAGGTTTGGACAATGGCTACATCCTGGTGCCTTATCAGGATGTAGCATCAAGCCAGCTCCTCAGCCGCTTCTGGAAGGAAAGCTGCCTCACTTTCCCAGTAGGTCAATTTCCTCTTGCAGAAAAGGAGGATGCCTGCTTGACAGCAGCTCAGCATTCAAGATCATGATGAAGTTATTCTTAGCAGGAGGAAATGATGCAACAAGGAATTTATCCACTTGAAGGAAGCCGGGTTTCCGTCCACGGGTATTATCTAAGTTGCCTTGCACTTCATTCATTCAGCCAATTTGCTGCGTTCACATTTAGCTGCAGAGATGGCTAGAGGAGCATTTCATGTCAACATGTCACAAGGTCTTTGGCTTGATGGGATCTGCTTTCACAGTTCATTCAATAACCATCTGGTCTGCCTAGCACTTGGGATTTTTGCTCTCTAAGATGCTCTGGACTGCTCCATAGATATCAGAGACTGTTTCTTCCCAAAGATCATAAGCTGTGGCATCACCATGGGGAGCAAGAAAACTTTCCCAGTGTTTTAGAAATCTGTTGTGCTTCAATTGGCTCTTTATGAACTTCCCTGGGCATGAAGTGGTAGAATGAACTGTTCTACTTCAGGTTACAAAGAATGTGTGCATGTCACATTTTTAATGCTCCCCAATAAAAAACATTCCCTACAAATAGGGAACAAAGCATAACAATAAGAGAGGGCTAACTTAGGATCTTTCTCTCTGATACGCTAGTATTTTTATCTATAAAGGCACCACATATATTCAAGCAGAATATTTGTGGCGAATATTTACATTGGAGAGCATTTAAAAAATGGCACCCCTCCGCCTGCAGCCTGATGGTCCATCTGCTACTTCAGGATTCTATCGCTTCATTCATCTGCCTGCAAAAACCAGGCAGCTTCTGTTTCTTAAGGCTACCCAGTACGCACACTTCTTTTTCAACTTGGTAATGTGGATGTGGGTGCTGACTGTACCCTAAGCTATGAAGGGTACTGCTTGAAGTGGTTTCAGTTTTCACCAAGGATTATAGCACCTTTAGCTTTCCTTTCTTGCAGAAGAGGCAACAGTGCACATTCAACTGAAGTTTCCTATTTGCACAATGGACTCCTTTCCTCCCTGTTTCACTATCTCTTGCTGAGTAGGTTGGGTGGCAAACTGCATTTGGGATAGTTGTCCTTTTCTGCAGTTTTTTCTGGTAGTTTGATGTGTGGATATGCTGTTTTTGATGTGAAGAGGGAATCTGTTCCATAAAGTAACACATGGTGTAAAATTGCACTGTCAGAGTGCCTTTGGGACATCTTCAGAATCTGGATTTTAAACCCAAAGAATTTAAGAGGTGTCTCTGTGACGTAGCGCTGTCCATATATCTGTGGCTCACAGTAGCTGCTGCTATCCCAGTCCCAGTCACCATGTCTCCCAAGTGGCTGATCGTGCAGCTGTAGCATCATAAGAAAACATGGTGGCTGGAGCTGGCCTAGTGGCAGCCACTGCAGGCTTTTGGAGAAAGGTGGGAGAGACCAATGGGTGGTGAAGGCGGGCAAGAACCAGAGAGCCAGTTGGAGATGCTTTAGAGGCCTGATGCAGCTCATCAGCTGCCTATTGAGAAATGTCTATAGAGGAAGTTGTGGTATTGAAAGTAAACTAAGGGTTCCATGGAAAAAAATGTAGAAAGAAATCTTGATGAGAAAGCAAGGGCAGACATGCGCAAAGTATATTCCAGAACGTTGTGTGTTTAGCCCTGTCCAAGATTCAGAAGGGGTCATGTGCAAATTCCACATAAGTTGTCCAGGTCTGTATTTTTCCCCTCTCCAGGGATTTTGATACAGAAGAAATGCAAAACTGCTCTTGAATCGCTCTGGGATTGATCCAGAGTAAATTAGTTGCCCTTGGATCCCAGTAAAATCAACACAACTTGTTAGTCATGGCTTAAAACTTTGTTCCCATTGAAGCAAATGGGATCTAACTGCAATGTACTCCGTTTGGATCCAGCTTTCTTGAGTTTAGAATGCAGTTTGGGCTTTAGGCACAAAATCTGCTGATTGGGCAAATTGGAGGGGAGACACGTGCATGCAGAATGCCACAATTTCTCCCTTAAATGGCTTTTGTGTCAGATCTCTGCATTAGTTTTAAACTTAAGGAATTTAGCAGTTTGCGGTGTTGGAGCGGGGGCACCTCCACAGGAGGAAACGGGGGTAAAGTGGGTGTTTGGGGTAGGGGCTTTCTGTTCACAGCTATGCAAGCATTCAGGTCCCCTGTCGCTATCTGAAGAACTGCAGTGGTAGTTATGTAACATCACTGCTGTCCGGCATGCTCAGTTTTCTGTTCTGTGTTGGTGGTTGTTTTCTTTTAAGTGACCCAAACTGAGCCTGTGAAGTGTCAGGGGAAAGTTCAGGAAAAGGATGTTTGCTGTTTTGAGCAAAGTGCTGTAGCTCCTCTGTTCCCTTTCCATTTGCCAGGGTTGCTTCTTCCTGCAACTAAAGCAGTTTGGAAACTGCCATGAACTGGCATTGCTACAAGTGGAAGAAGGCAATAAAAATGGGATACCATTTTAAGCAAAAGAGGAAGGCAGCTTTCTTGCTGCTGACCCCAAAAGCACCTGAACTTCTGAAGTGTTGGGTCTTGATAATATTAATAACACTTGCACACCTTGCATCATGGAGTTTCTGTGAATGTTAGCCGAGAGTGCAGTTTGCTCTCCACAGGGCTAGTGCACCAGTCCACTTTGATGTGTCTAATTGACTATTCTGTGCTTAGATGAGAAAACATTGGTGGGTTTGGATGTTGTATAGCTCTGCTTTCTACTCAAACCTGTAAATTCATTCCTTAGGAGAGTAGAGAGGAAGAGTGGTCAACATATACCATGAGCAATAGCAGAAGGCATACTTGCCTGCAATTCCAACTAAAGGACGGAAGAGGGCAGAGAGGAATTGGCCACATTCTCATGTCACACTCACTACAGTTCTGTATGACATGTGTGGGACAGAGTGAGCCTCATGTTTGGCCATTCTCCTGTCCTGCCAAGTGGCCAGGGGGAGTTCAGAAATGTTTACCTCCACTCTTGCTTAACTCCTGTTTGTTGTGTCATCCAGACCAGCAAACTGAGGTTTATACTAACTGCAGTTACTTTCAAACAAGCCAGCTACAAACCACGGTGGCTGAAGCTGGCTTGTTTAAACTAACCATAGTTCTGGGTCTGGACAACATGGCATTCTGTGGTTAATCAAGGGCAGAAGTTATGAAGGGAGTAGTGTACAAGCTGCAGTTCTTGGCTAATACATCAAGCCACTGTCTGATCTCTGTTTTGCAGCAGGATTAAATATCTTCCTATCTTTATGAATGCTAGCAGATCCCACATTATCTCCACAGGACTATCCCAGCAAAGCAGGCCCCTTGCATCCCTGATCATTGGCTGTTGTAACCTTTTGTTGATACGTCTTACGAAATACTTCACGTGTCTTTTGAACCACTGTTGTGTTGTAGTGTGAAGTTGGTCAAAAGCCCATTCTGTTTTAACACTCTCTTGTGTTTTCATTCAGGACTGGGAGTTTTTAGTCCTTGAGAAACTAAAGTGGGACCTAGTGTCAGTGCTAGCCAATGACTTCTTGGATCATATTCTCCAGCGGCTCTCACTTCCCCAGCAGAAGGTGGACTTGGTGAAGAAGCATGCACAGACGTTCATTGCATTGTGTGCTACAGGTATGTCCTGTGACAGGTGACCTTCCCTGGAATGGTGGAGCATAGTTAAATTACAGGCTAAAATGAAACAGAACTTGATTTTTATCCCTAGCTATACTAAACAAATTATCAGTGGCATCTTAGGATCTCATTTTTCAGAGACACCCAGCTTTTTTCCCATTGGTAGCAGAACCCTTGCCCTCTTTGGTTTCTCGTGACTGAAAGGCAAGGATGATGAATATTAGGCAAACTATTGTTTATAAGGTTTCCTTGTTGAAATTTGTCACAAAAAGCCACATTGCATATGAAAGACACGTCCACCCCAGCACTCTGCTCTCAGAAGCATCTAGCATTTGGCTACTAAAGTAATTGGCTCTCCCTTGATAGTCTTTTGGGCTGGGACAGTTTGTACAACTCCATTGCAGAGTGCTGTCTTTGTTTGATTTAAATGAGAATGCAATGTGTAAGCCCACCAAATAGAATGGTAAAATCCATTTGTCCATCTGAAGTTAACACCTCAACACGGTGGGGGTGGGAGCTCCTCTCAACTCACTTTCTTCCTTCACACGAGAAATGCCTGAAGAGGACTTCAGCGTTCCTCCTGTCCATTGGCCACTCCTGGAAAACCTGCTCATAATATTCCGTTAGCAAACTATTTCTGTAAGCTAATGGATTGCGTGCTTTTAAGATACTGTAGCTGGATGGTGGGAAGTCCTAGGACCTCTCAAGGGCAACAGGAAAGGCCTTGATGGTAATGTGGTTTTTTTGTGGGGTGCTGTTATCACAAATTGGCTGGAAGCTGTAGTGAGCAAAGAATTTGTGTCATCCTTTCTCCTGTCACCCTCTCTTCTTTCTCCTTGAATTTGTAGATTACACATTTGCTATGTATCCCCCATCCATGATTGCTACTGGAAGCATTGGAGCGGCAGTCCATGGCCTCTCTACCTCATCCGATGATTTTTCTGGCGAGGAGCTTACGGAACTGCTTGCTAGCATTACTGGCACAGAGGTGGTGAGTATGGGCTCAGTGGGGAACAGGGCTCTGGTTCTGGGGAGTTGGGATCCTGCTTGCATTTTGCTTTTTGACTCAAGGCAAGCTTACTCTGGCTTCATCTGCCCAAGTCCAGAGATCTTGCTTTTACTTATGAAGTGGCATTTGGCATCTCTCTGCAGAAACTATTGCATGGACTTAATGCGCCTCATCTTCTACCTGCCGATCTCTTTGTTTTGGAGGCACACGACAGCCATGCAGTATTATGATGACGATTATTTCAATCCAACCTTTATGTTAATTAGATGTCCAAGGCAGCTAATAAGGCCAGGAAAACCTGCAGCAATAAAGCATATCACATCAATGAATACATTGTAAAAGTAGTAGCATTAAGTCCAGGAAGTGCCTGAGCTGCAGCCACCTCTTTTTTTAAGTGTACAAAGCACATGAGGAGATGTATGTTTGGAGAGAACCTCTGCTCCATTCATCTTGGTGGAGTAGCTGCTCTTTTGGGAAGAAAGGCTTCAGGGCTGAAAGTTGCTGTCTTATTTTATAACCTAAGTGCACACCTGTGAGGCAGGAAGGGCCCATTATATCAGAGAGAAATAAATGGGGAATGGGACAGACATACTGTACGCAAGATCAAGCAAGAGGGTCTGTGTCAAGGTAAGGCAATTTGGGGGCATATTTCCTTAATATATTCCGTGCCAGTGACTTAGTGTAATCCTCTGCAGAAGTTGGCCCTCCTGAGTTCATTGGCCTTGCTCTGCAGTAAGTGTGTCTTAGAACAGTATTTTTAACCAGCCCCCAGGGCCCCCTGCCATATAAAAATCATTCATTTCATGTGAGAAGGGTGTTTTATTAGCAAAATTTATAATCCATTTGATTGTAAATAGAACCCCCTTGCGGTTTACCAAAAACAAAAATGTGGAAATTGTTGTTAAAATACAATGTTAAAACAGGTATTTACCGGTAAGTATTTCAAACCGTAATTAAAGTTACACTAAAACAAATTAAAATATATGTAAACTAAATTGGTTTTAGCAGATAGGCGATTTCTTTTCCACAGAAATTCATAGCTGTACATGTGGAGGGCTCTTATTATTACATGCAGGCACCAGAAGGGCATGGTCAGTGGGAACAGGGCTAGTAGATGCAGTCCTCCTTTCACACATTCACTCACTTAGTGCATGGAAGGGGTGGGGAGAGAGAGATGTCTGACAAGCCCCTATTGTACCATGTATTGTGACATTTCCAGCCTGGGCCCCCTTTGTTTCTCTTACCCTGTGGGTCTTCTGATAGCGCCATCATATTGTAGGCGCAGAGAGGGTAGAGTCATAAGTATCTGCAATATACTACCATCCTTTGGAATGATCCTTTGGACATGGACAGTTCTTGTGGTTCGGTTTATCGTCCTGTTCATGCTGCCCAAAAATATTGTGCAAGGTGTCCTGGAGTTCTGCAGCCTCTCCTTTCTGCGTCAATCCTCCTTTGATGGATACAGCGTGAAAAGCTGCAGTGGAAGGATAAAGCTGGGCAGCCCAGATGTGGTATGAGGGCAGTTCCATAACCTGTGTTATCCTATTAGACAGAGTGGGGAAACTTTTTCAGCCGGAGGGCTGTGTTCCCTTTATGGACATCCTTTCAGGGGCCACATACAAGCTCTGGCCCTGGCCAGAGGCAAAATGGGTGGGGAACCAAATGTAGATTTCACTTTTGTACTGCAAGCTATATTCTACAAACGTTTGTAGCCCTCTTTATCCTCCATCCAGACAAGCAGGAGGCATTATTAGAGGATGCATTCCTGCAAATGCTCAGGATACAAAGCAGGGCCAGCTAGGGGCGTGGCCTGAGGAGGCTCCTAAGGCCTGGCAGAGAGGTGTGGAGGGCTGCATTTCTTCCCCACCCCACCCCTGCTGTAAGAGCAGCCATCCCAGCTTGTGACGTCAAGGACAATGGACCTTTTTTCAGCAGCTTGGCGACTAATTACTTAATTTGGCACGAGATTCTGCACGGAACAGCTTATTTCATCATGTCCGGGTATCCACTGAGAAGAGCCCATTCTTTCTTAAACTCCCGTCTGATGCGGAAGGGCTTGCATCCTCCAGAAACGGAAGACACCGTTGGCTTTCTTCGCCTACTCAATGCAGAGACTGCATGGTTGGCAGGCTTTCCTCTCTATCCTTCCCTCCCCCCCCCCTCCTGATTCCCAAGCTAGTGTTCGCTTCTTGGTCCAGAGCCAGCGCAGCAAGTGGCTGTGTCTCTTTCCCTGACCGGTGGGGGTTGACATGAATTTGGCTGTTTCTCTAAAGCCCAACCACGTTTCCCAAATGTGCCGTGCCAGCTCCTGGCCCGCTGCTGAATGGGTGATGGCTGCAGGATGCAGGTGGCTCTCCTACCGATGGCTTGCATGAGGTCCCAGATCAGTTGCTCCTCTTTGTCCCGGGTACACAGGAGGCCTTTGAAAAACAGCCATTCACCTCAACGGACAGGTGTTAGGGATTGGGCTGGCCGATGGGGAAGGGATAGAACCAGCTTAGCATCTGTTCATGTGGCGCAGTGTCAGATTCCTGTCAGGGGCAAGCATGGAGGCCAAAGAAGTTCATTTCAAGCAGAATTCCAGGGCCCTCCCTGGGTGCCAGAGGGGCATCAGAGAGGAGGGGGAAGCTGGGCTTTTCGTGTCTCCCGCTACCTGGCGAAAGCTGAAGGGCGGAGCAAAGGCTCTGGGATTGGACCTCTCCCGCAGATCCAGCCATCGCTGCTTGACAGTCATGGAGCAGAAACTTATCTCTTGCTGGGTTTTCTTTGGCTTCTTGCCCTAGTCTCTGAATTGCCCGCAGCCAGCTGCTTGCAAGCTGCTGCTGTGAATGAGGCGGAGTTTGAATTCTGGTCCTGTGAGCAAAGTTGATCGAAGACAGCAGAGAACAGGTGGGGAGAGGATTACAAAAGTGACCCATAAAGAGCAGATTAGAAGCACTAAAAGTAGCCAAGGCTTGGTGCCACAAAGAAGCTCGGGCCTAGCCTACGTTGGAACACTGAGCTTATCTTGCTGGCTGGGAGGGTCTTTCCCTTGCCCAGTTCCTTTTGGCTGCTCTTCTGCTCTTTGTGTCTTTTTGAAGTTAATTAGAAGACAAGCTCAGGGTGAAGATGCCTCTTTGTGGTGTCCCCTGCCATCTCATCTGCCATGCCTAACAGGCTTTTGCTGAAGGTTCAGTGGGTAGGGGCTTCAAACTGTGGCTCTGTTCTCACTTGGTTGGCCCTCTTGAGGTGAAAATGCTACTTCATATTAAAGAAGCATACATCACTAAATTATATATCTGGGTAGGCTTTCTGGTATTTATATTAGGCCTGCCTCATTTTAATAGATGCTTCCATGATGTTTTGCCTACAAAGGTACCAGTCCAATTAAGATGTTGTGCTTGGAGCCTACCAAGAAGTTTGGTTAATATCAGTCAAAGGGTTCATGGTTTGGTTTTTTTTATTACCTCTTGAGCTGTTGGTTACTGTGTAGGTTCCAGTGACCCAGATAGTACCTTTTTCCCCCTCTGCCAGTTCATCTTCTGTAGTAGACATGCATCCTCAAGGCTAGATAACATCTTCAATTGTAATCAACCTTTGATTTCTGCTGCATTCCAGTTTTGCTTGATTTTTACATGGAGTCAGGAGAACATGCTTTGTATCTACTTCAGAACATGAGTTTAGGCTGCTAGTCTGGGACTTTGTACATACTGCGATATGCTGTCCGTAGTTATTCCGTCTTCCTGTTTTGGGTATCTCTGTTGCAAGCCACATCACCTGGCACAACTTTTAAAATCCCGAGACTTGAGTTTTTGTTCTCATGTTTCTAGTCCTCACTGTCAAAGAAAGTTAAGTGTGAGAATAGTATTTTTGTGATCTGAACTTCCCATATATCTGGGAAGTCCCAGATATCCAGTATATCTGAAGGAGCGTCTCCACCCCCATCGTTCTACCCGGACACTGAGGTCCAGCACTGAGGGCCTTCTGGCGGTTCCCTCACTGAGAGAAGCCAAGTTACAGGGAACCAGGCAGAGGGCCTTCTCGGTAGTGGCGCCTTCCCTGTGGAACACCCTCCCACCAGATGTCAAAGAGAACAACAACTACCAGGCTTTTAGAAGACATCTGAAGGCAGCCCTGTTTCGGGAAGCTTTTAATGTTTGATGTATTATAGTATTTTAATATTTTTTTGGAAGCCGCCCAGAGTGGCCGGGGAAGCCCAGCCAGATGGGCGGGGTATAAATAATAAATTATTATTATTATATTATTATTATATACCTCCTATATCTTCCCCACACCTGCATTCTTTCCTTTCCTATCAATATGTCAGTTTCATCCATTTCATTAATTGCTTGTCAGGGTTAGCTGAGGATAAACACATTTAGATACGAATTTCTTTGTCATTGGTGTTACATCACGTTAGCCAGCATGTTACTGCCCACCCTACATCCCTGAGTTGCCCCATGCTGGCATCTCTCTTGCCTGCAACTCACTGGACACTTCCAGAAGCTCAGAAACATGCTTTGAAGGGTCAGTTTGAATCTTTATGGCTGGCAATAGGCCATGCTGTTCCTGTAGACATACAGCACTGGTTCATCATAGCCACATTGCAAGATCACAAGTTCTTTAGAAGGGTGCCTTCCATTGGTTCATCAGTGCTAACCCGATGGCACTCCAGATGTTTCTGGCCTTCAACTCTTTCACCTGGCCAGTTGTTAGGGATTGTATTTCAGCATTATCTGGAGCGCCAAAGATATTAGCTGCCTTGTTCTCCACTGAGCAGTAGCACCTCTCCAGGGTACAAGACCGCCCTGAAGAAACTGGAAATTCAACTTGGGGTTTTCTTCATGCAGCACATGCAATCTACCACTCTTAATAGTCCCTCGGTTTCTGAACAGTGTTGGAATCCCCTCTGCAAAACAGACTTGCAAGGTTCAATTCACAAAAAAGCAACTTTCGGTTCCCATGCATAAACCCATACAAGTGCTTCTGAATTCCTTTAATCAATCAATCCTCCTTTCACAGCATTGCTTCCCGTTCCTTCCCTTGCACCCACAAACTGGCCAATAAATTTAGAATGGCCTTTGCTGAGCCCTGGCTTCTGTTGGGTGGAGGTTTTAGAGGCCACAGTTACTGGAACTGTCTTGGGGAAGGAGTGTTGGGTGTTGCTATTTTTACTTGCCACATCCTCTGTCAATTTCTAAGAACTAAACGTGGATTCTTTGTAAGATTATGTATGTGGCAGGATCCTGCAAATGGACCCAGCCTCGGGGAGCTGGCTGGGGATCCAATCAGAACCCCAACGCTCTGCACTGCAAAATGTCAGTTTTCTTGTAAGCTGGGGCAAGAGGGCGAACCCTGGCCTTTAGAGGAGGAGGTGCAGCAGCGATGGGGTTCATTGGGGCTCACCACCGTGACTCATTGCAAAACGAGAGGGGTTTCCTCATCTCAAATCGTTGCTGTATGCGGCTCTTCCCAAGCGTAAGGTCAAGATTTCCCCTTGCATTAATGCAGTTGCCTTGGCAGTAGCATTCTCAGTCACATGCAGGCTAGTGCATTCAAAGTGGGGTGGGGTTCAGTGTACCGCTGAACACTTTCTAGTGCTATGACATAAAAGCAATTAGCCTTCAAAGAAAGTTCCAGAACAGTGGTTCCCAATTAGCTAAGTAGTGCAGACCCCATTTTTCAAAAGCCATGCCATGGACTCCCTAAGTTTGAAAATTTTGATATCTCTGTGGTAGTTTTGGTTTATATGCGTGGGGGCCACGTCTTCTGACCTATGTGAGAGCACTGCCCCCAAAACGGGATATCCCGGACAATTGACAAGTACGTTCCACGGACCAACCAATTGAGAACCACTGTTGTAAAAAGTTCATGGGCTTATATTCTAAGGCTTATAGATTATAATGGAAACTTTCCATGGTTGGGGAGTGGGTGAATGGGGGAGGGGTGAACATATTGCATGTGTGGAGTAGCTAGGGTTGAAACCCTACATCTTTCAGGTACTTAATATAGCAATCAGTGGTTTGGGGAGGGAATTTTTTTGCAATGCCTTGTGTTTCCATTTTCTAAATTCCTTAGTAACAAGGATGGGTGCCAGTTGCAAATAAGTAAGAGGCAAGCTTGGCAGTTTTGAACTTTTTAGCTTTGCATAATAAATATAAGTAAAATAAACACACTAAATTAGATCACTCTCTAGGATAGGGTTGGGGAATTGGATCTGGCTGGTGGGCCAGATCTTTATCTCCATGCCAAGGGCCCCCCCAATGAGCGAAGTTTGACAGGTGGGTGGGGTCACCCACTTGTCAATCAACTGATGTCACAGTGACACCTGGTGATTCCCTTTTTGCCTGTGCAGTTTGAAACCAAACCACAAAGGTAAAAAAGTGGACAGCATTTTTCTGTCACTGACTATCAGCTGATTATTGTTTCTTGGGAAGCACTGAATGCAGAGCTTGCGAATCCCCTTGCACAGGACTTCCCAAGTGCCAGCAATCAGCTGATTAACACAGCTTTGCAAGCCCTGAGCAGAAAAAGCAATGATAAAGACTAGGGCAAATTCTGACTTCACATAAAAGTTTGTAAGGTGTGAAGTGTTGGTGACTGACCAGGAATGAGATTTTGGTGTGTTAGATGGGTTGAATAAAATGTTGACCCAGTGTACAGCAGCTCTAAAAAGGGCAAAATCTGTATTAGGGAGCACTAGAAAAAGGGACTAACAATCAAACTGCCAAGATCATAAAAGTGTTACACAAACACATGTTGTCACCGCACTTGGACTACAGTGTTTAGTTCTGGTGGCCAAATCTCAAAAAGGGTATCATAGAGCTGGAGAATGTTCAGAAAAGGGCAACTCACTAGTGAGGAAAAATTACTACATTTGAGGTCTTTTATGTTTAAGAACAAAGGCAAGTAAGGAGGAGCAGGGTAGAGGCGTATTAAATTTTGCAGAGTGTGGAGAAACGAAACAGAGAAGTCTCCCCCCCCCCCCTTTCATAATACCAGAACTAGAGGTCATTCAATGAAGCTGAGCACGGGAAGGTTCAGGGCAGACAAAGGAAAGTATTTCTTCACACATAAACTGTGAAATTCGCCCCTACAGGATATAGAAATGGCTAGCAGCTTGGGTGACTTTGTACCGCCTCCTTTCTCAGAGGTGGCATGTCTCAGAGTACCAGCTATGGTGTTGCTCTCCTGTCCTGATCGCAGGCTTCCCAAAAGCACCATGTTGGCTACTGTGAGATCTAGATGAGCCTTTGGTCTGATCTAATGTGCATCGTAGTCTTGAGAACTGCAGACTGAGACTATTGCCACTGAATTTTTTAATAAGTATTTTCAAAAGGCTCCAAGGGAAAGACTCACAGAAGCCGCATTCAGACTCAATATTTGCTTGATGTGTGGAGGCACAACTAGGGTAATTTAGCCTGCTGGAACTCATATTTGAAACACTTAATTTTTTTCAAGTAGAGGCATAGTCTCTACCATCAGATACTGGTCAGCTATATAGAATGCTTGAGCCTGGTCTCAGGCTTAGGATACAGAACAAGGATAAGGTATTTCTAACCCTACTTCATAAGACCTTCCTGTTCATACATATCTAAGAATAATAGAATAATCAGAACTCAACTAGGATGCTAGTTGCCCCGCAAACCCCTTTGCATGATATTGAAGAAGAAATTCACTGTGAATGTGCTCCTTCACTGTAGCAGAAAAGCCTATCGTCCAAAGCATAGATGTTTGAAGGAGCTCTGTTATTGCCGCAGTGAAAATTTAAGTGGAAATGAACAGCACCCCCTTCTTCTCTCCTCTTTCCCAGGACTGCCTGAAAGCTTGTCAGGAGCAGATTGAGGTGGCCTTAGCAGAGAACCTGAAACAGACCTCACAGCCTCGGCAAGAGTACAGCCCCTCAAAGGATGCCGTTTACCCTGACAGCCAGGATGTCAGCCTGACCAGCACACCTACGGATGTCACAGACATCAACCTGTGACCAGCCCCTCCCTCCAATCACCCAGCTCCCAGCAAGTAGAACTTAACGCAGGAAAAGAAGCCTCCCGGAACATTCTGCCTGTGCAATGTGATCCCTGAAGAATAAGGGGAGTGGGAGAAAATGACCCCATGAGCATAACCTTTGTAATGAGACCATGTGGGATTTGGGTCTTGGAGGAATGGCGTGGGAGGGACTCCAAAAGGGAATAGGGCCCCTTGCAGTTGGACTGTTTCTGCCTTGCTAGCCTGGTTTTTCCTAGGATCAGGGGACCTTCCTGTGGTGTTTTGAGCCACGCTTGAATTCGGGAAGGATAGGTGAGCTTAGCGTCAGTTCAAAAGTTCTTCAGTTTGGGTTTGCTTCGTTGGAGGACGCGCTGCTGATCACTGCTGTTTTGTCCCAATCTTTGCTGCATGCCTGTTGCATGTGTGTCAAGAGAGAAAACGCACTTTTGTTATATAGACCGCCTTCACCTTAACATGAAGAAGTTGAAACATGTACCTGAGACATCCTTGGTTGAAGTCGCTCTGCTCACCCGGCCATGTGTGGGCGCCTGGTAGAGAGAGACCAGGCTATATTTAAAGTCCAGCACTGGAATCTCTTTACCAGTCCCAAGGAAGTCTTAGTTCTCCTTTGATTATTAATAGTATCACAATCCATTAACCCTTCAGAGTCTTTTAGCCCGTTCAGGAGAAATAAGTGGGTTTTGGCTCGCTTTTTGTGGGTGCTTGTTAAAGTGCTGCTTTCTATATAAAATATTGGGGGTTGGGGAGAATCCCCTCTTCACTAGAAACCCAAGGGGAAAATTTCTACTTGCTGCGCCAGTTGCCTTCTCTTACTCCTGTGAGACCAGAGTTACTTTATTTATTGTGAGGATCAAACCTTACAAAGCCACAAAGCACGATCAGAAGCTCAGTAGGGTATGTTGTCCTGATTCATCCCTTTTGCCATATAACAGAGTGCCTTAATGTCCTTCCTCGTCCTCCTTCATACCTCTCTGGGCTGCTTACTTTGAGAGTCACGGTCATTCCCGATCAGAGTACACCCAACAAGTGCTGCTATACTTGTATGTACAAATCCCTCCTGTCTTCACTGCCAAAAAAGAAACAAAAAAGGGCAGGAGAGCTACATGCAAGGGATGGGTGATGGAGGAGAAGGAAGTCCAGCTATACAAATCTAAATAAAATAAATAAAAAGGGGGTTAAGAGTGATCTCTTTCCCCTAAAGAGTTTACAATATAATGAGCTGCGACTGCACTGGACTAGAGAGTTGTATTGTTCTTGTGTGTTTTGTTCAGGAAAAAGGTGTGTATGTGTTTTTCCTAAATGCTGCTTTTATGAGAGACTTTAGAAACCTTTGGTGTGGGGGAACTGTAGCAATGGGAGCAAACTTTGTCTTTTGAATTCTAGTGGCATTTCATTATTCAACCCTCCAGCTGGAAAAAGAAACATGAACTGATGCTACCTAAAACACCACTGGAGACCCGTCACCTTGGCCAACAGGAAAAAGCCTCTCTCTTACTATGTTTTTGCCTTTCCTTTTCCCTCATTGTGCTTACGCCGATTAGTCAAAATTAATGTGCTATCAGCATTTCTGATAAGTAAGTCTATTGGAACAAGTTTGAAGACGAAAGGAATGTATTTTATAGATACATCCACCCAACTATATATTAGAGCTTTGAATAAAGTTTGTCAATATGATAGTCACTGTCACTCAAAACCCTCCTGTTAAGGAAATTATACCTTACTGATATTTTACCATACTGCAATAAAGCATTTTTAAAAATTGGCACTCTCTTGTCTTCTTTCCTGGGTGATGGAAATAAGACTGAAAAGAACCAAATGCATCTAAAATACAGCTTGCTTGACTTGTTCCTCTAAGAAATCAGCCTGTTGAGAATAAAAGGCAAGAACGTTCTCTTGATTTCTGCCTTGCTAGCGTAATCCACTTTTAACAATTCGATTCTGACAAGCTGATTTCAAAACACGGGAGGCCTCTTGACTGTAGCAACTTTGGCTAGCTGTTCTAGATAGCAAGTAGTCTATATAGGTTTATAGCAACCAGTATTCTTGTAAGACCTTTGTGTTATGCCTGTCTCTCTTCATGAGTCTTTCCCCTCCTACCCTATTTACTTCATGATTTTTCCAAGGACAACCACACAGCTGCTGCTTCCTACAAGCAATACAAAAGAAGTGACCCAAGACACTGATGCAGTCAGCTTGCTGGCCATCCTTCTGCTCTACCCCAAGCCACTCGCTGCCCTGGCATACAGAAGAGCTTTCTCCTTAGCTTGACATCTTTCTCCAGTCCGAGACCCATCCTTGCAGGCTTGTCTTATGCACTAGGCATGGGAGATCTCCAGCGGTACCAGCACTAGGCGGCTTCAGCAGGCTCATTTACCAGCTCTGCATGGAGTTAACAGCTTTTGCCTGTGACTGCTTTGGCTAAGTGATGCCAAGTAGATAGATGGGAGACGTGCAAATTGTTCTGTAATCTGCGCTCGGGCAAGAGGCTGTCCTAGGGGACATCTTCCCAGCGTAAACAAACTTACTGCACAGAGGAGCCACTCAACCAAATCTCCCCTGGAGCTAAAAGCTGTTCAAAACCAATTACTCTTCTCTACCCAGCTGCTGCTGGAACAGCACTAAGCGCATCTGCTTTGTGAACATGGGCATCAACATTCAGACATTTAATGTGGCCCTAGGGCTGCAAAGCACAGGAGGCCAGTGTTGCTGGTGCCTTACCAATAGGAGAGGGTTGCCCTCAGATATCCTCTCCTTGTTAACCGTTAGAAACGTGGCTGCAGCAAGACCCCAAGCATCTAGAGCAAGGATGGGCAGCCAGAGGGCAGCACAGAGCCTTCCTTCACTCCTCCAGTGGCCTGGCCAGTCCCCCGAGAGCTGTGCCCACTTTCCCCCACTGCCTAGCTATCAAGCTGGGAAAAGATTGCCGTTCCCATGCTGCTAATAGAGGGAAGCCAGGGAAAATATACCGTGGAAAGAAGCCACTATGGGAACAGGCTTGTTAAAGCACCACAAGTGATTGTTCACAGCTGTTTCTAGTTCTCAGGGGACGCCTCGAATTCAGCAGCACGAAAACCTAAATATTGCTGCAACTTGAAATATGGTCCAATTTACCAGACCATTTTGGTAACAAGGGAGGAGGGAAGTGGTGGGTGGGGTGGGCACACACACACAAGTTGTAAAAGACTAGAGCCACAATCTTTAGTCACCAAATGTGGTTGGTGTATTTAAGAAGCTTTTGATCACTTAACAAGGTGCCCTTGATTAACTGGGAAGCAATTGCATTTAATGGTGCAGGAAGAAAACACCATCTTTTGAAGAGGCACTTCTCTCCTCCCACAGAGGAAGGAATAGGCAAGAGCTTTGAGCCACAAGCCTCCAGTGGAGATCCTTCACCTTGAACAGGCAAAAATGCAACATGCAAACCCCTTGCACCTGGAGATGTGACTGAAGAGCCATGTATGCACTATATGTATTCTATACTGGAACATCCAGGGCTCTTTACACATATGTTCTGTCACAGCATGTGTATTGAGCATATTACACCGATCCTCGCCAGACCACTGGCTGCCAATTTATTTCTGGGCCCAATTCAAAGTGCTGGATTTGACATATAGCGCCTTACAACAGCTCAGGGTTGCAATACCTCAAGGACTGCCTCTCCCCACATGAACCAACCTGGGACTCTTGTGATCATCATCTGAGGCCCTTCTTGTTTCCCCTCCACGAAAGGTCCAGAAGGTGGCAGTACAAAAACAGGCATTTTCTGTGGTGGCTCCCCATTTGTGGAATGCTGCCCTCATGGAGGTTCATCTGGTGTCTTCATTACATATTTTTAGGTGCCAGATCAAAAGCTTTCTCTATATACAGGCCTTTGTCTGATTAGCATTCCATGACCTTTTAAATGTGTTTGTGAGAGCAGGATTATTGGCCTGCTTTTGTTTTATTATGTATTTTGTGTTCTCGTTGTGTATTTTTCTGTTGTGAACTGCCCTGTGCTCTTTGGATGAAGGACGATATACAAATTTAATTAATAACTTTTCTGAAAAAAGGTTGCTGGTTACTCAGATATTTATTCTGGGCATTACGTGTAATTTCAAACTTATGCACCTCATTTGGGTTTTATATACCAGCAGTATGGGCATTAATCAAGCTCTAGCATGCCTTTATTTTTAGAGCTGTACTATGAATAGCCATAGAAACCCAGAAAGCCAAAAATATAACCTTCAAATGTATAAATACCCAGCTGACAGATTTAGCTATGAACATCTACCTAGAGGGGACAGGGAAAGAGACAAGAATATGGGGTGCTCAGCTACAGTAACCTGATGACATACATGATGGCTGCTGCTTATATGGGAAAACAATAGGAAGAGCATCAAATTAACCGAGGATGGGGCAGCAGGGACTCGGTGCATCTCAACTGTCAATGGCTAACTTGTTCCAGGGGTCCAAGTCTTCTTCAGCCAGTCTAGCTATGTGGGGGTTGAGCAGCCCAGCCTCAATGCCCAAGGTGACTTCATATCATCACAAAAGATCCCTGGAGCATTTCTCTATTCCAGTGCTGGAGACCGCCCAGGTCAGAGGCAGCATACAAGCCTCAGGCAAGTTGTGCTGAGCTGGGTGTAAGATGGTTTTCCAAAGACTTGTTCAGAGAAACAGCTTAGGCCTAGCTCAAGGTTGGGGAGCCTATGGCCCTCTAGATGTAGCTGGACTACAGCTCCCACCATACATGGCAATTTGCAACGTTGGCTGGAGCAAATGGGATGTGGGGATTCCTACAACATCTGGAGGGCCAGAGGCTTCCCACCCCAATGCAGTTTTCCCCAACTGACAACCAGGAAAGGCAAGTGGGCGGCCAGTTCGGGAGTTTATGGCTTTCAGGCACAATGTGTGGTGCTTGGGCTGTGTCATCCTCAAAAGCAACGCAGCCCACATTCATCACAGAAGGGCGACATTCAACCCAACAGCCCCTGTGAGACCAGCAGCAACATGCCAGACGCCACCTCTGAGCCAAACAGGCCAGAAAGGCTGGATACAGCTCACGGGCCACCAAGACTGGTCCCCCCTGCTGTAAAAGGGTAAGATTCTTGGCTACCAATACTTCCACTGGTGGCCAGATCCTACAGAGCAATTACAACCCCGTGCAGTTGGTAGATGCTCTTTCCTCCCTTACTAATCTGCAGCTCAACAGTTTATCTCCCTGCTGTTGATCAGCAACTTGCATCCACCAGGACCTCAAAAGGGGCAAGTAGTCACTGAAGCCCTTTACCAGCAGCTCTATCGCAAAAAGGGGGACCCATTTCTCATGGGAGGGATGCTGGTTTCTAATCACCATGAATGCATGTTGAGTCAAAAGGGGGCAGAGGGCCTACAAATACTTTCAACCCTGCATAAATAAGGCTTCTGTGAATCAAAGCAGTGAGGGTACAAACCCTATTTGTTCGACAGCGTGCTGTAGCTTCAAGTTCAAACCAGCACCTGCCTTTGACTCAGAAGTTCTGCCGTGATCACAATCTGTGGAGTCCCCCTTCCCATCCTCCGTTCACTCCATTGCCACTGGCTGCATCCCCTCCACATCCCGGCACTTGGAGTTCACTAGCTCCCTGCGGATCTCTGGAGAGATCTGGGGGTGGCTGTGAAACTTGAGCAGCTCTAAGAGGGCTTCTTTCTGCTCTGAGGACAGGTCCTCTTTGTATCGCTGGGCAAAGGTCAGGAGGCACTGGTGCCAGAGGACGGGCAGGGTGCGTCGGTCCGTCCGGAAGGCGAGGAAGTGAAAGACCAGGGCATCCACCACGCGGAAAGGCAAGGCGTACTTCTTGTCAATGAGCAGGCGGAGAAAGATGCTATTGGCGCCACTGTACTCCATCTCAGCAATCTTTAGCATAGCAGCCCTGTGGGGGTGGAGGAGGGGAAGGAGGAGGAGCAAATGAGGCTTTGCTGCAGGTCCACATCAATGGATGACCCTCCATTCATGAAAGCCAAGGGAAGAGAAAAAGTGACACAAGCAAATTGCCACAGTTTAGTTAAGTACTCTCTGGCAGGTTCCTTTGATAGTCACACTGCAGACCCTCAGTCCAGCTACAAGCGTGGCTTCAGAATACAATCTGTAATGGGGAAGCCCATGCAGGCTTAGGAAGACTTTCCCCAAGACAGCAAAGGTGTTTCTGACCCCCCCCCCAGGGGGGAGAGAAATGCATGGGAGAAAAGGCAGGAAAGCCTATCCAGTCCTACCATTCCAGAGTGGCTGGGGAAACACAGCCAAATGGGTGGGGTATAAATAATAAAATTATTTATTATTGTTATCATTAGTGCAATTTCCCTTCCACCTCGAAATTAGCCTAACTCTTCTTACCCAGAGTGAAGGACAGGGATGGAACACTTGGTGAGGATGCTGCCCACAATGATGGCTTCTCGAAGTGTGCATGTTCCTGACTCACATATGGGGAGAAGGATCCCTGGGGAGATGATGGGGGAGAGAAAGGAGCATCATATAGTCATCTCTTATAAAGACACAGAAAGTGTTTCATCACAGGCTAAAACTATTTTTTAAGGGGGGGGGGAAATCATTCAGTTCTTTCGCATCTAGAAGGCTGATGCAAGAATATGCAACACACACACATACCACACTAACAACACCTGCACAGTTCAGTATTATTTATCAATAAAATCAAGTTTAAGAATAATTCACCAAACCCAGAAGCAGCTTCCCCTTGAGGCTTTCCTCCTAGCCTGTCTTACTTCTGGGACTGGAGCCTGTCAGAGAGAAAACTGCCAACTTTTTTTTTTGGGGGGGGGGGGGAGAGAGGACTGAGCAGCAGGAATTTTCTTTCTTTCCACTTTGTGTCAGGTTGGTAATGATTTCACTCATAATTCCATTCTGTATTTGGGGTTTTGTTGTTGAAAAACAAACCCTCACAAAACAAACCCTCACAAAATATGTGATAAATGCATATTTATCAAGTGCATATTTTGATAATTTTCAACTACCGTGAATTGTGTTCCAGAGGCAGCAAAGCTTCCAAATGCCAGTGGCTGGAAACCACAAGAGGGGAGAGGGCTCTTGTGTGTTCAGATTCTGCTTGAGGGTTTCTCTCAGGCCTCTAGGTAGCCACTGTGAGAACAGGATGCTGGACCAGATGGGTCGTCGGCCTGATCCAGCAGGCTCTTGTGTTATAGTGAAATATACGAACCCCTGGATAAACCTCATTTCCATGTATTTGTCCTGCAAGGTCAACTTTCCACTCACCTTTGAACCAGGCTCCAGGTTTGAACAAGGCCTTCTTCAACGCCATGTAAAGATGGAAGTTGAGGCGCTTATATTCAGCAATGTCATCTCTGACTCGCGGGAGAAGCACCAGATTGTAGAACCTCTGGGCCATCCTCTCTTTGAGGTTAGAGGAAAAGATCCTACGGAAAGGAACAAAGGCATTTGGGGGGAGAGGGTGGAAATGGAGAAAAAGAGAAGCAACCTGAGTTAGGATAGTTGGGGAACTGGTCAACTTCCCTCCTTGTGCTTGCACTATGCAATACATGTATTACTGCAGCATTCCACATTGCCGCCGCCCCCCCATCTTGACTTTATACTTCAAGCTTTTGAGGCTGCGGATCATTTTTATTTATCTACACATTTCTATGCTGCCTTTTCAACCTAACCCTTCACAGTTTTGGTTCCTCTTTACCAAATAAAGCGGCAAATTACAACGGTATGAAATAAAAATACAATCCGAAACAAGGACAGCAGCACACACAAAAAGCCAGATCCTTAAATTATTTTGTTGTCATAAAAAAGAAAAGAGATGTCCATGCAAGATATATCAGAGTCAGGCAACTAGCCATGCACCACCACCACCAATTCCTAATGGTTTATGTGTAAGAGGAGATTCGTTTTAGGAATGGCCTGTGTCTTTCGCCAGAGCTGCACACTGCACTGCGTATCACCAAAGAGGAAGAGGAACCAAAGTTCTCTCTCCAAGGGAACACGGAACAAGCATCAGATGCATTTACACTTGTGGCTTCCTCCCAGGGCCCACTGTGCTGTATCTCAAGAGCTCTGGGTCCTAATGCGCTGTTTCAGGTCCTCCTGGCTCAAAGACATGGTGCTAGAAAAGTCTCTCCCCCCCCCATTTTAAATACTTTATTGAAATTCATAGATAACATGCACAATATACCAAGATGAAAACAATCATGTACTAATAATCTTATATATTTTTACAAAAATCAAATTTAAATTAAATTTATGCAATCTGTTTTTTCCTATCTTTTTGCTAACATAGAATAGACTTCCTATCATTTCCCGATGCATATAACCTTTCTGGTGATGAATGTACTTATCATTATTACCTTACTCTTTCTGTACTTTCTAATACTTTCTTACAACAATTCATACCTTTTTGCTAGTTTCTTAACAGTTCGTTCAGACAAGGGTCATTCAAACGCTGCCATAGATAGAAAGGTCATTTTTTAATCAGACACTGCATATTATCTTTGTTCCTGCTTGGATACGCTTTGTCAAATAACAGGTTTCTTTTTATAAGAGGAGCCTCATGCACTGCAATACTGGGCAGGAGTAGTTGAGTACATGAGAGGAGGGGTGCTGGTGGTGAGATCAAAGCAACCTGACTGCTCACACACTGGGGAGAGGGGCAGGGGGCAGAATCTGATCTTGTGGCCCAGGATTTGATGGGGGGAGGGTTCCACTTCTGAAAAGCAGCAAACTTAAGCACAGGGTGATGTGTATGTGCATGCATTAAAAAGTGCAGTGTAGTGCTATGATCCCAAATGAAAGAAAAGGAGCTATTGGAAATATAAACACAAACTGCTCTGTAATCAATCCACACATTTACTTTTCCCACGTGTAGGACAGTGATATTGCAGAAACAAGTATCAGTATTATTGAAACAAGGACTTTCATTTCTGTATGTCATTGAACATAAGGACTCATCTGCTGCATAGTGCTGTATTTTGGCTATTCGATCTACTGCAGGATGAGCAGAGCAAAATGAAAGAATCAAAGGAATTGTGGCAGCTCATGGGATGGGGCAGGATGAAACCTTCAAGACAACACATTATTCCCTGCAGTGTCACAGATGGAGTCCTACCTTGTTGCCTGGTACATGGCAGCTGCTGTCCACGTTTCAGGCTCTGTGATATACAGGATCTGCTCCCAGTTGGACAAGGCTGGGATGATCTTGAATGCTTTAGGCAGTTTCCCACTCCTATATTTTGACAGCACCTGAAAAAGAAATGGGGGGGGAGAGAGAGAGATGAATTTAACACGGACAAGCAGACAAGGCTACTTTATTCCAGGGTTTATACCCATTGTTTAAGAGATCTTCAGTGAATGTATTTTAAGAAGCATTCAGATAGGATATTCTTAATTTTCCACATACTAGCAAAATCTGTACCAGTCTATCAGCATGGAAACAAATTCTAGTTAATATTCATATGTATAATGCATCATCTTAACCTATAGTGCCAGTATGGAAACACAGCCATTAGCTGTTCCCCACCCACACCAATCATGCTATGGGTGGTGAATCAGAGCAAGCAAAGAGTTGCCCAAAACTAAGATTTCTAAACGCTGCAGCAGCTGGACTAAGTCCAACCTGATGTGTGCAGAAGCACACACACCTATTTGCACAGAAGTAGCATTACTCTTACTTCTCTGACACCCTTGTAGACTTCCAGGACACGGGGATTAAGCTGTGGCATGGGCCGACCAGATATTTCGGACATCACAGTTTCCACCTCTGTCTGCTTCTCAGTGATCTTCTCCATGATAATGTCTGCCAAGGTGCGCCTAATGGGTATCCAGAGGAAACAATATGGATCAGGGAACTTAGAAAGCTCATTGGCAAATCAAAGCAGCAGAGGCAACAATACGATTGATTCCCAGCCTAGAATTTAACAGGAGAGATGAAGTTTCCACATGTGATATCCCTTGCTCACGTGGCTACCCACCTTTGCTAAGTGAACTGTCTGCCATACTGGTACTGTTCAGTGAAAAAGGCTGCTGTGCAATACAAACAAGCCTGAAGGTGGCAACAGGCATCTGCTGAGGACAAGATCTTGGGGTTCTAGCTCAATGAAGATATTGACAACAAGAACGGGCAGCTCTCAAAAGTTTTAAAGGTTAAATTAAAATTTCAATTCACAAAAATAACGTGATGCCAAAAGAGAGGTGTCAGCCCAAATCTATTTTGCATGAAGAAATTCTAACATGGGTAAGTCATATGAGGGCCATAGGTTCCTGCTCTGCATTCCAATCTTGGAGAAAGGAAACTTGGTCATTACTGGGCACGCCAAACAGAATGGGCTGAAAATTGTGCTTCCTGCTACCGTGCAGTATCAAAGATGGCATGCCTAAAATAATAACTAAAGCACCATCTGCTGGTTAAAACAAAAATAAGAACAGAATTGAAAAGTATACTTGGGTGCTAGCTTGCTTTACTTATTGCTGAGATGAAAACATGCCAGTTCCATAAGCAAAGCAGTGCCAGAATTCTTAGATGAGATATTCTGTTAAGGGTCAGTTCACACATAAAAGTATCACTGTAATACTAAATGGCTTCTACTCAATTGTTTCCTTCTCCGCATACATTAGCAAAAATGTGCAGATAGTCCAATATAGAAAAACACAAGGTACCTAGTCACCTGGGGGCCTAAAAAATTCAAATATTTTTCCTGTACAGCCAGCTTGACAACAAGTTTTAATTCCCCTACATAAGACTGCAGTTGTTGCTGGGATGTCAGTGGCCTCAGAAAGCAGCACCAAGATCTGCTGTGTGTCCAGAGACTACAGGTTATGGGGAACGCTATCAGACGTGGGCAACCTTTGCCCCTCCAGATGTTGCTGAACTACAACTCCCATCATCCCTGGCCATTGGCCATGCTTTCTGGGGCTGATGGAAACTACAGTACAGCAACTTCTGGAGAGTCAAGGTTTTGCCACTCGTGGACTATCTGCATGTACCACAGGCACATACAGCACCACAAATGATCATAAGGAAGGAAAACAACCACTGTGAAACTCTATCATATTCTCTTTCTTCACTCAGAACCCACTCAAGTATAACCAATACAAAATAGGCACTTGCACCCAGGGCTCATTGAAGTGATAAAACTCAGAGTGGGGGTGGAGGTAAAACCATATAGCAAAGATAACTTAGTCACCTAGAAGCCTAACAATTTCAAATAGTTTTACAGTCCTGTACACAGTTCAACGAGCCTTACTTCCCTTCCAGAAAGGAAATGGCTCACAATTAATTTTACACTGGATAACTGTCACAGAAGAAGTAGGACATTACACATTCTTAAAAACTGCATAAATGAGAATGGACAAGGGGGTAAGGGAAAGAGTATACACACATCTTCCCTACCAGATGGCTGTCAAACAACATAGCCTAATTCAAGTTCAATTCACTCAGAGACAAAAACATTAACAGCTTTACTCCACATATGCTCACTCAGGCACTTTTACAAGTCCCACACAATGTCCATTCTGTGCTTGTAGGTACTTCCGTACTGAAAGTTTGGTTCCTTACACTATGGAACTCCCTGCCCATTGACATTAAGCAAGTACCTTCTTTGTATAGTGTTTTAGCACCTGCTAAAAACATTTATGTTTAGGGAAGCCTACCCAGACATGTAAAGTTGACATGTATAGTGTGTGGGTATAAAACTGCTGATTTGATTTATATTTTTGTTTGTCAACTTGCTTTTCATGTCTAAGTTTTTACCACTAAGCAATCTATAAATACTGCAACATAAAAAATAAAGTCTAAGCAACTGTCAGGATTTGAGCACTCCAGTGTTTACCTCAGTGGTGGATTCTTGTTCATGAACATCTCAATGGCTTTTTCATCCTCTGGATTCACAGTTACCTCATCACAGTACTCTCCCTTCCCCATCGCTGCAGCTTGCTCCAGTGTTGGCCACTCATCATCATCTGTATCTGAATCTCTGTCCTTTGAGGAAGGTCCTGGAAAGAGTAGAACAAATACAGGTTTGGATATTTCATCAGAATAAACAAATCCTGGCTCAGTGGTAGAGCGTCTGCCCTGGTTTGATATTTGGCATCACTAGCTAAGGCTGGGAATGTCCCCTGTCAGTAACCACTGCCAGTTGCTGTCAAAAATACTGAGTAAGGTGGAACAATGGTCTGACTTAGTATAATGCAGCTTCCTATGCAGCTACTTCTTTCAGGTCTCGGAAACTTAACAAAAAAAAGTTATAACTATAACACATGGAACCTGCAACAAAGCACTGAAGTGTGAAATGCTCCTTCTTCAAATATCTAAAGGGCTGTCACATGGAAGATGGAGCAAGTTCGTTTTCTCCTGCTCTGGAGGGTAAACCTCATGGACCCCCTTGGAAAATGGTAGACTCTCTTTCACGAGAGGTTTTAAAGCAGAGGCTGGGTGGCCATCTATCAGGTATGCTTTAGTTGAAATTCCTGCAATGCAGGAGGTTGAACTAGATGACCCTCAGGGTCCCTTCCAACTCTATTCCAAAAATTCTGTTTCCCATTATCTTGTCACATTTTTCTGTTCCTCCCCCAACCAAGTGGGTTAGCATTCTCTGGCCACTAAGCACTGCCTATCGGGTTGGTCCACAGGCCTCCCAGAGTTTTATAAGCTACAACTCCCACCAGCCCCATCTATGATAAATTATTATTATTATTATTATTATTATTATTAATTTATTTATATCCCACCCATCTGGCTAGGTTTCCCCAGCCACTCTGGGCAGCTTCAAATAAAATATTAAAAATACAATAAAACACCAGACATTAAAAACTTCCCTAAACAGGGCTGCCTTCAGATGTCTTCTAAAAGTCAGATACAGTGGATGCTCGGGTTGCAAACGTGATCCATGCGGAATGCACATTTGCAACCCGCAGCAGTGCATCTGCCCACGTGCAGGTTGTGATTCGGTGCTTCTGCGCATGCGCAAAGCGCGATTTAGCGCTTCTGTGCATGTGTGACTGCCGAAACCCAGAAGTAACCCGTTCCTGTACTTCCGGGTCTCGGCAGTCCGTAACCCAAAAAAACGCAACCTGAAGTGTCTGTAACCCGAGGTATGACTGTTGTTTATTTCCTTGACATCTGGTGGGAGGGAGTTCCACAGGGCAGGCGCCACTACGGAGAAGACCCTTTGCCTGGTTCCCTGCAACCTCGCTTCTCGCAGTGAGGGAACCAGCAGAGGACCCTCGGAGCTGGACCTCAGTGTCCCGGTTGAACGATGGGGGTGGAGACGCTCCTTCAGGGATGGCATTAGCAAGAGCAGATGTTGCAGCCCAGCGCCACCTGGAGGGAACCAAGCGGGGAGGAGGAGGCTGGCGCTCAGAGTGGGGTCCTTCCCAGCCCCACCTGAAGGTGCAGGGGGTTGGAGTCAAGCAAAGCAAGTGACCCCCACCCCACCCTAAGCTGCGGCCCAGCCTCCTCGCGGAGAAGAAGAGACCCCGGCGAGCCCACGGGAAGCTCACCCAGGACGGTGGTCTTCGCCTTCTCGGGCTCGCCTCCGCCCGCGGCGCCGTGCTCGGCCTCCAGCTCCTCTTGCTGGATCCGAGCCTGTTCCAGGATCCTCCGGGAGAGCCTCTCGTCCACGTACTCGTCCTCGCCGCCGCCGCCATGCTCCCCCGCTTTGCCCCGGCGCTTCACCCTCGTCACGGGCTTCACGGAGTCGCCCTGGAGGATCTGCTCGGCCAGCGGAACGGACGCCGCCTTCGCCGCCCCGCCGGAACCCCTCGAGCGCTTCACTTTCGGCATGGTGCCCCCCGAGCTGAAGAGCCGGCACACGTGTGAGAAGGGGCAGTTGCAAAGCGCATGCGCGCTCGTGGAGAACCCTTCCGACCACAGAGCTATGAATGTACAGAGACGCGTCGTTGCCCGGATAGGCGGTTTCCGGGCTCCCGTTGAACTCTACAGCAGAGATTCTTGCGGCATCCCCAGCTGTTGAGGCATAGTAAGCCTCACTGCTTATGGCGAAAGCTGACGGTCAAATAAATTGTCTTAGTCTCCTTTGGTGGTGAGAGGTTGGGGTGCGAACACAAGCAAATAGTAAATAGCACAAGCGACGCTGACACAAAACCCCACACATACATTAAGTAGGATAGAAGCATTGCCACCCGACCCCGACCCTACTCACCATGCCCCCCCCACCTCTTTCCCCCTTTTCTTCCTAAGGTAACACTAATGTCTCAACAAATGAAACTGATCTGTAGAAAATGTAACTTGAAAAAAGAGACATTGCACATACTTTTGCAAACCAAGAAATCTTTAATATAAAAATGTGGGTTTTTTTTTTAAAAAAAAATACAAATAAATAAATAAATTGTGTTAGTCTTTAACTGAGTCTTTGCGAGTTTGCCTAAGTGTGGGCCACCCTCTTGGTTTCTTAGAGAAGCCATTTTAAAATGCCCCTCGGGGCCGGAAGTGACAGCTGCCCATAGCAATCAGTGGAGGAATCCCGGGATCTCGCGCTGCGGCGCTGCGGTATCTGCTCAGGGGCAAATGGCCGCGGCAAAGTCGGGCGTGCTTTCCCTTGCTGAGGGAGAGCTTATTTCGTGTGAAGAAGCATCCCCCCCTCAAAGGAAAACCCCCATATGAACAGCTCTGCCTGTTCAAACTTCCGTGGCGATGCAGCCCCCTGTCCTCACACTGCAGATCCGTGTTTCAAACCGAGGTGGAGAAAAAACATGCCACACCCCAGCTCTGCAGTGTTGACGTTGGGGGCTTGACAACAACCCTGCGGTGTAGGAATACTCTCAGTGTAGGTGGGGGGTGAAGCTGGAGCGCATGGCAGCAACACGACCCTGCAATATCATCGCAGGTTAGAGCTGGCGCTGAGACTGGTTTGGCTTTGCAGACCAAAATCCCACTCAATTCATACTACAGCTTATAGCTGTAGCGCTTATTTATTATATTTTTAATTTTAAAAAAATCCCGCCTTTCTTCCACCGTGGGGGGTTTCCTTCTGGTCCCATTTCATCCAGGTACTGATCCAGACCCGGATCTCGGGCAGGATGGCTTCATAGATGCCCACATTGCTCCTCTCTGGACGATGCTTCTGCATTACCTGCTTGGAGCACCAGGTGGCTGGTTCTGGATGGGGCCTTTCTCAGCTCGGTTGCATCACTTCCTTTTGGCTTTCTTCTGTGAGAGCGTGGAAGGCGAGGCTGTTTCTTCGTCCCTGTTCCGGCAAGGAGGCTCCTGAGCAGACGCCCCGAAGAGCATTCTTTGCACGCGTTTAAAAGGGCAGGAGGGAAGCGCCTTGGAGCCGCGATCGATCTTTCTTTCTTTTTCTTTTGCAAGGACTACCCCTGTCTCTCGCGGAGGCCGTCGGAAGCATGGGAGTCACCTGGTACGGCATTTTGACTCGGGTATTGATTGACTCGGGCATTTTGCTGCCGCAGAGTTTGTAGCAGGCTGGTGGTGCTTGATGGGAGACGATCAGTAGCCGAAAAGACTTCGAAAAGGAGTTGGGGAAGGATAGGTTTTAGAACTGTAACGTGTGAACACGCGAGCGGCGGGTTTTGTAGTAGAATTGGGTTACCGGCGCTTTAAAGACAAGGCGAGTCGAGATGCTCGTGAAGCAGCAGCAGCGGGAGGCAGGGTTGTTCAAATATATGCAACTGCCGTTGAGACGCCTTCAGCAGGGGGGAGGGTGTAAGTAGGTGACCTGGCTGTATGAACGAATTGCGTGTCCCCGCAAACGGGGGGTTGTTGCAATAGCCGAGGCAGTTGCCCGATTATGAGAAAGGAGGATATCGGTTTGTGACATTTAGGCTGAGAAGATGAAGGACGCAGAGAGTCAGGATCCTTGGGTGGATGCATTTGACATTAGAGGCTGGATGTAGGCAAGTATGCGCTTGCTGGTACCACCACAGCTTCACCGCACCCCTGCCCTGGATTCAATAATAATAATAAATACCCTGCCCATCTGGCTAAGTTGCCCCATTAGTAACACATCCTCTCAACCTAGGTGGAAACACAAGGCAGGAGATAAAAAGGGAGAAGACAATGGACAATGAGGTCTAACAAAGGGTCATCTGGGATCTGGTCAATTATTGCTGTTGACTTACCTTTAGATATATAAATTACAGATTTTTAGTATTTTATTTCAAGTCCACCTTTCTTCCAGGGTGGCAAGTGCTGTTTGTTAAAATGGTAAACACAGTTCTCATTCCTCGTTTTATCCCCGTGAGAATCCAGAGAGTCCAGTATTATGGGCATAGCAATCCAAGCCTCCTTGAAGTTCTGGGGAAGAGCTGAGCTGGATCCGGGAACAGCCCCATTGCCATCACATGACAGAATTGAGCCTGATTGCTGTGCTAGCTCCAGGCTGCCACAGCAAGTTGCCCCCTTCTTTCCCCCACCAGCTTGAGGGGAACAGGCACTGGTTGTAGTTTGGATTGCACCCTAATTAATTCAAAATAGTTAGCCTTTCCACACTAGTTTACAGGAGAATGATGTAAAAATATAGACAATAATAAAATATTTTTATACTACAATTAAAATATACATATTGATGTAGCTAGTGCCACAACTGGGGGCTGCTGGGTTGTTGTTGATTCATTGCAGGGCCTTCTCAGTGACAGCTCCCCACCTGTGAAATGCCCTCCCTCATTCTTGACTTTTAGGAGGAATTTGAAAAGATTCCTCCTCACTGAGCCAATGGATGGCTGAAAGATACTGTTCCTGGAAATCCTGAAATCATTAGCTGAGATCAGGCTATTGTTTTTAAACTATTTTTAGAATGCTTATAAACTAGAACGTTTTTGAATTTTAAAAAGTAATTTTAATGACAGTGTTTTTATGATACTGTTGCTGCACTGGGCTTCTTTTGATGTAAGGGCAGGACCACTGGAGAGTTGCAGTGCCAGATGTAGCTGTAGAGACCGATAAGGGAGAGACATGTTTTATCGCAGGTGGGGCAGATGAAGGCATCTGGATTTGTTGCTAAAGGGGCACCATGGTGTTTCTACTCTCTGCGCTCCTCCCAGTGGTACATAAAGAAAAAACAAACCAAATTCAACACATCAGTCTCAAGAACTAGTAAATATAAACAAGAGCATCCTTATGCTATATAATCATAGTAAATGGGCAGATCTGAAACAAAGAAAAAACACTGTGTACCTTATTTCTCTTCTAACAACCTAGACCAGCCATACAACATTTTTAAAATGGTAAAAATTGTGTCTATGCTAAATGTGTGTTTCTTCACTAGTACACCATTACAGGTGTGTGTGTGTGTACGTCTATCAGCCTTGGCAACCAACTGAATAAATTCTTGCCAATGTGTTTAGTTTTGTGCCTCATTGCCAGTGATACCCAGTGCATAGCACATTCAAGATGTGTAGAAAAACATCTGAAACAAGCAGATATTGTATAGTCTACCTCACTCTCAGTCTCATTCAAATGCTTTATACAGCCTTGCAAATAACATCATAAAAGTTACCAGGCCATAAATGTTTACTCACACACTTGCAGTACCTCAGTTACTTGCGGCATATCAACACAGCCAGTGGGAGAACAGCAACTCTCTTCTAGTCTGTCTTCCTAGTTGTAACTATTGCAAGTAACTGTTAATAAGTCTATATTTGTAGTTACAGAATGCTCTTGGTTATAAAGCAGATTCCACACAGTATGAGAATTTTTGTGGCTTGAGTTAACACTCCACACTCTTCCATGTCAGTTTAGCCTATATACATAAGTCCCCATTTATTAATTATTTGAGTTTTTGAAAGTGGCTTTAGATAAATTATGTGACAGTCTACAAAAACCAGGTATGTCTCCCACACTATTGAAACTTAGATGGTAAGCCTCTCGTGGCAGACAATTTTTTTGTGTTTATTTACTTGTTTATCACTGCCCATGAAACATCCCAAAGCAGTCAGCAATTAAAAATAGATATACAGTGGTACCTCGGGTTAAGAACTTAATTTGTTCTTGAAGTCTGTTCTTAACCTGAAACTGTTCTTAACCTGAAGTACCACTTTAGCTAATGGGTCCTGCTGCTGCTGCTGCTGCACCGCTGCTGCATGATTTCTGTTCTCGCCCTGAAGCAAAGTTCTTAACCCCGAAGTAATATTTCTGGGTTAGCGGAGTCTGTAACCTGAAGCGTCTGTAGCCTGAAGCATATGTAACCCGAGGTACCACTGTAATAACAATATAAATTTGTTTGCAATCTACTTTGCAAAGGGGTCATATGCACTGGTAGTGCTATGTTAATATTGACAATAAAGATGTTACAAACATGGGCTTCTTTGGGTAGCATATAAAGAACTAAAGTACATAGTGGCTGTGATTTTGATCAATGAGGTTTTTTGTTGTTCTTGTTGTTGAAATCCTTTCTCCTGTATTAGTGTTTCCCAGATGCCAGTGACGGAGGGGAAGAGTGTCCAGCAAACAGTTGAAATTTTAACAAGAAAGCTTGAGCTGCTTGGAGCAGAGAAACAGGGAACCTTTTGTGTAGACTGCGAAACGTACCACACTGCACCCTCCACAATGGGCAATCAAGGTAAGCATTTAATTTCCTACAATTTAAATCTACAGCAGGTCAAACCACTACTGTTCATTCTCTTTATTTACCAAAAAGGATTTGAGCCCTTAACACTGGTGTACCCATTTTAGTGTTTATGCAAGCAGCAACAACCCACCCTCAAGAATCTCCCTATTTCCCCCCCAAGGGTGGAAAAGCTTAATTAATTCTCCTCTTACAAACCATGTTGCTGGTACAGTGGCCTTAACTGCATTTTCCTAAATAAATACATAAATCCAACACATCCAGAGGCTGGCTAACAATCCTGGACTACACTGCAGGGGTGTCATACGTTACTCTCCCCTCCCCACCCCCCACCCCCCCACAAAAAGAAAAAAAAGTACGGCAGCACTGGAGTACTTTGCAGGGCTGTAACTCGTGCTTTCTCAAACACAGTCTCTAGCCCCTGTAACATCGATATACTAATGATTGATTTTATTTGTATTTGTATTTGTATTAGCAGGGTATTTTTTAAAAAAATATACACATACTCAGAAAAATATCAGTTTTGGCATTAAACTGAACCTGAGTCAGAAAGAACATGAACTCCTGCCTTTGCTGCTAACTTTTGGAACCATCACTTCTCTACTAAGGAATATGAGACATCATTTCCATATGAACCAGTCACTTCTCCATTGTAGGAATGTAGAGAGAAAAATTTAAAGTGGCCAAGGAAGTCCTAAAAACGGCTTCAGAATGAACCAGAAAGTCCCTTCTCTGGACAATGAAGGAAGGACTTCCTGGGTCATTTTGAAATCATTTGGGGGGTCTTCTCTTCAAGTTGTATGAATCTAAATTTCTCTCTAGCATTCAGCAATCACAGTGGGTTCATATCTCACAAAGCAATGGTTTTGAATGGCACCCATACATTTTGCTTCATAATCTTTGTTCTAAAAGGGGTTGAGACTTACTTAAAAAACTAAAATCTCAGAGTGTACCCACCCTCCACTGGCTTTGGGCTGGTATAGATGTACCTCTTTGCACGCACACACACACCCTTTTCAGCATCCTTGCTTGTTCCATTGACTGCAGTGGGAACAAAGTTCAGTGGACCTTTGCATCATTAGTCAGGATCCAACCCACTAGCGCCAAGCACTTTTAGCATCATCAGATAAACCCTGCAAGTAAGTCTTTGAAAGAAACTTTTACACAAAAACTTGTTGACAAATGAACATTTCAGCAATGTTTGTGTCTTCCAAATGACATATGATTGATTCAAGGTTCCATTAATCTAAGCAAAACATATTTTACAAGCTATGTGATACTTGTTAGACCTGAATTAAATTCATCTGGAAGATAATTAGCAGAGCTGAGGTTTTACAGTGGTAGCTGAAGCCAGATTTCCTGAAGGAACTTGGAAACGTTCAGTGTATTCCTCATCACCCTGGAATATGGCTCAGGGAGTTTGGCATTCTGGATTGCCAGCAAATGTTCTTTGCCACTTTCTCATAAGTTAATTATTTTCCCCTCTAGATGTCAGCAGTGTGCTTGGGCACCCATCCTTTTGCCTCAGGTTCATAAACATGGCTGGATCCATGATTGCTAGCATGGAGATACATACCCGTATTTTTCGCACCATAGGACGCACCGGACAATAGGACGCACTTTGTTTTAGAGGGGGGAGAACAAGAAAAAAAATTATCCCCCTCTCTGCCCAGCGCCCCTTCAGCGAAGCGGCAGGAGGCGCTGCGCAGAGAGGGGGAGAACTTTCCCCCTCTTGTTTTCCCGCTCTAAAACAAGGTGCCGTTTAAGGTGCGTTCAGGCGGCTACCTTGGAAGCCTGGAGAGGGAGAGGGGGCGGGGGGCACTGACCCCACACGCGCTCCCGGCTTCAGGTCCTCGACCTGCTCTTTGGGGCTGGCGGGGGGAAGCCCACCACCAGCCCCAAAGAGCAGGTCAGGGAGCAGCGGAAAGGCTCAGCGGAGAGGCTCCTGCCATAGCCACGTGTCACCTCTCCAGCTGGGAGAGGGTCGCGGGGCTATGGCGTCTTCGCTCCATAGGACGCACACACATTTCCCCTTCATTTTTGAAGGGGAAAAAGTGCGTCCTATAGAGCGAAAATATTTCTGCAGTTTCTCAGTAGGGCTTGAATCAATTCCCTACTCCTGGCTTTCACTAAGCACATTAAAACTGTGGAGAAAAACAGCAAAACACCACTAGAGCTGTACTGTAGGCATATCTGGGAGTAAGCCCTATTAAACCCAGTGACAGTGAGCATCTGAATTAAAAATAGATCGGATTAGGCTGCCTGTATAACTACTAGTTTAATCTGGAGAGAAACCCTGCAGTGATTTTTTAAAGAGGTATTTCTAAAGCCTCATTTAGATTAGTTATAAAGATGCATCTTATTTGGAATCCTAAAACAGTTGCAGCACAGGGGACAGTTACATCAGTTGCTAACACATCATTGTACTTGCCTTAAAAAAACAACCCCAGACCAACTTACATTACAGACATTAAAATCAGGTATAAAAACAGAAGTCTAAAATCACATCCATTCCAAACATATATAAAAGACAGGTCTAATACAACCCACACCACTCAAAACTGGAAAGAAATAGGCCACAAATATACCCCAAATCCTGCAAAAGCATTGTTTTTGCCTGGTACAATTCCCACTGGTACAGTAGGACCAACATTTGCTATTACTGAATTGATCCATTGATCAGATCAGCTTAATCCCTTCATTTTAAGGGGGATTGGCAAACTTTCTCTGGAGTGTAACAGAGATGCAGATCTTAGTGCTAATGTCTACTTAGGCATGGCTACAATGCAGGGCTGGCTAGCCTGTGGCTGGATTCAGCCTAGCAAGCTGCAGGAAGTGGCTTGCCAGCCCCTACAACTTTTTCTTTGTCTCCCGATCTCAGCGCTGAGTTAGGGAGACAAAACGTTCTATGTGCTCTTTAGAGGTGACATTGAGGGCAGCATTTTCCCCACCCCTCCCACTCCAGTGGTAGGGGAAGGATTGGAAGCACTGTACGTATTTTGTTCCTTACAGAAGTACCTCTGAGTTCTAAAAGGCAGCATTTCCCCCTGCTGTCCCTGACCTACCAGAGGTGGACAGGGAAGAGTGGGCTCTCCTGGTGCAGGACTTCTTCCTGTCCTCCTGCCCTAGGGCTGCCATACATCCGGATCTTCCCTGGGTTTGTCCAAAAAAAGTTCAACAACTTTTGGGGTGTCCTGGTTTTTACTTTTTGAAATGTGGCAACCCTATCCTGTCCCCAACCCTCTGGAGCTGACTTTGAAGGTCCATGGGGAGCCAGAGATCATGGAGGAGTAGACCGGTGAGGGAGAGGAGGCTCTATTGTGTGTTCAGAAGTCCATTGTGCCAATAGAGCTGCGACACTGGATACAATCCCAGGTCTTGTGTTCGCTGTTCTCTGCATAGTACTGTGCCACAATAGATTCATTAGGCTTCTGAAGATTTTTGCAATGACTGTTGTAGTTCAAATTATAGTCAAACCCCTCTTCTCTCCATCTTGCAAAAGAATGTTGTTGAGTGTACTTTTGTAAGGAGGTTAAGCGGATGTGTATCTGAAGTATATACTCTAGAAAGAACAAATGCTCATTTATCTCAAGATCGTGGTTCTTTAAGTAAAATAACATTGATTGTGTTTTGCTAGCCTGGAAAAGCCATTCAGCGACCAGCGCGACGTAGAGATTCTGTAACAGCCCCAGTGGTTGTCAAGCAGCAAAGAGACAAAGGAAAATGTAGCAGATGTTTCATTTTAAAGCATCTTAAGAGGGAAGGAATAACAACCTTGAAGTGAAAGTAATGCTGCTCTTGTTTCAGGGCAGGCTGCCAAGCTGATGTATGTGATGCACAATTCCGAATATCCCCTCAGCTGCTTCGCTCTCTTTGAAAATGGTCCTTGCCTCATAGCAGATGCCAACTTTGACGTACTTATGGTGAAGCTGAAAGGCTTCTTTCAGAATGCCAAAGGGAACAAGATAGAGAGCCGGGGAACCCGGTACCAGTACTGCGATTTCTTGGTGAAGATTGGCACTGTTACCATGGGGCCCAGCGCCCGTGGTATATCTGTGGAGGTAAGGATGCTCCTCAAACAAGGGGGAAGTTAGGATATGAGGTAATATATTACATAGCTCCAGCTCAGGGCAGGTATAGCAAACAGTTTACTGAATCAGGAAACATATCTAATAAGTATATAGGAGGTGAGACGGTCTTTGTGGGCCTTTGAGGTGGTGTGGACTGCATGCTAACTGGGGCTCTTGGGAGCTGGAGTCAAACAACATCTGGAGTGCCACAGGTTTCCCAGGCCTTCCATAGGACATAACAGTACCTGGTTTATCCCCTCAGAGCATGCAGCTAGGTGTGCACACAGGCAGGGCACCAGGGCGATCCAGGGTTCATGAAACCTACACAAACCCTTCCCATATCCCTGTCCAGACTCCCACCCCACCCCACTGTGGTTAAGGGGTAATATCTCAAAAAGGGAGTTGCTATGTTGTACTCAATTTTTCCTCCACATGTGCTGAGAAGCCTTTCTTTCCCTTCATGATCTTTTATCTCTGTGCAAAGCCGTGACTATTTCAACCTGAGGGTCCACAAGTTGGTTGATTTGCTTGGCACACAGGCTTTAAAAGAAGTGATCCCGTTACAACGAGCTTACTAAGCACCATTTGTAGCACATTAGCTGTGTAACTGTTCTCCATAGAGTGTTTTGTAGGCATTGTATAACATGAGCTCTTTAAGGGGCGAATATATGCCTGGTTCATGAAAAATGAAAACTGGATGGATGGGCAATTATTGGCGGAGCAGATTCAGACAGCTGACAGCTCGAGGTCACTGAGCTGTTTCAGTTGAGGGAAAGCCTGGTGTCAGTGGGGTGACATCCTTGGGCAGTTGTCAGTGCCCCAGCAGAGTCCACTGCTGCTTTTCCTCAAGACGTTTTAAAAAGCTAATGCATACCAGTGCTATCTTGGAGTTTATGGCAGTGCCCCGGAAGTTGAGCGGTCTTGGAGCAGTGTAATGGGGTGTGTGTGTGTGTGTGTGTGTGTGTGTGTGTGTGTGTTGGTGGCTGTTTTTACACTGCTAGATTCAGAATTTGCCATTTCTATCTCTGATGCCATTAGGAGCTATCACTGGGACAAGTGGAGCTAGGTGCCATCAATATGCTGGTGACGCTCAGCTCTCGTTGTCCATAGCATTAAAAGCAAGAGGCAGTGAAGATCCTGGGCCAGTGTCTGGATGCAATGGTGGGCTGAATGAGAGGACATAAGATGAGCCCGAATCCTGGCAAGAAGGAGGCTCTGTGGGCAAGTGGTTTTTGTGTCTGAGAAGCTGGTCCATTGCCTGCTACAGATGGGGTTGCGCTCCCTCTGAAGGAGCAGGTATGTAACCTTGTCCTTGGTGGCAAAGAGGGCAGACAGCTGCAACCATTCCTGCACTGGGTCATCTTGGCAACTTCAAGGCTATACTACTTGAATACACTCTACATGGGGCTTCCCTTGTGCTTGGTCCAGAAACTGCCATTAACGCAGAATGCTACAACAGAATGGTTGACAGGATATTATACCTCTTGGCATATTATACCTGTGCTCAAAGTGTAATCCATTTGTTAGAATGGAGGTTGTGTTACTAATTGAACTTTGGCTTGGCAATCCAGACAGTTAGGTCTTTTAATTTCAACAATTTTTAAAAAGTATTATCAAAGACCTAATCCTGTTTACAGATGAAACCTTTTCCTGTGAACAGGATGTGCTGTCTTTGGTTCTGAACTCATCAAAATGCATTTGAGAGGGTGTGATTCACAAATTAAATTTGAGTTGTTTATGCCGATTTATGGGCATGGTTTTGATTTTTAAACAAGGCTAGTCCAATGCCTATGGAGAACTGAATGGGTAGTGGTTAGCAAGCTCTGAACATAGACATACATACACAAACCTGCACAAAGCTTTTCTTTTGGATTTGTAGCATTAAACCTTTGTTGTGCAATGAATGCCAATTAAAACAAATGACACGGTAGCCTTGATGATCTCAGCCAAAGGCATGATCCACTGATCAGAACCAAAGGCATACGCTTGAAAAGCTGACACTTTCATATCACTACCTAGTACTTATTTGCTGTGTCACTTTGTCAATTACCTAGGCATTGCAGCTATACCGTATAAATACTACTTCCACCTCTGGGTTCAGTAATTGTCTCTAATCAGCTGAGAGCTGTATCTCCATCTGCTGAGGATGAACAGTAAAATCCTAGAGGAAGGTAACTTGACTGGCAATTCCTCAGCTTTGGAACCATTTCTCCCCACCCCCAAGAGGTTTGCCAAAGCCTGAATTTGATCAGAATCCAGAATTAATACAACATTTGTGACATGAGCAAACGTTTTGTGACTTTGGCTAATTTTAGTCTTATGCTTATTTATAATAAAAAAAAATTGCTATGGACTCCACCCCAAAAAGGCACTGAATTTGCCCTTGCTTTTGGCATTTATTCTAATCTTGCAGTGATAAGCCCATACAAGCTTAAGGGTTGTAGCCATTGCTGCATGACCAGAGTTCTGTTTGCACAGTGGGAGTTCCCTTTCCTCACACTATGCGATTCCAAAATCTATTCTGGAGCGCCTCGCAACCATATGGAGCAGATTTTGAGGATACATGGGTGGGGGCTTCAACGGAGAGGAAATTTCCATAGTACAAATGGAAATCTGCTGCTTGAACGAAACAGCAGTGTTTGATACAACCCTAAATAGAGCTAGAACTTGAGAGTGTCTGCTTGAAAGTTCTCAAGCGCCTCAGGATTTTCACAATCTCCATTAACCCCCAGCAATCTTTCTTGCAAAGAACGGGTGAGCCTCTCCACTGCTACTAAACATTATGCTTTTTGAGAGGTTGGGATGGAATCGTAACTGCCCGCTGGAGAGTTCTTGTTGGCGGCTGGCTGCTTCAGAGCTTTTGTTTCTGTTGCCAGGTGGAATACTGTCCGTGTGTGGTGGCCAACGACTGCTGGAACCTGTTAATGGAGTTCATGCAAAGCTTCATGGGAAGCCACGCTCCCGGAATCCCATCTGTGTTTGGCAATAAGCACGACAGCATCTACAGCTCGGCTGACACAATGGTCCAGTACATGGAACTCTTCAACAAGATTCGCAAGCAGCAGCAGGTGCCTGTCGCAGGAATCAGATGAGGAAAGCTTCGTAAGGCCTTATTTCACGGGAGCAATCAGTTTGCTGAATAGTCGGTTGAAATTGCAGTTCCATCCCAGTAGTCCAGATCGCAATTGTTTCCCATTAAATCAATGCAGTCTGTCTCCCTAAGAGAGGTAGAATTAATTCTGTCTCATCTCAAACCTCCAGGGGTATGCCTCTCTTATAATAATGGCATACTTTGCCTTAGACTGCTATCTCAGAGATCTGCCTCCCGCTCTTGAAGCAAGATTCCTGCCCCTGAGTGGAAGCTGGAGGAAAACAATCATCTTGAAGGAGCACAGGTTGAAATTGCATAGAAATAGGAGAATGGGCTTTGGGGGTCCTTAATTTCCTTGACTGGCTACGAGTGAATATGAAATTTCTATGAGAGTGAAAATAGGTTAATATGGCTTTTATTAAAGGAACTTTAATTTTGCATATTAATGTTGTAGATGTTACGTATTTTATAGATTTTATCCTATAATTTGCGGGAGATTTATATTTTGGGTTGAAACGTAATATCTCGTTGAAGCAAGCAAGATAAATTATCTGTTGGCTTATCTGTGTTTAAGTTATTGGCATCTTACTATCTTCAAAAAGCATTTGAGAGGAATAAAATGTTTGGGCTTTAGGTTCATTTCACTGAAGTCTTAGGGCTTAATTCCTCTGCCTTCTTGACTAATGTTTTCTGCTGGAACAGATAAAACCCCTGACAGTGCAAAACTTGTACAGAGCAAGATTTCAGTCAAAATCACCAAGGCATCATTATCTTTTGAAGATGATATAAAAAAAATGCATACCTTGAAAGTTCTCAAAAATATTAAGAATGATGCTTATTAAAGAAGCTAACATGTTCACCTTATTTTATTTGTTTGTGTTTTAAAACTTATTTGTTATGTTTTGTTACTTCTACAGTTTGTTGTGTTTACTGCATTTAAAGCTTCCCAAATTAAAAGAAGAAAAAACTAATCTAGGACCCTCTCTTCTTTATTAATGGAGTCCAAATCTTGATAAAGAATTTGGATTGGCTGTGTAAACCTCCCCCCCTCCCAGCTTTACAATTGCCTCCCCCTTCACCCTGACCTATTTGTGTATTAGCCTGGTATTGTGCTATTCTGTGTAGTAGCAACAGGCTGTAGGCTTCAGCCCCAGGATCTTTGTAATAGTGTGCAGGTAAGGAAACTTTGTACCTGTGCTCCAGTAATGAAAATTTGTGCCACCTTTGTGCTGAGATAGCAATACATTTGGTACTGTTGGGCTGGTGCTGTTGAAACCACTACACAGCGTATGACGATTGTGCATGGCACTTGGGGGGGGGGGAGCAGAAGGCAGAGTAGGAGTTATTTGTGGCAAATAAGTGGTTATCATAAGGACCATGGGAGCATTTCTGCCCATTAACATTGACATTCTTGCCCTGAAATGTGTTGACGGGGAAGCGGAGTAATTTTTTGGGGAAAGCATATTTTGCTTTAATTTTTGTAGGGAGCATAGAGCCAGTCAGAGTACCAACCACCCTTGGTGATCCAAAACACATTTTGATGAAAAAGGGATGTGCCTTGTGTGAGTGCAGGCAGTTTTGGTTCACAGATCACACTAAGCCCAAACATGGCTTACTGCCCTCCCAGAGTGGAGGTGACAGCCATTTTGCCTTAGCTTAGTGTGGCATGGAAGTAAAAAAAGACCTGAGGAGGAGCCAAGTCTGGCTTAGTGTGTTTTCTGTAACTGGGGCCATGGTTCAGCTCTCTGCCCAACTAGCCAAAATCTGTAAACCAAGAACAAACCTTGGATAGAGCTCCTGATTAGTGAGGAGAATGCCTTACTACAAGCTTGAGTTCAGATGATGCAGTAAGTCAAACCTTGGCCTAACTCGGTGCAGCTTGAGAGTAAAAGAGACTGGGGAGGAGAAAAGCAGCTATGAGGTCCTAATAATAATAATTTATTATTTATACCCCTCCCATCTGGCTGGGTTACCCCATCCACTCTGGGAGGCTCCCAACAGAATATTAAAAACACGATAAAGCATCAAACATTAAAAACTTCCCTAAATAAGCCATACATTCCCTGATAAGCCATACTTTGGCTTACTATGACATGCAAATCAGGCTGCTGTGTGCATAATGTGGCATATGGCACAGCGGGAGGCGGGGGGGGGGGGAGAGAGAGAGAAGCCCAGAATGTGGTTTGCCATAGTGATTCCTTGTTTTTCAATACAGCACTGGAAAAATCAAACACTTCTCTTTTTTCCTTCGCCCCAACTTAACTGAGTGAAGAGTGCATGGTAGCAACTGCTTTTCATTTCTGCCCATATATGGATTCTGCTGCAAGTTCAAAATGTAAACTCTGAAAATGTAGTGCCTTTACTGCATGTGAGGCAGAATGTTTAATTTACAGGATTGGAAGGGGACTTTTTTGGAGAGTCAGAGGGGGGAATGCTGTATTCCTGGTCTGAACAAAATGCAAATAGTACTTTTTGGATCCAGGTGCATTGAATTGTATGTTAACCTTTCTCCCAAGTTATGTGCAGATTGATCATTTAAAAGAAAGATATTGTTAATCAGATTTTGCATTTGGGCAAAGTTGTAAAAATTATATAAAACATCTATTCTGAGAAAAGAAAGTTATAAGTTTGACTGGAGAATATTTACTTTGACTTGCAGCACTAATTATATTTGATCCATTGACCTCCAGCTGCTAGGAAACATTAGAACTATACAAATAATAAGGAAATACAATGATCACTGTTATTCACTGCCTACAAAGAAATTCTGCCAAAGCTATTAATTACATATGATTTTTATTGGTAGGCAATCATTTCTTAAGCCTGCATATCTAAACATTAAGGCACTTAGAAAAGCTTCTTGGTATTTTCAATCCAATCCATTGGCTATGAGCCCAGAAAGATCTGACAAGTTGATTCATAACATGTGCGGAAAATGGTTTGTACTGCAAGTAAATTTAACATATTAATAACCAAATTGAACCTGATCTATGAACTATACTTCATTTGACTTTAATAAGTTTTGATTCCCATGCTTACTGATTAACTGCAGTGGGTAAGTTCAAGGCTCAGACCTTTGGCTTGTTGATGTTCTGCCTTTTAAAGGAGTTAACATAAGCCTCTGTTCTAAAATGTGTTTGCGTGGGGAGGGAGGGAGGAGAAACATTAGCTTCTGTGAGATGGGCTTGGGCGATGTATCAATATATCGCCCAGGACCAGTATGAGGAGTTGGTTTCACTCAGTGGTATATCACTGCTTCTGAGTCCCTCTCCTAGCAGCGCAACTTCATCCAGGGGGTGCTGCTAGCAGAGGGACTCAGAAGAGCAGTGGTTTCACCAGCGATATACCGCTGAGTGAAAAAGACTTCGCAGTCTGCCCTCATATGGGGCAGAGGGAGAGACAAGCTGCATTTAACGGAGCCCCCAGTCCGGCGCTGGCTTGCCAAAGCCGGCAGTGGGGTGGGGGCTCTGTGAAACCGTCCCCCCCATCAGAGCAACCACGACGCTTCAACAGCATCGTATTGCTCAGCTGGGGGGGGGGGGGCTTTTTCTACACAACAGCTGCGTGAAGCCTGATGCTACTGTGGCGTCGCATTGCTCAGGTGGGTGGAAGAAGCCTCCCCCCACCCCATCTGAGCAATCTGATGCTGTTGAGGCATCAGGGCTCGCTCAGCTGGGGGGAGGGAGAGCCCCCCCCCAGCTGAGTAGCGGCCTGGGCCAGCTACATTGGCCCTAGCCTGCGAGGCACTGGGGTGAAAGGGCCCCAGCTCTGGTGGCGAAAGGTGCGGCACTTTCATCCTGCGTCTACCTGGCTGGGGCCAACGCAGCTTGTTTCAACATCGTGGTATAGCGCCAAACCGCAATGTGGCTGGTGAAACATCATGATGTTTAACATCTAACACCGCCCAGCAGTACTATAAGTGTTATGAATAAGCCAGAATGTGTAGGATTGGGACCTTACTTGTCAAAAATCAAGCTTTCTCACCAAGCTGGTTTTTGTAAATAAACACCAAGGGACGCATTCAGCTACATCAGAGTTTGGAAGTGTTTGAAGAAAGCAGATTTATATACCCACATGTATTTATTTAAAAGCATTTCTAAACCACTTCATGTTTTTAAAATCTCGTTAAGTGTATACTGTGAGGGAACATGATAGCAAATCTTCAAATACCTGAAGGGCTGTCACATAGGAAAGGGTAAAGGTGTGGTCTCTGCTATGCTAGAACACAGCACAATATCTAATGGGACTTCAGCTAGAGGAGGATGGCTTACCTAAGTGCTTTTCTACTCTTAAGATTCTGCTTGTACCCAGACTTCTAGCCATATTTAAATGAATGCTTAAATAAATAAATAAATAAATAAATAAATAAATAAATAAGCAAGCAAGCTTTTTATAAGAAATATAACAAACTCGCAGACCATCCAAGTGTCCCTGTCTTCCAGGGACAGTCTTAGATTTGATCCAAGGTCCCGATTTTCACTGGAAAAATGTTGGAGGATATGGAGTTATCCGATACCTGAGCCATCTGAAGGCAGTCCTGCATAGGGAAGGGTTTTTTTAATGTTTAATGTTTTATTATGTTTTTATATATATTGGAAGCCACCCAGAGTGGCAGGGTATAAATAAAATGATGATGATGATGATGATGATGATGATGATGGAATGGGCTGTTGCTATTTTCACTGGAGAAACATTGGAAGGTATGAAATTGCCAAATGATCTTTGTGAGGCTATATAATCAACACAGGAAAAGAGAAACTGTATTTTATTCAAGGCCTTGACCCGAGTTGGTAACCAAGTTTACAGCTAGCATTATTTTGGTAGATTTCAGGCAAGGGTTACTAATTAATGTTCATATCCAAGCAGCTAATGTCCCAATACTTTCCCCTTGAGAAGTATAATGAGATGTGTGGAACTGGCCTCCATTTTTCAGATATAGCACTGACTATCCTTGCTCATTTGAAAAATCTGTTACTGTCAGGTACACTGAAGGAAGCCCTCAGTGTAGAGATATTCTGGTAAAACTTCTCACATACTTCAAGGCCCTAGGAAAAGCCATTTAACTGCCACTAAACTGTCACAACTCATAAATTACACCCTCTCAGCCCTTCCCCTTGGATAAAACATTATGCAAATAAGTCTGGGGGTTTCTTAAGTTTGTTTGTTTTGCCTGTGACCACATACAGTAGTAAAATTTGCTTTATTTAAAATATTGATAACGTTCTCCCAAATGGTATAAATGCAAAATTATGTCACTAAATTGTATTTTAAAAATACAAAAGTAAGCAGCATTACTTTAAAATCATCCGTTACAGTTTTTCAGCAGCATGTCTAATGAAAACATGCAAATAAAAAGACACTTGAGAGGTTTTTTAAAGCCTTTTTGAATGTTCTGCATATAACTGGATTTTCTTGCCTTCATCCTTTGATGGCACTGCATCAAACTAAGCGCTGGTGGGTTCTGCAAGCATTCCTTTACCATAAGGGAAGATGCTACTATTGAATAAGTCTGAGGGGGATATTTGAAAGCAATTGGCACATAGAGCATTCTAGAATTGGAAGAAAACATGGGACAGCAACTCTCAACTGTTCACTGCAAAAACAGGCTGCAGGTCTCCCCCACCCTCAATTCAGTCCTCAGTAGGGGGGCTGGTTCTAATTTAGAGACCTACACTTAGTCTTGCCACATTTCTGTTTCAAAATTACCAGACCCTGGGTTAGAACTTTGATATGGGGGAGGAAGAGAGCTGGACTGTTCCCAAAGTGGAGCTACCACAAAGCATGCCATGGCATGATGGAAGCTGGCAGGTCAGTGATAGAAACTGACCAATTGTGGATAAAGCTTAGTGAAATCTAAGCAGGAGTCTGGCGAGGGTCTAAATCAAAACCCTTTGTTGGGCCAGAACAGCAAAGCAATGGTGTTTGTGTGTGTATGAGAGAGTGTTTAATGTGACAAGTGAAATAGCCTACAGCAGGCAACTATAATTAGCCAAATCATAGTAGGGGGAAACTACCCCAGATCAGATCACTTCTGTGCATTCTTTTGCATATTGTGTATTGCACACTATATGAATCTTTGTGTGAACAAACCCTTAGATGAGCTATCGGCTTTGGGTGCGGGGAGAGATTTCGGCTGCCTTGCAGAAATAGAGGCAGATATTAGAATCAGCTTTTGTAATGTAATTAAAATTAACACACAAAAAACAACCCTAAAAACCTTCCCCGATGCTTTTTTAAAAAATGAACGGGCTAGAAAGGCTGCCTGCTCTTCATCTCCTGTTATAGAAACAGAAACTAAATCATGCCGCCTCGTGTACAATGGTGACTGAATTAAAAAAAACCCTTAAATTTCCACAAAGGACTTGCGCTTCCCTGAAACCTCCGGCAGTCGGTTCTTTTCGCCCCCCCCCCGCATCCCCGCCTTCCTGTCCATAATTTTGGTCGTTGCCGTGGCAGCCGAGAATAAGGGGCGGGGCCAGGCCTGAAGAAGGCGACGAAACTACGCCTCCAGTCTACAAGTACCCATTGAGAAGGGGGACGAGGCCCCAGGAATGTCATTCTTAGATCTTTGGGAGTGAGGGCGGAATCCCCCGCCCCTAGAAATGTTAGAGTCGCAGATGATCGCCGTCCTTCTTGCCATTGCCGATCAAGGATTGAGCTGGCTTTCCCACTCTTAACTGCCAATACAAATCGTTAGGTTTTTCACAAAGACCGCAGAGGTCCTTTCGCTCCCCTGTCCCCTTTAGAACCAGGCGACTTCTTGCATTAGAACCAGGCGACTTCTTTGCTCTCTCTCAGCCTTTGGAGTTCAGTCAGAGTGACAAGAGAAGCTGGGCTGGCATACTTTCTTCCCTCAAGTGTTTTTTTTTTGGGGGGGGGACCAGCTTATTCGCTTGTTGTTAATGCTACATTAAACATTTCCACTACTGCTCCAGAGTTCAAAGGGTTTGTATCTGGCATTTTTAAAAAAAAGTTTTAAAAATGCATAGCGTGTTTAAAAAGCAAAACATGTAAACAGCAGGCCCAGTAAACACAAGTCAGAAAGTGCACCCTAAAACTTTGCAGGTTACAGGGTGTATTTCTTGCTGGGCAACTTGAAAAGAACAGTAACTGCCTGGGAGTTGGAATACGCAAACACACACACGCGCACACACACACACACACACCCCTTTGGAGCAGGGGCAGGCCTTTAAAAGTTAGGTTTCTTATGGCTCCTAATAAACTGCTACCAAGGATCTGAAAAATGCTCAGTAAAATCCACAGTGCGCTTATAAACATGCTCAAAATCAAAGAGGTACTTACCAATCCTACCGTTCCTGGTTATGGAACATTTATCTGATTCTTATTAGTTTGTGATTCCATGCACATATTATATGTCTTCTGTTAAAGAATTTTGATATAGTACAGTATAGTGTTATAAAAATATTGTCAGTATATTATTAGCTGACGTGTAGCTTGTCGTTCAAAATCAAAGAGGTGACTGACAATGCCCTGACTTGGTTAGCCTAAAGGAGCTTATCTTCATGGATGGCCACCTCACATCTTTTGGCACCCCTGAAGTGGCATTGTTAGGGAATGGCCAATGAAGGTCATGCTGAAGTCTTTTGCTGCAGGCCCTGTCTGAAAACAAGCTTGCATCCAATGTAGCGCTAAGTAACTGTCCTGCCTGGAAAAAAAATTATGCTTGTGTGATAAGACTTCTCCTCACTTGAGTACTCTGCATGCTCCCCAGATCTGCTCCAAAGAACCTAAAGAACCACCAGAGCTGTTTTAGGGGAACCAGTCAGGGTAGGGGAGAAAGTCCTGTTGCACAACTGTAGGTCCTTGCACTGACAGAAGAGTTGTTTAGCGCTGCACTGGATACATTACATTTTAATACTCTGCTAATATGGCAGAAGAATGTCATGTGGGTGGAATTCCAACCACCTGTTACCTTAATTTTCCAGAGGCACCAATGCATATGCAAAATGTACACCATTTTGGGTCATGAATCTGTGAGTGGAGTCCCTGCATTCTTGTTACCTCACATGGTTCTTGTGAGTTTTGGATTCACTGGAGCTACCACCACTTTATCTAGTCTGTATCATGAGGGACTTTTGCCCTGAGCGTGCAAAGAGTAAAGTTTATCCATTTGATGACTGGCAATCGTGACCTATCTTTTCTTGCTTTGAGGCCTCAGACAATGTAGGGCATATTGACACATCCCATGGGTCATATCTCGATTCTGAGCCGTTTGTTTTAAACAGCAGAATAATGCTTTAGTGTTATGAAGTGTCTCCTCCAAATAAAAATCAGTTCCTTTAATTTCTGATCTATTCTGTCAAATTATTCACCTCTGTGTAAAACTGTGGCACTTTGATAGCATGAGAAGCAGTTGTGTTCCCCAGCTGTATCACCTCACTCTGAGTTTTCTGCTTAAGGTGACCCCCCCATCTTTTGTCTTTTGTATCTGCTGAGGCAATTCATGCCGCGCGCGCGCACACACACACACACACACACACACAAGTTTATGTAAAACAGCTGCTTTCTGCTGTTTCCTGGTTAGCTTATTTTTAGAAACCAGCATTCTTAAGACTAAATAAATATGCTGTTTAATAAGTGTAATTTTTAGTAAGAAGTTAAACCAAGCACTTTTATCTTGATGAAAAAGCTGTCCCCGGGGGCTGATCCTGAACATGCCCATAATTTGCGGTGGGGTGGATTTGATCCCTGTTTCCTGTTGACACCCCTCTCCCACTTTGCCAGCAAAGGTTCAGTTTACTGCCAGTGTTTGCCATTGAAGTGCTTTATTAAACTAATCACTTTTTAACAAATCTTCCATTCCTACTTCAGTACTTCTACAGGAGGATTCTCTCGGCCTCCTGGGAGCAGGATCACAGATTTTATCACTACCTGCCATTGTGTTAAAAAGTTGAAACTGCTCTAAAACTGTGATATTTTAAAAATGTTCTCTGCATATCTGAGAAAACATTTTTAAAGAAGAACAAAAACTTAAATGGGACACAGGTGGTGCTGTGGTCTAAACCACAGAGCCTACGGCTTGCCGATCAGAAGGTCGGCGGTTCGAATCCCCGCAACAGGGTGAGCTCCCATTGCTCGGTCCCAGCTCCTGACGACCTAGCAGTTCGAAAGCACATCAAAGTGCAAGTAGATAAATAGGCACCGCGCTAGCGGGAAGGTAAATGGTGTTTCCGTGCGGTGCTCTGGTTTGCCAGAAGCAGCTTAGTCATGCTGGCCACATGACCCGGAAGCTGTCTGCGGACATACACCGGCTCCCTCAGCCTATAGAGCGAGATGAGCGCCGCAACCCCAGAGTCATCTGCGACTGGACCTAACGGTCAGGGGTCCCTTTACCTTTACCCTTTAAAGACTGAAATAACAGATTTGAAACTGCCCTCTGGCTAATAGTTTTTTTTTATTGAACACAACTAGGAATTCAGATTTTTTACTCCGTGCCCTTGGATTTATTTTATCAGCCAACTGAAAGGACCAGAGTGAGTAGAAAGTTTATGATTGTTATTCAGGGTGATCTGTGCCCTGAACACCTCACTTCATTAGCCTGTCAATAGTCCTTTCTTCGGCAATCGATCCACAAGTGGGTGTGCAAACCCTCCTTGCATGAATTTCAGCCAAAAAGGAATGCACAACTAGATGCTTTCAAACACTGGCAAAATTTGTTTTGGGGTCAAGAAAAGCCCCAAGGAATTTAGACAAGCAAAGCAATAGTATGGTAACTCAGATGTTACAGAACAAATAAGATATGTCTGGGATATTACACCTAAATTATTGCTGTAGCTAACCAATTAACATAAAATAAAATAAAAATCAGACAGTACACAGAGAAAAAAGCAAGATGTTTCATAGCCTTGATTATTGCTATTGCAGCTGTACTGCTCAGCTGGCAACCTTCATCACAGATGGTGGACTATGACAGGAATCTTCACTTCAGTGCCTTGTTTGTGGATGGCGGCATCTCCTATAATCCCTAACTAAGATCTCACAGGGCCATTAGGCAGCGTCTTTTCAGGTTTCAGATAGATCTCTCCCAACACAACACCCCCACTCCCCCCAAGTTGGCCTAGCCGCCCCCCCCCCTGCCCTCTAGTTCACATGGCAACCAGAACTATAATCAGCCTACCATTCACCCTGGGTTAACTTTCAGTTGGCCAATCTTCACACAAGGTTCATTACACTACTTCTCATACCCCTTGGAGAGGGAGTGGAAAGTAAAATTATGATGTAGTTGAATTACAGGATCCCGCTGAATTTGCATTATTTTCGTACGCACATGACAGTTCAAATCACAGTTCACATTCTTCCCCATAACAACCATGGATCTAGCAGTTTGCTGTGGTGCCAAAACATGGACCTGGAGCTCATCAGAATGGTTTCTCAATGGAAATGGTCCAAATCCAAATTATGAGTCACATCCGTATTCACAAAATGTGCTCCCAAAATCACAGACCCATGACTTCATGTCTCCATCAGAGTGCTAAACCAAGGATCCTAGACCCTCATGGTTTCTCCCTGGAGGCTTCCCAAATCAGCCATCACTATACATGGATCTAGTCCTTATGTTACCATCACAAAACAAGAATGTAGATCCAGGGCAATTCCTCTTTCTTTCTTATTTTAAAATTGTTACACCATAAAAGTGTACCATCTATTCATAGCTCAAGCCCATCCACACAGATTTCACTGTAAAAATTACAGCTCCATCACAGTGTCGTCTGGGCAGCCCAGGACCACCTCCATACACACTGCCCAGGCTTGTGCCCCAGGGAGGTTTAACTTCACCCCAGAGGCAGCACACTCTCAAGACAGAAGGATGCCAACAATACAACAAGCACAGTGGCACAATCACATGTATCTGAGACATGGCTCTCTCATAGATGATCGGAGCTCATATCTGTGTGCACAGAGTGGAGACTAAATTTGAGGATCAAGAAGTAAACCAGGACCAGATGACAAAACAGTAGGAAGAAACATCAAAAGTCATGACTAAACAATAATCAAGCATACAGGAACAAACCAGAGCTCAGGAAGACCTTGTTGCTCAACAAGATTTAATTGCAACAGAAGGTTATAACTCATTCCTTCCCTGGATGATCCAATGGGAAGCATGGGTGGATGAAGTAAGTCCAGTGCTAGAAGGTTCTTAATTAAGAAGGCTGCAGCAATTGCAACATGCAGTTTAGTGATCCACCACATGGGTCAAAGGAACAAGAGCATTCAGGCAACAACACCAGCTGCAGAAGATCAGCCTAGCCACTTTGTTCTGACATTGAAGAAGAACTAATTTCCTTTCTATTCCGTTTACTTCCATTTACCTTGTGTGTTCTTTTAGTTTCTAGTCCTGATAACAGCTCTAGCTCTTGTTAAAATTGATGTCAGCCGCTTTGGGTGACAATAACAGTCTAAAAAGTTGCATAAAACAACAAATATATCAATACGAGACACCTGCATACAAGTCTAGCAGCATCTGATATGCTGATGTAAACAGCCTGCTTTTCCACAATGGGGAGTGATGCAGCAAGTAAGTTCAGGTGCACTGGTCAGAACTCTGCTCAGTGCTGTTGCTATAGGCAGCCATCCCACAAACAAGCTGGTCCCCACTAAGTATGCAAGGTGGCCCATTGAGGGCAGCTTGCCTAAAGTTTCCCCAAATCTGGAGTAGGGACTGATAACCTATGAATCTGGTTCATACTTTAGCATCACACCACAAGTTTATAATGCATTTCATAGACATGAATATGATTTGTGGTTTGATGGCAGATAGGGCGGAATTCTATGGGAGGAGGGGAATAAGGATCAATAAGGGTCTGCGCCCTTGATCTTTGTTATCTACAACAATGCTAGATCTACAAAAAGCAAAGGAAGCTGTCTTAGTCCATTACAACAATCCAGTTAGGTAATACAGTACCTGGTTGGGACTGGCCCAAATATTATCAGAATTACCAGGCTGGATATTAGGGAAATCTAGAGCTGTGGTTTTTATGTTGGAGTCCATAGAAATGGATGCAAGCAGTGATTTGATAGTTGCTTTGGGAACATTCCATGTGTTATGCTATTCTGGCCATGAAGTGCTGAATCCCTTATATTTTACAGTAGTTTGTGGATGAATGAAAGCTGTGATTTAACAACAAATTTGGCATTTGGGGAACCTTTGCATGTTAACTTTAATAATGAAGATCCATGCTTTTATGTCACAGGAGCATCACAAAGCACTGGATTTCTATACTGCAGTCAACAGATATAGATGTGAGCTGTAATCTGGTAGTAGATTTGCGGGGAGGGCTTCCACACAAAAATGCTAAGGTCCGATCGGTATAAATCTTGCATTTCTCCCCCCTGAAAGTGCATATTACCACATGCTTTTTCCCCCAGAAAGAATGATTCATTGAAAGACGATTTTTCTGAATAAATTTGCCGACACCTCTGCTGCAAAGTTATTCTGTACGATACGTTAATTTCTCCCATTATACATACAAGCATACAAGGAGATTCAAAACGGCCGCAACGGAGCCTGCTTTTCCGTCCGTGCAGTCTCTGCCTGCCTCAGATTATTCACCTGCTGCCATGTCATCAGTTCCTTCCTGACGGTAAAACGAGGCAAAAAAAAAAGGGGGGGGGGAAGCCACATAATATCTGTTTAAATTATATATACTTTAAAAAGCGGCAAGTTTCACATTTTGACGCCGTGTGGGTTCCTTAGCCCGGTTTCTATTGCGGCGCTTGGAGCAGCCCGCGAAGCAAAAGGCTCTCCAGCCGGACCTGCGACTGGAGAGGGAAACGGGGCGCAGGATTCGGCCGCTGCTCCGCGTGGCGTCCGCCAGGCAGTAACCCTGCGGGGCCGCGCGCACGCTGCGTGTGTGTATACACGTGTGTTTACACATTGGGCCATGTGAACGTGCCAGCTGCTGCCCCTTCCCTTGTCTCGGGGGGCCGTCGCGGAGCAGCGACATTCGGGAGGCTTCTCTTCCCCGTCCCTTGCGAGCCCTCAGCCCCGCCGCGAGACCCAAGCTCCCCGGCCAGGCCCTCCGCGACGCTCCGGAGAGACAGGCGGGCGACCGACGAAATGGGGTCCTGCGTCTTTAAGAGCCCCTTTGTCTCTGAAACATCCTTATTTACCCTCCTGTGATTCAACCAAACTTAACCCCCCTCTTCCTCCCCCCGCGATTCACAAAGCCCACGGATGTCACAGCTCCGGGGGCGGAGCTAACGTATTCCCCGGACCCTCCTTCCGAGACTCCGCTTCTGGTTTTTATAGGATTTGGTTAGCTTCCGCAAGTGCCGTAAACTAGCAGTTCGGGGGAACAAGAGACGGCAAACGCGTCTGCTTTGGCTGCCACGCCGTTAGGGACGAACTGTTCCGAAGAATCTTCGGATTCTCGGGAAAACTAAAAACAACAACAACAACCACCCCACACAATCTGACGCGTCACTAGCGTAAATCAGTGAGAGGGTTCCCGCTCTTTCGTGTTACGTAGATGACGCCGAGAAGAAAAGGAACCGTCCAAGAAAACTTTCGGGAGCCCCCTTGCGCAGGTAGCGTAAACGTGCTCGCTGAATGGCGACTCGTCGTAGGGCGGCCCAAGCCGGGAGTGGGAAGGAAATAGTGTCTGGCGGGCGGTTGAGCCAACGGCAGCGCGGGGCGGGGCGAGCTCGGCGGCCAATGGCGGCCGGGGGGGCGTGTCAGGTACCGGTTGGGGTGTCTCGCGCTTGGTGACAGCTCGCGCGTGCTGATGATGGCGGTAAATAAAGGGGCCGGAGGGGGGGAGGGGGCTTTACCCCCTTGGGGGCTCAAACCCTAAATGTGGGGGAAGTGAAAGACCCACAGCTGGGGTGGAGAGGGGTGCTTCATCCGCGGCCCAGGGAGGCTGAGGGTAGAGGGGGGGCTTGACCCCCGATTTGGGGTGGGAGGTTTGAGGGGGCTCCACCCCTTTGGGGCTCAAATTCCATATTGGGGGTGGGGGTTGTGCTGCTTTAAGCCCCTCCTTCCTGTTTGGAGAGAATTTCGCCTCCCCGCCTGGCCAGGCCGACGGAGGGGAAGAGGTCTTGACCCCTAAGCAGGAGAGGGGCTGGAGGAGGAATGCCCCCCCCCCCGCCAGATGGGAGGTTGCGCGCCCCGAAGGGGAGGCGGGCATGGACCTCCTCTTGGGGAAAGAGGTCCAGGGAGCTTGCCCTGCGTGAGGGCAGAAAAGGGCACCAACCTCACCAACTGGGGGGGGGGGGAGCGGCTATGACAGGATTTGCCGCCTGTGGCTGAACAGGCAAAGGCAGCAGCCAACTAGCTGGTTTTTTAAATGCTCAAGCCAGACTGCCTTGGTTGGAGAGACACGGGGTTCTTGTACAATCTGAGCGCCAGGGGTATATGTTGGACAGGGGGAACCTGAAGGCTCAGGCAGAGAAACAAAAGCGAAAAGAAACCCGAGGGTTGGGAGGACTGAGTCAAGAACAATTTAGAAATTAAAGTTGTAGGGACCCTCAAAGGAGGCATTGGAAGGGGAGAGAGGAAATTAAGGGCTGGTGTGTATGGTATAGCTGCTGAGATCTAAGACAAGAAGCTCCCCATTTTAATGCTTGTGAAACGAATAGGGCCCTTAATGGCTAGAAAGCAGCAGCAAGAGAGTTAGAAGTTTGAGTTTGAGGATGCCAGACTTGGAACAAGGATTGTAGTGAGGAATATTACATTGTTGCGGGTGCTAGCACAGGCAACGTGGAAGAGAGCTAAAATAACGATGGGCAAGCAGGGTGGTGCACGTTGGTATTGCTAAGCTGTGAGCAGTTCTTTGTTTGCTGGAAGATGCTTAGGTGGTTCACTTCAAGTGTGATGTTTCTAACTTCTTTTTTCAGAGCATTGTGCTCTGACTCGCATTGATCTATTATCACTTAATCCCACAGGGTTTCCTTCCCTCTGCTCCAAGTTAAGAACATTAGTATGAAATCGGTTTGAGAGAAAGCATTGTACTAAAGTACTTTGGAACTCATTTCTGTTGTTGGTTTGATTATATGTGTAGCAGTGCTGAAGAAGTTGTTCCAGGGATGGAACCATATGATGGAACTTGGGTGTCCCTGGAGTTAATGCAAATGAGAACACTTAGCCTTACAGGATGCTTCCAGCTTTCGTAATAACTCATTTGCAAATGCTGTTTGTCACACAGCAACTATGCTATTGAAGTCAGTGCTGTTATGCTGCCCTTGTATGAAAAAAGAATGGGATTCTGAAGATAATGATTTTCGTGTAGTGCTGTTTTCTCCCCTTTTATAAATAAATTGTATATATTACCACATTAAAGTTAAAGGAAGGTTTTACATGCTTTAAAAAGCATTTTTATTGAACACATCAGCACATGTGAAAGAATGTTAAAAGTCTGTTTTATGTTACATTAACTAGTTTTTTTGCCAGATGAGCATGATCTTGTAGGGGGAAAGCAGCTAGTGAGGAGCTGTGTGTTTCATGCATACTTAAAGATTGTAGTGTTAAGCCTGACGTTCTTGCTATTTCAGAATGTGTTGGTTCTTTGATCTTTGAGAGAAGGAAGTAAGACTTTTTGTTTACTTCATCAAAGTTTTCCATTTTTCTACTCCCCCCCCCCATTGTTAGTGGAAAAAGGGGTAGGGCTAAGCATTAACTTTAAACTAGGTGGTTTGTTAAATGATGTCAAAAAAATAAGAGATGTCAAGTCAGGCATCTCTAGTTCCTTTCAATGTTCCTAAGGCTTTTGAGAAGCCTTGTGTTTTTCTTTGGTTGTGTTAAGCCCAATTTTATTGTGAAGAAACAAGTTTTATCCCTCCCCCAATAAAGCAAGTTTTAATTTCATGCTGAAATACTGGAAACTTTAAACACACACCAAATTAATAATATTTGTCAACGAAATTTTTAATTCCTGTTTGAAATCTATTTTCTCCAGTTTATTTAGAACTGAAACATTTGTAGGATATAGGTAGGAAAATGTTTTATTTCTAAATAAAGTGCAGAATATGAATGTACCATGTTTTTAATGATACATGTTTCTTCCTTGCCCCTTTACTAATCTGTAAAAAAATAAATAAATCTAGATAGTCTTTTAAAAGGCGTTAACAGTAAATACATTTTAATATAATTTCAACGTAATCAAATTTAAGTTTAGTTCTATCCCTTGTTGTTGTTTAGTCGTTTAGTCGTGTCCAACTCTTCGTGACCCCATGGACAAGAGCACGTCAGGCACTTCTGTCCTCCACTGTCTCCCGCAGTTTGGTCAGACTCATGTTTGTAGCTTCGAGAACACTGTCCAACCATCTCGTCCTCTGTCGTCCCCTTCTCCTTGTGCCCTCAATCTTTCCCAATATCAGGGTCTTTTCCAGGGAGTCTTCTCTTCTCATGAGGTGGCCAAAGTATTGGAGCCTCAGCTTCACGATCTGTCCTTCCAGTGAGCACTCAGGGCTAATTTCCTTAAGAATGGATGCGTTTGATCTTCTTGCAATCCATGCGACTCTCAAGAGTCTCCTCCAGCACCATAATTCAAAAGCATCAATTCTTCGGCGATCAGCCTTCTTGATGGTCCAGCTCTCACTTCCATACATCACTACTGGGAAAACCATGGCTTTAACTATGCGGACCTTTGTTGGCAAGGTGATGTCTCTGCTTTTTAAGATGCTGTCTAGGTTTGCCATCGCCTTTCTCCCAAGGAGCAGGTGTCTTTTAATTTCGTGACTGCTGTCACCATCTGCAGTGATCATGGAGCCCAAGAAAGTAAAATCTCTCACTGCCTCCATTTCTTCCCCTTCTATTTGCCAGGAGGTGATGGGCCCAGTGGCCATGATCTTCTTTTTTTGATGTTGAGCTTCAGACCATATTTTGCGCTCTCCTCTTTCACCCTCATTAAAAGGTTCTTTAATTCCTCCTCACTTTCTGCCATCAATGTTGTGTCATCTGCATATCTGAGGTTGTTGATATTTTTTCCGGCAATCTTAATTCCGGCTTGGGATTCATCCAGCCCAGCCTTTCGCATGATGAATTCTGCATATAAGTTAAATAAGCAGGAGACAATATACAGCCTTGCCGTACTCCTTTCCCAATTTTGAACCAATCAGTTGTTCCATATCCAGTTCTAACTGTAGCTTCTTGTCCCACATAGAGATTTCTCAGGAGACAGATGAGGTGATCAGGCACTCCCATTTCTTTAAGAACTAGCCATAGTTTGCTGTGGTCGACACAGTCAAAGGCTTTTGCATAGTCAATGAAGCAAAAGTAGATGTCTTTCTGGAACTCTCTAGCTTTCTCCATAATCCAGCGCATGTTTGCAATTTGGTCTCTGGTTCCTCTGCCTCTTCTAAATCCAGCTTGCACTTCTGGGAGTTCTCGGTCCATATACTGCTTGAGCCTTCCTTGTAGAATTTTAAGCATAACCTTGCTAGCGTGTGAAATGAGTGCAATTGTGCGGTAGTTGGAGCATTCTTTGGCACTGCCCTTCTTTGGGATTGGGATGTAGACTGATCTTCTCCAATCCTCTGGCCACTGCTGAGTTTTCCAAACTTGCTGGCATATTGAGTGTAACACCTTAACAGCATCATCTTTTAAAATTTTAAGTAGTTCAGCTGGAATACCATCACTTCCACTGGCCTTGTTATTTGCAGTGCTTTCTAAGGCCCATTTGACTTCACTCTCCAGGATTTCTGGCTCAAGGTCAGCAACCACACTACCTGGGGTGTACGAGCCATCCATATCTTTCTGGTATAATTCCTCTGTATATTCTTGTCACCTCTTCTTGATGTCTTCTGCTTCTGTTAGGTCCTCACCACTTTTGTCCTTTATTATGGTAATCTTTGTACGAAATGTCCCTTTCATATCTCCAATTTTCTTGTACAGATCTCTGGTTCTTCCCATTCTGTTGTTTTTCTCTATTTCTTTGCATTGCTCGTTTAAGAAGGTCTTCTTGTCTCTCCTTGCTATTTTTTGGAAATCTGCATTCAGTTTCCTGTATCTTTCACTATCTCCCTCGCATTTTGCTTGCCTTCTCTCCTCCGCTATTTGTAAGGCCTCGTTGGACAGCCACTTTGCTTTCTTGCATTTCCTTTTCATTGGGATGGTTTTCGTTGCTGCCTCCTGTATAATGTTGCGAGCCTCCATCCATAGTTCTTCAGGCACTCTGTCCACCAAATCTAAATCCTTAAACCTGTTCCTCACTTCCACTGTGTATTCATAAGGGATTTGACTTAGATTGTATCTTACTGGCCCAGTGGTTTTTCCTACTTTCTTCAGTTTAAGCTTGAATTTTGCTATAAGAAGCTGATGATCTGAGCCACAGTCAGCTCCTGGTCTTGTTTTTGCTGACTGTATAGAGCTTCTCCATCTTTGGCTGCAGAGAATATAATCAATCTGATTTTGATGCTGCCCATCTGGTGATGTCCATGTGTAGAGTCGTCTCTTGTGTTGTTGGAAAAGAGTGTTTGTGATGACCAGCTTGTTCTCTTGGCAGAACTCTATTAGCCTTTGCCCTGCTTCGTTTTGAACTCCAAGGCCAAACTTGCCAGTTGTTCCTTTTATCTCTTGACTCCCTACTTTAGCATTCCAATCCCTATAATGAGAAGAACATCCTTCTTTGGTGTCAATTCTATAAGGTGTTGTAAGTCTTCATAGAATTGGTCAATTTCAGTTTCTTCAGCACCAGTGGTTGGTGCATAAACTTGGATTACTGTGATGTTAAAAGGTCTGCCTTGGATTCGTATCGAGATCATTCTATCATTTTTGAGATTGCATCCCAATACAGCTTTTGCCACTCTTTTGTTGACTATGAGGGCCACTCCATTTCTTTTACGGGATTCTTGCCCACAGTAGTAGATATGATGGTCATCCGAACTGAATTCGCCCATTCCCGTCCATTTTAGTTCACTGATGCCCAGGATGTCAATATTTATTCTTGCCATCTCATTTTTGACCACATCCAACTTACCAAGGTTCATGGTTCTTACATTCCAGGTTCCTATGCAATATTTTTCTTTACAGCATTGGACTTTCCTTTCGCTTCCAGGCATATCCACAACTGAGCGTCCTTTTGGCTTTGGCCCAGCCGCTTCATCAGCTCTGAATCTACTTGTACTTGTCCTCTGCTCTTCCTCAGTAGCATGTTGGACGCCTTCCGACCTGAGGGGCTCATCTTCCAGCGTCACAACTTTTATATGCCTTTTGTCTTTGTCCATGGAGTTTTCTTGGCAGGGATACTGGAGTGGCTTGCCGGTTCCTGCTCCAGGTGGATCACGTTTGGTCAAAACTCTCCACTATGACCTGTCCATCTTGGGTGGCCCTGCATGGCATAGCTCATAGCTTCTCCAAGTTATTCAAGCCCCTTCGCCACGGCAAGGCAGTGATCCATGAAGGGGAGTTCTCTCCCTTACCTCATATCAACTCATTTAAAATCTAAAACTTTTCTCATATAAACCTCCATACCACCTTATACAGAAATAAAGGAGTCAAATTAAAACATAGAATATGGACTTTAAAAAAAAATAGTTTTGTAAATTTACAAAAAAAATATCTCCAACTGTTTTTCATTTCTTTCTCTTTTATTCCTGTAAACTAGTTGGCTTTACCTGTGAGTCATTTGTATCATTGGCTAAACTTCTGTGACATAAAAAAAAACCCTTGAAGGGCAGATAAGAGGTTGGCTGATAGAGGAAGTTAAGCACTCAAGGAAAAGAAGTGAAAACAGAAGAATCTGGGTTTTAATGTTATCAGGGACATGTAAGAAGGAATTGGCAGGAAGTAATATCTGGCAGCACAGAGGCACCCCCCCCAATAATTTGACAGTCCTATTAATTTTAAAATAACTTAAAATAACTGTCTGACTATATATCACCCAAACATTTGTTGAGCAGTTGTACCCCATAATATTTAAGAGGAAAAACCTAATATAGCCTCACAAACAGAAGGAACTTGATGCTGTTGATGGGAAGAAGCAAGCAGGGCTGCATTTGCAATGTACTCCTGAGTTTCCCCAAGGGTGTTCTGTCATCTTCTGATAGCTGGTATTATTGTTAGAAAACTGAAGAAAATGCTTCAACATCTGCACATGTGCTCTTGTTGGGAAGGGATGTGGAGAAGACTGAATTTAGATTAAACCAATTAGACTAAATGTTTCTTTCATGCGTTTTGGCTTCTATTTTAAATATATTTAAACCATCAGAAAACAGTCTGCTATCTAGAACTGAATTAATATTGCCAGTTTTAGGTACCCATGTGACTAGGCCTCTAGGATTATTTAAGCCCTACCTTCATGATTAAAAGCTTGTTCAGTATATTTCCTTGCTTCCTGAATAACCAGGTTAGGGCACTGGGAAATTTCTATAAAATGCATGTTTTCTAGAGCTGGACTAACAGCACCAAAAGCCCATGATAGACAAGATGTGGAAGATCTCTCCACTTCTTCTCCTTAAACAGTCATAGGGAGATTTTAATTCTTCCCAAAAATGCCATTTTCATGGATTTAATTATATCCCCAACCAAAAGGTGCTGTTTGACCACTGGGGAGGTGTGTTTTTCCCAGTGGGGCAATAGCAGCTTTGTGTGTGTGACAATTTGAGTTTGCGAAAACAGTATGAGGGGTTAAAACCTCCTTCAATGCTGTGGCCCTTATCAAATGCTGCCAGAACCCCCCTCCAGTTGCTTTTAATCAAAAAGGCAATGGCAGGGGATGTGAGTACAGATACCACATCTCATCTAGTTTAGTCCTGCAAGTACATGTACATGTATTGTGTTGCCTTCTGTCTATATAAAAATTGACATTATCAAAGGATCATATCATTAAATTTTAGATATAGTTCCTATATTTTAGATATTAAGGCAAAATTTGCTAACCTGGTATCTTCAAGATGTTTTGGACTATAACATTTATTAGCTTCAGCCAGCAGAGCTGTGCTGACTAGGGTTGATGGGAGTTGTCCAAGACATTTGAGCGTACCCAGGTTGGGGAAGAATCTGTTGAGGAGTCCAGCTGTTGAAAGCCTCTTGCAAGAAAACCAGCATCTTGAACTGCGCTGTGAAAACAACAGGCAGCCATCATTGTTCTTCACATTGTTATAAGCAGTACCTACATGAGGACACTCTGCGGGCTCTTGGGTACCCCATAAGAGAAAAGGAGCAGTTTTCCCCCTTATAACAACATGTTGATGCAGCATGTGTCTAATGACTCTTCCACATCAAGACGAAGGCTGTCATATTCCATTCCAGCTGTAACTTCTGAATAGCCTTTCATAATAATGATTCATCATACACTTAATTAAATCACTTCAATAACCTTGTGTGGTTATATGTTAATAGTTACTAGCTCTAAACTGGAGACAAAGCATTTCAGTTTTGTGCCTATGAGTGTGATTTGTGAAAAGTTTTCAAGGCTGCCACAGGAACCTAAAGATTTAGCAGCACCCAAAAAACCCCACACATGAGTTACTAAGGGAGGACAAAGACCATCAATAATGGTTGTTCCCTGGGACTTCTTGAACGGGGTAGGGGCCTTGCCAATCAGTAGTTAGATTTCTTACTTGGATTTCACTTCTATCTGTTCATCCTTTCCCAGTCCTCATTAGCAATCAGATGCTATATAAGAATCATGATTGCAGCATCATTTTAAGCCCGTCTTGGGCAAACTTGGATGGTTTGAAAGCTCAGAGTACATAACCACAAAATAATAATAAATCACAATGATAGGGAGCCAGGACTGGCACACTCACTGAGCAAGTAAATGCCATTTCTATTCCCCAACCTGACTGTTGTTCCTCCACACAGTAAATACAGTGGTACCTCAGGTTACATACGCTTCAGGTTACATACGCTTCAGGTTACAGACTCCGCTAACCCAGAAATAGTGCTTCAGGTTAAGAACTTTGCTTCAGGATGAGAACAGAAATCGGGTGGCGGTGCGGTGTCAGTGGGAGGCCCCATTAGCTAAAGTGGTGCTTCAAGTTAAGAACAGTCCTCCAGAACGAATTAAGTACTTAACCCGAGGTACCACTGTACATGTTGTTAACCACCACTTAATATAGTGGTACCTCAGTTTACGAACTTAATCCATTAGAGAAGTCCGTTCTTAAACAGAAACCATTCTTAAACTGAGGTGCACTTTTCCTAATGAGGCCTGCCGCCGGTGCCCTTCCACCGTTCGGCTTCCGTTCTTAGACCAAGGTAAAGTTTGCCAACCGGGACACTACTTCTGGTTTTGCGGAGTTTGTAAACCAAATAGTTCATAAACGGCTGTTCTTAAACCAAGGTACCACTGTATAGGATGGATTTGCAGCACGCATTTAATGTAGGAGCTACCTGTGCAGTATTACAATTCCAACCTCTAAATATGAAGCTGCAGTGGAGGAGAGATGAAGAACTCTCAACCTCCCCCTGATCATTTTCTGGTGGTACACTCCATTTCACTTTAGCTTAACTGTAAACATTGACTGTCTGTTGCCTGTCAGTCTGCAAGCTTCCATAACTACTGGCTGAACCGCTGTGATGTTACAGTAGCCTGGAGGAGAACTGGATAGGCATGGAGAGTAGTGGAGACGGAAAGGTTGAAAGGAAGTACCAGGTCCTAAATACCGTATTTTTTGCTCTATAAGACTCACTTTTTCCCTTCTAAAAAGTAAGGGGAAATGTGTGTGCGTCTTATGGAGCGAATGCAGGCTGCACAGCTATCCCAGAAGCCAGAACAGCAAGAGGGATTGCTGCTTTCACTGCGCAGCGATCCCTCTTGCTGTTCTGGCTTCTGAGATTCAGAATATTTTTTTCTTGTTTTCCTCCTCCAAAAACTAGGTGCGTCTTGTGGTCTGGTGCGTCTTATAGAGCGAAAAATACTGTATAATGGATTTGGGGACAAAGGGGGGCAGTGAAAACAGCAGAAAGCAGAAGGCATAGAAAAGAAATGTTGGAAACAGGGAGACTAAGAGAACGATGATGAGAGCAGGCAGTATGCTTAGGGAAGTGGGGACTGAGGAAATTTTACTAAAAGGTCAGTGGGTGGAATCCTCCCCACCCCCACCCCATTGTGGATTCAGTTGCTATGATAACACAATATTCTGGTGGAAGCTATTTCACATGGAGAAAGGCACAGAAAGAATTATGTTCTTTGGATGGAAATGGATATTGGAAAGGCAAAGAGGACTGTGGAGACACCCATATTTCTTAGTAGCTAGCTGTGGATGAATTAGCCCCAAATTTAGAAGAGTTCCAAAAATCTCAATTATAGCATTAACTTCTCTAACCTTCGTTTGCTTGGGAAATGAGTGTATGTGAGTTTTCGATGTGCTGTACTAGAGGCAAATCTGAAGAGTTCCAGGTGAGGAAGTAGAATTGAGATGGTTCAATATATAATTTTGCGGCAAGAGTGAAGCTGGACGCAGTGAGAGTAAAACGGACTGTGTACTGCACATGCACATGCAATTCTTTTAAAGCAGCTGACACAGGAGGAAAATAAATTTCACTAATCACTGACCAAGCGCCAACTTGACAATGCAGGTTCTTGGGAAGAGTACCGTTGTAGGCCATGTATATATCCAGACGGTAAGCAGAAGTTGATGCCTGACCAAAAAGAGACAAAAAAAGCATAGAGGCCTGGAGGAGGCAGAGCCCCAGCAGCCCATTCTCAGTGAAAGCATTCCTTCCAATGTTTCATGGGCTTGAACTAATACTACTTGTGAAATGTTTAGCGAATATGTAGTAAATGATCATGTAGTCCACTGTTAGGTTGTCTGTTGCCCTGTTGCCCGGGTTTCTGGAGGTTGATAAACATACTTTTGTCAGGTTGCCTAACTGTTTTGAAGCATTAGCTGGATGTTTTTAATAATTGGTAGAAAGAATTGTCTTATGCTTTATGTGACCTAGTGTCCCGTTAGGAAGGCTCGCTGGGGCTTGGCTTGAATGGCATTTGCAACTGATGTAGCTGCTTTGAGGGTCCTGTGGTAGAAAAATGGGATCTATTTACATACCAAATCCTTCATTTGATCATTTGAAATTTCTTTAGCATTTCCTTCTTGACCCTACCAGGGTTTTACTGCTTTTTCTTTTTAATTAGGTGTTTACTGAACACCTCTTCATACAATAATCTAGGCACATTGTCAGCTCTTCTAAAGGTTGTGCATGCACACTCAAGTACTAGAGAAAGTATGAAACCCAGAATGTGCTGAAAGCCAAACCTTGTTTTGGTAGTTAGAGACAAGTTTCTGACCAAGAATTTGGGGTGAAGCGGGGGGGACCACACGAGCCTTTCAGGCTGCTACAATATACCCAGGTGGTTATGTGAACAAAGATCCTTAACAGTAAGCTATTTTTACTAGCTATGTTAGAGGCAAGATATTTTAAGAATGGTTTAAAATAAATAAATTGGCCGGGATAGCCTAAATGGGCCTCCCCCCCCCCCCCCCTTGATTTTAAAATGTAGATGCAGATATAGTTTTCAAAATATCTTTAACTATGTACCATAAGGACTTCTGTGATAAGATCATAATTCTCTTAGAAGTGGTTGATCTTATTCAGCAAGCAAGGTGGAATGGTATTATTGCTGCTGCAGCTGAATCAGAGGTTGAGCTGCCAATAGATAAACTCCAAGTTGCATCTAGTTCTCAGCCTGCAGCCATACTGTGCATACCCAATATGCTTCTGCCTGCATTGCAAACAAACAAGAGTAGCAATCAGAAGTTGCTTAAGTGTATGCAGTTACTATGATTGTTTCTGCCAAAGAATGCAGAAGACTAGGAACATCACAGATGGAAACATGCTCTAAAACTGTGCCATTATCTTGAAATATTCGCCTTCATTGATCATTGCAGTGGTGTATCTGTTGTTTCACATAATTTCAGCTAAAACTGTACTGTTCAGTGACAGCTTTTGCTACTTGCTGAATTAATCTAAGTCTCTATTTTAATAATTCATACCGATTGTATGGTTTTGCATTTAGGAATGTTCCCCCCCTTCCTATAGTATCACATTTAATGGTTTCATTGTATAAGTATCCTGTGGACAATGTAATTAGGTTTTTATGGAATCAGATTTTGCTGCTTCCTTTCACTTTTGCAGACTCTTTGGGCAGGAAAAGCTTTGATAGCTAGAGAACTGTGCATCACAGTTTAAATTAAGACTAGCCTCAATTCTTTCTGAAATGTGATCATGAAGTGTTAAGATAACTGTTGTAATTTTTGCTTTGTGAATGGGTAAAAACTTAACATGTTTGTTCTGTGTTCTCTGGTAGCTGGTATTTCAAACCACACAGAATGTTCTAAAATCTTGGATAGATACTAACTGGTCTCATAATCTGACATGCCTGCTTATTTTGTGAACAACAGTATAAAGGTTCTAAATTTTAACTCAATTTATAAATATTACATATGGGATTAACACATCTGAAACTTTCAATTGCATGAATTTTGTTTCATCTAAAGCAGCCATGGGGCAAAGAGTGTATTTGAAGACCACTACTTTTGTGCAAATTACCTTCTTTTTGAAAGTCAATCAATGTAGTCCCTTACTGTTGAAAGAGGTATACAGTACTAAAACTATATTTCATTTCCAAGCTTCGAGAATTTTAGTAAAGAGGTCTAACCTGTTTTTGCAGGTTTTGTCACACTTTCTGATGGAAAAGGAAGAAAAAAAGCAGACAACCCATATCAATTTGCAGCTGAGCTGTTGGCATACAACAAAATGAACAGTTCAGGACTCCAAACACTTGACCTTGATTAGCAGGCTGTTAATGTGCTTCTCTCCCTTACTCCCAGTCCCACCCCATGGTCTTATTTCAGGGAAAGCTGAGTTGCAGGGTGAGGTGCTAAAATAAACTTTTTTAAAAAATACTGTTATGAAACTGATGCAAAATGCTATATACAAAACATGCTTGAAATTGGTAGCTTTTAAGGAGAGGATTAAAAAGGTTAGCGTTAACTGAGAAAGTTGAATTCTACTTCAGTGTTTATTATATCTATATGTTCTGAATGATACTGCTACCCAACTTTTAAAGATCAAAAACTGTGCTTTTAGATAGCTCCTGGCAAGCTGGAAAAAAAATATTGGTTCTTTGTAGTCTGATACAGAACTCCATTGTTTAATCTCACACCTGGCAATGTTAGCATTGCTATGAAGGCTGAACAGTTTCATTGTTGTGGTTTACCGTAATCACTTTGGATTGTATTCAATACTAGTCCTACTTGGAGTTGACACATTGAAATTAAGGAACCTAAGTCATGCCCATTAACCTCAGTGAGTCTGTTGTGGGGTATGGAAACTTTTCTGATGAGATAACATATCATTATCTCTTCAACCCCAGATGGGCCAAATTTAGCAGGTGTGTAAGGCTGCCCATCTGTCAATCCCCTGACATCACTATGACATCAAGTGATGCTGTGCTTTGAAGTCCCAGAACTTTCAGTTTTGCTGTTTGCAGAGGGCTTTCAGACAGTTCATGTTCACCTATTTGAGCCTCTGGAGGCCCAAATAAGAGTATGGTAGTAATGGTGGCAGTGCTGCCTGAAAGCCTTTTGCAAAAGCAACTGTTTTTGTGCACTCCCTATCTACTGTTTGGGACAGGGGCAGCCAGCTGCCTTTTGGGAGTATCAGCTGCCCACAGGAGACGTCCTATGCACAGCCAATCCTTCCAAAAGGGGTTGCTTTCTTTGGCTGTGCATGCCTTTTCCCAAGAGGGGACAGGCACACACAGCCAAAATGAGCCTGTTGCAAGTTGCTCCATGCTGCTCCTTTCAGTTTCTGATTTTGAAAGTTGAAAGGAGCTGCTTCAAAGAGCACCACTGGGAGGAAGAAGAAGTGGTTTCCCTTCTTGAAGAAGGCAGGCTCCTATTGCCCAACAGCTGAAGGGCAGGTGGGAATGTCCTTGCTGCAGCAAATGAACTACGGAGCCCACTTTAAGCCCAGGTAGTCTCCATAGCTAGAAGCAGCTTTGGCCAGCTATAACTGTTCCTTGGCCAGAGGACATTGACCACAGTAGTGTAGGTATTGGTGACTTCAAGACTGGATTGCTTCAATGCACTCAGTGTGGGGCATCGTTTGCGCTTGACCTGGAAAGTCCAGTTATTGCAGAATGCTCTGGCATAGTTGCAGACAGCAATTCGAGATCCTGTCTGTATAAACCAGTTTTCCAGGCGGCCCAGCCTGGAGCTAGAATAACAAAAAAGCTAGACACCAACTTTCTCCTCCTTTAAAACCTGCTGCTGTGGTCAGCAGAGTTTCATACACCTTGCCACTCCGTTCTGCCTCACTGCTCCACGACCAGAAATACATTTGCTCTATAAATCTATTTTTTTTTTTAAATCATATTTATTAAAGTTTCCAAAAAAAATAAAAATACAAAGAAAAAAAGACAAAAGAAAGAAGATATTTAAAAACCTTACTTTCATTCCCTACTTTCTGGGACTCCCCTCCCCCAATTGTATTCCCTTTCCTTAATTTGGTTCTACAAGCTCTCACTCTCAATTTAAAGCTTAATTTGTTTAACCCACTATCCAGATTGAATTGTACAAATCTTACCACCGTCCCACATCATTAACAAAAAAAGAAAAAAGATTTTCCCCAAGATCCACCCCAGTTCCTTCCACAAATTCCTTTTTTTAAACACGTCCGATCAAATTAAAATCACATGCGTAAGTTATGTAAAGAAATAGAAAATAAGAGATATAGAAAATTCAAAAAATGGTTACACAGCCTTTGGATTTCAAATCTCCCCCTTCCCCGGTTTGAATTCCCCATGTCCATCAGTCTATACATTATCAGCTTGGAAGTCTCATTTCATGACCAGATTTCTCCCGATTCCATCTTGCCGGTTTTCTTTTAGTTTATTAATTTAAATAATATTTGACTTCAAATGTCCAATCTAACAAAGGCCTTTAATTTCCTTTGATCTTTACCACTCCTCCCGTTGTTCTTTCCGTGTCGTAATCAGTCCTTTATTCTTCTTATTCCTCACTTTCTCAGGTTTCTTGTCCTGTTCAGCTGCTAAAACTTTCTAATTCAGAAATCTAGTGTCTCTGCAGAGGTTTGTTATTCAGGAACAAAAACTTACGTCCAGTCCCTTTCTTTCTTCAATAAAAATTCCATTGTCTTCCTCTGTAGACAAAATACTCTTTCAGTTTTGCAGCTTCCCAGAAGATAACAAATCCTGTGCGAATCCCAGGGTATTTTTCCACTTACGACCGTTCTTGTAGTATCCCGAAACCCCTCTAGGGGGATTGTAATAACTTTGTATCCTCTAATCCAAAAGTCAAATTGTTGCTTATTTTCCAACAGTTTATATCCATATTATAGCAAATTGTAACAAAATTAACCAGCAAGGTCCTCATAAAGTCCTCTTTATATTCTCCAGCTTTGACAGCCACTTTGACAGCTGTCAAAGTCTCCGTCTCTCTTCACCAGGCTCCACGAATCGCCCCGGTTCCCGGGGGCTGCATTTTTCTTCTCACCCTCCACTCTTTCTCCTCCAGCACATTTCTTATAATTTCCCATCGTGAAATTAATGATTTTTATCAGAGACATACTTCCCTTTGGACCTTGGTTACCCAGTCCTTGTTTTGGAATGCTTACAATAGGGGGGGGGATTGACTTCCTTTTAAATCGCCCCGCTCGTGCCAAATCCAAAATTTTGAACCCGGTTTCCTAATTACTCACGGGTTGTTGTTAATAGTCCAAATTTTCAATAGAAGAAGTCAGCGCTCTCCGTCGAATGGCATGCGGCTGCGCCCGGCAGGGAAAGCAGTGGACTCAAAGCACCACGCCACTCCCCGGCACCCGATCCGAAGCCTTTAAAAAGGCTCCTTCACGAGTCGGGAGGGCGCGCAGGGTGCAAGCCGAGTCACCCATGTCCACGGACTCCGTGCCCGTGGTTTTTAAGGGTCCCCGCGTCGCCGGCGCGGTAGGACCCAGCCCCTGCCGAGCAGACTCCCTCCGGAGCTCGGAGGGAGTCCGCCATTCGGCGATGGCGCTAACCCGGAAGTCACATTTGCTCTATAAATCTAATTAAAGGATTTTAATGCTGATAGCATTTCTGTATTCATACAAAGTGTGCAATTTCCCCCAAAACACATTGTGTTGCTTGACCAGTCTCATGTATGTTTTTTCTTTTCTTTTAGAGAACTGCATCTTTATATAGTAAATTCCTATGCAATAAAATTGATATGTATTCTAAATCTGAAGTTGCTTCTGTTGCTTAATAAAAAGTTGGGTTCTTCACAGATCACCCATTTTTGCTAAAAGAAGTTTCTTTTCATTGTATCTGATTTCCATGTTGAGTGTTTTCTGCTTATTGCATCAGTTTTTCAGTACTGCTTATCGCTCTTGGTTGCCAACCATTTTAGTAGCTCTGCTTTTGTAATTTTAAAAGCCATCTGATAAGTGGAAAATAATCAGGTGGTAGAGATAAGGCAACAGCAAAAGCTTTTCCTATTTAAGTTTTGTGTGCTAGGCTGCTGCTAAGGCACGGGGTCAGTTAAAAAAGGTTGGAACTCTACTACTGTCCATGCCCAGATCTGCTTAGGGGTAGCAGTGTATGTGTCTTCATATTATTTTCTGTTGTGTCCCGGTTTGCGAACTTTACCTCAGTTTAAGAACTGAATTTGAACGGTGGAAGGGCACCAGTGGTGGAAGGCCTCATTAGGGAAAGCGTTCCTCGGTTTAAGAATTGTTTTGGTTTAAGAACGGACTTCTGGAACAGATTAAGTTAGTAAACCAAGGTACCACTGTAAATCATTTTTAGCTTACCAAACATGTGGTCTTTTTCTATGCTAGGGGAAGAGGAAAACTTTTCAAGGAACTTGGAAGGGCATATTTTAAAGGTCTAACAGCCTATATTTGCATGTTTTTGCATGATTTTAAATCTCTGCTGGTGTTCTCTCATCAAAGAGTACTGCCTGAAACTTGGACCTTGGCATCTAGGAATTCTCCTTACATACCTACTTTTTGCTTGAACCAAGACTTCAGACTCTGTTAGAATACCCTTAAGGCCAGCACAACTGTGGGGATGAGCCCTTGCCCTCTTCCCAAGGTTACCAGAGCAGAGGGGAAACTTGCCATGGTAGGTGCATGTGTGAAGCAATGTATAGCATTGAAGGGCTAGTTAACAGCCTGTTACTTTTAGGTAGGTGTCCATAACTTTTATGTTGAAAAGTAGCAATGGCAGAATCTATGCAAGTATTTCAAAACTAAACTCTCCCCTTTTGGCAGAGGTGCTTGTTGTTATAGTGTCCATTATAACTATTTTCATATTCAATAGTAAAATTGAAATATATGAATATTAACATGTCAGCTATTTACAGCTGCATTCATGTTAACATCAATTTTGTTAAGTAGTTTGTGAATATCTCAGACAGTGCTTCTCCCAGTATGTCACCCTGCCCTCTCTCACATTTCAGGTTCAGTTGAAGAGTTCCTTTTTTGTTAAGCACACATGTGAATACTGAGGCAGAGCTTTCCCTTAGGCTTTTATTAATGAGCTCCATTAATCATCTTAGGAAGTGTGTAACTTCTGTATTGACATACATTTTAAAATCAGGCTTACGTAATACTATGTATTCTCTCTAGAGGATCCTGTTCAGTTGAAGTCATATGTGGATATCCTGTAGAGCATGGGTAGGCAAACTAAGGCCCGAGGGCTGGATCCGGCCCAATTGCCTTCTAAATCCGGGCCACGAATCAGCATGTTTTTACATGAGTAGAATGTGCCTTTTATTTAAAATGCATCTCTGGGTTATTTGTGGGGCCTGCCTGGTGTTTTTACATGAGTAGAATGTGTGCTTTTATTTAAAACGCATCTCTGGGTTATTTGTGGGGCATAGGAATTCGTTCATTATTATTTTTTCCCAAAATATAGTCATTATTGTGCCATAAATGTATATTCCCTTTTGGTATGAAAGATAAAGGAGTTGAGTATGAAGGATAGACACTTCATTTGTTAAATTGAAGTAAGGGCCAAACTAGATGTTATGTGGCGTGAGGAATTCAACATTGCAAGGTGGGGTTTTCCCTGGTTTAATCCTGTGCAATTTTTCCAGTTAAAATGATCTCTCTCAAAACTTCTAGTTTTGAAACTGGTGCCATAACAGGGCTAAAGTAAGAGCTGTTATTATTATTCTTAGTGCTTTTAATGGTGAGCAGCATTTGAGAACTTTTGTGAGTTGTAAATCTCTTGTAGGTTACTATGTATACAGTACTTGCTTATGGCAATGTAAGAAAAGTCTTTAGAACAGCTTATTCTATGGCAATTGTTTTCATATTCAACAGATCTTTCCCATATTGTCATCTTTGCTGTGGAAATTTTTAATGCAGCCAAGGTTCCAGGGGCATGTTATAGGGCAGCCTTTTTAAATATATGGAATCCCAGATGTTGTTGGACTACAGTTACCATCATCCTTTGTCAATGACCTGGGATGATGGGGCTGTAGTCCAACAATATCTGGGGACCCAAGTTTGAATAATTTTTTCTAGTGTCGAAGTTCAATGCAGGGCACTTTTGTGATCCTTGTTGTCTCCACCATTGTACTTCCTAGACTGAATGTCTGCCTTAGGGGGTGGGCTCAGTGACAGAACACATGTTTTTCATGCAGAAGTTCTGAGGCTGGTTCCCCAGCATCCCCAGGCAGGGCTGGGAATGTCCCCAGTCAGAAACCTTGGAGTCACAGAGAGTTGGTGTAAACAATACAATCAAACCTCAGCTCCCGAATGCCTCTGTTTTGGAATGTTTTGGCTCCTGAACGCCGAAAACCTAGAAGTAAATGCTCTGGTTTTCGAACGTTTTTCAGAAGCTGAACATCCGACACAGTTTCCGATTGAGTGCAGAAAGCTCCTGCAACTAATCACAAGCTGCGCCTTGGTTGTTGAACATTTCGGAAGCCGAACGTTTGACAGCCAGGGTTTGATTGTACTGAGTAAAATGAACCAATAAAAAGAGTATATAAAACAGCTTCCTATGTTTCTTAGAATACAACCAGCACTCTGTTGCACATTGCAATAGGCATGTTTTCTTTCAGGGATGTTTATAATCCATTGATGATCTTCTCAGTCTTTAATAAGCTTCTAAAACAAACAAGGACTCCCCAGAATCCTGTTCTCTGGGGATAAACGGTATTCGGATAATGATGTGAGGACCTGAGAAATTCATCATTTTCATAAAAAGTGTCACGTAGCCTTAATCAGTAAAAGTTGTTAGGTATTGAACAGCTGATCATAGAAAATAAAACAAAACGTTACCATGGCAGATCAGTCTGGTTACTACTTTGCACGAAAGAGGGGATGGACATACGTAGTAAGACTCCCTGCATTTGTATTATTTCTATCCATTCTGTGAAAGCTCAGATCAAGAAATGTGGGCCACAGCTGTGTGCCTGCTTATATGACTGCCATGGGATAGCAGCTGAGCAATTTTAACAAATAGTGAATATTTTTCCTTGTTCTGTATGCTTTTCTGTGAAGTGCTGCACTGCATTCATAATCTCCGAGTTCATTTCAGTGGGTGGCGTTAGACCCAATTGAGAAATGCTGTCCTACAGCTGAATTTACTCTCTCTCTCACACGCAGACAAGTCTTTCTATAAAAAGAAAACCACACAAGATACGTTTGAATATGTTTTTATTATTATTGATTTTAAAAAGTCAGAGGGTGGAAAGCTTTCCTATGGAATCTCTTGAGCATTCAGATGACTTAAGAAGTGACGTGTGATCAGAAATGTTAAATGAATAATTTGAGAAAGGAATCTGGTTTGCATTTCTGTTTCACTAGTGCTTTGTTCCCCAGGCTTCTTCAAAAGATCAGCAGCTGTGACCCCAAATAGTCTTTATTCCAGTTCCAAAATAATCTCAAAATAGTCCTTCATTTAAAAAAAGGAACTAGATTAAAGCATTCTGTATTGGCATAAATGTGGTGGGAATGAGTTTGACACTTGCTCTGGTGCTGTGTGTATTTAAATAAGGGGTGGATTTTAAAGCAGCAGAGTTAAGACATTGGCATTATGTTTCTAGAGAATAATCAAGTTGTACACTGAACATGCACTGTCATAAGGCAATTTATATAGAATTTGTAGATAACGTACGGACATTTCTGGCTGATTGTGGAACAGCAATTTGAAACTATTCATTCATTCATATATTGGCTTTCTGCAAGCTGATCATTTTTATAATAGGTCAGTAAAGCCAGATGAATTCTGGCACTTTACTTATTTAGCAAGTGAGATTTGAAATGGAACAACCAGATTTTTAGCATTATTTGATGGTGCATTTTAGAGTTTGTTCTGATATTTCCATTCATTGAAGTTAACTGTTCTACCACCAAGTGTGTTATCCTATTTAATACAATCTGAAGCATAAACATGATCAGGACAGAGCTTTTAGTATCCTTTTTAATTTCTTCAGGTTCTTGCATGCTTAATGAGGAAATTATTCTCTGGGACAATTGCTCACTTTATATAACAGTTTTCCCCCAATTAATTATTACAAAGAAAGATGAGAAATGTGAAGAAAATTGCTTCACTCCAAACTGGTTTTGGAACTATTAAAAGGAGAGGGTCTGTCCCATGCTAGAAGTTCTCCATCCATCCAACAGGGTCAAAGTTTCTGGGATAGAAGCTGTATATGTGTGTGCACACGCATGTGCATGTGCTTTCCTCCCCGTCAGAAATTATCTTGCTAGCTTATAACCTGTCACAGGTGCTAATTACATTACATATTTCATCACTGTCCCATTTTAACTGGGAAATTATACTCTTTTCATTGTTCCTCTCACTTTGCAGTGGTATATGCATGGCTTCTCTCAGAGGTCTTGCACTACTGGCTTCATGACAACCTTCCACTTTATATTGAAGTCCTTGAAATTCCATGCTTTCCAACTGTTAACGACACTTCTTGAATTCAGAATTCATTGCCTGTGAAGGTTTGACATGGCCTGTCTACTTCTATTTTAAAAAACTAGACCTGGATACATTCTATATGTACTGAGCCTTGACAGATCTGTATTTTTCCATGGACTTTTCTTTTGAACTATGACACATAATTGTGCTTAGCTGTAAACTAGAAAGGCTTACTAATTGTTTTACAATAAAGGATCCTTATTTGGCACAATTCCACTAGATTTGAAGTGTACACAAATATTTATTTATTTATTTATTTCAAAAACTGGCGTACCATCAACATGAAGGAAAAATATAGTGCTGAATAGCATGAAATCAGCAATAAAATTACATTCATAAAATATGTACAAAATATATCACAAACAATTAGATCAGATTAATACATCACTATAGCTGGATCACCCCCTCAGAGAAAGACTGGGTGAACAGTTGAGTTTTAAGCAGGCACCTAAATGCACCGGGGACGCGGGTGGTGCTGTGGCTTAAACCACAGAGCCTAGGACTTGCCGATCAGAAGGTCAGCGGTTCAAATCCCCGCAACGGGGTGAGCTCCCATTGCTCGGTCCCTGCTTCTGCCACCCTAGCAGTTCGAAAGCACCTCAAAGTGCAAGTAGAGAAATAGGTACCGCTCCGGCGGGAAGGTAAACAGCATTTCCGTGCGCTGCTCTGGTTCACCAGAAGTGGCTTAGTCATGCTGGCCACATGACCCAGAAGCTGTACGCCGGCTCCCTCGGCTAATAAAGCGAGTTGAGTGCAGCAACCCCAGAGTCAGTCACGACTGGACCTAATGGTCAGGGGTCCCTTTACCTTTACCTAAATGGCAGTACTATGGGTGTGTGCCTGATGTTCATGGGAACCACATTTCAAAGGGCAGCTTCCGCCACATGAAAGAGGCTATGGAGAAATAGAGTTTCATTGGCTTATTGTTGACAATGTGCTCCAAATCCCTTAATGATCTCTCCCAACAGCTTCATGTAGATGTTAAATAGCACTGCAGATAAAATCATACCCTGCAAAACAGTGCTGTTCTCGAGAACTGAACCTGGAAATAGAAGTGGAATCACTGTAATACAGTGCCCCCAATACCTATCCCACATAGATGGTTCAGGAGGACACCATGGTCAGTGGTATCAAAAGCACAGAGAGATGAAGGAGATAAAGCAAAGTCACACTCCTGTTGTCTTATTCAGCTCTGGGAAGCTCTCGCATGGACTCTAGAGGCATCACGAGATCTCGGATGGCACCATGAGATCTCACAAAGGCCTCCAGAGCCCAGTAAGCAACGCAGAGAGCTTAAAAGCACTTTCCACACCAGATGAGCTTTTAAACTTTCTGCCTTGTGTGATTGCTTACAGGTCAGCGGCCAAGCATGTAAAGCCAGCATAGTGTAGTACAGTGATGGCGAACATTTGAGAGACCGAGTGTCCAAACAGCAACCCAAAACCGCTTCATGATCACCAAGTGCCAATGCGGCAATTTAACTGAGATACAGTGGTACCTCGGGTTAAGTACTTAATTCATTCCGGAGGTCTGTTCTTAACCTGAAACTGTTCTTAACCTGAAGCACCACTTTAGCTAATGGGGCCTCCTGCTGCCGCTGCACCGCCACCACCCGATTTCTGTTCTCATCCTGATGCAAAGTTCTTAACCCGAGGTACTATTTCTGGGTTAGCGGAGTCTGTAACCTGAAGTGTATGTAACCTGAAGTGTATGTAACCCGAGGTACCACTGTGCTGAGGTTTCAGTTTAGAATAAACAACTGCTACAACGCTAGGAAATTCCTTGCAGGTTTCCCAATGGCTTGTAAGATTGTCTGCAAATGTTGTGGAATTTTCTAAATGCATTTTTTCAATTTGGAAAATATTTCAGCTGTCCAAGGTCTCTTTCAAAAACCTGTTTTCTCTGCAAGGTTTTGCTATCAGAAAACATCCTTTCTGCCGTTTCCCCTACATCTTGTGGTTGTCTGTTCAGTAATTTTATCCTTATTTGGGAAATCATGAAAAAGGGAATTACTCCCAGACAACATAGCCGTTTTGATAATATCCCCATCAGAGAGGGGCTTACCATGTTTGGCTATGCACAGTGAAATCTGAAAACTGTCAGCTGTCAGATGATCTGTTCTAGAAAGAGAGTTGCAAAAACTTAAGATACTGGGAATGGTATTTCCTCTGTTTCCCTTTGAGAAACTCTTTTGTTTCAGTTTTACCAAGCTGGGCAATGCTTTTGTGGTTGGTGTCAAAGTGCCGTCTGACACTTGATGTGTGACACACAACACTTTCATTGCACAGAAGTCAGAACGCTTTCCCATTGCATTCAACGATCTTCCACTCTCTGTTCTTGCTTTTTTCTTCTTCTTCTTTTTTGCTGTATTCCTTTTTGGGTGTTCCTGGCTTGGAGTCTACAAAAATTTTGAACACAGGAATATAAAACATGCTGCATGAGAAAATCATAACAAAGATTACAATTCTGAGCAAAATAATGAAGCACCCAATACAAATCTGTCCCTCTGTTTGCGTCACGATGGCGAGCCTCGATTCCTGGCTTTCTAGTAACGAACTCTGTGCTGGGGCGATGGCACATGTGCCCACAGAGAGGGCTCTGAGTGCCCCCTCTGGCACACATGCCATAGGTTCGCCACCACTGGTGTAGTATTTAGAGTGATGGACTAGGACCTTGGAGAACAGGGTTCAAATCCCCACTCAGCCATGAAGCTCACTAGGTCAGTTTCTCAGTCTAACTTACCTCAATGGGTTGTTGTGGGGATTACAAGAGGATAGGGAGAACCATGTAGGTCCATAGAGAAAAAGGTGGGATATAAATGCAATAAAATAAATACAGTCACATAATTTAAATGTGTGCAAGTTTCAAGTGACTGTAATTTTAAGTGTAGTGAACTGCCTATATAGTATTTAAGTTCTGTTTGTTTTCCATTGAAACTTATCCCCCTCACCATGAACCCTTCTGCTTCTTCCTAACAAAAAAGCCTAACCTTTGTGTGTGTGTCCCTTTACACAAAAAGAAACTTACTTCTGAGTGTATACACATACCATTTTACTGTAAGTTAACTATTCAGAGGGCATGCCTAAGTCTCTTTGCAAAGTTTTCACATTTTCATTTACCATGGAGGGGGGCTGGTTGCGTGTTTAACATCCACTCACATTTATCGTGCGGTAGCATTCATAGAAAGTAACTTCTAGGCAAGGGAGCATCAGATCTCAGATGAATCAAGTTTAGGAACACTGTATCCTGGTGGCTAGAAAGGAAGGAAGGGCAAAGGGGGAAATCTATAGTCTGTCTTTAGAACTAGTACACTGAGACCAAGGATTAGAAAACTATAGTAGGCGGGAAAAGTGCACTAAAGGGGAGAGGTAAATAGTAGCTCTCTAGGCCTCCAGGAATTTCTAAGGCCTTGCATCTAAACCATGGGTAGGCGTAAGGCCCAGGGACCGGATCTGGCCCAATCGGCTTCTCTATCTGGGCCATGGACGGTCTGGGAATCAGTGTGTTTTTACATGAGTAGAATGTGCCCTTTTATTTAAAATGCATATCTGGGTTATTTGTGGGGCCTGCCTGGTGTTTTTACATGAGTAGAATTTGTGCTTTTATTTAAAATGCATCTCTGGGTTATTTGTGGGGCATAGGAATTCATTCGTTTTTTCATCTTCTTCAATTTATAGTCTGGCCCCCCACAAGGTCTGAGGGACAGTGGACTGGCCCCCTGTTGAAAAAGTTTGCTGACCCCTGATCTAAACAATGCACTCATCAATCAAGTTCTGACTTCACTCATTAGTTAAAAACACTGAGGGCGGGGTAGTAGCCAGACTGACTTATCTCAAAGAAATCACTTAGAAGGTGCTTGCAGATTTTGCCTTATAACTTTCCATCTCTGAGGACTAGAGACTGGCTTACATTTATTTTTTTAAAGCACATAATCTGGTCCCGCCTTGCAGGCCATTCTAATCCATCCATGCCTGTGAGAGTCTGAAAGGCATTTTTGCTGTGTGCAGTGTGCACAGCAGACACCACATTGTTTTTCCTCCTGCATGGTGTGCTCTTTCTCTGTGTCAGTCTAATTGACAGGTATACTTACCAGCAATTCTAATGCTAACTGAGTAATCGGTGTTACCCATTCCTCCATCCTTTAGAAGGGCTGTTGGACTGCATGTACATTTTTCATTGACTGAACTTCCTATGTGGTTGTCTTAAATTGCAAAATTGCCCTGGGGAGGAGGGATTGTGACGTCATATGTACCAGCCAATCAACACTTTGCAATCTAGCTTGTACTAAAACCTGGCAGAGCCAGTTTTCCCTGAGTTTGATCCTTGAGGGAGTAGTAGGTATGTTTTTGAGAATGTGTGGCATGTTCTTCCAGAATGGCTCAGCTCTCCTAATAATGCAAAATTTTATGCAATCTTGATTAGTTTTTCCTAAATGGATCACAGCAGAAAATGTTCTGTCCAGGAAAGCACAGTGGAAGAATAATTTATTTGAGATCAGTTTATTCATTGACACCCGTGTTGTATCAGTCAGTGAAAACATAACATTTTTTTAAACTTAATTTATAAGTAATGCAAGAAAATTGAATGTTTTCTTCTTTGTTTGAATTCTTACCTAATCCTCATGGCTATTGGTATTAAAAACAATAGATAATGTATATAAATTCAGGCCAATTTTTCACCAATAGGACCAGCACTGCTAAACATTTCTACACTGTAGTCAAACAAACACTTTCAACTGGCATTAAAAGCTGATATGTGCCTTCTCTGCCTTCTTATCAGTTCTGCTAGTCTATGTGTTGCCCACTCTTAAATGAATTGTCAATAACCCCTATTTTCCTCCATCTGTTGAACAGCATCAATGAGACTACTTATGAATCCCACTTTAAAATAAAGTTGGCTGTTTCTACCAGGGTTTTTTATGGGAGCAGGGAATGTGATTTTTTAATTGGTTCATTTGCCCAGAAATGTATGCCTCTGTTTACTGAGGTTATATTTGTCCCTTAGAATGTCTAAAAAATCATTACAGAAGCTTACTGCTATACTAGATAAGCAGCAATGTTTTTAACAGACTAGAGAAAATGCTAACTGTGTTATAACAGTGATGACCCAACTCCAGGCTAGAAATCAAACACAGCTTTACAGTCCACCTGCTACCTTTTGACAACCGGTTCTTTCATTTTGATGTTTAGAGAAGTGCAGGGAGCTAGTTGCACCAGTTGTGCAAATCAGACCTTGTGCAAGGTAGACAGGCTGTCATTTCTCTTCTTTTTATTATTACTAATAAGAGTTTCAAATTCAGTCAACTGTTCAAAAGACTTCAAGCGTCAGATCAACATTTCAACTTAGAAATTATTGTAGTAAATATTGATGTCATTCTAGTGTGTGTGTTTCATATTTTATCAATGAATATATTTCTTTAAAAGATAAAAATGGCTTTCATTGAGAAATGATTTATTCCTGTTTCTTAATGTAATAACTTAACTGTAACGTTCCTTTTTACAAAAAGCTTTGCCAACCAATCAAACACTTACTAATTTTGAGTGTCCAGTGAGGACTTGTTATTGGTGCTGCCACTAGGAGCTGCTCGGTTGGCAGTGGCCTGTGGCAGGGCCTTTTCAGTGATGGTTCCCCATTTTTGGAATTCCCTCCATAGTGAGGTGCACCTGTCTCCTTCATATTGACTTTCAGGATAAATTTAAAAACATGGTTATTATAATATTTATATCTCACCTTTTTCTCAGTCCGGAACTCAGGGTGGCTTACACAGATAAAACAGAAAAAGCTAAAAAGACAATAATCGAAATGTAATTAAACACTTAATAGGATTAAGATAGTATAAAAAGATCCATTAAAAATGCAGATATTAAAAACATCAGAGTACCAGCCCTTTCCTCAAAAACAGTCAGTTCTAAATGGCCTGTTGGAACAGAAAGGTATTCACCTGCCAGTAGAGGACAGACATTAGGGATAGAGTCAGTGGCGAAGCGGCATGCTCTGGCACCGTGAACGGAGGGCAGGCAGGGACGTGGCTGGCGCGCATCCTGGGGGCGTGATGATGATAATTGAGTTCAGAGAAGCTTGCTTCGGCTCACCTGTACTGTGTTGTTAACACATTATCAGGTAGACAGTAGCAGCTTGTGTGGTGGTGTGGATCAGCAAAGCCACCTTCTGACATTGGCGTTGCTGCAGTTCACCTGGACAGGCCAGGGCACAGTGCCGGTGAGCTTGGGACTGCATGGGTGCACTAGCAAGGCCTGCACAGCCCTGACCTCACCACCACTCTGTAGCTCCCAGCCCATTTTAGATAAGCTGCAGAATGCTGGTATCGGGAGGGCGGCTCACTGACAATTACCCAGGGTTAACAACAGAATGCTTATTTGAGGAGCAATGAAAACAAATTCACAGCAAACTAAAGTTGGAGATGAATGGGGTTAGAACTAGTAATCTCCTAAACCCATTCCCAGCCAGTTAATCCACCCTACCTTCTTCTTCTTCTTCTTCTTCTTGGCAAAATGTCTTCCGTCACCACAACTATCATTCCACACTCCCTTCAACTCCTCTTTCCCTCACACACATATACACACAACGTAACATACAATTATTTTAATCATGAGAAGAGTTATGTTAGTGGAGCAGTTTAAAATATGTGTACAAATAATTTGCAATATTGTTTCCAATCAGCAATATGCTGTTAATTTTATTGACAGGTCAAATTGCTAGATTTCCACAGAAATGACTGAGAAAAATGGCTTTTTTTCAGCCTGAACTCACCAGAACTCAGTTCCAGCACATTTCAGATGGGCTCCATTGTCATTATAAGAGAACAAGAGAGGTGTTCATGATGAGTTCTGGCACCTCTTTTTCTAGAAAAATAGCACTGCTGAGGAGTGTTTAGCTTCTTTATAGTAGCCTAGAGTGTTTGCCAGCATTGTATTCTAAATACACTTATGTGCATAATGAGTCCTTTTTAATTTCAGTGGAATTTCAGTCCAAAGCATGTGTTCCTAGGTTTGCAGCCTGTGCTGCAAACTGACAGTGTAAGCAGCAGAGCAAAGAAAAGTGAGATCCATAGATGTTTGTGGATTTATTGATCCTCTCTCATTTATTATTTTGCAGTATTATTCTGAGTATTTTCCTTTGAAACACAGCCAAATTCTTTGAAATTTAAAATGTTGGGGAAACTGGTGCCATAAAGAACTTTATGCTTTCTGTTTTGCGTAATGCTGAAATATGAAGAGCTCTTCTAAAATACTGCTTGTAAAATGCCAAAAAACCCCACCACTCTTAATAGACAACGTTACACATTTTCTAAATAACAGAAATGTTTTATAGGTTTAATAGTTTTTCTGTCCATTTTTCTGAAGAGGCCCAATCCTTAGTAAATTCACATTTGCACTGAACTCTTTAAAATCACATCTCCTATACAAGAAGGAGAACTAGTAAAGTAAATATGTGGTGAGCATCCCAGTCCCTTGCTGAAGAGTACTGACATGGGCTTAAAGGTATCAACACAAATACAATTAACTATTTTTAAGAACAATAAAGCTATTCAGAATTAATGCTAAAGGAGCAATAATAAAAAGCAAGGACATTTAGGAACACACACACACTGTATGTATATGTATATATTGCACTTGCCTGTAAAAGTGGAACATAAAAACTACTGATTTAATCTCTGCATTTGAAAAAACCATCTGCTAAATGCACGCTGAAGGCATGGCTGTTTGGGGGGGGGAAATGTAGACAAGACATTAGGGAACTTATCACAAGTTTAATACACTAATGTTAAGACTATTCCCCCAAATTCATCTTCTTTGGGTTTATTTTATTTACCTTCGGCATTTGTATGCCGCCCATTCAACAATTTTTCTTTGGAATTCAATGGAATTCAATCTTGCCTAACTCTGTACACAGATAATCCAGCCAGGTAAAATAAACATGGTGTCCTAAATAATTAAAACATTTGGGTGTTGACACAGAAAGCAAATGTAGGATGTTGGACTTAAACCTGTATTTGAATCTGTAAATCTCAGTTTGGGTGACTTTGGGTCAGCATCTTTCTTGGAGAAATCTATCACATAGGATTATTTATGAGGCTAACATAGGATTATCTCCCATATACACTGCCCTGAGCAATTGGAGGAAGGGTGAGACATAAATATGTTAATGATATAGTATCCTTGGTATGGCAGTACTACAGCGTGGAAGATAAGGGAGTCCATTTTGTTCTGCCTTGCTATCCTTTCTGTCATGCTATGTTAACATAGCTACATGGGAGCCACTTCTCTCTAATCAGACCACATGGATCCTACAGAACTGGCACACTGCTTCTCTGGCAGGATGCTGATTCTGATTGGCACCCATATGATGTGCCCCTTCCCACGTGGTTGGGTTACTTAAATTTTTAAAGGTTCTGGCTTTAAGCCATTACAAAAAATTAATTCATATTGATAAAACCATGTAAGATAGATTTGGTACTATATATAATCTTATGGAAATAAATACACATGCAAAAATAATTTCCAGAAGAGCAACCATCTTGGTCTTTTGCAAGAAGAACAGCAAAGAGTCTTGTGACACCTTAAAGTTGATTTCTTTTATGGCATAGTATTTCACGGACTACAGCCAACAATTCTAGTAGAGCCTAAATGAGTGCAAAATGATTCTTCAACCACAGCACTAAAGGCACAATTAGCATTGCTAAGTGACAGTACAATTAGAGATTAGATGCATGCAAAATGAGCACAGTGACCCTTAACAACAGTGGTGACTGGCAATAATAGAATTATCTTTGCATCCACTATTAAATTAACTCCTGTAGTAGAACAAGAAACCATTATGTCCGTTCAGCCCCAAATGAAGGAAGTTGAACTTTTTCATAAATTGCAATTCAGCAGATTTATGCTGGAGTTTCCTTGTGAAGTTTATTTGTTCTTCTCATACTGCAGAATTTTTCCTTTTCTGGTGCCAGATTTGTATACATTTATTCATTTGTGTAGAGATGGGCCTGCTTGACCTATGTATCTTCAAAAGGGCATTGCTGGAAGGTGATAGCATATATCACACTGTAAGATGAGCTGTAAGTGAGCCCATGACGTTGTGGCTGACATTATTAGGTTCTGTAATAGTGCTGCCAAAGTAGATAGGGGGGCAGCGTTGGCATCAGCTGGTCGCTTTGTTTGTGTCTCTGTTATATGTCCTATTGTACCTAGTGACTAGCTGTTTTAAGTTGTGGTGGATGGGGATACTGCCTGTAAGCAAGACATCAGAAAGGACAATATTCAGAAACCAGTAGGAGTACATTTCAGCTTCTGGGGGCATACACTCTGTTGACCTTAAAACTGTCCCTCTTGAACAATGGAGCTTCAGAGGAGATGAGACTGTGAAACTTCTGAATTACAACTTACAAAGAAGTTCAGTTCTATCCCCTGTGATCTGAATTCAGATAACAGTTTTTTTTTTTGTTGTTTTTTTAGTTAACACAGCTGATTTTTATTGATTTAAAAACTTTGCAATGATTTTTGGTTCTTGCCAATAAACCGAGTAGCATAAAAATTATAGCGGGGATCAAACACTGGAGATAAATCACAAAAATAATAGGCCTAATAACATCTTTTTTCTTCAGAATTGACAGGTAAACCTCAGTCTAACTGGAGATCAAACAAAGGGAGTAGGGGAACTTCCATTATTGTTAGCAGGCAGGTCTGGTTCTGGAGTTGGGTGGCCTAACAGTGAGGGGGCTTGCAATTAAAGCCACGTAAAAAAACGACCTACATGGAGCATCGAATTAGAACATTTGATGTTTCTCAACCCTTTCCCTGGAGGAAAAAAGATTCAGTTACATTAAAAGGCAATCATGGCTCCCCCCCACCCCACCCCAGTGTTGGGAGCAATAGCCCCCAGCAGCCCGTGTAGATGCTGGTAGGTTTATAAGAAGTGGGTGCTGAGAGAGATGGGGAGGAACAATCTCTATTCAACTACAAAAGCCCTAACAGCATCCAGCAAGCTTTGGCCAACATCATTCACAAGAAAGCATCACACCATTCCTTCAGGCAGCCATAACAGTCTCTGGATTGCTTGGCATTGGCACCGCACGTGTCCTTCAACTACTCGCGGAAGAGGTCCTCATCCTTCTTCAGCACTAAGAACTGTCCCAGAACCACGTATGCCTTGTCAAAGCCTTTGTCTTCCAGCTTCCTGCCAAGTGCATCTCCAATGCCAGCTAAAGTACCAACAGACTTGTCCCGCATGGGCTCAGCCACGAAGTCCTGATGCTTCTGACTGGTGGTCATGTTGCCTGCAGCTCTGCCTGCTCTCTCACCTCAACCGTCGCTCCCGCGCTCTCCTCGGTACCACTCCAGATAACAGTTTTTGTTTTTTTTTAATCCTACCAGAGGAGTTAATTTACCAATTGCACAAATGCTCACTGTATTTATTTTTCATATACGTTTAAGCAGTTGTGAAATTATCACAGGCTACATTGTTTTCTATTTCACTTCCCTCTGACGATGCTGTTTAAATGTCTTTCTTTTCTTTTCATTTTACTTTATGTGCATAGGTGTATATATACCTGCCAACTTACAATATCACTTCATGAGTCTGATGAAGTGGACTGTAGTCCACAAAAAAGTATGCTGCAGTAAGCTTGTTAGTCTAAGGTGCCACAAGGTTCAGCTGTCAAAATAGAAAATATGTCAGAAGTACATAGACTGGAGCAGATATTTAAAACTGACTGCAGTACAGTTAAGCACATAGGAATCCATATTAAGGTTTTGCCAAAGGCAGTGAAACCCACCACTCATGGAAATATCTTTTTCATTGCTATTTACAAGCAGGAGGTCAATTTTCTGTGATATTGATCAAGACTTTGGATCAATAACTCTGGCAGAGGGTAAGTGTTACTTCTAGCTGTGCAGGACCCACCCCCAGAGAAGTGTCTCATGTGTGGCTAGGGGAAAGGGCTCCTTGGTCATTACAAATTGTGCCCTCTACTATGTGGCTGCCAAGATGTGGGTTAGAAAAAACAAAACAGCTTACTAGGAACCATCAAATGGTGGTTAAGTCTGATGGAATTTATGCATGGCTTTACTGATGATGGTGTAGTGATAGCTTGGACAGTATGGTGGCATAGTGTCATACTTCTAGGGTGTTTTTGTATGTAATTCTGACAGGCTTTCTAGATAACTTCCCTGAGCTTTAGCCAGTATGCCTGAAATCCAGGGATGATGGGAGTTGTACTCCAGCAACATCTGCAGGACCACATTGTTGGCATGGTCTTAAGTAAATTACCAACTCCAGTTGGAGCTGTTATAGGATCATGACGCTCAGATCAATAAAGATTTTTGTTTTTTAATTTGAGTTTTTATACTTTACATTTTTGGGCCCCACTTGAGTGATGTTCTGATGATCTGGTTTTCTATCAGAGGATTTCTTCAAGTCCTTGGCAAAACTCTTGTTTCCTTGGTGTGGTTTGCATATATTACTCTTGTCTTAATTTTTACAGTGTCCAATATCTGAATGAAACACTCTGGCTTCATTCCCATCCAGGCAACATTATGCAGCCATTATAATTGCAGCTGGCTGCTTTTCTTGGCTCTGGAAACACTTTCAAGGGGAAAATGCTAAAAACAAAACACACAAAACTGGCGGTGGTTTGTGTGTGTTGTTATCAACAAACATGCTGGTTGGAACACAGTTTCAAACCTATACGGTATAAATCTAAGTATATACTGGTATATAGAAGCCGTCTTGGGAAACTTTATCAATGTAATGGTTATAGAGCTGGATCAGCGTTGTTCTGCAAAATAGTGTGAGCTAATTACAGATAGTGAACCGTGAAGAATGAGTACTAATTTATTTTTCTCAACCAAACGACGTGAGAATTTTAAAAAAGAAAGACCATGCTGTCTGACGATTCAGGAGGTTTCTAGAGGCTTCTAACTTGTAAGAAGAGGACAGTGTTCCTATTCCTCATGTGACATGTCAAGCTTGTGACTTGGTTTGGACACACTCTATTAAGGGGCAGAGAAAACAGATCACCAAGTTTAAGCTAACTGCCTCACGTCTGTGTGTTCGTGCCTGGTCTTGTTTAAGGCATCAGGAGAGGTCAGATGTGGTGATGGGGACTTTTGATGAGGAGACAGCTTCAGGACTCACTCAATTTATTCCATAAACAAGTCTGTTCAGATAGATTGCTCCCCTGCTCCCATTTCCTTATGTTTTGGGGTGAGAGAATGGGATTTCAAGCTGTAATGTGCCTGGTCATTATTATAATAATGCAAGCCTCTGGAATATTAGCCTTGGACCCATGGGCGTAGCCAAGAGTTATGTTTGGGGTGGGCAGAACCTCAGTTCGTTAAGTATTTTTATTTATTTACTTGATTTAGGGGGCACAGGGGCCCCCCTGGTTCCCCTTGGCTGCACCCATGCTTGGACCTTGCCTCAGATCCCTCCTGTGCTACTAGCCTTCCTAAGTTTTACTGGGGAGTTCTTAATTTGCTATAGGCAAATTACACACTCTCAGTCTAACCTACCTAACATGGCTGTTGAGAAGCTAAAGAGGTCCACTCTGAGCTCCTTAGAAAAAGGACACAATATAAACTAATAAGCTCAGATATCTTGTATCGTTGCAGAAAAAGTAAAACTGAGTGGGGAAGGATACACATCTGTTTTTAATTCACCTCTCTTATCTATTAATAGTTATTTTTGATACTCTTTCCTCCAATCAATATTACGAAACCTTTCTGTTAACAGTTCACAGATTTTGTATTTGCACTGTTTACAAGTTAACTACAGTACTTTACCGCATGCTCTTGGGATTCTTAATGAGTTAAACAACAGTGCATACAGGGGATGTCTGTTGTTTTAGATCCATCCCTGTGAAATACTTTTTTTAAAAAACTGGTTCCTGGTCTGTGTGAGGATTAAAGAAATACTAGTGATTTACATGCATAGTCAAATAATGGTGTACAGTAGTTTCATACCACTGTTGACACTATGATGGTTACAACTCTGTGCATATGAACCTTTTGGAAAGTGATTTTAATAAAAACTGCCTCAAACCTCCATGTACAGTAAATCATGTGGCTCATACCACATGCTTATTGATGCCTTACAGTTAGTTTATACAATATTTCTTGTGAATGATTTTTCTTTTAGAACTAGATTTTTTGTGGTTAATCTTAAGATTCTGTTGTTTGTACTATGTTGCTTAAAAGCCAGGCTTGCTCTGCTGTAGGTTTTGGGATTGTTTGTATAGTGCCATCAATATATCTGAAACGTGACATAGCAAAATAAGTGAAACAAAACAAGTCCCTGTTGTGAGGAGCTTGCAATCCAGATTGTAACAGTGGGGAATAGAACAAGCTGTGTGTTGGGAGAGGGGGATGACTTCAGTGAAGTTGTAAGGTATGTGTTTGTATGTGCCTAGATTTTGTTTCAGCTTGGAATGATAACTAAAGAGTTAAGTTAATGGACTGAATTTAGTTGGTTGACATATTCCTAGTTCTCTAGATCTTATGTCTGCTTATCTTCACCTCGTGCAAGTCTCAGGTTTCTGTTGAATAAATTGCCACTCATGACGAAATAAGACACTTCTCCTTGTCTGAGATAATCTTAGTGGGGAGTTCCCTATTGTACTCCCTTCTGCCTCTTCCACCCCACCCCCTTTCTTGCCCCCAAATCCCATGTGACTCCTTTGTTGTTTGCTAAAATTCACGGAAAGTTCTCCAGATTGGCACCCCTGGCCAACCCCATCTCAGCATACCTATTGAAATCTGCTTAGTGGGAGGCCAAAGACATGCAAATAGAGAGATTCCCCATGGGGCTAGATGTCAGAGGATAAATTGGATTGCTTCTAAGGACAAAAGGATCCTCCAGGAAAAGCTAGCCTGCCCTAGTTGTGAGCACAGAACAGTGTGAGGAATGATTTACTATGTACCCACAGATGTTTTTGGTGTGTGAGGATTCTTTTTAGCAGCAAGTACTGTAGAATCATAAGCATCACTGTAAGGTTGTGTCTTGCGTAGGGATGATGAAACTATGCATTCTGTCCATATTGTTAATATGCTGCATTCAGACTTTTGCTGCATTCAGACAAGTTAGTTTTCCCTTGTAAATTGCCCTCCTTAAACTCAATATTTGTTCCTCTTGTTAACTAGGTTTTTTGTCTGTTTGGAGTGGGGGGAGGCACGTAATCCATATTATATTTGCATTGTACATGTACAGATAGATATGTTCTAAAATCCTGTGTGAATCAAAGTTGAATGGATGGTAGAATTTCCCTACAAAAAGCTGTTTTCTCAGCCATCCAAAGCAAAGTGATCCAATATGTGCGTATTTTTAGCTGGCCTTTCCTTTTTAGATTTTGCTTTGCAAATATGTAGGTAGTTGATTAGCAGTAATAGACTGAATCAACTGTATATGAGTAGCAGACTTCTATAAAGCTAAAGCTCTGAAACAAAGGAAATCCAGAGTACCTTTTTCCTTTTGACATTTCTTCATCAATGGCTGTGCTATAATTGTGCCGTCTAGTTAGTTTTTTGTCCATCATTAAAAATATATTCTCTGCAGTAGTTCTTCCACTAGAGGAATGATTCATGTTCTAAAGCTGCACAGCCTATTTCTTGTTTATATATGTTTCACAGGAATACTTTCTCTTTAGGGCTATAACACTGCATTGCCTGTTTCTGATGAAGATCTAAGTTATAAGTAAATTCCTGAAGAACAGTTGAAGTTCCTATTGACTGCAATGGGGATGTTCCAGCCTCTGATCGTTGAGTTGCGGGAATATTTAAATATGAATCGGTGAGTATTGTATTCTGTTTTAAACTTGTTTTGATATTTGGCCTGTATTTCTTCTCTTTCGCATGCATGCACGCATGCTGTAATTCAGCAAATTGAGCAAACAAGAGTGCTTGTTGTATCAGCACCTGCAGAGGAAAGAAGCTCATATGCTTATGACCTGGAGCTAATACAGTGGTACCTCTGGATATGAACGGGATCCGTTCCAGAGCCCCGTTCGCATCCTGAAGTAAACGTAACACATGACTGCACGTGGTCACGGGTCGCGTTTTGCCGCTTCCGCGTGACGTCATTTTGAGCGTCTGTGCATGTGCGAGTGGCGAAACCCAGGAGTAACGCGCTCCGTTACTTCCAGGTTGCCGCGGAGCGCAACCCGAAAATACTTAACCTGAAGCTACTTCAACCCGAGGTATGACTGTATACCCTCTGTGTATGTGGGGCTCCTTTTATTGTGGCCATTTTCTTGTATTCCTGCTATTACTTAAGAGTATTAAAGGAATAATTATGTCCTGCTGATAATGTATCCCATGGTTTTAGACAAGTCTGCAAAGTGAATTTCATAAGGTACCACTTCCTATTGCAAGCACACGTGCTGAACCCCTCTTTTCCTTGGCCTTTGCCCCACCCCCAGCCGGCCGTCCATTGTCCTCCCAGGCTGGGGGCGGGACGATAGCCACCCTGACCCAGGTGGGAGGCACCAGACCAGGTAAGCCCACTCAGTGTCACAAACCCTGCCCACCTGTTGGGAAGGGAGGGCGGAAATTGTTTCGTAGGAGGATTTTGCTTAACACCCTTGATTAATAGGATAAAAAAATTAAAATCTGCCAGCAAGTATCTAAGTAAACTTTTTGCTATTGCCATTTTAAAGGAAGAAACTGAGATTATCAGCACTTTTCCATTAATGCTGCAGGTACAAGCATAGCTTAATGACAGTATAACTTTGTTTTATCTAAGAACTCAGTAGCTTCCATTTATACTGAAAGTTACAAGGCCATCTTTCTGTTTACAAATAGCCCTGACAAAGATGCTAGACTTTTAAAAGAAATGTTACAAATTAATGCAATACAACACAAGCTTTATCATTTATTTATAAATTCTGCCATAGGTGTACATTGTGCATTTATTCTGTGTGTCCTAAAAATGTTAGCAAGACTGTTTTTTTCATTTATTTTATTTATTAGTGCCATGTTTGTCAGTGTGAATAGGTATACCAACTTTCCCCCATAAAAGTGTGTATTTTCCATTATGTTTATTTTGAAATTTTTTGTATCGCCAAGTATTCTTGGAGCAATTTACAGAATAGAAATAAAACGGATGTAATGGAAACATTAACAAACTGAAGTAGAAGTCAGCAGCTAAAAACTGGCAGCAATAAAGTCATCACTGTTTCACAGTTAGAAACCTGGGACAACTAAAAGATCTCTATCTGGTGCTGAAAAGATAACAAAGTAGGCACAAGGTGAGAATTTCATTAATTGGGCAGCAGAACGAGAAAACCTGCAGCTACGGCTGCCTCATTTGTGATGGTTTCATGTAGATCCGCAGTGGGGAACCTCTGCTAATTTAGTCACGGGGCCATATTCCTCAAACCACACCCGCTTGTGACATCAGGTGTCGGAAAGGAGAAAACATGGCTGTAAAGGAATAATTGAGAGCTTTAACATTTGCTTTCAATTTTTCCTTGGCCAGCACAGCCCACCCCATCCCGCCTCAGCTGCATCCTGCAGTTCACAATCAGAGCTCCCAAGCATAGTAGATCTCTGCCGAAATGGAGCATTGCAGGCGTGCTGACCAGCTGATTGGCACTGACTGCAACACCCACGGGGACCTGCCTCAGGGATCTTACTTTGCAATCTGCTCGAGTTCAAGTAAGTCTGCAAAGGAACCTTTTTTCTGCAAAGGGAAGCAATGTACCTGACATCATGGATCCCTCCCACCTATCAAACTGGTCTGCAAGGGTGAGGGATTTCAGGATCCAGTCCACTGACCATATCTGTTTCTCCACTCCCAATGAGGAAGTTAAGAAGCATGGAGGATAGGACGGAACCTTGCGGGACGCCAACAAAACAAAACATATTATTTATTATTTGTTTATTGCATTTATATGCTGCCTTTTTCTCTGAGGAGCTCAAGGTTGCATACAAGATTCTCCCCCTCCTCATTTAATTCCCATAACAACCCACTGAGGTAGGTTAGGCTGAGAGGCAGGGACTGGCCCAGTTTCACCCAGTGAGCTTCATGTCCAAGTGGGGATTTGAGGCCTGGTCATCATCCGACTCCGCAGTGTCATTGGACTGAGCAGAAACCTCTCAGCACCACATTCTTGAATCAGCTAACCAGCTTGCAGCACAACCACTGCAACATGGTACCTGCAAGCACTAATCTAGAGAGTCCATCCAAGATCATATTTTGGTTTGTAAGCATGCTTTAAACTTCATTTCCGTGGTTCAGACATCACAGAAAACTGGCTTATGAAGAGAGGGAAGGGGAAGTGTTCATGCACAAGGCTCATTCCCAGCCTGATATAACAGGGGCATATTGGACTGGAACCATGATGTGTGAATCTGGCTTTGGTGTTATTTATAATACTTAGCCCCAAGTCAGATATGTTTACCCTAGTTTTGTTTTGTTTTTTAAATATAAAGTTTGCATTTAATTCGGTAATAGGTAGAATGCCATGTTTTGGTTTTAAGAGCATTAAAGTGCAGGTTTAAATATATTTGTTGGTATTATAGTCAGTTTTTTAAAAGGTTTTTTTATTTTTTAAAAGAAAAGCTATATATGAAACATTTGAAAAATCACATTTAAAATTCTATTTTTAATTAACTCTTGATTTTTATTGACTGCCTCAAAGAGAATTCCTGGGCCAATGTTGTTGTATAAGGATGGGTAAAATGCCTCTGCAAATTGTCTGTGGCTCACAAGAGGTCTGGTTATACTTGTAAGCGTGATCATTCTAGAGAATTTCAAGGCTAAGTGAGCTTACTATGTAATGTTAATTACAGTTTCTGGAAGAAGTGTTCTGTTTTCTACCTATCACGAATTATAGTGGTTCCCTACCGGTTGATATAGATTCCTGAGTAATTTCAAAACAATGGGAAAGAAAAATAATTTTTAAATATTAATTCAGAATTAAGTTGAAACAAATATGTAGATGTGGACATATTGGCCATGTTTGCGTGTAACATTAAGCCAGACCACGGTTTAGCTCAAACGTGCTGCCTCCCAGGGAGGTGACAGATGCTTTGTTGCTCCGCTAGGCCAAGGTTTTTCTTACCTGGGATCATGGTTAAACATTCTGTTTTTTTAACCACAATCTGTAGCAAATGTTTTGTCTTTGCTACAGCTCAGGATTGCTGCAGCTCTATATAATTCATAACTTAGTTAGTTCTTGAAGAGCTAAGCCTTGAAAAATAGCATGATAAAAAGTCTATTAAAACAGCATAATATGATTTAGTAATGTTATTTCTAGTGAATAAATGTTTTCTGTGCAGTAATCTGCCTTTCCTGGCATGGAATTCAGGTTGCGTACAAATGAGACATTGACCTTATTTGTATGTAGTGCTAAACTATGGTTTAGCAATATGTGAACAAGTCTTGGGCCTGTGAGCTGCCCTGTACATGACTGCTGCCAGGAAGAAATTTGGAAGTGCAGCCACACTGGATGAAGAGAGGAGAAATGGAAGAATAACACAAGCCCAAGACTTCACTGTGGCTTACCCTTGTAATGCTAAACCATACAGTGGTGCCTCGCAAGACGAAATTAATTCGTTCCGCGAGTTTTGTCGTCTTGCGATTTTTTTCGTCTTGCGAAGCACAGTGTCGGGAAAGTTTTGGAAAAGCTTCAAAAATCACCAAAGTCTTTAAAAACCTCAAAAAAGGCCACACCGCGTTCTATGAGTTGCTCCTCGAAGTCAAGTTGCAACTGTATTAACGGTGTTAAGAAAAAGGAAACAAACTTGCAAGACGTTTCCGTCTTACGAAGCAAGCCCATAGGGAAAATCGTCTTGCGAAGCAGCACAAAAAACAAAAAACCCTTTCGTCTAGCGAGTTTTTTGTCTTGCGAGGCATTCGTCTTGCGAGGTACCACTGTACTTAAGCTTTATGTGTGAGTCGGGCCATTGTGTGTTTAGAGATTGTGCAGTCTGATTTTAATTTTGTTTATACAACATATGGCCATGGAGTATCTGCAGTGGAGTCCCTAAGACAGTTGGATGGCGCCTTGTATGTCTCCTTCCAGCAACTCCTGCAGCCAAGCTGGTGCCAGATGTATGGCTCTGCTTTCCTTTGGACCACATCAGCAAGGCCAAAGGGTGGTGGTCTTGTTGTCTGGGCAGCCCAGGACCTCCATACACACTACCCAGGCTTTTGGGGTGGCTTTAAAAAATAATATATGACTGTATTTTTTAATGTGTGCAGTTACTTAAGTTCTTTTCTGTCTCCTTTGCAAGGTTAAAGCAGTGGAGCTTTATGTGAGACATGGATAGATGCAAACATGTTGGGCGGCTACGACTTGCCCAGGACCATTCTATTCTGAACCCCCAGAAGTGGCACTGCATGGACTGCAACACCACGGAATCTGTTTGGGCCTGCCTGAAATGCTCCCATGTGGCTTGTGGAAGATATATTGAGGACCATGCACTTAAGCATTTCGAAGAAACCAGGCATCCTTTGGCCATGGAAGTTAACGACCTGTACGTGTTTTGTTACCTTTGCGAAGACTATGTGTTGAACGATAATCCCGAGGGTGACCTGAAATTGCTTAGAAGTTCTCTATCTGCAATTAAAAGCCAGAAGCATGATCCGTCTGCTAAAAGTGGTAGGACGCTACGGTCAATGGCTTTGGGGGAGGATGTTTGCAGTCATCAGAGGGCCCCTCAGGGAAAGCCTCAGATGCTTACAGCTCTCTGGTACAGACGGCAGTCATTGCTAGCAAAAGCACTACGGACCTGGTTTGATAAGAGTTCTAGAGGCCAGCGAAAACTAGAACAAAAGAAACAATTGGAAGAGCTGGAGAGGAAGAAGGAAGTGGCCAGGCAGAGGCGTCAAGAAATGAAGCGGAGATTGCTGGAGGAATTGGCAAACACGCCTCCAAGAAAAAGTGCCCGGCTTTTGTCGCACATCCGCAGAGAGAATCTCATTCCTCGGAAATTCAGAGATATGGAAGCAAGTTCCCCTACCTCAAGACGAGTGCAGAATAGCAAATTCAAACAATTCTATTCCATCCGGCGTAAGCCTCAAATGACTCCTGGTGTGACTGGACTAAAGAATCTAGGCAACACATGCTATATGAACTCAATCCTTCAAGTTTTAAGTCACCTCCAAAAGTTTAGAGAATGTTTCTTGACGCTGGATCTTTGTGAAACTGAAGAACTCTTAGCTAAGACCGTGAATGGAAAGTCTAGAATGTCTGGAAAGCTGGTCAATGGGCCTGCTCCAACCGATTCAGGGAGGAATGATCAACTGGGTTCATATGGCAGGCAGAGCCTGCCAGCTGGCTTAAATGGCGGGTCCTCAATAAGCAAAAGTTTAGAACTTACACAGCCCAAGGAGCCAAGTTCAAAGCACATCTCTCTCTGTCATGAACTGCACACGCTCTTCAGAGTCATGTGGTCTGGGAAGTGGGCCTCGGTCTCTCCTTTTGCCATGCTGCACTCTGTGTGGAGTTTGATTCCAGCGTTTCGAGGTTATGACCAGCAAGATGCTCAGGAATTTCTTTGTGAATTGTTGGACAAAGTGCAGCAGGAGTTGGAATCTGAAGGAACAAAACGCAGGATCCTCATCCCTTTTTCACAGAGGAAGCTCACCAAGCAGGTCCTGAAGGTGGTGAACACCATCTTTCATGGGCAGCTGCTCAGTCAGGTATGCATGTTAGCCAAATTTATGTTTATCAAAGCTAGAGGCACTTTTTGGTGACAGTATTTATGAATAACCAAATATTAATGCATGTATCTGGCAAAAGGAGAATTTGTAGTATACCTTAAGTGAAATTTGTCATTTTCAGCATATTTTTCTAATGGAACAAAATTATAGTAGTAGTAGTAGTAGTAGTAGTAGTAGTAGTTTATTGCAATTGTGGGGGGATTGTGAGGTTTAGCAGAAGATTCAGGTGGGGGGATTAATTTCCCTTTTCAGCAACTCATGCTGCTAACAGAACCATGTTAGAGTCTTTGCTATAGTTTATACTTACTATTCCAAATATGGCTGGGGATAGATAGGCTTTGTTTATATAATGGGTGTAGAGTTTTGTTGTTGTTTTTTTGCAAAGCATGACTGTGGCACTATTTTTTCTCTCCTCCTAGTTAGGTGCTTTTGGCTGTTTCCACTTAGCTTTTGCAAACTACATCGTTAACCCATCAGAATCTTTTGGGAGAATGAGGCAAAGTTTTCTCCTCCACTCCCGTTTTTGTTTTCATTTTTGCAAAATATCATACTATTATGTTCCTCATTCAGAAGCTCCCAGGTATATAATACTCTAAGTCAGGCATCCCCAACCTTCGGCCCTCCAGATGTTTTGGACTACAATTCCCATCATGCCTGACCACTGGTCCTGTTAGCTAGGGATCGTGGGAGTTGTAGGCCAAAACATCTGGAGGGCCACAGGTTGGGAATGCTTGCTCTAAGTAGACATTATAGGCAGTTCTCATGTAACACCATGCTGTGGTGGCTTGACATTACATGAGTGAATCTTGGACATTCAAGATTCCTTTCCTCACAAGCTCTGACCCCACCCCACCCCACTTTCTGGTTCATGTCATTACATCCAGATTAACAAACCTTGCTTTCATTACAACTGGAAGTCAGGGAGGAAATCAGTGCATATAATGCCATTGGCTTTAGGTATAAATTGGAGCTATGTTGCAGTATGCATCTTTTCACAGGTTTGGTCTAGCAAACTGGGTAAAATACATTATTTCTTCTTGGTGAAGCAATTAACAAAAACAAACCTATTACCCACTAAACAGCAATATTGGTATCATATAACAAAATCCTCTTGAACATACCAATAAACTGAAGAACTATATTCTGCAACTCATTATAGCGATGAAGAAAATTAAATAGATATGGGCATTTATCAATAAATCAAGTTAGAGGAATTACTTAATGGAGTTGAATTTTTTTAATATATAAATTTTGAATGAAAAGTTTTAATTTGAGCAAATAATTCAGGCCTATTAAGAACTTCATTTTAACAGAACTGAAGTCATAGTAGCCATAGATTTCAGTAGGACTGAATTCATTCTTAGACTAGAGAGTTGTACAAAGGCAGTATGATCAAACAATAGAAATTATTCTGAAGATGCCTCTCTGTCCGTATCTGGGAATTTCCAGGCAGAACCTCTCTCTTACAGATTGTTACAGACTTACTTAGAGCACAGAATAAGCCATATTTTCTTGGCTGCTAAGCCTCACTCACTGGCCTCACAGTGTCTTATGAGATGGTATCTGTATAAATGTATGTCTTAATAAATAAACCTTTTCTTGCTAGGTCACTTGTATAACATGTAACTATAAATCTAATACTGTGGAACCTTTCTGGGATCTTTCCCTGGAATTTCCTGAACGGTATCACTCCATCAACAAAGGGATTGTGCCTGTTAATCAGACGGAGTGCATGCTGACTGAAATGTTGGCCAAATTCACAGAAACAGAAGCTTTGGAAGGAAGGATTTATGCATGTGACCAGTGCAACAGTAAGTGAAAGACTGATGTGTTACTTACAGATTTAATTTTCCATTGTGCCTGGTGACACTATAACAGGTGCTTCCACGATTCTTGACCTTCCATTCAACAGTTCCGAAAACTGTAAAAAGTTGTTAATAATAAATAATGCTTTATAGTGCCATCAGTGATATTGATGTTGAACATCACAGAAGGTAAAAGGGTTTTACTCCACTTAGAACTATACTGAAATGTTACTGAAAGTAATGGGAAGAAGTCCTATATTATCCTTCTGCAGATGTCCTCTCTGGTTGTCAAGGCAACAATTATTATTATTATTCTTAATAATAATAATAATAATAATTTGCCAGATTGCTAAAACAGAGAAGTTCTCCTAACCGAATAGGGTAGAGACATGGTTGTAGGAAGAACCTGTTCTTTTTAGGGTCTTTTATGTTCTGAAAAACAGAAAGGAAAGCTCATTGAGGAAAAGCAGTAATGTCTCCAGAAGAATAACAACTACAGTGATTCCATCATCCAGTGCTAATGTTATGCATGTTTATGGTGATAATGCAGGCAGGCTGGAACTGTGTTGTTTGCTTTTTAAAAGAAACTGATAACAATAAAACAGGGTTAAACAATTGAAATTAATTGAAATTAATTATAGAAATTGGGTAAGTTTGCATACCCAATTGATCTGCTGAACTTACAGAGCCATTCCATTCTTTCTGTATTGGAGAGAACTCTTCCCTCCCACCCTTCCTGGTGACAGCTTCTGACACAGGTGACAGGCGTCTGTCTGGTTTAAGGAAGTATCAATTGCAGATTAAAAGTTGCTTGGGTTGGTTTTGGCAGAAATTGGGTTGGTTTTTTGTTTCGTTTCAGGATGCTATTAAAAACGGGAATAGAATTTGAGAGCCTTAGGTAAAGAGTTCTTCACTACAGGAAACGCCATACTTCACTGTTGTAGCCTTCCTCAAGCGTTTAGCTACACACATTTTCATGTGTTCTTTTCTGTGTATTCATGAAGACACAGAATGGCCTGTTTTTAAACATTGACACTGAGGATTTCTTGCATTTGAAGCTTTGCTTTGAATCTGTCAGTATGATAGTACCTTGGAAACACGTTAATACACCCGTGCTTGCATATTATCTCCAATTTTATTTGTGGATTGCTGTCCTAGGATTGGGGTACATAACTATAAATTTTTGCCAAGGACACTTTGCCGAATTCAAGATATGTTAGCATTCCTCCTTTGTTTCCTTCTTGATAATTATTCAAAGTTGCCATGTAGTCTCAAAAATAATGTGTATTGAGGTTGCAGAGATAAAACCTTGGGATACTATTTGAGATAATTAATAAGGGAACTATGACTTTTAGAATAGGATATAAATCATAAATGATCAAGGAGAAACTATAGATGTCAGCTATAATGTATGGCTGGGAATGGTTTTTATTCAGACTTCCTATATCAAAATATGTTCAGGTGAGTATTTGTCATTTATTTTTAAATAGGTTTTCTAGGGATTGGTATCACAGTGGAGTGGGCAGCTGTGGAAAAGACTTAGATGACATATGTTTATTCTTGAGCTATAAACAAAGAGTCTTCTGGCATCTTAAAAGGCTTAAGTGTAGGTTTAGAAGTAATACTTCCAGTCCTCCAAACCATTGTTTGTATGATTAGTCCTGCGTTTGCACATACTCCTCCTCTTACACACTCATCTGAATGAGTAATTTCCTGGTTTAATCAAACCATGGTTTGCTGTTTGCATCTGAATTGACAATGTGCAAAGTGTATTTACATAGTTGTGTTTTTAGAAGCTTTGAATTACTCTGAAATGTTAAAGTGTAGAAATTACTAACCGTTAACCTACTAATCTTCTCAGGAATTGTTCTGGTGCTATGTGAGGTGTGTGTATGTTTTAGTAGAGTTTACTTTAAAATACTAGTTTGAGAAAATGTCTTCATCATTTCTACCTAACCTGGTGGCTCCATCAATCTCTCTCCTCTGCAGACGTTGTCATTAAGCAAGGGAATTTATCCTATAGAACTTCATGGGACTTGGATCTAAGTAAAAGTGCTTAGCATTGTGCTGAAAATAATTTTCAAATAAGCAGCATGAAACCATAAACAGATGGTTGAAAAATGACTTGCAAGAGGAAATAAAGCATGTTTCAAATTTCCAGCAAATTCATGTGGTTCAAACTTCACATACTGATAGAGTTGCTGAGAGAGACCTGAGGAGAAGTTTCCATAGCATTCACACTTTGCAGCTTTATTGTTAGTTTCCGGCTGCTGAAAGTGGAAAGGTAGAAGACTTGCTGTTGGTAATTTTTTCTTTCAAAGACAGGAAGCTGTAACTTGCCCTCTGTTTTGTCCTTTCTTAATTGTTACGTAGGCAAACGGCGGAAATCTTCTCCCAAACCTCTTATTCTAAGTGAAGCTAAAAAGCAGTTAATGATCTACAGACTACCTCAGGTCCTCCGGCTGCACCTTAAACGATTCAGGTGAATTGGAGGTGGGCGGGGGAATAAAGGATCGCCTTTGTATCTGAAGCAATGGTGTGGATATAATTTTTATATTATTACTGGACGTTTTATTAAATGGCACCCATACATACCTTTTACTTTTGAAGAGAAATGTAAGAATGTTTCATGTCCCTTTTTGATTCTCTGTCAGAACAGAGCACAGATGAAGCACCCATTTGTAAAAAAGATCTGATGCACACAGTAAGAGGCTCCTTGTTTGTTTTAGAACCGTTCTAGCACAATATTATCCACTGTATTGCAGTGTGCATTTGTGCCTCTGAATTCACATCCCTACTTCTTTCCAAGCGCTATGCTTGAACTCCTGTTGATTGTTCTTCCGATATTGTAAATGGATTCAAGTTATTGCAAGTTGGAATTCTTCCAAGTACTGTAGTCATGAATCTGCAGGGCAGTGAAGAGATTTGTCTTTCAAAGTGGCATTAAAGGCTGATGTCTTCCCGGGAGGGTAGATGTGGGAGGAATTGACTCAGCCTTTTGACTACCATAGGAGCACCAGTGGAGTAAGTTTGAATAGACAGATCTGTGGATAGAAGTGACAACACAACTGCTGCAGTTCATGGGTTTGCAGCCGCAATATGTTATAATGAAAGCATAATCAAACAGGCTTGTGTGTTGTAACTGTAGAGCTTCCTCTAACATATCTGATGCTGACATCTGTTAAACAGGTGAAATTGTAACCAAATGAGTAAGCTTATCCTTTCCACCTAAAAATGAGAATTCTGAATCCAATATTAGCTTGTTTTAAATGTCATCACTATTCACTGTTAGTGGGTATCCCATAGCAGGTTGTGATTGTAGATAATTGTACAATTCTGTTTAATTTTATGTTAAAGAGGATCTCTATTTTGGCCACCTCCATGGTTGAGATTTTTCACAAAGTGTGTTTTGTTTGTTGTATCCATTTTTTTGCAGATATTTAAAACCTCAGAACAAGATTCTTTAATTAGATTCTTTAATTATGCCTATCTTTTAGCAGGAAAAACCCTTTTGTAATATTTATGCCTAAATGAATGGGAGTTCTTTTATTGGGCCAACTTACATCCACTAAATAGTATTGACTTACCCATCTTACATTTCTAAGAAAGCAAGAAGGCAGAAAATATTCTTCCCAACTTGGAGATGTATTTTTATTTCTAATTGGTAATGTAATTATTTTTGAGTTTATTAAAATGTAATTGCTAACGACCTAGGAAGCTACTTTGAATCACTGCTAAGCCTGATGATAGTCCTTTACTAAATCATGGTTTATTGATCATCAGTTTCAGAAAATAATAAAAGTAGTTTGAAAAGCAGAACAGTTTTCAAAATGTATTACATGGAATAATACTGTTGAAGAAATATGTTTTACAAAAGCATGTAGAAAGGCCTGTATTTCATATTGTACAACAGACTATATTAAATGCAGTAAATTAGGACCATTCAGTTGAAATTTTTCATCAAGTACACTATCCAGAATATCATAATTCTTTGAAATCTTGTTATAGCTGTGCTACAGCTGTCAGCGCCCCTGCCATATTTTTTTTAAAAAGCCCTTTTGATTGCATGCCTTTGTATTGCAGGTGGTCTGGGCGTAATCACCGTGAGAAGATTGGGGTCCATGTCCTCTTTGACCAGGTATTAAACATGGAACCTTACTGCTGCAGGGACACTCTCTCTTCTCTTGACAAAGAGACCTTTGTCTATGACCTCTCGGCTGTGGTGATGCATCACGGGAAAGGGTTTGGCTCAGGACATTACACGGCATATTGCTACAACACAGAGGGAGGTGCGTGTGCCTTCTTATAGGGAGAACTTTTTTAACTGATTGCATCTTGTAGAATTACCACTTCTTAAAAATGTATTTGTTTCCTTCAATATTATAGCTGTTTCCACAGTACATCGCTAGTAGTATATCTGCTGGTAACACTAGGAATTAAACTGCTTTTCTTCTTGCTTGTAGTCATTCGGAATAGATTATATTGCTTGCTCTTGCTCTAAAAAAGAAAAGTCATATTCTATTTTTCTTTTACTTAATATCCACATTGAATTAAACTATTTTGCTTGCTCAGTGAATTGCTATTTCTCTTTCTCCAAACTATAAGCAGACTTGTTCAGATGATAAATTCACACTGAATGGAGAACATCCACACTTCCTTATTGTCTTGCATCTCCCTTCAAAATGTTAATACAGCATATTTCCCCAGCCATCTGGAGAAAAGCAGAATTACAATTATCTTTTCTTGAATTTTATCCAGGATAACACTATAAAATGGGGAAGCTTAGATAACATAGCAGTATATTTGGCTGAGACCCAGAAAGCCCCTTTTAGGAGCAGCCATATGTTTGGGATTGCTTATTGGAATTGTTGACTTGTATTCCTTGAACAGCAGCAGAACCATAGTATGTCAAAAACTGCTTTGGAAAGTCCCCTTGAGTTTCAAAAATGACTTGCTTTTGAGCTCATGGGGCTGCTGTTCAATACAAATGTCCCTTTGGGCACATTATATTGTGGTTCTCTCTGTAGCTTCTGTAGAAGTGCTACAGAAGCTCAAGGGGTCATCTGTCTATGGACCAGTTCAAAAAAAAATTATTTGTCAGGATAAATCCCTGCCATTAATAAATTGTGTTTCCTCTCCTTTTTAGGGTTTTGGGTCCACTGCAATGACTCCAAACTGAATGTATGTAGTGTGGAGGAGGTATGCAAAACCCAGGCCTACATTCTTTTTTATACTCAAAGAACCGTGCAGGGCAAAGCAAGTATCTCAGAAACACATCTTCAAGCTCAGGTGCCGTCCAAACACAATGATAAAGATAGAAGACTGACACTCCCCTGAAAGGAAGCATCAACTGGCTTATTTTTATTTTATTTTTTTAAAAGCCTTTTGGAGTTCACTCATCTTGGCGGGAACAAATACTGCTGCAGGAATTATTTGGATCCACAGTCCGGAAAAGTGGGCCTCCTACTATGTGCAACTGTTCGATGAGATTGTAGCAGAACATCTATTTTTTTTAAGGACAGATGTATTTGTAAAACCCTTCGTCCTCTAAACAAAACAAAGAGTAACAGCCTCCAATGTCTAGGACTATTTATCTTCTTTCAAAGAGAAATCATTATGGCATGGAAAAGTAGGTGCATTCAAATTTCTGTGTACAACCAGGATATAAAGCCATCAAACTGACCATAAATATAACAATTCCTCCAGAAAAAGAATGAATCAACACAGCTGACTTAATCCTTGATCTCTTGATGTGGTGAACTGTTGTTGCACCTCTTGGTGTAAATAACGTAGCCAGTTATTATACAGTGTATAATATAGTCACCATCCATCTTTCTAACCCAGCGTAATTTGGGTAGATGGTGTTGTACTGTACTAAAACACATGCTAAGATCTTTTACACTAGGAAAATGTGTTCATCAACCCTTGTTTATTATTTTTGTAATGGGCATTTCATCTTTTGTCGCCTGAAGTCATTCCGGTTTCTTGGAATGAACAAAAGCTGAAATTATACAGAACGCTGAATATGTCACATATTTTGAGTATGTACTAAAAATTAGAGAAACTATTTTTCTTCCCCTCTATTTTCAGCATCTTCTAATAAGACAAAAACTTAGACTGAATTTACAGTCTACATTTTCCACTGTAATGATTGCAGTTGTTCTGGGTTAGCCTTGGCTTTTGGGGCTTTCCTTATGTATTGGCTATAACATGATGATCACCATATGAATTGGTCACGTGACTCCACCCAGTTTCACAGTTGAGGATTAGATTTCCTGTACTAATTACTCATTTTCTTTTTCTTCTGCTGCTGTTGGAACATATCAACTCTTGCCCTAAGTGCATAGCAACTTTTCAGATGCAAAGAAGAACGGACAGGGAAGTAGCAGCCATCACACAGATAAAGCAAGTGTCCTGAATTTTGTCAACTTCCTCCCTGTCGTAGTGTTTTTTGGGGCAATAGGAAGGGTATCCATCCTCATTCTCTTCTCTAACCCCCAGAAAACTAGCTCCAAACTGTGAGTGTTTGTCATCACAGTATGCTTAGGCACATGAACAAGGTGTAACAATTCATTAGTATGCTACCCTGTGTTGAATTACCATTAAGAGCTCTTGCTGACCTTAATTATTACCACTGTTTCATCTCTGTAGAAAGGACAGGACTCTGTGTGGCTAAACAAACAACTTGTTGCTTTGGAACTTGGAAATATTGATACCATAGCATAAAAATCCTACAATTGTGTATTAACAAAGATAAAGATAACTTTCCTTGGGTTTGTAACTAGGCTTTCGGGGCTCTTTTTTGCCACCAGTTGTATCAAGAAATCATACCCCTAACTGCTCATAAGAAATAGGCCAGTTAAATTGTGACAGAAATCAGTGCAGCATCATTGTAAATCAGGTGAAGTTTGACTCTGATATGGATGGTGAGCTTCACAAAATTTGAGAAATCTAATCCTGCAATTGTAATGATCAAATATCAGTGTTTATCTGCTACAGGGTTCCTCTGTTAGAGCAGAACACATGCATTTCAGTAAACAATTCTGGAGAAGAGCACAGGTCTTTTCAAAATTCCTGAAGATCGTCTTGCTCAGTATAGGATTTAGCTTTTCAATGTAAATTAGAAATTTCTGGGGAAAATGGATCTCAAAAAGATGGACAGGTGTCTGGTGTGCACAAGTTTTTCTCAAGTGCTTTCTTGCTTTCTGTGGCTACTGTGAACCCATCTTTCCAAGTCCATTGATAGCCTCCTGATATTAGTAAATAGCAGGTTTACTAAAATGACAAAAATCTAAGCGTTTGCTCCTTCTTGCATTGGAAGTAGGGAGAAAATAGCAGGGGTTTGCCATGATTTGGGACTGTGCAGCGCACACTGATTCCAGTAGACATTCTTCTGCTGTTTGGACTGGTAGTAAAAAGTTCAGGTGTACTGATCAGCATGTCTGATACTCCAGAAAGTTCTGTCGGCAAGCATCCTTAGTAAGAAATTCAGTTAATGAAGCTCAGCTCATACTCGTTGTCTTGAGAGCAGACACAACAGTGTTTTTAAATATAGAAAGCTGAATCCCTACAAATCATGATGCAGCACTGCAGTAGCAGATAGGGCTGCATTGCTATTCTGGCTTCCAAAGATTGCATTGCTGCCATTTACCACGGGGAGGCAGCAAAAGAACAGGGCATGGCAACAGGGCTCCTGTGCACAGTGCTGAGCTCCCCACTGCCTTGCTGCTTCCCCTCCCAGTACGTGGCAGCATTGCTGTATTTGGGAGCCAGGAAAGCAATGCAACCCCACCTGCAACACCCACTACTGAATGCAGCTCTGAAACCAGATTTCTCAGTAGTATGGCTGCCAACTGACCACAGCCTAAACTGATCATTAGTAGCAACTTGATGTCCAGACAATAGATGTGGAGCTTTTCACAGCATGAAGATAAACACTATCACCTACTGTTGCCTCCACATCAAGCTGCTGTTAAAGGTGTAGCTAGAGTTTGATGGAGGAGCTGGCAAGCCTACTGTTAATACTCATCTTTTGACTGGGTATTTCAAACATCTTTTAAGTTTTTGAGTAGGTGCAGCTGACGCCTAAATTAGATGCATAGTGTAGGCGGGAGGGTCGTATGGGTACCATGAATGCTTTGTGTTTCCTAAGCAGATTTGGACAGTAGTTGCCTCTCATGTGATTAATGGGGTGGCACAAGATGTGGAAATGAGTGCAATTGAAAGTTACCTGGATAGGGAAAGAAGGAACTGTGCTTTTGAATTGTGCTTGCTGTTTCCAACACTGTGAGGTTTCTGTAATAATTAGCTTTTATTTGGAAGCGATAGCGTATAGCATTTTTTATGCTGTTTCTTTTATATCTGTCCACTGCTAGCAGTGCTCTTGCTAAGCTGTACACTGTTTTAAAGTGTCCTGGTTGACAGAAAATGTGATAACAATTGGCATTCTCGATAGTTCCATATCTTACCATTACAAAGAAGCCTAACAGAATAACCAATCAATTAACCTTCCCGTGTTAATTTTCCTAGCATTCAGCTCCTTTGTTGCATATGTGTTAAACCCTGAAAAACTTTTAGCACTGAAAGGTGCTTCACTTCTCCCAAGAGCCACCGTGTACTTGTAGGATATGACCAAAAGCACATCCACATTTGCTAACCCATGGAAATCATTCAATTTACTTTAACGTTTATGCTCCTAAACATGCCTGTTAGGAAGCAAGCCCATTCAACTCAGTGAGACTTATTTCTGAGTAAACATGTTTAGGATCCGGCTATAAGAGTATACACACAGGAATAAGTTGGGTATAACAAGTGTTCCCATTATCAATAGAGCAAAACTAGTTGTGTGTCTATAGCTAAAACTAGCTACAAAAAAAATTAAAAATGATGGAGCAATTCAGTACATCAAGTTTTGAAAATGAATATTAGGCTAGCTAAGGGTTTTATTAGCTTGATGTAAGATTTCTGGGTCTTAGAAGTCTGTGGAAGTGCAAGCAGGCAGTGATCTGAACTAAAAGGCTTTGAAATAGGAACTAATGGTCTTCATCAAATTTGGACCACTTGAATTACTGCCCACTTCCTCTCACTGAAGGCAGATTTAGACATTGCCCTTGACAAAAATGGCGTCTCCAGGTCAAATATTCCCCCTATCACTACATTTTGGCACACAACCTATAGTGTGACAGCACAGTTTCCTTGGCCCAGCAATGGGGGGGGGGGGAGACGTACAATGATGTCATGAGGATGGGTGTGCCTAAATGTTACTGAGGGGTATGGGAGAATACTCCACAAGGGATTGCTACTTTCAGTGACAGGTCCATATTAAGTATAACAATGGGTTCCCCCTTGTATCTCTGCAACCCCAAAATAAAGGCAGAGGACAACAGAGGCCGGTTTATTCACTTGTTCTTTCATATTTTAAATATAAAATTTCAACCAACTAACTTGTTCTTTAAATATGTGCAGAAAGGGGGAAATATTAATGGAATCCTTTTATATCAGAAGTTTCCTACAGGCACTGGGGAAATAGTCCTAACTTTACAAAGCAAACAAGTTGATTTGTAGAGCATCCTAGCAAACGACTCACTATTATACTGCAAAGTTGAACTGTGCAGATGCTTATTTTTATTTGCTTTAGAACTATAGAGGTGATATCCAGTGGCAAGTCATCCTTGGAGCAGTGGGTCTCCTCCAGGTATGACAAGCATTAGATATTGCCCTAGGTGTGTGCGTGCACTTCAGGGAAACTATAACACACCTATCGGTTAAACCTTACAAAAAAAATTGATGTTAAATGTGTCCTATGGACTCACAAGGAGAACTTTAAAAACATACATGTTGTCTCTTTCTGATTGTAAAGATCCATTTTACTAATATGCTTTGTGTGCCAGGTATGTGTGATAGGAGAAAATGAGTTTTGAATGTCAGTAAATTATCCCCAACACAAACTGCAGCCACATTTAAACAGTATTGCTGACTGAAAATTTGTATGAATGGGGTGAAAGTTGTGGGATTAGTTTTGCCAATCGATAAAGCTTTGTGAACAATTTTTTTAAGATAAAAAATTGGTGCCTTGTATCTAATTACATTTTGCATGGGACACAAGTTTAATTTTCTCCCCCTCCCAAATTTGTGTCTTTACAATACTTTAGTAGTATTGGCTTTTTTACATTTCATATCTGTATGTGAATGGGAAAAATGGTTCCTACCAGCAACTTGATGTATTTTACTGTATGTGTCTAAAGACTGTATTTCTAATAATGCAAATGATTTGCTCAAAAGTAGATCATAATTTTGGTTTTTGTGTTAAATCTTTGTCAGTAAAAAGTTTTTTCAAATTAGGATTATTCCTCTTGAAGCAAGTACGTCATAATTTTGGTGTGAAAGGTTAAGAATGCCTGGAGCAATCTGTTGACAAAGCAGTTTGGAAAAGGCTATGAAATTGCTGACTGGTGCCTTGCAAAGACATCCGTTCTCTTCTACCATGGTACTGCTTCTTTCCCTTTCCAGTTCCTGGGAGGACAAACAGTCCTATCTTTATACAGATAGTATATGATACGTATGAGTGCTTGAAGCTAAACATCTATATGTAAAGGTGCTTAATAGAATCCAGTGAACATCTAGTGAACATTGTTTCATGATATCATGCCTAGCATTTAGTTTAACTAGCAATATCCGTTATCCTTAAATATAGCACCTCAAGTAAGATAAAGGCATATGGTCACTGCTGCATTGTCAAGCACATCTTCAATCAGCCTAAGTCTGACAGACAACTTACAGTGCAGAATGCATTGGAACTATGTAAGTGTAAGCATAACCGTGGCCTCCAAATTCAGTTCAGGTCATGTGGATGTCAGAAAAAGAGAAATGCTAAACATAGCAATGATGATACTGTACATTGGATTGCAGAAAAATTATGCTTTCTTTTCATAGAAAATATTGGCCGTATACAAGTAGCATCAACTGAATTTAAAATCAAGCTAGGATTGCCATGTTTTAAGTGCACTGATATAGAGTGGAAGTAGCCTCACCTTCCCATTTCTCTCTCTCTCACACACACACTCCTTGTATCCATCCTCCCACTGCCTATATAGTTAGGTGTCCTGTTCACTACTGCACAAAACAGGTGTGAAAGCCTCAGCTTTCAATGTACAATTCTCATCTTTAGCGTTGCAACCAAGCACCTTTGTGTGTCTTTCAGCTTCTATTTTCTTTTGACTTCATTCAATCCAAAATAACTAATACTCCAAACAATGTCAATGAAACAAGACTTAGGAAAAAAAATTAAAGGTTAGAACTAAACACACAGCTTGTTAGCTGTTCAATATTTAAGGAAAGCACCATCTTGTAATCAAACTTGCAAAACTTAACATGAAAAGGCTTTTAGATCCCATTGACAGTTTCTGATATCATAGATGTGTGATGTAATGTATGGTGTATCATGTCCACTGGGGGGAAGGGACTTGACAACCTTAGCAGCAGAGGGCATGTGAGCTGGAGATCAGCACTGTGCAGGCACACAGCACTGAGCTAGCAGCTTCCACCACCCACTGGTAAGGGCATCTGGTCCCATTTCCCATCAGTCAGTACTGTCAGCCTCTTATTTAACCACCAGTGGCAGAGATGGTCTTGACCAGAAGCATGTATAGGCCTCATGGTTGACTACAGCATATTTGGCAAAGAAATTTTATGTTACCGAATCGCATAATTTTAGGCGTTTTTGCTTGGTCCAGCTTTCAAAGGCAAAAGTAGATTACTATAACTAAATATTGAATTAAAAGAAACTCTGCTACGCTTAAGTTCACATATAGCAAATGCATTGCACAGTGGGCACTGGTTGCACCTCAAAATGTAAACCGAATCACATGTACACAGAAACAAGTTCCACTGAAGATGAGTATGTAAGTCTAGCCAGAAAACGAGAACAAATTTCTGCCACTACTTTTAAAAATGGTCACCACAAAATGTTTTTAAAACAAGTGTTCTGAAAATTCTTGATTAGATTTCAGAATTTTAACATGCACAAAATCAGATCTCTGAAATAGCACCTTACAGTAGTATAATCTCTACTTCACAAAAGTTCTTTACATAGGTACATAAATTTGCCACAGCTCCCCAAAGCCATACACTTCTGATTACATTATTTTAGCAGTAATTTAAGGTATAGTAAAAAAAAGTATACAGTTTTGTCTTAAATGCAGATTTATGGCTACTAGTAATTTGCAGGGGAACTTTAAGGCAATGCTGACTGCAGTTATACTTGTAGCTACTGATTGTTTGGTGTTGATCACTTAGCCGCACTCAGGCAATGGTTAAGACTGCCTCAGCTCCAAAGGGGTTGGAGGTAGGTAGTGATGGAGGACAGATCGATATATGAGCAACTGATTTTACCCACTCACTGCATAAATGTTACTGAAACACAGCTACTCATCTTTTACATTTTGTATTGAACTGGGTTTAATAGTTTATAAATAAAAAGGATCAAGAGGTGTGTTATAAACAGGTACAAAACTGTAAGTTGGAATTTTTGCTAAATATACTGAATAATATGTTCTTTCTACTCAAGAATGTGTGTCATAGGACTTGGGCAGACACCATCCCCACAGGGCCAATGATTTCATTCCCCCTTGGTGACAACTGAAGTCTCATTTACTCCTTAGGATTCAACTACCTTTTATCTCCATATGGGAAGGAGGAATGGGTGGCTCTAATGAACAAACACAAATCTATTGTTAAAGGGAACTTTAAAGAGAGACATTGTAATGATGATGACGTTCTTCTACAAGACCAACAGCGTTCCAGCCCATATGATTTAAAAAACAAACCAACAAACAAGTGGTTTCCTGTTAACCTCAGAGGCATTATAGAGCAGTCCAAGACACCAAAATGCTATGCAACACCAAACAGTTCCTTTTCCACATACAATATACCATCATAATTACAATACCACACAACTCTTTATGCTGGCTGAAAATTGTTCATAAGTAAAGGGTCACCTAGGCCTTTTAAAAATGTATTTTCCCTTTGAATAGTTAACATGTCCTACTTAAAAACACAGGACTGGGGCTTGTTACTTCTTTAAGTGTGAAATATGAATCATGTTTTTATGATTTTTGTAAATCTTTACTCTTTTTACCTTGTTTTTGTAAGCTGAAATTTCCTATTAAAATGAAAAAGTCCAGTGCATTGGCATGTCTTTATTTCACACTTCAGAATCTGTTAAACTCTTGGTACATAAGTTGATTCCATCTGCAAAAGAACTTACATTTTCTGGCAAAAATAGAACAAAGGTACTACATTAATTGGACTCAACAGTGCTCCCAAGCGAGTGAAGTGAACATGATAAAAAGAAATGTACAGGTAAATTGTTGCCTCGGTGTTTTCTCTAGTCCTTCACTCACGATACTGATGCCTCCAATTGCTTCAATAGAAGCTGCATTGCAGATAACATCCCATGTAAATCAACGCAGTGATGAATCAATTCATTTGGTCATGAAGCAAGAGGGAAACTCAGACTTCACGCAGATCTACTTCAGTCACATCTGTAAGGAAAAGTTGGACGTCTAAGATGATAGGCTACTACACAAGTGAACAACATACAGCTTTTCCAATAAGTGGACAGGGCCCCATAAACTATTAATACCTTGTGCAACACAGCTGTCATTTCAAACTAGCTTTGTGGCAGAAGGACCATAAAACAAATCTGAAGAGTGATACCGGTCTAAAGCATACTGAAAATAGGCCTTTCAAATCAAGGGACTTAAGTTCATTTATTTCAGTAGGTCTATTCTCACTTTCATTATCACCCTCTGTATGCAAAGGCAACATAAACATCCAAATTTGCTTTAATAATTCCATATCTAATCACAACATGCTTAGAACATGTTTGAACTGGAATTGTGTGGGTAAAAAAATGAAAACTGTGTGCACTTGGTCTTCCAAGAAATCACACCTTGCAGGGAAATTTGGCAGATACAGCTCAAGTCCACTTGTTTTAAGGAAAGATGCAACATAGTTTGATGTACATTGTAATAAAAAATTTGATACAGAAGTTATCCAAATACTAACAATAATTTACAAACACAAAATCTCAGGAAGTATTTAATATATTTCCACCCCAGACAAAGTCAGGCAGGTGAAACATAAAATAAAACAAAGCTTAGAGAAATATAAACAGAGTTTTCATAGCTCAACCTAAGGTGCAACAAGTTTTCAGAATAGTTTGGGAACTGCCAGTCTAATTTATGGAACAGGAGTCTAAACATATTCAACAGTTTCAGCTATCCAGCGCTTGGTTACAAAATTATCTGATAGACATTTCTTTCAATTTATTCTCCTTGCTTGAAAATGACTGACTATAAAGGTAACTAAAAATATCATTGAATTGTTTAAGGCAAATTACACAGGGAACCCTCTGTCATATTAACTCTATGGAAATACAAACATTTGTGGAAATGTCCATGAAGTTCGGAATGCCTAAAGTAATAGCAATCACAAGTTTCAAGACTATGAAAGTTCTAGATCAGACATAGGCAAACTCCAGCCCTCCAGATGTTTGTGACTACAATTCCCATCATCCCTGACCACTGGTCCTGTTAGCTAGGGATGATAGGAATTGTAGCCCCAAACATCTGGAGGGCCGGAGTTTGCCTATGCCTGTTCTAGATCTTTTCTGGGGGTAATAGTACATTCTAGAGTGGGGGTGGGGGACCTCCACCCTGTGTGTTGGGCTTGGCCCACCAGTACATTTTGTGCAAGCCCTACTCATATGCCCTACCCTTGATGACAATCGGGTAAGGGTGGCTTTCCCAAAGCCACTTTGTGAAGCTCCCAAAGGGCCTGACAAACTGCTGGTTGTCCAGAGCCTTTGAAGCAATGCACAAAGTGGGGACCCAATACTAAGGAGGAGAGCTCTCCCTACACATCAGCCAATGCAAAGGAAGAGCAATCCTGCTGAGTATGGGCCTGTCAGACAACTCCTTACGGGAAGCTCTGGGTATGCCCAACCTCAACAGGAAGCAAGATCACTCCCTCCCCCATCAGGAGAGGAGCTGATTCTGCTGATCACTGGGCCTAAGAGAGCAATCAGGCACTCTGCAGCAGTTTCTGCCACCTTTTAAAATATCACCCCAGGGTGCTGCAAGAGTGCTCAGCTCTTGCTCTTGCACTCAGTCCCCACAATCCCATCCAAGTACAGGGGAGTGGGGACTGACTTAAAAGAGGAGGAGAAACCCCTGTAAAGAGCGCTCAGCCACCCCCACCCCCAATCATGTGACATGGCCTGCCCTGTCCACCTGTCAAAGCTGGTCCATAGGATGGAGCCAGATAAAGATCTTGCCCCCTGAGCCAAAAAGGCTCCTCAACCCTGTTCTAGAACAGGAATATGAATTTTTGATAAAGAAGTTTTTCATGACAGTTTCCTGTAGCTCTTCCATTTCTGATGTTTTTCAACTTTCAGTAGCAAGTACTCACTCTAACTTTAGATTAGGACAGGCATAGGCAAACTCAGCCCTCCAGATGTTTTGGGCCTACAACTCCCATGATCCCTAGCTAGCAGGACCAGTGGTCAGGGATGATGGGAATTGTTGTCCCAAAACATCTGGAGGGTCGAGTTTGCCTATGCCTGGCTTAGGAAAATATTTTCCTTTCATCCAGAATGAAAGGGTGACCCTCATGAGGCCTGAGTTTGCACAGAAAAGCAGGGTCCTATTTATTCAGCCCTTCACTTAACTAGTGATCTGATTGCGATGAGACAAATTAAGAGGATATATACAATCTGCACTATTTCCACAATCTTGTCTACTCACCGTTTCTGCTATGCAGGAGGCTGTGGTGCCATCAAATCAATGTCTGTTAAGTTTCTAGCTACCCAAACTCCCACTGCAAAGAGACCCAGGTTAACTATGAGGTTCCTGAAACAAATACAAAGTAGGGTGAAGAGTCTGAAAACTGGTAGCTAATATCAAAATTTATGCACAATTCTGCTGGATTTCTGGCCTAGAGACACTAATACCAGATATGAATAGATATGACATTCTTACTGCAATCATTCCATTGAACTCAGTGGGACCGACATCTGACAAGAAATCCCCAGAACTGCACTATATATAGCAGCATGAAGGGCCAGCCATGTTGCTAACAGAACGTTCTATTCAAAACTGCCTGCCTTAACCAAAGTGCAGTAGAAGTGCTTCCTCACTACACAAGTTCCTCTGGAGGTGAGGCTGCATTTAGCTAGTGTAATGGAGAACCCAGGGTTCAGTTTTCCTATGGGCACTACATGTTAATATTTGTCAAGCTAGATTGCTTCAATCTATGCTCAGAATGGATTCAAAACTTGCAGAGCCAGAGGACATAAAAAGAGCTGTCTGAGAAAAATTGCAAATGCAATTCCTGCAATAATGGAAAAATGAGGATAAGCAGAAGGGCAAGGGATCCTGGGAGTAGATTTAGCATGGGCAGAAAACCTAAAGAGATGTTTTGGCTTTTTGTTTAATGCTTGCTTGTTCTTTAGTTCCTGTTTATCGGGGGAAGCCTTTTCAACACTGAAAATGCTATGTTTTTTGAGGGTGGGAAGGGAGTGATGTTAGATTGGGGGGGATGTATTCCATTTTATTTTGAAAATAACAAAAAAAAATGTTGTTTAAAAAAATTAAAAACCCTGAAGAGACGAAGCTGTGAAACAGAAAACGAAATGTGTTGAGGCGAGTCGGTACCCTTCAGACACACCTAATCTGTTTTTTACTTGGCCAGCTACAGGACCCCTCACGAGGCCCTTTTAAAACCGTGAACGTCAAACCGCGCGTTAACTTTGGAGTGACCTGTACATCCTTACAGTACCGAGGCCCCCCGTGCTTCCCAGCAGGCCAAGCGAGACACCGCACAGCCCAGGGCGACTCTCCCTCCTGCGGCTGCCACCTCCCTCCCCGACCCACCGCCCTGGAAGGGGACCGAAGCTCCTTCGTATCAATACTCCTCCCACCTGCGAAAGTCACTGCGGTCTGTGGCGAAGCGGTAGGCGCCCCGGATCCAGCCCCGCAGCCCCTCGGGCGTCACCGCGCTGGAGCTGCTTCCGCCGCCCGCTGCTTGCCCGCCCGGCGCCATCGTCGCTGCTTCGGAACCTCCTCAGCGACGCACGAGGGCTCTTCTCCAGCCCAGGAACATCGAACCTCGGTTGGCGCCGACGTAATGCATCACTTCCTGCGCGACGGCTTGCGACTCTAGCCACAGAGACTGCGTCTCCCTTAAGCCCCGGCTAGGCAGGGCGTCATAGCCAAGAATGATGGGAGTTGTAGTCCGGAAACGTCTCGAGAGGAACAGCTTTGGGAAAGCGGCTCAGTTGCAACCGAACTGCCGAGAGAAGCGCCAGACTCCGGAAACCGAGAAGACAAGCTCACTGAATTATCAAATTTATTAACTATTAATTATTAATTATTATTATTAATTATTAAGCCCTGTGTCAGTTTGTCGTAGCAAAAGAAAGAAGTGGCTTGTGACGGCACCCTTCATAAGGTCCCTTGGACTGCAGTCCACTTCCGCGTTCTGATGAAGCGGAGCGTGTTCCAACGAAATCTCTTGGGAATCCTAGACTCGTAGAGTTGGGACCCCTAGGGTCATCTAGTCCAACCCCATGTAATGTAGGAATCTCAAGATTGCAGTACCAAATCCAATTTGAAACCATAGGAGGCACTGCTTAGCTTTGCAAATGTGCTAGCAGTTTTATTACCGCGCTAGCACTAGGAGAGCATTATAAAGTTGTTCACCTTTATTAGACAAACTAAGACAACCATGGCAGAAACCAAATTAGTGAGCATGGATAAGCAAGCAATCCCCTGCATTGAAATTCTGTTACAAGGTAGACACAGGATTGGTATGGGTTTTGAGTCTCCCTAAACTTCCATTTGTGTACTAAAGTCTATTTTAGTGCAAGGGTCCAACGAGTCCTTGTTTTAGAAATGGGTTGCACCCCAGCCCCATATAATTATCCCAATCCCCCTGAGTGTATGGAAATGTAGGCAAGGCAAGGCCCATCATGGACGCGTGAAACAAAATGGTGCCCTTCAGCACCATGATGGACTCTCCTATTAGTCAAGGATGGTGGCCGATTCATGCCTTATATTCCTTTTTTAAAAAATCTAAAAGCAATCTCACAATAAACACCTGGAGAGCTGTACGCATACACACACACATTGTGGAAACACATGAACTCACACACATAACATGCTCTCCTGTTGGCATCCAGCTTTGCATCTGTGTCTGTCTGTGTCACACTACATCTTCCTGATCCTCCCTGCTTAAAGCGACAGCAGGGGCTAAGCCAGAAAATGACTGTAATAGTGGGAAACTGTCTGTTAAGTAGTTTCTGTTAGAATTCCTAATCCATGATTGCAGTCATGGGATTTTTGTCTATCACATGACGGTCTATGTTTTGACTCCACAGAGTGAGAAGTGACGGAGACAGGATGTTTGTGTTACTGTGTTGCGTGAAGTGGGACTATTGTCCTTTGTTCTTTCACTTCTTTGCTGTCTGATGCTAGAGAGAGAGGGAGCCATGTTGCAGTGCTCCGTGGGTGTTTATATGTAAATAAAGTAGATTAGCCAAAATGCTGAGTTGCTGGGGTCTGTTACGCAAACTGTGAACACTCTGCGGATCCTTAAGTGTGCTGGTGTCTGCTGGCATCGGTCGCTGTGATGTTTGGGCAGAAGAAAGCTTTTGAAGCAATCCAAAGCATTGCTAATGCCACATTTTTCCTCTCAGTACTCTTCCTCCCCTCTCTCAGCGAACAGCCTGCCCGCTGCTCGCAAACATTCCCTTTACCTGAATTACAGTCAAGAAACAGCTGAGCAGAGCCTCTCAGCGGCAGGCTTGGGAGGCTTTCCTTCTCCCCACTTTTTTCTCCCCCTCCCCAAGCAGCACAGTCCCCTTTTTCAGCCTCCTCCTCTCCATCCCTTTCACCCAAACTCCTCAGGTGACGTCTGCAATTTCTCCCCTTCGCTCCTCCCTCTCCTTTGCCCTCTACCATGACTCTCCACTCACGGCAACCTATGGTACCTCCGCTCCCTTCACCCAGCTTCTTGGTCCCCCTCCTCTCTGTCCTCTTCCTCCCCTCTCTCAGCGAACAGCCTTCCCACTGCTCCAAACCTTGAGGGGAAGGGCAAGCTGCTGGCAGAGCAGCACCCCCCCACCCCCATTCAGCAGCCCAGGAGCGCGGGGCATGGGCGCACAGCCCTCCTGCTGCTCCAGAGCTTCCTGGGGCTGCAGGGGGAAGCCGAGGCTGCCGGCAGAGGAGCGCAGCTCTCCCCACCGCCCCCATTCAGCAGCCCAAAACCGCCTGTTTCCTGTAGCCAAGCCTGCTTGGCTAATATGTTTCGCCAAGCAGCATATTACAGTTGTCATAGCCTCAGTGTTAACCTTCTAATTGCCCAGCTTCCTAATTCTTTAGACCCTTTCAACAACTTTCAAGGTGTCCTGGTCTTTACTTTTTGAAATATGGCAACCCTAGCATAATCTACAGGAGCAGGTCTTGATTTTTGTGTGGAAACTAGTTTTTAAACAATTACAAAACAGCTTTGCTCTCTGCTTGGAGTCACAAACCATCGCTGTCCACTTTAGCACTTCCAATATAGTGCTCAGCAGGGACGCTGTGAGAACACACTGCACAAAAGTGTGTCACAGGCAACAAGGACTTTCTGTGTCTACCAGAAGCTTGTGCTATGTGACATACTTTAAACAGCCTTCACCAACTTGGGTCCTCCAGGTGCTTTGCACTGCTACTCCTTCAGCCCCAGGCAGCATGGACGGTGCTCTGAGGGCTGCTGTAGTAGAAAACATCTGGAGGGCCCTGGGTTGGCAAAGGCTGGTTTAAATACCCCCTGTGGATAATTGTTCCTGATGGGAAGGGGGAGCCTGAGGCCCCTGTCCCTGCCCTCTGCTGCCTAGAAGGACTGTGAAGGGGCGGGATAAGCTTACAGGGTACACTTTGTTCCCTCCTTCCTCCAAGCAGTTGTGGCCATGAAACTACTTAACAGACACTTATCCACTATTACAGTCATTTTCTGGTTTGGCCCTTGCTGTCGCTTTAAGCAGGGAGGATCAGGAAGATGTAATGTGACGCTGACATACACAGATGCAAAGCTGGATGCCAACAGGAGCGCATGTTATGTGTGTGAGTTCATGTGTTTCCACAATTTGTGTGTGCGCGCGTACAGCTCTCCAGGTGTTTATTGTGAGATTGCTTTGAGATTTTTAAAAAAGGAATATAAGGCATGAATTGGCCACCATCCTTGACAAATAGGAGAGTCCATCATGGTGCTGAAGGACACCATTTTGTTTCACGCATCCATGATGGGTCTTGCCTTGCCTACATTTCCATACACCATGCAACCCATTTCTAAAACAAGGACTCGTTGGCCCCTTGCACTAAAATGGAGTTTAGTACACAAATGGAAGTTTAGGGAAACTCAAACCTATACCAATCCTGTGTCTACCTTATAACACTTTCAGTGCAGGGGATTGCCTAGTTATCCATGCTCACTAATTTGGTTTCTGCCATGGTTGTCTCTGTTTGAGTTATAATAGTTTAATACAGCTCCAAAGCAATATCTGTCTCTAGGCATAATGAGGCATAATTGTTTTCTCAATTATCTGGTCTCTAATTGTTTATTCTGCCAAAGTTACACAAACCTATTAAATCCTTCAAAGCAGCAATATATTGAAGTTTAAATTCTCAACATTTCTGTTGTTGTTGTTCTCAACATTTCTGATTGCACTGATGAAATTTGTGGCAATTAACTACCCACATTCACTTTGGGCACAAAAGCCATGCAGGTAGTCTCATATTTATCATCTGCAAGAGGAAGTGTGAAGAGGAGTAGAGAAAGGCAGAATATAAATTAAATAATAAATTAACCATCTTCTCTGTGGCCAGATTACTCCCCCCCCCCTTCACAGATCAACCTATATTGATAGGACATAGGTTAAGTCACTGGGATTGTGAGCCAGAATAAAAAACCTGGGCTCAGGATTTACCAACAGTTTTTCTGGATCTAGGTTCAGTCAGCTTACCCACATTCAGTAAGGTCCTGTACCTGTTGAGATATGAGCCTCAAGTCCAGGGGCTTCTCTGACTCAATGATTAATTAGCAGAGTAGCAGTTGCTTGTATTGCAAAAACGACACTGGACACCCAGAAAAATAATTAATAGTAGTTTACTTGAAAAATCTTATCTTTACCAGAGCCCTGACAATATGCAACTTGGAAGGGGGGGGGGCGACTTCAGTACAGCATATAAAAACTGAAAAAAAATAGTTCAGAGCAAAAAAGTAAAACCCAGACAGAGAGAAGTGAAAGTACAGATGAGGCTGCTTGCTGCGTAGTTTATATATGCTCTCAATGGCCTTGAAAGAGATAAACTACACAATATGGAAACAACATCGGTCTGCTTCTAGTAGAAATGGAAAATTACTGACCAGCTAGAATTTTCTAGCATATTCCATCTTGAGCTGGAGTCTCTGTACATACATAAACTTTAAAACCTTAATATAACCTGCCACTTATCTCTCTGAATGTATTTATTCTACCCATGTCTATTGCCAGACCGTTTTTGACACAAAAATTTAACAACGCTACAGTATCTCAGCAGCATATAACTAAGAGGTAGAACTGATTGTCATCAGAACACTGATGTGACAAAGTCTCATTTTGTTGTTGTTTTTTTTACCTAGATGCCCCATTGAGGGAGACGACCACCCTTTGGACACTGCAGTTAAGAATGGAGGGAGCAAAAAAACAATACTTGCCCAAGGCTGCAATCATTCACCTGGGAACAAACTCCACAGAACAAGCACAGTGGTATCAGTGTGCAAAGAAACATGCCCAGGATTGTGCTAATGGCATAAAAACTACAGCAGCATAGTTGCAGCTCATTCACCAAGGACATTGCAATGGCTGTTAATGTCACACGAAGAGCACTTCTAAAGATGTATATAATCAACCCCAAGATTCCCAGTGAGTTTTGCACTCAAATAAATTCTTATCCCAAGGAAAAGCTTAAAAAGCAAACAAACACTTCTATAAACACATTCTCAGTTACCAAGATCGTCCATAGAATTAAATTCAACTCAACTGATTTAAATGGATCAGTTAGAATTACTGCCTTACTTGTTTTTTAAAAGGTAATGTGAAGATCTTCATATTTTTATTAATTCAAAATGTTTTTGTAATCTCTCCCTCCTCCCTCTTGCTCCATCCATCCATCCATCCATCCATCCATCGTAGCTTAAATAAAAGTTTACAAGTACAGCTTCAGTCCTGCCCTATGTTTGTGGCAACTGCCCTTATGAAATAAGGTTAATTCCAATGACATCCACCTATAACAGACAGCACATAGCTCAGTTGATAAAGCATGAGACCCTTAATCCCAGGGTTGTGGATTTCAGTCTAGTGGCAAAAAAATTCTGCATTGTAGAGGGTTGGATTAGGACATAGGTGGTCTTCATAGTCCCTTCCAACTCTACAATTCTATGAGGGTATGATTTTTAACTGTAAGAGTGACTGAAAGCTCTTTTAATTCGATTTTAGCTGTTTTAGTGGTACTTTATTTCCTGTTCTTACATCCTATTTTGTGTTGTTTTGCATCTTCTTCTTTTTTAGCTTTTTACTGTAAACTACTTTGAGCATTTGGTGATAAGGCAGATACAAATACAGTACTTTTAACAAACAAATCTTGGCTAAGCATTGCAGTGTTATGAGGAAGGCTAGCTTCCAATTCTAAAGCCATGGAAGTGGCCTGGGAGAAGGTTCTGCCCAGAGTTCATGGTGATGTCCCCAAGAAGGCCTGTAAGACCTTCCCCCAAAGGAGAGTGATAACCCATTCTAGATCACTGTAGCACTTAGGTTTTTGTTAAGCTTTCCTCGCTACTCCCAGCTATGTCAATTTATTTTATATTATTTACTTACAACATTTATAGACAGTTTTCAGGGTGGCACATAACACAAAATTAAACGTTTAAAATTCAATAAATAAATAATAAAACCAACTAAAGAAAGGTTCTCAATTCTCTCTGTATTAATTTTCTTTAATGACCACAGTGTTAGCTAATCAGATTGTTGATTACCAGTTATTGTTTTGATTTTCTAATATGGTTAGAATGCCTGCTTGTTATTCAGTTACCACTCTCTAATAATACTCCTCTAATAATAATAATTAAGTAGTAGGTTGACAAAGCAGATTACACAGAGATTTCTCCAAGTGGTTCTTTATAGTAAGCTGGAACTGAACTGAACTGAACTGAACAGAACAGCTCAGCCAGCCTGCTTTTATAGGCGGCCGGCTGTCAACATTGTAACAACCACACCCCAGGGTTTCCCGCGTAAATTAACTGACGTGGACCTGAGTGAAAACTATATACAGTACACAATACCCCTGGTGGCCAGGATGAGCACTTCAATACATAACAACAACAACAAATTTTTAATAGTCCGCCATTCCTGGTACGTGTTGGGTGAGGGGAAGGCATTGTCTCTCCATGTATAAGATCTTCCTGGAACTTGGTCCATTCTTGGGTCTGAAGATAGTGTGGTAAGACAACTTGGGATTTTAAATGGAAGAAGCTGCTTGGAATAGACATTGGTTCAGCAAGCCCATAAGGTCCATATCAAAGAAACTTCAGTAAAAGTATTTGATTGATAAAGTTAGCTCACATTTACTTCCTTGGTCAGAATGTGGACAGGATGTAAGGCTAAGGGCATACACCACCATCTTTGGTGGGAATGCCCCTACATATGCAACTTTTAATAAAAAGTATGCCAGGAATTAGTATCACCAGGACCTCCACTTTACACCTGAGTTTTTCCTGTTACCAATCTTTAGAGGCCGAACAAGGATGTTTTAGCAAAGGATTTGTTGTAATTTCTGTTGGTGGCTGCCAGAGAAACCACTGTCCAAATGTAGAAAACCCTGGACAATTTGGACTTACCTGCATGGTATAGGAATGCCTCTTGGGTGGCCCTAACAGGAAAAAATAATCACACATAATTTTCAAGGAAAGGAACAACCACAGACTTTCTATGCCACCTAGTGGCCCTTAATTACATACAGTTCTAACAAAAACCTGCAAATATATAAAATAACCGCTATTATATGCAGTTTGATTTCACTGTGACCTCACTTGGGGCTTCACTATTATTGATCTTGATTTCCTGTATGACTGTAAAACAGGTGGCATTGATTATTTACTATTGTCACAGGTCATCAATGTGGCAATCACAGATATACATATACAGATTAAGAGAACAAAGGAAAGGTGATGGGCCATTAAGAAAGCAGGGAGAAGGCAGATGGGAAGGCCCCTCACCAAACTGCAGGATTGCATGAGGCTCTTAATCTCAGAGTCACAGGTTCAAGCCCCACACTGGGCAAAAAGATTCCTGCATTGCAGGAAGTTGGACCAGATGACCCTTGTGGTCCCCTCAAACTCTACAATTCTAAAGTGAGACTGAAATAAAAGCCTCCCCTGAAGATCTCCAAACCTGGGCATGTTCAGTCCTTTTCATGAGTGGTACCTCTCAACTTACTTAGGCCATCTACGTTCATGTCATGAGATATAGCTACTTACAACACAATCCTATGCACATCTACTCAGAAGGAAGACCTGTTGAGGTGAGTGGGCATAGGACTGCAGCCTCAGAGGACTAGCTCTTCTCTTCATAGAACTCCAGGGTCATGTAGTCCAACCTCCTGCAATGCAGAAATCTTTTGCCCAACGTGGGGCTTGAACCCACAACCTTGAGATTAAGAGTCTCATGCTCTATTGAGTGAGTGAAACCAGGACCCGCCAGTCTTAGTGGTGATTTATGAACATAAGAAACAAAGAAGAGCCAGCTGGATCAGGCCAATGGCTCTATCCTGTTGCCGACCAGATGCTTTCAGGAAACTCACAAGGAAGATACGGGCACAAGAGCACTTTCCACTCCTGTGGTTTCCAGCAACTGGCATTCAGAAGCATTGCTGCTCCAAACACTGGAACCAGAGCACAGTCATGAATTTGTATAAACCTATTTTAAAGCCATCTAGGTGGGTGGCTATCATTGCTTCCTGCGGGAGCAAGTTCCACAGCTTAACTATGTGCTGGTTGAAGCAGTGCTTTCTTTTAATCTTCCAACATTCGGCTTCCCTGGATATCCAGGAGACCTAGTGTTGAGATGGGGAGCATTTCTCTACCCGTTTTTCTCCATGCCATGCATAAATTTATACACTTCTATCCCATTAATTCTCGCTCACCTTTTCCATATACAGTGGTACCTCGGGTTACAGACACTTCAGGTTACAGACGCTTCAGGTTACAGACGCCGCTAACCCAGAAATAGTACCTCAGGTTAAGAACTTTGCTTCATGATGAGAACAGAAATCATGCGGCGGCAGCGGGAAGCCCCATTAGCTAAAGTGGTACCTCAGGTTAAGAACAGTTTCAGGTTAAGAACGGACCTCCAGAACAAATTAAGTTCTTAACCTGAGGTACCACTGTACTGAAAAGTCTCAAACGCTGCAACTTTTCTTCATAGGGAAGTCGCTCCACCCTCTTGATCATTTTGGTTGCGCCCCTTTTCTGAACCTTTTTTCCTTTATTCTTTTTGAGCTGAGGAGGCCAGAATTGCACTGACACCGTAGATTTGCACTAACGGCATTATGACTAACTGCATTGGCAGTTTTCTTTTCAGTTCTTTTCCTAACAGTCCCTAACATGGATTTTGCCTTTTTCACGGCCTGCACACATGGGTTCGACATCTACCACACCAAGGTCTTGTCACCGTTTTTCTGACCCGGTGAGGGCAATATGTAAAATTAAGATTGGAACCATGGTCTCTGAGGTCCTAGTTCAACGCACGAATTACTACACTGCAATTTAACGCACTTAGCCTTCATTTAAAAACAACAACAGGCTAAGTACTTTGAATGTGCTGTATGCAGAAGATTCTTAAGGCAAACGTCTTATTCAGTGCTCCCTCCAACAGGGATGAGGACAGGGCCGGATTTAGTTTTGATGAGGCCCTATGCTACTGAAGGTAATGGGGCCCTTTATATGTCCAGCTGTAGGTTTTATTTTGGTTTTTATCTTAAAATTTTGAAAATGTACATCCAGGTGTGTTTTTCTTTAATTTTTTGGGGGGCGCCCAAGAGAATGGGGCCCTAAGCTATAGCTTGTTTAGCTTATACGCGAGGAAATGGAGCCATGCAGTTGCAAGTTTTAGATTCACAACCCACGTCAGGGCGGGAACTCGGCGAGCAGCCTGCAAGCCGTCATCTCCCTCGGCCTTCCATCTTCCTCCCTAAGCAGCTGAAATGCGGAGACAACGACACAGCCTTAACTAGTTAATGGAATGGAGAAGAAAGTACCCGCGCAATGCGCTATTTGAGCAGCTAAGCCTTATCAATCGCCTCATGCAATTCTCTTTTTTCCCTTCCATGCAGAAGACCCCTGCAGCGATCTCTAAAGAAATCACACCCATATAGATTTTATGCCCGTTTGGCAGCCCCAGGGAGACGCAATCGCTTTCCCGACAGCCTTTCGCAGCTGAGGGGGATTCTTAAAAGCGGGCCTTCTCCTTCTCTGACTTTCGGTTTCAGCGCGCGCGTTTTCTCCGGCTCACGTCTCCTATCTGCCTGATTTGGAGCGCCTTTGGGCGCCTCTTCCTCATTTCGGCAGCCGAGGCGCTGAGAGGAAGTTAGCAACAAATCGAGCAAGTTTTCTCCTCGCTTTGTCTTTCAATGGGCTGCGCTCGTCTTTTCGCAACACCGAGAGGCTTCAGCCAGCTTTGATTTGGGGCGGAACGCGCAGCGCGCAGCTCTCCTCCCAACCACGTTTCTTCCAGCAACAGAGAAACAGCGATTGGAGCTCAAAGGTAAAGACTTTTGCAAGATCCTGCTGGTAGAGGCTATAATATGCTGCTGATAGACCTCTGGGAATTGAAGTTCATTCATGTAACTCCCCCCCTACTCAAAACAAAAGCCGATACTATGGGAATGCATCCCTGTTCCTTGAAACAGCGATTGTATGAAGGGCGGGGCGGAGAGCGACCGGTTGGGTTTGTGCTGCGTTGAGGAAGATGCTTTCCTTAAGGAAGAGGCCTTCTTGTTGGGACGGAGAAGGGTTTCCCTTTTTAAAAAAAACTACCCGCGCAGAATGGCAAAACTAGTTTCCTAAATATTGCGATTGCCGTATTTTGTAAGGGAGCTGCAAATGGGCACAGCCAGGACTTTTGTTGGGGGGCAGAACGGACGTGATTGGTCAGTTAAATATTTATATTTGACTTGATCTGGGGCTATGCCCATATAGCTGCAAAAGTTTTTAGTCTAGGGCTGGTCGTTTCAGAGGTATTGTTCCTCTCTCCTTCAGTGCTAACCGTTTAAGTTATACTGCTACAGAATTTTAACTTTTGTGGTTTCAAGGGAGTTGTAGCTGTTTTGGGCCGTAGCCAGGAGTTATTTTGAGGGGGGCAGAACCGAGTTATCTTTGATGCAATTGGTCAGTTTAAGTATTTTTATTTATTTACTTGATTTAGGGGGCGCAGCTGCACCCCCAGGCTACGCCCATGCCTCAGGCCCTCTGATTTTGTATGTGGTGTTATGAGAAAAACTGCTCCCTTTCCCTTATGGCGTATTCCAGAGCCTGTATAGAGTCCTTAAGTGGGCTCCCTATGGGTGGGTGAAAATAACAGGCCAACCAGAGTACCGTCTTTTTCTGTGTATGAGACGCCTCCATGTATTTTTGGGGACTCAAATTAAAAATAAAAAAAAATTTGTGGAGGATTGACCAAAGTTCTTACATTTCTTATGTTCTCCATCTCACCATTTATTCACTGTGATTTGCAGCAACTGGTGTTCAGATTGCTTAATGCCTCCGATACCCAAATACAGTGGTACCTCGGGTTAAGTACTTAATTCGTTCCGGAGGTCTGTTCTTAACCTGAAGCACCACTTTAGCTAATGGGGCCTCCTGCTGCTGCTGCGCCGCTGGAGCACGATTTCTGTTCTTATCCTGAAGTAAAGTTCTTAACCTGAAGCACTATTTCTGGGTTAGTCCGGAGTCTGTAACCTGAAGCGTATGTAACCTGAAGCGTATGTAACCCGAGGTACCACTGTAGTATGCAGCCATTGTGGTTGGTAGCCTTATGCACCGTGAATTTGTCTAATCTTTGAAACCATCCAAGTTGGTGGCCTCATGTAGAAGCAAATACCATAATTTAACTATGTGCTGCATTGTTACCCTTCGAAAGGAAGGTCTGAAAATACGCCTCGTCCTTCTTCCCAATTCAAGACAAAAGGTGTGGTGGAAAGAGCAGCTTTATTGCTTACTGCAGCAAGAAAGAAAGGTGCCCCAGTGGATAATTCCAAAAGCTGGGGCCACAGCACAAGAATTCAAGGCATCTATATGGCATTCTGAATACATGAAGCCCTCATGCCTGTATCATCTCTGCAATATTATTGGTTACAGCAACATGTGAACTGCTCATGGTTCTTTACCAGGCCTTCCAATTAGGCACCCCATATTTGGAGTTGTTTTCTACCTAAAACTCCCTGTATCTTATCAAGGTCTCTTCCTCAATCGGGGATTGGACTATATGATCCTCAGGGTCTCTTCCAACCAGGGTGGATAAAAATCAATGATGATGATGATTATTTTTTAAAAGATTTTTTAAAATTTAAATCGGATTTTTAAAATAAAATGCTTTTGGAGGAAACATCTTTTTAAAGAGAGTTTTCTATTTAAGTTACATTATAGTCCAAAGGCTGTTCATCAGGAAATAAGGATGTTTTTCATGTGTGCTAAACTCAGTCTAAGTTTTTGTTTTTGTTTTAAATTGTTTAACCACATTGGTTTACAAACATGGATACATATGCTATAATGTTATTGTTTTAGTTAAATAAATTGTTTAAATTGTTATTAAGGAAATGATTATTTTTCTCCCTCCAATAAAGTACAGCAGAAAAGTTGTCCAACTATAAGCAGTTAACTTATTAAACCTCACAATAATTTCATAATTATCGGTCTATGTATTTCTAATACGATACAATACCTTTATTGTCATTGTCCCATGCAGAACAATGAAATTGAAATAATAGTATACAGTGGTGCCTCGCAAGACGAAATTAATCCGTTCCGCGAGTGTCTTCGTCTAGCGGTTTTTTCGTCTTGCGAAGCAACCCTATTAGCGGCTTAACGGATTAGCGCTATTAGCGGTTTAGCGGCTATTAAAGGCTTATCGGCTTAGCGGATTAGCTGCTAAAAGGCTATTAAAGGCTTAGCGGCTTAGATAAAGGGGGGGGAAAAGCGAAAAAAAAATCTCAAGACTTGCAAGACATTTTCGTCTTGCGAAGCAAGCCCATAGGGAAATTCGTCCTGCGAAGCAACTCAAAAACGGAAAACCCTTTCGTCTAGCGGGTTTTCCGTCTTGCGAGGCATTCGTCTTGCGGGGCACCACTGTAACCAGATCAGTAATTTTTGATATAAATGTAAAAACGACACTGAAAATTTATTATTCCAAAAATGAAACTTTCATCTTGTTGTAAATATTAAGATTATACCAGCAAGAATTAGTCTTTCTGTAAAAAAAAGATTTAAATCAAGTCTTTACTGAATAGTGACTTAAATAATGATTTAAATCAAATCCACTCTGCTTCCAACTCTACAGTTCTATGATCTTCTAGCTGGCTCTGGTCAGTGTAATTGACTCTGTACCAGCCTTTCCTTTACACTAGTATGCATACCTAAACTCTGTTAACTGGGCAGGGGGTCCTACAAGTGCTACATGCTCTCCGCACTTGCAAATAATGGCACAGCTTTGTTAAACTGAAAAGAATAACAAGAATACAGAAATACAGAGAGAAGCATACAATACAGAAAGGCACATTCTGTGGCTATTTGGCTACAGTGTGAAGATGTACTGTATTTTTTGCTCTATAAGACTCACTTTTTCCCTCCTAAAAAGTAAGGGGAAATGTGTGTGCATCTTATGGAGCGAATGCAGGCTGCGCAGCTATCCCAGAAGCCAGAACAGCAAGAGGGATTGCTGCTTTCACTGCGCAGCGATCCCTCTTGCTGTTCTGGCTTCTGAGATTCAGAATATTTTTTTTCTTGTTTTCATCCTCCAAAAACTAGGTGCGTCTTGTGGTCTGGTGCGTCTTATAGAGCGAAAAATACGGTACTTTCTTTTGTCTGTCCTAAATATTTCAACATTCAGCTTCCTTGGATGACCCTGCATTCTAGCACAATGAGTAAGGGAGAAATAAACCCTCTCTATCTACTTTCTCCACACCATGCAAAATCCTATAAACTTCTGTCATGTCCTCGCTATACCACTTTCAGAATCATGGCTTCCCCCAAAGAATCCTGGCAACTGTTGTTTACTCCTAGAAGAGCTACAATTCCCCTGGCAGCAAACTACAGTTCCCAGGATTCTTTGGAGGAAGCTATGATTGTTAATGTTGTATAAGAGTGCTTTAAATGTATGATGTGGATGCAACCTTTCTCACACCTAAAGTCTGCCCACTTCTGATCTAGATAGCAACAAAGTGAGAAGCTATGGGCAACTCTTGAGTTCAATTATAAACTAGAAATACCATGCTTTGTTTTAAAAACAATTCTGCCATCTTCGCTTGAGTATCTTTGTGCATAAGCAGAGTACAGTGGTACCTCGGGTTATGAACTTAATTCATTCCAGAGGTCTGTTCTTAACCAGAAACCGTTTTTAATCTGAGACGCGCTTTTGCTAATGGGGCCTCCCATTGCTGGCGCGCAATTTCCGTTCTCATCCTGGGGCAAAGTTCTCAACCCGAGGTACTACTTCTGGGTTAGCAGAATTTGTAACCTAAAGTGTTTGTAACCCGAAACGTTTGTAACTTGAGGTACCACTGTAACTTTCTGTTTTAAAGCAGATACAGTGGTACCTTGGGTTACATACGCTTCAGGTTACAGACTCCGCTAACCCAGAAATAGTACCTCGGGTTAAGAACTTTGCTTCAGGATGAGAACAGAAATCGTCCTCCGGCTGCGCGGCAGTAGCAGGAGGCCCCATTAGCTAAAGTGGTGCTTCAGGTTAAGAACAGTTTCAGGTTAAGAACGGACCTCCAGAACGAATTAAGTACTTAACCCGAAGTACCACTGTACTCCCTCCACTTTCTGGGCATGCCCTAGATCAGGTGTGTGGACACTATACTCCTTCAGATGTTGTTGAACTATGAGTCCCATAGTTCTGGTCATTACCTGTGTATGTTGGGACTGATTGAAGTTGTAGTTTAGCAACAGCTAGAGGGCCAAATGTTTCCCAGCCTTGCCCTAGAACCTGGAATTGATGCTTTTATCTCAGTCTGATTCCCTAGGGCAGAGCCTAGGTCAACTGCCTGAATGTGACCTAAGATGACAGGCAGCTGTTCAACTGAGGAAGGAAGAGGCTTGGCCTGTACTCTGAATTGCCTGGTTCATTTGCACAGTAGTGGCTGAAAAGCTGAAAGTATCCTGAAATGTCTTTTTTTTACCTCCTTCCACAGGGCTTGAAATATGGAGAGGGGTTACCCCATGTTCTGGGGTAGGCAACAGTATGGACGTGGGTTTTATGCAGCCGTAAGTTGATGTTGTTGCTGTTCTGGTTAAGTCTTCTTTACCCTCCCTAACACTGTCTTGATCTTTGGTTGACTCAAGTAGTTTTAGCATATATTCATGCTGTAAAAGAAACAGAATATCTATTACTGAAAGCTGGAGCAATCTAGAATCGCTTTTGTCCCTAAGGAATGAAGATAACATGCAGGGAACTTGATCATTTTCTGCAGAAAAAGAGCTTTAACAAAAACTTTTCTACCGTTGTTTTTTGCTCAATAATATTTTCCAATTCTAAAAATGAGTTGTTTCATAAAATTAATTGGAAACACAATAAATGATGGGAAGTTCTGCTTCTGCACATGAGTTTGGCAAACCGCTCTGAGCTGAAACATTCCTTCCTCATCCACCCTAGAATGTTCAGTTCACATTGAGTTCATGAAACATTGTGCCCTGACCTGTTCTTAATGCATGGTTGACCACATCTACGGAATGCGATTGTTATGTTCTTTTAAGTTCTGCAATATCAATCACTAGTAACAGTTTAATAAGGAGGTTTTCATACCTGTCTAACCATGTGTTCCCTTTTCCAACCTTTAATCTATTGATGATTAATGCCTATATACAACCCTTGCATTGTACAGTGGTGCCTCGCAAGACGAAATTAATTCGTTCCACGAGTTTTTTCGTCTAGCAAATTTTTCGTCTTGCGAAGCACAAAATCCCATAGGAATGCATTGAAATTCAATTAATGCGTTCCTATGGTCAAAAAAAGTCCAAACAAAGCCAAATTTGGTACAGCAAGAGTTTATTAAGTGCTCTTTAAAGTCACACATACTGTAAAGAGCATTTCAAAAATTGAAGGAACAATAAATTAAGTTTCTAAACATGACAGAAAAACATTTAAAAATCAACAAAGTGTACAGTACATTTTCTAAGACTCTGGGGACAACTCGAAGAAGGTTCCTCTTCCACTCTTTGCTTCTTGCTGAAGAACCCCTCCTCAACTGTTCCCCAGCCACCCACCACACAGAAATTCAAATCCAGAATTTTTTTAAAAACAGCAGAGTGGCCCAATGGTCACAGAAAATCATAAAAATGCAGAAAAAACCACACAAGCTTCCAGATTCTTGCAAACCCCTCCTCAACTGTTCCCCCAGCCACCCACCACACAGAAATTCAAATCCAGAATGTTTTTTAAAAAACAGCAGAGTGGCCCAATGGTCACAGAAAATCATAAAAATGCAGAAAAAAACCACACAAGCTTCCAGATTCTTGCAAACCCCTCCTCAACTGTTCCCCCAGCCACCCACCACACAGAAATTCAAATCCAGAAATTTTTTAAAAAAACAGCAGAGTGGCCCAATGGTCACAGAAAATCATAAAAATGCAGAAAAAAACCACACAAGCTTCCAGATTCTTGCAAACCCCTCCCCAACACCAAGTCCTTGAATTCCAAACACCCCAACCCAAAATCCAAAACCCCCCAAAAAAGTTTTAAAAGTTTAACTTACCAAATGGCTGCAAAAGAAGTTTTGGAAAAGCTTCAAAAATCACCAAAGTCTTCAAAAACCTCAAAAAGGCTACCACACCGCGTTCTATGAGTTGCTCCTCGAAGTCAAGTCGCAACTGTATTAACGGTGTTAAGAAAAAGGAAACAAACTTGCAAGACGTTTTCGTTTTTCGTCTTGCAAAGCAAGCCCATAGGGAAATTTGTCTTGCGAAGCAGCTCAAAAAACGCAAAACCCTTTCGTCTAGCGAGTTTTTCATCTTGCGAGGCATTCGTCTTGCGGGGCACCACTATATTTGTGTTAACCAATCAGCAACAAGCACATATGTGGCAATGCTGTAATATTCAATAAAAGGGACTCCCCGACACATGCTCGGCAGATGCCTCCCATATGACACTTGTCATTCGTCTGTCGTTTATTTCAACCCAAAAAATAAATGTATATAATACCAGTCAAATTGTAGTTTTAAAGTTTTAATTAACAGTGCCTTCTTATAAAGACGTTGTGGAGTTCAGTATACCCAAAGTATCATTTTTTGCTGAATCAGTCTGAGTTTTAAATTAAATAAAAATATGGATTCTAAAGAAAATTCTATTGTTTAGGCTGTACAGCATATTCTAACTCCCTGTTCCAGTGCTTCCAGTAAGCATCAGCTAGCAGAATCTTAGGAGTCAGCACTCACAATACTCTATCTTGAACACCATTCTTTATGATGGGGAAAGGGGGCCTGTGGCCTTCCAGGCAGTGTTGGACTATAACTTCCAATATCCTTTGGGTAGAAATGGGTCAGAATAACATCTGACATGGCATGGGGACAAAGGAGGAAGGAAAGAAGCAGAGCTGGCAGCATTGACCAATTAATAATCTAAACAAGAATCATCAAGTAAGTTATAAAAGTTACAAAGGAGGGAAACTGGGGTTGCTGCATTGCTTCTGGTACCTGAGATTTGGAGGTGAGCTATCCACTGTTAGTAAGTTGCAGTTCTTGCATTTGCAAAACTGTTCTTTCCCTTTTCCTGTTTTGACCAGTTAGTCTAGTTGTGGGTTAGTAACAGAGTGAAATGTTTTCCCCTGTCCAGAATTTGCAAAATGAAAACTATTGGCGGGACTCTTGGGATTGGCAGCAGGACAACAACTACTTACCTGCGTGGTAAGTGACTTCTGCATTTTATTTTTATTCATATTATATATGCATATACACATATTTGTCCCCACTTTTTCAAAGTATAATATAAATTAATGACAAAATTAAGTTAATAAACAGACTAAAAACTAATAAAAAGATGCTAAACTTTAAACTTTCTAAGAAGCAGAACATGAATATGTTCATCCCACACTTTAAACAAAATGTATTTTCACAGTAGCTTATGAATTAAAATTAAGTTATGAAGCAACGTAAAAACTAATAAGACGTTAAAATTAACATTTCTAAAAAAGCAGCTCCGTAGGCTGTTGGTCCATTTAGCAAGTAAAAACTACAAAACATCCATTGGTCATGCTGGCTAGGAGTGATGGGAGCTGAGGTTGTACCACATATGGGTGGCTACAGATCCCCATCCCTGGGCTATGCTGAGCTGAATCTACTAAGGTGACTTGACCAACTCTGGTTTACAGCTCATGATTGATGGCAGTAGAGGCAACTTATGCAGAATACTGTGTTTGTATTTCTTCAGGGTACATCGTGGCAAACCTCACAACTACAACGTTGCTTACCGAGGCCGTGGTTGGAATCGCTCTCAAGGATATTTCAGGGGGGCACATTCCAGTCGAGGCCATCACAGAGGAGCTAAAAGTAGTGCTAAATATTTGGGAGCAACAACCAAAAACAGAGGCAAGGCTGAAAATATATATGTGGGATTGAATATTGGACCATCTCCTTCTCTGATCCTCTACCCATTTCACAGTTATGTGGTGGACAGTGCCCCCGTAAAATCTCAGTCATCCATGCTATGTTTGTGGTTGAAGGAGCACAGTTTTATTTGTGATAGATAGTTTTGTTTTTATCTTTTTTTATCTTTTAGGAAATGTTACTGAATGCCAGTTTTAAATTATTTTTAGATTTTTATTAAGTGGTACAAACATGAACAAAATAATAATGTGGTGAAATGTCCACGTTATCTGCTTTGGGGTTGTATTTCTGTGTTTCAGTTGTATTAGTTCACTTCTCCCAATATCAAAAGCTTGCTTTTCACTAGAACCAGCCTCCCTGGTTGAGAGAATGGCCCGGCTAGGCTGACCTGTTTGGCTCATTGAGCTTCCAATATCTAGGATCTGCAGTTGAAGCCCAAAGCAGCTAAATAAAAAAGGAGAGGTTCTGGGGCTCAATTCTGCTAGGAGTGCCTGTTCCAGATGTGTGGCAGGGACAGCTTTGCGCTTAGAGAAAAGACACAGGCATTTAGCATGTACTCAAAAGTAGTCTTCGTTAATATTGCTTCACATATCCTATAGTGGAGATCTAGAGCTTGTCCACACTTGACTTTTGCCCTCTGCTTTCTAGGCACAGGTCTGCACTTTCCCAGTCCTTGTCTGAGGGCTTCCCCCCGCCCCTCTTGCCTCACACTTTCCTCAGGAGAACCTGATCTTTACCACTGAATTGAGCAAATTGCCATTTGCTTCAATTCAGCGGTAAAGCGTAGGTTTTCATGGGGAAAGCAGTGTGGCAAAAAATGATGTTTGGACACAAACCTGGAAAGCCTGAAGCTGTCCTTAGAATTGTATAGTAAAGCTAAGGTTTGTGAGCCCCGAGTGAAGACTGGCTCAAATTAAAAGCTTGTCATAGATTTCCTGCTCTGTAGATAAATACAGTGGTACCTCGGGTTAAGTACTTAATTCGTTCCAGAGGTCCGTTCTTAACCTGAAACTGTTCTTAACCTGAAGCACCACTTTAGCTAATGGGGCCTCCTGCTGCTGTCGTGCCGCCGGAGCACGATTTCTGTTCTCATCCTGAAGCAAAGTTCTTAACCCGAGGTACTATTTCTGGGTTAGCGGAGTCTGTAACCTGAAGCGTATGTAACCTGAGGTACCACTGTACAATAAATAACAGCAGGAGTTTTCAGGAATATGTCGTAGGAAACTGCATTCTACCCAGTCACACTATAGCTGGCAATGGCTCTCCAAAGCTTCCAATAGAAACTTTTTCTATCTCTACCTGAAGATGCTAGGATTTGAAAGTGGCACCCTCGTGAGTGCAAAGCATTTGCTCTATCCACTGAGAGAGTCTCTCTCTTTTGCCTCATCTTTGGAATAGCATGTCATCTATCTGTAACTGAAACTCCAGTACTCATCCATTTGCCCTGAAAAGACTTAACAAAGAAAGTTGTCCCACACATCCAAACTCTCAGATTGTGGCAGAGGCATTGCATGCTGAGTTTGTTTCTCTATCTGCAGGAAAAGGTCGTTCTAAAAACTCATCCCGTTCCTCGTGCTTAATCAATATGACGGTAAGCGATGAACCTATGCTGTGGCTAGTTCCTATAGGGAGGGTGCCTCTTACATGTGTGGCAGAGATCAAGGGATGGTGTGATGTGGGGCAAAGTTTGGGAAGAAGATTTCTCAAGACTTATGTGCCTGGTCTGTATGGTTGAAGAAGTAGCTAACTCAGGTTGAAGAAGTAGCTACAGTGGTGCCCCGCAAGACGAATGCCTCGCAAGACGGAAAACCCGCTAGACGAAAGGGTTTTCCGTTTTTGAGTTGCTTCGCAGGACGAATTTCCCTATGGGCTTGCTTCACAAGACGAAAATGTCTTGCAAGTCTTGAGATTTTCTTTTCGCTTTCCCCCCCCTTTATCTAATCTGCTAAGCCTTTAATAGCCTTTAATAGCCTTTTAGCAGCTAATCCGCTAAGCCTTTAAGCCTTTAATAGCCGCTAAACCGCTAATAGCGCTAATCCGTTAAGCCGCTAATAGGGTTGCTTCGCAAGACGAAAAAACCGCTAGACGAAGACTCTCGCGGAACGGATTAATTTCGTCTTGCGAGGCACCACTGTAATTCAGACTGCCTCTGAGATACACAAGCAAAATTTGCCATTTTGCCTCTTTTTGACATCCCACTGTTCAGGGTTTGTCAACATTATTTTCCAACAGGGCTCTTGTGCCTTGAACAGCTGTCTAACATGGGGGGAATAGCTAGAGAAGCTTTTCCCATCACTTCATGACAACACCAAAGGCAGGGGCGGGGGGAAGCTTCACCTGCTACATTTTGTTGGTAAAGGTGCTGAAGCTCTGTCAAAACAAGCTAGAGTTCACAGCACTAGACTCATCTTTCTATTCCTGTGCTACAGCCAAATAAAAAGGGAAATAATTCTGAAAAAACTGGAGGACCATCAGCAACACCGGAGTCTAAACAAGGGCAGGAGAAGTCAACAAGTTTGATGAAAGAAACTGACACATCCAAGGTAATTGTAGGAGAAGTCTGGGCCACCTTGCAACAGGTAGTTCCTGAGGAAGGTGGTGAGTTCTCGATCTGTGAAGGGACGTTTTCCCTGTGGTTTCTCAGAGCAGTAAGAACTTGTAACATTTTGAAGAGTAACATGGTTGCTGAGTACCTGGTTGCTGAGTACCTTTTGAAGAGTACCTGGTTGCTGAGAGAAAAAAGGTTTATGTATTAACTGAATGGAAATGTAGATACAAATCCTGGAAATGTGTTCTGATGTTTGTCAAAATGTGGCTTATTTAACAAAATCTGCATACTGCTTGATTGAAAGCAAACCTCTAAGTAGTGTTGCAGCACTCTGTGGGAGCTCATTTCTCTCTCATCCCCCCTCCCCACAATCAATGGGAGTTCCTTTTCTTCCTCCTTCCCTTCCTCCCATTATTCCACCTAGATCTACCTCCTGTCTTTCTGTTTCACCCCTCCCTACCTCTGCTGTGGGGGTTCTCTAGCACAACAGACCCAAGCAGAAAGTGTTGCTTGAAGTCACTGCTTATTGGTTGTAACTTCAATCCTCACTTAACTGCACCAAAATCCCCCCCTCCCCCGGTGCTACAAAGGGAAAATGGATCACTTGATGTTGTAGTGTTATCAGGCGATTGATGGATGAGCCAGCCTGCCCACCTTTCAAAATGACCCACCAAGGCTGGGGGAAACACAGCATCTGACCCACCAGCTGGCTCCAGTTCTCCAGGCTCTGATCTGTGTGAACATTGTTTCTTATTCTGACTGGCAGTGGCTCTCCAGTGGCAGACCCTTTAAAAATGAAATAACCTTGCAATCCTTCTCATAGTTCTATAATTCCCGAGATTCCTTGGGATCGAAAACAGGTTTTCAGTGAGTCTTTCCAGAGCCGTGTTGGATCCTAAAGCAAACACAGCACTGGCAGCAGTGATATAAGTGTCTCTTATTTGCACATTTCCCCCTTCCTGCTTGGCATTTCTTTAGGTGGATCAGAAGTCCAGCAAAACCATCATGTCTGCAAAGGATTTCAGTTTTCATTTGCCCTCTGTTTCCTCAACATGCCCACAGAGCAAACAGGAAGTGCCATCAAAGGAAAAAGAAGAAACTGAGGTAAACAGCTCCCTACACATTACTAAGAGCAGATGTAGCTGGGATATGCGATATGGGTGGAAGATGGCATCCCTAGTGACCTCGTCTCTATTAAAGGTCACATTACATCACACTTTCGCTGCATGAGAATACTTGTGTGTAGGCACCTCGTTAGAAGCTTTCGTCCATTTAGCAGAGTTTCTGGAAGCAGTGGTCAGCAATTGAAGCTACACTTTGAGAAGAAACACAGGCTTTGTACAACTTACTCAAGTGATTTATTGCTTGACTGGTCATAAATGCATCATGGTAGCACTATTTACAATCGTAATAGCAATAGTTGTAATGGCATACTTAGGTTTCAGTCCTTTCTCTTTAGCAACGACGTAGGCAGACACAGTCTAGCGGCAGTCATGATGCAGCAATTTGCAGACAACATTTGTTGTAATAATAATAATAAATTTTATTTATATCCCGCCCTCCGCAGCCAAAGCCAGGCTCAGGGCGGCTAACAACAAACAAATAATCAAACAATCAAATAATCCAACATTCTAAAACATTTCATTATAAAAAATAATTAAAATCAATTTAATGGCAACCGTTAAGCAAAGTTCTGTGCAGGTTGCCAGAGGAGGGAGTCAGGCTGGGCCCTGACCAAAGGCCTGGTGGAACAACTCTGTCTTGCAGGCCCTGCGGAAAGATGTCAGGTCCCGCAGGGCCCTAGTCTCTTGTGACAGAGCGTTCAACCAGATTGGAGCCGCAGCCGAGAAAGCCCTGGCTCTAGTTGAGGCCAGCCTAACCTCTCTGAGGCCTGGGACCTTCAGGATGTTTTTATTTGCAGACCGTAGGTTCCTCTGTGGGGCGTACCAGGAGAGGCGGTCCCGTAGGTACGAGGGTCCTAGGCCGTATAGGGCTTTAAAGGTTAAAACCAGCACCTTAAACCTGATCCTGTACTCCACCGGGAGCCAGTGCAGCTGGTATAGTACCGGATGAATGTGATCTCGCAGCGAAGACCCCATAAGGAGTCTCGCCGCGGCATTCTGCACCCGCTGGAGTTTCTGGGTCAGTCTCAAGGGCAGCCCCACGTAGAGCGAGTTACAATAATCCAGTCTGGAGGTGACCGTCGCGTGGATCACAGTGGCTAGGTCAGGGCGAGAGAGATAAGGGGCCAACTGCTTAGCTTGGCGGAGATGAAAAAATGCCGCCTTTGTTATAGCTGTAATCTGCGCCTCCATAGAGAGGGAGGTATCGAAGATTACACCCAAACTCTTAACGGACGGTGCTGGCACTAATTGCACCCCGCAAGAGATGGGAGTTGCCCCCAATCCCATATCGTCCCGTCCCAGCCAGAGGACCTCTGTCTTCGAAGGATTTAACTTCAACCGGCTTCCACGTAACCATCCAGCCACAGCTTCCAAACATCTGGTCAGTGTGTCTGGGGCCGAGTCAGGATGGCCATCCATCAACAGATAGAGTTGGGTGTCATCGGCATACTGATGGCAACCCAGCCCAAAACTCCGGACAAGCTGGGCGAGGGGGCGCATAAAGATGTTAAAAAGCATCGGGGAGAGTATCGCACCCTGAGGCACTCCACACACCAAGGAGTGGCGGGATGACAATTCCCCCCCAAGCGCCACCCTCTGTCCCCGACCATAGAGAAACGAGCGCAGCCATTGAAGGACTGTGCCCTGGATCCCCACGTCGGCAAGGTGGTGGTCCAGGAGTTCGTGATCAACCATGTCGAAGGCTGCTGACAGGTCTAGAAGAATCAGCAGCCCCGACCCGCCTCGATCCAGCTGCCTGCGGAGATCATCTGTTAGGGCGACCAGAGCCGTCTCGGTCCCATGACCAGCGTGGAAGCCAGACTGGAATGGATCCAGAGCCGATGTTGGTCAGTCATCTGTGAGTGTTTCATCTCAGTGTAACTTCAGCTGCTGACCACTGCTTCCAGAAACTTCTAAATGGATGAAAGTAGCCCTCCTTCCCCATCCCACCCCCCAGCCCTATATGTTTTCACCAATTGATAGCTGGGCACCATAACCCTGAAGCGAGCATAGCACGTACATAGCTGTCTGGTCTGCTGAGTTGCTGAGCCTGCATAATGATGTTCCCACAGTCTGCCCCGCAAGGCTGGTTATGCCCAACCTGAGCTCAAGATAAGGGAAGGCCAGGGACGTATCTTGAACTAAAATGTAGCAACCTGAGGCTCCCAAGATTAGTTCGGAAATATTATCACAATAAAACCCCATTAAAATTGGTATCAGCTGTTGTGACTGGGAGAACTTTACATCAGGTATAAAGCTGGATGTAAGTATTCTAAATAATAATAAAAAACCCACACCTTAGCAGTAATATTTTATTGGGATACAAGGCCACTTTTGTTCAAGTATCGTCTCTCAACACTGGTTAGGTTAAGTTCAACTCTCCACTGAGAAAGCAGTCCTTATCATCCTCATCATTCCTGCATTGCAGGGGGTGGGACTCGATGACCCTGGGGGTCCCTTCCAACTCTATAATTCTGTGATCATCATCCTCTAACGAATCTCTGCAGGTCAAGTTGGAAGACAGTCCGACCTCTGAAGACCCTCCCAGCAAGACTGCTCCTTTGTCACCTGTGCATGCTCCATCCATGACAGCAGAAGGTCTTCCAGCCACAGTAAAGGAAGAGCCTGTGGTGGTATGAAAAACCTTCTCTTTTTCATTTGCATAGGGGTGTGGACTCTTTGGCTTCAATTTCACTGCTGTTAGTATTTTGCTTGTGCAGCCTGCCAGTGTACAAGTGTCCCATGTGTTGGAGTAGTCCTGAGCAGGCCTGAGTAGTGGGGATTTGTGACTTGTTTTTCTCTGGGCTGGGACTCTTCCAGGCATAACTTGTTCCTCCTCTGCAGTTGAACCATGTGCACCTCTTGAGACTGGAGAGCCCAACCCTTGCTCAGGAAGTGTGAAAAGTGACCTGGTATTGTTCCGTTAGCTACCTTTTTCATTCTCTCTCTGTGTGTGGTTATGTACATACACATGAAGGAGAAAGCTCAGATTTTCTTGTGTCATTTCAATCCATTTTTGTAGCATAGCATAAGTATGTGAGTTGTAGCTAACCCACCGTCAGTAGAAGAGTGTTCATAATCACTATAAAAACTTGAATTACAACATGCACTGAATCAGTAATGTCACTTAATCATAAGTCAGTTTGGAACAATGGAATCAACCATTGAGACTGGTTATATTTAATCAAAGGTTAATGAATGAAGACAACTACTTAATAATTAATGTTAATTAGTTAAGATTTGCCACAGTGGGTTGTGATTGCGACAGGATGTCTTGATGTAACAGGTAATAACTAATAAGAACTCATTCTCTCCTCTCATTCATACTTACCAAATGGGTAGACCCACTAAAATAATTTATCAGTTTCTTTTAAGAGTCTTTGGGCTGCCACCTCAGCAGCAGGATAGCAACACCTTGTGCCGGGGACTTTCCAGCCTTTATATAGTTTCAGGTTCGATCCCTGTATGGGACAACTACACCTTCTTGTGTTGCAGGGGGTTGGTCTAGGTGATAGCCTCTGTCATGCTGATTCCCCCTATTATCTTCATGAACAGGCATTTGTTTCAGCATGTCCTTTGAGAACAGTTACTTGTCTCAGCATGCCCTCTGACACATCCAAACGTCTGGTACATCCTGCTTGCCCATCCTGTTCATTACGTTACATTAGCTGGTTCAACAGTCCCTTTTTCTTCTTCAGAATCTATTTCTATGTTCAGAATCAAACAATCTCTTTATCTTCAGAGTCACATGCTTTACTCACTCATATCCATTCATACTCTGAGACCCTCATAGGCCTCACAGAGTCATCCTCTGAATTTTCATGGAAGCTTATTTTTTGCTATTTGCACTGGGGTAGTGTTGGATTAGGCAGAGACCTCCCCATGCCCAGCTCTCCTGGTTAAGGAGGCTTGTGCTGGTAGGATCACTACTGTGGGGAGCCAATGAAAAGATTGAAATTGAGGCTGAGGCAACCCGGGGCCCTGTATGTCTCCCACCCCACCCCCTTTGTGGCCTTTTATACCTTCCTCCACTATGTCTTCTGGTGCTGCCATTGTCAAATAAGAACTGCTGGTAATTTGGACTCCTTCTGCCACACTCTCCTTCATGTAATGTTTGTGTATAATCTCCAGTTGTGTTAAAGCCCGTGGGCATACCAATTAAACTCTTCCCTCCTATAGCCTTGCTGCAGTGGTGTACTCAAATGTATTCTCTAGCGGTTCCTCCTGTTTTTGTTTTTACTTTTCCTGAATGCTCTACAGGATTTCTTTCCTCTCTTCATGCCCACTGCTGCTTCATCTTTCTCTTCCCATGCCCTTACGTCAAATAAACTCTCTTAGGGGTCACATCTTCAGCCTAGATTTGCGAACAGAATACAAGATTTACTTTACAAAGGAGATGGGTAGCTAAGATGAGAAAGGTGAGGTGTAAGTGCTTTGTTTTTTCATTCTGTATTGCTGTTGTATAATCCCTTAGTAGTGATTTCTACAGCCATATTATATGAGATGTGCCTTTTAATGACTAGGGAGGCTGGGGTGTCAAAATGAATGAACTTGAGATGTCTGGGTCTGAAGACTAGGCAATTATAATCTAACAGAAGGAGGAACAGTTGGATATCATCCTGGAGTAAATATTTTGAATAATCTTTTTATATATAAACTGACAGACAGAAAATCGAAAGCCCTTTTTATTTATTTCTTCTATTCTTACAATCTTCCTGCTTCTTTTTCTTTGTGGCTGTGGTACTGTTTGGGTGTATCTAGTTGTGGTTCAAAGAGAAGAGGGGACTCTCACTCTTAGTAGAGTCATACCTCGGACTGAAGTAGCTTCGGGTTGAACATTTTTGGGTTGCGCTCTGCAGTGACCCGTTACTTCCGGGTTTTGCCGCTCACGCATGCGCAGATGCTCAAAATGACATCACACGCATGTGCAGAAGCGGCAAATCGCAACCTGCGCAGACGCAGGTTGTGTTCGCTTCAGGATGCAAATGGGGCTCCGGAATGGATCCCGTTCGCATCCAGAGGTACCACTGTAATAAGATTGTAAAGATTGCTTGGGATATAGGGATACTCTTGTCCTGTTGAAGTCTTCTCTCTGAAGCTTGGGCTGAGTTCCACTCCCCACTGGAACAACAGAATTTCTCCTTACCTATACAACTTTGCAGGTGGAGTTGAAAGATAGGCAGGCAGCTGAACAACCTCCCAGCCAGGCCTTACCTTTTCCATCTGCTGAAGCATCTATAGAAGACCAGTCACCACTTGTGACCACAGAAGGCATTCATACTACAAAAAAGGAACTGCCTGTATTCGTATGAACCACTTTTTTTTCCCTTTGCAAGTCAACCATTTGGGTGAAGTAAGCTAGGATGAAATTGGTATCCTGCCTATTGTTTTGGAGATGAGGGCTTTATTTTCAATTAGTTAGCTGTCACCATTGAGTTGATTGCTAGAAAACTGCTGCCCATCTTCTGCTGAAAGTTCTGTGAATATTTGCCTAGGCCTAGGGCATTCTTTGGTGCTAAGTTCTTAGTTTATTTGGAGCTGGTATTTTACAAAAGACTCTGCAAATGTGTAAGCCTTGGCATGTTTTGGAGTAGTCCTAAAAAGGGATAAGCAATGAGGCTGTTTGTGCTCCACAAGGTCTTGTTCAAATCTTGAGCAATTTGTTGTTGTTGCTTTAAAAAATGGATATCTCTAGCCCTTTAAAGTGTGGCGGCAAGCTTGTGACTAAGATGACAATTGTTGGGAAGTTATGCACAAACTCTGCTAATGGTCTGGAGAATATTCTGGGTTCAGACATAGCATGAAAACAAATGGTTTGTTTTAAATTCTGACCCTGCCACAGACCATGTTTGTTTTGGTCCTGACAAACCATGATCTCAAACAATGAGTTGGAGGTGATCAGCAAACTGGAGTTTGTATTAACTGTGATTTGCTCTTATTTCTGCATAATAGCAAACCAAGTGTTTCACTTTTCATTATTTGTGGGCTCCTTAAGTGAGTAAGATATTTTCATCCTGCCTTTTAAAACAGAATTGTCATTTACATTTTTCTTTGTTTTGTTATATGCCAGTTTTAGTGTATGTGATTGATTGTAAGTTGCTTTGAGTTACCTTGCTAAAAAAGTGACAGGTAACTTTAATAAATAATAATCCACAGGCTGTTAACAGACCACAAGCCTATCTAATCTTGTCACGTGATTTAGGGTTTGCATTAACTGAAGCCATCAAGTAAAATCACTTCGGGTGGGATCCAGTGAATTCATTGCATGAGTGGAATGGCTTTTGCTTGTGCAGTGGGGCTTTCCCACCTCTCAGGTGTAAGATCTTTTAAAAAATATTTTTTTAACTCAAATCACATAGCAAAACAAATGGGGGGGGGGAACAGTTTTTAAAACAAAAGGGACATGAGTTTTGTTTAAGTTTGCAGTGACTTTTGTGAGCTGAAGCTGTGGGAGGAATGGCAAAAGGAATGTTTGCACTTTGCAGTGGCTACAGTTGCTTTTCATGCTTTTTGCTCAGTTTTCTGTTGGTGGCAATGGAAGCATGTTTGTAAAGTACTTGAATTGCCCTTGCATGAAACATTCAGGCATTATATTTTGTCATATTGATTGCAGTAAGGATCTGATCCCTGCAAACCCACAGTTTCTTTCCTAACATCCTAATATTTCTTTCTCTCCTGAAGCTGGAAGCCATCCCACCCAAAGACGATTACAGCCATGTTGGCTCACCTCCCGCTGTAGAAATACCATTCCTTTCTGAGACCACAAATGATAATCATTCAGAAGGAAAGGAAGACATTGAACTGGTATTAAATTACACTCTCCTTCTTTCCCTGGAAGTAAACTGCTTTTGTAAAGATTCTAAAGTGAGAGTTGGTTAGCCTTTTTCAAAATATCAAGTACGGTAGGAGGAATAGGGAGGAGGGTAAATCAACTTCTGTTGTATTGCTACAGAGCCAAACTGTCTTGTTTTAATTTTAAATCACATAGGATTCAGAGTGAGAATCAAGGAGGGGTGAAATTCCAGCATGCCTCACTGCTTTGGCCAAGTTTCCAGTCCAATATTTATAGCCTTAAAATGTTCTGCATCAGCTTGTTCTGTTACAAGTAACTGAGATAATGTGAGAGGAATTGGCAAAGAGGGATGGGGGAATGTGTGTCCTAGAAATGAGGAAACAATACTGATCATTTGTGTTTCACTAGCCAGTCATTTACTCATCTCAGACTATTCTAACCCTGTTTTCACTTGAAACTGATACAGAACCAAATCACCAGCAGTCTTAAGGATGAAGACCTCCCAAGTACCCTGAGTGATGTTCATGTTGTGCCTGTGCTGGTGAGAGAGAAAAAATATGAAAAGGTAAGACTGCGGGAGCTTCTTCGTGTCTTTGATCCCTGAGAACATGGCAGGGCCTACTTAGTATATTCTGAATAATAATAATAATAATAATAATATTTATACCCTGCTCATCTGGCTGGGTTTTCCTAGCCAATCCATTTGTATCCAGTTCTGCAAGGTATGGTAGAAAATCCCAAAGAGGCAACTCAAATGGAACTTTTCAGGCATTATATTTGGTCATATTTATTGCAGTTAGGATCTTATCCCTGCAAACCCACAGTCCTTAATATTTATTTCTCTCCTGAATCTGGAAGCCATCCCACCCAAAGACCATTTCAGCCATGTTGGTGTTGGTGCTTCTGGGTGGGAGACGGCCTTCTTCCGGCACTGGTCCAAAACACATAGCACAGCATAGCACAGCATTCACTCCTTCAGACGTTCAAGCAAGCAGCAGAGCTTAGAAGAAGCTGAGACTGAGGATATGTAGCATTGGGTTTAGTGATTTATTTACACGATCAAAATAAAGAACAGAGCCATTATGGCATGTTTCTTCTCTGAGAGGACAACAACAGAACAAAGAAGACGGAAGCAGCGTACAGTTCCTTCTGTTCGCACGCTTCCAAAGAATGGAATGTCAACACACAGAGCATGTGATCTAGTAGTCACACACTGCAGCACAAGAGAGAATCAAACTCCTGACAGTTGGCTCACCTCCTGCTGTAGAAATACTATTCCTACCTGAGACCACAAATGCTAATCGTTCAGAGGGAAGGGAAGACATTGAACTGGTATTAAATTACACTCTCCTTCTTTCCCTGGAAGTAAACGGCTTTTGAAAGGATTCTAAAGTCAGAGTTGGTTAGCCTTTTTCAAAATATCAAGTACGGTAGGAGGAATAGAGAGGAGGGTAAATGAGGGTTCTTCTGCAACCTTCTAAAAGAGTTAAAAAATTCACCTTAAAGTTAACTTTAGGTTATGGCCAGTTTCTACTGGTCTGTGGCTTACTGGGAAGCACATATTGTTCCACTTTAATTTACATGATAGAGAATCCTGTATCTGGCAGGAAGAAAACCAGTTGCTGAGCTGAGAGGATTACCTGTTGTAAAATATTGACCAGGCGAATCCTTTTCTCACCCCAGTGTTTATCAACTCCAGTTATATTGCTACAGAGCCAAACTGTCTTGTTTTATTTTTAAATCACATAGGAATCAGAGTGAGAATCAAGGAGGGGTGAAATTCCAGCACACCTCACTGCTTTGGCTAAGTTTCCAGTTCAATATTTATAGCCTTAAAAATGGTCTGCATCAGATTGTTATGTTACAAGTAATAGAGATAATGTGGGAAGAATTGGCAAGAGAGATGGGGGAGGGTATGTCCTGGAAATGAGGAAACAAAACTTCATTTGTGTATCACTAGCCAGTCATTTACTCGTCTCAGACTATTCTAACCCTGTTTTCACTTGAAACTGATGCAGACCCAAATCACCAGCAGTCTTAAGGATGAAGACCTCTATCAGTCCTCTGCTGTGCTAGCTACTAGCTCCTCCAACCTCCCAAGTACCCTGAGTGATGTTCGTGTTGTGCCTGTGCTGGTGAGAGAGAAAAAATATGAAAAGGTAAGGCTGAGAGGGACTTCCGGTTTGGTGTCATGGAGGAGGCTGGAATTCCATCGCAGCCGTTCGCACGGGTAATTAGAGGCTGAGATTGGAGTAATCAGCCTCCCAACTCTCCCAGGGTCAGGGGTGGCAGTCTCATCCTCATTTGCCCAACACCTGGCCCCAAATCCAGAAGGAATGAGGGGGCAGGGGCCGCTGGATGGAAAGCACCGTGCGTTTCTTGGCAACTCCAAAGTCGCCTCCGTGAGCAACAATTTCTTAAGATGAAAAATCGGATTTAAGTCATGGACATGCTCTGAGTGAGGGGGGAGAAATTACTCTGCTAATTAATTCAGCCACTGAGGTGCTAAAGTGGAAGAAGGATTATCATCTGCGTGGAGCTGGTGTGTCGGAACGGAAGGGGGGGTGAGCATTCTTTGTTTCACTTCGATACTTCGTTTTGCTATGTTACCTGGCAAAATCTCCTCTGGAAGGACTGACTACCGGATTATTTATGCAAGCAAGCGAGACTGGAGAATATTGTATTTACTGATGTAATATGGTTCTAGCAATTATTAACTGTGTGGAAATGGCTTTGCAAGCGAAAAATCAAGGCTGTTGGCATTAATTGCTTGGATGAGAAAAGGTGGAGAAACTTTTGACATATGCCTGGTACAACTGGTAGAAAGTCAGATCTCCTCCATATTGGAATGTCACAGGCAACTATAAAAATCAGAAAGTGAAAGTGGAATGCCATAGCTGGATTGGAAGCACAAAGAAAGAAAGAAAGAAAGAAAGAAAGAAAGAAAGAAAGAAAGACAGAAGAACCCACACAGAAACACACTGTTTTGATTTATCTCGCTTGCTGGATGAACTCAGAGGCTGTTGAAAACAATGAAGGATTAACATCAGAATGACTTATGGGAACTATCGGAAATGACTACAAAAAGCAGCAGAAATTGTTTTTCTCCTGGGCATAGTCGGCCAATTGGTGCCAAAGAAGGATAGAACTTTTTTTATGTATGCCACAACAGCAGCAAGAATACTCATTGCAAAGTATTGGAAGACACAAGATCTACCCACTCTGGAAGAATGGCAGACGAAGGTGATTGACTACATGGAACTGGCGGAAATGACTGGCAGAATCCGAGACCAGGGAGAAGAGTCGGTGGAAGAAGATTGGAAGAAATTTAAAGACTATTTACAGAAAGATTGTAAAATTAATGAATGTTAGAATGATGTTGGATAGAAATTAAATGGTTTTTAGCAGAAATATTATAAGGGAATATGAAAAATGGATTACTAACAGGTAAAAATTTAATGTTACAATACTTTAAGATTAGAGATTAGGATAAACAAAGAGGGGAAGGATTTGCTGAACCAACAAACTGAACTGGAATACAAAAAAGGGAGGCGTGAGGAGGTCCGGGAAACAAGCTAATGAAAAATAAGTAATTGAAAGATTGACTTGTTTTTAATTAATTTTATTTTGTATTTTTCTTTTTTCTATTTTTATTTTGTAATATTTTGAAAATCTTAATAAATATCTTATTAAAAAAAAAGCAGCAGAAATTGTTGAATGGTTTCTTTAAATGTTAAGGTTCATTATTGTTTCACAAGATGTGTATCTCTTTAAAGGCCAGAGCAAATAACATGACCTAGTTTTACAGCTGTGAAGCAGTATAGCAGGTGCTGTTAAGTTGTGGTAATTAAGCAGTGTCAATTGGGTATAATATATAAAGAGCAGCATGTAACTCTCTCAGTACCCTTATGAATGGGTCATACCTTCTGCAGCACAACTAATCTGCAAAATAACCAATAGAAATATGAGATGATTAGAACCCCCCCCCCCAACCTCAGAGCATGGGAAGTCCGCCCAAAAATTTATAATTTGGTATAACATTTGGATTGTTTGATTATTGGATAATTTGTATAATTTGGAATGTTTAATGTGGTTTGATTGGATTGTTAAAATGGAAAATTTAATAAATATCATTTACAGAAAAGAAAAAGAAAAGGTAAGACTGTGGGAACTTCTTTGTGTCTTTGATCCCTGAGAACATAGCTGGGCCTACTTAGTAAATTCTGAACAACAACAACAACAATTTTATTACTTATACCCCACCTATCTGGCTGGGTTTCCCTAGCTAATCCATTTGTAACCAGTTCTGCAAGGTGGGATAGAAAATCCCAAAGGGGCAACTCAAATGGAACTTTTAATTCGGCTTCTAGTGCTTAATTAACAAGGGCTGCTTCCACACTATGCATTTTACTGGGCAAAAAATACCACAGCAAACATAATGAACAAAATGTTCCCTTTCATATTTTCATTTTTTAGCTTGTCCTTTTCTGCCTGCTGCCATCTCAGAACCTTCAGAGTCATTTCCTTCCTATTTCCACGTGACCCTTCTCTCAGCTGTGGTGGTTTTTATTCTCTCTCTCTCTCTCTCTCTCTCCCCCTCCCTCCCCCCCCCCCCTGGGCATGAGGAAGATGTCTCTTCTTTCACTAGGCCCTGCCTTCCCCAAGCATGGCAACAATTCAGAAGCTCCTTGTTGTGGCACACTGCTTCCTGTGGGGTAGATATGGTGGTAACAATAAGGGGCAGGATCTTACAAGTGGGATTTTCTTTTATTACCTAGAAGAATATTGCTTATCCTTATATTTCATTGCTCTCCTCATTCTCCAATCTGGCATCATTATTCTTCCTACCCTTATTCCTGGGAAACTGCTTCTTTCCAGGCTGAAAATGTATGGGCCCCTGAAGATCGTCAGGCGCCACCCTGCAACGTTAATGAAGTTGGAAAGTGTCACAGAGTCTCTGAACATGACAGTGACTTGGTAAGTTGAAAAATGATGAAAATTATTTTTATGGAGGGGGCTGTAGGTGGAGAAAGAATAGAATCAAGAAGGCAGGCAAGGGGTGGAAGGAAAATAGCTAGCAAGAGAGGAGCAAGAAAGGGAAAAGCAACTCTCTATCTAACCTCTGGCTTTCCAGAAGTTGTTAGACTAAAACTCCCATCATCCTTTATCATTAGCCACACTGGCTGGGGCTGATGGGAACTGTAGTCCAGCAACCTCTGGAGAGCCCAAGGTTCCCTACTATTGCTCTAAAGGACATGAAGGGGGGTATTAAAAAGAAAATGGGAAAAGAGGGACACTTTCACTAGTCTTCCGGTCACAAATAAAAACGTGGCTTTCAGGGCATCCTAAATGCATGACTGTGGTTTTAATCATTGTTTGTAAGGGTCCTGGGATAATCAAACTAAGAGCACTAATGATCGGGCTCTGCAAGGAAAGGATGGAAGACTCAAAACTGAGACAAGGAAAGGGTCCTCAGAAGAGAGCTATAGAGGGATAGAGAAAAAGGAGACAGCTTGTAGCACCAGGCAGCAGTGAGTCCGTGAGTCCAAAGTGCTAGCCCAGATCAGGAAAAGTTTAGCTGTGTCTGCTTAGCATTTGGGTTCTCCTGAGTTCTCACTGAAAGCAGTAAGATATTTAGGAAGAGGGGAGACTTGTTTTATATTAACTTATATAAACTTCCTAGAGATTTTTGGCAATTAAATAAATTTTGTCAAATGAACAAAATTGCTACTGTCCCTTATTTGATCACCCTGCTCTTTTGCCAGGTGCTCTCAGAGTCCCCACCTCACAGCCTCATTTCCTGTGATCAAAAAAGTGATACTGAAAGATGGCTGGAATACTGTTCTAGTTCACCAAAGAACCAACACAGCAGTGATTCGAGGCATTCTAGCGCAATTAGGACCTCAAGAGAGTTGCGTAGTCAGCGTTCAAGATCCCCTCACAGACGAGAGCGATCCCGTGGAAGCAGCGACCGGTCCCCTTGTTTACAAAAGGGCCAGCACAGCAGTGATTCACAGCATCCTAGAGCAAGCCATGCCTCAAGGGAACTGCGTATTCACCGTTCAAGATCGCCTCACAAACGAGAACGATCCCATGGAAGCAGCAACTTGTCCCCTTGCAGGCAAGAACATAACCCAAGATTCCCTCAAAGCTAGAGGGCAGGGCTAGCTCATCCGTAAGGTGGAATGAGGCTGCTACCTCAGGCGGCAGAAGCATCAGTGCTTGTGGTTACCCCTCTGCTGGCGGCAGCAGAGAAGCGGCAGCAGCATCAGTGCTGATTTTGGCCAAGATCTCATGCAATTTCAGGCGAAATCTCACTCAAAATTGGTGCCGACGACAGTCCTGCTTCTCCGCCAGCAGTGGAGGTAGCAGGGCAGACAGCACAAGTGACGGCAGGGTGGCCGGGCTCAGCAGAGTGGCGCTTCCCGTTTCGCCTCAAGCAGCAAAATGGGATGAGCCGGCCTTGCAAGAAGACTACAATTCTTGGAACTCAGTGGGGGAACAGCAGGGTAGCTGGCTTCTGTTTTAGAAACTGGGTAGTTTTGAATCATATGAAATGATATTGATGCCAGGCATAGAGAAGAAAGGAGTCTGAGAGAACTAGGGTAATTTGGAGCCTTCTTGGTGATGCTTATGCATAGAAAGAAATGAGCCATGGGAAATGGGGAGTTTTGTTGCAAAACAGGATAGAGTGAAAGGATTCCAAATTGAATGGATTTCAGGCTGAACTCAATGGCTACATTTGTACTGCAAACTGAAATGAAACTGGCTTAGCTATCTGGCTTCCCTTGGTGAATCATGGGGACTGTAGTTTTGTGCAAATTAGTCTTAGCCACCCACCTTACCAGTTGGCCTGTTCCTAGAGTTTTGGGATGCAGGGAAGCAACAACAGTCAGGCTCTTGATGTGGTGTTCAAAATGCAGGCAGGCGCAGCTTTTCAAGTGAGTCATGTGCTTCTTTTCACAGGAGAGAGCACTCCAGCTTCTGTCACTGTGGATATTGCTACAATCCACACCGAAAGAATTTATACGAGAGAGATTCCCCTCCCTCTTACTTGGTTCAGAAAAGAAGTCATCGCTATTCCCCAGAAGGTTTGTTTTTATTGGGCAGTTCAGAATGGGAATCTTCATGTTCTAGCTGAAGGGACTAAGATATTAGTGTTTACAATATTGTCTCCTTGGCATGAAAGGGTCCTCTCCAAGCTGTGTAGCCTTTTGGATTGACGTTTGATGCTCCCATTGTGCCAGTCGCATTTTGCCACTGGCAAGCAACCTTTTGTAACTATGGAGATGTTTGGGAGCTATGGGTGCGCCTAGGATCTGCACCCCTGCCTGGCTCCAGTCTGCTGGTCTGCTAGACACAGCGGGAGCAAAAGATGCACGCCTTTTGCTGCTGCTCTAGCCCGCAAAACACCTGATTCGCCCAGCAGAGCAGCAGCAAAATACACGTCTTCATGGAAACAGGGATTCATGGAAACAGGAATCACAGTGAAAGAAAGCAGTATTTCAAGTGCAGTTGCAGAGATGACTGGGTATTCTCTCGGAGAATGCAGGAATGTGTAGAAGGCCCCTTGTCAGATAACTGTCAGTGTGTGAAAGAGCAGGTTTCCCAGCATATCAAGTCTATCTGACTGTCACATAATTGAGGGGCTTTGTTACCCAAAGCATTTGGTAGAATCACTTTGTCTGAACCTGTTTGGACCCAAGTGTATTGAAAAAAAGGGAGGCTAGAATGGAGAATGTTGGGTTGAAATAAGCGACAGACGAATGGCAAGGTGTCATACGGGAGGCATCTCTTGAGCATGTCTCGGAGAGTCCCTTTTATTGAATATTACAGCATTCCCACATATGTGCTTGTTGCTGATTGGTTAACATGAATACAATGCAAAGGTTGAATATAGGTACAGTGGTGCCTCGCAAGACGAAATTAATCCGTTCTGCGAGTGTCTTCGTCTAGCGGTTTTTTCGTCTTGCGAAGCAACCCTATTAGCGGCTTAACGGATTAGCGCTATTAGCGGTTTAGCGGCTATTAAAGGCTTATCGGCTTAGTGGATTAGCTGCTAAAAGGCTATTAAAGGCTTAGCGGCTTAGATAAAGGGGGGGGGAAAGCGGGAAAAAAATCTCAAGACTCGCAAGACATTTTCGTCTTGCGAAGCAAGCCCATAGGGAAATTCGTCCTGCGAAGCAACTCAAAAATGGAAAACCCTTTCGTCTAGCGGGTTTTCCGTCTTGCGAGGCATTCGTCTTGCGGGGCACCACTGTATTAATCATCAATAGATTAAAGGTTGGGAAAGGGAACACAGAATTGGACAGGCGTGAAACCTCCTTATTAAACTATTAGCTAGTGATTGAGTATCAAGACTTAAACTATTACTAATGATTGATATAGCATGACATGAAAGAACATAACAATCGCGTTCCGTAGATGTGGTCAACAATGCCTGTTAAGAACAGGTCAGGGTACTGAACTCAATGTGAACTGATCAGAACATTCCCAGACCCATGCGCAGAGGCAAAAGCTTCCCAGCAGGAGAAACCTTGAAACACAATTTGGTTCGTAAGCAGCCACAGTTCTCTTTCAGCTTAGATAAAAGATCAGAGACTCTCATTCCTGGTACTGGAATGTGAGCGAGAGAGATTTTGGTGCCAAGGAAGGATCTAGATAAGATCCTCCTCCCAGCAAATGGTGCCTCTGTAAACTTTATGGTCTGAGTCTTGTCAGTTTCCTCAATTAAGATGATACAACAAAGCAAAAGGTTGTCTTTTGGCAGTGAGGGATTGATGTTACAAAGTATCCTGGCTTGGCTGTTGGTAAGGGCAAATGTGGTTCTTTAATTGGGGTGCATATGGCTGAGATACTGAAAAAGTTGCAGTGTTGACAGGGGAAGAAAATGATACATGTGAGGAAGGGGAAAGAGTTTCTTTCTTTCTTGAGGCCCTTTGTTTTTTGCTCTTTCCCTGAACTGAGTATTTCATAGATTGTCTTCACATGTTGTTTTCACAGTTATGATTACATACATTTCCTCATTTTCCTTTTTTTCTATTAACATGCTTTCTTACTGTTCAGTTCTTTTTATATTACATTTTATAATTGTTGTTTTTCTGAGTAAATTCTTATTTCCCCCATTTGGCATTATATATATATTTGTTGTTGATCTTCTACAATTTATATCTTTTTCATAAACTATTTCTTTCAAATTATTCAACATTTACAGCAGGATTTCCCTTAAGTTTTATCCATCAGCTCCATGTCAGCTTGGTAGCTATGAACACATTTTTTTATATTCTTTAGCCTAGTTCTTTTTAGACTTCTTATTGAATTAATTTTAATCAATAACAGGAGGAATATAGCAACTTAACAGAGGATATTTTGAAGCAATGTTAATAGAACTCTATATAACCTTATTCTCTTGCCATTTTATGCACTTTCTTCTTTTTTAAAAATAATTTTTATTGAATGGTTTTATGTTTCAAAAAACAATACAGCCATACTACCACAAAATATAATTAAGAAATAAAAATTACATACATCGATATTTAGTTTATTTGTTATTTACCGTCTTATTTCCTCCCAAACATTGCATACAACAACAACACATACGCATTTTATGCACTTTCTATATAATTATTCCATGGATATAACTCTCTTTTCAATATTCATACACATTTTATTGTTGATCTTAGAGTTTCAACATTTGTATGCTGCAATACCAGTAAAGCTCTCAAGTCCGTTTTATACTGAATCTGGCACTTGGGTCCATTTCCAGTTGCACTTCTTAGGTCACTAGAGCCAAAAAAAGAACTTGGTCTTTAATCACCATTAGCATTCTTTTATCCCCAGAGTTAGGAAGCCATGCCTCCCCACCCACAAAGCAAAATGCTGTCTAACATCTCTGTTTTGCAGAAAGAAGTGAATTGTACGAAGCACCACATTCCTACAATCGTGAGAGCCCCAGAGAGGTAAGAGAAGATGCCTATATCTTACCGGCTTAAATTGGCATATGCTTGATAATTGTTGGCATCCATCTGTCTCAAAAGACAATGGAGTGCACCTCTGGAGGTGAGGTCAAACCACTGGAGAATCACAGCACCTGCAGTGGCTGCAGAGACTGGTAACTCATAACAGCTGCCTTCCTTGTTCTTGCTGTGCTAGCAGCACCGAAGTGACCTCTTTATGATGCAAGCCTGGGCAATGTGTATGGAGATCCTGGGCTGCCCAGGCAACAAGACCTTCACCCCACCCCCTTGGCCTTGCTGACGTGGTCCAAAAGAAAGCAGAGCACTACATATGGCACCAGTTTGGCTGCAGGAGTTGCCAGAAGGAAGTGTAGAAGGCACCATCCAGCCATCTTAGGGACTCCACTCTGGATTTGTGTAGAGCTTATTCCTTAGCCTTTTCTTCTCCACAAGACAGCATGTTATGCTTCATTAAGCTGTGAATAGATCTCTGACAATATCAGTGGAGGAGTTTGAAAGAGAGCTGAAATGAGATTCCTGTTCTCCCTGTGTCTCGAAATGAGCCCTTGAGCATGTACAGTTCATGTGCCACTACAGTGGTACCTTGGTTATCAGACGTCTCTGATGCCGAACGTTTCGGTTTTCGAACGCCGAAAACCCAGAAGTAAATGCTTCTGTTTTCGAACGCACCTTGGAAGTTGGACGGGCTCTCCTGCGTGTATCTGTTGTTTTCCACAATTGTCTCTTGAATTGGCAGACTGCCTTTTGCGCCTCAGTTTTCGAACCTTTCGGAAGTCGAACGGTCTTCCAGAACAGATTACGTTTGAAAACCGAGGCACCACTGTATAATGATTCCTCCACTTAAATGCCAAGATAACCTCTGCCTGGGATAGGGAACCTTTGGTCATGCAGATCTTGTTAGACTACAGCTCTCATCATTCCTCTCCATTGGCTATGCTGGCTAGGACTGATGTGAGTTGGCATTCAGCAACAAATAGAAGGCCACAGGTTTCCTGTTCCTTATCTAAGCAAACACTGCTTTTGGTCTGACATGGTGCACTAGTTTTACAAAGGTGGGCATTTATCCCACAAATCTCTGGTGGTGGCTTATTTCAGACTCCATTTTATTTATTTATTTCTTCCTCCTGCCCTGTAAAATGAAATCCAATTCACAGAAGTTAAAGAAAAAAATATCATCCTCTCGGAAAACTGAAAAGAAGAAGAAGGCAACAGCAATTTCAGAGAAAGCAAGAAAATCTACCAAGGTAGCTAAAGAAATGTATGGGTGTCTTAATATGATGATGTATGTGATCTTGTGTCCTGCTTCTAGCCTTCCCTTAGGCAGTTGGTCGACCAGCACAGGAAACGGTATACTGGACTATGTTGTGTTGAAATAAACGACAGACGAATGGCAAGTGTCATCTGGGAGGCATCTCTCGAACATGTGTTGGGGAGCCCCTTTTATTGAATATTACAGCATTGCCACATATGTGCTTGTTGCTGATTGGTTAACACAAGTACAAAGCAAGGGTTGCATATAAGACATTAATCATCAATAGGTTAAGGGTTGAGAGAAGGAACACAGAGTTAGACAGGCATGAAAACCTTCTTATCAAGCAATTACTAATGATTGATATGGTGTGAACTCAATGTGGACTGAACATTCCAGGGTGGTAAGAAAAGAATGTACACAGAAAGAGAACTACCCATCAGGACTAGATAAGGTTTCTGTCTGATCCAGCAGGGTTTTTGTGTACATAACCCAAGTCAAGCCAGTGAAATGAGTATAAAACCTGCATGGTCCCAATGATAGCATGAACTCTCAGTAATAGAGGTTCTCCAGTACAGAGTTGTCGTCTTAGTGGAAGGTGGTGGTTGTCGTCGTCAACATCATCATACCTTGGCGTGTATCTTTCCAGCATTTTCGTTAGCTGAACAAATGTGCTTCTCTTACCCTTGTGGTACCATGTAAATGCAGGCAAGTTGAGGTGGCAGTGATTGCCTATTAGTAAGTGGAGTTTTCCAAGCAGTATCAGTTCACTAGATCATGCCTTTTCTAATATAAGGCACTTCAGAATGCTCCAACTGCTTCAGCAGCAGGAGGAGATCTACCCTTCTGTTGTGGCACTCAGTTTTGGAAACTAGTCATGTGACTAGTGTGTATACTCTGTTGACAGGATAGTCAACATCCTTGGGAGTTCATGGTGGGATTTTTAGTCCACAGGGTAAACGGTAAGAACAAATTCATTGGTGTCCTTAGGTGTCTTGGAGTTATTTCACTCCGATGCTCAGATTAGTATCTACCCTTCCTCTACTTAGCTCAGGATATGGATATGGATATGGATTATACCACTACCTTTGAAATAACCCTTTCACATAGGCTGGAGAGTGACTGCTCTTACTAAGTTTCATTATGTGAGTGGAGATTTTAACTGATCTCCCAGTCATTCTGGCCCACCATCCATTTGCTCATCTTTTGTTTTCGTCGGTACCAGCTCTGCTGGAAAGCTAAGTCTATGTCACACCCTTTCCTCAAATAATTCAAGGTGGGGTATATGGCAAAGGTTTTGTTTTTTGATATCCTGCCAAAGTTGATAACAATCCTTTACGTCCTCCTTGGGTTGTTGGCAAACGAATCCAGTTGTAGCAACCAGTATGCACTACAGAGTTTCCTGCTTGGGTAACAGTGTTAATTTTCTGGCATGAACAAAGCCTTGCTTTGTTAGTGAGGAGATCCAATTAGGTCCTTTTCTTTTTGGTTTCTACAGACTAAGAAGAAAACCAAAGGGGACCAAGCTGGTGGTACACCAGTCTCATCAGAGACTGCACAAAAGTTACAGCCGGTGGAAACAGAATTGCCTGACCCGGTAGGAAGGAGGATTCAGTCTTGCAATGGCTGGTCTTCAGCCTGGACTAGCAAGAGTGTCTTTCCCCTTAGTCCTCTCTTCACTATTTTCCACATGTTGGTATTTGTAACTGATGCATTTATTTCTGAGTTCTGCTGGCTGTACAAGTCATTTGCTGCAGAACAGGGACTGGGAACAGTTTTCAGCTTGGGGGCCACATTCCCTTCTGCATAACCTTTGGAGAGTCACATGCCAAGGTTGGAGGGGCAGAGGCCAGAGTGGGTGGAGCAACGAATGTGCTTCCCCCCCCTCTTAGTTTCTATACACACTCAAATGCCCCTCTCTATCCTCCATCCAGACAAGCGAGAGGGGAAGTAATCAGAGCTCAAGGACATGTTCGAAAAGGAGTAGGACGCATTCCACAGGCAAAAGCGCTTGGTTTTGTGGAAAGAATGTTGGAAAGTTTCCTGTGTAGTTTTTGATTAATTTTTAACTTTCTGTTTAATGTCACTGAGTAGAGGTTGCTAGTTTGTATTGTACACAATCAAGTAATTTGTGGCACATACACAATTGAAGGCCAGACATCAGGAGAGGAATGTTATGTAACAAGTACAAAGAGAACTGATGTGTGCATGTCCCTTGCTTTATTTTGCCAGTTATGGAAATGTAGAAAAGCTGTAAAAACCCTTTGCTCAGTGACGTTCCCTTCAGACTTGCTCTGGGGGTGCTGTCCTGCTGCAGCAATAAATAAAGGGGATACCTACAGAGTGCCTTGCTTGATATCCTGCACCTTGTCTATTATTTAAACTGATTCCTACCTGGCAACAAACTGGGGAGTGGCCTCCCTTAACTATGGGGGTGCAGAGCAGTGAGGAAGTGTGGCCTGGAAAGGGTTCTGACCACCAGATAGACAGGCCTAGAGGATTGCATTCAGCACCCAGACCTGAGGTACCTGTCCCTCCCACTGTAAAGGCCAAGATGCAAAAGGTTATGGAATCATTTCCACAGCCCATAGAAGCATCTGGCTTAATGAAACATCATTGTGTGATTCCTAGATCTTAGTTGTGACACCTGAAAGCAGCCCCCCCCCCACCTGGGTTTCACTCCAGGACTACTGTCAGCAGCCTCACCAGAAAAATACTTCATTCTGTTGTGAGCCAGTGATCTTGCCTTCCTTTTGCAAGAGCAAAAACTATCTTTGACACACCCCTAGTTTTGTTTTAGGCCATGTTAACACCTTATCCCATTGGGAAAATCTCTATAGATCCAGGCAGCAACCTGCAGTGAGGATGCAGACCCCACTCATCCCCTGTGTGCCGGAGAGAAAGATGGCTTTTCATCATCCTCAAGGACTTCTGAGGACCGTTCTGCAGCTGTACTAGCAAGAAAGGAAGAGATAGAGCAGGTAACTGAGCCTCTTCGGCATGTCAGTATGAACTTGGAGATCTGAAGCACGATTATTGTGAAGGTCACATGCTATTTTCGCTCCTGTATCTGCTTGCAAGGCCAAGCATAAAGGGGCCTGCCACAGACTAAGAGGAGTTGTAGTCCAAAACATCTGGAGGGAACCAGGTTGGCAAAGGCTGTTTTAGGGGAGTAGTCCTATTCTCCAGCCATATTTGCTTAAGTCAGGTGGGTCCCAGTGGGGCGCCTATAAACAAACATGGTCCCCAGACTCAAAAAATGTTCACACCTCTGACAGCAAGTTTGCGAAGTGTATACTTTCTGCTTTGCGACACCTCAAATTGTCTTGACTGACATTTAAAATTAAACAAAGCAGCAAATACTTTGCAAGCACATGTCTTGGTCCTCATACATAAGGCAACACCATATGAAGCTGCTTTATACTTGGTCATATCATTAGCCCATTTATCTCAGTGTTATCTACACCGTCAGCAGCTTTCCAGAGTTTCAGGCAGGGCATTCCCAGCCCTACCAGGAGACGCTAGGGATTGAACCCAGGATATTCTGCAGGCAAAGCAGATGCTGTACCACTGAGCTACAGCCTATCTCCCCACTACAGCATTAAATAAATAATTCCTTAGAAAAATTATTTTCTTACAATCTGGGTTTTTGGTGTGCTAGGACTCTGGACTGAATGTGACCAGCCCAGTAGATAAGTGAGGTAGAACTGTGTAGAGTGGCAGTCTTCAGATCGCTGGCGCTTTTGCCTGACAGACACTTTGCCCTTTCCTACAGGCCTATCAGCGAGTCCTCCTCAACTTTGCAGTGGTGACTGCCATGCTGTTGGAAACAAAGCCATGCATGGAGGAGGCGATGGAAGCAGCCTTGCGGGCCAACTTGAGAAGGATCGGGAACTACTATGAATGCATGCTGAAGGACTTCATTGACAGCTATGACTTGGCCAATGCCATCTAATAGGATGATCTGACTAGTCTTAAGGCATGTTGCACAACAGAGTGAATGGGATGGGAAGCTGCATGATTTGGTAGCTGAGTCACTGAGGTTAGCTTCCTCTTGGTGGAAGATGAGAAACTCCGAGGGGTTTGACTGCAGCAGCAAGGGTAAGGCTTGAAAGTATTGTGCAGATGCTTAAGAGTATGGGAGAAAAAGAACACCACCTCATAAGGACATTTTTTCAGAAGTAGATTGTTTTGAGAAGTGTTGACTCACCCCAGGGACTTCTGAAGGTGTCAGAAATTCATTGCAGGAGTAAGTTGAATGGGAGTGGTAACCTGGTTTTGGCATACTACCCTGTTAGGGTTAGCTATTGGAATTGTTTGCCTTTTAATCTTGCATCAAGATTTCCAAGTAGGATGGCTAATTTTGCATTTTGTAGATCTCTCTAACCACGGTTCTCCTGCTATTATAGGCAGAGAGAAAAATGGAGGATTCCTGCCAGTGCAGAAACTTTAGTAGCCCCCCACCCACAAAACTCTTGTGAAATGCTTTTTAGATTTGTTTCCCGAGAACTTAAAAACATCTTTTTAAATAAGAATGACTGATGGAGACAACACATCTCTTGGAGCTGCCTTTATTTGCTGAGTGTGGCTTCCCTGAACTATCACTGTTCAGACAACTATAGATAAAACTGTATAACTTTTTTTTAGCATCCTGCTTACAGTTGCCAAGTCAAGCATTCAATGATTAAGGCAGGGTTAACCTATTTATTCTTCACACTGCACCTTTTGAAAACACAGAAATTGGAAGGATGAGCTGGTAGGGAGCCAGAAGGATCTTGGAACTTGTGCAAAATGTGTGCAGGTGGTGAACAAAGGGGTACAGCCTTGTTTCACACGCTCTACACTACAGCATGTGCTGGCCAGTGAGCTTCTTGTAAGTATTCATGCTGTAGTAGAGAGTTTAGAAGCTGAGAGTGTCCTGCCCACAAGGCTCTGCTGAATTACACTAATCTTTACATGTTTCTTCCCTGTGTAACTAGGAAAAAAGGGGAAGGGGGCAGCTGCAGGCCTTTGAGGAGGAAAATTCCAGTTCTAAAGCCTCTGAAAATGCACAATGTGACCAAACTGGCAATGCAAACCTCTGTATATGTGAGAGTCTTGCTTCTCACTCAAGTCTGCTTATTCGCAGTTCTTCCTCAGCTTTGCACTTGTAGGGAGATGACTTTTCACTTTTCAGCATGCACACCCATCAACCGCATTGCTACATAAGATGTCTGCTTGTGACACTATTTCCACCTCCCCTCCCCCCCCCCCGCAACACTTTTCGGGTATCCAAGAACTACGTTCTCTTTCTCTTCTCCCTCCCCCCCCCCACCAGCCCAAACTAACATATACTGCAGTGTTTGTTGCTCAAACGTGCTCTGGCTGCCCACCCTATCCCTTTGCCAAGTGTCTCTTCCTCCATATCGGGTAGAACAATCCGTCTGGCCCCAGGCTTTGGGATGGGCTTTCCGAAAAAGAAGCCATCTGGCTCAGAGTCAGAATCTGAAGAGGACGAGCAAGTAGGGCACCAAGCATCGTCTTGTTCCACCACAGCTTCCTGCTTGCCTGTGCTGTCCTCGGGTGGCATTTGCGAGAAGTTCCTGTTCCACACTGATGCATGTGGGGCTTCGGAGGCGCTGCCCCTAAAGGGATCGTCTCCAACTTGCTGCTGAGGTGTTAGTGGGAAAGTGGACCCTAGCAGCTGGTTCTCCGTTAAACTGACAGTGCTGTGAACTACCTCTAGCCTAGAGGGGCTAGAGGTTCCCCGCTCTGCTTGAGGAGAATCAGTCAGAAGTTCAGTTTTATCAAACTGCTGGGAAGCTATTCTCTTTCGGAAAATAGTGCTTGCTTCTTCTTGGCTCCTGAACTCAGGACACAGTGATGAATCCCCAGATGTGTGAAGTGTTTCCATTGCTGGTAATAAGAAGAACAAGCATATATTAGAGAACTGGTCTTCAACTGGGGGGTCATGCCTTAATCCAAGGTGGGTTGCAACAGGAGCAGCCGCACCGCCATGCAAATATATGGTAAAGTATTAAGAAATGGATCCCCAAATACAGGTTTGCTTTAATAGTGGGTCTTGGGTCTGAAAAGACAGAAGTCACCTGTATGACGATCCTAAACTCCCAAGTCTGACTGCTGAATAAAGTCTATAAGGCAAGGGCAGGGGAGGCTGTTTGGCTTCTCCTCCAGCTGTTGGTTCTACCCAGCATGACAAACTAGTTGGGGATGAAGGAAGGTGCAGTCCAGCAACATCTAGAGAAGGGCAGTCCAACTTTATATACCAAGAGTACTTTGACATGCGACCTGCAGGCTGCACACTGCCTTGTCACCAAAGGGGGAGTGGGAGCAAGGCCAAAATTTTACACACAACTGCTGGCTAAGCAAGGTGCCGGGCTTTGGGAAAGGGATGCAAGGACCCTGTCAGAACGCTCATGCCTCCTTCCCAAAGCCCAGCATCTTGCTTACCCAGCTTTGGGAAGCTAGTGTGAGGGCTGGCAGGGTGTGTGTGTCAATATTGCTGAGGACCACCCTGATCTAGAGAGCAACAGGCTCCCCTTCTCCATTGTAGATAATCTTATCAGGACAGACATGTAAGAAGCATAAACATCAACCTTTTCTATTGTCAGGCAGAGATGCTATCTGGAATCAGAATCTGGCATCTAGTGAAGCCCAAACCTCGCCAGGGCTGAGCCCTGTGGCCTCTTTTTGAGCCTTGACAAGGGAGGAGCAAGCAAGCGTCTCTTGCCCCTTCTGTGTAACAGTGTGGATTGGGCCTCATGGCAAGCAAATGTGCTGTGGTTACGGCAGCAAGCTCACTCAGTAAGGGCAGCTAAGTAAGTCACTCAAGAGACCTTTCCCCCCACCACTATTAAAAAAAATCTGGAATCAACACTACATTAGGAGTAGAATAAGGTAGGACTGGGGAGCCTTCTATTGGTTTGGCTCAAAGGTGCCTATATCATTATCCCTGCTGCTGAAGGCTGATCACCACAGACATCTTACCATCTGAATCTGCTGTTTCCTCACAGGCATTAGGGTTGGTTCTTGCAGCTGCAGAGGAGCAGCCTGGGCTGCTGTATCTAATTCTAGAGATGGGTGTTGAGTCAGGGGATGGAACAGAGATGAAAGCGGAGTCAGAGGAATCTGAGCCAGTGGAAGACAAGGCCGATTCCTTCTCTAAGCTGCAGGCCTCAGAGCAGAAGAGAAGCCCATTTTGAGTAGTGACCAGCTGGCCTTGCAGTGCTTTTTTGCAAATGCTGCAGCAGAAGCAGCAGGATTTGGCGTGCCAGTGCTGACCTTGGAGGGTGGCTTGCTCACTGTCAACACCTGCAAGAGCAGAACAAAGCACACTAGTTTAACTATAGGCAATTTCAATGCAGAACTTCGTTTGCATTTATTGCTGATGTGGCCTCCTTGCGCCCCCCTCCCCGGTTAAATAGGGGATATGTCCAGGTACATTTCAGACCCCAAATGAGAAAGTAAAAGGAAAACTGGCTTTCATACTGCTAAGACAGTATGATGATGAGATAATACAGGCTGAAAATTAATTTGGCCACTTCACCCAGCCACTCTATGGTTTATCACATTCTCCACCAGGAGCCCCTGCATGATACAAGCTAAACTTTTACCATCCATCTGCTCTGCTTGATCACAAAGAGTTAAGTTGTAGTGCCAATTGTGCTACAGAGTCATACCGATGTTTCTTCATCATTTACCAGATTGCCTCTAGTTTGAAGAGGGTGTGACTGGATTTTTGTAAGGCTTTTACATTTACCAGTTTTGTGAATAATATTAACTGAAAGGTTTAGAATCTGTCTGATTATTATACGATTGCTTTAAATGCTTATACCAAGGGGAAAGCTTTCTAAAATCATACTATGTATGATTAAACCAATTACTGCAAATGTGGCCGCTATTTTAGAAGGCTTGGGATTAGTGAAATGCATGGAGAATAATAGTGCAGTGCAATACCTTACTCAGAAGATCCATCGGCTCATGCTACAATAACATAAGCCATAGCTTAGTCAGTGTGCAGGCTTCTGGGCCGCTAGAGAGGAGATCACAGCCACTTTGCTCCTTCTCCAGTCCTACTGCTGTGAGCCAATCCATTATTTGGATCTGAACCCGGGTTCATGGTTTGTTACATTTCAGACAAACCATGAGCCATAACCAAGGTCTGTTATGATTTGCGGTTTGGCTGGAGTGAGACATGTGTGAAAAGCATGGAAGTCAAACCACGGCTCAGTACGCAGCAGTACTAGAGGAAGAGCAAAGCAGCTGTGATATCCTAGCTGGCAGCTTCATGCAAAGGCATGGTTTAGCTTTGTATTACATGAGCAACAGGTTATCGAGTTCACTGGAGTTCACTCAGTATAGGCCCGCAGTTACAACAGAAAAGGTCCATCTGTCACTGAGCAGCCAGACACTACTGCATTCAATGAAAGACCACAGAAATGCTCAGCACCTACCAATGATCTCTCCACAGGCTTGGCAGACATCTGCGTACAGACTCTCAAAGCAAGCACAGCAGCAGGGCTGGCCACCCTTCATGACATAGCGCCGTGCCCCCAGGGGCAAGTCACACTCGAGGCAGCAAAAGTGCTCTTCATGCCAGCGCATGCCTTCTGCCTCCATGCACTCCGAGGTGAAGATCAGCTAAAGAGGCAAAGAGAATGCCAGATATCAAGCATGCAGTGTGCTGAGGGGTGCATTTTGGCTCCTAATTCTTTGAGGTACTTTTGTCATTGTAGACCAAGAAATTAAAGCTTTCTGCACCAAAGCTTTACTACATTCAGCAAAATTGGCAGCATAGTTATTGTACCTAAAAGCAAGGCTGTACGTAAAGGTAAAGATAAAGTTAAAGGGACCCCTGACCATTAGGTCCAGTCGTGGCCGACTCTGGGGTTGCGGTGCTCATCTTGCTTTATTGGCTGAGGGAGCCGACGTACAGCTTCTGGGTCATGTGGCCAGCATGACTAAGCCACTTTTGGAGAACCAGGGCAGCGCATGGAAACGGCGTTTATCTTCCCGCCAGAGGAAGTTTACCTATTTACCTACTTGCACTTTGATGTGCTTTCGAACTGCTAGGTTGGCAGGAGCAGAGACCGAGCAATGGGAGCTCACCCCATTGTGGGGATTCGAACCGCCGACCTTCTGATCGGCAAGTCCTAGGCTTTGTGGTTTAATCCACAGCGCCACCCGCGTCCCTACTCTGTCCCAAAATAAAATTCTCTGAACTGAACACATTGTGGAAATATCATATACTTATTCACGTATTGTTTTATTTTGATTTTCCCCTTAATGGGAACTGTGCCGTAACATTATTTCCTTGCTACTGTAATTTAAGGCTTGAAGGTTTCACCAAATCCAGCCTACGTAATTTCTAACTTATCTTCGCAAATACAGAAATTTAAACACCAACTCTCATAAAAACAGAACAGATTTTCAAACTTGGGTATTATTTTTTGTGTGGAAATGCAGAATGCATAGCACTAGCCTCAAGCCTAGTATATGCACACAGACCTAGTTTTGTTGCACTTCACTTTGTTGCACTTTGCAGATATTGCTTCTTACAAAGATGCAGGTGCAGCTGCAGGCAGCCTGGCCACTTCATGCGGAAGGAAGCCCCGCACCTCTACAGCAATGGAGTTGGCATGGGCTGGAGCTGGGCTTCCCCCCTCCTACATCCGCAGCTGGGGGGGGGCAGGCTTAACAGAGTGCAGTATAGTGTAAATATAACTTTTATATGCACCGGGAAACACCCCAAAAATAGTGTGTCTTGCTTTATTACTCTATTTCCTTTATTATGGGGGTCAGGAACTGAACCCACAATATCTCCAAGATATGCCTATATTTACTTAGCATGGAAATAAGTTTTGTGCCTTTAGCAGGTCATACCACAGTGAACCAGTGGGCCTGCTGTAAGATACCACTGTAGCACTTTTCAGATTAAATTTGGGAGGGCTCCTCCACGGTATCTGGATGCCTTCATGGGATAGTCAAAGAACACACAAGGTGGATGAAACTTCATTCCCCTGTATAACTACAAACCTCATCTCCCTGCTTACAATATAACATCATTTTAATTGATACTTCTCACTACAGAGAAAGGTAAAAGGGATGCAGGTGGCGCTGTGGTCGAAACCACCGAGCCTCTTGGGCTTGCTGATCAGAAGGTTGGCAGTTTGAATCTGCACGGCGGGGCAAGATGCCATTGCTCTGTTCCAGCTTCTGCCAACCCAGCAGTTTGAAAGCACACCAGTGCAAGTAGATAAATAGGCGGGAAGCTAAATGGTGTTTCCGTGCTCTGGCACTTGTTACGATGTCCCGTTGTGCCAGAAACAGTTTAGCCATGCTGGCCACATGACTCGGAAAACTGTCTGGACAAGCGCCAGCTCCCTTGGCCTGAAGTGAGATGAGCGCCACAACCCCATAGTCACCCTTGACTGGGCTTAACTGTCCAGGGGTCCTTTACCTTACTACAGAGAGAACCACCTCATTGTGGATAGGTGGAGATTATAAATAAGGTAACTGCTGATTCTCTAGAAAGAAATCTTGCAATCCCTATGAAGTTTTCAATCTTTCATTGCAAGTCCTAACCAGATTGAAGGTGGTAGATTATGATGTTGGATTGAAGTTAAGTGGTTTCTAGCTGTAATGGTATAAAAGAATATGGAAAAATTGGATTTTCAATAGGTCAAAACTTAATGCTATAATATATTAAGATTAAAGATCAGGATAAAATAAGGGGGAAAGGAATTGCTGAACTAATAAATTGAACCGGAATACAAAAAAGGGAGGCATGAGGAGGTCCGGGAAACAAGTAAATGAAAGATAAGTGATGAAAAGATGGAATTGTTTTTAATTGTTTTTTTTTGTATTTTGTATTTTTCTTTTCTCTATTTTTCTTTTTCTTATCAATGTAACCTTTTTTTGAAACCTTAATAAATATCATTTAAAAAAAGAAGAAGGTGGTAGATTAAGATCAATAGTTTCAAGCAGAGATTAGGAATTGACACAAGACCCCAAGTGTTTTTATATGCGTATACCTACTTGATCACATGAAGCACAGCGTGGGCGGAAGAATTCTGCGTGGTGCCGGCCACAATAGATCTTCCCATCTCGCTGGAAGTAGATGAGATCTACTAGGGGCTGGTGGCAGGTGTGACAGACAAAACAGGCAGGATGCCAGTAGCTCTGGTCTCCCAGCTTAGGTGCATAAACACCTTTTTCACCTCTGATCAACCTCTTACCACACTGTAAAGCAAGCAGAAAGGACCTTTTTATCTATGGTGCATCTTTATCTGCTCTTCCTGCAATACAATATTGCTGGCTACCCACAACCCAGGTTGTGATCTTCATGGACATGTGATACCCTCTTATTCGCCTTTTGGGGAGGGGGGAGAGGGAAATCAACTTTTTCGTTTCAACAATTTTTTGTGAAAAAGGATTTCATTAAATATTGTGTCTTTCTGCCTCACAACAGGCTTCCAAGGTTCCTGACACCAGTGAAAATTAATACATAATAAAAGGCTTATCCACAGTTACCTTTCCTGGCACAGTCCGCACTTTAAAGCTCTGCATCCAAGAGCCCCCCTTTGCATAATAATAATAATTAAAAATAATTTTATTATTTATACCCCACTCATCTGGTTGGGTTTCCTCAGCCACTCTGGGTGGTATACAGCATTTCTGGGCAGCTTACAGCTTTGGACCTTTCCCCACTAAAACCCACTCAGCTCAACTGGAGCAAATGGCAATCCATAGAAAACATGTGTGTAGCGTCAATCTTCTCTAGTTCTTATGCTTAGCCAGGGGAAAGCAAACCCAGATCTTAGACTTAGGCATCTCAGCCATGAGAACACTAGTGTCCAGTTTTAAAGAAAGGATGGCTCACCTTTTTACAAAAGCACCCGTGAGTTGTGGGGGGCACCAGGCATGTGACTCCCTGTCCCAGGGATTCCTGCCGTCGCTGTGAAGCAAATATCCGTAGCCGCTCCCTTTCCTCCTCACCAATGGATGGGCAATATCTTGCCTTAAATAAAAGCACAAGATTGTGTCAAGACCCAAAAGAGCATTCAGATTTTCTCCAGGCAGACAGCTGCTATCAAACAATCCACAATTGATTTCAGAAGAACTGGACATCAAATATGTTAAGCTGTCGGTGAACATATCAGATGACACAGTGATTCTTCAAACAGCTCTTGTTTATTCACAGGCCAGAACAGAACTGAACTGAAGGGTTCAGCCAGCCTGCTTAGCTAGAGCTCCACTAGAACGCAACAGTAACCATTCTCTGTAACTATCCAATCATTGAACGTCACTTTCGATCCCTTATTTGCATATGTGGACCTGAGTGAAAACTATCTACAGTATCCCCCGCTGGCCCAGGGTGAGAACTTCAGTACATAACAAAATAAATTCTACTTTATTTCTAATAGTAAATCCTGATACCGTAGACAACTGTCACCCAACTCTTAACACATGCAATGCTGCACGTGTCTATTCAGCAAGCCCCACAGTGCTCAATGGGACTGACTTCTAACAAGTATGTTGAATATGACTGCAGGCTAACTGACTTTCCTTAGTGCCTTGGAATGTTTTTGTCCATCACATATATCTTTACACTAAGATTTTAAAAGAACAAAGGCATTGCACTATTGGATTTAATTGAGCCAGTCTTTCAAACAGAGTGCAAGGAGAACTTATTTGTGTGGACAGTGTCACTGCATGGTCCAGTCACTAGGTGGCAGCAGACTCTGACAGGTGGAGTCAGGATTTTCCTGTAGCTGTTCTGTCTAGCTTCCTAATTGGTGTGTCTTATAAAGCCTTCCATTAGTACAGTATTTATAGCAAACTCTGGCTTACTGGTCCTAGTATGTCATTAGAGCTACAAAACTTTTGAGGCAACAAAGAATTTGTGATAGGAATATGTATGTTACCCAAGGGGATCAGCAAGTGCAGAAACAAGTACACAGTCTCTAAATTTCTGAATGCTAAATTTTGGGAACAAATAGCAAGGGCTAAATAAGTCAGTCTTCGTTTCCTGTTCTTCCTTCCCAGTAGCACCCTTTACCTGTCTTATTCCATTAGAGGAAGGAAATGAAGGTAGAAGATTTGAACTGAACCAATGTTACACTTTTACCTTCACTTATAAAGGGGCTTCTTTTGCAGTACTTCCATAGAATAAGTATGAAGCTATGTGGTTAGACTTTAATTAGAATTACAGTGTGGTTCCAAGACTATAAATAAGAGCACAAATCTGTCCCAAACCACTTTAGAGGCACTGGCTGTGTTAACATTTATTAGTGCATAAAATGAGTACCCAACTATTTGTGGTCTGGAAAAGAGTAGAGTTTTAATCAGTTTTTTCCAACCAAGGCAAGATTGCCTAATGAAGACAGAATGTAAGAATGGGAATCTTACATCGCAGTCTTGCGGGGGCAGCTGCTGAAGGAGAGCTTTGATGCGGAGCTGGTTCTGGGTGGCAACAGGGACTGCATCTGATGAGTGAGAGTCAAAGTTTGGTGACACCTGCAAAAGCAAACAAGATTGAGAAGCAGAGATGGAGTTGTGTTTTACCTATGAGTTTAGGGAACAATGCCTGCTTGCACCGCTGTCTTCCCTCACAACCCTCCCCCTGGCAGAGTTGGCTGGAGATCTGAGACGTTTCCCGTGGGAAAGGGTAAAGCCCAATGGAACTGGGTCTCCTGCTGAAGGACTAATGAAAAGGAACTGGCAGAATAAGGAGAGGAGAGCTGGCTTAGCATTCGTCTGCATTAGCATGCATTTACAGCATAGAAACCTATCCCCCAAAAGGCTGTGTTTCTCAAAAGCTAACCTTTCTCTGCTGCATTTGTACTTGGGAAAGCAGCAATAGACAGCCAAATTTGCTCTGCTGTTTTTGACTGCCCTACCCACAACTCTTCTTCTTTCCATGGAATCAGAACCCAGAAAAGGTAGGGTATGCCACAGCACTGATGGAACAGATCTGGGGGTACTTCCAAGCTGTTGCTGCTTTGGAGTGGAGCTGAATCACATACCATCAAATTCAGATTGCACAATTAGAGTTGATTGGGAGTTTTGTGCAACCTAACCAAAAGAATGGACTTTTAGTAACAAGGGAATGAGGAAAGGTGATGAGGACAGGCAGTGGAAAGTGTGGAACAACAACTTGTTTTGACGCAATGTCATCTAACCTTCCCACAGACATATAAGAAGGAATACGCTCATTAAATAGACAACATTGTCTAATCCAGGGGTAGGCAACCTAAAGCCCGGGGGCAGGATCCGGCCCAATCGCCTTCTAAATCCAGCCCGCGGAATCAGCATGTTTTTACATGAGTAGAATGTGTCCTTTTATTTAAAATGCATCTCTGGGTTATTTGTGGGGCATAGGAATTCATTCATTTCCCCCCCTTCAAAATATAGTCCGGCCCACCACATGGTCTGAGGGACGGTGGACCGGCCCATGGCTGAAAAGTGTTGCTGACCCCTGGTCTAATCTACCTGGAAACAAATCAAGATGAATGCTCAATAAAAAAGGTTGTCTGGAATTGCCCTGGGTGCTTTTGGTTTCTAACCCCAGAGGGAAGTAAAATAATAATCAACAGCAGCCTTGCCATTGTCAGCAATTAGAAGTGATGAAAATGGAGAAAAGGCAAACTTGCCATGAGATTCCCAGGAAAAACTATTGCAACATTTAGAACAGTCTTCCACATAAATATATCATCAAGTTCTGCCTTACCTCTGCTGGGGGAATTTCCGTGACAGGCCCCGAGTAATCTTCCAGGGCGCAGCCAGAATCACTGTCTGAAGATGAAGCAGGTAGTAGGTATGCCAGTGTTCCACCGCATGGAGCCTTCTCTCTCTGGGACCAAGTAGGGCTTGGTTGAGACATCAGCAGAACGGAAGCGCTGGAAAAGAAGTGCCTGTGTGAAGTGACTGGGCCCCTCTTGGATAGACTCCCCAAATGCACATAGCAAAGTCACCAATAACTGTGATCATCTCGGTCATCCATCCGTTCAATGGGAAGCATCACTGAGAACTTTAGGAGCATTAAAACTATAGCAGGATCATTTGGTGTACAGTAAGAGGCAGGGAGTTAATGCAGTACAAAAATAAGAGCACAGCCAAAATATTGCTATATCCAGAAGAACACTGCGCTGCATGGGCTCCTGGAACCGGGATCCTCCCAAGTGCTGCACAAAATTTTGGAGATTTGCTTCCATAACTAGCAAGGGGTTAGAGTTCAGGTGCTGTTGTCATTTTTGTATCACCTGTTGGACTTGGTCATGTGTGCTGTAAGAATGCTAACTGGGGGGAAATGAAGGCAACAAGTCACACACAGATTTTCAAAATAAAAAGACCAATATGACTGAGCTGCATTTTACCACCTTAAGCAGTGTCTTGGGTTTTATCTACTTGAGTAGTGTTGAGACCCTGAGATGAATGCTAAAAAAAGATGCAGAAAACATGTTCAGAGAAAGAGTGCAAGTCCCTACAGAGCATCTTTGGTCTTTGGGTAGCTCCAAGGAGAAAAGGCAACTAAGAAAATACTTCACACATTTATAGGAAGTTGAGACCTATTTCCTTAGAAAGAATGTGGTATGAGCCAGCAGTGAATTGTGACAGGACTGGGCAGAGGCAGTAGCATCTTTCTTGCAGTAGTTCTGTTACATTTGTTGAGATGGCGATGGAGCAGGATGAGGTGGCTGTGACATGGGAAGGGGGACGGACGGACTGGAGTAGTGGTGGCCACCAGCAAAGACCCAACTGCCTATGCCTCCCTTCCTCACACGCAACCACTGGTGTGAACCAATAGAGAAAGAAGCTCTCTGTCTCTGATGTCGTTGGTATAAGTAGCCAATCAGAAAGATGCGGGTTCCATTTTCTTAATAGCTCTGAACTTCCATTACAGAACAACTAGCCAGTGTAGACCAGCTGAGATGTTGTATGAAAAGCATTTCACTAGAAAGATGTACTGTATTGGAAATAAAATCCATGATATTGGTCCATTTAGGAATTCCTTGCAGGGGTTCTAAAGAGGGTTACCAGGTGAACTTTAACAGTTGTGTAGAAGACAGAATTCCAGCAGAGGTGGCTTGTCAGTTTTCCCCAGCTCTTACAAGGTGCAGAAGCCCCTGTCCTTTTTTCCATCTGCTACCTTAGTTTGAAACCCCAGACACTCTAGATGGCACTGTTACATCAAAATATAAGGGTTCTGTTTTTCTGAAAAAGGACCCTCAGAAGTGGAAAACAGAGATGCTGTATGTACTTTTGTAATCCAAGAAATTTTTTTTAAAAAAGAATTATTTAAAAAGAAAAAAGGGTGTTAAAAACTGCTGAAAGTTTGGCTCAAACCTTGATAACTTTTCTTTATGATAAGTGTTAAAACCTCTCCCCTACCCCCTTGATCTAAAGCCAAATAGTTTACACAAGCAACCAATGAAGTGCAAAACTATAGCAGACCTGTAGCACTTCAGATTGTGGAAGGGAAATTGGATGGTTGAATGCTTTTCTGTTTTGGGGGTTGGGATGTGAGAGAAGGCTAAGCTGGAATTTGTCTCTCCGGCATCCCCTGCCTACAGTCTGAAATGGTAAAGTCCAGGAACATTTGTTGCTTTTCTTAACTAGGCCTAATGCTTTGCAAAGCCTGCCATTTTAGGCAAGCCTTTGGAAATCTAGCTGCGGTTTTAATTTTGCTACTTTAGGGTTTCAATACCGCCAATTTGCTGCAATTATTTTTATTTGGTCTTTAAGCCTCCTCAGGGATTTGAGAGGCGGGATAGAAATTTCAATCAACACACTTTTAATGTTCGTGTTGTGACTGGTTGCCTTCATATGCTTGGCACATGCCCAGATCACCAGCATAATCCATTACCATTGTGTGCAAAATGTTATACAGTTGCTGATATGTATGCTGGCATCTGGGTGTGTAGCAAACCTATCAACACTGTGACTGTGCTAATTCAGATGACGCTGCCATAGAATCTTCTCAAAAAGGTTGTGTGAGTCAGAGCGAACTGTGCTGTATTTTCTCTAGTGCTGCCATAATTGCAAGCCAAGTATGTTGCTGCTGCCCATAAATTCATTTTCGGGAGATAGGCACACTTTGACTTCGGGCATTAGGATGAGCTGTAATCTATTCTTCCCCTCTGTGGGGGGGGGGAATATTTTTCCCCTCCACACCCTTACAAACCTGCAGTGTTAATCATTCCCTGAAGCTTGGGGCACTGGGGGCTTACACTGGGTAGCTTTCCTGGTTAATGGTTACACCATGGAAAGAAGTGGACTCATCTCCCAGTTCTCTTTTCCAGAACTTGCTCATTTCCTTCCTCCCGTGTATCTGTTTCCAAAACAAAAGAGAGATTGCAGTTTGATGGCTCAGTTCAACTGCTGTGATTGCTTGGATGTCTTCCCAGAGTCTAACACTCTCCAGCTAGATTTCCTGTCCCAGCTCCAAATGAAGGAGAGAGAGAAAAGAGATGATTCTGGATGGGGGCTGGGGAAGGGTTAGTTAGATGCAACAGAGTCATGATGAATGATCAGCAGCTATGCTTTTAGAAAAAGAGTGGAAGGAGGTGACAAGATCATATATACAACAACAAGGATACTGTTTCAGCATGCAGGGATGTGAAAGCTCCTTCTGTCTAACTAGCACAAAATTCCTTGTTCAGTCAGAAAGACAGACACACAGGAGTTCTGTCTGATATAAAGACAGCCTTCCACAGCCTGCGGCCCTCCAGATGAATGTTGGACTCCCAATTCTCATCAGTCCCAGCCAGCGTGGCCAATGGTCAAGAAGGATGGAAATTGTAGGCAACAAACTGCTGGAGCGCTTGTTTCATGCAGAAGGTTGTTTAAGGGACATTTCGCTGAGCGACACACAGAGGGGTTCTAGAAAGTCTATTTTATAGTTTAACCACACACACACCAAGTGCTTTGTACTTTAATAAAAATATTTCCTGACCTCTTTTGTTATCTTACATAAGACTGAAAACAACTTTGCACAAATTTACCTTTACAGTCCTGTTAGTTATACCATTACTCTTGCCTTTTTCAACACTATTCACAGAAGCACACTGGGCAACTAGGCACCTGAAGGAGCGAACTGCAGCTTAGAGAATGGAAGAGCCAAGCTGCAAACTTTCAGCTTCAGCCTCAAACTGAAATCCCTTGGCCTAATAAGCAGGCTGTTATTTTTCTCGGGTCTAGCCACACATGCCTGTCGTTGGCTCAGAGCTGCCTCTTCCAATGTAATTAGTGCAGAGAGCTCGGGTTATGCTGCTGCGCACTTGGGTCAATAATTAACTCAGCAAATTAGCTAGCAAACAGGAGGGAAAACAAAAAGTTCAGATTTTGCTGGTTCCCAGCACCTTACTTCCCAGAATGTAGTAGTAGCACAGATAACTTAGGAGTTTCCAGAAGGGTAGTCATGTTAGGCTGCGTATACACACATCCCCTAAACAATCCTGGGAACTGTTTGCCCCACCAGAGCTACACTTCAGCACCCTTAAGCTACAGTTCCCAGGATTCTTGGGGACGGGGAATATGTTTTAGATGTATGACATTTTAACAGCCAAAGTCTGTCGTACAAAAAACAACAGTCTTGTGGCACCCATAAAGACCAACATATCTACTACAGTAGATTTGTTTTGTGAACCACAGTCTGCTCCACCAGACTGCATGAAGCAAAAGCCTAAAATGTAACCCCACCAGGGCACTTTCTAAGATGGCCATATTGAATAAAGGAACTTTGAAGGGAAGAGAAACTTCAGCAGCAAACCACTGAAATACATTTTATCAGACAATTAAATTCTACCAGCTGTGGCTGTAATCAAGACTGGTCACCATGCTGTTTTTGTTAACTAGTTTACCAATGCCAGCATCACCAATAGTGCTTTGTTGACTGATGACCCTAAGAATTTTGCTTTCAGGTAATTTCCAGTGTCTGTTCTTTTTGTGTTTAATTTCTCTCTGATCTCACTCCTCTACATCCCCCCTCCACTTGCTAATTTAGGATTACACTTCATTCATCTGATGAAAAAAACACAAATTACGTCATAATACAGTTGTTAATCTTTAAAGTGCTAGCTAAGGAATAAAAGGCATGGGAGACTGCTCTTTCTCTGGATTCCAAGAAATAACCATGTAAGGTTTGTCTAGCTGTATATCACATCTCTCTCCAAGTCCAGTACATTTTAACATGTAAAAACGAAGCCCGGCTTGATTTCACCAGGAGGGCATTATCATGCAAAGAAGGTGGTGTAATCATGCAGGTGAGAAGAACCTTGCACCACAAAATGCATATTCAACAGGCATTCAAGAGATGCAATCTTGCTCAGCAAATTGTTGAGAGATTTGAATAGAATAAAAACCTCACTTATCTCCCTACATCTGTTTTGCTTCAAAGCTTTTTCAGTTATGAATTCAGGACACTACAGCACATAACGCCCATTCTCTCTGCAAGTGGATTTCTGCAGGATGGGGCCTTGGATCAAAACTAAAAGCTCCATACACCTTGACCACCCACAAAACATGAAGGCAACTGTTGACTTAGTACAATTGTCACATGACAGTCACTTGAGACAGCTTTCAGTTGACAGCTTTTTTTACGCGGCATCTGTAATGCGTACAACAGGTTGCCAGGTGGATCACTGCCATTGTGTGAAGAGAGTCCATGTCGTGAGCAAGGGGGATCCACACTTGAAACAGCTTGCACATTGTAATCATAACATACGGGTAAGACCAGCCTTGCTACCCTGGGTCCTCACCTATAAACACCATCATGGGTCCAAAAGAAAAAAATACAAATTAAAAGAACAATTTTAAACAGCTTGTGCTTTCCCCCACCATAGTTTATGGTATTTGAATAGCTGGAAGGGGAAATAATTACCGTATTTTTTGCTCTATAACACGCCCCGACCATAACACGCACATAGTTTTTAGAGGAGGAAAACAAGAAAAAAAATATTCTAAATGAAACAGTGGATGTATGATTTTTGTGGTTCATGCTGTGGCCACAGACATGTGATCTGACGGTGAGTTTGAGGTAGCCCAATGCAAAAATCCTGAGGATCCATGTGGATCCATACTTTGTAACCACGTTTTTGCACCACTGCAGCCCCAGGCAACAGTGGGTGCGTGATTTTTTTGGTGCAAGCTGTAGCCATGGACATGCTATGTGATCTGATGGTGAATTTGGGGTGACCCAGTGCAAAAATCCTGAGGATCCATGTGGATCCGTGCTTTGTAACCATGTTTTAAGTGGGGAGGGAAGGAAAAGCACTCAAGGGACAAGGAACACGTGTGGGGTGGGTGGAGAAGGATGCTGTTAATAATGCAGAAGAGGGGTATAAGAGGAGAAGCAAGCAGGCTCTGCTTCTCTCCCTCCTCCCCAGCTCGCTGAAAAACTTTGCTGCTATTTAGCCAGCTGAGTGGGGAGGAGAGAGGGACAGAGAGCCTGCTTGCTTTAAAGGAGCCAACCGGACAGGAGCCGCTTACACTCATGTAAGTGGCTCCTCTCCTCTCCTGCTTTGCTCCTTTAAAGCAAGCAGGCTCTCTGTCCCTCTCTCCTCCCCACTCAATGGCTCTTCTCCCGCTTTGCTGTTTCAAAGTGAGCCACGGAGGAGGGAAGGAAGGGGAACCATGGATCCTCTGCTCACGACTGCAGCAGATCCCCCCGCCATCCGTAGGCATTCACTCCATAACACGCACAGACACTTCCCCTTACTTTCTAGGAGGAAAAAAGTGAGTGTTATGGTGCAAAAAATACGGTAATCTCTAATAGTCCTAGAACACCATTAGTGAATAATTCCTAGCTGGGAGGACCATCCCTATTGTAACGCCCCATGACAGGATACTTAACAAAGGATGCTTTACTGGACTGGAGCTCAGCCAGCACTGGACTGGGATTCAGCAGGTCACATATATGATGAATTATTACACCTGTTTTAAGCGCACCCCATCCATTCTCTCATGGAAAAGTAGGTTGACTGAGCAATGGAAAAACCCAAGCTTTCCCACCTTCCACTTGGTCAGAAGTGGCAATGACATCTGCACTACCTGCTTTGCTTATGGCTCGGGTGGTCTCCAGCAGCGCCATAAAGCTAGAAAGCTTTAGTAGCACTCGTTAAAAACAGACATTCTGAAAACTGTGTGCTATGGTGATGAGAGAACGAGATGCTGTGAGAGATAAATCAGTCAAAACAAGGGGTCTCGAGAGACCCAAGTACCTACCTAAGAGGTTATCAGTTTCCTGCCTATTATTTATTGCTGGGGCCTGGTCTTTTTCCAAGCAGTTTGTTGCGGGGGCATGGTGATTCAACCACGCCTCTACCATCAGGTGTACCTGCTCATTCAGACACTCATGATGCAGGCACATAGCAGATTAATCCAGCCTCAGAGAAGATGACCCTATATCATTGTTCTTCAAGTCAAAAGTAATGCCTACAACAGGAACTCATACAGAAACAATGCTGAGGGTGGATAACCTTTATTCTTATACAGGCACGACCATTTTAGATGCATCAAATTGACGCGTAATTGCAGACACACGGGTTGGACCCGGAGGAAGGAAGAACGGGGGCAAAATGGGATGGGGAGGGCACTTATACAAGCTATGCCGATGCACACAGGGTACAGGAACGGAACCCCTGCACAGAATGGTTGTCGCCTGTATAATCTAAAATAAATCTTCTGCAATGTAAGGGTGAAATGTGCCTTCAATTTTAATTCAGGGGTGGCTGGGGAGAAAGTGTAACTCATCAAAAATGTTGTGAACCCACAACACGAAGCTGAAAAAATAAACAAAACTGTGTTACCATCTGGCTTAAACTGGCAACTATCCTTCCGTGAGAATTAATCCTTTCATGTGCTTCTAACTCAGTGGTTTTATGTGACTAATCAATCAGGCCGGCTGTTGGCTGTTGACAATTCTTTGTAATCAGTCCTGGTAATTAGTAAATTCCATCCTGCCTACCAGCTCAAAGGGAATGGCTTCCTTTACTAAACTTACTCCTTTTCCCACTTTACATCCCATCTTCCTTTCAAAATGAAAACCCAAAACAGCCACCACCACCAAAAGTACATTAAAAAACCAAACAAACCATATGAACAGTATAAAGAGAAACTGTTATTTTATGGAAGTAATTAGCACATGTCTTCTTTCACCATGTCCTCCCACTCCACTTCCAAATTACTTCCACCCCCATCACCAAATTTAATATCCATCTATAGGATTTTCCAGGACAGCCTATGCTCAGAGGAAACAATGCTGAAGACAATGAACTTATTAAAAATACCGTATTTTTCGCTCCATAGGACGCACTTTTTCCCCTCCAAAAATGAAGGGGAAATGTGTGTGCGTCCTATGGAGCGAATGCAGGCTTTCGCTGAAGCCTGGAGAGCGAGAGGCATCGGTGCGCACCGACCCCTCTCGCTCTCCAGGCTTCAGGAGCTATCCGCAAGCCTTGCAAGCCCGGTGGGAGTTCCCGCGGGCTCACAAGGCTTGCAGGCAGCAGCCTGCAGCCCCGGCGAGTGTCCGCAAGCCTTGCGCGCCCGGCAGGAGGTCCCGCCGAGCGCGCGAGGCTTGGGGCGGCAGCCTGTCGCCCGAAGCACGGGGAGCCCTCCGGAGGGCTCCCGTGCTCGGGCGAGTGTCTGCAAGCCTTGCGCGCCCGGCAGGAGGTCCCGCCGAGCGCGCGAGGCTTGGGGCTGCAGCCTGTCGCCGAAGCACGGGGAGCCCTCCGGAGGGCTCCCGTGCTTCGGGCGAGTGTCTGCAGCCTTGCGCGCCCGGCAGGAGGTCCCGCCGAGCGCGCAAGGCTTGGGGCTGCAGCTTGTCGCCCGGAGGGCTCCCCGTGCTTCGGGCGAGTGTCTGCAAGCCTTGCGCGCCAGGCAGGAGGTCCCGCCGAGCGCGCAAGGCTTGGGGCTGCAGCATGTCGCCCGAAGCACGGGAGCCCTCCGGAGGGCTCCCCGTGCTTCGGGCGAGTGTCTGCAAGCCTCGCGCGCCCGGTGGGAGGTCCCGCCGAGCGCGAGGCTTGGGGCGGTAGCCTGCAGCCCGAAGCACGCGAGGCTTGGGGCGGCAGCCGCGGCGGGGGGGATAATTTTTTTTATTCATTTCCCCCCCCCCAAAAAACGAGGTGCGTCCTATGGCCCGGTGCGTCCTATAGAACGAAAAATACGGTAAGTCTGATTAGAAACCTGTAAGCCAAACACTGGAATAACAGGATTGGAGCAGCAAGCAGAGGCAGTGCTGCTCCAAGACACAATTAAGAACAATCCTGGCCACCATTCAAGGCACCCCAAAGTGCCACAGCACACTGGTTGTAAACCACTGTCTTAAAAAGCTATTACACAAATCTCTGGTGCGACTGCATTTGAAATACTGTATACATTTCTGGTTATCTCACCCAGAAAGCATCTTTATAGAGTTGGAAAGGTTCAGAAAATAGCAACCAAACTGATCAAGGAGATGAAGAAACTCTATCAGGAAAGGTTGCCCACCATATGGAGATTTTTAGTTAAGGCCAGTATGAGGTGATATGAAACAAGTGTAGAACATTAGGCACAGCACAGAGAAAGTGGACAGAGAAATTTTCTTCTTCTCCTCCCTTACACTGGAACTTGTGGACATCCAATGAAACCGAACATTGGACGATTCAGGTCAGAAAAGAATGTACGGTACTTCTTCACTCCCACAGGAGGCAGCGATGACCACCAACTTGGGACAGCTTTGAAAGAGGTAAAGGCTTCCAAGGGCTACCAACACAATGGCTATCTTCACGCTGAAGGCAGTATCCTTCTGACTGCGAGTGCCAGGTGTTGGAAACTGCAGGAGGCAAGAGTGCTCCTGCTCTCAGGTCACACTTGTGGGCTTCCCATAGACATCAGGTTGGCCACTGTGAGAAGAGAATTGCTGGGCTGGATGGTCCATTGGCCTGACCCAGCAAGCTCTTTTTACGACTTCATGAGTGGTGAACCTCTTAACTCATAGGCCAGGTCCAATCCCAAAGGCACTCCAAACCAAAGCAACAGTGTGAGTAACACCGCAGCACCAGGTTGAGAGGAGAGGTTTAAACCTTTCCTGCCTGGCTCATTTCTGCAATGGGAAGGAAAACTGCACCCTCTGTTCTTCAAGTGATCTATCTAAAAGATCTTCTGCAATGATGGAGCCCTGGGCCAGGCAAGGGAAGTTTCAACAATGGTGAGGAAAATAACCCACCACACCTGCATTTCTCTGTTGATCTGCATTGCCCTTATTATAGAAGTATAACATGAAAATCCATTCTGTAGATTATCCATGCAAAATGGCGAGAATGTTCTTAAAAATATATATTTTTATTGATTTTCCAATATCGTTCCAATAGCAGCCTCATTATAACAACATCAATTTCATCCGATTAATGCAATTATTCATGTCTTCCTTCACCATGTCCTCCTACTCCACTTCCAAATTACTTCCACTCCTATCACCAGTGGTACCTCGGAAGTTGAACGGAATCCATTCCGGAAGTCCGTTTGACTTCCAAAATGTTTGGAAACCAAGCTCCTGCAGCCAATCAGAAGCCGTGGAAGCCCCGTCGGACGTTCAGGTTCCAAAGAACGTTTGCAAACTGGAAAATTCACCTCTGGGTTTGTGACGTTCAGGTGCCAAAACAATCGACTTGCAAGGCGTTCGGGATACAAGGTACGACTGTATATAATTTAATTAAACTGCCCCCTCACATGCTAGAGTTGATGGCAAGAATGTTCTACTTTACTGTTTTGTAGCCTCCAATAAGAAAGCCTAACTTTAAATAAACCTCCTCTGATGTACCTCATACTATTCCTGCCTACTAGAATACACAGGTATACCTGCCTCCCAGACCACAATGTGATTGGTCTTCTCTTGACAAGCAGCAAAGTCATATGCAACAAAAAATGACCATTGTCATCACATGAATACTTGGTACCTGGGGTAGACCTGGATTCACTGAATCAGAAGGAAGGAGGGATGGGAAAGAAGAGTAGAAACTGTGAGAAGTATCCCTGGACAAAACACACGGCAGGTGTTATTTCATATCTACAATCCCTAGCAGCACAAACATCCATAATGCATCACCAGAGAAAATTGTGCTCATGCTCACAATCTGCTGTGTTTTCCCATGACTCCCACCTAGTGCTATGAATCGAGGGCTGTGCTTCTGGCCCCCACTGTGTGGAAAGGAAAGGTTAATTTCCATCCTGACCTGCATTTGACTTTCAGAGCTGCAATGTGGCATGAGGCACCCCCCACGGCCGAAACATCATCCTGAAAACAATGTTTTCAGTTTACAGCTGTAATCAGCTTGGGTGTGGTATCAGCGTGGTCTTATCTCATGCCAAACTGTACCTCTTCAAAGAGGAACAAATTTTCCCCAAAGCAAATAGAACAGATTTGTATAAATCAGAAACAATAATGTTCTGCAATAAAAAAAAATAAAAAAAGAGAATTAAAGCTGAGATGGGGAAGCAGAGCGAATGCCAACTGGGGAACGGCTGCAAATCTTTTCATGATGAACCACAACTGACACCACACCTAGCAGGAAGAGGCTGAGGCTGCAGGGTAGACTAACGCACCTCTGTGCTGGGATAGCATAATGAGGAAACTGTGGGTAAGAATCAGCATAAGGGGGAAACAACATGACATTCAAAATTACCATGAGACCTTGAAGTTGCAACACAACAGTAATAACCTCAAAAGCACTTTCTTATCTATGCAACCAGTTATCCAGGGATAACTGCTGCTGCAGCTGTTGGAGGGGGGGACTGCCATCTTCCCCACCCAGAGACTCCTGTTGTTGTTGTGGTGGTGGTGGCGGCAGCTGTTGGGGAGACTGCTGTCTCCCCCACTTGGAGGACGGCTGCTGCTGCTACAGAAGTGAAGAGGACTGCAGAGAGGACTGCAGAGACCAGGTCCCTGGGCAGGCAAGTGGGAACAGTTGCTGCCCCAGCTGGGCCTGGTCCAGCTGCTGGGGCAATGCTATAAAGCCTGCTTAGAGACATCTAGTTTGGTTGTCCTGGGGATTTAAACATCCATACCAACACGGCTTTACAAGGGGCCACTCAGAACTTCATGGAAAGCATGGCCTCCATGGGGCTGTCCCTGAATAAGTGTGGCCCAACTCATAGCCCTGGACACGCCTTACACCTGGCGTTCACCTCTATGGACATGGGTGATCTGACACTAAGTAAAAGTGAATCAAAAGAAGTGCCATTGTTGGATCACTTCCTGGTGCAACTGGACTTCTCTGTGACCCTTACCCTCTGCAGAGAGATGGGACCGATTTGGATGGCCCACCCCTGCCACTTAATGGATCCAAACGGTTTCCAAAGAGTGGTAAGGGATGTTTATTGCATGTTGATGGCCTTTCTGGTGATTTCCTGGTGGCCTGCTGGAATGTGGAGTTAACCAGGGCTATTGACTGTTTGGCTCCAAAGCTCCCTCCGATTTCATGGAGCCTGGACGGCCCCGTTGCTTTCCCCAGAGCTGAGGGAGAGGAACCAATTGCTGAGATGGCTAAAGCGCTGGTGAAGGAAAACTCATTCTGAATCAGACCAAACACAGGTTAGAGCTCAACGTCAAGCCTACCAAGTGACGATAGCGACAGCGAAGAAGACCTCCTTTGCCACCTCTATTGCATCTGCAGAAGACAGCAGCAGGAGACTCTTTCAGGTGGTCCGCAATCTAATGGAACCAACTTCACCATTGGGGTCTAGTGAGGACCCCAAGATCTCCTGCAATGATTTTGCAAAGTGTTTTACAGATAAAGTTGCTCAGATTCGGAAAGAGGTACCGTAGATTCCACCGTGGTAGTGGGGCCAGGGCAGGAGAGTGCTAGAGTCCTGTCTTGTCAAGTTGTGTGAGATCAATTCCAATCTGTTACCTCCAAGGATGCGGACAGGCTTCTTGGACAAGTGAAACTGACCACCTGTCTCCTTGATCCTTGTCCATCTTGGCTCATAAAAAGGAAGGGCTGGGCGATGAGCTCCACAGGGTGGTGAATGCCTCCCTCTGCGATGGTGTCTTCCCAGACCTGCTTAAAAGAAGCGGTTATTAAACCACTTCTTAAAAAAACATCTTTGGACCTGGCCAATATGGCCAACCAAATCTTCCATTCTTGGGTAAGATGATTGAGCGGGTGGTCACTGAACAACCCTAGGCATGCCTGGAGGATGTGGACTGCTTGAATCCCTTCCAATCGGGATTCAGGCCTCATCATCGGACTAAAACTGCCTTGGTTGTGCTGGTCGATGATCTCCAGCGGGCCAGGGACTGAGGTGGAAGCTGTTTCCTGGTCCTGCTGGATCTCTCAACGGTTTTTGACACCATTGATCATGACATCCTTCTGGACCGTCTAGAGGAGTTGGGAGCTGAGGGCACTGCTCCTTCCTCCTGGGCCGTGTCCAGAAATTGGTATTGGGGGATGAGTGTTCAGACCCCTGGGCTCTCACTTGTGGGGTGCCTCAGTGCTCTGTCCTCTCCCCAATGCTTTTAACATCTATATGAAGCTGCTGGGAGAGAGCATCAGGGGGGTTGGGCTGGGCGTTCATCAGTATGCAGATGATACCCAGCTCTACCTCTCCTTCAAATCTGAACCAGTGAAGGTCCTGTGTGAGTGTCTGGTGGCAGCTGGAGGATGGACGGCGGATAACAGATTGAGGTTGAATTCTGACTGCACAGTATTTGAGAGACAGAGCAGGCAGGTGTGGAGGACTCCCTGGTCCTGAATGGGGTAACTGTGCCCCTGAAGGACCAGGTGTGCAGCCTGGGAGTCATTTTGGATTCACAGCTGTCCATAGAGGCGCAGGTCAGTTCTGTGTCCAGGGCAGCTGTCTACCAGCTTCACCTGGTACACCGGCTGAGACCTTACCTGCCTGCAGACTGTCTCACCAGAGTGGTACATGCTCTGGTTATCTCCCATTTGGACTACTGCAATGTGATCTACGTGGGGCTACCTTTGAAGGTGACCCAGAAACTACAACTAATCCAGAATGCGGCCGCTAGACTGGTGACTGGGAGTGGCTGACTGGACCATGTAACGCCGATCCTAAAGGATCTTCATTGGCTCCCAGTGCGTTTCCAAGCACAATTCAAAGTTTTGGTGCTGACCTTTAAAGCCCTAAACGGCATTGGCTCAGTATTCCTGAATGAGTGTCTCCACCCCCATCGTTCAGCCTGGGCACTGAGCTCCAGTGCCAAGGGCCTTCTGGCAGTTCCCTCACTGCAAGAAGCAAGGTTACAGGGAACCAGGCAGAGGGCCTTCTCAGTAGTGGTGCCCTCTCTGTAGAACACCCTCACTTCAGGTGTCAAGGAAATAAACAACTATCTGACTCTTAGAAGACATTTCAAGGCAGCCCTGTATCAGGAAGTTTTTAATGTTTGATGTTTTAGTATGTTCTGATGCAGTGAGGAAACCCAGCCATGGGTGGGGTATAAATAATAAAATGATTATTATTATTATTACGACTACTACAATAAATCAGATGAAACTTTTTGACAAAGAGCAACCACTCCCAACAATAGAAAAAACTTTGGACTCACTTCTTTTTCATGTTGTATTTTTCACTAAAAAAATAAGGTGGGATTATCTCTTTGGGTGCCCCAAACTTAACCACTGATATTTAGAATACTCAGTGGACAGCAAAGGGGTATGCCTAGAATAGTCTGGAATTATTTGCTTGTGTGGATGGAAAATAGTATTCTGGATAACTACCTTGTGATAACAACCTCTGAATCTTGATTTTGTGAATTACCTACAGTGAACAATCATACACCTGCTACTGTTGATTGCAATGTCTGAAGGAACAATTACCATGTCTACAGTACTTAGAACAGGACTTATTTCTGAGTAGGCATGGGATTGTATCTAAAGTGGTGCTACCTGATTCACTCCATAAACAAAATGATTTCTGCTTCAACAATGAAACTCACTCCTTTTCCTCTGCCTAACCCCCTAATCTGCTCTTGAGATTTCCTTAACACTCCAGAGCAGATTTGGGGAGGGCACAGGGTATTCATGGCAGGAGGAGAAAGGGAAGTGCTGTTGCACACACACAAATCCTTGCAGCCACGGAGTGAGTGAACAAGATCGCGCCCATGATTAGGATTGCACCATTAGTGGCTGATCTATATCATATAGTAGTACAGTATCCTCTTAGGGCTATACTGCTGATGACTACACGTAAGGGATTGTATTTTTGAATGCTTTCCCATGTAACCTCCTTGCATGAAGAAAATTAGCACATCAGGCAGAGGGCTAGATGGGAGCTTTTTCCATTGGAAAGTGAATTTGCAGGGAGTTTTGAAGAACACTTAAACTTCATGCGCACATCCTATCTGCAACCTAAAGATTGCCTCTAGCATTTAAAAGGGTTAATGCAGACTGATTCTAAACAGGTTTACTCAGAAATAAGTCTCACTTAGTTACTCATGACCAACATGGAATTACGTGTGCTTTGGATTGTGGGATTCCCCTTTCCACCAGTATCCTGCAGGGAGAAAAGCCTCAATAGTTCTGAATTAGGGTTGTTAAATTTTAGCTTGGGCACTGACTTTTTAATTTTGGGGAAAATTGTTTATTGGCTGCTCCCCCTGCAAATAATAGCACCAATCTCAGTTAGGAACTATCTGGCTGTGGGGAAGGGATTGATCTCGACGTTACAGAATTAACTGAGGAGCCTGATGTTAGTCCACTCTCCAACAGAAATCTCCCTAAAATATAACTGACATAGGTAATGTATACATTAGTAGATCCAAAGCAGCGGGACACATTATGCCCAGGCTTAACCCGAGAAAGTGACCACTAGGGTTTACATCAGAAGTGGAGAATCTTTTCCAGCAAAAGAGCCACAAGCCAGTAGTGGGTGGTGCCGGTAGTAGGTGGTGCCAGAAGCAAAAGATGGTGGAGCAATGAATGCAAATTAAACCTTTATACAATCCTTTCTGCTCTTCATCCAGGCAAGCAAGTAAGCAGTATGATCATACTTCCAAGAACATAATCCTGCCAGACAAAAACGCTTATGGAGGATGCAAAGCAGAGCCAGCAAGGGCTGGGGGAGTTTAGGGAGGGTGTGTGGCCTGCAGAGTCCCAAGGGCCAGATAGAGAGGCTTGGGGGGCACTTTTCACCCCCAGGTCTGATGTTCCCCACCCTAGTTTAGACTATAAACTTGTTTCATTGACAGGGCCCATTCTGGGAATATGTGACGAATCTGAAAAAGAACACCCCCTGAGCATGTGCAGAATGCAGTTAAAAGGGAAGTCGGAGTAAGCAGAGCCAGCCTTGCTTCCTTTATCTGAATTGAAGGGAAAGATTCCCAGGTTTTAAAACTTCAGGCAAGCTTAAACTAAAGCCCTGACAGCTCCTGTTTCCCTAAAGGAAGTATTAACTGTACTTCTTAAATTATCAGAATTCTTTTTGGTGCAATACAGAAAAACCTGGCAGACACACCAATCTTGACATTATTTCAGGTCCCCTATCAGTGCTGCAGCAGCAGATGCACCTGTCAATAGTGTAGAATGCCCAGGACAGATCACCATGCACCTGAATGCAAAGAGACTCAGCACTGTAGTCACAAATCTCAGCAGACCTCATACTCAAAACAACTACCTAACATTTACATACACCTGTCAATCTATTCATTATCTTCTCCAGATTTCATTTTAAACTCTGTAACAGAGAAAGGAGTTTCTAGGTCAACCTTTGCCAATCTAGTGCCCTCTATATATTTTGGACTGCAACTCCCATCATCCCCAGCCTAGGACTGATAAGAGTTGTAGTCCAAAACATCTGGAGGGCACAAGGTTGGCAAAGGCTGCTTTAAGAATAAAAGGCTACAGGCTCACCTTTTGAAAGGGGCATATTTCACAAATGCACAAATTCTACATGGGTATATCCTCTGTACTGAAACTCACATGTACCTTATGTGTGTTCCAAGGCTGCAATATTCTGAAGTTACCAACCAGACAATGTGCAATCTATTAAAAAAAAATGTACTCCAGCATCTTTGACTTTGCTGCAATGCACCCTGGGTCATACTTTTCAGATTGTGTGCTGCTGTCACACTAACTAACTTGTCTTCTACTGGTCTTATGCATATACATGTGGTGGATGCACAAGTTTTGCTCCATGCGCATGCTAGAGGAGGTTCCAGCTGGCAACATGTTTCTGTATATGCAATGAAACAGACATGGGTGCAGCCACACGTTAATAATGTAACTTGTACCTATGGAGCCACAAAGAGGGGAAAGATTTTGCATGTATTGTTATTTCTGTCCACAGGTGAGGGATAAAGAAGAAATATTTCTTTCTCATCCAAATTATCATCATCTGGTTCTGTTTTCAGTAACTATCAAGGCAGGAAACATTTTTACAGGCCGCCTGTACACAGGTACACACTCACTTGCAACAAAAGATTTAGAAGAGGACTAAAGATGCAACCTGTAATCCCAAGTAAACAAAATGTGATATTTGTGACCAGTTAGGATCGAAACGTTATTCTTACTTACCAGGGTCAAAGTTCCATTGAGCTCCAAGGGAGCTCTTACTCCCATGTAAGGGTTGCAGCTTTACTGTAAATAGTTTGAAGCTTGCAACAACAATCTGGGGAAAATAAACATCAGCAGATGTCCCTTATTTTAAAAGGATTATCCCTTATCCCAGGCTGCCCCTTTCTCTCTCTCTCCAGACACAAGACCTCCAGGATGCTGGTGCAATCCAGAATCTGTCCAACAATTGCACTGGTTTTAAGAGAGCCTCATTACCCCCTTGTTACAGCACTTTGGTAAACCTGCACAGGACTGAAACACTTCATGCCCAGCCTCAAACCACGGCTCCCTCTAGCTCAGTACTGCCTACACTGACCGGCAGCTGTTCTCAACGGGGGGGGGGGTTCTCCCCCAGGCCTACCTGGTGACGCCGGGGATTGACCCAACCAACCCCCCAGGCCCCTTCTGCCAGCAGAGCAGGTGCTCCTCCAACTAACAAGCTTTCAGGTCGCAGGCTGCGTCTCCCGTCCCTTTCCTCTACCAGGAAACCAGCAGCCCAGCCCGCTGCTTCCCCCTCCCCACAGCCCCTAGGCTTCCCGGGGGGGGGGGGCGCCGAGAGCGGCCCCTCAGGAAACCGCCCGCCTCCTCAGCGGAAAGACGCCCCGGACACCTTCATTACCTGCTGCTGCTGCCGCCGCCCTGGATTCCCCCCCGGGCTCGGCTCCTTCCTGAGGGAACGCAAGAGGCGGACGCAGCGGCAGGAGCCAGTCGCGCCCTCGACGCTGCTTTTTTTCTGGGGCGGAGGCGGCGAGGAGCTCTTTCCCCGCGCGCTCCACCTGCCTTGGCAACAGGAGTCCTCCCGGCTCAGCCCTCAGCGGTGGGAACTTTGAATGCCGGGGAGCGAAACGACACCAGGGAAACGAAGGGTGTCCGGACTCCCCCCTCCCGCTCCTTTTCCTTTGCTGCGTCTTTTCCTCGCCCAGGAGACGGGCTCCTCTTCTGTGTCCGCCAGCGGGTCCTAATTACAGAGCTTTCTGTGCAGCCTCAGCCGGCGGAGGGAGCCAATGGCAGAGCAAGCCGAGCAGCAGGCAGAGCGCCTGCCCCTCCCTCTCCTCCCAGTTTTCCTTTGCTTTCATTTATGTTAGCTGCTTCCCCCAGTCGCCTTTCGAGGCTTGAACGCCTTCTCGAGATGGCTTCCGCTTGACAGCGAAAAGACAGTCCCACCAAGAGATAAATACGTGAACATGAAAGCTACAAGACGCCCTTCGGATTGCAACAAAGCAGCGGGTTTAAGCAAGCCCTGAAGTCCCAAGTAGCAGAAACTGACACCCGGCAAACGCTTCTTGCAGAAGCATGTACAATAATAAACACTTCAGTTAAAAGCCAGGGGAAGCAGAGGTCTTGGCTTTGTTTTTTAAAAACTTTTATCCAGAACAGTGGCTCTCAAAGGGTGTGCCAGGAGAGGGTAGCAAGTGTGGCAGGAAGGTTCAAGGGCAATCAAAGGAATATTTAAATATTTCAGTATACTATAACAGAGTATCAAAATATTATTTTTATTTCCAGAATATGGATAGATGCCTTTTCAAAATGAGAGCAAGAGCATCAAGTGATACTGAGGACGATCCTAGTTGCGCTTTCCAACGTATTTCTTATCAATAAAAAAATTCAGTGTGGGAACCACGGATCTAGAACTTGGAAGTATTGTAGTTGGAAGGGAGTTCCATGGGATAGAAGCCACCAATGGGAAGGTCCCGTCTCTACGGCTGTGGTAGCTGCAGTGTGACTATAATTTGAGGATTCAGGATTCATCTTATTCCTATAACTGTAATGTTAGAAGGGCATGTAAGAAATCACATAAATAATAATAGTCCTGTGTGATAGGCCATGCTAAGTAAATATATATTGTATACATAAGCAGCAGTTCTTGCCCATAGATTGTTGCAGGAGGGGACACCCATATACAATATGGTGGGCCCAAGTAATCCTGGTGGCATCCCTTTTTCATTGTGCAATATATCATATGTCCCCTGTTTGCCAGTAATTAAAGGAATATGTACAGGGGCTCTATAGAATCCAAAAGTCCTGCATATTTTCTCAAGAATGTTGAGGCAGGCATTATACAGATACAGTTCCCACGAAACTCTTGCTTGCTAAAGAGTAATCTGCTATTTGGGTTCACTGTGAGGTTGGAAATTCAGCCTCGTTATCTCAGTTACCCTCTCTTCTGGACTTTGTTCCATTACCCTGGTGGGCCTCTTTCCCCTTTGTGTATTTTTGGTATGATTAGTATTTCCCTCCAGCATTTCTTTGTTCAATAAGTTAAATGGCATTGTGTGTGAGAGACAAAGCTGAGAGTAAGCATTCAACAGTGCAATCCTATGCATATGCACTCAGAAGTCCCATTGAATTCAATGAGGTTTACACCTAAGAATGAGGGTTAGCAGTCTTTTGCAGCAAAAACAAATATTCCTTGCAACTAGTCCACAAAAAGCTTATGGCTAATAAAATTTGCTTCTCTCTCAAGTGCCACAAGGCTCTCTGTTGTTCACCTAATGTGACCTGCACTACATCTGGCAAGCATTGGGAAGTGGATGAGCTCAAAGAGCTGCTCTTCCTGGGGAAGATGGCCCCATACCTTGGTGGGACAACACGGTAGGTTGTGTGAGGAGCTGCTGGGACTCAGTGCACCTGAACCTCAGGTTGTAGCACCTGTCTATGCAGGCCTTGGACTGACTCCATGCACCCAGTTTACCACTGGATCCTCCCAAATGGGAAGAGGTATAAGGAGAGCTTCCTAGCTCAGTCAGACGGGCTGGACAACAGTATTCCCAAGCTTTAGTATGTTCCTGGATCCTTTGGTCACCTCCACACCAGACATTTAAAGAACATGACTTCCCTCAAAGAATCCTGGAAACTGTAATGCTCCCACCACAATTTCCAGCACCCTTCACAAACTACAGCTCCCAGGATTCTGTGGGGGGAGCCGTGTGTTTTTTACACATGTGGTGTGGATGTAACGAACAAGTCTTGGCTTGTTGAGTGCTCTATCCTCCTGGTTTGCCCTATGGTTCTGAGTACTGGCTTTGCTCCTCAACCCATGGCTCACGATTTCTGGCTCACCTCCTACCACTCCCTATGGCTCAGCCCTGACAGGTGGAGAGGCTTTCTAAGCCCAGATGCTTCAAAATGAGAGGAGGATGTCTGTCTGGGAAGGCTACTGCTTAAGCTTCCTAAGAGCTAAATTAACCCACATAATCCAGACCACAGTGCGCTGTAAGCAAAGAGCAAGAATGAACAAGGTACGCTACCCCAAAGTTAGTTTTTGTGCACAATGCAGAGCTCTACATGTTTCTAGCAGTTGGACTATTGATTGCTGGTCAAAGAGGATTACTACCCTCTTTGATCCGAGTGAGAATTCCTCCATGTATTTTGATCTGCTTAAACCTGAGGGTAGAGGGGTCTCTCCAACATTATTTTTTCATTGGGGTAGAAGCCAGTCAACACTCAGCATTTTATCAGGAGCTCTGGCAATCCCTGATGCTTCCCAGGAATGATGTCCCTTTGCCCCCCCCCCCAATAACTAAGGGTTGGGCAAAACATGACTGAGAGACAAAAATAAGACCCCATACAATATATGTCATAAGTGTATCCAGATTTGTCTTGGAACCATTGAGTGTCTTTTCTTTCATGATGCCTGACCTAATTCTACAGATAGTTCCTGCTAGCCTCTGTTTTTCTTTGCCCATAGTATTTTGTCTTAAGAACTTTGTTCCAAACTTATATTTAAGGACACAGCATAATGAGCATATCTTCTGTAGTGGGTTAGGGCTAAAAATGCAGCAACACTTTCACTTCAGAGGAAAATGTAATTCTTGGGCTATTGCAAAGTCTGACTCATAAAAGTTAAGAAAAAAGACGACTGCATTGATCTTCAAAACCTGGTGCATGTAAAGCATTGGAGGATGTCTCTGTGGAACTGTGATCTAAACAGACATTATTCTGTGTAATCTGTCTAGGCGCTTACTGTGGTACGTGGGTGTAACATATTGTACATTACTATTTTATAATGTTAATTAAAGCTACTGAGGCACTACTAGTGCTTTCTGGCATGCATCAGTGGATGTACTTGACAGTTATAAACAGACATATGGAGCAGGAAAAACAGGGGCACACCTTTTTTTAAAAAACAGCATTCCATGCCATGGGGATTTTTATTTTTTTTGGAGGGAAAACTAAATATTTTGCCAGCACAAACTGTTTTGAGTGAAGGCCCCATGTAGCAGTTGGCAAGAGAGAGTAGAAAGAGAATTATCCATGTTGTGGGTTTTTTGTGTGGTGTTCCATCTGTGTTGGAAGAATGCATGTGAGTTGTTTGACAACTGTTGTGGCATGAGCTGGGCACAGAGCGTTGTGGTGTGCACTCTAGCTGTGCCTCCAAATGTCTTTTCTTGTCTTCACATGCAAAAGGCCTAAACGTAAGCTATTGTTCACAACCTTTGGGTGGGGATAGAAGGAAGGTCTTTCACCCAGAGGGTGTTTCCAAGGTTTCCTCACAACATTGCCTGTCTCAGGGGTGGGCGGACTTCAGGGCAGAGGGATCTTCTTTGTTTGTTTTTTTACTAGAATCCCAAGATCCATCAATTGGAACAAAGTACAAGAGGCGTACAAGGAATCTTGAGCCCATTAATTTTCCTCTGAGCACTAGAATCGAACACACTTTCAGTCCTTCAAAACAAAAATTCATTCCTGGTTACCTACTCACTCCAGTTTCTTCATCTAAGCAGCATAGTATTTTGTGTGTGTTGTGGGGTCATTTTGTTGCTGACATTGTCAAACCATTGTGAGTCAGACATCCTTGTCAATTTACTTCAAATTCCACAGAGATCAGGAGCAGCTGGTGTGCAGGAGCCATCCAACCAGTAGCAGTGTTAGTGGTGCTTAGCTGGATGGGGCAGGCAGGGCAGCAGTGAGGTTAGAGCTACTAAGGCACACCAGCTTAGCCAATCCAGCACTGTTGCTTTTGTGCCTGTGCAGTCCTGACCTTACTACCACCATGCCCCATTCAGACAAGCAGCAGCAACATCCCTGTCAAGAGAGTGGCTTGGCTACACCACCCTTCCATGTCAGCTGCTCCTGAGAGACATACCAAGAGTAGATTCATATCTCCCTTCTATCACCCCCTGCTAAACTACAGTGGTACCTTGGTTTTCGAATGTAATCCGTTCCAGAAGACTCTTTGAGTTCTGAAACGTTCAAAAATCAAATACAGAAAACTCAATACAGCATGGCATGTTCGACTTCCGAGGCGTGTTCGAAAACCATTTACTTCTGGGTTTATGGCTTTCGAAAACTGAAATGTTCGTCAATGGAGACGTTTGAAAACCGAGGTACCACTGTATACCAATGAGTAGAAAATATCACTGAGAGGTGTCATCTTCTATAGCAGAGGTCAGCAAACTTTTTCAGCAGGAGGCCGGTCCACTGTCTCTCAGACCTTGTGGGGGTCCGGACTATATTTTGAAAAAATAAAATAAAATGAACGAATTCCTATGCCCCACAAATAACCCAGAGATGCATTTTAAATAAAAGCACACATTCTGCTCATGTAAAAACACACTGATTCCCGAACTGTCCGCGGGCCGGATTGAGAAGGCGATTGGGCCACATCCGGCCCCCAGGCCTTAGTTTGCCTACCCATGTTCTATAGCTTTTAGCACAGGGATCAGCAACCTTTTTCAGCCATGGGCCGGTCCACCGTCCCTCAGACCATGTGGTGGGCCGGACTTTATTTTGGAAAAACAACAACAACAAAAGAACGAATTCCTATGCCCCACAACTAACCTAGAGGTGCATTTTAAATAAAAGGACACATTCTACTCATGTAAAAACACGCTGATTCCCGAACTGTCCATGGGCCGGATTTAGAAGGTGATTGGGCTGGATCCAGCCCCTGGGCCTTAGTTTGCCTACCCATGCTTTTAGCATCTTGCTGTTAAGCTGTTTGTTTGTTTCCCCCCCAGAGGCGCTTGTTTCAATCTTGCTTGCAAACCTAGGTATATTGTTTGCAGAAAAATGAGTATGAAAACTAAGTTGCGAGCGGTAAACTGCTTACATATTTTCCGTTTCATAATCCTATTTTGTTTATCCACATTTTAAAAAGTCATTAATATCTTATTCTTAAAACATAAAGAAAGGTGCTGCTGCCACTTAGTACTTAGCCCAACAGAATCTTCTCAGTAGCATCCCCTCACTTATGGAATGCCCTCTGTCCCCTTCATTATTTGAATATATATTAATATTCATGCAGGCATTTAATGGTTGTAAGAAAATCTCCCTGCCAGCCTTGAAATTATTTAGCAGTGAATATATTTGATTGTGTTGAAATGTTTGAATTGGTTTCATTGTTTGCTGCCCTTAGGCTACGCTAAGAGGAAGGGTGGGATAAAAAAATAATAATCTATTAACTAAACAAATAATGATGCACAGAGCCACTTAACACACATCCGAAAGCAGTTTGCTCCTGTGAATGGGATGCTTACAGCTGAAGGCTCCCAAGCACAGTAGTATGCATGCAATGGCCTCATTCCCAAGCCCTAATTTAGAACCCTTGTGTCCCACCTTATGCAGTAGTGAGAAGACAGCAGGGAAACTCCAGAAAAACTAGTTTGGGAGAGTAAAGGAGTGGCAAAGACAATCGTTGTGGAAGCAAGGAATAAATTAGGCAGTATAGTATAGAAAATCGTAATATATGGTAGCTGGAAACCTGGAGGAGCAGGAAGTATTTTGGAAGCGACCCATCCTGCCTGCCTAGAAACTGCTCTCCACATGTTCAAAGGCAGTTTTATTATTATATCCACACAGCCAGACATAATGTCATTGCCAACTTATGTCATTTAGAGGCAGGTTCCACAACTGAGCCCTGGCTCAAATGAAGCCCTGCGCATGTAATATGATTGCTATTACTGTATTACATTTATACCCCACTTTTTCTCCATTTTTAGCCTCACAACAGCCCAGTAACCGGCCCAGTGGGTTTCATGGCTGAGCGGGGCTGTGAACTCTGGTTTTCGCCGCACGCTCCCCAGGTTCTAGCTCAGCGCTCTAGCAGCAAAGCCACATTCAGGAGAGGATGGCTATTCTTGACCGCCTGGGTTTGCGTCCGCTACCGACAAGCTTAAACCCTGCGACCCGAGCCATGCGCGCGCAGCTCCCCCTGGCGGCCATTGAGAAAACCCTCGGGATCCCGAACACTAACCGGCTTCCGGTTTGACTTGGAACTTTCATTTTGCGCCGGGCGAGCAGAGCTGCGAGAGCGCAGCGCTTCTGCGCGCGAGCCGGTGGCGCATTAAATTGCCTGCAGTCAAGCGCCGGTTTGGGGGCAGAACGACTGAATTGCAACCCCGGGTGCTACGTCGTAAGGGCGGCGGAGGCAGCGACACAAAAGTCCCGTCGCAGCGCTTTGAAGGACAACCGTGGTGATCCCGGTACTCCCGCTGGCCCCAGCCAACGCGGCTGGTGGTCAGGCACGATGGGAGTCGGAGTCCGTCCACATTAGGAGATCCGCACCTCCAGCCGCGCCGCGCAGCCGCTGCTTCAGGGAATCGGAGAATCATACAATTGTATACTTGGAAAGGGGTTCCGAGGGTCATTTAGCCCAGCCCACTGCCGCGCAGGAGCCTTTTGCTCAACTTGGGTCTCGAACCTACGACCTTAAGATTAAGTGTCTCTTGCTCTACCAACTGAGTAGAGCAGCTTGGAGGCCATTTCTGAGATCAGCCTCCTCGGATGCTTTGTCACCCGCGGAGGAGGAGGATGAGAAGGGCTTTTCGCCGGCAGGAAAGCAACCGCTAGAGTCCCCAAAACGGGCTGATCGGGAAAGAGTTAATCCGCCCCCTTCCTCCCTGTCACTGTGGCCGAGGTCAGCTTCCCAGCCCCTGCCAGGACTACGGACCGAGCGGCCAAGGTGGGCTAGATGTTTCCAAGCACACAAGATTGCTCCTCCGCCGCCGCCTCCTTTCCATGTGGGAATCATAACACAGAATATGGAGAATCGTAGGGTTGGACGTTGGGCGACATTGCAGCTTTTGTTGACAATCCCCTTCCAGCCTTAGCTGCGCCTCCAGTTTACAATTCCAGCAGTGGGCTACCCCGCAGGGTTGTTGCTAGCCATTAGTTCTCAGCCCGTTCCCTAAATCTGCAGCTAACGGAGCTCTTATATATGGCATTTGGGTTGACCATTTTTAATGCTTAAAAATGCATTGCTTTAACAAAGACCACATAAATTTCACACGAAACAAGACCTGAGTTGAGAAACCTTTTATTTTTTTGGAGGGGGGGGGTCACAGGCGGATCCGCCTCCCGCCCTTTGCTTTCTTAATGGCAGCTGTCGCTTTGCCCCGCGAGAAGGGGGGGGGGAGAGAAAGGGAGGGAAATGGCGTCAAAAGCATCCAGGAAGTCCCGTCATTAGACCATGAAATCATCACTCTACTTTTTCCCCCTTTTTACAAAGTCTACGCTGGTGGGCGCTTTCCCTCGCCTGCCCGGCTTGCCTTGGGCCCGGGTCCTCCTGCCGGCGAGTGACGCTCTAGGCTGCGTCCGCCCGCTCGCTGCTCCCAGCGTCCCCGGCCGGAGCTGGACTTGGGGAGAAGGGGCGGCGGCGGCCACTCTGCTCCCCCCGCTGCTGACGGCTCCCTCCGCGCCTGGACAACGCCGCAGGTACGGAATAATCTCCCCTCTCTGCCCCCGGCCAGCCTGCGCGGTATCCCTAGGCCAGGCTCTCGGCCAGGTCCCGGGTCACCCCCTCACCTCCCCAGGACAGCAAGCCTCCCCCCCCCCCCCGCACCTGCCGTATCTCCTCCACAGCCCAGAATTTATTCCCATTATTCATTACTATTATTACCCTCCTTTTCAAGTCATGGCCCCATACATGGGCACCTCGTACGCCTGTTTTCCTCGTGTGCTCCCCTGCAGCCTCTCAGGGGTCGCCTCCCCCCAATAATCTCCCTCCTCCCTTCACCGTCTATCTCCCAGGGTTTGCATCCTTTTTCATGGTTTCTCTTCACCTCTCAGCCATTGCACTATTATTGCCAAGCAAATAACAGTCAAGCAAACACCGTTCCCTCGCATGCAAGTGATGAATCACTGTAGTCGGTGTGCTACCCTGTAACTCACTCTCTGTGACGCTGCTCTCACCCTGCGTCCCTGGTTGTGTGAACGCGTCTGGAGGGTTTTTCCTGCTTTCCCGGACTAAACACTGAAGGCAGTTGCTGGAGCCCTTTTTTTGCATAGCAGGAGTACATTTCCCAGCCCTGCCCAGCAGAAGGGTGGCACTTAGGATGTTCTGCATCTTTCTTCCTTGTCAATCGCCTTGGCTTGCTTTGGCTTTTTATATTTCTTTTCACTCATCTCTTGTGTATTGCTGCCTTTTTCACAAATGCTTTATCGTCGGATGTCAGGACCGACATTGGATGCTGAGCCAGATCCTTGGGTTAGCGGTGCTTTCGTTGACTGGCAGTTGCTCTCTAGGATTTGGAACTAGTTAAGCATGCTAATTTTTCAATGTTTATCAAGAAGCAAGTCCTTTTAAGACATCACAAAGTTTGCATACAGCTGCTCCATGTATAGTGGGAAGGGAAGCTAACCTGTGATGGTTCAGGAGCTCTGAAGAAGCAGAAAAGAACAAAAGGGTTTCCAAAAAAGGTATGGCTCACCGTGCAATCCTATGCATAGCTACATACTCTTAGTGAATTCAATGGGACTTACACCTAGGTAGGTTTATATTGGATTGTTTTGGATTGGAATGATACAAGTGGTACCATTTTCCATTTATATCTGTATTTCTAAATATAGCGGCACTTTTGGGAAACTTGCCTTGATAACTGTGATGAGTGCATTACAGGTGCTAAGTAGTGCAAAGGCCATTGGCTAAAAGCAATAAATATGACTGACAGTCATATCCTAGGCTCAGAATAATTTATGCAAATTAGTCAGATTTCAGGGGTCAGTCTTCCAAATGATTTCTATTTTTTGTCAAGGGTTTTGGTGGCAATAAAGCAGGAAGGGAGGGGAACCAAGACTGGGCGGCAGTAGAATTGGGGTGCAGGTAAAGTATCCAGAGAGTTGTCCAGGGCCCAGAAACTCTGTTACTTTGATAAGCAGAAACTTCACTTATTATTATTTTAATGGGCAAAACTAGATTTGAACGGTATAAAAAATAAGCCACTTGTACATTGCTGAAAACCATTGACTTGGAACCAATTGGAGTTCTCTGTGAGGTGGTTTTAAAAAAGAGAGTTGTGTATCTTTCAGCCATGGCTTTAATGGGAATGTAGTTCTGATTTATAACATGTGCAAATTGAAACTGTACATGTAATGCTACTCTTAGTGTCCAGTAGATACAACCAACATAGTTTCCAAATTTTCCTTGGAGCCATGAGGGTTTTAAACAAAGCCACTGCTTTGATTCTCAACTCCATTTTTTGCAGTAGCTAACCATTAAATCATCAAATTGTAATGTTGGGAGGGACTCTGAGGGTTATCTTGTCCAACCTCCTGCAATGCAGGAATCTCAACTAAAGCATCCGCAACAGATGACCATCCAACCTTTTAAAAATGTCCAAAGAAGGAGAGCCCACCACCTTCTGAGAGACTCCGTTCCACTGTCGAACAGCTCTTACCATCAGAATGTTCTTCCTGATGTTTAGTCAGAATCTCCTTTCTTGTAACTTGAATCCATTGGTTTGGGACCTATCCTCCAGAAAACAAGCTTGCTTCATAGTCCATGTGACAGCCTTTAGATGTTAGATAACCAATTCTGTAATCTTACAAACCCAGAAGAACCCTGAGTATATCCTTCGCTTGTGGTCTGCTTGAGAGCCATATAATTATTTGAAATTATCATTAGTTCAGTGCTAGTGAACTTTATCTGCTTTCACTTTTTGCAAATACAACCAGTGAAACAAGAAAAGGTGGTTCAGTTAGCTATTCAGGTGTCAAAAGCAAATGTGATGTCTTGACATCAGTGTTTGTTTGTGTATAGGCTGCTGGGATCTTCAGTTGATAGAGGGAGCAGTTGTCGCAGGGTTGTTGTTGTTTAGTCGTTTAGTCGTGTCCGACTCTTCGTGACCCCATGGACCAGAGCACGCCAGGCACTCCTGTCTTCCACTGCCTCCTGCAGTTTGGTCAAACTCATGCTGGTAGCTTCGAGAACACTGTCCAACCATCTCGTCCTCTGTCGTCCCCTTCTCCTTGTGCCCTCAATCTTTCCCAACATCAGGGTCTTTTCCAGGGAGTCTTCTCTTCTCATGAGGTGGCCAAAGTATTGGAGCCTCAGCTTCACAATCTGTCCTTCCAGTGAGCACTCAGGGCTGATTTCCTTAAGAATGGATAGGTTTGATCTTCAGGTGAATATTGAAAGATGTATTCAGGAATTGAAATAGGTAGCAAATAAAACACTTAATTTCACTACCATAGATCAACTGACTTTAAGATGTATTTTACATCATTTATTTTCTGAAAAGGATTCATTTATATATTCAGGACAGATTGTCTGTCAAAAAAGAAATTCTTCTCCCACTGGGGGGATGGGAAGTGTCCCCCCCCCCAGAAGTTCCTGGGGAGCATTTTGAGAGTGGGATGGCTCCTCCCATCTTGCAAACCATGGCTAAGGAAACTGGTTTTTGTTAGTGCATTGTAGCATGGAACCATGGTTAATGCTGGGAAGGAAATAAGGAAATTGTTTGCAGGAAACAAATGTTAATTATCTACAAGACTGAAGTGTTTGAAGACAGTTTTTAACTGTATCTTAAAATGAGCAAGGAACTTTGTTGGGTGCTAGACACATAACTGTTGCATACAAGTTCCATAATACAAATTTATGTTTGAATATACTACTGTTTTGACTGATGAGACCTGCTTGTGTTGTTTTTTTTTTTAAATGATATTTATTAAAGTTTCAAAGAAAAGATTACATAGATAAAAAGAAAAGAAAAAGAAAAAGAAATCAAAAAGAAAAAATACAAAATACAGAAAAAAGATAAAAAAACACTTAAAAAAAAACACATCGATCTTTCCATAACTTACATTTCATTACCTTACTTCCCTGACTTCCTCACACCTCCCTTTTTTGTATTTCCGTTCTATTAGTTAATTCAGCAATTCCTTTCCCTCTTTGTTTTTGTCTTAATCCTTTAACTTAATATATTATAACTTTGAATTCTCATCTGTTAACAATCCATTTTTACATACACCTTTATAACATTGCTGCTAAGACCACTTAATTTCATTCTGACATCATTCTAACATTCATTAATTTTGTAGTATTTCTGTAAATAATCTTTAAATTTCTTCCAATCTTCTTCCACCGACTCTTCTCCCTGGTTTCAGATTCTGCCAGTCATTTCCACCAGTTCCATATAGTCCACCACCTTCATCTGCCATTCTTCCAGAGTGGGTAAATCTTGTGTCTTCCAATACTTTGCAATAAGTATTCTTGCTGCTGTTGTAGCATACATAAAGAAAATTCTGTCCTTCTTTGGCACCAATTGGCCGACCATGCCCAGGAGAAAGGCCTCTGGTTTCTTCAAGAAGGTATATTTATATACCTTTTTCATTTCATTATAGATCATCTCCCAGAAAGCCTTAATCCTTGGGCAAGTCCACCAAAGGTGAAAGAATGTACCTTCAGTCTCTTTACATTTCCAACATTTATTATCGGGCAAGTGATAGATTTTTGCAAGCTTGACTGGTGTCATGTACCACCTGTATATCATTTTCATAATATTCTCTCTTAAGGCATTACATGCCGTAAACTTCATACCTGTGGTCCATAACTGTTCCCAGTCAGCCATCATTATGTTATGTCCAACATCTTGTGCCCACTTAATCATAGCAGATTTCACCGTTTCATCCTGAGTATTCCATTTCAACAGCAAGTTATACATCTTTGATAAAATCTTAGTTTTGGGTTCTAACAGTTCTGTTTCTAATTTTGATTTTTCCACCTGGAAGCCTATTTTCTTGTCCAAATTGTATGCCTCCATTATCTGATAATAATGAAGCCAATCTCGCACTTTGTTTTTTAGTTTCTCAAAACTCTGCAGTTTCAATCTATCGAGACCTGCTTGTGTTGTTGCCAGGTCCCCTCTCATTACTCCACTGGGCAGTTGACAGCCTTTTAATCCTAAATATAAATTGGGAACTTTGAAATACAGTGGAACCTCAGTTTTCGAATATCTTGGCTGCTGAATGTTTCGGAAGCTGAACGCCGAAAACACAGAAGTGAATTCTTCCGTTTTCAAGCACGCCTCGGAAATTGAATGGCTTCTGAGGCATGTTTCTCATTTCCCCCCATTCACTTTGCTGACAGCTCTTTATTCCTCAGTTTGTGAACATTTTGGAAGTCGAACGGTCTTCTGGAATGGATTAAGTTCGAAAACCGAGGTTCCACTCTATATAGATTGCCCAGCATTTACACACCTGAGTGCTTAGTGCGGATCACTGTCTGTTTTGTTTCCTGTACGTTGTTTGCCTTCAGGTATGCTGCTCTATATTAGAAATTTGATTTACTTTTTATAGGAATATGCATTACAGATTTACATTCTCTAAGACTGGTAGATCATTAATTTTCTTTAGATTAAGACCAGCTTTTCATTTTGATCCTGGTTGTACACACACACACACACACACACACACACACACATTGTGAAAGCCTGTTATACTTTAAATTTCATTTTAATTTTCACTTAAAACCTACTTGATATGCTTTGTATGTTGTTGTGTTAAGATAATTTTACAGCAGGCTTTATGTCTGAGGCAAGTTTCCATATATTAATTAACATGATGACAGAGAAAAGGGAAGTGTATCATTCTGAAGGCACTTCCTGTTGCATAGGTTGAGCTCTGTTACGATGCAATGGTAACTCTTTCCTGTGCAGATCCCTTGGGAAATAGCTGCCAGTAGAACAATTTTAAAGTAGCAATCACCTGTAAATATTTTGTGCTGAAGCAACTTAGAGGTTTAAATAAAAAGTAACATTTTGATACGTTTTATCAGCTTTCAGTTGTGACGCCACATCCCTTGATGTTTTTAGCGATGAATCGGCTAATTTTTTTCAGTAGAGTTGATAATGTTTCACTTGAAATTCATTAGCATGTCACAACCCTACTTTTCCTCCTTACATGCTAGGTTGAGACTGGTGCGCTTTGTACATGACGCCACTGTGAAAATATTCTGAGTCATGTTCAGGGTATAACCTGAAGAACTTCTCTGTAAGATACAGTAGTGATGTTTGTTGTATATTAATTGGTTACAGAATGTTTGGCACTTCATGCCTGTGCAAAGGAAATATAATTTACAGCCAAGCCAGAGGCAGCAGGAAAAACAGCCAACAAAAACATGGAAGACAGGTGAGCTTCCAGAGGATGGAAAAAGGCAGGCACTATTCCTGATGATAAACCAAGACACTTAATTTTCATCTTAATTTTTTGTAATTAATCATTTTACTGAGAGCAGGAGGAGTTTTCAGTCACGGTCAGGAAGTGGAGCAAATCACTCAAGGAATTTCTGGAATCCAGAGCATTAGGGAATTCTAAAACTCTGGTTGATAAAAATGATCTTATGATCCTCTTTAGACCTCAGGTGTGTTGTAATTTCTTGAATGACTAAGTTGGCTTGTCTACATTTTCTCACTTTTACTAATTTGCTTTGCTGAAATCCCATTGCTCGTTTATTAAAAATTACCCACCATATTCCACACTAGTCTGTGTGTATTTCTTACTTCTCAGTTCTAATTGGCTTATGGCTTTCAAACTTTCTGCCTGGTTGAAATGCTTCCCACATCAACCTCTCTGCCAAGGAACACCTGCACAGGATTTTGGGAAGCTTTGTGAGAGGGACAAACTCAGTTCATAAGGGACACTGGAGAAGACTATTAGACCTCAAGGTTGCCCCATGAACTGTGCGTGTGCCCTTAAAGACACCCAGCACATTACAAGGGGAAATCAGTAGTAATGGGAAGGAAGTTTTTCTGTCACTACTGGTCTTTTCCATTGCAAGAACTCCTGATACACTTCTTAGGAACCTCCGTTGTCCCCCAAAACGTGTTTGAAAAACCACTGCTTTGTGCGAAGGTCATTCAAAAGTATGTGTTATCTGAGCTTTAGACCATCTACTAACTTATTTTATACAAATACTGGGCCAAAATTATGTGTGTATACCCCATATTTTAAATGAACGATACACAAATCATCTGGGTGGTGTTAACCCATCTGAGTAAAGGCTATTGCCTATAAGGATTAAAAAGTTAAAGGGACACCTGACCGTTAGGTCCAGTCGCGGACGACTCGGGGGTTGCGGTGCTCATCTCGCTTTACTGGCCGAGGGAGCCGGCGTACAGCTTCCGGGTCATATGGCCAGCATGACAAAGCCGCTTCTGGCGAACCAGACCAGTGCACGGAAATGCCGTTTACCTTTCAGCCGGAGTGGTACCTATTTATCTACTTGCACTTTGATATGCTTTCGAACTGCTAGGTTGGCAGGAGCAGGGACCGAACAACAGGAGATCACCCTGTCACGGGGATTACTTCTGCAATAACTGCTTGATATATGGGTGTGGGCCAACCTCTATGGAAGGTGTTCAGCTGCAGCTTGGCTGCCTGAGACATGTAAATGAAGGAAGCCACAACTTAAGATCTATTAGCAGAATTCTGTATATGTCTACTCAGAAGTCCCATTGAGTTCAGTGGGGCTTACTCCCATGTCAGTGAGTATAGGATTACATTCTAAATTGCCTAAATATGAGGCAATCATGTTTTCAGGGTTGAGTGCATTTTAAAGTAGCAATTGAAAATTTCACTTTTATCAAGTATCCGTGTCCAAATGGATACAAGAAAAATGTATTTTATATTATTTATAGTCTCTAAATTAGTTAGATCTCCTTTAATCAGTCAACATGGTCCAATAGTAGTTTTATTCAAAACACTGATTTGTCAGAAGAGGAAGAGAAATACTAATTGCAAAAAAACGAGCTGACATTATGCTGTAAATTGTTGTACTCAACTATGTTGAGAATGCTATCCAAATAAAAATGCATGTGAAAAATACCACTAGCTTTTAGCCCCAACCCCCAGTCATAACCCAGACAGTTAAAACTAAAATAGACAATCCTTAGGGCACAAAGGTTTAGTCACTGGAAGGGCACCCCAAGAGCCGTAGGTTTTTGTGGATAGTCCTATCTGTGGCCAGAGAGAGGTCTGCCCTTGGAAGTTCCCTTCCAGCCTTCACAAAAAGGACCACTGCCAATGCCTTTTACTGACAGTGGAGAAGGCATGAACAGTTTTTTCTTTTTTTGGGGGGGGGAATCAAAGGATGCTGACGGATCCAAAACCCTTCTGGTACCCCTGAGGAGGTGGGGAAGAATGCCAGCCCTGGCATTGGCATATATATTTCTCTCTCCTCCGACCACCCAGCTTCTACCCTGACTGGTGTGAGACCAGTAAAACTCTGCACAGACCTGCCCTCATTGAATTGCTTTGTCTGTAACTATTAGAAGCCAAAGTGATGCCTCGAATGCACTTGTACAGAGAACAAGGTGTCTGCTCCTAAATGGCATCTGAACGTATGAACAAACCCTGCCTGATAGAACAAAATGGAGCACAACATCATTTCACTCTGGATTCCTGGGTCATTTTCCAAAGGCAATTTCTTTTCTTGCTTTTATGCAAAGGGTCATAGTGAGAAACTGAATTAAGGCTAGAACATAGTAAAGGTGAAAGTGATACTGTTGCCAATCCAAGCGTTCATTTTAGGGTGAATTGCTATCCATCGTATTCTGATAGATGAACTTTTAAAAGTGATGACAAACCTTACTGATACAATTTTACTTTACAGTAAATAATAAGCAACCCTTAAAAATTGTGATAACAAATAATGCAAATTCTGAATGCGGCATTCTTTTAAATATTCTTTCTGTTTCTCTTGATTCCGTTCTCTGTATCAGGTGAAGGATGGCACAGTTCCTCTGAAGCTGTAGGCAACGTCTTGACATCCTGGTTACCATGACACCCAGTAGAGGACTGTGGGGGGAAAGTGGGAATTCCTCCCCTCCCCTTAAATGCTACTAATGGCCATGGCTGGGTAAGGATTAAGCAAGGCATTAAGATTCCAGAGCTTTATTTCCTCATTTATGTTTCATCTCTGAAATCCTACCCTAAGGTTTGACAGTACTCATGGAATAATTCTCATGGAATAATTCTAAATATAGAAAGCAATTAAATTGTCCCCAAATGGTTGTGCCATTGTTTTGGTCTTTTCCTTAGCATGGATGGAATACGAACATTCCTCAATTTGAAAATAATCACACTTGCGAAACACAAATTCCCTTGCAGCCACTCTGTGATGCTGCACACATGGAGTGACATTAATTCTGAAATGTTTCCAAGGTTTGGCAGAAGGGAGGTGGCTTGTGTTTTGCTTTTCTTCAAGCTGTGTTTGGAGGGCTGGAAATCTTTTTCTCCTTCCATTCTAGGATTTGCCCAGTGTGCTGACATCATGGGGAGTTGCTGTAGCTGCCCATGCAGAGACAGTGTTCCAGATCACCACCCCACCAAGTTTAAGGTAACATGCTTATTCATCCTATTCAAAGTGTTCTACCACTAGAATTATTCAAAGTTAGTTAAGGCACACAAAACTTCATGCCGTCAAGGCATTAAAGTAGTTAAGAGCAGCCATTTCTACAAAGGAGACAATAGAAACCCTTCTGTAGTTTTGCATTGCTACCCCTTGAGTTTGGAAAGGTTCCTGTTCTATGTGTGTTTTATTTGGTAGTAGTGCAGAGCTCATGCCATTCAGCTTCCCAGTTAAGTTGCCTCTTAGTAGATAATAAAAAGCAAGGAAAGCTATCTTGGTCCATAAGAAAAATACACCCCAACACACATTTGGCTTACTATCTAGCCTAATGAAGAGTTATGAAGAATCTGAAAGCTTGCTCGCTGTTTTGTGACATTTTAGTTGAACCTCACTCTGGCTCTTGAAATTACTTATGAGATCAGTCACTTTAATGGCTCATTCCACTCAGTAGTTTTAGTTATTAGGCCAGTGTTGGGTAGTAAGTCTTGGGTTAGCTTGTAATAGGGATATAGCTTGAGTACAAGTATAGCCATTAATAGAGGCAGGAGTCTCTTGGGGTATAGAATAACAACTCTTGTGCCTAAAATCTTGTTGTGGACTGGGCTAGCAGCCTCCAGGTACATTGGACTGACTGGTATATTTCCCTGACAGCAAAGTCATCCCAAAAGAATTTCACCATTCTACAAGAGCCAAAGTAATTGTATCAAGGAGATATTGTTGGGACTGTGTTTTGCTATGCAGACACAACCTGTTTGAATATTGTTTTATATGGTATTTGTTCTGCCCACTAAGGTGCTATTTGGCATAATGCCTGGAGCTCCTGACGACAGGTTTTGGTGTTTCTGCAGGTGACAAATGTTGACGATGAGGGCAACGAGCTGGGCTCGGGGATTATGGAGTTGACACAGAGGGAGCTTGTTTTGCACACACACAAACGTGATGCTGTTCGGTGGCCATACCTCTGCTTGCGACGCTATGGCTATGACTCCAACCTCTTCTCCTTTGAGAGTGGGCGCCGCTGCCTGACTGGACAGGGTATGTGCATTTCTCAGCAGGGACAGTGGCTTCAAAATGTTCTTGCTACAGAAGGCTAGGCAGTTGGGATAACAGCGAATTTCTCTCCTCATGGCATGCTGTAAATCTGATCCTTGTGCAGAAACCATTCTCTCCTCCTGTAATATACAGGGCAAATTTTCAGTACCACCTTCTGCTAAATGTTGATTATGATCATTTGTGGATACAGTGAGACTCGGGACTTTGGGATCTGTGCTTTGCTAAACTGTGAGGTCGCTCAGATCGTTCAGTTACTGGCATTCTGATAGCAGTTATACAACTTTTAAAATATGTCTGATAATTGGATATTTTTAAATTTTAAATTTACTATTAAATGGATAATAGTGAGACAGTCAGTTAAGTTTTAATATAATTGAAAGCTGACACCATATCATAAGAAGATCAATTCTGCCCTGCTGGGTCATATCAAAGGTCCATCTCTAGTCTCCATAGGCGCCCAGCCAATATTTTTGTAGTAATAGAAATTAGAAGGGAAAATGGTCACTAGCAGAGTGCATAACCCCTGCTGCAATATCCCTTGATATTCCTTGAGAACCACATGCAAGGGTCTCTTAAGATATGCTTTAGATACATGACCAATCCAAACCAAGTTCTCCTGAGTAGCCATGATTGGCAAGTGCTATTGAAACCATGGTTTGAACCTCTGTTTTAACTAAGGAAACGACTTGTTTTTGTGGTTTGTGTTAATGCACATGCTATATCAGGGCCATCTTTAGCATATGTGGTGTCGGGGTGCAAAGATCCGCCCAGCATCCCCAAATTACCATATTTTCCCGTGTATTAGATGAGGTCGTCCTATACACGGATAGTGTGTGGTTGGCGGGCGCATCTGGTTGGCGGGCGCACAACTCTCTCCCATGGCGCTGCGGGAGGAAAGCGTTTCCTGCAGAGGCTTGTGCACCCACCAGCCATCTGGCGCCCCCCAGAATTCGGCACCGGGGTGCCCTTCACCCCTTGCACCCCCGGGTAAAAACGGCCCTGTGCAATATGATACTATGGGCTATGTGGGGGAAGGGCAGGGATGATGGTTGACTGGGGTGGATCGTGCTGTGGTTACTCTGGCTTTCTCCCAGCTTGCAAACCATGGTTTGTTCAGGTGCCAACTTCGGTTTGTGCCAGCAATTTGTGTCTGCATTACCCAATACATAATGATGAATCACAAAAAATGTTCAAAGTGCTGTAGTTAGAAAGCCAGGTTTCATATTCACAGGCTGTAGGCCCTGCTGTTTCCTTGGACCTCTCTACACAAGTGTGTGCTTTTGGACTTATTTGCATTTCCCTTCTTTTCTTTATTCCCCTTCAAGTTTTGTTTTTTTAAAACAACAAAAACAACAACAATAATTTTTTCTTTTCTTTGCACGATCCTTGCCTTTATGCTGGGAACAATAAGGCAGAAACAGAGTAGGAGTTATTTGGGTTTTGTTTTTTCGAAAACCGAGAACATATTCCTTCAGAATAGCAGCTGTTGTTGCCATGCTCTTGTCCTGGTTGCTATGGTTTTTTTGTGCGTGTTTGTGCGTGCCGATGTCCAATTGGTTAACTCAGTATAGTCAGACAATTGATAGAAATATTTATGGGGGAAGGGGAGGTGTTGGCAGTTTGATATACCATAAAAATGGGGGTCCCTCCCATTCGTGTACCCATTTCAGTTCATGCTGGTCAATAAGAAGTCAATGAGAATGATCTGGTGGAAAGGATATAACTCCAAAACTGAGCTGGCAAATGAAATGGAAAATGGCATGTTTTGCTGTTCATGCCTTACCTCTGCTATTACAGGCTTACCGTGCCCAGCACAAGCCTTATTTTGCTACTTCTTTACTCGTTCTCTCTTTGTCACCTTTTGTCTCCCTCTTTTTAACTGGGATATAGAAAGGGGCAGGATGAGTGGATAAGAGAAGGGATGGAATTGTTGAGAAAAAATATATTTCAATTTTTCATCAAAACTTTTTAGGAAGACATCCACCACCCTAACATTATAATAAAATGCCTCATTTATGCCAACAGTTCTGGATTGTGCTCTGATCGCGAAGAGAATTCTCGCTTTCTGTGGCAGAGGAATGTGTTTAAACAGGTTCAATGTATTCTTCACTGTCAGAATAGTGTAACAAGCTGGTCAGACCATGACTTCCCCTCCCCACCTTTTTCTGTCTGTCTCTGTAGCTGTAAATAGCTGCCTGCAGAGAAAAATGTACAGCATTCAAGGAGCTTCAACGACAAAAACCAGCCTTGTCTCTCATATGAAGTGTTCTTTCTTCGTTTTGCAAATAGCGTGCTTGCAGATTTTCAGAAGGCTGTGCTCTGGTGGCCTCAGCATGCAAACATCAGGCTGGTGACAAGGAGCAGGACTTTTTCAATGCCTCTGGAACTCTCTCCTCAAGGACATTGGTCTGCAGTAATGGACAACACAGAGGGGGCATGCCATTTACCCAACCTTTCTCCATCTGAGTCGCTGCTGGGATGAAAATGGGGAGGGGCAAAGTGGCTGCAAGGTTGGTGTGGTGCAAATCCAGTGCTCCTGCTGACTTGTTTGCACCACTCCAACCTCATTGCCACCTTGCGCCTCCTTTTCTCTGTCCCCCAATTTGCAGCAGCAATTTGGCTGGAGGGAGGTAAGGTAGATGATGCAGCTCCACTGTGCTGTCCACTACTACCTACCTGGCCTCCTTGAATTTACTCTTTAGGCAAGTGAACAGTGGAATCATAACTATTTTTAAAGGACTTTGGTTAATTTTAATGTTGCTAGTTTTCTTTTCTTGGATTAGTCAATGGTATTTGATTTTAATTTTTATGTGTTTTTATTATATAGAGACACTATTCTAAACAACTTTTATATTATTTATGCAATGACAACATATAAATATATTCATAAATAAATAAGATTTTAATTGATTTACAGGTACATTATAGCAGGGGTGTGCTGATGTCAAATTTGTCAGATCTACTTTGCTTTTTTCTAAAACCATAAGATCTCCCATCTAGAGCCGGTAGCAAAAGACACATTATTAGAACAACATGCCTCTGATCACATTCTGAGTGTAAGGATCTTCTATCACACCAGAACTAAACTGAGCACCTTTTAACATAAAAGTCAAATCCTGGTTCTCTTTCTTCATTTCAGCTGCCTAATTTAGGTTGGGAATCAGAAACCTCTTTTGATCTACTGTAGATCACCCCAAAATCTACCAGTACATCCTGATCTACCTTCTGCCTGCATGGTGTAGTGGTTAAGAGCGGTAGACTTGTAATCTGGGGAACCGGGTTCGCGTCTCCCCTCCTCCACATGCAGCTGCTGGGTGACCTTGGGCTAGTCACACTTCTCTGAAGTCTCTCAGCCCCACTCACCTCACAGAGTGTTTGTTATGGGGGAGGAAGGGAAATGAGATTGTTAGCTGCTTTGAGACTCCTTAGGGTAGTGATAAAACGGGATATCAAATCCAAACTCCTCCTTCTCCTTCTTTATATTGCTTTTTTATGCTGTAAGATATCTAGGGGGCCTAGCTTCAGGCCCAAGGATAGGGTTATATATTTAAGTAAGTAAATATATTTACTTAATAGCCATGTTATGGCATGCCCTAATGGCTCTTCTAAGACAAGATGCCTTTTCAATCTCAGGTGTTTCGATTTTGATTTGCAGTTTAATCCAGATGACTCTATCCATTTGGTTCCTACGATTCTTTTATTAATTCCTATTAAATCAGTTCCCCCACCACCAACCCTGCCTAACTCTTAGCACTGGCATACGTGCCAGTAAATTTCATTGCATTATGTAAGTATCTTCCGTGTGGAGACCCAGTCTGCATGGCATTAAAACAAATCTTCCTCTTTTCTCCAACACTCTTGATAATTTGCCTAGGAATTTTTGCATTCAAGTGCTCAAGAGCAGAGGAGATTTTCAACTTGCTGCAGGAACTGATGCAGTGTAACAGCATCAATGTGGTGGAAGAGCCTGTTGTCATCACAAGGAACAGTCATGCTGCTGAACTGGAACTGCCCCGGACACCCCAGACACCCAATAGTAAGGTCATCTCTCAATTTGTCAGACAGGGGAGTGGGGGTGTAGAGTTGTGTACTAGCTTTATGGCATCAACCACAGTTTGTTCCAGTGAGCAGGGAGGTGGAATATTTGTATGAGGCCAAACTGGCTTTTTCAAGCCTTCCAGTAGGGCCTGTGAAAGGCCCAAGAGTGTCCCTGCCTTTTGTACAATCCCCAGGGGATTTGGCACGATCAGTGTTTGGTTGGAGCTCAGCCGTTCCACTGTAAAGAGCTTATAGCTGAGGCCAGAAGGCCAGTATACCAGAACCTAGTCTTCTGGTGGGCATTGCTGCAATGCTAGCTACCATATACTGGGAAGGTGAAGCAGTGAAGCGTATGCCATGGTGCAAGTGCACTAGCGGAGCCAATCCAGTTCTCTTATTATTTTGCTTGCACGATGCCAACATGCTTCCCCCTCTCCCTTTCCCTCTTGGTAAGCAGCAATAACACACCTGTCAGGAAGGTAGCTTTGCGACTCTGCCCTACCAGGCAAGCTGTTTCTGCAGTCTACTTCTCCAGTGTAGCCCTAGCACTTGTGCCCATATGTCCTGTATGGTATGCTTACTGTAATGTCTTAAGTTTTGTGCTCCCTTGTTTCCAAGGCAACTATTTAAAACAGCAGTTGTCAGATCGTGTTTTGAACTTCACTGCAATTTCCATCAGAATCCATCCAAGCTACTGTAGAAAGCTTGCCTGGAATCTTTAGATTCTTGATGTCTGTATTGGGTTGAGAAAGAAAGTTTTGCTCTGTGCTTGGATTTGGCTTAGGAATTTCTACATCTCTACGTTTTGCCACAGGTAGCCATATGGTTTGGTTTATAAGCAATATCCTTACAGTGGAGACCATCACTGATCGATCTACTTCTGCTAGCCTTTTGCTTGTTTATATTTTGCAAATGTGTACAGGATATTATCTAAGGCTAGTTTGGAAGCTCTGCTAGATGTGCTCATGCTCTAAGGCTGATCTCCTCATCTTTCTCCAGCTCTCGGATATACAGTTCCAGGGTTTCCCAACGGATTCCACAGCTTCCCTGTGGAGGCCCCATCCTGCCCTGCTGCCAGACACGCCTCCATGAGCAGCCTAAGGCATTCCTCAGTTGGCGAGGACTCCACACATGCCCTCATTGTCCCTGATGAGCAAGTAAGTTCTCCTTATGGTCAAGGTGGTTGGAGGCTCTGGTGCAATTCCGAAAATAGGGCCCACCTGCCCCCGCAAAAGGAATGCAAGGAATAAGGTAGCTCAAAATAAGTCATGTGGTATTTTAAAGACTAATGCATTTATTACGGCAAAAGCTTTCGCAGACTAAAAAAATAACTTGTGGAGTTTCTCAGCTCTCAGCAAAACCCAAACATTATTTTTTTTCCCAAGCTTGATAAACAAAAATAAAATACTCTGAACATGTGCAGTCTCACATTTTAAGTGCACTAAACACATCATTGTTTTTGCTTACTTCCTGCCTTGAGCCAGTCATCTATTCTCAGCCTTACCTATATCACATAGCTGTTATGAAGATATAGAAGGTGGCAAAAGGAGACACTGTACTTGTATCACAGGCATCAAACTTTGGTTCCTTTCAACCAGAGTGATTTATCTTTATACTATAACCGGCTGTATTTTTTCTGCCTCCCTGCCTGACTATTTCATGATAAGATGCATGAGTCCTACCTGGATTCATTTGTAAATTGTGAATTCATTAATTCTGTGTTCACAGTGAGTAGTGCAAGGTGAATGAAAATACAAAGAAAAATAGAAGTTAAATCAAGGATTTAAAAAATAATAATGAGAATTTTGATTAGTTGAGCTGTGTGATGAAAACGAAAATGAACAACCCTTTCTGCTTTGTGGGAATTAAATCTAAACCTTTGTAGTCATTTATGTATAAGCTAGTACGATCCTAGGCATATTTACTCAGAAGTAAGCCTTGCCGTGTTAAACAGGACTAATTCCATAATAAGTGTATTTAGGATTGCAACTTTCTAATCAAGTTTACCTTCACTTTTGAAGGTAGTCATTTTAAGCTTAGTACGTGGTAAGTTGCTTCAGGGAGGTCTCATGCCACCTAATGGCAGAGATAGGGAACTTGTGGCCCTGCCGATGTGGTTGGACTACAACTGCCACTATTGATCAGGCGGGCTGGGACTGATGGGAGTTGGAGCCAACATCATCTAGAGCAGCCTTTCTCAACCTGTGGGTCCCCAAATGTTGTTGAACTACAACCCCCATCACCCCTAGCTAGCAAGGGCAGAGCTCAGGGATGATGGGAGTTGTAGTCCAACAACATCTGGGGGCCCACACGTTGAGAACCACTGATCTAGAGGCTACAGGTTCTCAATCTCTGCTTTATGCTTACTTTGCCTCTCAGACCCATTACTGCAAGTCCCTCCTCTTCTGAAAGCAGACTCTCCTCCAGCCATGTCAACACCTCCAGGTGTATGTATAGGTTTGCTGGCAGTTGTTCTCCTCTTTGCCACCTCCTCATCCATCTTCTCTCCTTGCAGTCCCACACCTATGTGAACACAACCAGCGGTGAGGAGGAGATGAGGGGCCGCCACTGCATGCACTCCTTGCCTGAAGTCCACCCTCCTGTTTCCCATCCCAGCCATAGCTGCTCGCTAGAGGACCGGAACCCCCAGGTTTACTTACAGCCAGGGGAGGTGAAGTTCATGTTGGGTCCTGCCCCTGGGTACAGGCACATGATGAAATGCGACGGCTTCTGCCGGCCCCACTGGGAGTGCGCAGGGCATATGTGCACCCCCAACAACAACAACAACGAGTGCAAAGACGAATGCCTCACCCCCAAGTACGTGTACGAGAACATCAACGGCCTCCTGCCGTCCCGAGGTGCCTTGCTTCGCCGGGGCACCAGGCGCTTGAAAATTGCCCGTGAGGATCTGAACCCCCCCGGCTGCTCTCACCGCCGGGCCACCCTGCTGCACTACGAGAACCTGCCTTCGCTGCCGCCCGTGTGGGAGTGCCAGCCGCTAAGGCAGGACCAGGAGGAGGAGGAGGACTCTGGCGATGCAATGACGCCTTCCCCTAACGGTTACCCGGAACTCGAGGAAGACGACCCTTTGCAAAACTACATGAACTCGGAAAGCGCTGTGCTGCAGGGGGGCTTGCGCAGGGGGGGCTGCTTGCAGCGGCGCCGCAGCTGCACGCCCAACGTCTTCAATTTTGATTTCCGCCGGCCCTGCTCAGAACAGCCGAGGCAGCTCAACTACATCCAGGTGGAACTGGAGGACGACCCCCACAAAGGGTGCCGGAGCACCCCGGTCCCCTGTGCCTCACGTTCTGCCGCCCACCCAGCCCGCAGGACGGATTCCTATGCGGTCATTGACCTCAAAAAGACAGCAGCCATGTCCAGCCTGCAGAGGGCGCTGCCTCGGGACGACGGGACTTCCAGGAAAACGCGGCATAACAGCACTGACCTGCCCCTCTAGGAGGAACGGCCGACCTGAGCACCGCATTGTGGCTTCACACCGGCTCTTCAACTAATCATCGCATCATTGCCATTTTCCCATTGCTCCTCCTGTTTCCCAGTGCGACTCACTGGGATGGCTCCATCAAGCTAATTTGAGAAATGTAGCCTATTTGTGCCTCTTCCCAGCCCCCCCATTTCTCCTGCCGTGTAGTTCTTGAAGTCTTGCCAAGTGTTTGAAAACTTGACTTGTTTGATAGCAGGGAGGGGGGAGCATTAGTGATCAGTGCTACTTGTTCTCCCCTCCCCTGCCCCTTTATATAGGAATCATGTTTGGAAAGCCTTCCCGTTTTCATTGGATCCTCTTGAGGATCCTGCTGACAGAATGTGGGGTTTTTATGTAAAGCAAAGGAATATTTGTGGAGGAAGAAACACCTCCAAAAAAAGGTAGGGCATGAGGGCTAGAAAGTTTATACCTTTTTATTTTTGAACGAATGCAGAAATATATTTATTTTTTAAATCCATGTTAATTTTATTTATTCATTTATTTATTTTTCTGGGAGGTGGGGTCTCCCTTTTATTTATTTACTTATTTATTTAATTTATTTATTTATGTATGTCAAGAGTTGAAGTGCCAAGTAAATATAGAGTATAATGACTTTGTAGTTCATTCCTCTTTTGTGACAGTGGGGATGGGGGAGGTCGTGTGAGGAGGATTGCACCCCCCCCATGCCAATTGAAGGCCAAATAGTGGCAGTAAGGAAGGAAGGGATTTAGTTTAGCGGACTAGCACAGCTCCTCTGCAGAAGTTTGGAAATGAACGCAAGGATGGTCCTAGCACCATGTACTTACAAAGTTGGCTCCACATGCCGACAAATCTGATCTCGTAGCTCAAGTTCCTTTCTTCTTATTGGGTGTAATACACATCTCTCCACCATTGCAGCAAAAAAGAACCGTGGGACTGTAAATTGCCAACCCCTAACAAAGCCCCGGGACGCGGGTGGCATTGTGGGTTAAACCACTGAGCCTAGAACTTGCCGATCAGAAGGTCGGCGGTTCGAATTCCCGCGACGGAGTGAGCTCCCGTTGCTCGGTCCCTGCTCCTGCCAACCTAGCAGTTTGAAAGCACGTCAAAGTGCAAGTAGATAAATAGGTACCGCTCCGGCGGGAAGGTAAATGGCATTTCCGTGTGCTGCTCTGGTTTGCCAGAAGCGGCTTAGTCATGCTGGCCACATGACCTAGAAGCTGTACGCCAGCTCCCTCGGCCAATAAAGCGAGATGAGCGCTGCAACCCCAGAGTCGGTCACGACTGGACCTAATGGTCAGGGGTCCCCTTTACCTTTTACTGACAAAGCCCCTAACAAACTTTTCAACACTGCCTTGCTAGTAGCTCTGCAGAAACTTCCCAAAAGCCAGCCTTCTTATAGTAGTGCTAGGGAGGGATGTGGATTTAGATGCAGCTCACTCTTTTGCTGGTGTCCTTTGGAACTTCTCTCCCTCCACCACACCTGATTGTGCCCATCTTTCAATTCCAGCAGCCTTACTGACCCCCTCACACTGCTTCTTTGAATACTTTGGTGGATCCCAGCCCACCTTTTTTGGATAATCGGAGTCTAAATAGAGCTTTTTGCATAACTTTATTGACAAGCACGGCTTTGTTTCACTGTGACTGCCAGGGCTGGTTTAGACTAAAAATAACCCTACAGTAGGGAATGTGATTGTGGCCATTTCTTTTTGCTGCTGCAGTTCTTCCCCCAGAGGTGGCTTTTCCGGAGATAACTGCAGCACCTTACAGTCCTGAGAAGCTGTTCAGCTTTATGGACTTTGTGGCCCTGAAGCCATTGGGAAAGCTCAGTATGTCTGAAGCCACTGGGAAAGTTCAGTAAGCTAAACAAGAAGGTATTTTAGAACTTCTGGAAGCTGCTTCATGGGTACTTTTTCTTAACTATTGGATTGCAGACCACTATTCTGAGTTGTTTCTTTTTTGTCAGTCCCCATATTTTCATATTCAGAGGGAAGGGCCCTTAGCTCAGTGGTAGAGCTCATCCCTTGCAAAGCATCAGTCTGTGGCATCTTCAGGTCGGGCTGAGAAAGGTTTTGAGAGCCGATACTGGCAAGTCCGAGCCAGATAGACTGATGGTCTGATGGTATACAGCTGTTTCCCATGCTCTTATATCCTACAGCTTCCCTGTGGGAGGCTGTGTGAAAAGCTTATAAATTTAGGCCTGTGCACACACTGCTGTTTCCTCTGGCTCCAGTGCACTCCATGTGGCGTTAGCCACATTGCACATGCATCCTGTGCTTTCCCAAGAAATGCCTCTGTTTGATGTGTTTCTCTTCAAATCATCTTCCACCCAATTTGGTTTAAGCTGAGATGTGCACAGTTCAGACAGCCGTTGCGCATGCGCAGAAGACAGCACGTGCGCAGATGACTGCTTCCTGGAATAGGAGCCCAGAGGGGTTGCAGGCATAGGGAAAAACAAATCAAGCACCACACATTGGGTGATGGCACTCCTGCCGCTGCTCTGGTGTGTACAGGAAGTGTAAAGGCAACTTGAAATGCAGCAGGGGAAAGCCACTTTGCTGTGTCTTAAGCTGCTCCTGCCTACGGACCCTCTTGCTCCATACAAGCTATTGTTCCCCTGCTCACTCCCCTTTGAACACCTTGTCTTTCCCACCTCTGTGTGAATACAGCCAGTGAAAATGTTTGTCAGTCACTGTACTGGGATTCGAAACTGATTCTAATATCGCAGCTGCCACGTGAGAGGTCACCTTGGAAGGCTTGCATGGGGCGGCTGCTCCACGTGGCTTCAGCAGGGCAGATGACCGCAGTGGCGATGCCCAGTCTTCAGGATTCCCCCCCTTGTTGCATCCATTGCGGTCTCGTGGACCACAGTTTAAGAACCACAGGTGTAGGGGGAAGGGGATCCCACAATTAAGGTGGACAGTCTAGTCAAGAAGCTGCTTGGATTTATCTTAAAGATAACAATGGAATGCAGAGATGGATGTGCTAAATTGAGAGTCTGGATGGATGTGCTAATTTTAAAGAGAGTCTAAAATTGATCTTATAAATATTGATATTATAAAAATGGATCTTTAGAGCCCGAACCGAGATTTCTTTCTGGTGACAAGAGTAAAACAGCATGAAGAAGAGTTGCAAATAAGTTTTCTTTTTTTTCTAAAAACATTTCAGTGCAAAGTTTGTTTTTCAGGCAAAGGGCCATCAGTAGCCATTCTTCTTACCTCATTTTGTACTGTTTCACTATTGAATATCGTATGAGAAAGTGAACAAGCAACCAAAGTGAGATCTGTGAGTTTTGTTGTTGGGGGAAGACTAGGTACATGCTCTGCATGCCCTTTCAATAGTCTTTCTTCTTACCTTATTTTGTACGAGGTTTTTTTGTTTTTAAAATAAAGTTGTAGGGGAATCTGATTACCTCTAGCATCATTAAAGCAGGTGTAACTTTTAGTATTGATTGCCCTATAGAGACAGACTGAATCAGTTGCAGTGAAACAAGCAGAGGGCTGCCACCTAGTGTTGTCTTTCAGAAGTGTATGTCCCTTTGTCATCAACTCTTCCCATAGTCTGCCTGTTAATTTTTTAGTAGATCTACAAGCACTCTTTGCACAGCCACTGACCCAATGGAACGTGGTGCTCTTTCAATCTTTTTGACCAGAAGTGCTGGGGTGCCACTTTCTCCCTTGACAAAAGCTCATTAATAGGTCCATGATGGGCACAAATTCAACAGGTGCAGCTTTCCCCGTTATAGAGATGAGTGATGGAGAAAGCTACACATCTGGGATAGCTGCCTGCTGTAGACCTATTTGGGACAGACTTTCCTCCATCACAAAAAAGAGGCTGGGGTGGGGGAAGGATGATAATTTTAAAAAGAGTCTAAAATTGATCTTATAAATATTGATATTATAAAAATGGATCTTAAATAATTGTAATTTTCCCAGCCACATGTGGGACCTTTCTACTCTTCCTCATAAGCCTGGAGCTTTTAATGAAAACTCATGGATAATCTATTTAATATAAATAAGGAAAACGAAAGTCCAAGGTGCTTCAGTTCAGCCCTTGATCAACTTCCACAGCATGAAACCAGATACATTTGGTTCTAGTAGTAGGCCTCATCAAGTCCAGCTTATGACAAGAAAATATTTTCTTTGTTTCCTAATCATTTTTGTGTTGGTTTTCATGCAGTGGGTTGTCTTTGACCTTTTGATTTGCACATACTTGCCTTGCTTTTAAACAGCCATTGACAAAATGTGGCTCAAGGGTGCAAGTGGAGCTTATTTTCTCTCATTTGTTACATGTGCCATGCTAGCCTTAATTAATAAAGCAAATGGAAGAAAAAGGCCTTTTTTTCTTTTGTAAACCAGCTGCTGTGCTGCCCCATCTCTGGATATAAGGTGCTCAGCATCCCAAGTGGATATCTACCTGCTTTTAAAGCTCTATCTGGTGCTATGAGAAAGACAATTAAGTTCAACACAATGCTTTGGTCAACCACCAAGGCAATGTCCTGTTCTGGCCTAACTTGGATCGCCACGTTCCCCTCACCCTGCAGAAACCCCATGCTTTTAGCAACAGTGTGTTAGGCAATCTCCCTCCCCATAGTATAGCTTTTATTTGCATGGCCAATGTAGAAAGCTGTCATTATTTATTGCCTCCCACACAACTGGTAAATGCACTGAGTCTCCCTGTGTCAGGTGGGATGAGTGGGGAGGGAAAGTAAAATGGCAACCTTAGACTACCTATGGGTTTATGACTTCTGTGATCTCATCCCCATGTTAGTCTGTATAGTCTGCATCAACTTTGTCTCATAGTGGGGAAACAATAATCTGTATCCTAAGGGGATCTCCCAGCTTGCTGTTTTTCAAACTTTTCTTAGCCTTTTAGCTTCCGGAACATCTTAAGATGTTTATCCCCAAATCCCTTGGGTAGTAAAAATCAGCATTTAAAAGAGGAGCCTTAGTAGGTAAGTTTGCTTACCATTACAATGTCCACACCATTTCTCATGAGGCTGGAGCAGGAACTACAAGTTGTGAAGCTGAGTAATGGTGGTACCTACTCACTTCATAGAGGTATTATGAAGATTAACTGGTGTTTACAAAGGGTTTGAGTGACATAAGTGCCAAGCAAGAATCGTTACGACTGAAGTTAGTTTGTATGTCAAATGTAATCTCTGGTTGGTTGTGACTTTAGTTTTGCAGCCAGTGTGAAAGGGCTGTCCACATACCTCTTAATTCCCAATATACTTGCCATTGCTCCATAATGAGTGTATCTGTACTGTTGCTTGGGGAGTCATCTTGTCCTTTGTGGAAGAAAGGGTGACTATTCTTTATTTGCATTCGTAACTTTTCTTAACATTTGCCCCCAACTATTTTGCTTATATTTTCGCGTGGCTTGTTGACACTTTCTTTAATTGCTGGATTGCATAAAAGCAGATTGGCACTGTCTTTTTAACAGCTGTGCCAATGACACAAGGTGCCATTTTCTCTCATTCTAGTGGCAAGACAACCTGCATCTGCTAGTATTTTTGCTGATGTGCAGGCAGTAAAGGTACAGGTGTTCTATTTCCTAGGGATTGTGGCCACCTCATCACGGTGTCCTCTCAGGAACTTTAACCTCTGAACTTCTGTGAAAATATGCTAAATTCCTACAGCTACTTTAGGAGAAAGAATCTAAACAATTAGCTAAGGAAGTTACGAGATTGGCATATGCGAGCCAGTGACTAGGATGAGTGAGGGGATAGATTAGGGAGGAATCTGGTTACATAAAGGGGATACCATTTCCTCTGCAAGTGATTCATTTTGAAAAACCCAGCTTTAACTAGGCAGATCTCAAGCTTTTACCCTGTGCAGTTTTCTTCATAGTTAACTAGTACTGATGTCTTTGCTGACTATCTGATGTGGCAGGAAAGCAAAGGCACTTGGGGATGCCCAGCTGCTCTGGCCACAAAAGCTGCTCTGTGGTTTCTTTCTTCACTGGTTCCTGCTCTGTATCCTCCGTTCATTCTCTCTTTGTATCTCATCCGATCGTATCCTTCAAAGCAAATAGCATTAGCAGTGCCATGTGATTGAGGAGCGCTCGTGTCTTATTTTAATGTGCACTACGAATGTATCCAAAATAAATGAAATCTGATTACTATCTTTTGGAAGGCGTGGCTTGTTTTGATTTGTGAACAAATCATGAGTCAAGATCATTTTGGCTGTGACAAAATCTCCCTTCTTTACCTGCAGTCCCCGACTTTCCACAAAACTTCTACATAATCTCCAGCCTTACTCTGGGTATGATGTCACGTGAACTCTCTCAGATCTTATAATTGACATTCATCTTAAACCTGTTCTTGTGTAGAGCTTGGCCCTATTCAGAAAGATAGTGGCTCAGTCAAGCTCCAAATGGTTTTTCACCGTGATGCAACTGCAGAAATCCACTACGCATTTGAGAAAACAGCAAAGCTGTCCTCAGTCACCAACAGCAGCACTATATACTGTGTGTCAGAATTCAGGGTGTGCCTTTTGGTGTATGTACTTAGCTATGCTTAAAGGATGGAGGGTTTTGACATGGGGCAATCAAGGAATTGGTCACCAATTCCAAGGTAGAGACAGCATGCCAGAAGTGGTACAGAATTTGGCATCCTGTAAGAAAATCATGGTGAAAATAGGTGCACCCTCAAATTCAGAGTCTCATTCTTGAATTGCACCATGTTTGGGTCAGCATGGCTCATGGCATCATCAATAAAGTCCCCATACTACCTGCAAGGGTTGAGGTTCACTGACAAATGTGCCAGTTTCTAAGAGCCTAAAACAATCTGCACCCTGATTTGAGTTTTCCACTTTTTCAGAGCTATGGAAAACCACATCCTCCATGTGAAGTTTCAGTCATTGGCTTTAAGAATTATCCTGGATCTCTACAATGCATTCTCTCCCACTGCATTATCTGGAAAATGGGGGTGGGGGGATATGGAGATGGCCCTATGGAATGCCTACTTCTCATGACTTAATCCAACCGAGACAATTTTGTTGTTTATTAAATTTATTCCTGCCCTTCCTCCCAAATGAGCCCAATTCAGTACAAGCTGGAATGATTTAAAATATTTGGTTTGGACATGTGGAACCCTGATTCAAATCTCTCTGCTCAGCCATGAAACTCACTCACATGGCCTACAGTAACTGCAATGTAGATTAAATTCTTGGCTGGTTGAGTCTAGAACAACCATAGGATGTCACAGAACGACGAAGACTTATTAATGCTTTTGGGCACCCAAACACAAACACAATGATCCCCAGCCTCAGGAAGAAATGCCATTGTGTAGAGTCAGGTCATTATGAATTGTTCCATCTCAGGATGTGTCTGAAGATGAAAGTTAGGATACCTGTGTAGGAGGTTGGGTGGGATTGATTGGCTGGATGCTACATGCAGCTGCATTTCTGCTCATTTTAGTAGAAAAGGGTGGTATGCTGTTCAATGCAGGGTGGCCAACTTTCCTACTGTTGTACTGGAAATCTTGCAAATGGAATCAGATCAGACTACATACAGTTTGCACACACATTTTTAAATGCCTTTTCTAGAGAGCTCCTGTACATTACGAACTGCAGTTAGGACCCACTTCATTTTATCATTCTAATGCCTATCAAAAGAGCCCCGTTCCCATCACAATCTTATCCAAGATGGAAAGCAAATCCTATTTCACCTGAGTAAGGACAGCCAGAAGCAGCCTTGCTGGTTACCAGATAAGCAGCAACAATTGCTCACCCGGTACCATTCACCTCAACCAGGATCTGGCAGGATCCGCACCACGTGGAAAATTTAGTGCCCTCTGCAGTTTTAATTATAAAGAGGGCAATGATAAACAGCCATTCACTTAAGGTGAGCCTTATCACACCTGATATGCATTTGCCAAAGCCATTTTTCCTGGAACCTCACCTCTTTTCCCCCTTAGTATTTGTTTTTTTTTTGCCACACACAACGCTGAATGTGCTCAAGTTAAATTCATGTAAGTTTGGGGCTTACTGTATTTCAGTTCAGCCAAGCTGGTCGAAGCTACCTCCTAAGGAGTGCTCTGGAAAAACCCACAAACCTGACTGTACAATCTATTTAAAAGTGTGTAAACACACACAATAAAGGAGAACAAAAGCATTTCCATATTTTAAAAAATGCATCTTCAATAAAAGTCATGAAACTCGATGTTTTATTGCAGCAAACTATTGTTGCTTCAGAAAGAAATGTTCATGTAACATTTGATCTGGTATGTCTCTGCAGAGCCACAGCACTTCCTCCCTCCATCCTCTTGAGCAGTGGTCAGCAACCTTTTTCAGCCGTGGGCCGGTCCACCGTCCCTCAGACCATGTGGTGGGCTGGACTATTTTTTGGGGGGGGGGAATGAACAAATTCCTATGCCCCACAAATAACCCAGAGATGCATTTTAAATAAAAGCACACATTCTACTCATGTAAAAACACCAGTCAGATCCCACAAATAACCCAGAGATGCATTTTAAATAAAAGGACACATTCTACTCCTGGAGAAACATGCTGATTCCCGGACCATCCGTGGGCTGGATTGAGAAGGCGATTGGGCTGCATCCGGCCCACAGGTCTTAGGTTGCCTACCCCTGCTCTATATCAGGGGTCTCCATCCCACATCCCACTAGTGGCTGCACATTTTGGCACCTGAAGCAAACCACAAAATAGGGGGAGCTGTCTAGGGAACAAGGGGTAAGAAAAGATGAGGAATAAGGGCAGAATAAAGATCTATATCGGGAACAAGCAGGGGAGATCAGCATCAACTACTATTTGACAAGAGGTTGCTGCAGAGGTGGCATGAGGGAGAAGGCTGCTGAAGAGATGGTAGATTCAGCCTCCAAGGAGCATAGCGCAACTGCCGCCACCACTGCAGCAGTGGGCTATGCATTCCTTGGAGGCCAGATCTGCTGCCCAAGGGGATCCTGCCACCTGAAGCAGACACTTTACCTTGCCTTATGGGTGGGCCGGCTCTGCACAGAGTCCTTCCTTCCAGCCTGCTGTGTCCCCTCTCCCTGCTGAAATTAGGCTTTTTAGAAGTGTTCTACCAAAGGCAGAAGGTTGTGATATGTGCTTGACTGTGGTGTGTGTGTGCGCGTGTGCATGCGTGTGGTGCCCAAAACAGTTTCTCCAGTTTGCACACATGTCCATAGGCCCCCAAAGGTTGGCATCTCCTGATCAATATGGTAAGTGGACTGATCTTTCTCCCTGTTCTACGTAAGACCCTTTCCATGCCCCCAGAGCTCAGTACATAGTGGCAGTTCCCCTATCACCTAACGGGGACCAATGACTATGTACCTCATGGTGGAAAAATCCACAAGATTGGGAGCTTACACAGCTTGAAGAGCAGAGTGAGCAGGCATGCTGTACCACCATGGGATTCATGGAACAGAAGAAAGATGCATATATATCACAGGCTCAGCAACCTCAAGCCTAAAAAAAGGTCAACAACTTTGGTTGGCCCTCATGCATGTTCACTTCATCAAATCTGGCCCTCTTTGAAAAAATTTTGGGCACCCCTGTTCTATTCTGAGCTGTTCTGCTCATTCTATATGACTGGATCCTTGTGGGCCTTTTCTGTTCATGTCAAATAATTTGACTTTCAATCTTGATTGGTATAGTATGGTTCTAGTGATGCTGGAATGCTTCTGATAATACCTTGGACGGAAACAGTGAAGATCACATGACTGTTTAGGGCTTCATATTTTTCCATTCTAATCAAAGTTCTGCATGCTAACACCCCCTTATGAAAACACACCCTATAACTAGCATATCTCATACAAGTAAAAGATAAAACAAGTGCTTGCTGGAGATGTAGTTTGCAAGGACCTTGTGTGTGTGTTTTAAAGAGAACTGAATATATGATGATAAGAACCAATGTCAACCTCTACTTCCAAAATATGAGCTTAGCACAAAACATCATTTGCTTTTCCGATTAAATAATAGTGATCGAGATAAAAGTTCTGCAATGCCTTTGAAAAAATGTTTGACCCATTGTTAAGATTCTGATATGTGACTTGGCTGCATGTTGGCAGTGAAAGCAGCACCGTTCAGGGTATATAAGAAGGGACCCTGCTATGCCAACACTTACCCAGTGTCTTAAGACCAAGGTGCAGCAGTGAAAGAATACACTTTAGAAACTGCTCAGAAGAAAGAAGGCACCATGAAGTGGCTGGTCCTTGCCCTGGTGTGCCTTCACCTCTGTGAGGGTGCTGTTGTCAAGTGAGTATGGAACAATGGCATGGTGCAGCCTCTCCAGATGATTATTGGCTTCAGTTGTGCTTGGTAGGCAGAAAAAAAAGCAGCAGTGAAGTATGAATGTTTAGCACAATGTGCCTGTAAAGTAATAATGTGCCGTTCATTACTTACTCCTATCTGGGAGTAAGCAATAAGCATTCAGGGCGAGGCTTAATCCCAGATAAGCATGCCTAGGACTGCTGCCTAGGATCTTTAAAAACCTATGGACCAAGTTAGTCATAATGACTAGCCTGAGATCCATTGTTTTCTACTGGATTTCAGTAGCAAGCCTATGTCTACTGAACTATGCACTGAATTCAGTCGTTCTGAGTATATTAATGATTGTGACAGTTAGCTCATAAAATTTAGATAATGGGTGCCCTCCAGATGTTTTGGACTTCAGCTCCCATCAGCCCCAGCCAGCATGACCAATGGTCATAAATGATGGGAGTTATAGTCCAACAAAATCTGGAAAGCACAATGTTGGCTATTCTTGATTTAGATAATAGCACCGATGCTCTTGTATCGAGTTGTTAAGTGAGAAATATAGCTGTAAAGTGCAACACAGAGCATTTTGTCATTGAAACTTTATTTTTATAAAAGCCTTTAAAACCACAATATTCTATCCGAAGGCAGAGATTCTCAGTAAGCAATTGAGACCCAGTTTTTTAAAACCGAAAACCGTTGTGCTTTGAAATTTTCAAGACATATGGACATGACAGTCAAATGGACATGACATTTATTGCAAAGATGCATAGCATTTCCCAATAACATCTGTGAGAACAAAATGTACATTTAAAAAAATAAAACACTCCTGTACACACTTACCTGAAAGTAAGTGCTGCTGAACTCAGTGGGCCGAACTTCTCAGGAGATGTGCACAGGAAGGATTATACTGTTAATGTTTTTTCTTTCATTCATTTGTATTTCATTGCATTGTTAGAATTGCATGGATGATGAATGTATGTTCCCTATGCAGGCCTTTTTCAGTCTCTATTCAATTCACTCCCTACATCAATTGCTTTAATGTATGAGATGAATGATTCATTTAGCTCAGCATTTTTCCTCAAAAGTAGCCAGGCAGATGTCCTTGGTAAGCTCATGGGAGGTGTGATGGTGACACCTCTGTCCTCCTCAGCAAATCAGAGTTATGCTGAACACTAAAAAACACTAAAAAACACTAAAAAACAACAGAAGAGTTTTGTGGGATCTTAAACACTTTTCATTGTTTTTGCTGCAAGAAGCTAACACAACTACCTCTCTGGAAATTGTGAATATGGAGATTCCAATCTCAGTGATGCTAGTTAATAGCCATGGAATCTTACTACTCATAGTATGTATATGGGTAAAAAACTTATTTCCCTTAGAGCTAGGAAGGCCTGATGTATGTGTCTCCACAAGCAATTATTTGGTCCCTCAAGATCATCCCAATTCTGGTAGCAGTAGGAGAACCGTTTTTTATTATTATTTAAGTATATAGGTACTGGGGTGGGCAGAGAGAGCCTTAATTGGCATGCTAATTGATCCTTCCTTGATTGTCAGGTGTGACATTAACTGATGAACAGCTAGTGGGCAATAACACACACACACACTGCTCGGCTGATCAGCTGAAGAGGGAGCTGTGTGCCTCTGTGTGTATGTATGTGAGACTGTGAGATGGGCACACCCACTTTTGGCAGCACCCACCACTGGCACACAGTCCTAGAACAATGGCCAAGGATGAATGTGGCCTTTGAGCCCAAAATGTTTTGCCATCCCTGCGGTAGATCTCATTACCTAAACAGACAAAGCGCAGGAAGGCAAGAGAATCACTGAGAAGGACAAAGACAGGATCCAAAATAGTTTAGCTAATACCTTTTATTGAATCAGCAGCTGTAGGTATTGGTTAAATAACAAGTAAGATGAAAGATGGACAGAGCAGTTTTGGGCAGGGAGGGAAGGACAAATGTGCAATATCACATAAGAGAAGTCCTGTGGAAGAACCTGTACAAGTGTCCTTCTTGGCTTTCCATTCCTTGTTAACAACAAAGTGTGAGAGTTAGTGTGGCCTTTTAAGGTTAGGATGGTGTCAGGTTAGCTTGAACCCTGATGGAATTATATGGAAGTCAGTGTGCTTGCCTTAGGTATTATATGGTTCAGTCCAGAGAATTCCATAAGTGGTCTGAAAATATTCCACTGAGCATACTTAATATGCAAAGAGTTTACAGCTGTCTTTTTGACTCTGCGTCTAACTCTTCATCCCATAAAGAGTTCCCCTGAAAAAGTTCAAGTCCATGCGGGAGGTGATGAAGGAGAAGGGTGTCCTTGAAAAGTTCCTGAAGGACAATCATTATGACCCTGCCAGCAAGTACCTCAACAACTATGCCAGTGGTTACGAACCCCTTGCTAACTACATGGACGTGAGTATACGGTTGGCTAAGAGAAGCTACCAAAATCATAGAAAGAGCAAAACTAGGAAAGAATAAAGGCTAGGATTTCAACATGTGCTGGATGGAATAAGAAGTCCAGACTTAGCTGAATCAGTGTTTGAGTCCTAATATGTGACTATTAAAAATCAGGGGAATTTTAAGTTTTGAGAATGGAATTGTGGTTCTCTTTGTGCATCACTCTAAATTAAAATATATGGGAGAGCATGAAAAATCAAAAGAAGAAAAATATATATGAGGAATGGGTAGTTACAGTAATGGGTAGTTTTTGCTTCCTTTTGGGGCGATTGTGCAAAATGTTCTATTGAATGTGCTGGGAACTTATGCAGATATCAATGTGGGGAGGCTATTGTTGATGGCAATGTACTCCTTTCTCTAGATGTCCTATTATGGAGAGATCAGCATTGGAACTCCACCCCAGAACTTCTTGGTTCTCTTTGACACTGGGTCATCCAACCTCTGGGTGCCATCAGTCTACTGCCAGAGTCAGGCTTGCAGTGAGTATCCTCTAAGCCAGTGGTGGCCAAACGTGGCCCTCCAGCCATTTGGGGACTACAACCAGTGGCGGAGCTTCATGCTCTGGCACCGGGGGGTGGAGAGCAGGTGGGGGCAGGGCTGGTGTGCGTCCTGGGGGCGTGACACACCGCCTGCAGGGGTGTGGCGCCCAGCGCGGAGGTGTGGCAGCCGTGATGGCACCCCACCGGGATTGCGCTGCTGGGGGTGGTGCACTCCCCCTGCACTCCTCTTCCTCAGCCAATGACTACAACTCCCATAATCCCTAGCTAACAGGACCAGTGGTCAGGGAGGATGGGAATTGTAGTCCCAAAACAGCTGGAGGGCCAAGTTTGGCCACCACTGCTCTAAACAAAGCAAAGCAAAGGTGAAGATTGATTTTGGGGTTTATATTTTGGTGCTGGAACTTTTCTCTCTCGCAGCTGCGGATTCAGGTTCAATGGTGGATGAGAAGAGAGAGTGACACACATCATATTAAAACCTGGTTTTGTTGTGAGCCTAAAAGTGACACAAGTCTGTTTTTCTTTAATTTCTACCACTAGCAAACCACCCATTGTTCAACCCCAGCCAGTCTTCTACTTATTCCACCAACGACCAGACCTTCTCTTTGCAGTATGGAACTGGGAGCCTCACTGGGCTCTTTGGCTATGATACCGTAACGGTAAGCAGCAGTGCACCCTAAATTGGTTTCAATAGTAACAACAACAACAACAACAACAACAACAACAACAACAACAACAACTGTATGCCACCCATCTGATTGTGTTGCCCCAGCCACTCTGGGTAGTTCCCAACAGAATATTAAAAACTGCTTCTTGCAACAGAAGCAGATAGATAATAATTCAGTAGCCAGGAAGGAATCCATTCTAACATTCCTAATGCAATGCACTTAGATCACACAGGTAACAAAGTATAGTGACCTTGAGCACAGCCAAAGCTTCAGTGGAGGGTAGGGAGAAACCCTCTTGTACAAATATTCTTGGAGATCTATTACAGCCAACCTCAACAATCGGTTTTTCAATAGCACTCTGTGAACTTAATGAAAGAGCATCATTATCAAGAAAGCCCATCCTCTGTGGCATCTGACCTATGCAAGGCAAGCCAGTTCAGGAATATGTGCATCCATTTCAGTACTGTTATGAAGTTGCTACTATGCACCAGGCAAGAGGATTTGTGCATAGTCACAGTGACCAGAGAGCAGTCTTTCTCAAACCTGTTATCACTTGTCCTCACCATGTCCCCTTTCCCCCCAGTTGCATGGCACACAACAACTTTGTGCAATGCCATTCTGCTATATTTCTTGATGGCACTTGTCCACTTTATAGTGATGCCACTTTCTCTGTCACAGTAGTATGAGAACTGATATTTCTACTTTGGAACAAGGCAGCTGGTAATGACATTGCACTAGCGCAGTGACTATTATACTCCATGCATAATACTCATTAGCTCAAGGGATTTATTAGATTAGTCTACTATATTTTTGAAGGTGGTAAAAGAAGAGAGCTAACTACATTTCTAGGTATTGTTATGAAGTCCCAATGAACAGAAAATCAAGAGAGGAACGCTTGAAAGTTCAACCATCTCCTCATCTTGATAATGAAGTTTCATTTCCCCAGATATTTTGAGTGACCCAAGTCCATTTAGAAGATCATTTGTTTCTCTGGATAAAAAGTGGTTAGTGAGTTGTCTTGTAATATCCCCATTGCATATTGGGCTATCTGATGCTGTGCTTTTCTGGCAGGTTTCTTTTTCTCCCCTTTGCAATGTGCTTTTTCTGCTTGGTTGTGATGATGACTCTTTTCTACAATTCCCTTCTAGATCCAAGGCATTTCCATCACCAACCAGGAATTTGGCCTGAGTGAGACTGAGCCTGGCACAAACTTCGTCTATGCCCAGTTTGACGGCATCCTGGGCTTGGCATATCCTGCCATTTCTTCTGGTGGTGCCACCACAGTCATGCAGGGGATGCTCCAGCAGAACCTTCTTGATGCTCCCATGTTCGGCTTCTACCTGAGCGGGTACGGATGCAAAAAAGTCTTTTTCTTTTGCATTTGCCTTGCCTCCATCTATCCCTCTTATAAGTTTCTCAGGGCACCTTTCAGTAGGGAAGGGTGGCTTGGTCTTCTTCCAGTCCATATCACTTTCCCGCTTTGTTCATTCATAAGTACAAATTTTTAAAATCTGCATGAAGATTCATATTTAAATACTTACTTTTGAATATATGCTTTTCTGCATATATTTTCTCACAAAATATGCACATTTTTTACTCTACGATGTGCACTTTAAAAAGCATTCTGATTTGCTTATTGTGTCAAAAACATTTCTTTGCAAACTTCAGAGAAAGGTGAAATCTGAAGGATAACTTCATTCTGATCCACAGGCCAGTCTGGGAAGGGCAGATCGTGTCAGTTCATATTGGAATTCACAACACAAATTCCTCAGGCATCCTTATCTTTCAGGAAAAGTCAATATAAACCAGAAACTACTCTCCTATTTTGTTGCCATTGCTTTAACCTTGAAGTGTACCTTCCCCCATCAGTGATGGGCAAACTATACAAAGGAGGAGAAACTCATGGGGAATTATTGACTCACTTCTATCTTAAGTTCATTCATTCCTGTTCAACACTGTCCAATGACAATCTCCCCTCAGTGGCCATGGTTGGTTCTCTTTGACTACAGCTTTCAGATTCAACAGTTTACTGAGAACCAATATGGTGTAGTGGCTTGAGTGTCAGACTTGAACCTGGGAAACCAGGGTTCAAATCCCCACTCAGCCACAACACTTACTAGATCAGCTTGGGCCAGTCACTGCCCCTCAACCTGACCTACCTTGTAGGGTTCTTGTGGGAGTTAAATGATGAAGGGGAGAACCATAAATGCCACTTTGAGCTCCTTGGAGAAAAAGGTAGAGTATAAATAAAAATAAATAATAATTTACAACAGTAATGGGATTTTTGAGACATGTCAAATACAAAATAGTCCTTTGCTATTTTGTACAAATGCTAGGGCTGAGCATCTAGCTTGAGGGAGAATTACTAGCCTAAGGTCCAACACTCTCACCAATATACGCCATTGCCTCTGATGATGGACCTTGGTTGCAAGGTTATAAGGCCACATATCTATAGTAGCATTCAATTCAAAGTAACTTAAACATAAAGGAAAGGAGATGTTTGCTGCTCTGTTTAAAGCACCTTCCATTTTAGAGTCTCTCCAGGTTGGATCCAGGCTTACAGTGCAGTCCTGGCCATGCCTACTCAGAAGTCCTATTTAATTCTGTGGGGTTTACTCTCTTATAAGTGGGGTTATGATTGCAGCTTTAATCATGCTTAGAGTAGACCCACTTTAGTCTTGTCCCATAAATGGTGACAGGTCTACTCTTAATTATGACTGATTCCAGATCCAGCTTTCTGTCTTTTTCAGTGAATGTATGTAAATAATGCACAACCCTTCTTGTGCATTTGTCCTTCTAGGCAAGAGGGCAACCAGGGTGGTGAACTTGCTTTGGGAGGAGTTGATTCCAGCCTCTACTCTGGTCAGATTGTCTGGACTCCAGTCACCCAAGAAGCTTACTGGCAAATTGCAATCGAAAGGTGAGACTATTCTCATAGATAATGTCTACTGGGAGCCTGATCAGGCTTCAGTGGAGGCTTGTGGTTGAAAACCTGAACAGTCCTTTGATTTGAGTTTTTGGGCTCTTTAAATCTATTTCCCTTGGACCAGCTGAGTAACTTCCCCCCATCTTATTTTGCATACCATGAAACATGATCCAAAGAGCATTAATAATGATGATGATGATGATAATAGTAATAGTAATAACAACAACAACAATTTTATTATTTATACCCCGCCCATCTGGCTGGATTTCCCCAGCCACTCTGGGCGGCTTCCAACAGAACACGAAAATACAAATATCCTTTGCTTATGCTGAAAATTATAGTTCAACAATCTGCAAGCATATCTTATTCCATTTATTTCTGGCTCTGGCTCTCTGCATCTTCCAGGTCACAGAAAGAAGAGCTGTGATTATTATAGCCCAATTACAAAAACCTAAGACTGCAATCCTGCTTTTGGTTATTATGAAAAGCTCAAAACCATGGCAGCTTTGATGATGCCATGAAAACATCAAAAGCAAGCAAGGAAGCATGACATCCTATGGTCTTGTGGCTCCTCGATGCATCATCTTAATAGGAATATAACTGCTGACAACTTTGTAAACTCTTCCCCCCTAGCTTCTATATTGGCAACCAGATCAGCAACTGGTGCAGCCAGGGATGCCAGGCGATTGTGGATACCGGAACGTCCCTCCTCACTGCTCCACAGCAGGTCTTTGGAGAGCTGATGCAATACATTGGAGCCGAGCAGGACAGTAATGGCGAGGTAGGGGGGAATGCAGCTGTGGATTGGGGGCACGACCACTTAGCACCAGTAATCTGAAGATGCTCAGTATCAGCACCCATGAAACTTAGCATGTTCTTGTTTGACCCCACACAATGGATGCACTTCAAAGGATAATGCAAGGAGTGTAGACTCAGGGAAATATATTTCTCTTATTTGGCTGGTGGGGTGGGAGTGGGGACAGCAGCAGAGGAAGCCACTCAGGGCTAGGGCGAGGTGAGCTGCCCATAGGGGTGGGGCGCACCACAGGGCCTTTGGAGTCTCCTACTCAGCCGCCCTACAGCTGGGGGGGGGAGGCAGCTGATGGACCATTTGGGCAGCGAGGAATCTGTGCATGCCCAAGCCACCACATCTTTCCCAGGAGAGACGCATGGCTCGGGCGCGCTACAGGCCCCGCAGTGAGTGCCACCCGGCATTTTGTCACCCCACTCAATGGTGACACCCAGGGCAGCCCGTACCCACCACACCCCACTTCCTCCACCCATGAGTGGGGAGTGTTACCAGCTGTCAGAAAACTCCTCCATCATCTTCCTGCCACAAACTCCCACCCTGACTTTGAACGAACCATTGAAGATCTGCATTTCAGTTTTAACCACCAGGGAAAGGGCACCTAAGGATCCTCATTTTTTTAGTTAGTGGTGGTAATGTTTGAAGTGCAATAGTGATTGAAATATGCTGCCGCTTAGCTCTTACCATACTTCTCCTCTCACAGTATGTGGTCAGCTGCAGCAACGTCCAGAGCATGCCCACCATTACTTTTGTCATCGGTGGAAGCAGTTTCCCTCTGAGCCCCTCAGCCTACGTCCTTCAGGTATGTGAGACCACTGAAAAGCTGTTCCCCGTTAGTTAGTTAGTTATTTGTTTGTTTGCTTATTTAATAATCCACACCTTCACAAAAAATGTGTTGTTTGTTTATTTATTTACTAGTCCTAATCCACACCTTCACAAACAAATATCAAGGTGGTATACAACATGTAAGAATAAAATCAGCGAAAAGCATTAATGGCAACATAATTAAAGACATCAGTTAATACTGATTGATGGCACCAGGCACCGGAAAAAGTTTCATCCTTTTACTGGTGGGTGTTTCAGTACTTAGGGATGGTTGTCTCATCCAAAGACTTGCTTCTGGCTAAACTTCCTATGTGGTTTTTCATCTACCTAGGGGAATATGTGATGTAAAGCAGTCTTTAAAAATAATCACTAGGAAATGTAGTTAGTGTCTATGCCAATGTAGTAGGATGCAGGTGTAAAGTGCTTGTACCCTAGTGATGGAGAACATACCTGGACCATTCATTACTGGGATGCTGTTTGTACCCTTCTGACTGCAGAGCAGTGCAGTGCTCTTACACCTCTGTGTAGGGTCAGTGTGCAACAGTACTTTACACAGCTGCTAATGCAAGTTTGCACTCTTACAGATACCTTTTTTTTAAAAAAATCATTTTTATTAATTTTCCAATAAAAACAGCCAATTAACATATCCATCAAATCATAATCATAATCCAATTATAATCCAATTAAAAACAATAAACTAAAATAAAAAAAACAACCAAATTACAGTCCAAATTATTAATTATTAATTTGTTCTGGGCTTCCCATAGTCTGGACCTCTGAAGTATATCTCCAATCTTACAGATACTTTTTAAATAAAAGCCAAACATTGACCAAAAAAAGGCAAAAATCTTGAAATTCAACATTCAGGTGCAAAGTTCTGTGCTGAAATGTAGTGTTCTCTCATTACTCTGCAGTTTCTTATTTATGCCATTAAGTTGATGACAACTCCCAAGCCAAATAAATTTAACTGTGATTTTTCTTTCACAGAACAACAGCGGCTATTGCAGCATTGGCATCATGCCCACTTACCTGCCATCTCAGAATGGACAGCCTCTGTGGATCCTTGGTGATGTCTTCCTTAGGTCCTACTATTCTGTGTACGATCTGGGCAACAACCAGGTTGGATTTGCGCCAGTAGCATAAACACTCCCAGAAGTCTTTTGCGCTGCTCCAGGCCTCATCCTGCTTCATCCCACCTGCTTATTCCTTCTGATACATGCTGTAATCCACCAGCCTTCCTTTCTAAGGACTTGGAGGTGTTTCCTCTGCAAAAATTTGAAACCTCTGCTGTGAAAATCCACAACATGACTGCTGGGCTTTTCTCCAAAGTAATTGCAAGCAAATAAAAATATAATCATAAAATAACAATTTGAATTGTACGAGTTCTTGCCTGACTTGCTTGGGGGGAAATATTATTATTATTAAATATTTGAATGTGTGTGTGTGTGTGTGTGTGAGAGAGAGAGAGAGAGAGAGAGAGAGATTCACAGACACATCATAAACATAACTAAGATATTTTTAAAAGGAGTAAAACAGTTGAAAATAGGTTTTTAAAATTGTACTGTATTAAACATAATACAAAATGAACACCAAAGGTAGAAACCTTTTCATCCATCTGGAAAAGTCTGGAAAAGCAAAAATGTCTTTAATTATTTCTGGAAAGTATAGCTAGTGGGTACCTATCATATCTCAGTGGGAATGTGTTCCAGAGAACAGGGGCAGCCACACTGAAGGCCCTGCTCTGTGTTGCTGGAGAGTGGCAGCATCAGATTTAGGGCAGTGTGGGAAGTTCCCCCACATAGGGTGCTAAGCCAAGGGGGTGCAAAATGGAGAAGATCCAAAGTTGAGAAGGTCCGTTTGGAGGGCCCCAAATTATTGCCTGACACAGGGCACCATATTACGAATGATTACCAAAGTGGGTTTCTGAAACTACTGACGAAGCATGATGGGGAAAAATGTGACATCTCAATGTTTTCCCTAAAGCTTCAGAATTTTGCATTCCCCTAGGCCCTGGGGAAGGTTACCAAAAATCCTTTATATTTGCATATGTAAACCGCTTTGAGAGGTTGGTGTTTTTTTTGGGGGGGGGTTTAAATCAAGTTTTATGAAATAAATAAATAATTTCACCACCACATTACCCCAGAATTATCCCTCCACTAGGGTCTCCCAGGACAGAGAGACCAGCACAACTGGTAGTGTAACAACAAACTGAGGAGCACTTTTGAAAAGTCCATTGTTAAAGTTAGAATGGAACTTCAGATACTTCATTTAAAGTCAGTGGGAATAAAAGCTTACCCATAAATGATCCCCCCCCCCCAATGAGCAGATCTGTAACCTGCAGGTAACCTCCTGAGCTAAGCAGAAGCACATCACACAAACCCTCCAAGTGCCCCTATTTTCCAGGGACAGTCCCGGATTTACAGAAGCCGTCCCAGTTTCTAATTTGAACTTGGAATGTCCTGCTTTTCCTTAGGACATCCCTATTTTCATGGGAGAAATATTGGAGGGTATGGCAGGATATCCCTATTTTCATCGGATAAATGTTGGGGGGGTATGGAGTTCTGTGACCCCAAGCCAAGGAGATAAGTAACTATACATCCTTTAGAAGACATTTCAAGGCCCTGTATAGGGAAGCTTTTTTAATGTTTATTGTTTTGTTATGTTTTTTATATATGTTGCAAGCTGCCTAGAGTGGCTGGGGCAACCCAGTCAGATGGGTGAGGTATAAATAATAAAATTATTATTATTATGGAATAGGACATTCCTATTTTCATCGAAGAAATGTTGGCGGGTATGCATCACAGGAAGAGCTAATGAGCTCTTCTGGCAAATGTACGGTTCTCCATATTATACTGTTTTGCTGATGCCCCAATCTCTGAGCAGCGAAACATGTCAGGGATGCCAACACACACCTTGGATTTGGTTTCCTTGAAATAAAAGTCATTAGAGATTTTGGAGATTCCTGTGATATAAGATTTTCACATAAGTACTGGCTGAGCCAAATAGGGAAGGTTCACAGCATTAACACTCCAACACATCCTGCTTCACATCACGTTTATAGGGGTCCACCAAGTCTTTCTGCCTCTCTCAGCCCCATTTCCAAGACTTCCTAGCTATCCTTACATCCTTTCTGGAATGCTTCTGGGTTCAAAATCACAGTAACAGAAGCTCAGCTAGAAAGCTTACGCAGATTTGGGAAAGTACCACTAGGGCTAAGAGGATACCAACATGGTTAATGGGCAGAGTCAATGAAGCTGTTAAGAGACAGAAAGGCTTCCTTGAGAAAAATGATAATCTCGTGAGGGGAACAAAACAGAAGACAAACCTTAGCAAAAGAAATAAGCAACCTATAAGAGATTGGGGGGGGGGGGAGGGAAAGGAACACATTGCTAAAAACATAAAGACCAACAACAAGCATTCGTTAAACACGTTAGGAACAAGAAATACAATTAAGGAAATGTCAGACCTTTGGATGAGAAGGAAAACAAAAGTGTGCTAAAGGAGGAAAATGACAGTGCAGAAAGACCAAATGAATTATTTGCATGTGTCTCCACAAGGAAGATGTAGGGCAGATAGCTATGCCTGAACTTAGGAAGGGACTCTGAGGAACTGAGGTAAATAGTGGTGACCACAGATGAAATCCTAGGCCTAATAGATAAATTAATAACTGCCAAGTCTGGAAGGTATCCACTCAAGAGTTCCCAAAGAACTCAAGGTGAAATTTCTGAACTCCTTAACTTTTCCCTGACAGCAGTCTCATAGTTGAAGACAGCAAAGCAGCCAAAGTAACACCAAAAATGCATGCAAACCAAAGCAAGTTCCAAAGCTCTTACTCCAACAGTTCCCTCCACAGTCCTCCATGTGTATGAGGTAGTTGTCTCCTGTATTCTTCTCTGTGCATATGAAATAAATAGTTGCCAACCTGCATAAAAGGATAAAGGCATAAAGCAGCACATATTTGACAGGTCAGTTTTCCCACTAGGACAAGTATCCAAACTCAGGTATATCAAGAGTAAAGGATTAGTCCATTCCCTGAGCGCCAGCACCTGCCAGTCTCCAAAGGTGATGCCATGAGATCAAAAAGATCAACAGCTCTTTACAACACAGAGCTGTTGGTTAGAATCATTTATTGTCCCTAACAATGCTAGCAAAGGGGGCACTGTATATTAATTGTATATTAATTCTATTTCTGCAAAGACTCCAATACCCCAAGGTGTGCACAATTTCACATTGCCACCATAAGTGCAGAAAAGTTAAATTCACAAGCTAAAGATTCACAAACTGAATGGAACCGCTCTCCCATCCTAATAGAATCATAGAATTGTAGCGTTGGAAGGGACCCCAACTCTAGTCATCTAGTCCAACCCCCTGCAATGCAGGAATCTCAGCTAAAGCACCAATGACAGGTGGCCATTCAACCTCTGCTTAAAAACCTCCAATGGTTTGGATCTTTATTACAAAATGACACTGCGTGCAGGGATGTGCCCTCAATCCCATAAATCCTAGTAGCGCGAATGCAGGCATTTTTGTACTTAGTACAGTGGATATTGGGCTCATGGAGAAAGTGTGTGTGGTTTGCATGGTGTGTATGTGTTGTATCTATGTGTGCAGCCAGTGAAACCCATATGAACCAGTCTATACTCTATGGTCAGAACAATTGGAAGATATCTCCTACAGAATATCATGAACTAAATGGTCTTGGGTGTCTTCTATTGATTGATTGAAAATGATGTGGAAATAGAGTTTACTTCCTGCCTTTCCTGAAGCTACCCTTAGGAAAATGTTTTAACTGGTGGAGATGATGACATGGGGCTTCAGGTGTGTAGTGCCTACTGCCTAGCTTCTTTAAATGGGAGCCGCCATAATGACCTGTTACTGTCTGAAGGACAAGCTGCAGACGCATTCAAAACATGAGGCATCAAGGAGCTCCCCTGTACAGTGGTACCTCGGGTTAAGTACTTAATTCATTCCGGAGGTCCGTTCTTAACCTGAAGCACCACTTTAGCTAATGGGGCCTCCCGCTGCTGCCACACCGCCAGAGCACGATTTCTGTTCTCATCCTGAAGCAAAGTTCTTAACCCAAGGTACTATTTCTGGGTTAGCGGAGTCTGTAACCTGAAGTGTATGTAACCCAAGGTACCACTGTATTAGCTGCTCCACGCTGTGGGTGGCCAGCTGCCCTATTTTTAAAAGTTTATAATATTTTTTTAAAAAAATAAAACAAATAAATAGCTGAATCAAGGCAGTGTGCAACCCCCAGAGAACTTCATAAGTTGTTGTTGTTGTTGTTTTAGAAAGAGTGTTTCCACATGAATTTGTAAGGATTTTCCATTTAAAATCCACCTGGAAATGGAGTGAGATAGAATTAGCCCCACCCCCTAAGAAACTTGGATGGACCAGATTTTGATGGGCCCATCTAATCTTACCTGCTTCCCCCAAAAGTTGAATCTTTTGGAGTTTAGGAAAGTGATGGGAAATTGAAGTGGAAAGTGTGGGATATCGATAGCTTGGCACACCGTCCTATAGCCACCACCCCCACAAAAAAAATCAGAAAGTGTGTTCAATAAACAGCCGACATTGCCCACTTTGTGCAAACAAATTAGCATGAATGCTCAATAAGTAGGTCATCTGTAATTGACGCTAATCTGGAATAGTTTCTCATACTATTCAAGCTATTTTAAATTTTATCTGTGGGTGAAGAGTTCCTTGAATTCCCTGAATGTGCTGACAACCCCCCTTCAGACCTTCCCACTAGGTGTGGTGGAGAGGGTGGGACTGGCATGCACAGATCTTCCATAGAACAATTTTAAAATGCCTGAATGGAACCACATAAATACGCAAGGTGTGAAAATGTGTTCATGCAACAGAAAACATCTATTTCAAAACCTCATTAAGTTCTAATTAGGGAACTCGAGCTGTTGACAATTATTATCTTTGACATACTAATCAACTGAAAAACCTAGATATTAAATGTGAACTGATCACAGCTTAGACCCAAACATGGAATTAAATATAATGTTAGCAAGCACAGCTTCCCAAGGGCATGGCTCAACATGGCCCAATACCTTAGTGAAGATAACCTGGAGTTACAATATTTGTTCGACTCAGTGTATAAAAATGGAACGTATCTAGCCACACTTAAATACCCATCACAGCAGCTGTGATTATCAAATTGTCCTTTATTGTTTCTGAAAAGGGTAGGAACATATTATTAGGAATTTGGCTTATTAATATCTTATCACTGATTTTTTCCCCCGTATTAGCAAAAGTTTGTAGATAATCACTCATTATTATTTTTTTTAAAAATGAAGGGCACAAGTTGCATTTAAAACCACTCTAACAAAGGACTTTCTATCACTCATAAGCAATGGAAAGTGTAGATATTGGAAATGCATGGTACTGGAGGACATCAAGAGTAAACAGATAAGGCAGCAGAGGAGAGTAGCCCTGGGTATAAAAGTAGGGACACAACAGCTGTAACTGCGGAAGGGATTTCTAGATTCTCTAGACTATCACACTGGCCAAGACACAGAGCATCATGAAGTGGTTGATCCTGGTACTGGTCTGTCTCCACCTGTCGGAGGGGCTGGAGAGGTGAGTGTCTCAATTAGGGTCTCATTCAGACTTTCTGTTGCACTGTGTTTTCCAGGCACAGGTATGCACTTTAAAGCTCCAGGCCTGAGCAGTTTTTTTGTCCCTGCGCTTCCCCCAAGAAAACCTGTGTTTTATCATTGAATTGAAGCAAATGGATATCCACAGAAGACCTAATTGCCATTTGCTCCAATTCAGCTGCAAAACTTGGGTTTTCCCAGGGAAAGTGCAGGGACCCAAAAGCTTGGAGACAGAGCTTTAAATCCCAGACCTGTGACACAAAAGGCCCTGTAGTAATGAGTAATGATGGAAATATTACTGGAAGCTAAATCAGGTCACACATTTTCAGCCAATGACTATGTTCTTATCTTTCCATAGAAAAGTTAAACCCTAGTTTTTCAGGCTTCAAGACTTATTCTTTCTGCCTTGTGCACTTCCTTGCTTTTATTTATTTAATAAAATTTAATATGATGAATAAAATAAAGGATAAAGTGGCACGATGGACTGTTAGCAGTTCCCAGTACCAAAATAGAGGAGGAAGCTGATGAAGAAAGAGGGCATAGGAGAGGTACAGAAGGACCAGCACTGTTGCTTTGGGCATCCTGAGAAGTCGTCTGCATGTCTTGTGTCTTATGCAGAGTCATTCTGAAGAAAGGGAAATCCATTCGGGAGAACATGAAGGAGAAAGGAGTGCTGGAGGAATTTCTGAAGAAAAACTATGTTGATCCTGCATCAAAATACCACTTGAATGAATACAACATTGCTTATGAACCAATAACCAACTACTTGAATGTGAGTATTAAAATAATAAAATATGCATCTTCCTCTCTTCTTCTGCCCATCTTGCCTTTTCACTTTTCAGTCTGTCAAAGGTTATATGGCCTCATGAAAGCAGCATAATTGCTCCTGTCAAGACCATTTTCACACCACTGTCTCTGTCCATGATGAATTTGGGGTTGAACAGTGAAAGTGCTTCTCCACTTTTGGAATGAGGGAATAAGTGAGCTTGCCCACTTTGTCACCTAGCTGGAGGGTTAGAGGTAACAGAGTATACAACAGCAGTGTAATTCTAATCATGTCACTTGCTAGGGTAGTGTAATGGTTAGAGAGTTGGACTAGGACCCGGGAGATCAGGGTTCAAATCCCCACTCAGTCATGAAGCTTACTATATGACATTGGGACAATTGTTTTATTTTTATTATGGTGAATGATGTATGCTGCCTGAAACCCTCTGTCCACTTACCTGAGAGTAAGTTTCATCAAACACTTTCCTTAAGTGAACAGGAAAACAAGCTGCAGAGTGGTTATCTTTCTATGACAACCATTCGGTAGCTGGTGGTTTTCCTTTTTACTATTTTACAAGCTTGAGAGAGAGCCACTGAACAAAAATCTAAGCCTGCATACACCACTGATGAGATTTAACTTAGGTGCGGTTCCAAAATCAGCCCTATGCAGTGAGCAAGCATAGAACTGAAAGCTCCAAGGCACCCCACCAGGTCTAGATTTCACCAGCCTCTACTGTCTACAAGATACACTAAGGGGGAATTACTGGGGTGAAAACAGCAATGGCTGGGTGTGCATATCCCTTACCTGAATCTGACAATGTTGTGGTGGTCGGCATCTGTCTGTCTCGAGACACAGTGGGGTGTGCCAATAGGGATGAAGTCAAACCAACAATGGGGCTTGTAATTACAGAAGATAATTAAATGATGACATTTTGATTCTGTGTTCTTGCACACAGCTTGCCACCAACCCACTGTATGATCTTGGACAGTACTATTGCTTACCTCCCATTATGGGCTAGGATGCATTTTGAAAATGATCTGAGCTGCCATTTCTGAGTGAGAACAATAGTAGAAATGAAGGGGAAATATTGAAGCTCAGTATTTTAAAATGTGACAAAATCTTTCTTCTTACCAAAATTTTCTCCTTGGACAGTCCTTCTACTTTGGACAGATCAGCATTGGGACTCCACCACAGGACTTCCTTGTTGTGATGGATACTGGCTCCTCCAACCTCTGGGTACCATCTGTGTACTGTAGTACAGCAGCCTGTGGTGAGTACTAACATTCAGCTGCAGAGAAATTTGTTTCTATGAACTTATTAGCCAATTTGGCTTGTTTTCTTTTTTAAAAAGCCAAACTTATCTCTTGTACTATTTTTAACGGGAATGGAAAAACTGTATATTATAGTGATATTTTAGAAACGGCTGATCCTTCTTTTTCCTCCTTCAGTTCAAAATCTTTATAACTCTCAGCACTGACATTCTGACATAAAATAACAATAGAATGTGCCAATGTATTAAAGAACATGACTCAGTTAGGAAGTGTTCATGATATTGTGCTTTTTGTTTTGTTTTGCTTTACTCTAGAAAACCACAATAGATTTAACCCCAGTGCATCTTCTACATACTACAACAATGGACAGACCTATACTCTCTACTATGGGAGTGGTGACCTGACCGTCATGCTAGGCTATGATACTGTGCAGGTAAGTGACCATTGCATCACACATTCATCCACCTTAAACTTTGTGGCATTCTAGGAATCATCAAACATTGGTCAATCAAAGAAAAAGCAGTCTGTTCGGAATCCAGCATTGCAACCAGAATTTACTTCACAAGCTAAGAAAGAAGGGGACCAACCAAAGCTTAAGATGGAAGCTTGTGGCCCAGATATTGCTGGCTGTATGCCACTACTGCAATAGGCAGAAATGAGGGTTTGCTTGGTTGTTTTGCACACCACTTTCTACATATTGGGTACTTTGCTGTGGTGGACAAGTAGTTTGATCCTGATGACCGCTGAAGCTGTTTTAACATCTGAGGCAGAAAACTCAAAAGGTCATTTTATGATCCCACCCTTTTTATTCATTCCTTTACAAATTAACCAGGTCTAGTGTAAGGAGAACTTCATAAACTTTCCCAGTGAGGCATTGGAAATTATGTTTGTTTAGCCCACAGTCTCATCGCCTCTTTGTTTTTCATTATTCCTAAAAATGGCATGTGTTACCTATTCTTACTATTGATAATTTGATTTATTCAAGCTCAAAATCATTGCTGTGCCTCCGATTGTGGATGAAACCCATTGTCCCTTCTGTTCCTCCCAGGTCCAGAATATTGTCATTCAAAACCAGGAGTTTGGCCTCAGTGAGAATGAACCTGCCACTCCCTTCTACTATGCCAATTTTGATGGGATTTTGGGCATGGCTTATCCTGCCTTAGCTGTAGGGGGGTCATACACAGCCATGCAGTCGATGATGAGGCAGGGGCAGCTCTCTGAACCCATCTTCAGCTTCTATTTCTCACGGTGAGATGCAAAAATCTGTAAGTTTGTCAGGAGGCATTCAAAAGATCGATCTCATAGATGTTAATCTAGAATAACTAAATTACAACTCCCTGTAGTATTCTTACTGCTCCTTAAAACCATGAATATCATTCAGAGTTGAGATGGATATCCCAGCCATTTAAAAATATGTCATTTGGGGAGGGTTGCAACACATGCTAAGGTTTAATTTCCTCACATAGGAACATAGGAAGCTGTCTTATACTGAGTCTGGCCTTTACTCCATCTGACGGTAGCTAGCCGGGATTTCAGACAGCGAGTCTTTCACAGCCCTACCTGAAGATGCTGGCTATTGAACTTGTGACCTTCTTTCCACAAAGCAGATGCTCTGTTAGTGAGTTATGGCCCTTCACCATTAGCAGATCTTTCCTCAAAGACAGATGCTCTACCAATAAGATGTAGCCTTTCTGCCTACAATGTTATGCATACGATCCCCAAATGACAATCAAGTCCCCTATTTGCCCTGATACACTTTAGCCATCCTTTTGGCTTAGAAAATGGAGTGGTGAAAGGATGGGTTTTCTCCCTCCTTTGAATGTATGCTTATCAATCAAGAGAGAATCTGATCTTGGGAGGGGTGAGGGGAACCTTGTGGTCATTCAGGATTTGTCAAACTGAAGTAGTCTGTGCCCAATTGTTTGATCCCCTGCTCCCTGCTTTTATGTATGCAAATATAGACCTTCAAGACATTCATAAAGCTAGCCTTGACTGGTTTTGTCCATTTCCCCACTCAACAGCCAACCAACTGTTCAGTATGGAGGTGAATTGATCTTAGGAGGTGTTGACACTCAACTGTACTCAGGAGAAATTGCCTGGGCACCCGTCACTCGTGAGCTTTACTGGCAGATTGGTATTGAGGAGTAAGTGATATTCATAATTCTCATTTCATCTATAGCTAATCATGGTTTTTTGCTTTGATTTCCCATTGCCATGCCTCTATCCTGATGATAACAAAAGGTCTCCAGCCTCTTTGAATGTGCAGCATTTCTACAGAGGGGAATAATCTTATTCTTGTTTGCTACTTTAAAGTGTGCGTGTGTGTGTGTGTGTGTGTGTGTGTGTGTGTCTGCATGCTAGTACGGCAAGAGGTGGGTGTATTTGTGTGCTCCAGCACTGGAAATGAACCTTCAAAAACCAGGAGGGTAGTGATCCATTCAAAGCTAGGCACTTTAAAGTTCTATTAGTTTCAATGGGAGAGTTATGCAAAACAAAGAAAATAGTTCTAAGAAGGAGCAATAGATAACAAAACGGTGTTCACTGCTGCAAGGATGAGGATATCCTTGCTGAAGTGTAGTAGTTTGTTTTTTTAGCAAACAAATGCTGCCTGAAAGCTGCTGACAGGTGTGCTTGAGAAGCTCTCTGTTTCTAAAAGACTGCCAAATGAAGGCAGCATGGGAAAATGAGATGAGTCACTCATCACCTGTCACCAGGGAATAGTGAGATTCGCACCACAATATTTTGTGCAGCACTTTCAGTCATAATGGATGGACCAGCTAATAGAAGGAAACAAACCATGCTCTTCCCAGCACCTTGAATGCTGCAAAAATACAGGATTCCAGCAACTTAGGTTGGCAATCCTATGATGCTGCTTTACACTAAGGCAGCTTCTTTGGTCCATTTTGTCTAGCGTTGCCTAAATCTGCCTTTGCCAGCCTGATGCTCTCCAGATGCTTTGGTCTACAACTTCCATCAGCCACAGTGGCTGGGGCAAATAAGACTCATAGCCCAATACATCTGAAGAGCACCAGGTTAGCAAAGGCTGTTCTGCATGGATTAGTAGCAGCTCTCCAGCATCTCAGAGGTCTTTCCCATCACCTTTTTAACAGGACGTGTGTGGCAAATCCCTGGGTATTACCATTTTGTCTGCACCCCCCAGATTACAAGCTTTTCCAACAGAAGCTTCTTCTTTTACTCAAAGCATAGTAGATTCCCAAATTTTGGGATGTCCCAGATTTGGTATTCACATTTGAAAGTGGGAAACAGCATGGAGTTGAAAACTGGATTTTACTTTCCAGGAAAGATTGATCTGAATTAAGTAAACCTCTTTGGGTTATAGTTTATGTGGCTATGTATGTGTTTCCATGGCCATAATAGCTGTCTTTGTGTTGTATCCAACTAAACTCTACTCAGAGAAAACCCATTTAAATTAATGGACCTACATTGGTCATGTTATTTTCAATGGGTCTACTCTGAGTAGGACTAGCATTGGCCACAACCCTTTGTAGCTATAGATGAAGACTCCTCCATCTTAAATATTAGAAGGTCTTTGTGTTTCTCTTATTGCCTGCTTTGTTCTTTGTTGCTAATGTTGTCCTTGCAACATTCTTTGCTTTTATCTCTATAGGTTTGCCATCGGTGATGAGGCTACTGGCTGGTGCAGTGAAGGCTGCCAAGGAATTGTAGACACTGGCACTTGCCAGCTAACTATCCCTCAGCAGTACATTGGGACATTCCTGCAGGCTATAGGAGCTGAACAATACAATGGAGAGGTAGGTGGAGCAGGAAAATTCCTGCAGCTCACTCTTCACCACAGGGGAACAGGCTCCATCTGAAATCTTGCGCCTAGGATGGATGCTACAGCCAGGTTAAGTACAAGAGATGTGTGCTCCTAGATGATCACAGAGGCATTGTCCTCACTGCTATGGTAAAGAGAATGCTGGATTAGAAAATGGGTCTCAGCCTGATCCAGCAGGATAATTCTGACATTGCTTGTTTATTTGGTATTTCCATTTGTATTTTATTTATGGTAGAATTCGTTGCCATACTGTTCTTGCTTAAAACAAAAACCAAAAATCCCCTCAAGGCAGCTTACATAAAAATTGTCAAGTTCAGATAATTTTTTTTCAAAAACAAGGGGACTCTAAAAAGTGTCTGTTCTCTGTATGTGACTGGAATAAATCAAGCTTATGTTGTCTGCCAGTCTATTTTCTAGTGTGGATTGAGTCTGACCAATCTCTGGCCTGGTGTGCTCACTGAGTAAACCTTCTGTTTGTCTCCTTTCACAGTATGTGGTGAACTGCAACAATGTCCAGAACATGCCCACCATCACCTTTGTCATTAACGGAGTCCAGTTCCCATTGCCTCCCTCTGCCTATATCTCTGAAGTAAGTGTACAACATTGCTTAATGGCACATATTATACACCAAGGCACTTAAGCGTTAGAGAGTATCTAGGGATTGTACCAATGCTCTTGATAACACAGCCTTTGCTTTATGAAAAGATAGCATTGGCGGCATTTCACGTCATTTTTTCTGATCCTTATTTTGGGGACCTTGCATGGGTCTCTCCTTGCCATCTTATTTGTTTCCCTACATTTGTAAATGCAAAGATCTTTTCAAAGCCTAGTCTGCTCTGGATTTTATCTCTAGAAGCAAGACTTGTAAGAGTACCTACAAATGAGTGTTGGAGAATCCTTTAATTTTGTCATTTCTGCCAGAGTACGGATAGTGCTTGCTGCTTTGGCATCCCTATTGATCATGTGTGTATTACAGTCAGTTCTAAACTTGCACATGTGGGTGGTCAGAGACTCAGAACTAGAGCACATGTATTATGGATCTAACTCTCATAGCTACCACATGAGCTATGTACTTGCAAACAATCTCTAGGAAGTATATTTACAGCTATATAGTTATAGCAAGTGGATGAGCAGCCACATTTCTAACTTGCAATCTAATCTGGACATGATTTCGTACATCTTTTTCAAAGGCTTTATCACATTTTCTTCCAGCAGAGATGGAACTTATAACGCATTTTCTTTTATTTCACAGAGTAATGGATACTGCATAGCTGGAATTGAGACCACATACTTGGCTTCCTCAAATGGGCAGCCCCTATGGATCCTCGGTGATGTCTTCCTTAAGGAATATTATTCCGTCTTTGACATGGCTAATAACAGGGTGGGCTTTGCACCATCGGCTTAGACAACACAAAGGCCATTCCCTCTTTAGTCTACTGCTACTGTTCTCTTGGACTCAAAAGAATCATATTAAATTATGTTTGAAGGAACATTGCAGTTTCTGGATTTTCTATAGGCTGCCTGTCCCAGTTTGTATGTCATCAGTTCTCTTGAGAGCCACTGAAATGGGGAGATAAGCTCCAATTTGCCAGATTGTAGCCTCCTTCTCCCCATCACAACTGCACTCTGCCCTGGAAGAAGCATACAGTAGTAGCCCTCTGGCAGGCTGGAAGGAGCCAAATTTGCATGGGGACGACTCTCCCTGTGCACTTTCCTTGCTATTGCAAGCACTGAGTGCTTGTGAGAAACTGAATTAGATCACCTAAGCAATCTTAAGCAAAAAAATACATTTTAAATACCTGATTGAATCCTAGAATGAAGGGGCCAAGCTGGAATGTTAACTGCAAGAGAGTTCCACTATTCCACCCCAAAGGCCTGTCTTGTGTGCTCATCAACCTATCTGGTTTTCACTGGCAAGCACACAAACAGCAGATCTTATATTATGGGCTGGGACATACCGTACAGGCAATCTTTTAACTAACCAGACTCAAAACTATTTAGGCACTTTGAATTGGGCCAAGAAACATATTGGCAGCCAGTGTAATTGGCACATAATCAATTTCACATATTCACACCTTCAGGCTCCTGCTAGCATGCTGGAGGCTGAGAGGCTTTTTTACCAGCTGAAATTTCCGAACCGTCTCCAGAAGCAGCCCCATGTAAATGGCATAGTAGTAGCCCAGCCTGACACATGGTGACCAAGGCCAGGTCATGTATCTCCAGACTGGGCTGCAGCTGGTGTTCAAGACCGAAATGATAGAATGCACCGCAGAGAACTGCCACTACCGATGCCTCTACTGACAGTGGCAAGTCCAGGAGCACTCTCAAGCTGCAAACTCAAAACTTCAGGGGGAGTGGAATCCAGATTAGTGGGAAGAGAAAAAAGCCTCTGATCTGAATTGTCAGCTATTTGTGAAAGAAAAATACTAGGCTTAAGGACAAATGATGGGATTAACATTTAGCTTGGCCCTCAAATGGCTTTAAAAACGATTAGTCAATCTCAATTATCAGTTTCACCACATATGATAATCTGACCCAGAACAATGAATATGTCTCCAATAAAGTTAGTTTATATATGTGGGTGACATTTTAAAGATGATGAATACCACCCATAAACGATTTAGATCGAATGTTTCCTCACCTTCCACGAAATTATCTTCAGTGTTTCCTCTTTCCAGACATTCCACTCTCTGTATGATATAAGACACCTGCCTGATTTCCCCATGCTATTTCCTTCAATTGAACCACAAGAGATGTGGCTAAACGTTCTAAGTCTATGCATACCATATTCTGTCCAGGGCTGGTCCAAGACATTTTGCTGCCTGAGCAGAAGCAGGAAATTGTTCCCTCTGACTTAAGGTGCAGACTAGTTCCCAAAGCTGGTCAAGTAATTTTGGTACTTGAGGCAGAAAACCCCACAAGCACCTTTCTCCCTTCTTGGGAGGAAAAATGCAGCATTAATAAATTAAATAACTAATCACTTGCAGCCCTTTCATGGCACCCCAAAATTAACTGCCTGGGGCAACTGCTTCATTCTGCTTATTGGTAGGGCCAGTCCTGATTCCTTCCACTCTTCAAAACACTTATATTATTGTGCATCAGTGAAAAGATGTCCTGTGAAGAGTACAAACTGAAACATTGGAGGAGCCCATTTTCCTATCCAAGATTTCCATCCAAGGAAAGCTGTCAATAACAACAGAAATGCTTTCTATGGTCAGTTCTGCTGCCCATCTGGAAGCTTCACTGAAGTCCAGAACTGAAAGATTTTGTCATGTGATATGTTCACAAGCTGTGTTGACTGAAATCCATCACCTTGTGTCTTTCTTTTGTCTGTGTGTACAAATGTATATGTGTATGTACATGTATATGTGAAAAATGTTAACAATAAAAATATAATTAGAATGACTGAACCAATTATGGATAGTCTATCAATATCTAAAATGGTTATGGGACATAATACCAGATACTTGGGGCAAACAATAGATGGTTTTCTTCATTGTACCCTAGTTATGAGCTAATCAGGGGCACCTGATAGATGGCAAAATGGTGGCCTACATGGATCTTTGGTCTGATCCAAGAAGACCGTTCATATGCATCTGTTAATAATAACAATAAAAGAAACCTGTTAAGCAAATTGCAGACCACTGTATTTTTTAAAGGACAAGCAGCATTTATGCCCTTTGATTTTTTCCAGCTATGTAGTCCAGTTGAGGTCACTGAGAAACATGAGTGATAAAGCATTATCAATCCAGCATTCCTGGCAGGTGACCATCCAGCCTCTGCTTACAAACCTCTAATGAAGAAGAGTCCGCCATATTGCAAGGCAGCCTTTGAACAGTTTGCATCATTAGGAAGCTCTTCCTTATGTTTTGTGCAAATAATTGTTCTTGCAGTATGAACCCATTGGTCCAGATTCTATCCTTGGTGGCAACAGAAAGCAAATGTATTTGCTCCATCCTCTATGGAAGAACACAGAAAGTATTTGAAGATGACTGCCACAATACCTCTTTTTAGGGCTAAACATACCAATTCCATCAACCTTTCATCACAGGACAAGATTTCCAGGACCCTAACCATTTTTGTTGTGCTCCTATGGACATGTTTCAGTCAGCAGTGTGATGTGGCAGCTAAAAAGGCAAATGTAATTCTAGGTTGCATTTTAGATGGTGCAGCCTAGACTAACAACATTAGACTTTTTAGCTGCTGCATTGTATTACTGGCTCATATTTAGCTTGTGAACTCCTAAAACTCTATCATGCTCTTTGGCTGTCACATTCAGCAGAGAGGCAGACTTAGAGAGAGTGGCGATATCACCTGGAGCACCATCACCTCTTCCTTACAGACCACTCAGGCCAGATGATGGGGCTTCAACAGAGTCCTCCAGCCTGGGGAACACCTGCCCAATTCATACCGCTGCACAGCCATGCTGTAGGAGTCAGTGATTACAGATCAGGGCAATGGTCCTTTAAAGACAGCTCTTCCTGAGTGAGTCCAAGCAAGCAAAGATTGTTGTGAGCTCTCCAGGGTGCTGACAAGCTGCCTTTTGACCCTGCCTTCCCCCTGCTACCTTGATTGGGATCTGGCAGTGCCTACCAGAATTGACTGGACTACCAGACCTGCCTTGCCAGGACCCTGCTCTTTGAGATGTGCCCTTAGTCCTATCAACCTGGCCTCCTCTAGAACGTTAAGCCAGAAGAAGGCAGGACAGATCCTTAGATCCTTCCAATTCCCATTCCTGTCTCTTTTAAATGTGTTCGCCAGAAAGCTCCCCATGCAGCCACCCTGGTTTGTTTAGCGGTCTCCAGTTTCCTTGCTCACCATTGAGTGGATTGCAATTGTGCCTTAAATATCTCATGAAAGGGCTTGCATTGTGACTACTGCTAAAATGGTTTCAGTGCAAATCCTGTCTTAAAAGACGTTTCAGGACAAACACTTTCTTGATCCTGGAGCAAATCTCTCTGAAGGTGTGTTGTGAACACGTCTTCAAAGAGGCTCATTACCTGAAATCCTTGTGACAACAGATGAGTGATGCCACCCACCTGCAAAATATGGCATGCAAGGGGTAAGGCAGAAACAGATCTTGCCTACTGAGGGGGAATATGCTCCCCAGTCCTGGTATAGAGCTATCAAAAACCATGGATTACACTCCCCAAACACTCCCTTACTGCCCCCCCTTATGTATTAGTGGTTACCCACTCTGGCTTAACTCACACTCCTGTTACCTGTACATGATTTTATACCATTTTCTAGCATTTAATTGCTCTGCAGTTTAAACTCCTCCTGATCAGTTTTGTGTGACTCCTGCCAAGCATATCCTTTAAAAAAAGAAAAGGAAAGCTACATACATTATACACCGAACTGCACATGGGATGAAGCAAGATCATTATGATCATTTGGCAAAATGTGCAACAATATTTGTGACGATACCAATGTACATATATTGTCAAAAGAATGAATCTTATATATGAACTTAGCAGCACAAACTGTAATTGCAACTCAGTGGGAAACAGTCCAAAATCTTACACTGGACACTTGGTACCACTTGCGCTAGAATAAGAGCTATAATGGAGGAAATCATGTTGTAATTGTTACCTCCATTTTATATGCATTATAAAATGAAATAATAAAAAACTTTACCAAAAAATGATATGCATGCAACTTCTAGCTGGTGGGAGCTAAATACTATGTGATCAGAGTTTTGATTCAAATACCTCATTGGTAGTATAACTTTATATGGTCCAGCATGGGCCAATACTATAGTGAAGAGAAACCTGGAGTTACTCTTGATATTGGTTGGCATCAATTAAATCAATATTGAGCCTATCCAGCATTATGTAAGCACTTGTCAGAATAACTGTGATCATTAACTTGGCCTTTATAATTTCTGAAAAGAATATGACCAACTTTTCAAGGAAACTGATTATATTTCAGTAGATATCTTGTAGATATCTTATCACCATTTTTTTTATTTGTCCCTATAGCACAGCTTTGCTCCAGATCCAGTTCTTATAACTAAATCTTTTTACAATCAAAAGCACAAATTGCTTTTTAAAACCTTTTAAACAAAAGAATTTGATTCCCTATCATTCATAAGAAAACAGAAAATGTAGATATTGAGTATACATAATGATATTGGAAATCTAGAGTAAACAGATAAGCCAGTTGCTCTGAGTATAAAAGTAGGGACAAAGCAGCTGTAATTGTGGAAAGGATTTGTGGATTCTCTAGAAGATTGCTTTGGTCAAGACAGTGAGCACCATGAAGTGGCTGATCCTGGTATTGGCTTTTCTCCACCTGTCAGAGGGCCTGGAGAGGTGAGTGTCTCAACAATAGCAACAAATGAGCTAAATATATGACTGGAAATTAAATCAAGTCATACATTTTCAGCCAATGTTCTTATAATGTTCCATAGCAAAATTAAACCTTCGCTTCTCGGCTTTGAGAGTTTATCTCCCTCACACTCCCTTGCTTTTATTGAATGAATGGATGAATAATAAAGAAGCACAATGGGCCATTAGTAGCTCCCAATAACAAAGAATAGGAAAGCAGGTGAAGAAAGAGTGCATAGCAGAAGGACAGAAAGGCCACCCATGTTGCTTCTTTGTGTCTTATGCAGAGTCATTCTGAAGAAAGGGAAATCCATTCGGGAGAACATGAAGGAGAAAGGAGTGCTGGAGGAATTTCTGAAGAAACACCATGCTGATCCTGCGTTGAAATACCACTGGAATGAATACAACATTGCTTACGAACCAATAACCAACAACTTGAATGTGAGTATTGCATCAATATGAATCTGTACCTCTTCTCTCCTCCTTCTCAGAGTGGTAGAGAAAATACATGAACTTGCACATTGAGCTCAGCAGTTGATAATGCCATCAAACAACCCATTCCCCCTACAATAAGAATGAACTGAACACTCAACCGTATGTGCTCAGAGGTGTGAATTGGGGCTCTCTGTTTTATGACAGCAAGACACAGATGTTTGTCCAGTGTGCATTAATAAAACACACCATAAATGATGTCAGATTCTACTTTTAATTTTGGGGGTCATGGCTTCATGGTATCTTCTTTGCTTGCTGACTTGTCTGCTGAGCATTCCATGAGACACACTAAAGATTATGAGCCTGGGTAAAGGCTCCAGAGAAGAGATATATGCATCTTTGCTTGCCATGTTCATCCCAACAAAGGCAGATGCATTTTCGTGTTTTGTATCTTCAGTAGAGGAAAGTGCTGTAGTGAAAACATCCACCTTCAAGTCCTTTCTCTGGATGTTGGCAGTTAGAGAAGAGGATTAGGGATTATGATTCTAGCATCTTGCATAACCCTCCTGTTTGCTTTGCTGTATGCTCTTGGAGAGTAGTGTAGTTTACCTTCTCTGTGGGATGCATTGCTAAACTGAAGTCTTCATGATCTAAATAGCCCCTTTGAGATCATTGGTAGCAAATTATTAGCAAGGTGGTGAAATGATAAGAGCATTAAAAGATGTGGTGAAATTCCTTTATTCCACCTCATTCAAGCTTTCTCCATTGGCAGTCTTTCTACTTTGGAGAGATCAGTATTGGAACTCCACCCCAGAACTTCCTGGTTCTCATGGACACAGGTTCTTCCAATCTCTGGGTACCTTCTGTGTATTGTAATACTGCAGCCTGTGGTGAGTACTCTACACAGTTGCTGAAAGTGGCTGTTTGTCTTCAAGAAAGCACTTCATTTTGTTTAGAAATAATCTTACTGCAAACCTTATTTGCAGCTTCCAAACCTGGAATATCATTATAATATATTGACGGACAACCCTAAGATTCTCCTCCCTCCCCTGTTTCTGGGCACAAGCCCGTCTTTCTCTGAGTTCAAATTCTTTATTTTTTCTCAACATATCATGAGATATGATACTAGAGCTCATTTGAAGCATTGTGTGTGCACAGTGTGGGTTAGAAACAGCAAATGGTGTTGTGATGGCCAGATACCATGATGCTACTCAGCTAAGAAGTGCTGGAGGAATAGTCAATGCAAGCAGATCTTATGAAAGCAATAGCATATTGCATTAATCAAGACGGGCAAATCTGTCAGTTTCAGCTTTTCATTTTTTCCAGTCTTATGTTCAGTTTGTCACATTACTGCATTGGTTTGCAAATCTTCTTTTAAAAAGTCCTCACAGAAATGCACATATATTTTAGTGCGCATTTCTCCCAATATACACAATTTTGTAAGCCATTTTGTCTAATATACACATTTTCTGTAAGCAATTTTCCCTAATATATACTAGCCACAACAGTTATTTTCTACCTTCTCTGTCAGAGTCAGCATGACTCAGAATACTGGCTCCTGGGAATCACAGGTGAGAAGAGAAAACTGTTTGCACTCACATCCTGCTTACTGGCTTCCAATAGGCATCTGATTGACCATCATGACAACAGAATTCTGACTTAGATGGGCCATTACCATGATCCAGCGGCTCTTCTTATATTCTTATATAACGCATTTTAGTATATTATTTTCATTCATATCATACATTTTTATGTACAAATGTTCTAGCGATGAAGATACATTATGAAGCTGTCCTCAAACCATGTTAAAATGGTGCAGGGCCCTAATTTTGACCAACAATGGGGACCTTCTGAGGTAAATGCAGTACAATGTTTGTATATTTTTTGTGAGAAGTGCCCCTTTCCTGTTGCCTCCTTTTTAGCCTCTTCACTATGTGTGCATATAAGAGTTCATGGGTGATAGGCTGGGTCTGTAGCAAAGTCAGATCTGTTGTAAACTGAATCTTGCATGCTAATGGGCAGCTTTCACTGCCTCATAGAGATAGATTTGTACTCTGTGTTTCTTTTTTATTCTAGGTAACCACCATAGGTTCAACCCCAGTGCATCTTCCACTTACTCCAACAATGGACAGACCTATACACTATCCTATGGGAGTGGTAGCTTAACTGTCATGCTAGGCTATGATACAGTGCAGGTAAGTGAACTTTGCACTGTGAGTCACTCATCCTTAAGTGTGCCACATTCTGGGAATATTCAAACTAAGGTAAAGCTAATAATTCTGGGAATCCAGTTACCAATGGCAGGAATCCTTTGCAGTATAAGAATGCATCCTGTTCTGAACTCAGCATCGAAATCTGAATTTAACAAGTGCAAAAAACTAAGTTCCTAAGGCACAGCAGTGATTGGTGGTACCCACTGAGATCCAGTTTTGCTGAGATTGACACCAGACCACATTTTGAAGAATCCACTCCACTGGGACTCATTGTCTCTTCGTGTAGCATTATTCCTAAAATGTTGAGTATTGCCTGCCAGTTATCACGATTCACGTTGCAAGTGAACCTCACTGATTCCTTCTCTCCAGGTCCAGAACATTGTCGTTCAAAACCAGGAGTTTGGCTTGAGTCAAAATGAGCCTTCCAGTCCTTTCTACTATGCCAGTTTTGATGGGATTTTAGGCATGGGCTATCCCGGCTTAGCTGTAGCAGGTCCCACCATTATGCAGCAGATGCTAAGACAAGGGCAGCTTTCTGAACCCATCTTCAGCTTCTATTTCTCCCGGTAAGATCCAAAACCTGATATTTTTGTCAGGGGTATGTGCAAGAAGAATTAATCTAGGATAAATAAAATACTCCTACATGGTTCCATCCTTACAGTAACAAAACACAGTTGAGAATGAGCGTATGAGCAATTGATGCAAATTAAGCTTTCTGTTAGCCCCTTGACCCTTCTTAATCAACCTTCCCTTTTAATATCATCACTGGAGTGATGAAAGGATGGATTTTCAACAGTGGAGTGAGATCCTTGTTAATGTGGGGCAAATTTGTTCCTGTTCCTGATTTGTTCTTTCCCCCTTTGACCTGCCAACTGTTTATTGCTCTCCATTTATGCTTTCTCTAATCTTCTCTAGGCTTATTTACCTGTGGACTTATAGAGCACCATCAAATTTATAGGTAGTTAGAACTAATCCTTGTCTTTTTTAAACCATTTTTGTTTCCTCAGCCAACCAACTGCTCAGTATGGAGGGGAAATGGTTTTGGGAGGTGTAGACAATCAGTTGTACTCTGGGCAAATTACCTGGACGCCTGTCACCCGTGAATATTACTGGCAGATTGGTATTCAGGAGTAAGTGGCACACATAATTTCCATTTTACCTATACCTAGCTGTGCTTTCCTGCTTTAAACATGTTCCATTTCCAGGTGACAAAAATGGCTTTGCCTTTCTGCAGAGTGGGGTACTTTTATTCCTCCTGCTTACTGCTTTAGAATACGTGTGTTGTGGGCTTGGGACTGGAATGAAACGATTGCATCAATGGATATTCCAGCTGGTTATAGCATTTAACTAAAAATAAAAATCCAAACAAGCAACAATATATTGCAGTATGAATACTGAGAAAATATAGATTTTCTGGAACTAAAATGTTGCCTTGAGGAAAACATATAATGTCTGCATCTTTATTGTGCGCACATACTTGAATGCATGTAAAATCCAGAAAGGCCATTAACAACTTCTGTCATAGCCAAAGATCACTCTTTTGTGCCAGCCTCAAGAGAAGCAATAGGGTTAATATCTTAGCATGAAAATGATTGGGTGGATCAGTGCACAATCTACTCCAATTAATATGTGACAAGATGAATCCTATGGGGAAGCTCTGTGAACGGGAGGAAGCGTAGGTGGGAAAGACTGAATCTCAACCAGTGAATTTTCTGTATAATATATGTGGAAGGAGGTGGCGCGTTTTGTTTCAGTGTACAATGCACAGCTACAGAGGTGAGTCTCTGAGAACCCATTTGGGGCCTTAATATCGCTTCTTTCCTCTGCAGGTTTGCTATTGGCAGCCAGGCTACTGGCTGGTGCAGTCAAGGCTGCCAGGCAATCGTGGACACTGGAACATATCTACTTGCTGTCCCACAGCAGTACATGGGGAATTTCTTGCAAGCTATAGGTGGTCAAGAATACAATGGTGAGGTGAGTAGATGAGGTAATTTCAGAAAGCCACACCTCAGGAGACAGTGAGCTGCTTGCAGGAAACACAATGTGCTCATAGAACTTTGCTATATGCATCAAAAAGAACGGAAAATATTTTGCTTGTTTTAGCCTGTTTTCTACAGGGGACATGACTCAACCAACCTCTGTTCTAGCATACTCAAATAGTTAACCTTCCCTCTTTATTTGTTCTTTTTCAGTTTGTGGTGAACTGCAACTATGTCCAGAACATGCCCACCATCACCTTTATCATCAACGGATCCCAGTTTCCACTGCCTCCATCTGCCTATGTCACCAATGTATGTATATACCATATTGCTAAACATAATTCCCCAGAACAGTATGCGTTTTGAACCATGCTATGTTTATAATACCTGTCTCCTTGATCCTTGCCCATCCTGGCTTATAAAAGTGAGCCGGGAAGGGCTGGGCGATGGGCTCTGTGGGGTGGTGAATGCTTCCCTCTGTGAGGGAGCCTTCCCAGACCTGCTGAAAGAGGCAATTATAAATAATAAAATTATTATTATTATTATTCCATCATTATCGTATTCTGTCATTAAACCTTATAAATTACCTGATTTCTGTTTTAACAACAGATTAAGAGTCTGGTTTTTCTATACTAAGGGGTGGCATTTATTTACTCAGGAAAACTGTTGTAATGGTGCCTTGTATTTTTTTCTCCTAACGTTTTTTGTGGGGTCATTTTAATTTTATTTTTTGAGACCATAGACCTGACACGGATCTATCATTGATGTTAGAATTCTTTTCTAGATTTATAGTTGCAGATTGTTCCTAAAGAGATGTTTGCTTGGACTGTAGTTGCCAAAAGGAAGAGTATGAGTAGTACTAGCACCTATAAAATAGTGAAAAAGTATCCCTCCATTTTGTCACTTCTCCCAGAGTGGAGATGATGCTCACTGGGCTAGCCTCACTATTGGCCCTGTCTGCATTGTGGCCAGCCCTGAATCTGGACATGTAGATGGTCAGAGACATACTGGAGCATATCAAATGTGGAACTCTAGTGTGTCTTTGCGAACAAGTCCTTATTCCAGGCTTCCTTGAAATGCTGTCTTATTTATTTCCTCAGCATAGGTTTAACTTGTTTTGTTTTGTTCCACAGAATAATGGATATTGTACAATTGAGATTGAGGCTACGTACTTGCCTTCTCCAACTGGGGAGCCACTGTGGATCTTGGGTGATGTCTTCCTTAAGGAGTATTATTCTGTCTTTGATATGGCCAACAACAGGGTGGGCTTTGCACCTTCAGCCTAGATAAAGAAAAAAAAGCCCAATTCTTTTCTGGATCAATAGTGCTACTCTTTGGGAATTCAACAGAATCATTCTACATTGTTTGTAAAGGAAATTGCAGTATTCTTACCTTTCCACAATTCATCTGCTACTGCTTTTATACTATAAATTCTCTTGAGATCCATTGCTATGGAGAAATAAATACCAATATGCCAAATTTCTGGCTGTCTGTTTCAATATTGTATGTGTGGGTATCTGAGGTTCAATCTAGGAAACAATCTAGGTGTTCCTTTTTTCTATGTCTTGTCTCTTCAGTGACTCCTCAGGTCTTAAAATCCTGAGTTCTGAATCATGAACTAAGAGTCTATAATGAAATTTGAGGAACTCTATGGCATTGATTCCAGTTTTGGAAAACTGAATGGGATCAATTTCTCCCAAGGAGTAAAACCAACTTCAGTAATAAAATATCAGCTTTAAAATTTTGCAGGTTACTGAGAGAAACATAAAAAACAAGCATAGCATATGTCATAAATCTACATAAACACATTGATCGTCCAAAATGTCATTACTTTGGCAGTCATGATATTTCATCTTTTTAGGACTACCAGGGCCGATAATAGTAATCATCTAATAAATGTAATCTAGAAAAATAAAAGCCTAAACGAAGGCATGATATAAAATAATGAGCAGTGTCGAGAGAGTTACTAATTATTATCTCAAAATACCAGAAATTGATATAATTCAATGAAACTGATTGGCAGTAAGTTGAGGACAGCTAAACAGAAGCACTTTTGCACACAATGTGCAATTGACTTTTGGAATTCAGTATCACAAAAGTGTTGATAGCCGTTAGCCCTAGATGGATTTTAAAGAGGAGCAGACATATTAATGAAGGATAATCTGCCAATGGTTATTAGCAATGATAGCTTAAATGGAGCTTCTCTTTTCAGAAACATTATTTCACTGATTGGGGGACAAACAGGAGATGAATATCTTCATCATGCCCCCACTCCATTACAGATGATAGTATGCTAGACTAGACGTACCTTTGGTCTGACCCAAGAAGACATGTATTTTTCTGCCTATTAAAAAAGAAGAAACCTGTTAAGGAAATCCTATTTCATATTAGGCTATTATTTTCTGACACAATGCAGAAAAGAATCATTAATAAAGATGACGGACTCCGAGACCTAAGTCCATGGTGTGTATTTGTTAGGAAATTTTTGATGCACTGATACTTCTGCCAATGGATTGTCATGAGGCTTTCTTGGGCTCTACTTACCTCCCAGCTACCATCCAGTCCCCTTTTGTGTAGAAGTAGCTGAGAGGGCATGCATATACTAAACCACTGCTATCTGTGGTTCCAATTGCACAAGTTCCAATGCTGAGCATTGGAAGTAATCAGCTAATACTTGAAAGCACTACTCAGCTCATGTGTGGTTGTGGAAATATGCAAGCATGGTGATGGTGATAACGCCTGAAGCTGTATATGCTTTAGTACTGAGGAGTATATGTACAGCTATCATACGCCAAGCATCAGAAAAAACAGGGGAAGAAATAAATTATTGCAATCAATTAATACACAAGAGCTCAGTCATAAAGGCTCACAGTGGCAAGAAGTTTTTCAAGAAATTGAGAGAATGGAGTAAGTTAGAGCCCTTTAAGACAAACAAGGTAAAGAAGGATCTTCTGCTTTTGAAACTGAACAAGGTGGGTGGAAGGCAAGTAAGCTCCTGGCCAGCAGATTTGCTCAGAAAACTGATATCTGCACATGAGAATGCAGGAAACACATATATCACAGAAACTGGGATGCCTGTGACTACCAGTTTATATTTGGAATTACAGACCTCAGAAAGCCCAGCACCTGATAAAGTATGTGCACTTGTGAACTTGTATGTATATATATGCGAGGTCTTAATGGGGGAACATGCACAATTCATTGAAAAGGAAATTACCTGCTCAGAGGTACTAGATTCAATTAATGTGCTGAGGAATTACAAGTCTGCAGTTTTCTGTGAAGCCTTTAAATATAGTTTGGTCTGGCAAAGTTTATTTTAAATCCTGCAGCCAAACCAGAGGGTTCAAACTCCTGCAGCATCATGGTATTAAAACAGGTGGATCTGCCACAAATAGGAGGTCATTGGCAACTAATCCTATCTTACACGGCTCTTGTCCAATGATTATTCTTTCCACATTGTCATTTTGTCTAATTAAATTTTCAAAAATATGGAATACCTGCAGAAATTATTTCCCTTTAAATACGTCACCTCCTCACTGAAATAATTAGAATTAAATATTTCTATTCAGTTTTCACAGTTGTATCAAACCATCTTTGAAACATTCTTGAATATGTCTGGAAAAATCCAGATGTGTGGTAACTCTAGACTGTCATGTGGTCTTGGTGGCCACTCCCAGTCACCAGTCTAGCTGCTGCATTCTGGATTAGTCACCTTCAAAGGTAGCCGTACGTAGCAGTCCAAGTGGGAGATAACCAGGGCCTGCACCACTCTGGTGAGACAGTCAGCGGGCAGGTAGGGTCTCAACCTGCATACCAGATGGAGCTGGTAGACAGCTGCCCAGCTGTGAGTCCAAAATGACTCCCAGGCTGCACACCTGGTTACCACATTCAGGACCAGGTGGTCCCCCACACCTGCTTGCCCCCTGTCCCCCCAAAACAGTACTTCTGTCTTGTCAGGATTCAACCTCAATCTGTTAGCTGCCATCCATCCTCCAACCACAAAGGACATTCACTGCCTTCACTGGTTCTGATTTGAAGGAGAGGTAGAGCACCCAGCCCAAATGATACACCACACCACATTTTCTGTGTTTGTTTCAAACACTCCAAGCTTACATCATGGAAGAACAATTGAGAATATGGCAGAATTATTTTTTAGGCTTTATCTGGCATGGGAAAAGGCACTATTTAAGGAATTCAAACATTATAAGGAAAACCAAAAAGTGGGGGAGCAGCAGTGCCAAATCTCTTCTACTATTACATTGCTTTACAATTGGCACAAATGGTAAAATGGGGAAGGGCTTTTTTATGTCAAGCTGAGCAGCATGCAGCCATTTCTTATTTTCTGGAAGCTACTGCAGGATCTACAAAGCAAAGTAGAAGAGTGATTCTTAATAAAAACCTGGTTACAGCCAGTAGTATATTTAAGCTATGGGACACATGATGTATGCATATTTCTTCAGGGACATCACTGCTAAATTGTTTCTTATTGCATTCAGATGTTCTTCAGAGTATTTTTTTTCAACCCATCCTCATCCTAGGCTAAGGAAGATTTTAAAAACTTTATATACCTAAACCATTATCCTAACTTGCTATGTTTGCACAGATTATGACCATCTTTAAAAATACACAGAAGAACCAACAAATATTTTTATTCCCTGGTTTTCTGAACATTCAAATAACAAACATCAGCATAAAGCAGAAAGACTACAACAATCTTCAACAGAAATTCCATTAACTTGATTGGGATACTTGCAATTCAAAGTCTTGTGCAGAAAAAGGACTTGCAAAGGTAACAAGTAACAAGGCCAGTAAGTTGATATGAATGTGGTGAACTCAGTCTACGGACAAATGATCTTGTAAACAACTTATATAAACAAATGGGAAAAAATTATATGAAAAGGAATTGCAGAAGGAGATTGAAGATGATACAGCAGAGCTGGCACATCCATGAGGTGGGATGAAGTGCCCGTCTCAGGTGATGCAAGTGCAAGAGGTGGCACTCTGCCCACCCCAACACTTCTGCCACTGTCAAGAGGGAAGCATTTTGGTGTGTGGCATTGCTGTTAGTTCTCCCTGCCCGCAAAGGAGAAGCTGACTGGGAAAGCTTAGAGAAGTGCTCCAGCTCCTGCCACGTTTGTTGAGAGCCAAGGTGCAGCAGCGGTAGAAGTGGTGAGGTGGAAACAATTCCTGTTCTACCTCAGGTGGCGAAACAGAATGGGCCTCTCCTGCCCAGATCACTTTGTGTAAATGTAAATGATTTCTTTCTTTCTTTCTTTCTTTCTTTCTTTCTTTCTTTCTTTCTTTCTTTTTAAATGTGTTTACCAATTAAGTACAGCTACATGGCTCAGAAATGGGCTTTCCTAGAGGAGATGCCTAGAACAGGTGGCATATGTTTATCATTGGAGGACATGGACTAAGACACTAAGATGCAGAAGTTTGGGGAATTGAGGCAAATTAATATTAACTGCATGGGTGACTTGTCCAAAGCACAAAGTGATTGCCATTATACACAAGGATTTGAATCTTGGCTTCCCACATTTAAAACTAGCACAGTCCACTGGCTCCACAGTTGGGGAGGGAGTGAAATAAACAAGCATACTGAATCTTTGTTTTTTTCACTCCCTCCCCAACTGTGGAGCCAGTGAATAACCTTGAAGGAAACTGAACAGAAAATACACAAGTGAAACATTGCCTCATTCCTGTGCCCAAAGACGTGTAGTCTCAATGCTTTGGACTGATTACTTGGTAAAAACTCCACTGAATTGGAGGGTTTTTCTCTTCATTTGCCCTTAAGAGTCCGCTTTACTTCTTCAAAAAACCACAACGAGCCCTTTCAGCTGTTTATTCAGCTGATGACCGATAGCTTTCATAGCTCACTCTGATGGACAAATTTTATGTCACTTTACCCTGTGTTGGCTTTGGGATTGATAAGGATAGTTTTCCATGCTGATACGATAGAGCGGTATAAATGGTGCCTGTTAATCTAATGTCCATGAAGGTCTTTAGCAGTGATTCCTGCACTGTATGGTTCCATCAGTGGGAAGAAAGGTCAACAGAATTAAAAGAACATGGAGAGAGCCATGCTGGGTCAGACCAAAGGCCCATCTAGTACAGCATCCTGTTTTCACAGTAGCCAACCAGATGCCAGTGAGCAGCCTGTAAGCAGGGCCTGTATGCAACAGGGCTGTCCCTACTTGCAATGGCCAGCAACTGATAGACAGCAGCATAACTTAGTGTATGGGGGGGCCTCATTTAATTTCACTGCACACAGATGGTGTAGTGACAATAAAGGTTTATTATTATTATTATTATTATTATTATTATTATTATGCCTCTGACATTAAGGGTAGAGCATAGTCATTTGATAGCCTTATCCTTTATGAATTTGCCTAATTCTCTTTTAAAGCCATCCTAGTTGGTGGCCTTCACAAATTCTTACGGGAGCACTTTGTGAAGTACAGTGGTACCTTGGGTTACAGACGCTTCAGGTTACAGACGCTTCAGGTTACAGACTCTGCTAACCCAGAAATAGTACCTCAGGTTAAGAACTTTACTTCAGGATGAGAACAGAAATTGTGTGGTGGTGGCACAGCGGCAGCGGGAGGCCCCATTAGCTAAAGTGGTACCTCAGGTTAAGAACAGTTTCAGGTTAAGAATGGACCTCCAGAATGAATTAAGTTCTCTTTTTTTTTTAATAATATTTATTGAGAATTTTAAGACTACAAAGAAAGAAAGAAAAAACAAGAAGGAAAAAACAAGTAACATTTAAACAATACGACTCAATAAAAAAAACAAGGTCAAAAAGAGAAAAAAACAAAACACATAATACATCAAAATCAAAAAGCAAAAATAGACAAAAAATTTAAAAACAAATCCAATATTCCCAAATCATTAACTGTCATTACCTTGTTTCATCGACCTCCTCACACCTCCCTTTTTGTATTCTAGTTATTAATTATCTCAGCAAATCCTTTCCATCTTTCATAATATTCTGTCATTAAATTACCTTAATCTATTTTAACCTTATCTTACCATAAAAGGCCCTAAAACTTAAAACTTAAATCTTATTTATACCAAATTCTCTTAACCATGACATATTTTTACATAATACATTTAACATTTCTGCTAAAGCCAAAAAATTTCATTCCAACATTTTTCTAATACTCTTTACTTTTACAAGATTTTCCTAAATAATTTGTTTAAAACTTTCTTCCAATCTTCATCCAACGTCTCTTTCTCCTGGTCTCGGGTTTTGTCAGTCCTTTCTATCCCATCCATCTAGTCCATCAACCTGGTAACCTTATATCCGAGGCCCTTGGATCTCTTCCATGTCCCATCCGCAGATCTTCTTCATATTTATACCTGTGCTTTACTTTGTCTTCTGCTCCTTTCACTCGGGGAGACTCCAGCTTGACAATGTTTTTGTCCCATCTCGACAGATCAGCCCCTTTTCCAAAGTCAAAACTGAACTCCATGTGGTATTTAAAAGCATGTTTCAAAGTCCCTCCAAAGTTAAGGGCCCGCACAACTCCGAACGCCTCCCGCCCCAAAGCCAGACTTGAAAGGTCAAATCATCCCTGCATAGGGGGGTCTATCCAGCCCCCCATCTCCAAACCAAACAGAACTCTGTCTCTCCAAATCTGGCTTTCTCCAGGTTCATTCGTCAAGTCCAACAACTCATGTTCCTGCTGGGCCACAGTTCCCTCCATCTCTGCCTCGAATTAAGGTACCACTGTACTTTCTTTAGTCCGTCCTGAATCTTCCAACATTCAGCTTCATTGGAGGGGCCTAGGATTCTAGTATTAGGAAAATGGAAGAAACAAACATCACTCAGCCTACTTCCTCTACACCACGCAAAATCTTATACACCTCTATCATGTCCCCTCTTGCTCATCTTATTAAAAATATATATATCCAAAATGCTGTAATGTTTTTCACATAGATGAGTTGTCCAACTTTACACTGAATCTCATTTGCTGCCCATTGAGTCATTTTTAGAATATCCTTCTGAAGCTCCCCATAGCTTGCTTAGAATGTCAGGATTCTGAATACTTGGGTTTAATCCACAAGCTTGGTTACCCCACAATTCACCCTTGACTCTAGATCATTTATGAAGACATTAAATAGCATCAGCCTCAATGTAAGTCCGTGGTGGACCCTACTTCTTAATTCCTTCATTTGTGGAGACGGTTCACGGTATTTATTTGAATGCAACATTTCCTGGCCTTTAACCGGTTACCAGAAGAGGAACTGAATCTTGAATATATTTTTTTCTAGAATCCTTTATCTCAAAAGTCAGGCTGGATAAATCCCTACATTGATTAATCATTCAAATGTTTATTATTTTAATTGTTACTAGGAAACAGGAATATCATGAAAAATCTGTGGCAGGCAGACTTCCGGGTCAGCGCCATTGGTGAATGGCGGAGTTCCTCCGACCGGAGGAACGGGCTCCGTGGAAACTGGGTCTTCCTGCCGCGGCGAAGGTGGGGACCCGCTAGAAATCCCAGGCGGAAGAAGCCTGGGGATGTGCGGTTCGGCAGGGCACCAGAAGCGCCCCCCTACTCGTGGGGAATCCCATCTAGGGGCTCTGGAGCGAAGTGGGGTGAGAAGCGTGGTGCTACGAACTGACTGCTACTTTCACGGAGTGAAGCCGCACAGCCATTGCCAGAGAGCGCTGACTTTTTCCTGTGGACAATTGGACTTAAAACAAGTACCCGTGAGTAGAAACGGAAAATTGGATCAAGAAATTGTTTTAATTTGGTATCGAAGCGGGAAGGTGCAAACAGGAAGTCCGCCTTCCGCTTTTTTGTATATAGACTAAAGCAAAAATTTCGCAAGCTAAAGCCGGGAAGCTGTCAAAAAAGGACTAAATTTCCTTCATTTAGAAACACTGAAACCCCCCTTGGAAGCAGGAGAAAAGGGGGGGGGACTCTGTTTAACCCCAGCAGGAGAGGGAGTGAAGAAGGATAAGTTTCCACCGTCTCTAACCTGGGAACGGGGTGTCAGAGACAGAAACTGTTGGAGAGGTTCATTGACTGTGAACGTAACACTTTGACAGATAGCTAATGAAGAGAAACAAGTTGATTCTAATGTTGCCTTTTGCATCTTAAAGAAACAAAATATCTGAAAAACGTCTGAAATATCTGAAAAATGAAAGTAACTTTCCTTTGTCTTTAAAAAAAAAATGGATACAAGTAGATTGTCTCCTCTAGAGGGAGCTTGCTAAATTGTTGTTGCAGCATATTTGAGACCCAACATCTGTGAGATTAAGACTGTGGGAACAGTCTTTTCTGACCTTGAACAAAGATGAGCTGGGAGAAAGACTGGCTGCTTGCTCTATGCAAGACAAATGCTTTGCTGGAACAGATGCATGAAAAGATGGACTTGATGAATGAGAAAATGGATTTGACTGTTGTGGTTAATAACATTGATACAGAAATCATCCAAGAACCAACCTATCAATCTGTACTGACTGGGCAAGTGCAGTTGACAATGGAGGAGGATGCGGTTGCACCTCAAATAGTACAAATGGAGAGACCCGAGGCCCTACAGGAGCATAAGCCGCTGCTATTGAAGATTGAAGTTGGAGTGGGCCAAGGGGAGTCTGGAGAGGAGGAGGTTCCTAGCTTTGGAGAGATTTTGAAATTTGATTTTAAATTCATTTTGGATTATATCGAGGACTGTGGGGAGTGGGACTGTGGGGAATGGGTGAGTTGGATGAAGGGTGATAAAGACAATTTTGGGTTGGAATCCCCCAGAGACCTACTCCTCAATGAGAAAGGAAAGAAACTAAGACAGAGACCAATAAGAGACAAGGAAAAGGGCAAGCACAAACAAGATGAAGAAGAATTGCAGAAGGGACATGGAAGAGATTTAAGGGCCTCGGACATAAGGCTTCCAGGTTGATGGACTACATGGAATGGACAATAAGGACTGACATGACCCGAGACCAGGAAGAAGAGACGCTGGATGATGATTGGAAGAGAATTTATAAGGGAATTTTTATTTTATTTTAGAATCAGCTAATGAATATTAGGGAAAATGTGGGAATGAAACTATACGACTCTAGCAGAAATGATATCAGGAGTTATGTATATTTGAAATTTAAGATTTAAGTCTTAAGGCACTTAGGGGTAAGATAAGGTTAAATAAATTAAGGTAATCTGAATAATAGAATATGGGGAAAGATGGTAAGGATTTGTTGAGTTAATTATTAGGTTAAATTGTTAAGATAAATTTTATAACAAAAATTGAGAAAGATGGAAAGAATTTGCTGAAATAATTACTAAACTAGAACACAAAAACGGAGGTGTGAGGAGGTCAATGAAACAAGCAAATGGAAATTATGGATATGCAATTTGGGATTTGTGTTTTTTTTTCTTTTCTTCTTCTTTTTTACTTTTTTATTGCTGTATTGTCGTATTGGTTTTCATATTTTGTGCTTTTCTCTTTTTTTATTTTCTTCTTTTTCTTTTTTCTTTTTTTTGTATTGTAGTGTTGTTTTTTGTTTTTTATTTTTCTTGTAATTTTGAAATTATTAATAAATATTATTTTTAAAAAAACAAATGAAAAATCTGTGGCAGACATAACCCATTTGGTGAACTGTTAAATATTGCAGTGGATCTGTCTGTCTGTCTGTCTATCATCTATCTATCTATCATCTATCTATCATTTAACTATAACCTATCTATCATCTATCATCTATCATCTATCTATCTATCTATCTATCATCTATCTATCTATCTATCTATCATCGGTATATGCAAGTGTCTATACATACATATATACCCCCACATGCACAAATACTGAATCCCTTGATTTCTAGAAGAAACAATGGGATTGAGATGAAGTGAAATGGGGTGAAGAACAGTGATTGTTCCTTTCTCATTCTTGATAACCCCAATTTTTCTCTTGCTGTATCAGCACATGTATTGTTTCTTATCTAATCTTAATTGCTTTATATACACAATTATTACTTTTAATGGAAAGTCAATGAAAGGATAAAAAAAATTTCTTAGCATACCTGATTGTGTTGATAGTGGTTGGGTACTAGGCTACAAGGAATGGCAATGCAAGCCAATATGGTGTTTACATTTTTTTGGTTTGGGGGGGGCATCTGTGGTATAAAAGCAAGGGCTGAAAAGTGAGACTTCAGACCACTTTCTTCTGAGGTCTACAAGCTCATCAGGTGTCGTGGGAGAAATCAAGCATCATGAAGTGGGTGCTCCTGGTTCTGGCTTGCTTCCAGCTGTCAGATGGACTAGTGAAGTGAGTGTTCTTACTCAGTTTAATACTATATATGAAACAGAACAGCATAGAGACCAATAAGATGCAAAAATTGTTCACTTGCTAATCAGGTAGCATTAGAATTTTTGAACTTTCATGGTGTAAGTCAGGAGTAAGGTAAAATTATATAGCACAGAGAATTAGATGAGTGTACAGGGATGAGTGAAGATGTGAGAATATTTTTCTCCACATGGTAAGGAGGAGCCATGTATAAAGGGTGTTTCATGCAATAATACTCACATATTCAGTAAACCTAATTTCTTCGGTTTGTTGAATGTACATCCTTCCATCAATTGCCGTAGAAAAACAACAAGTGGGCAAGGGGCAGTCTCAGCGCAGGAACAGGAACAAATATGGTGGTGGTTCTTTGTCATCCAAGTTGTGTGGGGTCCTTGAATGGCAAGTATCACTCTATTAATTATATATCTATGCTCTGCTTTTTAATTCCATGTAGCGTCCTTCTGAAGAAGGGCAAGTCTATCCGAGAGGTGATGAAGGAGAAGGGTGTGCTGGAAGATTACCTGAAGAACCACAAACTTGACCCGGCCAAAAAGTACATCTTCAATGAATACAATGTTGCTTATGAACCAATGGCGTACATGGATGTGAGTCTCCCGTCCTTTCTGAGTTAACTTGTCTTTGTATCTTTGATGTTCTCTTTAACAAGCCTATATTTTTCCTCACTACAGCAGAATGCTATTAGGCTGAGAAACCACATGGAATGTAGCATTCTGTTTAAGGGTGCATGAGTATTTCTAGGCTCAACAGTTCAAGCCTTTTTGTGAGTGCTGGGCTGAGTGCTCACAAAAGACTTATAAGCACTCGAAATGTGCACCATTGCCTCCCCCTACCTCAGTGTGTGTAACTTACCTTTGAACCAGGGGAAGAAGGCAGCAGGAGAAGAGTTGACAGTGGGCCCTGTGGAGATCCAGAAGCATGAGATTCCACAATGATATAAGGCTGGAGAACTACCTAAGCATAGAAAAAGATGCTATTTGCACAATTTCTGCTGGGAAGAATCCCCACTGCATGATGGAGAAACCACTGGTTGCTGCCATTGCTGATTATCTTCTTCCATCTATGGTCAAAAGCTCAGTCCTTTAGGGAAGGGGCAAAGGGCTGAGGTGGTGGTGAAGCTATCTGAGGCGCCATTCACCCTGCATGTAGTAGGCTATGAGCAGTGTCCTTCTTGCCTCAGTCCTATCTGAGGGCTTTCAAACCCCCCTATTTGAGTGATCACAACATCCCAATGTGTAAATGTCAATGTGTGTGTGTCTTTTGAGAAATCCTAAGCCTTGGGAAATTGATCAGGTTGGGAGCTTTAAAAATTCACAGAATCACTCATTCCATGCAAATCACAGAGCTCAGTTCATGCCAGAATTCTTATGGAATTCACATTGTGAAATATTTTATCCCCAGGCTTCTTACTATGGAGAAATCAGCATTGGAACACCACCTCAGAATTTCCTGGTGCTGTTTGACACTGGCTCTTCAAACTTGTGGGTGCCTTCTGTCTACTGCAACAGCCAGGCGTGCAGTAAGTCACCAATCCCCAACTGTTCAAAAGCTAGCTTTATTCATAAAAGATAAAGGTACCGCTGACCATTAGGTCCAGTCACAGATGACTCTAGGGTTGTGGTGCTTATCTCGCTCTATAGGCCGAGGAGCTGGCATTTGTCCACAGACAGGTTCCAGGTCATGTGGCCATCATGACTAAGCCGCTTCTGGCAAACCAGAGCAGTGCACAGAAACACTGTTTACCTTCCCACTGGAGCAGTACCTATTTATCTACTTGCACTGTGATGTGCTTTTGAACTGCTAGGTTGGCAGGAGCAAGGACTGAACAACCGCCGACCTTCTGATCGGCAAGCTGTAGGCTCTGTGGTTTAGACCACAGCGCCACCCGCATCCAGCTTTATTCATAGCTACAGCTAAGCCAGCTGTGGTGTGATGGAATACAGACAGAGCTTCAACAGAGCCTCGCTGCCAAGAAACTGAATTTCTGTTATCCATGATGCCAAACAAAGGCTTTTCTAACTGTACTACTTCTGCTGATGCTGTGCAACATTTAGGGTATATCCTAAGGAAGCTTTCAGCCTTATATTATATTTCTCCCCACAGCCGGTCATTCAAGATTCAATCCCAGCCAGTCTTCCACCTACTCCACCAATGGACAGACCTTCTCCCTGCAGTATGGTAGCGGTAACCTTGATGGATTTTTTGGCTTTGACACCATGAGAGTAAGTGTCACTTAGTCTTTTTTTTTGGGAGGGTGAACTAGTCTAATGCTACCAATGAATCACCATCAAGTGAATCTGCTAATGTAGGGGTGGGGAACCATTCCTCTTAGCCATCATTGTCATAGTTTGGTCTAGGGGCGATTGAAGTCCCAGCTGAGGACGTTGGGACTGGGGGCAAGATGGCGGGGTTGGAGCAGGAACGAGAGTCCAGAAGCCAGGGGTCCAAGGGTCAGGAAACAAGGAGTCACGAAGTCAAGGGTCCAAGGGTTGAAGAGAAAGGAGTCACGAAGTCAAGGTTCTGAGGATCAGGAAGCAAGAAGCCAAATGCAGCAAGGCAGGAAGCAGGTTGCTGTGACAAAGAGCCAAAGGGAAATGCTGACCTTATACCCCTTCCCGGCTCTTGCCACCAGGTGCAGTGAGTTACCATGTGGCCTCACCTGTGCGGCTGCACCTTGCCTCTCCAGAACAAACTTAGGAAGGCCCCAGTCCTGCGAAGCCCTACTGGTCACAGGGCCTGGCTCCTGCACACACTGCTGACAATCATAAGCTAAGGGATGTTTCAGGGATGATGGGAATTGTGGTCCAACAATATTTGAAGGGCACCATGTTGGCTACCTCTGTTCTAGAAGCTCAAAAGCAGGCCACTAAGATGGTGGATGCCCTCTTTTGACAATTTATAATTCTTTTCATTCCTATCCTATCTATGAATTTTACGGTGACACTTTCATTTTGTCTCCTTTAGCTCCAGAACATTGTTGTCACTAAGCAAGAATTCGGCCTGAGTGAAAATGAACCTGGCTCCAACTTCGTTTATGCCCAGTTTGATGGCATCCTGGGGATGGCTTATCCTTCTCTTGCAGTTGGGGGTGCTACAACGGCCTTAGAGGGGATGTTGCAGCAAAACTTGCTTTCACAGCCAATCTTCAGCTTCTATCTGAGCTCGTAAGAAAAAGAAGCCATTTTCCCTTTAGCTTTAATGTCCTACACTCCTTTGCTTTTCACACATCATAGCATAAATATAAATGGGTTGGATCTAGAATAAATTAATCATGCTTTACTGCCACAGAAATAGATGAGATTTCAGTTAGTCATGAAGGGATGGAATTTTCTGAAAATCTCAGTATTAAGCTTCTCCGCACACAATTTTTCAAACTTCCTTCTCACTCCATGATTTTGATGAGAAGAAAGTTATGTCCCTGTGTGCTTCTGCTATAAATGCAAACACTTCTCAAATGTTATATGCATGTTTATACACATTATTGTATGTGTTACTATACATGTTAATATTATGCATAGATTATATTCACTCCAGGTTTCCTAAAGTAACCAGCAAAAAAATCATACGTACAACAATGTACATGGCTGTAGAAAAATACATATATATTAATACTTATAAAATTATAGCGCAGAAACAACATATTGCATGGGACTTGACTCTCACACATATACATATTTTGGGGTATAATTTTGCATGAAATGTTATATACAGTCAGCCATTAAAAAACCCCAACAATGCACAAGAAATTCATATGTACAGTACTGTACTCTCACTGCGTCTTTATCTCAGATCCTTAATTTTCCTTGAAGGGAATTTTGCATTTATACAACCCAAATAAGGGCCACCCCTTTACACAATGTTCTTTGCTTTAAACATTCCAGAACAAATTCTGAATGCCTAATCCTTTCTTTTTGTTTGTAGCCAACCAAGCTCTCAGTATGGTGGTGAGGTTGTCTTTGGAGGTGTAGACACTCGACTGTACTCTGGAGAGATCTATTGGGCTCCAGTCACCCAAGAACTTTATTGGCAGATTGGAATTCAAGAGTGAGTTGAAATTGTGAAAAAAAATAATTCAAGAGCATTGGAGAATTCCCATAAATATCTGTATAGTGCTGTGCTTTTGAACTCATGGCGACACCTTCTTGGATTTGAGCCAGACTCTTCTAGAAGGAATGCAGATATAAACTGAAACTTATACATTATTTCTCAAAGCATCATAGATATTTCACCAAAGTAAATGATTGCACTGTCACTTTATGTTCAATAATATTCAAACTGCAGTGGATTAAAATTGAAGTCAGATGTGGCTTTGCTCATGAGTCTACAGCTATGTATTAGTATGTCATCTGTGTATTCAGCATTTCCACTCTGGGTTCTGCATGAACTGGCTACACATAGCTACAATCTAAAGTACACTGATGTCCCTAGGGAAGATTATTTCTTGAACGTGTAAAATTGGACTGCAAGCCTAGATGTTTTGCATGCCACAAGCTTATTGTTTAAACTTAGGCTAGGAACTAAGCCTTAGCCCATTCTCCATGGCTTCTTTATCTCATGGAGATGTTGATGGGAGGATTAATAGGGCCAAGGAGGTGAACAGCATATAGCACTGAGTGGGAATTTATATTTATAACTTATATCCTCCCCTTCTACATCAAGAGGGCAGCTAGCAAGGATTTAAAAACATCTTACCATATTATACAAACCTAAGTGTTATCATCACGCTGCAATTCCCGCAGCTGCAGGTGGTGCTGTGAACTGCAGAATCATGAGAGGCAGTGGATGGGCAGCCCAGGCAAGCCACGGAGGGACAGCCCAAACAGGCCAGGGCAGCCCCTCAGCTGCTCTGGCTCCTCTGCCCACCAGCATCCAGATCCCTAGACCAGCTGGCACTGTTACTGCCCACCATCCTGCTTCATGGTTGGCCTTGGAATCTGCTGCTGCCATGGCTGATCCTCATGAAGAGTGGCAAAATGAGCAGCATAGGAAGGGAAAAGGTGGCTGGTTGGCACCATGAAGTGGAAAGGGAAGCAGTGGATGGCTTTGGCAAAGGTGGTTGGTGGAGGTTGGGTGAATGTAGGTGAGGTTGATAAGTGAAATGAGCAGGGGTACAGCCCCTAGTAAAACATTGTTATGCAACTTCCATCATATTAGATTTCAGGACAATCCACACCATGTTATGGTATAGTTATGCATTGACTGAGTACTAATCTATAGGAAAGCTATGATACACAAATGACAAACTAGGAAGACTGCAGGTAAGACTGGCTTGTTAAGAGTCAGCATGAGGTTTGTATCAGTATCAGCAAGGAATCAATCCACTCTTTTTGGTGCATAGAGAAGCACATGGCACCTCCTGGTCCTCCCACATCAGAACAGAAGGCAGTGAAAGGGAGGCATGAGCTTCACAGTAATAAATCTTTTTAAAGAAATTTAGTGGCCAGCAAGGACTTCATACATTTTTTTGCAGAGGATATAGGCCAGACTGCACATGAGAGGTATGGTGGGATTTTCAATGTGTTCCCTGTTCTTAGGTTTTCTATTGGGGGAAGAGCTACTGGATGGTGCAGCCAAGGTTGCCAAGCTATTGTGGACACTGGGACATCCCTCCTCACCGTTCCTCAGCAGTACATAGCGAGTTTTGCGCAGGCTGTGGGTGCTCAGCAAAATCAGTACGGAGAGGTAGGTGAAATTACATATTTTGAAGAGCTGGAAGGGTAACACAGGATGCAGGGTGATGTGGGATATAGCTGGCATATGCGCAGTTTGTGTGGATGGCCTCAAAGTCACCAAGAATCTTGCCATTATAGAAGTAATTGATGCATACGGAATGACTACATCTCAGTTCCATGCAGTCCTAGCTGTCCTCCTATAGGAGATTAACCAGTCATTGCATTCTTCCTTCACAGTATGCGGTTGCTTGCAGCAATGTTCAGAATTTGCCCACCATCTCCTTCAACATCAATGGGGTTTCCTTCCCTCTGCCCCCCAGTGCCTACATCCTCAATGTAAGTTTTAGAGATCTGGACATCATTAACTCATTTGTTTTCTTTTAGCGTAAGAACCAATAGAAAGAATTAGAACTTAAGGTTCGGGACAGGAGAAGAAAGATAGGGCTTTCTCTTGAGTGCCATCTGTCTTTATAATAACTGGGCTAGCATCTTTATGGATCCTACTCACTTTCCCCTTTCTATTTATTGCTTTACAGAACAATGGCTACTGCACAGTTGGGATTGAGCCCACCTATCTGCCTTCCCAAAACGGACAGCCTCTCTGGATCCTGGGAGATGTCTTCCTCAGGAAGTACTATTCCGTCTATGACATGGGCAACAACAGGATTGGCTTTGCAGCTGCTGCCTAAGCTTCTTTGCTATTACACCTGACTTGTATCTATTACAATGCCTTTCTTTTAAGATTCTTACTGAGATAAAAGGGGTAGTTTAAATGCTTGCCCTTATCTCCGTTACAATTTCTTTCTTTCCCTTTAAGCTTGTCTTGGACCATTCTCCTTGAACTATCTGCACTCTGGGGCCCTGGGTTTTTTTCTTTCTTGAATCACTGGCTGCTGTTATAATGATGTTTGTGGCAGATTGGATAATAAATGGTCAAACCTGAGATATTTGTGCTCAAGTCTGCTCAGCTACTGTTCTGCTGTTTACAGAGGACATTAAAGAAGAGTGCTCTTAGCTGGAATCTGTATACCTGGAATAAATCTTAGGCTAAATAACGGTAGCTCCTTTAAATGACGCTGGCAGCCTCAGCTCACTGCTAATGTTTTGGAAAGGAGCAATGCCAAATGTTGCTCTTGTTATGGCAGCATTGCTCTTGGATCCACAGATAAATGACACAGGAGATTGCTCAAGGCCATCCAGTCCACCCCACCAAAGACAGAGCCATCCACCCACACCACCTCCATAGGTGCTCTCGAGAGACAAGGCCACAGTGTTTCCCAAAAAGAAGTCAGGTACACAGCAGGAGATTCTTACCGACCAGTATGCATTCAGATTACCCATACACAGGACCCAAGCATGAACACACACACACACACAAACACACCTGACCTGTTATACTGACTCCTTTCCCTGAGTCAAGCTGTTCCTTATTCATGCACAAAACCTCTCTGGGGATTTCAAATAGTGTGCAATCCCTGTACACTCTACCCTGCCTTACTTCTATGCAGTTCACACATGTTTCTGAAGCAAGAGAACATAATGCAGTTTTCTAACCAAGAGTGGGAGGGGAAGTGGCAGAAGGCCAGGGACCCATTGACAAAGCCCCCAGGCACTGCCTCATAAATAAACAGGCTCAGGTGTAATGCCACCATGCTAGCGAGACATTACAATTTATCAATTCACAATGATATTACTACCTAGGGCATTTTCCCACCAGAACAGCATTGCTGAACCCTATGTTTCAGCAACATGAATTGTTGTAAGCTATTTAACAGATAGCTCACATGTGAGTTCCCTGCTTCAAGCAATATCTATTTCCTCCCAGCGCTGGCCATGTTTTAATAACTGGTTTTTCTAAGTAGTAATTATGCTACCTACACATATTTCCCAATGAGCCCAATGGAGATTATTTCCTTTTAAGCTTATGATTATAGCCTGATTCTTCCCATGTTTTACTCTGAAATAAGTTCCATCCACAGGACTCCTTCCCAAGTAGGTAAATAATTTCAGTTTCCCCTCTTCAGATAAAAAGTTCAACACACACAGCAATTGCTGGATTGGGAACTGTAGGTGTAAATACACATGTGAGAATCAATACCCTGCAGCACATTGCTTTCAATGCACACACTTCCCCATTCCTACATTAGATGGGGATGCCCATTCATATGCACATCTGAATTTGCACCCTTTAAAAAGTAATGAACAGCAACCCATTGCTTGTGTTCTTGGTCTCTAACAAGTAATATGCGTGCAGAAAGGTATTTAGCTTAGCAGATTCCCCCTTGTTGGATTGGATTGGCAACTTGCAGACTCACTCAGCCCATACAGAAAGATACGTGACAGTGCATTGCAATATTGCCACCTAGTGGGCCTTGATCTAGTTGACCAGAACATAAGGGCAGTGGCTCATCTAAGCCAGTGTATTGTTCTCACGGTGCCCAACCAGATACCCATGGGAAGATGCAAACAGGACCTGAGCATGACACGATTCTCCCTTTCAGGGATGTTCAGAAACAAAGCAGAGCCATCCTGCCTAGTAGTCATTGTTAGTCCCATCCTCTGTGAATTTGTCTAATCCTCTTTTAAAGCCATCCATGTTGGTGGTCATCACTGCCTCATGTGGGAGGGAGTTCCACAGTTTAACAATACACTGCATGAAGAAGTATTTTATTCTGTCTGTCCTGAATCTTCTAACATTCAGCTTCATTTTATGTCCCTGAGTTCTAGTGTTACAAGAGAGTGAGCTAAACTTTTCTCTAACCACTTTCTTCATACCACACATAATGTTATAAACTTTTATCATGTCACATCTTGCATGCCTTTTCCCTAACCTAAAAAGCCCCAAATGCTGTAGCTTTAAAGAGCGGGTTTTTGTGGGCAAAGCTTCAGGGCAAAAAAAGGAGAGCACTTAGCCACTGAGCTTTAAAGTGCGGACCTGTGTCTAGAAAGCGCAGGGCCAAATGTTAAGTGTCAATAAGCTCTTACATCTCACACCCCTTTTTTGGCATATATTTTGAATACGGTGTAGCAGATACTGCAACAACCAGTTGTTAATATTTCCTAGCTGATTCTTTGGGAAGCATAGGCTAACCTGATACACATTCATTTTTTTAAAAATGTATCCCACAAAACCAGCTAATTTAGGTTCTTGCAATAGCTGTCTCAGTGGTGGTGGTGTGTGGATAGGCTACTGTGAGGATGATGGACTTAATGGACCATTGGCCTGATCCAGCAGACACTTTGAAATATACTCGGAGTTGTGTGTGTATTTCATGCTCTTTTTCAGCTCGTAGTAGCAATGAGTGAATCTTTCCCCAAAACGTCTAGCTATATATACATTATTTACACAATGGACCCCGCGTGACTGGCTAATTCCAGGCTGCTCCTGCAGGCCAATCAGGTTGCTGATTCACTTCATCCAGGAGCCTGATTAGCTGCTCCTGCATGTGCTGCGCCCGGGGGTAACCCGTGAAATGCGGTCCAGGACCGGTCCAGAATCTGAAAGTTCCGCTGGGAGTCAGTCCGAAAGGGCCAAGGCAGAACACGAGGCAGGAAACCAGGCAAGGACAGGTACAGGATCTCAGGCAGGATCTAGCATACAGCAATGTTGCTCCCGTAATCTGGGGCGGGGTCCGACAGACTTTTATCTTTGTCAGGGTAGCAGCCGGTCCTGATCCCCCGGCGACTCACCTCCCTGTTTCGCTGGAAGGCAAGCACTCCTCCTGTGAGTACTCAGGTCTCTCCTTCTCTCAGACCTGAGTCTTTGCAGCTCGACCGGTAGTGGAGCAGCTGTAAGTGATGGCCCAGCTGAAGGCAACGAGGTAATCCCCACATCTGGAGCCAGGGCAGGCTCAGGCCCCTGACTCGGCCCAGCTGGTGTTTGTTGCAGGGGAACCTGTGCAGACTGAGTCTCCTTTGGTTCGGAGTCTGAGCCCTAGCCAGAGTCCCAGGCCATCACACTGCAGGTCAATCAGGTCGCTGATTCACTTCCACCTGGAGCTGGATTGGGTGGCTCCTGCGGACCAATCAGACTGCTGCATTCTGGATCCTATTGTTCTAGGATTCAGCTCAGTAAATAGCACACTTCTTATATTATTATGGGGAAGAGGGAAGCAACTGGCTAGTGTTACTACTAGGTGGTGAGCGGGAAGGCATCATTCACATTTTGATAGCCAGACCACCTTCTTCTTGCATCATATCCATTGAATCCCAGAGGTCAAAATAGGCTCCAGGATTGAACCCTGATTCAGATTAAGCACAGATAACAACAACTGCTATGATTTAAGCAACTGATTCCCCGTTAAGCACACACCACCTCTTTTCTTCCAACTTTTGGTGTATTATTATTTCCTACTATTAGCTGGTTGGCAATTTAACTGTGAGGTCTCCCACAAATCTCTGGAATGTCTCCATCCCTCATTTGAGAGGCGAGCCATGGATTTAAACAACACTGAGTCACACTTTAGGGTTTCAAAGCTTCTCCAGGTATCTCAGTTGCTGGCACGGGTAGGCATTCATGTACCTTTGATGCTTTTGACGTTTATCACAGGCCTATAGAGGTTGCCACTCCTGTTCATTAGTCCTTTCCTTCATCCATACATGTGAATGATGTCCACAACTTTATTGCAACACATATGTAACTCATGATAGGAGAATTTGTTGAAATGGGCTGTTAGAGAGGAGAGGATATGCTCCATAACACAGGAATTTACCACAGGGATGAGATATGCTTTCATACATCCACCTAATTGCTAGCATTGAATTGCTAGCTGATCTGAGATCCTTGCTTATAGGGACACAATGATAATTCTGTCTTTTTACTGAGATGCTGGACTATATACAGCTGTATACCATTGTTATGAGGGCTAAATCAATCTGTGAATGAATTTGAGTTGACTAAATCTCACATATAAATAAAAACAGTAGTTCTGAAGGTGTGTGTTTCCAGGGGGGAATACTTCCCTTGTTTTTAGATGATGTGAATATATGCTCCATATAGTGAGATGGAGAAGACAGAATGCATCTTCTATGGTGTCTTTAACCTACAGTGTGTGTGTGTGTGTGTGTGTGTGTGTGTGTGTGTGTGTGTATCTATCTATCTATCTAGTTTTAAAATAACTTGCCATCCAATTAATTCATGGCACTTTTAAAGCAGTTAAAATGCTTTAAATAGATTACTCTAACTGAAAGATTATATAATTAGTCCTAATGGTTATACATTGTCATTCACTGTGCATCATTGTAATTAGAAGCACCACTTCTTATAATCAACGGCTCAGTAACAATTTTGGAATGTTGATGCTGTGGTTACTCATTCATGATACTCGTCTTAAGGAAATTATCTTCCTGTCTTTTTTGGTTCCCACGAACAAGGCAAAATCACAACAATTTGCCCCTCTTAGTTGCTCCCAGTACCTCCTCTAGTGGTACAAATGCCATGCCAAGAGACTTGCGCTGCGCTGTGAGGCCCAGCTGGTCAGCTGATGATCCGGCATCATCAGGATGTTGGGTGATTTGACAGGTGAGTAGCTATGTCCAGTTGTCAAACTGGGGGCTATAAGAGAGTTAAGGATCTGGCCTGTAACCAAATCAAGTCCCCCACCCTTGAACTAAACAATTGCCATTCTGTGGCCATGATTTTAGATAGTGTACTTGTAAATGCTCATACGATTGGCACATTTGATCTCTTCCCAACTCTTAAAAGAACTTCTCGAGAGAAAATATTATAAAAATATATTATGTGAACAGTATGCATTCTCACCTTTTCCTGTGCAATTTATATCAACTCATTCTGAACTCATGGATTTCAACCTCAAGGTTATAAGCAGATATTTCTTGGAGAAAGGAAAGTTTTCCATTACGCTATTGGTGTATAGTGATTAGTGTGTTGGACTAGGACCTGAAAAACCAGGGTTCAAATCCTCACTCAGCCATGAAGCTCACTGAGTCTCAGTGTAACCTACCTCACAGGGTTGTTGTGGGTTTCAAATGAGGACCATGTATGTCACACTGTGCTCCTAAGAGAAAGATGTGGGATATAAATGCAATAAATAAGCAAGTAAATAAAAACTCTAGGGCACCTTGTCCTTTCTCTCTTCAATCAGATCTCATATTTAAGATTAGGGAGCATCTGTTCTGATCAGCAGAGGAGTCTGTGCTTTGGGGGCCTTTTGTGTTGACAATCATCTCCAAATTGCTTGGGAGTGGCAACATATTACCTTTTAAAGCATTAGTTTTTATAAAGTTAACTCATTTCAGTTACAGTGTTGCTTAAGCTGCCCTTTTCAAGTCGTGTAACATTCATTTAACAGCATCTCATTCACGACAGGGTGGATAACTGAGAGAAAACGAACGCGTGAAGAACACGCAAAACCGCGGCCGCCTGCCTACCGCCGACCCTGCGTGGGCGCTCCCAGGAATTGTTTTGAGAACCAGCGCGATTCCGCTTGGGAGAGGACCTCTCGGGAACTCCATTTCCCGGCAGGCTACGCAAAAGGGGGCGTGGCCGGCCATGGTTGAGTGCTGCCCTCTCTTGGGTACATCTAGGAAGTTGAAGAGCGAGAAGGTGACAGTAAATGAGGGGGAGGGAGAGCTGTCTGTAAGGGGTCCTGGGGGGGTGAAAGCGCCCCTGGCAGCGCACAGGAGAGGATTGCAACAGCTGGAACTACCTGGTGCCAAAAGAAAAGCCAGGGGAGAGCGGCGGGACAAGCAGAGGGCACCCAAGTTGAGCCGAGTTGGCCAAGTGGCTGGGGAAGTGGCGTGTTTTTCTCCCCCTCCCCTCCAGTGGCTGCGCAGCCGACTCTGACCTTCACGGGAGGGTAAGTACGCCGAGAGCGGGCAGACTCGGGACGCGCGTGCCACTTCCAGGCAAAAAAGCTACAACCTCCAGAGGCGCCGACTGGGGCGGGCGGGCGTGTGAACTGCCCGCCGAGGTGGCGGCAGCAACACCCGCTGTGTGCGCGTTGGGGGTGGGGGATAAAATAAAAAATAAACAGAAATCCCCCGGTTGAGGTGGTGGGTGGGAGCGAGGCGGGATAACCCTAAAGGATCCAGCGCTCCGTTTCACCGACGAGGCGCGCGAGGTCGCCTTAAAGCGGAGCAGGTGGAAGAGTGAGAAGGTGTCGAAGCGGGGGTCGCGAGGTTGTGTTTAGCCGGAAGGAAAGTGCGGGGGAGGGGGGGAGAGACGCGTCGTGGGATCCAGAAGTTTGTATGCGTAACTTGGGTCGCTGAGAAGGGGAGGCAGATGCGGGTGGACCGTGGAGGGCAAGCAGCTCTCTCCGCCGTCTCTCCCCCCGCCTACTCCTTTGCAAGAGATCAAGCCGGCTTTGGAGCCATCACAGTGTGCTTGGGTCCCGAGTCGACTCTCGCCACCCCGACGGGAGGGGGGACGACGCCGATGACCCATTGCCGGGAACTGTCAATGTGTGTGGGGGGGGAGCGCGGGGGAGGGGAGAGCCGATGGCGGAACCGGAGAAGTCAAGCAGCAAAACAATTGGGGGGGGGGAGAGGGAGGGAGGAGAGCCGCTCAACTCCACCCGCTCCAAGGCGGAGAGGGGTTGGCGAAGGGCTGCTCGCTTCTGCCCTCCTCTCTCTTGCCTTCTCAGCAGCGCCGCCAGGAGCTTAGAGGGGAGCCGCCGGGGGCCTCTTACGTAACTGCCGCGGCCGAAAGCCGGGAAAGTGCCGGCTGCTCCGAGCGGGGCAGCGGCGGAGTTTGCAAAGTCCGGCGCGGGGGCGGAGTCGGGCTGCGCTGGTTGCTGCGCTCCGTCGGCGCGCGATCTCCGAGAGCCGGGCTTGCCTCGCTCTTGGCGCGAGACGGAAGTTCCCGATGACAAGCGCTGCAAGGCTTCTCATTAGTTTAATGAGCGCTCATTGTTGTTAATTTCCATGTCCCGGGAAGCTCCCACGTGCGCTGTCAGGAGACGGTGGCGCAAAGGGATACCGGGCGCGTCCTGCGAGCAGCCACCCAGCCCGCCCGCGGCGCTGTTTTGTAGCCAGGCTGTTTCCGTGCTGGGAAGAGGTGCCTTCACGTGTCTCACCTTGCAGGCCTTGGTCCGAGGCAAGAGGACGTCAAGGCCTGTGGCTTCCTCGGGAGTAGGGTTGCCAACTTTCCTTTACTGCCTCTGCTCCCGTGCTTCCAGCTGTGGCCCAACTCAGAGAAATAAAATCTCAGGAGCAGGGATGCCAAATTGAATAAAATATTGGGGGGACGGACATGTAAGCCCCACAAGACTCGTTTCACACCCACCACTTGAATGGCAATGGCCATCAACTTTGGGGGTCCAGCCTCCTCAAATATTTTAGGGGCGCTGAAAAGACCTAGGCCCCTAGGAGTTGGTGTCTATGCTCAGGATAGGCTTCACCTGTTTAATTTATAGTCATAGGGCTGCTCTTCACTGGCAGTGGAGAAGGTCCAGTTTAAAAAGTGGAAGAAAGCTTAGTTTAAAATTTAGTTCAGCCATCTAAACTACAGCAAATCTGATGACCAGCAAAAGTGTGTGTGTAGTATATAGGTATTATATAGAATGGGATATGGTACTCTCGGCACATTTCTTTGTGTCATGAAAACTTCAGAATTCTGAAAACTGCTTCTTTTCCTGAATAGTTTTGTAGTGACTTTCTGAACACTTTGAGGGCAACCGCTCTGAGACCTGGTGACTTTTTTTTCTTAACGCACGTGGTTGAAAACTGAACAGATGGCCAATGTGTGGATATTCCCTCCCCCTCTGTGCTGTTAATTTCCTCTATCATATTTGTTTGACTTCATGCATGGCTGCCCTCCATCTCCAGCATGGGGGTTTGAGTGGGGCTGCGTTGACAGGTCTTTGCCTGCTTTTTCTCGGGCCCCTTGCTTTTCTTTCTGTTTACAGATGCTAGATATACAGGTGACTCTGTATCAGACAAGCAGATCTGGCAAATAATGAGAGCGGTCCGTCCTTCAGAGCTCTTACTCCTTGGATGTAAACTCAAGCTGAGTTTTGTCTCTTGAGTTAAAAACTAGTCCAGACTGTGGATTCTAAGTAAATGGAAGGCTCTGCGGCCGGCCTCTGCCTCATCTTAAAAGTGAGATGGGGGATTTTAGGTGACTGAATGTTCATACTTGGGGTCTTTTATAGACAGGGCCTGGATTTGGCAACTCTTAACAGGGCACCTTTATCTTTTTAAGCGTTGGCTAGAAGAGGAAAGGTGTTTGCTATCATCTTGCTACAGCAGTAGGAGAAACTGCATTTGATTTCAAAATAAAAGATGACCCAACTGTCCTATCAAAATGGCTAGAAAAAGCCACAGAGTGAGATTGCCCCCAAAATGTCACATTCCTTGCATAAAGGCTTGAGGTAGATAGTGATGAAATGCTGCTGGTATGAACGGTCTCTCAGTCCACTTTCACACATGCTTTTTGAATTTTTGGCATCTTTAGCAAGAACAGAAAACCTACATTGGTAATAATAATAATAATAACTTTTATTTATACCTCGCCATCTCTGGCCAGAGCCAGGCTCAGGACGGCTAACACCAGTAAAATTACAATAAAAACATAATAAGAAAAAAAAGCCTGTCTATGTCATTTGAGTGCCTCTCTTCTACTTTTTTAAAATTCTGGCATGAACAGCATTCTCACATGCACACAAAATCAGGCGAGAGAGGCTCAAAGATCCATTTAGTGACATGTGTGACTACGGGTAAAGGAGCCCTTGTCTCAGACTGCCAGTGCCACTTTAAAGATAGCTAGATCCTGAACCCATAATAAGCTCTCCAAACAGCTGTGCCAATGCATCTTACTGAGATGGTGCACCACTCGTTCTTGTCGGCAGGAGCTAGGAAGAAGCACACCATGTGCACTAGGTGATTAATTAGCCAGAAAACACGTGACCGAGGCAACCATTTATTCCCTGTCAGTATCAAAGGAGAAATTCCAAACTACTACAAGGGGAAAGGAGTGGTGACTGTAAATGTTGAGTCATTCGGTGATACGTAGTTGGCAGAGCCTGATTTGATACCATAACATAAAAACTTGCAGTTGCTTTTCAGCTCAAGTGCATCGGAAACCTAGTAGTATATTTTCAACCCCAGAAGTAATCACTATGCAAGGCAATTTCTCTCAAGAGAGAAACTAAAGTTTTCAGCAGATGTTCAGGTTCATGTAAACTACAGGGAAAAGTTTACGGTGCCCACTCCTCTATTCTTCTCTGTATCCTTATCCTCTGCGTAGTTCTGCTACTTTCTATTACTTCATTAAAAAAAGGAAATAATAACAAAAAGTATGTGTGCACATGCTCATACACAAACACAGACATAAATATGTTGCCTCTACACATGTAGACACATATGCTAATAGGCTGGGGAACCTGTGGTCCTCTGGACGTTGTTCGATTCTAGCTCCCATCATCCCCAGCCAGTATGGCCAATGGTCAGGGATGATGGGAGTTTGAATCCAGCAACATCTATAGAACAGGAGGTTCCCCACCCCTCATTTCACATGGAGGGGCCAAAGGTTGGCATTAGCTCCCACACTCTCATCCCCTTGTGCCTGGCGATTCCCTCCCTTCTTTCTTGGTTTGAGGCAAACCATACTTTGCTGAACTGGCAAGCAATGGTTTGCCCTTGTTTTGCCACAAAGGATTATAAACTGGGATAGGATCCTGGTTTGCAGGCCAAGCACAAAGAAGCGATGGGGGATGAAGAAACAATTGAGTTGAAGGGTCCAGTCTGGCTCCCTCAAACAAAACCAAATCACGGATAAGCATTATGTTTGAACCGTATCTGAACTACAGTCATTTATTCAATGTTCGTAAGTGCAGCTTGTGAGTATCTGAAAGTATGCCTTTCTTTCTGGCTACAATAAGTTAAAAGTGTGTGTCATGCCAGGAAGAGTCTCACTACCACCTTCCCCATATTACTTTGTGGTTCTTGGGATTGCTGTGTGCCTGGACTGTTCTCCACCATGGCCTCAGATTGTGGATGAGGCCATCATTTTCCAGCAATGGTCATAGGGATGTATTTACATTAAAGTAATCATTCCTTCTATTTCCAAAGTTCGGAGCTGAGTGTGGATACGGTCAGAAATTCAAAATGGCACCATCCACATACAGTACCAGCAGTTTGGGAGGAGCCTCAAGATTTGTAAAAGAACAAAAAAAATCACCAAGAGGGACGTTCCTTGCCCTCCTCAAGTTTTAAAACAGCCAATTGAGGACTGAACATGCTTGGATGGACGTGGAATGCTGGCTGGCTGGTGTGTGTGTGTGTGTGTGTGTGTGTGAGAGAGAGAGAGAGAGAGAGAGAGAGAGAGAGAGACACAAACCAGAAAACAGAGGGAAGCATATGGAATGGCATATCCTGGAAAGGGCCATGGTTTGCTGGAACACTAAAAAGGATCATTCCATGCTGCAACATTTTGTTACTTTGGTTATTCTGTGGTATCAGGATATCCCTGCTTTGTGATCCATGAAACAGATGCTGTGGTTTCACTATATAACTTACTTAAGAGGTACTAAAGAGAATTTTATATTCATTCCTCGTAAACACATAGATATAATTTCCATAGTATGTATTAATGATGCTTTCCAAGTGACATTGGGTGGCTAAAGTCCAGGGATTCTTCTTATCAGCAGGAAGCTGCAGGAGGGTGTGAATCTAGTTTCTTTTTCCCCCTTCCATGTGCCTTTGTTTTCATTCTATAGCAGCATTGCACATGGTGACGTGCTTGAAATTTGGACTTGGTTTTCCCTTCCTTACCTAAGATTTATGCAATGGACAAAAAGAGCTTGGTTAAGCGCGCACACCCACGCACACACACACACACCGGTTTTTCTCATCATTGTATTTTTTTTAAACTAGGGAAGAACCATATTGCAGGAAGTCTATCTTCTGTAATGGTTATTATTGCTGCTGTTCTCTGGTGGCGGCCATCCTTTATTAAAATTTCAGGACTGCAGGATCCTATGCAGTTTAGGGCTCACTTCTGAAACGAGGGGTAGTTGTTAAGGTTTAGAATAACCAGGAAGCCTCTTCAGACATCTGGCCTGGTATGGTTGTGGCCTGGCTTATAAAGTGCTTTGGAATTCTGGGATATATTATGGATTTCACCTTGACAGAAGAAGTCTAGGTAGTGACAGCAAATGAATGACAATTGTGCACACACACTAATAATCTAGAAAGGCCCTGGGAATGCTGTTATGTAAGGCTGCCGTACATCCAGAATTTCCTGGACAAACCTGGAATACTGCAGTAATAAGCAGTGTCCTGGAGGAAATTGACAAAAAAAAAAAAAGTCCTGGAAAATCCGGACGCATGGCAACCCAGTGTCGTTTTTGCTGATTTCCCTTAAAAATAGCGCAAAAATGTCAATTTCTTTTTACAATTTTGCCAAAAAAGCTTAACTTAATTGCCTTTAATGTGTGACACACAACAGAGAGACGCGAAACTGTTTTCATCCACTGGCTGGAGCAGTGCTAAGGTTGCAGCAAACGCTGTTGCAGTGATTCCAACATGGAACCCTTCGCAAGTATATTAGCAGTGTCGCATGAAGATCTCCTTCAGTTGTATGCATTGCATGGAACTTACATCACTAGTGCTGTGTGGGCTTTGGTGCAGCCTTCCCCAGCTTTTGTTCATTGCTTTAATGGCATTAGCTGAGTTTTCCAGAGTTGCTTAGCAGCTACCGCTGTATAGAGTATGTTTTTGGCAAGAAGCCTATGAACTGCTGACTTAGACATGAACATGGCATTTTGGAGTAAGTCATGCTAAGCCTCGCTGCAAGGAGCTGCAGCAGAGGCACCAGAAACTCAAGAATTTGTCACAGAACAGGCTTTCCCTTAGAGACATTTAATTGTTCATGAACATGATGGCTGAGGTTCCACAGGAAATGTGCTATCAATGCCGTGTGTGATTATTGTAGTGGTCTTTGTTAATTGCTATCTGATACACCAGTCTTTACCTCAGATAAACTACCGAAGAGCTTGCTCACACAATCAGGATTCAGTTTTGACACACAAGGCTTAATATGGCTCACGCTTCAATTAGTTTTGTAATGTGTGACCTTCATTGCCTGAAAGACTAATTCACATTAGAAATAAATTGTCCCCAGATTCTCCTCCATATGAATAAGGGTAAGCTGCTAACATAAATAGCAGGAGTGAGACTGAAAACCGATTGACCCCTCTCATGTGTAAAAAGGGTACATACAGATGCATACAGCATGATTCACATTCATCTCTTTTCAATCAAATATACAACCTTGCTAAAAGGTTCATTCTGGGGAGCAGCAGGTGCTTCCTACTTCCAGTAGAAGTTGGTTGTGTGAATTCTGATTGGTTAGCTTTTGTGACAGTCAAACTCTCCCAACACCCGCCCCCCCCAAAAAACCAATACACGCATGATTGGCTTGAAAAAGCAAAACTGAATAAATATTTAACTGGATAAATATTTCAGATAGAAAATAAAATAAAATAAAAGTCTGCCTGAAAAACAGCAGAGGGTTGAAAATGTGTGTTTATGTACATCATTATAATAGTGTAATTTGAAGGGACAGCTGAAGGGGAAATGATGGAAGAAGTGTGCATGCACACGGAAGCTTGTACCAAGAACAAACTTAGTTGGTCTTTAGGTGCTACTGGACAATTTTTTTATTTTTTTTTGTATATTATTATTACTGTAAGATTGTGAAGTTCAAGTTGTGGCCTCTTCATGCAGTTTAGTGCCTGCCAGGCAATGAGTTTCGTGAGCCACAAAAGCATGGCTGTTGCACAATATTTTGATGTCTTCTCCTCAAGAATGTGATTATCTTTCTGAGATACCCAGTGTTCGAAGCCACAATCTAGTGGAACTTGGGAAATACCATTCTTTTCTCAAATAGCAGAGACCTGCGCTAGCCCTACCATTAAGCAGAGTGAGGCACTGCCTCAGGTAGCAGATGCTGAGGGACAGGGAAGGCTACCCATTCCATTCTGTAAGAACAGAATACTGACAGTATAACACCAAGGGGAGTACCTGGCATGTCAGTTAAATGATAGATAAGCCCTTGATTTAAACTGATCCTTTCCATAGATAAGTTATTAAAATTCAGGCTTATTTGATGAACACTGGGGGAAAAGAATACATCATTTGGCGGGAGTTGTTTTCAGTAAGTGCAATATTAGCTTTTTTTATATATTGGAACATCACCAAAATATTTGAACTAAAATTAGAATAAAGGAAATTAAGGGGATTGCCTGAAGTTCTGCCGCAGCTCAGTGGTGACCTTGGATGAAAACACAAGCTTCCTGTGTGTGCACCAGTGTGATGCCTTGTGGCTTGCTACACCCCACTATTTTCTTGGCCTCGCATACTGGCATTGCACGAGGCCAGCAATGGGTTTTTCTGGTTCTGTAAGAATCCCAAACACAGAAAGTGCAACAGAAGTGGTTGAGTGGTGCTTTTCTGAGGATGAGTCATATATTTGGTTATGATGGCTGCTTATATACAAGTTCCAAATGTACTTTGTTTTGCGCTGGGAAATTTGTGGGGAACTTTACAGCAGCAAAAGCTGCAGGATTCACAATGAGACAGCACTACAGGGTTTTAAGGGTAGGGTGAGGAGATGCAGCAGGAGAAGCTGAACTGCTGTAGAACTGCTGCCCTGGTAATTACTGCTATTATTACTAATAGTAATAATAATAAGTAATAATTATTACTAATAGTAGTAATAATAATATTAATATTAATTAATAGTATAACTGGGAAGGGGGGAAGGGATGGCGAGTGTTTAAGCAGGCAGCTTGATTCTTTAAAGAGGAAAACTGTCCATGGAGTTGCCCTAGCCACTCAGCTAATCCTTGGCTGCTGCAAGACATTAGCTCCTGTTATCCACATTATATCAAGACACATGCCTGAGGTGCCACTAGAATTCAAGGAAGGCGGTGGCAAAACTCAGGTAGCTAGCAAGTGAGCCATGCCACATGCTCTGGGGAGATCACATGCTTGTGTCTTTTATTACCATATTACTTTCTAAAATACACTTTAAATGTAATAAAAAATAGGAAATATACTAATTTCTAAGGATTTATATTAAAAATTGTTTACATTTCTATAAGTGGCTGAGTATAACTGCAGTGAAAAGGCTTTAAATAATTCTAGTTGATGTTTCACGTATGTAGAAGACAATAGATTCTCAAAGTGTTAATTTCTTTGTCTAACTTCCCTTGACTAGACCATTTCCGTCAATTTTTATCATTATGGCAAAAGACCAAATTTTATTACCGGCAAACCATTTTCTGTTGGAGTTGTCAGAGGATGCCATTTGTCTGCTTTCATCATTTGGACAGCAGATAGCATTACTCCTAATAATTTTTTTGTGTTCTTTCTGTTAGATCCTTCCTAGCTTCCAGGAAAAATGATAGACTGCTTAAGCAGAAAAATCTCTATGCAATGTACACAATGATTATCAGTAAAACAATGATGGAAAACATTTTATCTGTGTTTTAACATACTGTGTAGTGCACCTTCCCCCAGTGTTTTGAAAGCCTTTAAAGATTTTCTTTCCGCTGTGTCCAGTTTTGTGATCTTGTTTCATTTCACCTTTGTCAGCTGTTCAGAATCAGGTTTACTCAGGTACCCTCATATGTTGTAGCTTTCCTGGGCCTCATTTCCCCCCATACTTAATGCTGAAATACCTGCTTTTCCAAGGGACCATTCTGTAAACAAGACACCAGAGAATCATGGACGTGACATCAAAGGAGACTCAAAAGGGTGGGCAATTTATTCCCGACTCTGTTACCTGCTGACCCGGCATACAAGGGATTTCCCCTTTTGGTGCATCTGTTTCCCCTTCAGTTATTTGAGTTGGATGCATGAAGAGTGGACGCTTGTGGGCTCTGTATCTGAGCAAAGGACCCCAGAATTGTACTATGGCAACCGGCATGCATAATAAAAAGGTCATGCTCCATATAGGCTTATATGCCTTCTGCGGAAATGCTTCCATCCAATTAATATAAAATTTGCACAGCAACGTGGAAAAGAATGCAACAGATCCACAGCTAAGTGTATTAGTTCGTTCCATTCATAGAAGTTTCATGATCACATACAGTATACTAGGGTCCCCCCCCCTTTGTTTTCTTCTAAAGGTGTGCACTTTATATTTTAGGCATACATATTTTTTCCCCCAAGTGTGAATGTGATAAAGAGGTGTTTGAAAACATTTATTATCAGAGGTGCACTCCTGAGGATAGGCTGTATTCCCTTATTGTGTATACTTGACTGCAGAATTAGTTTTGCTGCTATGTAATCAAGGCCACAGAGAGGAGACATGAAATCCAGGGCAAAACACAGGGTTGCATCCAACATGGTGTGAGCAGAGTTGCACTTGTGCAACAGGACTTCCGTTTCCTCTCCTCCTTCAATGATTTTGACAGTGGGTTTTTTGGGGGCGGGGCGGGGGTGGAACTGGAGGGGACAGAATAGGAAGTTCTGTTGCACACATGGAAGATATTGATGTTAACAGAACTGTAGTGTCCATTGCATAGTCTTGGAACTATACATAGTGTGCTTAAGCACATAGAATAGCAATAGAATAAATGTATGTGAGAAGAAGAGGCTATAGATGTTTGGTGGTCATCACTTTTTCTAGACCTCCATTTGTTGTGTTGTTACTGAAAATCAGGTTGGTTTGTAATAAGATTGTGCTTACCCACAACTTGATAATGAATGAGAGGAGCCAATCTGGAATGCGTTACCGAGACCTGGGTGGGTGAGCTGGTTGGGGTAGACCTAAACCGCTGTGCTCACCTGTGTGCTTGATGGAGTATCAACATAGGCTGGAGGGCTGGGGCGGGCTTTCTGTGGTCTGTAAAGATTCCATTGCCAGGAGACCTCTCCATTCTCTGAGGGCCTGAATCTGATATCCAGCCCAAGAGGTAGATTGTGCCCGCTGCTGGTGTACCGTCCATTCAGTTGCTCAGCAGCCTCCCTGACAGAACAGGTTTCCAGGCAATCAGTGTAGAGTTTTCGATAGGGCTTTCTCACAATCCTGAGCTTTTAAAAAATTATTATTATTGAAAAGTCAGATCTCTTCACACATTGCTCCATGGTGTCCATCTGTTGACTATGTTCCACTGAATAACTCAGAAGGGATCACAATGACTTCTTTGTATAAAATGGCTGAACCAATATGCTGGGGGTACAGCTTTGTGGGGTCACAGAACAATTGCCCACTGCACCCTTGTGTGTAATGTATGTAATCAGTGCCGGATTTATGTATAAGCTAAACAAGCTATAGCTTAGGGCCCCACTCTCTAGGGGGCCCAAAAAAAATTAAAGGAAAAAACACCTGGATGTACATTTCCAAAATATAAGATAATAACCAAATAAAGTAACACCTACATACAGCAGCAGTGTGTTTTGTTGTGTATGGACCCATTAGGTCCATAAATTACCATATAGCATATATTCAATACAAAAAAAACAGTGACAATTTGGTGTTGACAAAGGACAGCTGGATGTATAAAGGGTCCTATTACCTTCAGTAGCTTAGGGCCTCATCAAACCTAAATCTGGCCCTGTATGTAATAGCACCAAAACACCCTCCTTGCTAGGACATAGTGACTTCTGTTCTTAATTGGGGAACAATGCACAGGTCATTAATATGTTACTTCAAAGAACTGAGTGTTCTTGATCAAAAGATTCCACAACTTAAGGGAAGTGAATAATATTGACTGCTAGGACATTCCTAGCTCTTCCTGATTGCTCTGGGTGCTTCACTCTTTTGACCTCTGAACCAGGAACTTCCCTTAGAACTTTTAGAAAGAGAAACAATTTTGAAGATGGAATATATAGAATTAACCACTAGGGATGAGGGAGAAACTCAGTTCACTCCACTTTTTAATGTGAACTACTTTTTAATGTGAGCTCCCTGAAACTATATTTGGACTAAAATGCATCTATACTTCGAAATCTGCAATTTTTGAAATTTTGCAGTGCAATTCTCAGAGCGAATAATTTGTGCATAAATGTATATGTTAGTGGAAACAACATACAAAAAATATTAGAGGGAATTGCTTGCAAAAATACATATATTGAGACAAATATGAACTAAAATGCTGATGAATTTTCAAGAGAACATTTTATTATTATTTTCATTGCAAACTGATGTGGAAATGTGCTGAACTGAATTTAGTGCTGGATAAATGAGACATCTGAAACTGACATATTCATCCATCTCTATTAATCACACCATCTATATTCCCCTTGGCACTGAATGGTGTTTTAACTGTACCTCATTGCTATGAGGCTAAGCCCTACCAGAGACAGAAACCGGAAACATAACCTGCAGAGCACTGAGGCAAGCTCATTCCCTCATTCCTTGTGGAATTTGAGGTCACTGGCCCGAATTTCGCAGGAGTGGGTCATAGAAATCCAAAACGTTTGAAAGGTTTTCATTGAATGCTGCTTTAAAATTCATTCCTCCATTATCTCCTGCAGCAGAAAGACCATGGGAGGAGTGGTTCTGGTTTACAAAGAGTAGAATTTCACAAGAGTAGAACTTCCATATTTGAACGGTTGCAAATAGCTCAAAAAGGAAAGGGCTATTGTTTTTAAAAGAACTGTGAATAAAACTAGTTTTATTTCCTTATTTTAAAAATAAAATTGAGACTCAACATTAAGTTGCAATTGCAGTATCTCATGGTAGTTAGAATTGCAGAATCATTATTTTGTGTGCGTTTCCTCCACTATTCTGCAACTAGCTACGGTAATTGCAATTGCTAATATTGTGATATAAATGCCAGCCCCAAGTAACCTCTTTCTAATAATGTTTTATTTATTTTTCATTTTATTGAATATTTACTATCGAATATTAGTCAATATTCTCATGATATCCTGAGAGAGAGGTAAAAATGTGTACCTTTGTGACAACAAGCTAATTTATTGATGCAGAAATTGTACGGCCTAGGGTGGAAATAAGAATACAGTTGTGTGCATCATGCATTCATCAAAACCTTAATCATTATAATTAATTTGTTGAATTTATACCCCTCCATTCCACCTAAGGAGACTGGGGCAGCAAACAGATACACAATTTAAAAACAAAAACAAAGCAGAACATTGTAAAACAGTCAAAGCATTCTAAAAATAATTACAATTTAAAACTTCTAAAATATTCTAAAAGCAATGCATAGGGAAAAATACACATTTTAATAATAGTGCAATGAGAAACTGCTTAAGTACACATTGCAGATCAAAATACTTTTGAGTTAAAATGTTAGTCATCCACTGATAATTGGGGTTGCAAGGGGCAGTAGTCTTCCGTCACCAGATGCCTCGGTAAACAGGAATGTTTTCAAATCAAATTCCTCCTGAATGTTAATAATGATGGAGACAGGCACACCTCACTAGGGAGGGCATTCCATAACTGGGGAGCCACCACAGAAAAGGCCCAATCATGGGTTTGTGCCACCGGGTGGCCCTGGTGGCCTCAATGGATGCTTTTAGGGTCCAAGGGCAAGGAGGTGCTGTAACTCAGGGCTGGGGGCATTTTTAAAGGCTAAGGGCCACATTTCACATGGACAATTTTATGGGGGCCGCATTCCAGTGGTGGGAGGAGTCAGGAGCAAAAGTGGGAGGGGGGATATGGATCTTACCTTTGTACAGTAGGTTACATTTCAGCCACACAAAAGTGAGAGATTCCATGCAGACCCTCCTCTCCATCCTCAAAACTTTCCATTCAGGTAAGCAAGAAGATTTATCACAGTTCAAGGACACATTCAAGCCAGGTAAAATCATACAAGGGTGCAGAGGAGGGGCCCAGTAAGAGGTGTGGCCAGGACAGAGTCGCAAGGGCCAAACAGAGGCATGTAGGGCTGCATTTGCCCCTCTGGACCTGTGGTTCTTTACCCCTCCTGTAACTAAATCTAGGTTCGGAGTTGTACTGTACTAGCGAATAGTAGTGAGATTTAGACGCTTGAGGCCCACAGATGGGTCTTCAAGGCACATCCATAGTCTTCCTGCCTAAAGGTGGGTTTTGTGATGATCAAAAGCTTGTTACTCTTATCAGCAAAAGCGTGATAAGCATGCAGTCAAAGGCCACTCTCAATCTACTGTGGTTTGTTTGATTTTCTGGGACTAGCACAGCCGGGCCATTGGGGAAAAATAGATTTAGTGATCAAGTTCATTTTATTGGGTGAGAAAATTGTCCAGCTTCCTAAATCAACACAAATCTCGCCAGCGTTAGGCTTTCCTCCCATGACAAAAACCTTAGTGGCTTAAATGTTTGCTTCAGGAAGCCATATGACACAGGATGGGTGAAACTGTTTTTTTGGCATTGTGGGTGCTGAAAGGAAGCCCATCCCTGTTGTTCCCCATTGCTGATGCTAGTTTTCCAATGCAAATAGGAATGGCTGTTTAAATACTGTCTCCTATGAACAGTGGGGTTATGAAAAAAAATCTAATGATTTTTTTGTACATGAAGGAAGAAGTCAAGTGTTGTTTGGGGGTAGTATGAGCTCCCTTTGGGACAGCTTTCTGAGGTGTTTTTTGCTGTTACTGCTATGAATTGCCAATGCTTAAAATAGAGCTTTCCTACTTCTTTTTTTGAAACTGATTACAGGATGTCTGGCAGGCCCTGGTTTTTCTGTTCATGAGCTGACAGTGTTTAACACGAGTCCACATTTAAAATTGCCTTGTGGGGTCAGACCCGGTTCCCTCTTGTCCTGCTTTCTGTTCTGAGTTCCAACCTGATGCCTTTAGGCAAAAACTCATTTTGATAACCATTTTTAAAAGGGCTCTAGCTTACAAAGGCATTGCCATGTTGTGGCAGGGAATTCCAGAAGGTAGCTTTCCCATTTTTGTCAAAGAGTACTTCTGTCCGTCCTGAACTTGGTACAAACACCCTTTTTGTGGCACTTAACATCACAAGAAAGAGATTCCCCTTTCTTTTTGTGGGTCTTTCTCTTTCTGTATGGGTATTATTTAGGAAAATGCAGGAACAAAAGCAGACAGCTTGATTCTTAATGCCTGAAGATTTTTGGGTTGCAGCATAAATGAAACTAGCATGGTAAAATGTTGTTTGGCCCTGCTAAAAAGATACAACTGAGGTCAGGTCTGCCACTATAATTGACACAAATTGTGTCTAACTAGCTCCAGGGCTAGTGTTACAGAAAGGACACTTGTTTGCACAAAACTGTTCCACACTTTCTAGTGCAATTACAGTATCCCAATTCTTTTTTTAAACTGCAGAAAGTCCACTAGGAAAAGTGATGGAAAATTGCACTGGAAAGGGCTGGGTAACAACTACTAGCCACAAGAAGAGGGCATCAGGGCAAAGTAAAGCCTTAAATGACTTCTGATGTACCCAATACCTGAAAGGCTTCTTTCTTCCCTACAGACCTTCTTGGGTGCTAGGAATAGCAAAGGGTAATTCTTCTGCCTTAAAGGTGGTTGCCCAGAACAGGGCATTTGCTGTGGCAGCCCCTAAGTTGTGGGACTCCCTGCCCATAGAAGTACGCCTGGTAGCTTCATCATATAGCTTCTGGTGAATGCTAAAGACATACCTCTTTATCCTGGATTTTCACACGAGCTGTATATTTTTAGGACCAACCTTATTTTTGTGATTGTAAGTTGTTTGAAACTGTTTTTAACATGGTGTTTTAATGTTGTAACCTGCCATGAGACTTTAGGGTGAAGGGTGTGTAATTAATGCTAATACAGTGGTGCCTCGCAAGACGAAATTAATCCGTTCCGCGAGTGTCTTCGTCTAGCGGTTTTTTCGTCTTGCGAAGCAACCCTATTAGCGGCTTAACGGATTAGCGCTATTAGCGGTTTAGCGGCTATTAAAGGCTTAAAGGCTTAGCGGATTAGCTGCTAAAAGGCTATTAAAGGCTTAGCGGCTTAGATAAAGGGGGCGGAAAGCGAAAAAAAATCTCAAGACTCGCAAGACATTTTCGTCTTGCGAAGCAAGCCCATAGGGAAATTCGTCCTGCGAAGCAACTCAAAAATGGAAAACCCTTTCGTCTAGCGGGTTTTCCGTCTTGCGAGGCATTCGTCTTGCGGGGCACCACTGTACTAATGATCACTGCTTTTTTCTGGGGGTACGCATACCCCTAAACATTTTGTGAATCTTAAGTTTGACCTTATTGAGGGGCAGTATTTCAATATGAGTAGGATAATGAGAGTACCCCTAAACATTTTTTTTAGAAAAAAGCACTGCTAATAATACTAATAATAATAGCAGGCGATGTCATGCAACCTTCATGCAAACATGTTGGGACGAATGCTCAATTAGCAGGTGATGTCATATAACCTCTGTGAGAGTTTTGTGTAAACATATCCATCTGAATGATCAACAAACATCCTGTCTGGAAGCTCCCTGTGTCTTTCACCCAAACTGCTATGTGAAGTAATGGGGTTATTGACCTGAATTGATTTGGCAAGATGAACAAGCCCCTATCGCAATGTTTGACCCACTTCCTGTCCCTGTTCCCTAACAAGAATTTGGGTGTAAATATATCTGAAATGAAATCTGAGAAGGAGGCGGTGGTGGGGGAACTTTGGATGCTGTCCGGCATGATGGTGAGGTATTCCTAAAATGTAAAAGGTTGTCCCAGAAGAGCTAACGGTACCAAAACATTCTACAGAGTTCTTGTTACCTTGTTTTTCGGCAACCCGTGCCTAACTGACATTTGTTAATGTATAGCCGTGAGAAGTGGGCGTCAGGCGTAAGGTGAGTTTGATTAGAACATGGGTAGGCAAACAAGGGACCCAATTGCCTTCTAAATCCGGCCCATGGATGGTCTGGGAATCAGCGTGTTTTTACATGAGTAGAATGTGTCCTTTTATTTAAAATGCATCTCTGGGTTATTTGTGGGGCCTGCCTGGTGTTTTTACATGAGTAGAATGTGTGCTTTTATTTAAAATGCATCTCTGGGTTATTTGTGGGGCATAGGAATTGTTCATTCCCCCCCCCAAAAAAATCTAGTCCGGCCCCCCACAAGGTCTGAGGGACAGTGGACCGGCCCCTGCTGAAAAAGTTTGCTGACCCCTGGATTAGAGCAACAGTTGAGGTCTTTCGAGAAGTCACAGTCTGTCCTTTTCACTTGTTTATTATTGGGAATGAAGGACAGCTGCAGCCCCTGTACACAAGAGAGGGTAATACAGCCATTATATAATTATATGTTGGTAGCCCTCCCAGCTGGGAACTGCGCATTTATAAATATTCTGCTGCCTAAGACTGTGGTTTGCTTTCTAAATAACCAAGAGAAAGCAAAGAGGCAGGCTATAATTTCAGGAGGACTGGTTTTACCTAAGTGAGGTGTATACACACACACACACACACACACACACACACAGAGTGTTCATATAGCTAACCATCACAGTTTTGCTCCGGAAGCCACCATGGATGTGCTTTGAAGAGGTTGCATACATCAGTTTTTTGTCTGCTAATGAAGGTTAAGCTGCACTTTCATTTTGCTATTGTATTAGCCCAATTTAATACAGTGGTACCTCAGGTTACATACGCTTCAGGTTACAGACTCCGCTAACCCAGAAATAGTGCTTCAGGTTAAGAACTTTGCTTCAGGATGAGAACAGAAATCGGGCTCCGGCGGTGCTTCAGGTTAAGAACAGTTTCAGGTTAAGTACAGACCTCCGGAACGAATTAAGTGCTTAACCTGAGGTAACACTGTATATTGGTTAACCTAGATTATTTCAGAAGCTGATTTCTTTTGTTTGTCTTTCTGGCTTGAGATGAACTTGAAGTTTGCGGTCCTTAGTCTTAAATTTCATGTCCAGTTGGGATCATGGCTCCTTATGTTCTTTGTACAAAATAGCATTCACTCTATCATATCAGATGTGCATTCACAAGCCTTTCATGGTATGCACATGTGTGAAGAAGCTATTTTCTGTTGCAGCACCCTAGTGTGTGTACTGTACATGCAACAAAATGCACAAGTGTGACTTGTGCATATTGTTTCCTTTTACAGAACTGTTTTTATTAATATAGAATATTACAGATACTATGTACTTCTATACAAAATATCATATAGATGATAAAGAATAAATGTGAAATTTAAAATACTATTGAAAATATTTTATATATGAATATATCATCATTTGTCCCTCCCTACCTCATTTCCCTTCTTTCAATATAATTTATTTTCTTCATATCCAGGCAATCAGCTACTGTATGTATCATATATCTCTAATGATACATATAGATTGATCAAGTCTTGCCCTTTATCATTCCGATAAATAGTGAAACTCAATTTATCTGAAACTCTGGTTTTCCTTCAAATTATATAAAATCCTTCAGCTTTTACAGAAATGCTCTCTTTGAAGGGATTGATTGCATTTGAAGCAGTCCCAAGATAGTGCAAAAGGAAAATGGAGAAGTGCTAAATCCAGTTCCTCCAATCTTTCTGACTTTGAATTGCCTTTGTATCCTTATTTATACTGTCGTCCTGTCAATTTCAGTGGTGATATAATTCTGATGATTAATTTTAGGATAGCTGGGATGAGAATTCAGTAGTGGGAAGAAAGGAAATTTTCTTTCGCCTCCCACAGTGAAAAATATTGTTACATGCCAACCCAATTTCAGAGTGGTGAGAATATCCAGGGGTTCCACACATTTACCCAGATTCTGTTTCCTTGGAATGAAGGTCAGTGGAGACAGTGATGTCTCTATGATATACGGTTTTATTTACACATATATGCAACCTGAGCATAAGATGGAGGGCCTCACACAGCATTAACACTCCAACAGTATCTGTTTTTTCCAGTGGCCATCAAGGTCAAGGAAGCCAAGATCGGGGATGGGATAAAATCAACAAGTTTCCCGCTCCACTACATGCTGCAACCTTCACCAGTGCCTGATAATGATCTACTTTGAAGCCTGGTTGATCATTTAACTTTCTGCCCTGAGTTTATCCCCGCTCTTCCTTCCAAAAGCTGATTGGGTTTTGATATCTGGGCTCAGGGAAAGGCCCAGTGTTCTAATTTCTTGGAAACTTGGTGGTCTGTAGTTGCAAGTAGAGAAATTTGATTCAGTTCACATTTAAAGGCAAATCTATCTAAGTTGAGTTTTCCAAAACAATACATGAATTGAAACACAACGCTCCTGCAAAATTTGCACTTCTCTGAATTTGGAAATTCTGTTCCCCAGTCAAATAATGTATAACAACAACAGGGGCAACAACAACAACAACAACATTTTAATTTATTTATACCTCGCGCATCTGGCTGGGTTGTCCCAGCCACTCTGGGCAGCTTCCAACACAAAAACATAATAAAACATGAAACATTAATAGTAACAATCTGATCCAATATTAAAGTCACAATAACTTATATCAAATATATACATATATCAAAAAGCATATACAAGGGTTACGTGTGCTTAAAATGCACACGTTAGTGAAAATAACATGCAAAAATATGTTATATTAGGAAAAAATTCTTTGCAAAAAGGTGTATATTAGGGGAAATTGTCTACACTAAAATTCTGGTGCATCTTTTGAAGACTTTTAAAAATAATCGTTGGAAACTGACCTGGAAATGTGGAGAGCCAAAGTTAAGAAAAATGAGAAAATCAGAGAATTTGAAAATGATGGCTTCTACCATCCCTAGCTGCAAGACAAAAATCCAGCAGCCACTTGAGAATCTGGACCAGAGGGGAGAGCATGCTAAGGCTGAATAACCACCTAAATGGAGGCTATGATCAGGCATAGCAATTAGCAACTAGGCAATTAGAACTGCCATACACCATAAGCTTTTTTTGAAGTGGCTGTCCTGCGGTTAGCAATCATGAAAGCAGAACAGATCCTGACATCTGCAAAAATATTTTGGAAGCCCAAAATGTACTGGTACAATACGTGTATTGGCAAACTAGCATATGTTAAATGGCACATGCTGCTGGTGCAAACACTATGGTGTAGTTAGCAGCCACATGGGTGGTTGCTGTTAAAACCAGAAACCAAACTGAGACTGGCTTGGGTTTTTTGTTAGCCTACTGCATCTACATATAGAAAGTCTTTAGTTCTTGGTGTTCCACAAAGACAGAAAGGGCATTGTGGCACTGTTATAGGAGGCAGGGCTTGGAGTATGTGTCCATCTTGTGCGATTCAATGGAACTTCCAAGTAAAGAAAAGAGGAGAGTATTGCAGCACCTTAAAGACAACAAATTTGTGATGACATAAGCTTTTGTGGCCTGCAAGTTGCTTCAGCAGATAAATGAAGATAAATAACTGTGCCTAGAGCTCATTTCACATCTTCAGTTTATTTATCTGGCTGCAATGGTGTGAATGGGAGGCTTTTTGCCACCTATGCCCATCTCTCTGCCAGAGAGGAACTTCGTAATACAGTTTTCACGATTGTGTGCTTTGTTCGGTACCAGATAAGCATTTGCTGAGGATGCTGTTGAACAATTTGCTGAGGCGGCTGTTAACATAGATACTTCTGCACCCAAAGTTCTATAGGGTGTGTTAATTTGTACAAATAGGATAATTAAATTCATTTGCTCCTATCTCTAGAAAGATGGTTAACAATTTCCAAAGTACCACTCTGTTGTGCGTTGCCCACCTGCCATGGCTGTTGTTTGAATCAGAACCGCCTGAATTAGAGTTTGTGCTGGTATGCCACAGTACCCTAGATGTTTGATAGTTCTAGCAGTATTTTCAACTGTTTATAGTGCAAACCAAAGGGATGTTAGGCCTTCCAACAGCATTTGCATGGTAGTTTGAAAAACTGATGTTTGACTTTGCTCAGACAGTGATTTCTTAAAAAAATTGAGTTGTCCGATTATTTCTGTCATTGACAAAAGACTCTTTAATCCAGGAGAAGCTTCTGTCAGCAGAAAGGCGTGTGTGAGGTAATTTTTCACTGATGCCCTTGCTGCCATCTGCTCCAGACTATCTGTGGAGGGAACACCTAGAAACAGTGTGGAAGGTGGTATGAGACACTATAGGAGAATTCATAAACATCTCCCCAACCTAGCTTCAGGCAACAGAAGTCTCTGCTGGGTCAAAGAGCCTTCTGTCATGGAGGCATACAACTGGATCTGTACATGCTGCCATGATGAACAGGAAGCCATGAAAGAGTCAGAAGCTGCAAAGAGGAAGCTACTACTTAAAGGCACAATAACCCTGAAAGCCCTGTATAGTGTTTTGCCTGCTCATACTGAAAAGGCTTGCACTACAATTGTGTTGTGAATAATAGGGGGGAAATCACCAGGGGGACAGGACAACAATACCACAGAAAACAATGGAATCCCACTGCTCGATAATTATGCAGTTTGTGTTTTTGTTGTTGCTTATAAACAGTGAGTGTGCAAGGAATGGCAATTTCAGATGAAACTGCTAATGCAGAAGGCAAGCAGCCAACCACATCCTTGTATTCCAATAGCCGGCATCTCCCAATCTAAGGGAATGGGATACAGATACAGGATAGAATTTACTGAGTTTGCTTTGTCTCAAGAGGACATAGATTTGCACAGAATTTACATATGCTAATTTTAGACGAATAGATGCAAATTTAGAAATAATTGGTATAATTTAAGTAGAAATACTGTGAATCTCATCATAGTGTGCCTGCTCAGTCTTCTGTCCAGGTACTAACTGTTGATGGCCCCTGAACTTTCTTCTCATGGTTCTTTATCTTGAAACTAGGCTTGGACAGCCTTTTGCCTCTGTAAAGCAGGACATATCCAACTAACTTGTTCCATCAGCATAAGGATTTCTGCATGTGCAATGGAACTTCTTTTTACCCTCTCTTTTTACTCTCTGTCCTCCCTAAATCTGCTCTGGAGGGTTGGGAATAACCCCAAATTTAGTGGGGCAGGTGGGTGGAGTGGGGAATTCCACCGTACAAGCAGAAATCCTTGTGCTGACTGAAATAATTACTTGGAGACTGCCTATGGGCATCCTATACCAAACGGAACTAGAAGCAGCTACCTTGTCCAGCGGTGAACCTTGGGGTCTCAAACTCTCACCTCTCGCCTTCCATTCTACATCATTGTTGTGGCTTTTCCTGCAGTGCCCTCAAGGCTCTGCACCCAGTGCAACCAAACCGGTTATGATTACCCAAATCCACCTCTGCCTTGTCACTCACTCATGCTGTGTTACCTCCATTCAGGGGCTTTCAGCCTCAGTCTGCGTTTCTTGGCTTTCGTTTTCCGGCAGTCAACACCCTCTTCCTGCAGAGAGAAGGAGGCATGGCTGCAGGAAAAACAGGGAAAGATGTTTAGCTGAGATGTTAAGCTGAGCCATGCTCATCTGCTTGCAGCAAAAAATAAAATGAAAACCACTTGCTCTCAGACGACTGCTCCAATTCTCCCTGGCTGGTGGCAGCACTGAGCAACTCCCCCTTCTTGGGTTATAAGTGATGCATCCCTTCACGTGTGCATCCTTGTGTCACAGGGATTTTATTGTAGCAGGAGGGCAGAGGAGAAATAGTTTGTTTACTTAGATTTTGGCTTGGCAGTGCATTCATATAGTTGTTGTTGGTTTTTAAGCATGATCAAAAATTTGGGCTTTCGGGGGAGGGGACAGTGAGTGATTAATATGTGACAGGACTTGGGCAATCTTGGATGCCCTGGGCAAATTGGGGACAGTGGAACAGATGTTAATGTGCATTAGTTTTTAGCATGACTGCTAAGTGGAAACAGGGCTGACTTTTTTTGCACATAAGTCTGGCAAGTGGCTCAGCTGGACCAGGTAGGCAATCCTGTCTGTCGGCAATCCTCAGCCAAAAATAGGCACTAGAATTCTCTATAATGTGCCAAGGTTCTTCAGTGCACAAGGCGATGTGGAACGGATTCCATAAAGAACTGAAACCCCCTGGCTTAGATGGTACCTGCACAGCAGTATTCTAGACAAAAGCCATGCTCAATGTACTTGGTGTACTTTTATTTTTTACCATTTATTCTCCTGAAACATCACAGGTTTGTGTGTGGAAGGGGTGAAGAAGCTTCAAGGAGTCTGTGTCTCAGGTAGCCAGGGATTTTATTGACTTCATAGCATTAGGAGATGCAACGGTGGAAAATGAGGTCTGCTGCTCATATAGGTCTTCCTACTTCATTTTGGGGGCTTTATCTTTCAGGATCTGCCGCCCACCCAGAGCGGTAATGTTTTCACTGTACTGAATATCTGAGCTGCTTCTGACTATGGTATTTCAAGCATGGAAAGGAAAACATTTGGCCTCTGACCCAACTGCTTGTTAACAACACAGCAGCCTACGTTGCTGAAATGCCGCAGCTAAAACAGTCCTGGTGATTCAGTTGCTCATTGGCCTTACCATTCAAACTCCTGCCCTTATTTGCAACGCTTCTCCAATCTGCAGAGGCTGTGGAGCTGCTGCAGTGCCTATTAATGGGCCGCTTCTCCTTTTTGAGCCTGTGTGTCCTTGTCACAGAGACTAAGGGCCTCGATGTCGCCTCTGTCTTCTCTCCATTAGCTTGATCAAAACAGAAAGGGCAGAACTTCACAGCTTGCTGTCACAAATGTTTAAAAATTAGAAGCTACCTGACTCTGTTGCACTGGGAGGAAACTTCAATGAGAAGATCAGCAGCATCAGACAAATGTCCGTGATAGAAAGTTTGCCTGTTACTGCCAATCTTCTTGTGCAATGTGTAGTCACAAGAGAACACTGAGTGTGGTCTAGGGCACACTTTCACACAGATCACAGTTCATGTGATACAACTATGAGACTCAACAGGCCTAGCCAGTGTCTTACATGAATTTAACACTCTCCCTTATCCTCAGCAGGCAAGTAAATGTGGAGAAGAGTTTCTGAAGTTGCATAAAGGTGGTTTTTGTTTCGTATTTTAAACTACATTAGTCAGACCTAAAGCAGTATAGGCTCCTCGTTTTCGGCAAGATGCTTTCAGTGAACTTACCCTCCTCAGTGCTGTTGCTGCTATCTGTCTGCATGCTGTCTTCCTTTGAGTCCAATCAGCTAGTCATGGAAAGCTGGGAGGATGCTCCACCAGAAAGCTAGACAAGAACTTTATTCTCTCTCTTAAATGATGCAAAACAGGGGGAAAAACAACCACCCAAAAGTCCTGACTTTGTCCAGATGCAACTAAGTTCAGTGCTACCTAGTGATATAACTATGTAACAATGCTGATTTTTGTTTAAAGAAACAATTAAAAAGCCACAGGTGAAACTTCGGTTAGTTGAAATATTCAGCCGCTCATTTCTAAATCTTGAGAAGCATTCTGAATGACACAAGTAGAGCGAGTGATGATCCGAGACACAATATTGCTGTCTGTTGTACAAGGTGGTTGATGGAGAATCTCAGGAGGTGAACTTGGGTTTTGAGGTGCTGCTTGTGGCATTTGGTCAGCACTTGCCCACACAGGAGGCAGTCTGAAGCAGCTGCTGGGGTTGTGTAGCAATGGCAGTGGCAGCAGTTTCTTCTCTTGAGTTCTGGCAACATCTTGCTGGAAGCCACTGCCGCATGAACCCAGGAAGTGAGGCTTCAGCGGGGGGGGGGGGGGCGTCACCTTTGGCTGGGGTCCATCAACTTCCCATTTCACCTCAGGTGGCGAAATGGGACACACTACCCTTGCATTTGGTGACTGTACTTCTCAGAGTTAGGAAGAAGGTGTTTGTTTCCATGAAGTAATTCATGCTCAGTCTCAGGAGAATATAATTTGGGTGTTTCATCCCACCTCCCTTGTATAGGAGCTGGTCTCTTCTTCATCAGTTTGTATATAAGCTTTCTCTCCAGGCTCCAAATGAAGTAGCTCTCATAATGAGTTGCTCTGGTTATATAAAGGCTCGTAACCTCTCATAGCTTTGTAATATGAAGAAGCAACTTTTTCCAGGTCAGGTCACTTGGGAATAAGATTCTTATCTAGGGTTCGAATGAGTGTCCTGCTTTCCTATTAGCAGCTCTGCTGGGCTACATCCAGAAGCTGTTGGTGGTGGTGTTGACCTGCAGCTTAAAAGAGCAACATGTAGGTCATTCTGTCTCAACATTTTCTTTGCCATCTGTACTGCTGTCTCTGCTCACTGTTTCCTTGAGGATAGTGATGGCTAGTGGCAATGCTGCAAAAGCTGTAAGGTGTCCGGAATGACTGGAATTCTGTTACTACAAACTGGAGTTTCAAATGCAAGTTCATCTGGAATGCCAAAATGAACAAAAGTCTTTCTTCCGTTGTGCACTAATGCTGTGGCAGTTACTGCAAGGCAAAGAGCGTACCTCAATGCACCTTGAATAGTAGTCTACAACAACCAAATACAGTGGTACCTCAGGTTACATATGCTTCAGGTTACATACGCTTCAGGTTACAGACTCTGCTAACCCAGAAATAGTACTTAGGGTTAAGAACTTTGCTTCAGGATGAGAACAGAAATTGTGCTCCGGTGGTAGCAGGAGGCCCCATTAGCTAAAGTGGTGCTTCAGGTTAAGAACAGTTTCAGGTTAAGAACAGACCTCTGGAATGAATTAAGTACTTAGCCCGAGGTACCACTGTAGTGTCAACCTTCCCGTTCACACAGGTTGACTGCTAGCTTTCCAAGGCCTTTTGGATAAGGGTGTGATAAAAGTTCCTCCCATTGTTTTGATTTATTTCTTCTGGAGTACTAACAGGATAAGGTTTTGTTTTTTCTATCATTTCCAATACCAGCCACAATACTGTGTGCTTGATTTGCTTGTCGCATTTGGTTAGATATTGATTTCCCGGGTGATAAAGAAGATTTATTTCCTCCTAGATTGCGGTTCAGTGTTACAGTTCTGTTTTGTTATGAGGCCTTCCAATTCACTCAGTTGTGCACAGGCAGCAAAGTACTTTCTAGTTGACTTAGAAGCATTGCTGAGATGCTTAGGCCATCCTGATCTGATTTAATTTAAGACTTTTTGATGTTCTGGATTTCCATGAGCAGCTGCATTTGAAGAAGTCTCTTCAGATCCTGGTAGAGAAGTGTGCAAAGCATTAATGTAAGCTTTAACTTCCTCCATGTGGTGCTTTGTGTTTAGGCGAAAGCAAGCAGATCTTTCTTTCCCTTCAGGATTATTAAGCTGAAGTTCACACTGGTGCAGGGAACTGTGCCATTTTCTTTGTGTTGTTAGAAGTTTGTGAGTTTAAAAGTTGACTTCTGACACCATATCAATGAAAGCTTAAGAAGACACCCCAGCCAGGAACTGAGACAATAATTTAATTGTCTCTCTTTCAGCTCCAAGGCAGAAGAGCAACAGAAGGTGCCTAACTAAACCCAGATATAACTAAGTCCAGTGCCACCTGGTGACAGAACTACATCATTACACTATCCATTCACTGTCCAGCCACCCAGAGGGACGGGGTTAAGCAAGCAGGGGATGTTTCTCCTCCTCCTTGCTTCTGACACTGATTGTTCACTTAGAGGGGGAAATTGAACAGGCAACAACAACGAGGACGGTGGGTGGCAACAAGTTCCTTGTTCAGGTGTGGGCTTCAACAGGTACCCAGTGGTACCAAACTCTAGACCTGATAAGTGGTGCTGGGGGGAGGGAGCAGTGCCCTTGCTGACAAGTAGTCCTGCATATCTGGACCCCTATAGGAAATTTTAGCAGAGCCACATACATTTATAAATTAACATAAGGCTGAAGTCTTAAGTATGCTTACTTGAAAGTTAACTTTGTCACACAATACAGTGGTACCTCGGGTTACATACGCTTCGGCTTACATGTGCTTCAGGTTACAGACTCCACTAACCCATAAATAGTATCTTGGGTTAAGAACTTTGCTCCAGGATGAGAACAGAGATCGTGCTCCGGCGGCGCGTCAGCAGCAGGAGGCCCCATTAGCTAAAGTGGTGCGTCAAGTTAAGAACAGTTTCAGGTTAAGAACGGACTTCCGGAACGAATTAAGTACTTAACCCGAGGTACCACTGTATATAGGACTTGCTCCATAGAATTATGTTTAAGATGGGATAATTAAAGTGTATGTTCCATTATTTCTATTTTAGAAATGTAATGTGGGGCAAAGGCCCCCATCCCCACGGATGCCCTTTGCCCTTTCCTAGGTCGTCTCAATCTTTTTTTTGCCCCCTCCCCAGCACCACCACTGTTCTGAATGCTGATGAATGTCAGGCCACAGCTGAATACTCATCAGCCCTAGGTAATGAACTTTCTGCTTAGGGGATGCTAGCGCATTGGGGAAGGGCCGTAGCCTAGAATAGACTAGTCTCCTTCCTGATGTGCTAGCTTTTCACAGGCAGGGTATTTTTAACGTGGGATGAGTATTCAGGCATGCAGTTCCCTCTCCACCCGCCCACCTGCCGCCTTAAGTGGTAAAGTAGTGTGAAGACAATAAAGCATTTCACCACAACCACCCCTTGGAGTGTGAATTTCCCCTAATTATCCCCTTTTTGTTTGTGCAGGACTACCACAGGCCATTTTTCAGCATACACTTAGACATGCTTACTCAAGAATAAGACTTGCCATTTTCCAATGGGACTTACTCCCTAGTAAACATGTTTTAGGATTATAGCTTTAGTGCTTGCACGTTACATGGAACATGGAGGTGTGTAGGGTGAGGACTGTGGCTCCAGCAAGGACAGTTCCTGCATCTTTTCCATTTGCAAGAGTTGATTCACAAGTTCCTTTTTATATACTAAAAAATATGTGTGTACACACTTGCACATAGTGATCAGGGGATTTAGAGCCATTGATCCATGTTATCCAAGCTGAGCGAGCTGTGCAGGTTCTGGACCAGTGCCTGGATGCAATGGTGGGATGGATGAGGGCCAACTAGCTGAGGCTGAATCCCGATTGAGGTCCTTTAGGTAGGTGATTATTGTGCTCAGGAATTAGATGTGTTCCAGTTGAGGTTGCATAGTGTGGGGTGCTTCTAGGTCCAATTAAAGCCACAATATGAAATCATGAAACAAGGGCAGATAAAACAATATAAATATGGAAAAAGAAACAAGCCAGTACAGCAACAAATGAAAACAAGCGCTGAAAAGCTACACACACCCAAGCAGGTCTTTAGCAGTCAATAGAAACACAAAAGAGTCAGCACAAGCTGCGTCTCTGAAGGGAGAGCATTCTATAGTTGGACACTCCATAGGCAGACTTGGGAGTATTTCTTCCATAGATAACTTAACTGAGACCTGATTTTTCCCCAGGTGCATCTTTCACAGAGCACATTATTTTTTGAGGTGATAATGGACTGTCAGTGGAGTGGGTGACTTCTGCTGTGCAATGTGACTTTCCCTCTTCTCTCCCCCTCTGTGCACCCTAAATCTGTTCTGGAGTCCCGCCCCCCTGGATTTGGGGGTGGTGCGGAGTGTGGAGGGGTGAGGAGAGCGGGGACAAGTCCCACCATCCAAGCAAAAGACATTGCGCTCACACACGCATATATTTTTAGATGAACAAAGCCAAATATATATGCACCATTTTATATGCAACTTGCCCTGGGACTTAATGGTGAATGGTGGGCAGGTAAGAAATACTGTAATAAGTAAATAAATAATATTTCTTATGAAAGTGATCCTGCTTGGTGAGAGCTGACATTTACCATGTCAGGTAGCATAGTGTTGTGGTAAGTACCATTTGTTCGTGGGGTGTTTGTGTGCCCTGACAGAGCAATTTTAAAAATGAAATTAATGGGGTTTCATGGTGACCTTACTTTTGACAGTTCCTTGGTAACGAGTCTGTGGGCGTACAACGTCTCACACTTGTGCTGTACAATTTGCACAGTTTTTCTTCCCGATGTTCTCTGCAAGAGCTTTCCTGGCCTCATAGAGTCCTTACCTAATATAGCTCTTTGCATAAGTGTGCACCTGTCACAGCCATAGATTGGAACGGAGGGAATAGGCTGCTCAGAGCTGGTCCCCACCTCTTTCCTTGCCCTGCCTATTTAGTCTGGCTAAGCACGTAGGAGCGCACCAGCCTGCTGTGACTAAATCCTAAATGGAGGGATTCCTTTCTTGTGATGAAGTTTTCAGCAAGTCCTGTCAAGGGCTGGGAAAAGCCTGAGTGTCACTAGCAATCCACTTGGTGCTTTGCCTTTCAGCAAGGGCTCGGGGGGGGGGCGGTATTGTTTTGTGTTTGTTTCCTTAGGGACCACCATGCAAAAATTGGGTGTTCCAGGCCTTTGGGTCATAGCCATACTTGAGAATGGAAAGAGAGTGCTTGCCTGGCCTTTCATTAGAGTTAGTACAGTATTAGCCTGAGGACTTCTCACTACTTGGATGCATTAGGGTCAAAGCAGGTTGAAGAAATGCCAGCACCCTGACCACAGGCTGGCAGATCCTGGAGGATCTTGCAGAACTTGATTGAGCAGATTATATGCAAAGCCACGGCTCTCTGTATAGGTGTGGCTTGGTAGATTCATAGCCAGTATCCCTTGCGCTTTCAACATAAAAAACCCTTTCTTTAAAATAAGCAGGTACATAATTGGCTGTGCAAGATACCTATGGTCTGTCTGGCACTGGTAAAAACCAATGGGAGCTGTGGCCTACTCCAGTCTGTTCAAATTCAGTGGTTTCAGGGAAGCCTCCTTGCATAGAACTGTGTTCTGTGTTTAGTAACTGAAGCCTTCTATGTTTTTCATGGTTATTTAAAGCCTCTGATAAGTGAGGAGCTAAAGATAGGCTCCTCAGCTGGCCCTAGGAACATGTCACAGTGGGAGGCCTGCCTTGGGGGTTCTCTCTGAATCCCAAACACAAAGAGGAAGATGTGGCTCATAGCTTACAAGAGAGGGAGTGTGCTGAGTTTCTCCCTGGCATTGGAAGCCAGCTGGGCAAGCCATCTCACACAAGAGCCTTATCTTCTTGCAGCAGGGCTTCCTAGAATTTCTGGTTGTGAGCATGAAGGCTCCTGGCACTTATAAGCTGCTAGTGCCAGGAGCCCCCTGTCTCTTGCCTCCCCAGAATGTCGCCTCCCTCCCACACCATGCCGGAATGTGAGACTTCTGGGTATAAGTGAGTCAGTATGTTTATGAGCACTGTAGCAGACAGTGGTGATTTTGCAAATGTGAGTGTCTGGGGCAATATTTGCCTCAAAACCATTAGGAGCCCAACTAGCAGTAAAATATTGTTATAGAACTTGTGGGGGGAATCCCCCTAAATACTAAAATTAATAAATGCTAGGATTTGGGGTTATTTGTGATATGAAGGGAGAATGTAAGATGCAAATGAATTCCTGGGTAGCCAAACTAGGGCCTTTAAGAGAGCCATTGTGAGTCCTGAACAAGACAATGGCACTTCTAGCCCCAGGTGTGACTAGAGACTGGAGATTTGGAAGGTTGCCAGGGTAACTGCTTTGGGGGAGGAGGGCAAGGGGCTTCTGGGAAGAAGAAAGGGGGAGAAAGAAGGAACTGCCTGCAGTGCTTTGGGCCATGCTGTAAGATCTGGACCCCCTCCATGCAGACTGAAGGTGTAATTATGTGAATAAACCCATATTTTTTAAAGCTTGACAGTCTCCGCTATGTCTTCCATTCTCCAAAGGGACATAGATCCTGTGTGTGTGGCTGTGGCCCCATGCACTCCTGCCGCTGCTTAGCAGAGGGAGGGAGGGGCACTGGGCTTTTATAACAATATATAACAGTGGAAAATGAAAGAGAAATTGAGTTTTTTCTGTGTACTGTATACATGTTTAGGATTGTTCTATTAGTGTTGTTCATCAGTCATTATGATGGCTCACAAGGAACCCCCCAAATTCCCTATTAGGGCAAAATGTTGCAAAATAATGTGACATTTTGATTGGCTCCAAAGGAAAGGGGAGCAAATGTCCACCAGCAATTGTTAGTAGCTGCCCTATGTAGTTCATAGCATCCCTGAGTTAAAAGGAATTCAGTTTGTCCTATAAATAAGTTTCACTGACAGATGCCAGTCCAGTTTTCTTTTGAAAACCTTAGAGGATGAGAATTCCATGAATTTCAATTGTTTGGAAACAAAAAAATACTTGTTTGGCAGCCATTGTGTGTCTGAGAAGCCTGGTTGCTGTTTCTTCAAGGCAAAGTGCAGCAGGCATGTGTGATTTGTAGGAAAGAAGCAACAGGCAAGAGAAGGGTGCTTAACCATTTCCCCCCAGTTGAAGATTCCACAGCGAGTCTTGCTGCTATCACAAAGGAAGCGTCTTGGTTTCACTCCATGCAGGATTTCTTTTTGTGATATTCATTCATTCATTCATTCATTCGTTCGTTTGATGCTTCCTCCCCAAAAAATGTTTAGGGGTACTCTCATTTTCCTACTCATATTGAAATACTGCCCCTCAACGAGGCCAAACTTAGATTCACAAAATGTTTAGGGGTATGCGTACCCCTGCCTCCCCCCAGAAAAAAGCACTGCATTCATTCATTCATTCATTCATTCATATTAAACTGCTTGTTTCATTTATTCTGCACATGAACTGTGAAAGGGAAACTGCCAGATTCTGGTTCCTGTGTATTTTAAGGGGTGACGATACTCCTATTTTAATAATTTTTGTGCCCACTACTTTGAACTGATACACAACACGTGCATCTTGTAGTTTGTCTTAGGACCGCGTGCACAAAAATATCCTATGAAGTAGCCCTCATTTGTACAAATGAACTTGGCAGGTACCAAAGACCAGAGGTTCTTTTTAAAAAAATCCAAGTTCTATTTCCATTCCAATGGATGTGTTCATAGATGGCTGTGCCTTTGCTATATGCAGACTCATTAGGAACTCTGGGAATCTAGTGCTGTAATTGCTAACACAGAAAAGTCGGAGTTTCTTGTGTAAGAGGGGGTTAGTTTGAGTGTAGCTGCATACCTGGCTCAAACCTCTGGATCTACCATCTCTGGGGGGGGGGTGTTGTGAGGGGAAATTTTGACTGAACTATGAGAATCTCAGCTTACATCCTAAAATGGAAAGTTGTATGTGTAGTGGTGGATTTAAAATGTTATTTCCATATGTATCCTGACTGTTTCTCAGTCACAGCTGGTTTATTTTTTGTACTAACAGCTGTCCCTTCACCAAATGGACCCAGGGCGGGTTACAAAAAATGCCACAATTAAAAGAAATACTGTGTAAAATAATAAAATGAAACCACACAAAAAACAACCAATATCAGAAAAAGGAAGCCGCAGCACAAAACAGCAATGTACAGAAATGCAGGAGGAAGGAAGACATCCACTCAGCAAAAGGCCTGGGCATAAAGAGTGTGACTTGACTAGGGATGTTGGAGAACTTTGCAATAATTTAACTTGTTAGCGGGTGGTGCTGTGGGTTAAACCACAGAGCCTAGGGCTTGCCGATCAGAAGGTCGGCGCTTCAAATCCCCGCGAAGGGGTGAGCTCCCGTTGTTCGGTCCCTGCTCCTGCCAACCTAGCAGTTTGAAAGCTCATCAAGTGCAAGTAGATAAATAGGTACCACTCCAGCAGGAAGGTAAATGGGGTTTCCGTGTGCTACTCTGGTTCGCCAGAAGCGGCTTAGTCATGCTGGCCACATGACCCGGAAGCTGAACGCCGGCTCCCTCGGCCAGTAAAGCGAGATGAGCAAGATGAGTGCCACAACCCCAGAGTCATTTGCAACTGGACTTAACTGTCAGGGGTCCTTTACCTTTTTATGCAATAATAGCCAAAGTAAATTATTTCCCCCAGGGAAAAGTAAATAAAGCAAGCTTTGCAAACTCTCTCTCTCTCTCTCTCTCTCTCTCTCTCTCTCTCTCTGTGTGTGTGTGTGTGTGTGGTATCCTCCAGTTTCTCTGCCATAATACAAAATATTGGTCAATTTTTTAAAAATACTGTTGCTCTCTCTGCATTTTGCAGATTACCACATTTTCTTCTGCATGTGGCTGTTCACAGCTTTGCAAGTAGGAAGGGAAAGTGAGGGAGATGATTGGATTTGTTGTGGAATTACAATGGTTGTTTCTCCATTGGGGATGTCTTGCTTATGATCTGTGTCATTCATACAAAGATAATGACTTAAAATCTTTTGAAATAAATAAATAAATAAAAAATTGTCCAGTAGCACCTTAGAGACTAAGAGACTTAGAAACTACTTTGTTCTGGGTATAAGCTTTTATGTGCATGCACACTTCTTCACACTTCTACCTACCTGAATTTAAAATCTTTTGTTTTATTTCCCACCTTAAGTAAATAAGGTGGCAGGCCTGCCATCATGATATCCATTATGTAAGAGGTGGTCATGCCTCTATAACAATGACATTATTTTCACAAATAATGATATTAACACCTGGACAAATCAGTGCAAGGTTTGAAGGTATGGGAGGTGCCTCAGATCTGGGGCAAAGAAACCAGGCAATTAGTTTCCGCTGCCCCAGATGCTTTGAGTGATTGAAGTGGAACAGGAAAACCTCTTCCTGCTCCTCCTTCTCCTCCTGTTTGCTGGAGCATCACCCACACATCTCTGCACTGGCAGCATTTGGGAGTGATGGCAAAGTTTTTAAGTTCTTCTACTTATTCCTGGAGGCATGTCAAACCCAGCTGAAGTTGTAGGCACAAGTACGGGAAGGAGAAAATGTGGCTCTTTTCATTGAGTGCCCCGAGTTGAGACTCTGTGGGAGGTGCAGCGTAGACTTGCTGGCACTGACAGCTCCCAACTCGTGGTGTTTAGCCCCACCAGTGATGTCTTGGTCACATTTAAAAGAATGAGCTAAGCAGCCTTGCAGTTTTGCAACTTCCTCTCCCCACGGCTGCTGAGCACTAAATTAAAAGCGAGACCCTGAAAAATGAGGAAATGCCGGGTGCTGTGTGAGAACTGGAGAGAAAGAGCTTGTTTGGTTACGAGGCGATGCGGCCGGTCACCTTCTTTCTTTGGGAACTGTGAAATTCTCTCCTCCTTTCTCTCTTCTTCCTGGCGCACTGATCACTAAGGTAAAAACTTTTGGGATTCACAAATGTGCTGTGCATCTGCATTTGGAATTAGAGATCAGCTTGGAAGCTTGATGGTGCATGAGTTTGTTGTGTGATGGCTCTCAAGGAGCTCCCATGAAGTTCTCTTCTTCTTTGCAGGAGAGATGGGAGTGCGTGTACTGTTTTCTGGACTGTGTGGAAGATGCTAAATCTCTTGTTTTTGAAAGTTGAAAATGAGTGCCAATAAAAAATGCCCTAAATTAGTTTACTCCGATGTACTCAGGAGAACAGTAGAATATGAGAGTTGAGATCCTGCCACTGTTGATGTGAGAAAACAAGTCAATCAAGTGCACTGATTGCTGCACTTCAGGCATGCTTGCAAGTACGATAGGCATGCCTCACCTAAGCTATATTTCAAATTTTGAGTGTTAATTTTAATTCAATAAATTCTTAAATTCAAATTGCAAGCTTGAGTAGTTTTGTCTGGCTCTTCAAACTGATCAAAGCAAGCTCTTTGTTTCCACAAACTATGCCACATTAGAGTTGTCCAATGACCTTCTACACATGAACTGCCCAGTGCTGAATTCAAATGCTCTTGAGTGTTTGCGCAAATAAGAAAAAGAGTACTTCAAACTTGCAACTGTAAGAAGAGCCTTGGATTGTGATAGTCAACAGTTGGGAAAGCCATTGAACTGTATCCTGGCCAGGCCAGATGTGAGAGGCACAGACTTGGCTTATATGCTAGCTGTGTTTCCCATGGTGTTTATAGCTCCATTTTACCCTGAAGTACTGCTGCTAGAGAATGGAATAACCATTCATCAAGCAGTATTGTTGTCACTTAAACTTTATGCCGTGCACTGTTACAAAGCTTCAGGGTTTATTTTTACTGTGTCATAAAAACAAAAAATATTAAAAATCCACTGCTAAAATACCCTCTCTGCTTACTCCTCTTTGCCAGCTACATGCCTCAGAATGACTAAGAACCTGCTGAGCGTAAACTATTAAACAGATGTTAATGGCTGGTGTTATAAAAGTGAGAGGGATTGGTCAAAAGACCTTGCCTCACAGTTCTCCCAACTGTATCAGAGTTTCCCTCACCCTTAACTGTAACCCATAAAGTCCACAGCATATCAAGTATTAGGGTGTTGTTTGGCAGCCCAACTGAGTTTAGTCAAGGTCACAGTTGAACATTTGACTGCCCACAGTTTCACATGTAAAAGAAAAGAGAAGTGTTCCATTTTTTTAAAAAAAATAACACCTGCCTCTTTATACGTGAAATATAAACTTTTGTACTGCACAAGTAATCCTACAACTGAGTGCATATACCTCATTGCCTGGAAGCCATTATTGCAAGAAAGTGCAAACTTTCGCAGTAATATATACTTCTGCATCCCAAGCCACCCTCAGAGGAAGCCCTGAGAGGAAAAAAAGACCATCCTTTTGCCAAAGGCACTCATGAACCTAGCTGGCATGCCTAGTATTTTTTCACACAAGCCTCTGCCTGGGCATCCTTCTTGCTTTGGAAAGCTGGAGTATTTACACTTTTAAATTGAGTCTGTGCAGCAGGACTGGTGGGGCTTGTGCAGGCTGCCTTTGAAAGTACCACAGCTAGCCTCTCTCTGTGTGTGTTGGTCTTGGCTAAAGTTTGGGAACGCTGCCCTCCAGGATGCAGTGCTCTCCACTTGCTTCTTAGTGGCACTTAGAAAAGAAAACCCAAGAAGAAAGACTTGTTGAGAGGGCTGCGGGGGGAGCTACACTCCGTTGTTTATACTTCTTTGTCCTCTATTTCCTTTTCTGAAGACTTGTGTATGTGTTGAAGATGTTTCACAAAACAAAGGGCAAAGGTGAAACTTTCCCCTCTACCTCCTTTCTCCTGGAGCATTCAATAATTACTGGGTCCCTCCTGGGACATTTGCGCTGGCAATTTTTTTCTTTTTCTTTTTGAAATGGACTCGACGGTGAAATTGGTTTTTCCATTCATAAAACATCACTGTCAAATGTTAAGCACAGGAACTGGAGGGAGCAGGGACATGGCTCTGAGATGAAGCAATTGCTCTGCAGAGTTTCTTTTGTTTTTGGGCTTGGGTGGAGGCGCAAAAGTTTGACTTTCTTATTGACCCACGGGTTCTTCCAGACAGGAGTTCATTGCTGACTTAATGCTGCTCACGGCCACAAGTTGCTGTTTTTCCACACAATGTCCTCCTCAGAATTCACTCCCTTTTTTATTTTTATTTTTTACATTTAATCTGTATTTTCCCATACCACCTAAAATCTGATAAGTAAAAAAACAAAACCTATTATGCATCTGTAGCCACATTATGTGTGTGTGGTCTGTCATGCATGTTGTTGTATTTCAGTGCGTGGCCTCTTATTGTCATACCTCTACTTCCAGTGGCTCCTCACCTGGGCACAGCTTGCCCATTTTTGTTTCTAGTGGCCCAAAATATCAAAGGAAAGAAACCTATTTCCATTTATTGCAGCAGACTTTGGAGGAGATGGGTACAGAAAAGCTGGGATGCTCAAGAGAGTCTCTCTTGTCCCTTTCCTGGCCCCACAGCACTGCTTTCCTATCTGGTAGTTCTTGCCACCACCCTCTTTTTATAGGTCACTTACAGCCTCAGAAAAGGGGGAAACTGGGGTGACCAATTAACTGTTAGACTTGGGGATCCCAGACCAGTCAGTGCTCCTTGCACCCCCAGCCAATCCCTTCCAATCTGCTGCCCCTCCCCCCAATATAGCAAATTCCTGACCTTGACCAACTTTGATCCTAGACCTCCAACAGGGTGAAAACCAAAGCAGTCTACCTGGGAGCAGGCACTGGGGATGGTCAGCTTCCCAGTGGTCTGGAAGATGGGTATGGATCCCGTGGTGGTGGTGGGAGGGGACAATAGCACCTCAGTTTTGAGGGGGTGGCTCTTGGCTCTTTCTGACGAATGAGAGCACCCCATTCTCTCAAGATATCCACACAGTAAATGCTGAGTGTATCCCAGGACAGAAATCACAGCATGTACATCATGGAGTTGTTTCAAGTTAATACAGAAGTTTTGCGCTAGACTTCTTTTATCACTCTTGCTCAAGGCCTTAAATTACTTTATCATTTTTTAAAAAATCAAAATGCCTATTGCACTGCTGAAAAAACCCACAAGCCCTCATTTTGCCATTGTGAAACACTTAACTGGATTAATAAGGCTAGTAATGCTCCTTCCTTCCTGGGAATTGACCCGTCCCTGTCTGGAAGCTCTGTGGATGACAATTTATTTTCCCTAGAAATGTAAGGGCAGAAAGAGGCTGGTAGAGGGAACCACACACATGGGCTCTCTGCTCATACTGCATATCCCACTGTACTACTTCCCTTTTCGTGGTGCTTCCATGGAACTAGGGAACAAGAGAACTCGGGGCAGGTTAGTATTTCATCCTGGGGCAATCCTTCCCAGAGTTTTGTTTTCCTGCAGTTGCTGCTGCTGCTTATTCTTATTTATTAAATTTCTGTCCTGTCCTTCTTCCCAAAGGAGCCCAGGGCAGCAAACACAGTAGTAAAGTGATACAGTTAGAAACAAAGACCTATTTAAAAAATGGAAAGCAATTAAGAACATTTAACAGGAAATTAAAAACATACACACACCACCACATCTAATTTCATGGTTTTCTGTAAAAGTATTTTTCAGCCATCATATGCCTGGGTGAATGACGTTTTTCAATTCCTCCTGGATATTGTTAATGGGGAAGACAGATGTACCTCACCAGGGAGGGCATTCAAGTAATGGGGGAACTGCCATTGGGAAGGCACTGTCATGGGTCATTGGTGACCAGGGAGCATCCATTGGTCCCAGTGGGGAGTGCAGCTTATATGGACAGCACTTGTTTGGGACACTGTGGCAGGCCCCCAATGGCATCCTAGGCGGGTTTGTCTTCTGCAGATTGACTTGGAGCTTGGCTGAGCACTGAGCTAAATCCCGACTTTGAGCCAAGCAGTGTTGCCAGCTTGAAGGTAGGGCAGAATGCACAGCTGCATGCCCCTTTACTTGGCTCAGCTGGTAGGACCTTGCGGTTGCGGAAGAGATTGACAATCTTAAATTAACTTTGCCTGTTGCCCCATACTACTAACCCCCCAGCAGCTGGTGGGAAGTGCAGGCCTGCCACGTGCTCAGGGCCATGGCTTGCAGAGTTTTGTGAGTGGTGAAGGTCATTCTGCGGGGTCTACGTTCTGCAGGGTTAGGGCTATAATATGCACAGAGAACTTCTCCGCCTTGCAGGGCCCCCACAGTGTCTGCACACTAATCCTGAGCAGTGGTGGGTTTTTGTTTTTTAAAAAACATAAGGAGGTGCTGACATTCACATTTTGGTAAAAGTGTTGCAGGCAGCAGCATAAAATGGGTGTCATGGGCAGCATAATCCGAGATATTATGATGCACTGTGTCATAACAAAAAAAGTGCTGGGCTGAAGATGTCTCTCTGTGCGTGTTTATAGGCATATTGTATATAATGTGAGGTGAGGGGATTTCTTTGAGGTCTCTTGAAGAGTTAAAGTACAAAACCTTATTTTAGGTACTGGTAGATGTTATGTTGTGATATATATATATATATTCTGGCAAGCCAATAACTAGAAATAGAATCCGTCTCCTATCACCTCCCAAGGAAGAATGATTTTAGGAGACTGGCAACACCTCCTTCTTGAGTAGGGTGAGGGATCTGTAACCCAACCTACCCCTGGATGTTTTGCCTGTTCTATATATAGTAGCTGGCCTCTTGGAAGTTTGTTTTTATCCCTCTTGGTAAATATATTTTTTGCAGCCATCAGACACCCCTTCCCCCACCCCCACCAAAGGTTCAAAATAGGAGTAACTGATGGAATTAGGAGTCTATGCTCTATAGGAAAAAGGAACATGTGTACTGTACTTGTTATCCTGTATAAATGACTAAAGGACCCCCCTTTTCTTTTTACTAAATATTGAGGAGGGATGGCTCTTGACTGCATTAATCATTAACTCCCCTGAGCAAGCACAACAGTTAACTTGAGCGTACAACTGAGCTAAAGTAATGGGAGATACAGTCTGCTGCTAGATTTATGAACTGTGAATGAAAACGACTCCTCATATGTAAGGCACTGCTTGGACTGCCAGGTTGAATCTTCCTCACTTTGCAACTGGCGGTGTCATCTGCTCTGGTGCAACATGCTGCCCAGCATGTAAGCACTGCTTACACCTACAGTGATGTTCACCCGCCTGCGCTTTGTGCCCTCTTTGAACAGCTGTGAAGGACTCTTCAGTGTGCAAAACTGCTTGGGTGTTTCAGCCTCCTTGTGGGTGGCACTGTGAAACAATCCTGTTTCTCCTTGGGCTATGATTGCAGCTTTTTGTTCAGCTTTAAAATGCCCTCATCTGAAATTTAGAGACAGGAGAAACTGCAGATGGGTAAACAGCTGATAGGGGAAGGGGCAATAGGTCAGGGGCAGAGCATTTTCTTTACGTTCAGAATGTCCCTGGTGTCTCTCGCTAGGGCTGGGAAAGACTCCTTCCTAGAACCCTGGAGATTTGCTGCCAGTTAGCATGGACAGATCTGAGCCAGATGGACCCAATGGTCTGACTTGATGCACCTCAAATTCCTATGTTTTTGACAGTTTTATCAAAGGCCAGCTCCCTTATTTGGCCATCTGAAGCCAGTCCCTCTGGTGACGGTGTGGGAAGTGAACTTTCAAGTCAGGTGTCACAAACTCATGACTTCTTGAATTGCAGACTGTTATGGTGGCATTTGTGGGTTTTTAATACATGGCTTGCTCTTGCTGGATTTCCCCTAACCACAAAATCTCCTCTAGCGTACCATGCTTGTGTTTACTACCTATCCAACAAATTCATTCTCAGTGATGGTTGCAAAGCTAAGTGCCATATGGGGACCAGCAGCTTTTTGCCTGGCATTATATTATAACAATTGATCTTGACTTTTTAAAACCTTGTATCTAAGACCAGTGATATGAATCCTGAAAAATTACAATGGTTTGGATAATAGGTGGAATTAGGAATGAATGTGCTGGGATGAATTTGCAATGCTATAGCTTCTCTTCTACATTACCTAGGCTTTCATGACTGGGATAGATGCTTTTTTTTTTAAAAAAAGAAGAAGACATGATACAATTTCCTGCCAGTTACTGATATTGGTTTTTCCCATGCTTTTCTCCATTTTTTGAATTCTAGAAAGTCATACCAAAGGGACATCTGAACAAACGCTTCCTCCCATCCCATATGTGCCTTCCCAATCCTTGAGGTCATTGGAAGAGGCCCTATTGTGGGTGCCCCGTCCATCTAACAGTTGGGTGAGTAACAATCAGCTTTATATTTTGTGGCATTCCCAATGAGTGCGTTTTGTCTTCCAGGTTCTTTGAGGCAAGGGACAAGAACGTCCTTTTATCGAAAGCCTTTTTTTTTTTTTAGACCAATGCTGTTTATATTCAGATGTCATGATAGGTCATGGTTTAGTGTGCTTAAAATGAAACCAGCATCTCCCCAGGCTCATGCGCTCCCCTCTCTTCCATCGACACAGCCATGAGGCATTGAGAAGGGTTTGCTTCTGTTTTTGATTAACTGTGGCATCATATTTTGTCCAAAGCCTATAAATTCAATAATTCCAATATAGCAGTGCTAGGTTTGTGCTGCTGTGTTTGTATTGTTTCTGTTTTGAATCTTTTTATATGTTTTCTTATTGTTGTAATATTTTCAATACATTGTGTACTGTCCTGGGCTCCTTTAAGAAGAAGGTAAAGGTAAAGGGACCCCTGACCATTAGGTCCAGTCGTGACCGACTCTGGGGTTGCGGCGCTCATCTCACTTTACTGGCCAAGGGAGCCGGCATGACTAAGTCGCTTCTGGCAAACCAGAGCAGCGCACGGAAACGCCATTTACCTTCCTGCCGGAGCGGTGCCTATTTATCTGCTTGTACTTTTAAGAAGAAAGATGGCACATAAACACAATAAATAATAAACAACATTATTTTATTTTACTTTACTTTACTTTATTTTACTCATACCCCGCCCATCTGGCTGGGTTTCCCACCCCACCTTTCCCCCAGGCATCTCAAAACAGCACACATGGTTCCTGCCTAGTTTATCTACACAACAACCCTGTGAGGTAGGTCAGACTCAGAGCCAGTGACTGGCCAAAGGTCACCTAGTGAGCCTCATGGGTGGAGTGGGGATTTGATACTACTACACTACACTGGCTCTCTTGTGTAAAGGAGAGAAAGTTGGCAGATGAAACTTTTTACATCGTAGAGCTGAAACTGACAGGATTTGCATAGTAGCCACTTGGCACTACATAAAGGCCAATTCACTAGCACTAGAAGTGTTTGCAATCAAAAGCTCCTCAAAAAACCAGACTAGGCAGCCAGAGGTATAGTTCCTTCAGAAAACACAAAGCAGGGTGGGCGGGTCCCTTTTTAGTATCATCTCTCCGGCCTATGGAGGATCAAAAGCAAAGTATCAGGTGTCCATAACTTTAGGGCTGGTTTTCGTATACTGTCTGCCTCCACAGAAATACTTTCGGAATGATTCCTGTGGAAGGATGTGTGTGGAAAATGAATGTCTGAAGGCTGGTAACAGGTGCTCAAAAGGAGAATGGAAATGTTTGTGGGTTGTGCTACAGTTTTCCTGCATTTGATGTAACTGATCCAAATCCTCAGCATTTAGGAAAGAAGAGAGCCTGGATTGTAACTCTTGACTAGTTTGGCATTTGGTATGAAACAAGCCTAATAAGCCAGAGGCTTGTACTGCAACACTAGTCCGAGTGGCCAAGGCAATGCAAATTGGCTTATCCCCATTCTGGCATAGCTGACACTGGCTAAAAGCTGAGGAGGGGCAATGGTTTCCTTGCTGTCAAAATTCCTGGCCTTAACCCTTGCCTAGTTCTGCAAAGCTGCCTTTTGTATGCAGCTCAGTGTGGCACACACTAGTTCTTTGTTAGCCAGAAGCTCCAGTTACTAAGGCTAGGATGCTCAGCAACTCATCAAGAGCAGATCTGTGTTTTGTATTCTGTGCCGTCCTCAAGGAGTGCCAATGGTACCAACTTCCTGCTATCTTCTTTTCTGACTTGATTGGGCAGCATGGGGGACAAATAAAAACTAAGCTTTTATTATTATTACTTTTAAAGACTTTAATTACAACAGAAGAGGGTTCTGGTGTAGATAGATTTATTTTTTTAATGAGCCACTTTTTTAGCCAGCGTAAAATAAAGTGTACCCAGTTTTTGCCTGGCAAACATTGGAGGTCATGGTGTCATAAAGCCCTGATTGTAATCACAGCCTTTCTTGCTAGGAGGAGGGTTGAGGCCCAGCCTCAGTTTCCTCCAAAACAGGTGTGCTGTCTAAGCCACAGCAAGAAGAGTTTGCAAAAGTTTCTATAGCTCTGGGGCATGAGGTTCTCAGGAAGGAAGGAAGGAAAGATGAGAGAGTGATTTGGGTAGTGGGTTGGCATTTGGGGCAGCTGTGCTTTAGCCTCTGCTTTTGCCACAAGTCTTTCTGTGATCATCATTCAATAAGCCATACCTTTCTATTTGGGATGGGAGGTGGGGGGGGGAGGAGGAGATAATAGCCTGTATTACGGAATGGCAAGAAAGGGGTTATGAAGTCAAGACATACTGGGTGAATATTTGGTGACCATTTGTCAAGCAGTAACTTATAACAGTGGACATGTAGGGAGTGGGTAATTGCTAGCCATGATTGTGAGTAGAAGTTTCCTTCCTGCTCAGTAAGAAATATGAGAAAGTGGAAGAGGGTAGAATTCTGCTCCTGCTGCATGGTTGCATACTGACCACTTTATAGATAGGAGGATTTTCACCCAGAAAAGTATTTGGGCCTCCATTCAACATTTGAATTTCAAACATCTGAGTCAGACTCCAAGGACAGCATCCCAAGTATATCATACCTCCTCCTCTTTTGCTGAAAAGGACTGGAGCCTGAATCATTAAGTTCCTTAATTGAGCCCATTACAGTGCAATGCTATCTTAGTGGGGTAGCATCAGGCACCTGAAAAGCATACAAAAAGAGCAGCAGCTCTGGAAGAAGGAAGGTTGGTCAATAGGACAGTTCCTCCTCCACCATCCATGGTATTCTTTATGCCTTTCTGATGTTGCCTTTGGCAAATTGTTAGCATCCTTTTGTGAGGTGGCTTGTGCCTATAGCAAAACAGACAGCAATCATTTTGTCCCCTTTGCTACTGGTATTTTAAATATGGTAAATATTCTATGAGGCATGTGGATCACATGAGGCAGTTTGGAGCCAAAGGGTTCAGAACAAGCAAGGCATGTTTCTCTCACCTTGAAGTCCCTGGGGCAAATTCACCTCTGGTTCCCAGCCCAGCTATTGGTTGGGTATCTTCACATTTACTGATATCTACTTGGCTGCTCTGTTTCATTTGCCACAAGCTGAATGTTTTGTGCACCACTGCTCAGGTGTTATGTCCGAACAGGAAATATCCACCTCTGTTGGGGACACAGGGCTGTGCATGCCAAATGTCCTCATCTACCTCAGCACTGCTTTCTGTATTCCAGACCTTCTTGTGTTGAGCAAAGGAAGGTCTGAAGGTGGCTTCTGCCAGGACTCCTGATTCTGCAGTGGCTTCTAGTGTGTTCAGTGTGGGTAAAAGCCTCCTTCTGTCGTTTTCTGCTCAGCACAAGAGGGTCTGAGACTGAATGGGCAAGGACAGGCGTATTAGATTCTGTTGTCTGGTCCTCTGTGACCCCAACACAGATTGCAATGAGATTCAGGAAACCTATTCACAAACTTAGTTAGATCTAGGAAATGAGTAGAGCTTTACCCATGATTAGTGTGGTTATCCCAGTCAATGCCAATTCTGTTGTTGTTGATGGAATTGGACTTTGAAGTGCTATCAGTGGGGAAGTTCAGGCCATTCAGATGATGTGTATTTCCCAGACTTGCACAGGAGCCAGGACAGTACATCCTTACTGCCTCCCTATATGATGCCACTGGCCAGATATTGGCACAGAAATTGAGGCGGAGATTAGTGCTGCATAGGTTCTTCCAGCTCCAGTAGTCATAGAATGGTGCATCCATCCATGCAGTTGCAGGGAGAAAATATATATAGCTATAAATATGTCTATGTCTATGTCTATATCTATATCTATAGATGATATAGATAAAGATATACAGTCGTACCTTGGATCCCGAATGCCTTGGTACTTCGACATTTTGACTCCCGAACACTGCAAGCCCGGAAGTGAGTGTTCTGGTTTGCAAACATTCTTTGGAAGCAGAACGCCCAACAGGGCTTCCACGGCTTCCGATTGGCTGCAAGAGCTTCCTGCAACCAATCAGAAGCCGCACTTTGGTTTCCGAATGTTTTGGAAGTCGAACAGACTTTCGGAATGGATTCCGTTTGACTTCCAAGGTACAACTGTAGATCACTTGTGGGAGGAAATTAGCAAAAATAAACAAAATTAACAAAATAATTGGCTGGATTCCTAGATCCAAAGTTCAGGGCTAAACACACTCTCCAGCAAGAGAGATCCCCCCAGCAGAATTTAAAAGTCACAAAAGCAACCAGCAGGGAAAGCGTGGGAATATAGGCTGTAAAACCCTTTTAATATCCTGGCAAGTCCACTACCAGCAGTTTAGTTTTTTGATATATATGAGGGGGAAAAGAGGGAGCAGTTGCTAGTAAAATGTCGTAATTGCTTAAAGCTTCATATTCAAATGCAAATCACTAAATAAATAGTCAATTAAATGTCACAGTTAGTTAAGTCACATACTTCTGTTATGCCTGTATAAGTATTCTAAGGAAGCCAGTGAGCGATTTAAGGATTATTATGCTGCTTCATCAAAGTACCTTCTGTGGTGTCGTATTGATTTTTGCGTGCTCATGAATAATGGTATGTTAAACAGGATAGTTGACTGGCATCCCATCAGGCATTTCTAATTGTTTTGAAACTTTCCAAGGCATTGCGCTGAGGCACTGAATTCTGCATGATACTAAAGAGGCTCTCACCAACTGGAAAAGCTAGAGTCTACTGAAGAGTATCGGAGTTTGCAAACTTCACATCCTCTTTTGAATGCAAACCTTTGATTTCATTTCATAAAATTTATGTACCACTTATTTGTAACAAACAAACTACAAAGTAGTTTACAAAAGAATACACGGATAAAATTAGCAATCAAAACTGCTATTTAAAACATTCAAAAAGCAATTTAAATCAATGATAATCTAAAAACAG